AATCACTAATCCTTTTGTTGACTGGGTGGTACTGTTGGCTCATCCGGGGTGGCATGTTGCTTCAACCAATCACAGTGTGTCTTGTTTTCTGATAATTGATTATGTTAAATAGTATGTAGCTTCTTGTTATCTAATATCTGTATTACAGATTCTGTCTAAACTTTGTGCTGAATGGTGGTGATATTATAGGCTTCTCTGCCTTGATCTTGGTTTGTAGCTCTTAATTGTTTCTGAGGCTGTTGCTGTTTCTGACTTTGACTGTAGTTCTTTGACTGGTGACCTGCTTTACTGTAGTTAAAGTATAAGTGGTCTTGTTTGCGTTGTTCGAGTTCCTTCTTGGATATTTGAGTCTGTTGAGTCTGATGCTGTGCTGCATCCAGCTCCATTGGTTTTGGTCTGTAAGGATTGTTGTATCTTAAGTTTCTAGGTTGTGCTGACCTTCCGTTATTGGCTCGGTAACCTGATTGGCTATTTTATTGAGGTGTAAACCTGCTGGTCTATCAACCCTCTTGTTATTTTATATTGTATTTATATAACTTGTTATTAATCTTAACTATTGCTTCAATCATTCTTAGCAACGTGTCCGGTCGTTTTTACTAGATGAGTTTTTCTTGAATCTTTATCTTAAGTCTTTCTTTGAATTATATGATGTAGGTGTTTTTATCTTAATCTAAGTAACTAGTAATTTATAAAAACTCTGAAGTATATTTAAATATTAATCTAGTCTGTTTAAGTTATTATAACTTTTGCTCAGTATTCTGTGCTGTATCAATGTTTCTGAATATCTGTTTGAGATACTGTTTAAATCTGGTGTAACTAATAAAAAGTTATTTTATATTATTATTTTGATTGCTTATTAACTTTTCTTATTATTTGCAGATATATGGTTTAAACTAAATAAATACTGTTCCGGTCAGGTAAGTAGATATGAAAAAGATCTTGTTTTCCTTATCTTTAAGCTTTTCTTTATTTATGCTGAGGTATAGATCTAACTGGGTCAAGAAAGCCCTGAGCTTTGCTCGATTGCTGTCGAATGGTTTAGATAGTTGGACCTTAACAGATTTAACTATTAAGCGATCTTCGAGTATCTGGTTTTATTGTTTTAAGGCAGTGATGCTTTTTTATAACTAACTAACCATACCCATCAGTTTCTGTGTTATTGGGCCCTGCTGCTGTGGGGCGCGCGATAAGTTTGATATAGTTAATATGATGAATAATTATTACTAGGTAATACTTGTACTGACTGGTGCTCAATGTGTTAAATCTTAGGATTGCTTCTCCCTGTTTCTGTTAGCTTAGCTTCTGTTTCAATACGTACCTGTGAACTGAATCAAGGTAAGTCAGGTTAATAACTATCTAAAGAGAACTGGTCCTGAACAGAAGAAGAGAAGTAAGGCCAGATAGTGCTGTGTAGCTATCTGTAAGTAAGTGCAGACGAGTATTGTTACTAAGCTTTATCAAAACATATGGTTACTTAAAGACAGTGTTATTGAGCACGAAGAACAGAACTAGCTAAGTACATGAAAGAGTGTTCTTATATCCTATCCTTCATTATGGTATCGCCATGCTATGTCATGCTACTAATATATTATTTCATGTTACTATCATGTTCTGTTATAGCGCTGACATGTTGTAGCGTGTTAGTGACATGTCTACCGTGGTCACGTGTTGTATAATCGTTCTGGTTATTGGTTGCTCAGATCGGGATTCTACTCGATAAGAGTCCTTGCTTTTCCGGACGTGGCCCTCTGCCTGATGAGTCCGCCTCACTAGTTCGTTCAGCTAGCAGGGGTCCGTAACACATACTTAGATACTGATCCAGTCTATCCAAATTATTATAGCTTTTATTTAGTATTGCGTGCCGTATCAATATCTTTAAACATCTGTTTAAGATACTGCTTGAATCTGGTATAGCTGGTGAAAATTTGTTTAATATTATTGTCCTAGTTATTTACCAACTTTTCTTAATACTTGCGGATGTATAGCTTAAATTAATTAAACATTATTTTAATTAGATAAGTAGATATAAAAAGAATCTTATTAACCTTATTTTTAAGCTTCTCTCTGTTTATGCTGAGATACAAGTCTAACTAGGTCAAGAAAGCCCTGAGCTTCGCTCAGTTACTGTTAAACAGTTCTAGTAATTAGACTTTAACAGACTTAATTATTAAATAATCTTTGAATAACTGGTTCTATTACTCTAAGACAGTGATGCTTTCTTGTAACTGACTAACCATATCCATCAGTTCTTGCGTTGTTAGGCCCTGCTGCTGTGGGGCGCGTGATGAATTTGAAATTATTAACATAATGGATGGTTATCACTGGTAATAATTGTGCTAACTAGTGCTCAATATATTAAACCCTAGGATTACTTTCCTGTTCCTGTTAGCTTAACTTCACTGGTATATATATCTTTGAACTGAATCAAGATAGTATCAGACTAATAATTATCTAGAAATAACTAATCTTAAATAAAGAAAGAAAAGTAAGGCTAGATAGTACCGCACAGTTATCTATAAGTAAGTATAGATGAGTATTGTTATTAAGCTTCCAAACATATGGTTACTTAAAGATAATTATATTAAACATAAAGAATAGAACTAGCTAAGTATATGAAGAAGTGTTCTTATATATCCTATCCTTCATATGTTGTTACCATAATCTATCATACCACTGGTATGTTATCTCATGTTACTGCCATGTCCTGTTGTAGTACTGATATATTGTAGCTTGTTAGTGACATGTCTATCATGGTCATGTGATATATAGCCGTCCCGGGTATCATGATGGTAATTCCCAATAATAGTTCGGTCTCACCCGAGCGCTGCCCTTATCGGTGCTTTCTGCCTGACGAATCCGCCTTACTAGTCGTTCAGCTAGCAGGGGTCTGTAACAGTTTTTTCTTTAGCTTGCTCAGGATTGTTCCCATCACCTGAAGCCTGATATAGTTCAATAATATTATTTTCTCTCTGTTTTATCTATAAAGCTGAGGTTCTATCTAATGCTTTTTAGTATTGCTGTATTAGAGTTTCTTAATATTTATCAAAAGAACTGTATATGGCAGTATTAAACCTATAAATCCTTCCTACTAAACTTATAGTATTAGTTAGAGATTATCAATATTATTTTTACTACAAGTCATCGCAATTAAGCTCAAGAAGAAAGTAACAAAGTACTTAGCTAGTAGAAATGGTATTAGTAATATATTTATGATTATAGTTCTTGAATTTAATATTACTAGCTTTTATAAGATTCTTAGCAAAAAATAAGACTATATATAGATAAGTATTGCCTGTCTTATCAGCAAGCTTACTATAGTTGTATTACAAACATAACTAGAGGTAAGTACTAATCAGAGAAGAGAAAAAAGCATAATAGCTTTTATTAGTAGAGTACTGATGGAGCTGTATAATGCAGTACAAAATTCTGTAGCTGCTAGATAAGGGAATGACTAGAAAGTAAATCCAGGCATAAATATCTTTATTAGCCTTGCTAAGGCTTAAAGTTTGTCCTGGTGAAGCAATACATATAAGGTCTAAAAAATCTATATAATAATATTAGATATCTAAATATTGTTATTAGGTATAGCATGTCAGCGCATTAATTCAGGCAAGTCACTAACTAATTGGGGTTATGATGATACAAGGGATCACGGGTTTCTATTAAAGTAATCTCTTTGATTTAGAATACAGTTATAGATATAACAGGTATTCTCTCTCACTGTCTATAAATTCTGTAAGAATGAAAGAAACTAATAAAATAAAGATTCACTGTGTCTTTGATTACACTTATCTTGTGTAACAAACCTTAAAGGCTTATCTGAAATAAAGACCTGTAACTGGTACTAGAAGTAATAATTAAGTAAAATATATCAAACTGTAAATCATCTTTTAACATATTCTAAAGACTTCTCTTTCAATAGATTATTAATAAAGAAATTAAAAGTAACTGGATACTTTTCACTTGAGAAAGATTAATTAAGATTATTAGATTAGGATATTCTTTACAAGTTTAAATAGTCTTAATATATTATCTTTCTATTTGAAAGATCTATTTTATAAATTAGTCAGTAGATTCTGTTTAGAGACTTTGAGGTTCTAGAGATTAGCAAGGATCTTAAGAGCTAGTTTAGACTTTTTAAGATCTATGATTTCTCTATATTACTATATATAGGTTATGATATTATTCAGTGATTTCCGTGCGAATTTTTTATATAATATTTACTGATATATATACTATATATTAACTATCATGCCAGCAATATTTATACATTACTTGAATAAGAAAGAATAGGGCTTTATATAAGAAATTTAACCTGATTAGAATAAATCTATTCTGATTTTATATTGTATCTATGAAGCCTTCCAGGCCAGAATAACTATAAATAATTAATAATATATTCTTGTTTTTGAGTTTTATTCTTTTAATCAGTATTATGAATTTTCAGTATTATATATTTTAATAGGGAAATATTGGCATGTCATTCTACCATGTAAGTATTCAGGATCAAAATTTAGAGAATATCTGTAATAAACTAGTATTAAATAATATTCTGAGAATTTCTTGACTCTTGGGATATCCAGAGCTGCTTCTATAAACATCTAGACTTGTGCTGTCTTTTAACAGAGAAAGTCCAGAATAATATTAGCTATATTAGTATAGTGTGATAGTATATTATTTTTTTCTAGAGAAAAGGTTATAGGTATCAGAAGAAAAAATAGCTTTCCTGATTTATCATTTTCATGATGATAGTACTGGGTTTTTTGGGGAGTATGGCGGGTAAAAGTGAACTTGGTGTGGAGAAACAGGTAAGGGGAAGACTGCTAGTTAGGGTGTAGTTTATTGAGGTTACTCACTCAGGGTACTCAGTCTTCTGCTTACCCTGTGCTTAGTGATCGCCTCAGGCTGCTCAGGGCGTGCTCAGGTCTACTCAGTGAGCAAAAAGCGGCGAGGGGTGAGCACTAAAACGGAAAGGGAAGGCCATCGACCTGGCTAGAAAATCAAGTACATATGCAGATAGAGAAATCGAAAACGGTTCTGAAAGAAACCTCAAGACCCTGCAAAAGAACAAGCATTATCGGTATAAGAAGCCTACCGCCTACAATACCCAAGAGGTATGTAGGGACCGGTGAGTGCTGTCCTAAAGTCCTGATGAAAGTTTGGCAGACATAGCCAGCTTTCTCTAAGATCGTTGGCTCTGTCCACGCCTTCCATCCTGCACGGAGACACTCCTGACAGGCAATAGACTTGGACTCTCGCCGCGAGCACTTGTTCCCATGGCAGTCAAAGTATACGAGTCCGTTTTTATTCGTGGTGAAAGTCTCCAGTCGTTCCACCCAAAAAGGTTTCAATCTATTTTCCTTGTCGTACGGCTCGTGGTTCACAAACCATCGAGACCAGTGCTCCAGGACCTCAGATGCAGTAGCGTTGGAGCCACGAAAGTACTGTCGATGTTTGGTACTGCAGACACAGTTGGGGTCGTATCTCAGGCCTTTCAGCTCACTCCGAGCAAGCCGTTCCAGTCGCTTATACTGCCAGATAGGGAATTTTGGCTCCGGAATTAGCTCCCAGCCTATATGCTTGCACTGATTTTGAAGTTCCCTCTCGCGTGCTTGTATCCGATCCGTGGAGCCAATCTTAAAGTACTGACTCTTGTCCTTACAGTCTTGGTAGATGTACGCACATCCCCTGTTCTCCTCCTTGTATTCTCGCGTCATTATATTGCGATTTTCGAGGATGATATCCTCAGTCGCAAAAGGTGCGTCATCCTTCTCTCGACGGCTTGCAGCCTGAGCTGTATCCCCAGTACGTGATGTTGACAAGGTTTCGCTAGCAGGGTTAGTGCTAGGGTTTGGAGGATCGCAAGGTCGCGGTGTCGGGAAGGCTGTCCCAGACAGTATTTGTTCCAAACAAACGATAGTCTGATCAACATTGGCGGTATTCCTCAAATAACGTTGGATTGTCCTATCATTTGATGAACTAGGTTGTCCTGTTCGCTCAGATTTGGTAGACGAGGATGCAGTTGTCGTTTGTTGCCTGGTATCGCACCTGGCTGCAGGCCTCGAATAGGCTCTTTCATCTCTTGGATTGGCGGGACGATCGGCGCCTCTCGCAACGCTGGCCACGTTGGGCGAAGGGGAATCAGAAGTGCGTTCACCATCGTCCAATGGTAGCCGTGGAGATGATAAACTCGCTCGAGATGGTATGGCAGTCGAGTATTGAGGTGTCAGCATTGTTTTTGTATCGAGCTGTGAAGTTCAGATTGACGCCGAACAGCCATGGCTCAACTGGGGACTTGACGGATTTCAAATAGAGCACTGTGATAGGGATCAGTAAGGCTGTTTCGAATTCGACCTTCTGGTACGAGGCAGCCTGAAGTAGTGTTGTTATGCGGCTGTGTTTCAACCGCAAGGCTGGCCACTTCCCCTCTGGTGTTGCACCATCGGACGTTCGTGACCTTGAGCGGGCATTAAATGGCTACACCATGCAGTAGTTGAGACGTTGGTGGCATTAGCGCACTCTAGCCTGGCCAACTGGCCATTTTTAGACCATGGGCGCTTAAGCATGTGGCTTATCTCTGGACACCGATGGTACCGATTGTGGTGTGTTCGAAGACTCGGAGATTATTCAGGTGTAGATTCGACTATGTCGATGCTTGTATGACCTTGCTGAACATGTAATGCTTCATATGGCAAGACTGCCATACTACCAAGCAGGCGCTAGAGTACTAAACCCACCGTTGCTTAGCCTCGATCCACGCGGCGCTAGTCCGGGGTATGGTCCCGCTATCTAGTTAGGCCACAGCTGTCTGGGCCAGGCGCAAGGCAGACAAGACAAGATATCAGCTGTATCTACAGCATGTATTCAGAGATATCGAGGGGCACTGTCATGATCTGCGAAGACCCACATGATTCTTCCTGTAGATCGTTAGCCTATCGACAATAACAGTGGACAATGTGAATGAAAGGAACAAAACTGAAGTCGAAGCTGAAAGCAAGCTATTCTTTCGATCAATGATTTAAATTCTAACTGATAATATCAACTAAGGCATGCTAAACCAAGATATCGTCGGTCGCGATAATCAAATCTCCTGCTGACATCGCATGGGAATCCAACTCCTGTATGCGCCAATCCAACCTCATTTGCATCGTAGCATCACATAGTATCCTCCGGGAGGTTTCGTGTTGCAATTGGATTTGGGTGACAAAGGTCCTTCTGAAAGTCCATCATAGGTTACTACTGGTCATGACAGAACGATCAAGGGTATACTTGACATACCACATCACTGTGCAAATGCAGCAATCACATTCCTCATCACCACAGTCGCAGCCGAAGCAAGGCTTGGAAACCGTCTTGATGGGTTTCTTGATGGAAGAGCCAGAGCTGGAGGATGGAAGGGCGAAGTTGACGGACGAGGAGAAGGAGGAGGCTGCCATGGTGAGATTTCGTAAGAACCAGTATGCTGTGAGAGTAGTAGATACAATCGTAGGTGGAATAGTGTCTTGGTTGAGGAGAGGATCAGGATCAGGAACAAGAACAAGAACCAGAGATGGAAGAAGTAGAGCTCCAACGGTCGGCGGGTGCCAACAACGTCACCGACCACTCCAGATCACACTAGACCGCATGGGGATTACTCCGTCGATCTACTCCCAAAGCGGTTAGCCTCAGGGTCTTGCTCAAACAATGCAAACTGCTACTATCATCTGAATCAATCCTGCATGATTATCTATCTAGCTATTAACAAACACCCCTCAAAGCTTTGCTTCCCGTCTATTTCTGCTAGGGACAGAGTCTCCGGCAAACAATGGCGATGCATCGACAAAGGCATCCCAGTTCGAAGAAGACAGCATTGGGGCGGGGCAGTACGGCTCAATCCCCAACCCATCCAAATGCCTGTCCAGCTGCGACACCACGTTGTCACACGCTTGGCGCTCCATGTCATACTGAGCTGCTCTACTGAGCCCCATTTGCTCTACATACCAGCTACTGTCGCTCTTCACTGCGCCTGCCTCGTATAGCGCCAGAAGGTCGGGATCAACCCCCCGGTCGTTGGCTGCTTCATATACCATCCGTTGCCCAATAGCCAGAAGCATCGAACGACACCGAGGTAGGATGTAATGATTGTACTCTGTACTCCGATGCTGCTTGAACTCTTTCAGAAGCTTCTTTAGCTCCGCAATAAATCCAGCCTCGTGCCTTTCCAAAAGAGAGCCGGGCATCTTGGCCTCGGGTACCTTGTACCGGCCAAGGAGCAGTTCGGTGGCAGAGCCTATGGAAAGGTCAGTCATTGCAAAATATGAGTGAGCCGGGTAGTACCTCACGGATGGAAAGGACCAAGACTTCTCCCTCTGCAGTGGCAACAACTCGAGTTACGGACTAGATGGGCTAATGAGTCGTGTGCCAAGACCAGAGACATGGGAAATACATACCTCCGTTTGTAGGAGTCCATTGTCAGGGAACATTCCTCGGGCACCGCTTCTCTCGATCAAATGGTTTAGGCTTTCACGTCCATTTTGGAGAGCGACGACCTTGAAAATAACGCTGAGCGCATGTTTGGCCCCGGGGCTGGTTGAGGGGCTCTTATGTTGCTCGATAGTCCAGTCTGCAAACGGTTCTAGCACAGCAGCCTCGGCTAAAGCATGTGCAATCGGGAGCTGTTGAGTCCTGAAGGATATGATTGGGACTGATGGTCCATGCAGGCCTTCCTGGACTGTGCGGCGTTGACTATACTTTCCCACGATGAAAGCGGCACCCTTCAGAAACGGTATTACCCACAGACCGATGATCAGTGCTCCGATGCTCAAGCGGTGAATTGAGGCGAGATACTGGTCACGCATGTTGATGGGTTTTGTAAAGTCTCCTAACAAGGCGGTTGGCGGGAGATAGACGTGATCGAAAGACGTCAGGTCGTGGTTGAGCACCCTTCCAGATCCTGTGTCGGGGAGACGCCTAACAGCTTAGCTTCAAAGCTTCCATTGCATACTATCTGGACTAACCATGCTTTGATCCCTCGCTGCATCTGTTGCCCATTGTTGATTGGCACTATAAACGGACCAATGCCTCGATCCTCTCCATCAATCAAGAGGCGTGCGAAAACAAGTGCAATGCGTGGTATGCCTGCAACTGGTGCAGATGGAGGCATAAACCTGTCAATTAGCATGCCATACAGGCGGGATAATCGATGATGTCATACTTTCTTGCGGCAGAGTTTGGGGTATCAAGAACGAAGCTGCCATCGGGTTGCCGAGTCGCAACTGTTTCAATGTTCCTCGCATCACAGCCGTGTCCAACCTCAGTCAGCATATAACTGCCACTGTCATGACGCTATCAGCGATGCCTCTTCATGCTGCAGAGGGAGCATACACCACGTCAAATTGCATGATCTCGTTCATTAATGGCTTGAGATCTGGGCGCTTGGGCAGATAGAAGGCAATGGTCCCTGCGATTAGATTATAGTGTATGCTGAATATCGTCTGGGCCACTGTATCACGGAGAATAATCCCATCTGTGTGGGCATGCCGGAACTTTGGTGTGAAGTGAATAATGTCATCCACAGTCAGTCCTGTTTATTGTTAGAATGGCAGCTAATCCGGAATAGATGCATACGCCAATATCTAGCCATGGCCCTGGCCCGGTGATATGACCGTTCCAGGTGCGCTTCCCGCGGCTCAGCTTCATAATGATGCTTGAAAAGATCGGAAGATAAAAGGTCGACTGTAGACGACTGCATGATGAATTTTGGAATCAGAATGTCACATCAAAATAGGCTGACAGGGGCCTTGAGAACAGCTCACACCTTTCGCGAACGAGACGTGTCTGTCGCCTCTTAAGGCATACATAAAGCCAGTCATGTCTATACTTCTGTCTACAGTCTAGACATTCAGACCTCTCATCATATGATGCGGCGACGGATCCGGACTCAGTAGGCATGCAATGTTTATGAAAGTTGCTAGGTCAAGATTGGTTGAAGATCCGATTTAAACTTTGCTCAAACCAGACCTACTGCCAGCCAGCAAGGAAGCCTCTTTTTGGCAAACTCTCCCCATATTTCTGCCAAGATTCTGTCTGTACCAAACTCTGATACTAACATGCCAAACCTACGCGTTAGCCCATCCCAAGAATACTAATTTGACCGTTTAACGGTTGGCTTCGTGCCACAGCTATCCCAAAGCACGTACAGGATGTACGCACAACCCCAAGCTCTTAGGGATTGATTTTCTGTGCGCAACACTGGACTGGCTGGTTTTAATGTATTAACAACAATATATCACGAGACGCTACTCGCAAACCAATACAATCATGAATTCGTTTGACGAGGCCCATCCAGAACAGTTGCAGGGTGCATCATCAGTCAACGCCACTCATTCATTCCCAACCCAACATTCACCTATAAATAGGAATTAATAGGACCCTGTGAAGGGGACAATCTAGAGACTAGAAACTCCGCCGGGAATTGTCTTGAAAGGTTAATTAAGGGAATGTACTACCATTCCCTCAACCAGCTCACTTATATAAGAACCTTCTAACTTCCCAACTCAACTCTCCTACATCTACTATAGTACCTACACAAGCCCTTAATCAAGGCCCCAAACCTAATGATAAATCTTGACATAAAAGGACTGACCATTGCCCAGTCAGGTTTTATTCTACTACCTAAGAAACCCATCGATGCAATCATACAACTGAAGCAACTGATCTAGATATAGCTACAAAACATATCCATCTACCCACACAATCGACGCAATACTTCAAGAAGCCGTGAACCCACCCCGACTATTAATTTTACCAGTTCAAGAGCATCGGGGCAAACAATACGGTCGTTGAGAATCCCATCCGATACAGCTGTCCGCTAAACTCAACCCCCTACAACATGCTTCCTTGCCAACTTCTAATCCCCAACAGGACCTAATAATCGGACAACTAATGGACCAGCTAGCGTCCAATTTGACCTTACTAAGACCAATGTTATACAAAAGCCCGAAGCCTTCCGTCTCTTACGCCCAGCTACAGAGACACCTTAAGAGCAATGATATCCCACTTTGGTTATACATGGACACAAACCACTAATGATATATCATAAGCACTACCTTCCAATACTTCTCCAAATCCATAATACTATCACTTCCATCTGAACCAACGAAAACCTGTCTGCCAGAAGCAAAACTAGTATTGCACCAGAAGCCAGACGCGTTTATCTGTCCTCGTTGTCACTACAACTAAAAACATACAGGGTGAAGACGTTTCAAGAATTCACATCATCTATGCTCATTTACTACCAACGGGCTTCTCCATCCAAGTATATGCACTATGAACACTACCTTGTCATCATCTTGGAGTTCATAGCTTGGTAACCCATGTCCTAACCTCACTTTCCAAACAAAACGGCGGATAATAACACAATGACACCAAATGGCTCCCTCATAGAGACACAAGCGACATCAAATCATCTTACCTGTCACCAAGGTAGAATACTTCCGCGACGAACGGAAGATCAGAATCATGGGAGATTAATATGATATGATATGATATGATACGATCAGACACAATTACCTCTTTAGGATCATATTCATTGACACAACGCTGTCTATATGAAAGGGATATACAGACATCACATATTTACACACAAGCCTCCCAATTCCTTGCTTTATCACCACTTTTCTCCTTCGCATCAAGCATGTCAGACCCGGCAGGATTAATCCGAACTTGCGACCCAATCGGGCTTGGCCTTTCACTCTCTTCGAGCATATCTTTGTCTCCTGCGACTAGCAGCGAGAAGGATTAGATGCTCTACTGGGCCTGTCACGAACATTCATACTATGTTTACCTTCTTGACGGCTACTGGTGTCAATAGGAGTGATGTATTGGCAGTGATGGGAACTGTACAAACCGTGTACGGAATTGCTGCATTTGGATCACGAGATCGATTCCATGTTTGGTCAATGCTTGTTTCTGGATTGCCTGGTTCAAGATATTGATGGGTTAAATATGATGAGGAGTTTTATACTGGATGACGTAACTATGATATTTTGCGGACAAGACATTTATCCATTTCGGGGTATGATATGAGATGGTGGGTTAACTGATGAATCACAGATTGCTTCTGTTTCCGATGACAAGAGCTCGTGTCTGGGTATGGTAATGTTATAACGATGGAAGGAAGGAGAAGAATGACGTGAGGCAAGTTGCAAGGAGGATTTATATAGAATAAAGGGTCTGCATCGGAGGGCTTTGACTTGAAGGTAGCTCGCTGGAATTGTGTACTTTTTATGATCAGATTCTGGATTGGATGATACTATTTAGATTTAATCCAATGATGCAATAGGTTATTACTTTAATGCAGCCAGTCTGATTTGATGCTGCTTAGCCAAGCAGGAACATGAAGCTAAAATTCCTCTACCCTGAACATAGAAGAGTGGTTGACAATGTAGTACAATGGCTAAGAAACATCCCACTATCTGACCCATTTTCCACTGCTATCTAGGCCCTAGTAATCATCACTTATCCTCAAAAGGCCACACCCTCTCCCACTCAACCCGTTCCTCCGGTGTCCTGGCCTCTCGATCCAAGAATCTCTCTTTAGCAAGACATAACCTGCGAACAGCTTCCTCATATTCACCAGGAGACACCGCCCCATTCCACCCCGTATACACACCAATCTCCTCAAGTACTCGTGCTTTTCGCTCAACGTCCCGCATCCATTTCGCGTACGTCTCGCGCTGCATCTCCAATTCACTCTTCATGTATTTCAGCGGACAGGATACACGTGGACTACCGTGCTCGTCTTTCCCGACAATCTGTTTCCATATATCCTCTGTTGAGACTTCAGAAAGTAGTTTCTGGACGTGTGTTTCTCCATCGTCGAATATCGATCCGATCAGGGACATTAACTCCGACTGGAGGGTATCCTCGTATTTGAATGCATGGATCAAGTCCCGGGATTCTTTGAAGACCTGGGTTTCATAATAAAGCCAGAAGGTTTGGGAAAGATGGAGTTCCTTTGCAGCTTTTCTTTCCTGGGGACTGAGATTGTCGATGTTATCTGGGAGACGGGGCTGGATGAATCGCTCGGGTTTCGGACCGTCATATTCGATTAGGGAGGGATGATGGGCGATTAGAAACATAGGGATGATTGGGATGGCTTGCCAGTCGATGATGCTGGTTATTTGTGTGGGATTGGCCTTGTCGATGAAGATATTGTCTGTGTGGAGATCGTTATGCCAGAGTATGCCCGCATTGAGGGCGTTATCGTTGGGGACGATATATTGCTGGATTTTGAGGTATTCTTGTAGAACGGATCGTTTGGCTGCTTTGGTTGGGTGGTATCCATCAGGGCCGTTGAAGATTCCCTGTTGGGTATCTGGATGGGATGAAGATAATTTGTTCACGCAGGCTATTTCTCGTTGGACTAATGCAGTCATGGTGTTTTGAAGACTGGGCCCTGGGTTGGATGCTGTGGTTAGGTTTGAGGTATAGCCGGTGGAGTGATTGATGAGCTTACATGGGCCTCTGTGGACTTGGACTTCACTTCTTCGGTCATCGAACCATGTTCGTCCGGTTGTTGGTCCAATTGCGAAGGTATCATCGATTTTGATGCTCTCTGACTCTGAGACATCTTGACGAAGATATAATGAGCCGTATGATGGGAATCTTGCCCGAGAGTGTCGACGTGATGGTTCCAATTTGCTTCACGATTGTCAGCTTGTCTCGCGCCCTGAGGTTTTCCCATACGCGACTAAGCTCAACCCCTTGAGCTCTCTCCATGATGATGTACTCTGTCCCTAGCTTACTCTGTCCCTAGCTTACTCTGTTCCGCACGGGAGCAGTACGGGAGGACCTTAGGGACAGGGAGTTGGAGGTTTTCTCTTGCCTGCCGGAGATCATGTCAGTATAATCGAGCCATACTCTTCGGTAATAGAATGTCATACATATTGCATGGTTGCCACTTCCGACGCCGTCGTATAGTGGCTCGGTCCAGCATTCGGATTTGGGATCTTGACAATCACTTCCCGGCCATCTTGCAGAGTGACTAAGAAAGCTTTATTGAAGTTCCCTTCGGGTAGTTTGGAGATGTTGATGCAGGGTGTGGTGTTGCCGACGGCTTCCTCGGCGACTTGGATCAGTGCGTGCAGGTCAAAAGCAACGTAGCGGTTTCGGAGCTGTTGTGCTTCGTTCCAGAGCCATCGTTGAGATGAGTAGGCGAAGAGGTCTTCTGGGTTGTAGTCTGGATGCTGGTGAGTAGGTGATCTTTACTACCAGGGGGACAGGATACCGTAAACATTGGTTCTGGAAATCGAAGCTCTGGTGCGTGTTGTAGATAGTGGGCGGCATGATCCTAAGGTACTTATGCGTGAGTGCTGAGACGTCCGGATCCATACAGAGCCAGTGCTTTTCTGATATCGTATTGGCATTTCTGGGTTATGTTCTGATTACTTGATAGGGAGGATACATAAATGGTTGATCTGGAGACGGATCTGCACCCAATCACAATGCACGTGATGTACTGCCGTGCAGCGGACAACAGAAGCGCATTTAATGATGCACTGTTGACTCTATTGCTTGCTATTTGCATGTAATTTTTATGTGCACCCATGGACTATACCGAGTATTATTGAATCCTCATCATGTTTATGGATGGTAGGACCTCTTTCCGGTATTATCCGGACACTCGTTCTCTATTGTTTGTAGTTGTAGGAGCCCATATCTTTGTTAGTTGGTAGGCCCCGATGTAGATTAAGGGTTTCCGAGTCACATGATCTTAGTCATCTATATAAGAGTGCCCCTCCAGCTTTCTAATCCCATTCCTATCTCCCTTGTCACATATTCAGTGTTGATACTAACTTGATCATCTTGATCAAGAATTTACGTAAAATCTCGTGATAGAGAATTGTTAGTCTCAATCTAGTGCCCGCACGGCATATTTCCATCCTAGTCCAAAGGATCAAACGTCCCAATGCTAGGTCCAAGTCCTCACTTCTATAGCTATTCTCTGACAACCTTCCAGGCTTTTGAGGCAAAGGAACTTGACCCAACCGTAGACTTCTCCAGTGTTGATAAAAATGAAGTCCAGGTAATCACTGGGAGGGGTCAGATGGTGTATTGGAAAGGATCCAATGTTACTGTGTTCAAGACTGAGGGCGCAGGGCAAGAGCTGTTCACAAACCTGTTTGGGATGCCGGATGGGCAGGGACGGGTTGAATCAGGAATCAAGCTCTATATCACGGAGGGAAAGGTGAAGGAGGAGTAGGACAATGTCACCTCTCGGTATCATAGTTTGGACTTGCTCTATCTGGGTGATTAGACAGATTTTTGTATAAGTATCCTACTAATTTTTCACATCAACTATCACAGGGTTTCAAGCAATTGCGTTATATATCTTTTACCGGGACTTAAGTAAGATTGTCTATAGTATTGCTTCCTGTACAGGGCTTTGTAGAGAGTATTGTAGATGGTATAGTACAGGATCTTATAGAAGTAAGTAGTAGTTCAGTATATAGACTAGCGTTGAGCCCTCGGATATAGATGTTAAGCCTCAGGTATAGCTATAACAGTCAGATCTTTCTCAATAGGATAAGCAGAGTAGGCAGAAGATATGAGTATAGCAGACACCGGTGTAGTTGTAGCCTGACCAGTCTGGCTGTATCGTCTCCCATTTATCCTCGCCTCCTCCTTCATCAAGGTCATGGACACGCAGTTAGTAGTTGATGTGGATTCCATTCAACCGCTCTTTCCTGTGAGTTGGAAACTCTTTCCTTAACTGCCCTGTATCTCTCTGGACAAAAGGCCACCGTGCTGCGCATCTTCCAAGCTCAATCCGATCATAATGATCCCTTCATTCAAAACCACATGTCGCATTTGATCCACCAATCTCATCTTCGCTCTGAGCTGTAATCATCTTAATCACGGAGTAAACGTCTTCGTTTTGGAACACTCTCCCAATCCCATCGAGTTGCTCGAATGACCCATAGATCCATCAATCTGATCAGACGGGAACGTTTCAGGAGAAAGAACAATATTGGCGGAATTTCTCGGGATTCGAGAATACTTTCCTGGCCCTCGGGTCTTTGTTTGCAGGTTTATATACCAATGTTAAGCCTTGAACACAAGTCCCTTTATGAGAGGGAGAAGGGCTACCATCCACAGTCGTGCGAAGGTCCGTTCTAGGATCATCCTCCTTGTTCTCGACGTGAACGTGTTTGAGACGAATTGCAGAGCATAACACGGCCGCAGGAGCGGAGGACACTGTGGCTGAAGAAGATGTGCTTTTTACATCTTCCATTCGTTGGCACGGTGGCCAGAGTATGATTAATAGCCGGGGTAAGCTAAACGTAGAGTCTAGGGAATTGGGAGTTGTGTTGCTGAGGGAGAATGATCTGATCATGGGGAGTTGTGGCTACTTATGTGTTTCCTACGGCTTCTATTCTAGGAGAGTTCCTTCGGGATTCTTCTCTTCTTCGCTCTCTTCCTAGATTCCGATGGAGAGAACCGAAGAAACTTTCATCTTCGTCGGCATGTTTCATCGTAGTATCGGGACTAGACGGTCCCATCAACCAAAGCCTTATACTTCCCTCCTCCCCACGTCCTCAAAACACCTCCCTTAACCAAAGCCCTACTAAGAATCGGCATATCCTGAAGACCCAGCCGCGCAGCCAGAATCTCCGACACAGCCAGATTGCCATAGAAGAAATACCACACCGGAAACTGATCCTGCCTTGGAAGAAAAAGTTCATCTGCATCAGTTGCTCGGTTCTGCGGAAGGGTAGGATCAATCTCATTTCCCAAAGTGGGAGCGATGCTATAATCGGAGAGGTGTTTCGGGGACAAGTTAACTCGAATAAAGGTTGGTGAGAAAAAGGTTCCCTCGAGGGCAGAGAGGATGGCGAGTTTCATTTTACCGGTAATGAGGCAGAAGTTGCTGGGGGAAGTATCTCTTATGCCTTCGCCTTCTTTGAGGATAGGGGTGGTTAGGAATCCGGTTAGGGCTTTGATTTTGGTGGGGCTGCTTAGAGGTCCTTCGAGTTTGACGAGGAAGATGGAATTTTTGTCTCGAGTGGAGAGAAGATAGTAGCTGGGTGATTCAGAGCCTAGCTTTAATTAAGGGTTTATATAGGCGTTACTACGTAATGTTGAGGTTTCCCTATGAGTGAATTGTATACGTGACGTCAACCTTGTGGTCTTCATTGTGCTAAATGAACTGGGGGTGAACAAGAGTTATTTCATTCATTGCTAATCAAATATGACCGGTGTATCACACTTCTCTGTTTCTGTTTCTATTTTCTTGAATATCTGCTGTTTTTATTTGATTTATTTGATTTCCTTTGACCTGATGTAGTGAAAGCTAACTCCTGGGGATTACGCTCCCTACATCAAAGAGTATATTATGATATTAGAGGAGAAACACATCAATATTATGCAGTGTAAATGGTAGACTTTGTATCCGAAGTGATACGATACATCTTTTTCCGATCCTTGTTATACGGCTAGAGTCAAGCAGTTGAATTTAGCTCTTGCCACAAGATCTCAAAGTCGTCGGTTTCGAACACGCTCGTAGAAAGCTCATCAGTAGAACCATCAGCACTATAGGTAACATGGGGTTTGAAGTATTGTTGCTCTGTGGCAGCCTCTATTCCATATCCGAGGGAAAGCAAGTGAATACATTTTCCCAACCGCAGCGGATATTGCAATAGTCAGAATAACTCAGTCCATAAATTCCATGGCTGGATCGCTGACGAGACTTGTAATGGCAAATAACGTTGTGTCTTTTACTGAAAGGTGGTTTTCCTGCACAAGCACAGCTAGGGCACAGCAGACTTGGTGAATTTCCTCTGGGATAGTCGATGACTCCTTGTCGGCAGCGTATAAAGGTGTCGGCATGTCACTGGGAACATGCAAGTTCTCACAGCTTGGAAGAGTATTGGCTAGGTTCGAAGGCTATTCAAGAACGCTAGCATTACAGAATCAACCAAGAGGTGAAGATATACCGGATTAGGGTTTAGGTGGAGTTGGATATCTTTCCGTGATGTGAAAACCAAGCTGCAGTAAGGACATGGCCATTGCATCGCTGTATCCTCCATGGTGAGATGCACAAAATAACAGATGCAAATATGGTTGAGTGAGAAAAGGGACGAAATGTCTGCAAACCATGATACATTTAGACATGGGTAAACGACCTCATGATAAGGCTTTCATTCAGCTGGGTTAGATCCGCTCCTTCGTGTGAGAAGGCCCTTAAATGGCTCGTATGGTTGGCAATTCTTTTAGTAGCATTCCAATTTGCAAAGCCACTGTGTGTCTCTTTCTGCATCCATAGTATTCTAGGTATGGAAGTCGATGCGTGATCAAATGCGGTGTCAAACATTGTGTCGGCGTAGGCAATGTCTACTCTTGTAAGCCCTTCTTGTCCACCTATCATATTTGTATAGAATAGATGGATAACTTCAGGAGAGGCAGTCATATGATGCCAGCAGCTGGGCGATGGTGCGTCCTGGGTAACACAAACTGGTCATAATTATGATCTCCCCCTCTGGGATTACATCCCTTGCCCCTCGGTATATCTGTCCATTCAATGGATTATCCCATCGTGACCGAGGATGAGGGAGGCAACGCCAGGAATGAGATGGGGACTCACAGCAAGAGGGTGGCCCCCAAGGGCTTTATATAGCCCACGGAGACGAGCCCTCGAGGCCTCTGCCACCGGAGACCTCCTCCAGGTCGCTGGAGATCTCCTCTAGGCCATTGGAGATCTCCCCAGAGGCAGGAGATCTCCGTCAACTCCTTCCCAAGCCAGCCCAACTCGCTGCACCTTCCCCTAAAACCGCGTCGAAGTGCGACTTGCTCCTGCTTGACACCTGGTTGTGGGAAATATTTTGATTCGCGCATATTTCGGGTATTCCTAGTACTGGAAATCAAGGTCACTGTGTTATAATCGTTGATGAGGTTTGAAGATAGAGATGTGATAAAAGAGTAGTTGAGTTCATATCATATAGAACAGGGTGAGCCTTTCGGAGATTCTTGTGCTGGATGTGGTGCAGATGGTGAAGAGGTAAAACAGAACAAGAGGATGGAAGGCTGTGGACGAACCAATCATGCCTATCAAGAGGGAAAACGTTACTAGATTCAACCATTCTTTAAGCAGGATGGAGGATCAGCGATCTAGAGTGCACAGAGGGGAGGGATTGCTGTCTACAAGAAGAATGAACATGCAATTGCAATTCAATTGAACTCATAACTTATATACACCACTTTTGATCATAATTCATAGCAGTCCGCCATATTCTATCGCTGTGTGGGTTCATCGCTCGGTGGCTCCCCAGGGGTATCTTCTAACGTCGTCCATAGAGTCCTCGTTGAGAGACCCGTTCTATCCATTAAGTAGTATTTGGTCATCAAGCTGTCGTCATCTCTCGCCGCGGGCTCACAGCTGCTCAGCCCAAGGGGCAGCGCCAGGCTGCATCTGGTTCAGCCACTTGACAAGGTCGATGAGCTCGGCCCGGCGCTCCTCCTCAAGCTGGTCCTCATCGCTGAGAACAGCCTGGAAGATGGGCAGGAGCTGGGGAGTGAGCTCGCGGACGGTGGGGTCCTCCCACTTGTACAGCTGGCAGATCATGTGGTACAAGGGGTCGTTCTCCTCGAAGTCATTCTTCAAGGGAAGGATGGTAAGCAGGACAGGGAGGACATCCTTGATGGGGACGTTCTCGCGGTGGCGAAGGATCATGCGGCTCAGGCAGCCAGTGGCGTTGTCCTGAAGGCGGGAAACGTTCATGTGCAGGCACTGCTCGAGTCTGGAGAGGATGGTAGGGAACTCCTTGACGATCAGATCCTTGGCATCGGAGTGCTCAACGAGACGGCCAATGGCGTAGGCAGCGTTGGAGCGAGTCTGGGAGTCCTCGTCACCAAGGCGGTGGAGAAGCAACTTCATGAAAGTGGGAGTGTACTGAGTGACAGCAGGGCCCATGCCGTTGATGCACTCGGCGAGGACACCGACAGCAGTGGCGCGCTCGAGGGCCTCAGTGCTGCCTGCATAACGCAGAACAGTCTTCTCAAAGACCTTCCACAGCTCAGCGAAGCTGGGGCCAAGAGCGGCAGCCATGCCAGAGACAACGTCGAGACCAGTGTCGACAACGACCCAGTCGAACTCAGAAGTCTCCTCGCCAGCCTCAGCAGTCTCCTCTTCGGGACCGAACTCCAGCTGGCAAGGGTGCTTCTTGGTGATGATATCAGTGATCATCTGAATCACATTGTGCAAAGTGGTCTCGTTAGAGATCAAAGAGGGACCGCAGTAGCGGAGGTTCTCAGCCATGTTGCGGTTGATGTCGGCGACGGTAGCCCTAGTGTTGATGCGTTAGCTGCTGCAAACACGAAATAATCAGGTGAAGAAACAATGGATAGAGGTAATTATCAGAGGTTTGTGAGTAATCGCGTGTCACATCATCCACGACTTTGCGTGTCGGAGTGAGCTGGGTAAAACGTGGTGCTCATCATTTAAAGGCCCGCTGGGGCATGCAGAGGGAAAGGAAATGATAGTGATACATACCGGTCATCTTCTTCGGTCCACATCTTGACGGTGGCGGTCATGAGGATCTCACCGAACTTCTGGACCTCCTTGGCGGGCTGGACCTGGAGAGGCAGACCAGGCTGCCACTTGCCCATTTGGCCACTCTCCTCAGCAATGGAGTAGAGCATAGCATAAGAGCGGTGGAGGGTGCTGATGGTGCTCTTGCGCACACCTTCGTAAGGGTGCTCAGCGAGGGGCAGGACCATCTCGATGGTCTTCTCGAAGAAAGGCAGATAAGCAGACTTGGTGTGAGTGACGAGGTCACCAATGACCTCGACAGCGATCTCCTTCTCCAAAGACAGAGGGGTGGTGGCAGTGATATCATCCCATCCATCCTCGTCATCAAGATCCACATCTTCGATATCACCGTCCTCGCCGACGGGCTCATCGTCCTCATCAGCGTCGGCCACGCGGACCTTCTTACCACCGATGGTCACTTCCTGGCCAATGAGATCCTTGGCAGCCTCACCAAGAGAGACATCCAGGTCAGTCTCATCCTGCTCAATGCAAGCGAAAAGACCCTTGACAACACCATCGAGGAAGGGAGCGAAGAGCTCGACATAGACCTTGGACATGGCACCCCAGAAGATGTAGGTGCTCTCCTTGAGACGAGAGTGTCCGAGGTGGAGAGCCTCCTCAGTGGCACGCATGAGGGGCTCAACGTAGGGCTGGTAACGCTCAGGACCGGCGGCGGCGGCCATCTCTCCCATGGCATCGGTGACGCTGGCACGAAGGTCGAGTTCCTCCTCGCTGTCCTTCACGGTAGCGTACTCCTGGAGAAGGTGCATCGACTCGTCGAAGAAGGGAAGGAAAGAGTCACCGGCAGAGGAGGCCAGGGAGCCAAGGGCACCAGCAGCCAAGCCCTTGATACGGAAGTCGGGGTGCTTGAACAGGTTGTGCAAGATGGGAACCAACTCGCCCTGGTAAGGGGCCACATCCTTCTCGTCGAGACCGTCCACAACAGCATCGATAGCACTGATGCCGGCCTTCATGATGTCGACGGTGGGACCATCCTCCTCACCCTTGTACTCCTGCATGGCACTGGCCAGGTTCTGGAAAAGGAGGGGCATAAGCCTCTTGTGCTCCTGGCTGAGATCCTCGGCGAGGTCATCGGCCAAGCGAGCCACGGCGTGCAACGAGGCCTGGCGAACCTTGGGCTCGGAGTCAGCAAGGAGCTGGAGCACCATGGGGAAGATCTCGTGCATCTGAGTGCTGATGAAGTCGGGGGCACCCTCGACACACATTCCCAGAGCCAAGATACCAGCACGACGGTAGTCGGGGTTGCTGTTGTTGAAGTATTGTCCGAGGGCCTGGAGCAGGGGAACAACGACCTGGCTGGGAGGCAGGCTCTGGGCCAGGATATCAAGAAGACCAAGAGCAGAGCGGGCAGGAGTAATGTCATCGTCGGTAGGAGAAGCATCATCGAGCTCGGTGACGACCTGGAGCGCCGTGCGGGTGAGTTGTTCACCAATGCGCATACCCTGGATCTTCAGCTTGCGGTACTGAACGCACTGCATGAGGAAGCTGATGGCCTGGGTACGGACATCCTCTTCTTGCTCAACGTTTCCGCCGAGCTCGTTCATGAAGATAACCAGGTCCTTGAGGTGGACGGTCAACAGAGCGGGGTCACAGCCAAGGAGAGTCTGGAAGACCTCGAAACCCTGCATGATACCATCATCCTGCTCCCGGGTGATAACATCCTTGAGCACGGCCACCATGGAGGGAATGAGGTTCTGGAAAGCCTTGACGGGGGCCATGTTCTCCTCCGAGTCAAGGTACATAGCCAGCTTGCTCAAAGCCATGAGGGTGTTCATGCGCACCTCCTCGCTCTCGGGGTCACTGATGGTCTTGCTGAACAGCTGGAACAGCTCGTCGAACTTCTCCTCGAATCCATCACCCAGAGTCTCAAGGATAGTGAGGAGGATGTAGATGCTGACGGCACGCTCCTCCTTGTTACCGGTGCTGGCAGCCCGGAGCAGGAAGTTGGGCAGATCGGCCCATTCCCCATCGTTCAGGTCGATCTTGGCAATGGCAGAGATGACACGAGCGACCGAGTGGCGGACGAGAGACGAGCTCTCGCCAACAGCAGCGCGCAGCAACTCTTGACGGATCTGGGGCTTCTGGCCCGCCTGGACGGACACCCAGTGCTTGACCACGAGTGTGCGACTCTCGACGGCGGCGAGCTGTCTCAGGTTCGGGTCCTCATGGCCAGTGGCAATCTGGATGAGAAGAACGAGGGATTCGGGGCTCTTGTAGAACTCGCGCTGGAGGACGCCAGTGGCTTCCTTGACGTTACCCTGGGCGGCTAGAGTTACAGGTCAGTATGTTGTCCGCGTAGCATCCCTTGCAGATGACCTGGGCACTCACGGTTCAGCACAATCTGAAGCTGCTGCAAAAACCGTTGTTGATCCATGATAGACTGAACAACTCTCTTTCCTCAACAATATCGTGTGTAAAAAAGTAAGCAAGACCAGTTCCTCCTGTGAAGAAGGTCCTGGAACTAGATGAGCTGTCTGCGCAAAGACAGGCAGCTCACAGGGTATCACAAAAACAAAAAAATGTAACAAAGAAAGAAGAGAAACACAAAGGAAAGGAGAGGTTTAAAAAGGAGGAAGAGGGGGAGGAGAAGAGAAAGGAGAGAAGAAGCGAAAAAAAAAAAAAAAGATGGAGGGGAAGAAGAAGGGGAGAGAAAAAAAAATTATGTTTGGGTGGGCTGCTTTATGGAGATACCTATGTAGCCTATTAGGGTTTAGCTGTATTTGAACCGAGCCTAGGCCTCCAATCAGCGGGGCGGGTCTCATGGTGGGATTAGGAATGGTATCGTCCGGGTGCCGTCCGGTAAGATTCCCTCCTGCTTTGGGTGGCTGCCCAACTGCGATCGGCCAACGTCTGTCGGTCAATATCCACCCGCGGCCCTTTAGACTTTTTTGCTGGTCGACGACGCTCTCAACTCATGGGTTCTGGAGCATTTACCACGATGCTCGCGGCTGCCTACAGGAACTGCTAGACGCGGGATCACCTTGGCTTGCATACGCCAGACTGATAGATTCGCTGTTAAGTTCCCGCCCGGAACAGAGGTTGGCCCGCGACAGAGGTCACGCGTCCCGACAAGGTTCACGCTTTATTTACCAGGGCAGATACATAATACGCGTCGATTGATTCGCTGAGTAACCAATTATTCAATGACCTAACTCCATCCCAACTGTGGTAACTCCCCACCATCTTGTATAACATTGAGGAAAATATAATCGGGGGGACAGCCTCACTTGACGGATCCTGTTACAGGTCGCATCCGTTGATAGTGGCTTGTGATCAACGCCCCATAGGACGTGATATCATTTATTGCTGTATAAGACGGTGCGTTCCGGCGCAATGGACGTCTAATATTCGTCAGAGTCGTAATAATCGTCGTCGCCCAGCAGGGAACGGTAGCCCCTGGATGCAAGGTTCTCTTCAAGACCACCATCAGCCCCGGGGTCGGCATAGCCTGTATGAAATCAGCATTTGTTTGAACATATCACATCTTTCAGCTCATCCGGGGCGAACTTACCCTCGCCGCCAAAGTAACTGAGCGCCACAGGCAAAAAGATGAGAGCATGGGTGGCAGCAAACACGATCAAGGCCAACCACACTCGGAAGTAATAGATCTCGAAGATCTTACTCCTAGTAAATGCCAGCACACATACCCCCAGCAGCTTCGTCACAGTAATGCCACTAAAGACACTGCCTCCAACATTAACCAGCGCCGTCCACGCCCGCGCATCCTTGCCGCGAAACTTGGTCGGCACCTTTTCCAGGATAGCACGGGATGGGAACATGAATGCCCGAGCAATGTGCGCGCAGAACTCGACCGCAATACCTACGCAAATAATGAGGTTCACGAGGGAAACGGCATTGAGCGACACGCCAGCCACGGCCATGGCGCCTATAATGTCGACCAAGATCATCACCACAGTCGTAGTGACCACCGCACCAGTTGCCACAGACCCAAGGAGTGTGGATGTCAAAGCGAAGATGATGGCAACAGCAAAGCCCAGCAATGTCCCCGTCAGCTGGATTATGGAGACATACTGATCAAAGAAGATGTAGGTTTTGGAATAGGGAAATACATCAATTCCGTGCTCCTTAGAAATGCCATCGGCGATACGGCGGGCCGAGATGTAGGATTTGATGAAATCATCTTGCGTCCTAAGAGGTGTGTGGGTGGTGCGGAAATGGCTGGCGTTGGTCATTATTCGCTTCTGGTCGACCACAAGGGCATTGCTGTATGGCGCCTTGCCTCCCAGTGGGCAGGACGCGTCAGTAGGGGATTCGAGCCACTTTTCAACGTAGTGGATGAACTCGTCTCCTTCCGGCATTCCGTACAGAGAAATATTCCAGGCAGGTGTCCGGTCCTCGAAGCATATTTCATCATTTTCCTTGCAACAGTCTTGCTGGGGGTTCAGCCAGTAGAAAAAGTCATCAATCCAGCTAGCGGTGGATCCTGAAATATAGGAGACATTGGATCGTTTGGACTCTTGCTCGAGCACAAAGGGGAGAGAGAATTCTTCGCAGGTAGTGAAGCGTCCACAAAGCTGTTGCTGGTGGTGCCGTTCAGTAACATTTACGTTCCGTGTCACAAAGTAGACTGGGGGTCCGCTTCCGAAGTAGGCATTCAAGTCCTCGAAGTACTGAATGAGGTAAGAGTCGCTTGGAACGGCGATGCGTTGGTCCAGTCCAAGAGCCACCTTTGGAATCAAAGCCAGCCCAGCTGTCAGAAGGCCAAGGAACGTGATCACCACGAGGACCTTGACCCTACGTCCCAGAAGTGAAGATGCGTAGACTGTGCGGATAAATGCTTGCAAAGCGCTTTCTCCCTCCTGGTCGTCGAGGAGCTGATCATCGGACATGCCGGAATGCGCTTTGCGGACTGTTAGGCACGGAATGCAATCCGCACGTAGGCTCTCCACGCGCTTCTGGTTCAAAGCCAGAACAGAGATAAACATGGTGATTTGCAAGACACCGTTGATGAAAACTGCACCTGCAGCATATACGGCAAAATTTTTCACGGCAGGCATTCCGACAAAAACCCCCATGGCAAACGCAATAGTCTCCGTGGTTGCAGATAGGAAGATACTGGGGCCGATTCGGCCCACAGCACGAGCGATACGCTCGTCGATCTCTTCGTCTGGGTGGCTGACGTTGATTCGTTCGAATTCGTGGACGATCAGGAAGATATTGTCAACACCCACAGCCAGAACGAGGAACGGGATGACCTCGGCGATAATTAGGGTGACCTTGATTCCTGCCGCAGAGAACAGTCCAACCGACGCGGAAACTGACATCAGAACAATGACAATGCCGACGATCCCCAGAGTAAACTTGGACTGGACTAGAGCATTGGCGGGATTGCTGAACAGAGACTTCCACGTCACCGTGACCGAACCCAACGCCAAGGATGCGTAAATAAACATGATGATGTAGCTAATGACAACGATCTTGGCATCGGTGTTGCTGGACTTGTTCAGCTCCTGCTCGACACTGACTTCGGTGTTGAACGAGACACGCAGTCCGCGCTCCTTGGCTTCTTCTTGTACCACTTCCAGTATGCGTTTGAGGCTATCCTCCCAATCAATGGCATTGGCTTCACCTTCTGTCCCTTGCTGATGGTTGTCCACCACCCATGTTGTGAACAGCGCTTGGGCATCGAGAACATCGCCCGACTCTTCATATCCTCCGAGAATCATTTCCGGTCGCAGTGGTTGTCCGAAGTCCGGGAGACAGCTCACATCACCAGGCGAATCCGCGCAATGCTTGAGCCGGGCTTCCCAAGTATCGGGGTCCAGATTTGCCACAGATCCTCCAAAATAGCCCGTCAACGACTGCACCACACAAGCTTCGCCAGTTGGTTTGGTGCAGATGTCATCAAGGATCAGTTCCCGGTCCAGAGAAATCATCCGGTGTACTCTCGACTCCACGTCAAACCACCAACTTAGGGTGTCATAACTCATAACGCGCCCGTCGCCTGAGGCAGTGTCGTTGACGAGAAATGCTTGTTCTGCCCGGTAGAACGGCCCGAAATTGGCATCAAAATAGGCCTTTTCTTGCGCCGCTGCCGAGGTTGGGCTTACCCAGAGGCGGACCGGGTCCGTCTCGACGGCAAAGCGAAACCAACCCAGGCTCAACAGACTGACCACAACCACGCTGGATACAATCGTGATGGCCGGGAAGCGAGCACAGGCACCACCAATGCGATTAAACATCCTATCGAGAACAGTGTTCAGCTTGTAGACACCGTTGGGCTGCTCGATATACCCGCCTGCGCGGACGATGTCACCTTCGTCCTCATCGTCGCTCGGGGCCGGATCCTGCAGGAGTCTGACGCGTTCGGGTTTGCGGTAGCGGCGTTCTCGGTAAGTGAAGTAGCTGGAGCATGCTACGACGACCAGCAAGAAGACCGAGTAGATGAGGATCACCGCGAATGACAGACAGGGCAGCAGGCCCACATGACAGTATCCGTCCGTTCTGAGGGCAGGTAACTCGGGGCACACGTCGGGGCAGTCAACGCAGGAACAGCGGAATGCTTCGTCGGCGTCGTTACAGGCCTTGGGCTTAATTGGCAGCGCTTTCATACCATCAGGGTCTGGACCAGCAGGCTCGGTCTTGAAGTTGATCTGAAACGGGCTTCCCAGAAGCTTCTTGTCTCCCAAAAATTTCAAGAACTGAGAGTAATTCTTGGCACCGCCACCGATGAAATCGATGGCCTTGCCACCTGAAGCACCATTTTTGACGTTCTTGCAGCTGTCGTAGAACCCACTCTGGAACTCTTCCGACCAGACGTTATCTATTTCGGTGACGAGTTGTTTTCCGGAGCCGTTCTTGTCGATCTGGGTGACGTTGACGAATAGGGACTGGTCTGGGGAGCAGGTGAAGGTGCAGAAGATGTTGAAGAAATTTGCTTTGCAGGCAGGACAAGACGCGATTATACCTTCGGCAAGTTTCAGGTTTCTGGAGAGTGCGTCGATCTGGAGTACAGTCCACAGGGTCAGAACCATGTCAGATGCGAGCTTGGATGGAGCTCACCTGCTCATCTTGACAGCACACGGGACCTTCCTCCCATTTGCTGCCGCATAGGTCTACCAGCTTCTTCCTCACCGCTGCTTCAGGCTGCTCTGCCAGCCCATTGTCAGGACAGGGGAGCTCGCCACCAAAGAACGACTTCTTCCCGCAGTGCCCGCGAATGGCACAACGGCCGGGCTCATGGATGTTGGTGAAGCCCAAGCTCGGATCGTCTCGGGCCAGCGATTGAGGGAGAACGCCAAGACTTGCGATAATGGGGATGAAGCGGAGTCCCCGCATGGTTGGGGGTGTAGCCGGTCAGGATAAGCGAACTGGGCTGCTGATTACATTCAAAGATGGTCGAATAATGGATAGGAGGGTGGATGGATGGGATTGAAGGGTTGAGACAGCGAGGGCGAAGTAAATAGAGGAGGCGCAGGTCGGCAGGGAGCTTCCGGGATGACGATAAGCGCGATGTACGTAAGCGGCGAGTCCCTCTGGAATCGGCCTCGGCTGGCTGGCCTCACGGGTCGGGCGCTAACGTCAGGCACTCGCCGTCATCGTCCAGGCACAAGCTGTCACTCTGCCAGGGACCATTCATCCATCCATCCGCTCCATTCACTCCATTCTCTTGGTCCACTCCATTTAAAAGAACCTCCTACATTAGGTGCAGGAAAATACGCCCGGATGTGATGATCCATGCGGAGTTATGGAAGTACTACAACCCCGAATCCCCGATATATACTTCCAGGCGGAGATACTCCGGTACGTCATCAGGTGATGCACCTCACCTGACCGATGGTCAGTCACACCGTTGAATTGGTTCCTACGTGGCAGCTTGATGGGCTTCTTTACAGGCTTCCAGCAAGGGACAATCGCCCGGTTGACAATGGTGACTGATGCTCATGTGCAAGCTATTTCACACAATCAGACAACCGGATATAGTGACCTAACGTCACAGGCATATCCACTGTCCATCATCTCATTCTTTTCATCCAGGTCAGCACCAAGATTGGTACTCTTGAATGCAACAAACAGGACATACGAGGCCGATACCAGCTTCTCTAGCTACTATGGTTGATGTCAACAATGGTCTACCGGAACACACCGCCAGTCGATGAAGAGGCACAATCATGGCTGGAGCTGAGGCTAGACAAGCTTGAACCAAAATAGTGTTCAGTGAATGACCTGTCAGAAACTATTGAGTCATCCAAATGAGTGGATCTACAGCTATACCTATACCTTGCCATCAAGGATTGCCGCAGGGATACCTTGCGTAGATTCTTGTACAACGTTGATCCGTCATGTCCTGATCTCACACGACATCGGCCTAACATCCTTTTTCAATCTCAATGAGACCTTGTGCTCCTCGCCAGACAGCAAGGTGAAGCAGAGGATAATCAACCGAGTTCTATTCCGTCTATCATTCAGGAAATTCCATTAACATCCCAATTCTCTAGACTATCATATCAACTCGCTCCACCGGACACACCTATGAACTGATTCTCTCCTACTCCTTGAACACCTCCACCAACTCCCTATAACTGCCCTCCCTAATCTCACTCAACAAATTGGGCCTCTCCACCACCCACCCCAGCTTCGCCTTCGCCTTTGCCCCGGAAGGCCTATTCGACTTGCTAGCAAATGCCACCAAAAACGGTTCCCATTTCTCCATCACCTCTTCCCTCTCAAACCCCCTCACCGGCACGCCCACCACCTCCCCAATAACCTCCGCAAGCTGTCGATACGACGTCTCCGTCCCCGCAACACCATTGAATACCTCCCCAGCATCCGCCCTCTCCGCAGCAAGCAGATACAACCTGGCCGCATCATCCACATGCACCTCGGAAAACCGATGCTCGCCATCCCCAAGATACCCAGCCACCCCATTCTCCACCGCCACCTTAATCCACCTCGCGGCAAACCAAAACCGATCCCCTCGTCCATACACATACTGCGGCAGCCGAATAACCGACACCCTGACTCCCTTCTCCGCCCAGGCCAGCGCCTTCTTCTCCGCCTCCACCCGCACCGTGAAATGTCCATCCGGCGCAGCAGGCGACTCCTCATCGGTCTCCTTCCCCTCGGGGTCCGCCTGAATGAAACCTGTTCCACTCGTCACAACCAGGGCCTTGTTCGTGCCCACCATCGCCCCGGCCATGGCATCCACAGCCTTGATATCAATCGGAACCAACTCCTTCAACGGCCTGGTGAAGTCATGAACAAACGCCAAATGAAACACAACATCCGCGTTGCGAGCCTCGGCGCTCAAAACATCAAACGTCTCCAGCGATCCTCGAACAGGAACAGCCCCCTGCGCCGTGAGGAACTCATCACCAGCCACACCGCGAGAAAGCGCACGCACAACGTAGCCCTCCTTGAGCGCATACTCGGCAATAACCCGACCGACGTAGCCCGTAGCCCCAGTAATAAAGATCGTCTTGGACATAGTAGTGGATATAGTTTCGATCCCTGTTGTTCAAACAATAATAACTGACTTGTAGATAATCGAATTAAATGCCTGTTGCTCTGTCGTCAAACTGAGAATAACACAATAAATAAGCAGGGGATATCATCCAGGTATTTATACACGTATTCCCAACCCTTCTCTCACCATCACGACATACGCCCTAATACTAGTCCTAGTACCATTACCATTCCTACTACTCTACTCCATCCGTATACACCACATTAATAATTCCCCCAACTCCATCACCTAAGCACGTAAGCAAGTCCGCTGATGTAATTCGTCCAATCCTCACTGAATCCCCGACGGCAATCGGACTTTCCGACGGGACGGGATTGGGGGGTGGATTCCGGGCGTATGGCTGCGGGACATGGAGCATGGGGGGATTCGGGACGGAATTGAAAGCGGAGAAGGAATAGCCGCCCCTGGCTGGATTATGGTTCTATGGGATGGGTGGATGTAAGCATAGGTAGGTGTGTTGAGAGTTTTTGATTATTGCATTTAATATGGGTTTTGATATTGTCGACCAGTTTTGGGTGGTTGGTATTCCTTCTTTTTTTTGTCAAGGGGGTTTGAGAGGGGATAGATATGATTGGAGATACTATCTATGAACGCATGCTTTTCTTAGTTTAGATACTTTGAAAATAGTCTTGATTGTTTATTTAATTCTCTGGGATAAGTGAGTGATTGACAAATCGTAAGTTCGGTATGATTAGGGATGATCCAAACAAATTAAGACAGAAATGCACACAATGTCGAATAATTGATCATGGATCTAACAACATGACAAAGCTCACATGAGCATAGGAATATGCTGACTCGTTCGTTTTCTTAATAAGACACTTCCATTGCTTAAAGTCGGTTTCGTCGACAACGTTCACACACATACAGATGACACCGTCGGCATCGGAGGATGTAATCCCAATGGTGGCCCTCGCAGATTTCGCAGGTGAATCGGCGACCCCCTTCGCCATTAATACGATGAAATCTTCCGGGGTGGTCGCAGTCGTGGTTCTGTCTCAGTTCATCTCGTATTCGCTCAACTCGGACCCGACGAACTGGGGCCGCCAATAGCTCCTCGAGTTCTCGGTCTACGACTTCCTCGGCCCTCGCCAGCAGATCCTCCTCGGCCCATCGCTCGCACTCGCAGGTCTTCCAAACTAAGCCACAGAGGTAGCAGAACTCGGCCTGGCATTTGCATCTGTTGTATGATTAGAGACTGTGGTTCGGATGCAAGAACAACGTACGTGATATGGTAACAGCCAACGGCCAGAGACACGATAGCCCTGCATGAAAAACAGCGTTGCCAGTTCTCACTGGTAGCTAGAGCCAGCGTAGCCTGGAGCGCAGTGTCCTCAACACAGTCATCAGTATGAAACGTGTTTTTGCACGCGGAGCAGGTAGCAGAGCCACAGTACGAGCACTGCGCTCGATCCACCGCGATGTCACATGGAGGTATGAATCTACCGCAAGCCCTATTGCTGCAGTATGTCCGGTCGATCGTAGAAAACTCGACCTCTGAGCGTTTGAACTCGGCAAGCTCAGCCTCGGACATAGCTGTCTGAACAGCGTCCAAGGGGATCAGCTGGCGACAGCATCGAGGTGGAAATAGTGATTGATCCTTGGCCGCTTTCAAGAACAGATCCTTGAGGCAGTATCTGCAGTAAATGTGCTTACAGCTCAAGCGATGTGTCTGGTGTGGATGATAGCAGTCGTAACAAACACAGCATTGTAGTTTGTTTTGCGGCAGCTTTTCTAGTTTCTCATCTTGTCGCTGGGGGCAGGTCATCGAGGGACCTGCGATACACTCCTCATCAGTGTCTGGGGCTTCATTCATCACGCTGGAGTGCTCTGCGCTGTCGTGCACAATAGGCTGGTCCAGCGAGTCGTTCTCATCATTTTCGCGACTGTCTGTGTACACCGCAGAAGCAATGCTGACAGCGAGCTTCTTGTCGGCCAAGAAGCTCAACTGTCTCTTCATTTCATCCAGGTATGCTTCAACAGCAAGTTCATGGTCAGGCCTGCTTCCATCCCCTCTATCTTCTCCTTTGCAACTATCTCGATGAGACTCGACATCTTCAATCTGCTGGCTTAAAGCGTCGATCTCGTCGTCAAAGGCTGATCGAGGGAAGTGATCCATACTGGGGCTAGCATGGTGCTAGTTAGTAAGGCTTTAGTGATCACAGGCTAGGAAGTAGTAAACGAGTCAGTACATATGTAGTTCTTAGTCGAACTTGATGGAAGATGATGTGCCGAAGACTCTGAATGATGGTAGGTGAAGCGCAGAGGGAAAAGAGCTCCGCGCAGCTGGAAAGGCGGAAGCCACTGGCGTCTAGATGACGCTGGCTGGGTAAGGGAGTTCTAATAGTGAGGTAGCAATGAGGGTAGATTGTATGAGTATAATATTAGACACCTTCCGGAAGAGGGTGTTACAGGAGCACAGAAAAAAGGGGCTGAAGATGCAGGTTCGGATTGGGTTGGGAGAAAGCAGCAGTGAAAGCCAGAAGACGGCTCGGAAACCTGAGGAATCCCAGGTCCCGATCACCTGACTGGTGACTCGACAGCTCCAGGCAAAAGCACAGTTCATATTTTCTCTTCATCGAACCTTCATATCACGAGCTTATTACCGATGGATCGACCAGCCATACCAGTCAATACTCAATCCCCATACACTCGATAGAACATATCATGGCCCTCTCGCTCCTTTGCCCCCAGTCCGATCAGCTTGTCCCGAAGCATTCTAAATTCCGGCGACGCATACTTCCTATAGACACTGGTGACTACTTCGAGCGCAGTCGCGGATGGATCAAACCGAGTTTCTGGCAGCATGGCATCGGGATCAGCCCCGTGGTGCAAGAACAGGGACACGATGGCAGCCTGACGCCGGGTTCCTTCCTCCGCTGTATCATAGAACTGGATCCACCGGCGACGTTCTGCTTCACGAAGCTTATCTAGTACAGCCAGCCAGGGGGTTCGGTACTTCTTGTCGAGGTCTTTATATGTCTGGTTGGGATCGGCGCCATTGGCAAGAAGGCTGCTGATAACGTCCGGGCCGGACAGTGGATATACAGATTTCCGTCGGTTGACGAAAAACTCGATGCAGTGGCTGAGGAGCGGGATACTTTCTTCTGGAACATCGAGTCTGTCCTGGTGAACCCTTTCGCAGACTAAAATGCTTAAACCGAATTTGGCTGCCAGTGAGAGGAAGGGGTCTTGGAAGACGGCATTCTTTCGCTTCTCGTACGAAGAAAATAGACTCTTTGCCCAGTGGTCTTTCTCAATGGTATCGCGGAACGCCCAATGTTGACAAAGCGCACGGTCGAATTCAGGGATCAGCACGAGCTGTGATCGCGCATCCTGAGATAGTCGGGCGTGGGTGAATGCTAACGGGATACTGGGCCACCACTCGTCGATCTGTCGATGCGGTTCAAAGGCATCGAGAGGCCACTTGAGTTGGAGAATATGGGATGTCAGAAGAGATAGATGCGGGTCAAATGACGATCCTATCATTGATTCCAAGAGTCGTGCCCAGACATGCGAAAGGGACAGATAATCCTTGACGGTTCGATGGACATAGGACACGTTGCTCTCAGCAAGCAGCTGCGCCGGTGTAAGTCTGGCCTGTGTTCGGATTGCTGATGGGCTTGGAGCATGCGCAATGACCAGACCTGCGCACTCATTGGAGAAGTGGTTCTTGGTTCGTGCGCAAATCTTATCGATATCGCTTGCGGTAGCTTCTTGCACATTACCAGGGATAGCTGTTTTCCCCTCTTCTAACTGGCATGCAAGTGCCAGTTCCCAGAGCTGCATAGTGACGGCCTCTTCCTGCCCAGTGGCGTGACATGCTTCCTCCCTAGCATGCAGGAGCTGGAACAGTTTGGAGATCAGACTTGTTTGATTCTTTGCCGGTTGTTCGAAGATAAAGTACGTAAACAGGTCGTCTATATCAGCTGGATGTTGAAGTAGGTAATCATGCATTTCTAAGACGTCTTCATAATCCTGATGGCGCAGCAGCGACTGCACTACCAGGGTCACCCAAAGGAAGACTCCGTCGGCTCTCTCAACAAGTCCGTCAATAAGCCGAAATGCTCCATCTGGGGTTTTAGCAAGCAGAGCCTGGGTCAAGGAATTCCCATACAGCTGATCCCGAGCATAACCAGCCATATCCTGGAGAGTAAGATCGTGAAGCTCTAGCCCGGGGTTGTTCGCAAAGGCTGCCCGAAAGACCGGCAGTTGTCGGCTAGATAAACAAAACTTTACGTGAGAAAACGACGATGCCATAGTTTTGAAGAAGGAAACGATCTCCTGGTAATCCCCTGCAAACTCATCCAGCCCGTCTATAAATAGGCAGACTTTTGCTTGGCCTACAGCGTGCTGCATGAAGCTTTTCAGAGCATCCTTGAGTTCTTGGAGGCCCCATGAGACGGAGGCCTTGATCCGTTCTCGCGTGCTGAGAGACTGATAGTGCTCCCACTTTGCTGAGAAAACAACGGGGACGAGATACTTCTCCTGGTCCAGCAATTGAAATAGGAGATGACGCATGAGACCCGTCTGAGATCTTTGCTCCAAGGTGCCACTGATCCAGAAATAGAACCCGGCTGTTATGAGCGGATCGTCGCCTGCCCATCGGTGAAGGAGATCCATAGTCGTGGAGTGGTGCCTTAGGAAGTGTACCAGCGTCGATTTGCCTGATCCTGGCTTGCCACTGATCCAGAAAATGCCACTATCATGGGCATTCGACAACCAAGTTGTGAGGGACTCCTCCACTTGTGACTTTTCATGTCCAAGGTTCTCATCAGAGAATATCCAGTCAAAGGTGCCACCATGGGCGACGGTAACACTGTCTTCTCTGTCAGTCATTGATGAGAATTTTAGACTCTCAAGCAAGAAGTCACGGGTGATCATCTCCTGATCGGTGAACTGTGTATCCTTGGTATATGATCGCAAATCTGGACCGGGATTATTCCTTCCAGCTGGCTTCTTCCCGAAAAGTGACACCATGCTATTGCCTGTGATAGCTTGCCTCTTTTGGGGACATCATCTTCTTTCCCCCGTACATCGAGTTCTCGGTCATCTGGGGAGTCCTCCGTAACGAGGGAGTCCAGAGCTTCCCGGGTTCCGGTGTATTGACTGAATTGCGAGCTAATTATCAATCGGTTATGATCCGTTTCAGAGCGATTTTCCAGGCGATTGTATAGTTACCTCGACTGGAACCCCAGTTCAAGCTCCGCCTTGAACACGCTCAATCGTTCCTCCAAAGCCTCTACATCCTCTCGAGGCCAGAGCTTTCTGAATATTTGTAACTCTTGTGAGGATTGAGGACCAAATCTCTGGATCAGTTCTAGGCGGGAGAGGATGGTACGGGCGATGATTCTGCAGGCAGCACGGGTGTCCTCCAAAGACTGTCTTTGTTGACAAAGTGGTCCTATTTCTCGACCCGGAAATGGTCCTGATAGCTGACTGTCCAAGGACGAAAACTGAGCTGATGTTTGATTTGCATCCCAATCCGGCCAAGGCTGATTGTCGCCGAGTTCATGAATTTCGTACACTTGTCCGACGAGCTGAATTCCCGCGCGAAGAAAGTCGGCGATCTCAGCCGCGGCCGGCTCGATAGGTTCGCCTGCCATTCGAATTACCCTAGCTGCCACGAAGCTTATGCCAGTCAAATTCAAGCCGATAGGTAGAGTGAACGATCAGGAAAATGACATTATCTAGAATTTACACACTGTCAGCACGGCGGGGAACCAAGAATCCTATAAATAGACAGCCAGCCAGGGGCCGCTTATCATCGATATTAATCGCAGGAAGAACTGGCGACGGCATTGATCTAGACCCTGAGCCACGTATGATAAGCAGGCAGAAAGACCTCCCCTGTCAGCCGGATGCCTGTTGGGAAATAATCTGTCAATTATACTCCGTAGGGAGCGGTTTGACCTTTTCATTGGTTGAATCACTGCAGGATTCAGGTCGCGCATTCGAACTTCTGTTGTTCGCGCTAAGTCAATGGGTGACTCACACTGCTTGTTAGTGCATTCAGATATCAGCGCTCATTTCCTGCTCACGAAAGTAGCGATCAATGTTTCCGTATGTTCTCCTGTCTCATCATCGCAGTTTGCTAGGTGCAAGACCAAAGCTCTCCAGTCCTTGGATGACCAATATGCGGTCTAAGATCCCACATGATTCAAAGAAGCGAAGTGATAGACTTGTGAATCGAAGTCAATCTATCGTCACTGCATGCCACTTTCAAACAGCCCTACTCGGATCTTTGACACATAATCTTTCCTGGGCTAAGACACAAGGCAACGCTCCCCTTACCATGTCAGCATCCAATCGCGCCATGGTATCATATGCTTTATCGAGAATAGGATCTTCAGGTCGAGATCTTGTCATCATTTATAGAACCACGATGCAAACCCCAGCATTTTGTCAAGAAATATATTCAGTGAGTTGTTTGCTTAGAGATAATCTTCAAGAGATTTCGTCGAATGGTGTTCTCCAAGATGTTATACCTCGAGATTCTCAACGATCGGAACAATACTTCAAGTCGTTAGTGATGTTATCCATAACGAACCATTCCAATATCCAAGCATGTAGTTCAATACCAAGACCTGGGGTTGAGGAGGACCCACTGGTTCCAGTGTCCCAGTCTCCACATCCTGTGCATCGCATCGCATCGCACTTAGGGGGGAGTCTCACTGTTCTTGTAGACATATACCCACCATCAACTTGTCAGAAAGATATCACTATCGAGAAAGAAATAAGCCCGTAAACGTAGTTACATTCCCCCTTGATACATCCTCCATGAAACCAAGTGAGTTGAGAAACTCGAGCAATATCGGATAACCACAAACCTCACCTCACCCAAACTCGCAGCCATAAGACCCCCATCATCTGAGACCCAAATTTTCCTAGCCTCCAGAAAGCTTGCTGCTATTGCTATTGCTAATTCATCCCCTCATCGGAACACAGCACTCACTCACCATCGGAAGCCAACCCAATCCACATCCGAAGACTCAAACCATCCAAACAACACAAACAGCCCAAACATACCTGCAGCTTGGCTCTGATTGGAGAACAAACATCTTGGCTTTGGCGGAATGCGGGGGGCTAATCATCTCTCGAGCTGTTATTTGCTGTGTTTGTGTTTGTTGCTTAGACGAAGGGGTGGTGGTTTTTCTCCCTGATTTATTCTTCTTAATCTCTACAATTTGAATTACAAGTGTGCTGCTGTTCTTTTAAATCAATTACTCATCTTCAAGCTTGGTTGTTAAGTTGTGGATTGTTAGTGTCGGTGGTAGCTGATTGATTCACCATGACGCAATTCCATGACGCGCTTCTCCCGCATACTCCGGTTGAGAGCTTACTGAACCCGATGGGGTATGTGTGGGAGTGGTTGGTAGAGGTGAGGGTGGTGTTGTTGGGGTTGAGAGAGGAGGGGGGTCTGTCGAAGGACTACGCGTAATGGGTTCATATGATTGGTTGGAGGTGGGGAGTAATGAAGGTATGTGACTATTTTTTCGAAAATTCAGACTGTGGGGGTATTGACGTTGGTGCTAGGATAGGAGGCGATGATGATGATGATGATGTTGTATTGGACGATTGTTATGCTTTTGGCTCTTGGTATGATCGGAAGATGGGGTTGATTTGATGTCCTTGATCGGTGCTGTTGTTTGCGTGGTTTGCTGGATATGCATTGTTTCTATAGTACTATTTACTGCAACGTGCGACTGGGTGTTTGTGTGGGTGGTGAATGATTGTATGAGGTACGAGAATATCGATGAGCTGTGAGAAGATTCGATGGTTATTATATCTAGGGAGTGGTGAAACAGTCTTCCTACTGGCATATTCAGCAGAAGAAGCGAAACAGCACGATGATATGTTCGAAAGAACTAAAGACAATATCAATTAAATCGCCAGAGTGTCTCATCTATTCAATAAATCCAAACAGCAACTCGCTAATAAAACCCTAATCTATCACAGACTATCTATGTATCTATAGAGAGGCCTTCTCCACCGCATTAAGCCTCTTCTCCATCTGCTTCCGTGCGTCCTCGCACATCTGACCAACATCCACATTGGCGATAACCCCATTCCGGTAGTTAATCGCCTCTTCGATCTTCTTAAAGTCACTGCCCACACCATCCGCACGCCACTCGTAGCAGTCACCGATGAACCGACTGCTCTGCACCAACCATTGAGTGCGCTCGCGGCGATTCTCATCAAACGCAGCGAGAACTGCCTGGAGGTCCTTGTGGGTCTGCACTCGCTTGTCTTCAAGCAGAGCAGCCAGCACGGCAGTGTCCTCGATACAAAACCCAGCCCCGGCACCGTGGTGCGGCGAGGTGGCGTGCGCGGCATCACCGGAGATAGCCACCCGGCCCTTGTAGAATGTCGGGACGGGGTTGTCGCCCAGGTCGAAGATGGCCCACTGGATAGAGTTAGAGTTGAGTTCGAGGGAAATTCGGGGGGAACGGGGGTGAAGCCTACCACGCTGAGTTCGGGATCGGTCAACTTCAACAAGTTCATCACGTTGGGCCCGTAGCCGGCAAAGTCGCGCAGGACCTCGTCGCGGGTGCCCTGGCGCGTCAATCGGGGGTACTCGGCCCATTCGTCGGTGGTGGTGTGGAAAGCGACGATGTTCAGGGTTTTGCCAGCGTTGACGGGGAAGGTCAGCATATGCCCCCCAGGGCCCATCTGGGAATGTCAGTTTTGATTAAGGTCTAAGGAAGAGGAATCTTACATGCATGCAGGCATTGGAAGCCAACTCCTCTCCGATCGCCTCAACCGCCTTATCCATGGGCACCAGTCCCCGATAAGCGTACTTGTGGGTGTAGGAGGGCTTCGCAGAGGGGTGATCCGCCCCCACGATGATCTGGCGCACCTGCGACTTGATTCCATCGCAGCCGATCACCACGTCGGCTTCATCTTCGGATCCATCGGCAAACTTCAGAATCAACTTGCCGTCGCTGATACGCTCATGGATATCTTCCAGACGCTTGTTGAAGCGGGAAATCCCCTTGGGGACTAACTTGATCAACTCATCGAGGAAATGCGCGCGGTGGACTCCGTTCTGGCCCAGGCTGTTGGAGATGGTGAATTCGATGTCCTGGCGACCGCCACTTGCCGGGTTCGGCACCTTCTTGTACCCATCCAGGTAGTCGAACCACACCTTTTGCTTCGTGGGCCAGAGGTTTCGTGTGCAGACCTTCTCAAAGGCGTTGTAAATGCCCTCGTGGCAGAAGTTCATTGCCTGGACGGCATTGGGGCTGAAGGAGACACCCGCGCCGACTTCGGCGAACTCGTGGGCTTGCTCGTAGATGGTAACAGAGATGTTGCGGTGATACAGGGCAATGGCTAGAGTGACACCAGCGATACCACCTCCGACGATGGCAACATGGAAGTTCTTCTTGGGCGCAGCCATTGTGAATCTGAGTACCGCGGGTGATGATGGTGGAGATGAGTGGCAGAGATTGTCAGTGAGTCAGGGTTGAGTTGGGATTTGAAATGGCTTCTAGTCGCGCAGTCGAGCTCTTTTATGTATCTATCCTCCACGATGTCATGTATGCGTGGCGTGGAGGTCGGATGCTGGGGGAATGACCTCAGGCCCTTCGGATGCCGTTGTTGCTGATCCCCGTGGGGCATCGGACCCGGATATCCGGCACTGCTGGGCATAGCCGATGGTCAACCTGATGCTGTACAGCAACGGCTGCAGCGTTCTTAGTATGGAGAGAGCAAAACAAGCTCTTGAGTGATCGGGGCTAGCTTGTAGCTCGTGTGGAGGATCGTCATCCGTTGTGGTCAAGTTGTCTCTTTCATTCCGGCTACAGCCATGTTTGCGTGACATCACCGCATCCGACGGGGTTGCGGAGCACACTTCAAACAACTCCTATCCCCTATACGAGACGTCTTGCGGCGAGGCACCCATTTCCCTAGTATATGTCGGATGCAGGGATAAGCGGATGAGTCCGACATCACTCTACAGCAATATAGAATCTGTGCCAGTTGGCCGACATCTATGTGTCGGGTAGATAGGCAATCAGACTCCGCTCCTCTGGCAGTTTGGTCGGCATCTTTCTGCAAATCCTCCGGTGTACTCTCGGCCGTCCATGGTCGATGCTACTGTGATTGATACTATCGCGGAGTATATAGGCTGCGGTGCAACGCAGGTGCATGTACTCCCTTCTGCCGATAGCCGTTGACCGCGATCGCTTGGTAGATAGGTTAAACCTATGTGGTAGGTAGGATACGGCCCCTGGATTCCCCAGATCCTTACCAATCCAATCTCGATGCAATTCCATGGAACAGCGACCTCTATCAAGACGACTATCGAAAATGCAGAGAGAATCGCTGAAGATTGAGGGGGTTGTTCTCACGGGATGGCTACAAACCAAGTCAACCGTACCAGCAAACATCCGGCATTGTTACAGTACCGGTACCCGGATGAAAGATTGAAGAATACGCAAAGCCGGGTGGGGGACTAGACCGGATCGGTCGAGACATTCACCATCAGCCGGCCTCTGATTGGGTACCATGCATCACCCCCTGCCGGAAAATCGACCAATCATAATGCTTTTCACACTGCATCGTGCCCGGAAAGGCAAGTGACCAGCTGCCCGCAGAAAGTGCCATTTCGACGTGCAATTTTCGGCGCCACCAATGCAGGCAGCTCCCCCAGAGACGGCCGCTTGGAATCGTTGCTGTTGGAACAGTGCATGGTCCCCTGCGAGGAGTGCTCTTCTCCTGCATGAACATCGTGGTTGTATTGGCTGGGCAGATGCAAGGGATCAGAGAACAAAGCTCTGTCAATGCGATTGTCAGCTATTCTGGAGTAACTAGTAGTACACCGCGGAGTCAGCGAGATTGCCCCAATACTATGTAAGACTTGACTCGCAGTGGTCAACCGCCCGCTGCGACTGGTGGGCAATTGAGGATCACTTTTCCAAGAATAGTATTTTCTCCGCATGAAGGTGAAACTTTCAACCAGTTCTCGGTCGGTGAGGATTTTTGACAAGACCAAGGACAACCATGTGGATTTGGAGACGGTTGAGCAGCAGGCATTATTCCTTGCATATCGAATTAAAGCCCTGGATTATGGTGAACATTCCTGGGCGAGTTTAGCGGCTGGAGGTACAAGCAACCATATCGGCTGAAGTCCGTAACCGAAGCTAAGCAGGCCACCGTAGGGCCCCTCCTGTCCCCGAGCTAGAACCGCTTAGCCGCGTGTGCAAGTGCATAGACTTTCTTTGCCGGACAAAGTACTGGGTGACTAGGTACTGAGGGAGAATTAAACAAGGACGGAGCTGCCTCAACTAAGCGCGGGATTTCACGGCACCCTGTTTCGCTTAAGGGCTTCTTGGGCATCAACCCCTCCACTCCGGCGGACTGCGATAGTGTGTAGTGTGATCCCGAGGCACCACTCCTCTTGGCCGTTAACTGGTTCCAAGCAGATCACCAGTTCTCACTTCTCACTTCTCAGAGGGTTGCCCCTTTTCCTGGGGAGTAGGACTCTTCCGCATGGCCATGGACAGCGGTCCAGACACTCAGCCAGCGGATTGCCCCAGCCTCCCATGGAATCGGCGGTGGCCACTTGTTTCGAGAAGGCGAAAATTTCCTCTGGCGCATGGGTTGCTCGCTCAGTTTGCTAAGGTACACCCGTTTCGAGAGCCCCACCCAGACGGGAATAAGGAACTGGAGTGGCGTCGAGCTAAACCGGACTTGCCACTAGCGTTCTTGCCTGGTTGGTCCTAGGCCACTAAGGCCACGCCCCAAGGCCCCAAGGAAAGCTCCCAGCTGGGAGCTCGGCGCCGCGTTGCATGGAAGCTCAACCCGGAGCTGGGGAGAGCTGGAGGAATTAGGAAAATGGAAGAGGGGTACGTTGCACATGGCCTCTCTGCCCGTCTGTTCGCTGGCTAGCCACACACCACGCGATCGGGATTCATCAACTGCCTAAACTGACTACGAGCAATGTGACCTTGGATCTGCCATGCCCATACGGAGTAAGGCCTCCCCAATCCCCATTCATCCGTCGTCAAAGCTGATTATGCTGCAGCTGTCGCAACCCCCAAGAATGGAGGGGTTCCACCGGCATTCCCGAAGTACTGATACCGTACCGTATGTATGGTCTGTATTATTTCATCTAGCTGCAACCTGCATCTGCCATGGATGGACGGAACATTCGGTCCAAGACCCGTCCAGCTTCCAAGCTCAGCTGTCTACCTCCTTGACTCGGATGTGCAGGGTGAGATGGAAGTCGGCCGATATTTATATCCTCACGGAGGTCTCCGTCGGTGCAGCTAGAAAATCGCTTCCACACCCCTCTTGACTCGGTACGGTATTGTAATCTTGACCCGCTGAGTCGAGTGTAAGTGTCACAGACTTATCGGCAAGTAGATTGAACCCTGCTGCACTGATGCATTCGTGCTTCATAGCTTTCCGAGGAATGAAGATGGGCCGATGAGCAGCAAAGTCGAACGTCCTAGCTGTTAGGACAATCCAAGGACTTTGTCTACTAAAGGAGTAATATCCGCGAGGAGCGAAACGAAGTCATGCCTTGTGTGCGGATATCGCGCTGTCCCACGTTACAGTTTATCGATAGGCGCAATCGGCATCAGATAGTACTACTCCATACGGCGGTACGAAATTGTAATACCAAGTGAGCACATGCTGTATCACCCCAGGATGATAATGCCTCATAGGGATTGATCGGATGAGAATGGCCAGGAAGACCTCCATTGTTGCTTGGCTAACTACCACCGTAGCACGATGTCGTAGGTGCTCGAGACTTAGCTAGCAACTATTCCCCTCGGAGGTCCGTTATCATCCCCGTGACCTCTTCATTGCCTCCCACCCGCAGTACGGGGCTGGAGTATGCTTATCGTGTCACCGGATCCAGTGCCGTGATACTCTGATCCCAGCGCTCGAGGGCTACCAGTCCACTGTCCCGATGCACAAGGGCGTTTTCTGGATTATTCACTAATCCTGGATCCTCCGAACATCCTGGCAAGCAAGCTACAAGCCACGCGATCGGGGTGCCTCGGATTGATCTTCCCACTTTTTTGTTTGACTTTTCGGTATTGTATGTAAAAAAACAAGTAATTCAAGTACGGTGTATAGCTCGGTCGGTTCCCACCACCCTCCTTTTTCTTCCCCTCCAGACCATCGCCTGGTCGCCTTTTTTCCTTTTTTCTTTCTTTTTTTCATTTTTTGATTTTTAACCCTTTTTCTTTTTGGAGTCTTGCTCCATTTGCCTAGTGGATGCTTGCCATCCCCCAATCCGCGGGCTGTCAATTTTCTTTTTTTCGAGGCCACTAGCCCCGTCCCAGCCTAGCTGGGCTGTAGTTGGACTAGCTCTGGGCCTCCCCTCCCCCTTCTTGGACCTGACCGATTCCTCGACGCTGATGCTTTAGTTTCCTGCCACTACGCCGGACGTGCTTTACTACTTGCTTGAAGCCTTGACTACTACTTCGTACTTACTACGAACACACTACAGTATTATTCTTTCTTCCCTTGGAGTACCGCAACTGGTCCGAGGAGTAGCTCAGCTGGAACAGCAATAGGGCGAATTCATTCGATATTACTCATACACTCTACTACTGGCCGTCTAGCTTGCTCGACCACGGATTCACTCCCTCCCCGATCTTTTTCTTCTGCTTCGTTCGCCTCTTGAGCTACTTCTTTACATCCTCGTTGCTTCCCGGATTCTTTTCCTGCGCAAAACATTGGAGCATGCGTTGAGGTCCGGTTGTGCCAAATTGAATTGATCTCGATCTCCTGTGCTTTACTTGTGCTTGTGCTTGTCTCCCGACCCCGCCGCCAGGACGGATCCATGCAGACCATGCCGCCGCGAGCCTCGCTGACCAGCTCCTTCTCTGTCACCGACGTCAATAATGAAGTGGTCTGTCCTTTGAAGAATAACGATGGCTCCAATTGTCGGAAACGATGCCTGGGGGTGAGTGCTAGCTCTTCTGTTCCTCTCCAGCTCTCTGCTCTTGTTCATCCCGCCCGATACTTATCGATCGGAGCCCCACTTTCATGCAATGGTCAGCAAGCAGCCTGCGCTGCCCTGGCAATTGGCCGGAGCACAGCTGAGAAGAAATCCCTCTGCTGTTCATCTCAAGGCCTGCTCTAACAGGTTTTTCCTCCAGGAGAAGCGCTATCGCTCCATGCAGGAGCACATCCGGCGTGCCCACCCCAATCACTACATCCCGAAGCTCCCGGCGACCGAGGATAGCTTCATTTTGATGGTGACCACGCCTCCCGACCAGCGGGCCCATCTTTCTCCTCCCAATCAGGCCCCCTCTCGGCGCCGCAATGGTCGGTAACTGACTGGATGTGGGCTGCAATTAGACTGACTGGCTCTAGAAGTCGCCGACCGGGACATCTACGTCGCTGACGCTAGCTCTCCGGCCACCCCGCGGGGCATGGACGAGACTCACCCCGCCGCAGCAACCGCCGCCGTCGCATTGGCGCAATTACACCACAACCGTCTCGCTTCTGACTGGGATACAGACATGGTATGCTATATTGCTCGGGGAGAGAAATTGGACTCGCCTGACTGGTGCGCAGGAAACACACTCGGACAATGACCAGGATCGCCTGCGGTCGATTGAACTGCCGTCCCTCAGGGATCATTTCAAGCAAGAACCCTTGCCTTCGTTCTCATCCACTCGCCCTCGAGAGCTTCTCCCATCGATCTTGACGCACTCGCCGCCCGGTCGCTCTTCAACCCTGCCGCCTATCCAGCACCGAGACAAGCTTCCCCGTCCTCGCAAGTCGTCCATCTCTAAAGCCAGAAAACCGAAGCATGACCGGACTAGATCCAAGGAATACGCGCGACGCCCAAGTCTAGGCGATCGCAAGGCGCTGTCTGCCGAGCCCCAGACTGCGGCGTGGGCTCAAGGCAAGCGCTGGGAGGATTTGATCGAGGCCGCTACCTCGGCCACGGAAGCGGATGACGACCATACCTCGGAGGTAGGCGCCTGCTTTTTCCGCATTTACCGCATTTACATTAGGGCTGGTACTAAGTCAGTTGCAGGTTGGTCGCTCACCTACGATGCCCCCGTTGATTTCCCACATCACCTCGGCTCCTTCGGTCGGCAAGAACCGATCGTCGCTACCACCAGCATTTCAACCCTCGCCAGGACTGCCGCCGCCCACCTCCCATCGGCCATTCCCCCCTCACTCTTATGCGGCGTCGCCATTGCACAAGTCTTTGACCCCGCCACCGTTTGACACGGCACGCAGTCGCGACAGTGATCTGGAACCTTTCCCATCGATTGAGTCTTCGCTAGACTCGGCGTCCTCGGCGTCCGGAAAGACGTATGCGTTCAGTCACCTCGGTTCTTCCAACAACGAGTCCAGTCCGGTGTTGAACATGTATCCTTCTTCGGCATCCCAGCGCCAGCATCATCGGTTTTCGAACCCGACTCCCGCATCGTATCGCAGCAAAGAGATCCACATTTACTGCGCGAGTTGCAAGCGGGCGTGGGCGCTGAACGAATGCTATGCCTGCACAGAGTGTATTTGCGGCGTGTGCCGCGAGTGCGTAGGGTTGTTCATTGGCAGTCCGCCCACATCGTTTAGAAATGTGACGTCGAGTCCGGGCAGCGCCATGTCGCATGGTCCGACCAGTTACCCCAGCCCCCGCGGCTGCCCTCGGTGCCGCACTGTCGGGGGCAAGTGGAAGGCGTTCCAACTTGATTTTAGGTGATGTCTATGATGTCTGTGGGAGGCGCCTCGAGGCGCCTTGACCTTATGTTTTACGGAAGTTATGATTAATGGCTGAGGGCACGGCACTCCATGGAGCAATGACATGCCGGCCAAGTATGAGTATATGATGTCGCGTCCGACAGTCTCGGACGAGTGATGAAGGGCTGGCCCGACAAGAAGTCCCATGCCATGACAGGAAATTGATGAAAAGGATGGGTGTTTGGTTGGTTACAATTACGCTGGGCGGGTATATATACAGGCATGGAGTTATGATTTTGGATTACTGCATTACGAATATATTGGAATAGATGTTATCACTATGATTTGGTAGACCGACTAACCAACTGCCCAATCAGCCCCATCAAGCCTCCCAGCCATTCTCTGACCCGGAGGCTGCTTGCTGGTGTCTGATCCAGACCTGGCACACTATGCACTTCATCCTCCCCAGCAAGGAATCTCACCACGACTTCCGCTGCCAACTTGGAATCATCCTCATCGCCATCGGCCTCCCCAATGGCCAACACATACCGCGCAATCATGTCCTCCTTCCACCCTAGCCGCCTCCCAAACTCCACACAGGTCTCGCGATTCACAAACGAATCAAACTCAAAATGTCCTTGATACGACAGAACTCGTCCGGGACAATACAGTCCTTGAATAGGACACTGCGCAGTGGACCCGACATTCATCCAGGGGGATGGAAGCACCTCCTCCTTCTCCTCTGAAGCCGAAACCCAATCCCCATGAACCATCTGCAGCCTCAACTCTTTCTTGCCATTTAGACAAGGAAACGCATCTGCAAACCCCTTTGTAAGTTGCACCCTTTCCAACCCGACTTCCATTCCGACCGGGCAGCATTCCACCCGCACACTACCACTTCCATCTGTAGAACAGGAAGAGGCAGAAAGAAGAGCCTGAGCAACAATCTGATGTCCAAAACAACTCCCAAAGATCTTCACATGCGGATACCGCTCATACACCGTTCTGATGAACTCCACTACCGGCGAGACCCATTTTAATGTAGGATCGTAGACAGATGCCACGGAACCGGTGATTAGGATTGCGGAGATGGGGATTGCGAGGGGGTTTACATCCTCCTCATTCCCATCATTGGAGGTTGAGGTTGGAGAGGTAGATAAACTCGACAAAGAGGGTAACTGGCCCCCCAAAGCATCGAAAGCGGTTGTATGAACTCGAATCTCCTCATCCGCTTGACCTGCACAGCAAGTTTGATCGTTTATTCGACTTGCTGCTGCCGAGAGAAGAGTACGGAACTGGGTACTGTAGAGCCCACGAGCATAGTACACATTTGGAACTGGGACGTCGGTGTCGAGAATAGCGATGTGGATGTTTTTCGTGGTTTTCATTTTGGTTTACTCTTGGATTTGTATGGAATATGTGGATGAATGTAAGTTGTCGAAATGAGGGGTCGGGAACAGTTGATATACGATTAGATAGATGCAGATGATAAGGCGAAGTGGATCGGATTACCCGATTGGGTAGGTCATGGCGCCATCATTTAGGGTTTGGGGAGGTCCGCATTTAAGCTGTATTAAAGTTAGGTGACCTATTGATGTGTTCATGTCTTGTGGCCAGCCAGGGATAGAAGTTTATTTTTCAGGCTGGGTATATTTAATGATTCTGGGTGGTGGGTGAACATGATGATGATGAATGAATGAATGAATGTTTCTAATAATGCAGGGCCTCAATACCTTTATCTCTCTATATAAAACGCCTGAATACTAGTTGTAGGATTATTCCTGCAGAAAAGTAAAGCTTATAGATATAGATGTGGATGTGGATGTGGATGTAGTAGATGTGACTGTGAATGTGAATATCCAACCTACTTCAAACCCTCCATATCCACACTCTGCATCAAAAACTCATCAAAGACCAATTCCTCCGCGGTTGGTCGCTCCTCCGGCACCCAACGAAAGATCTTCCGGAGAAGATTCAAAAGCAGCTCTTTATCTTGGCCTTTGAATCGCTTCACTCTCGTTTCTAATGGCTGGTCCCATATAGGGATCGAGCCTTTCCAGTTACCTATATCGGATTGGATTAAAGATTAGACCATGGCTGAGAACTAACTATAGAGGAGGAGTGTGGGGGGGACATACCCTGCTCATCCCAATACCTCTCGCACTTAGTACTACTACTCCGTTTCAGAAACTCCACGGGAGGGGGACCCATAATCACCACTAATTCCGCAAGATGTTGTTCCTCGTTGTAAATTCCGTCTTTGGGGGCGGGGAATAAGTCATCGTCGTTGATCAGGGTCCAGATCTAATTACAGTATGTTAGATTCATGTTATTAGTATAAGAGGGGGCGAATCTACCGTAGTCCCAACAGCCCAAATATCAACTTTACAATCCCACTCCATATCGAGAATAACTTCCGGGGCACTATGAACCCCCAGGGCAATAGTCCTGCCGCTATGCTTCCCCGCCGCACGTCCCAATCTCGCTCCACCAAGGCCAGAAAGCACCGGCATTCCATCACAGAAGGGAATCGGCTGCGAGAAGTATATGTTGCGGTCATCGGAAACCTTCCTCGCGGATGGATGCTTGGATTGGTTGTATACGATGTGAGCTAGGGATTTGTAATCCACGATTCCTTGACGGATGGCATTTAAGGTGACGTCTGGCTGGTCGTTAGTTTAAGTGAACTGCAGATTCAGGGGGGTATGTACTGGTATGAACAACACCATGATAGTGCATGAAATCCAACGAGAATAGCACAAACTGGATGACTCTCTGAGCAACTTCCTTGTCGATTTGCGCGCCGGGTAGTTTACGTTGGAATTCGGAATAGCTCATTCCATAGGGAGGATAGACCAAGCAGCAGAAGGGCGTGCCATCGGGTGCGATAATTTCGAAGGATTGAATAATATAACGAGCGTATTTTCTGGCCTCGTAGCTGGTGTCTGCGTTGGATAGAAGGTTTGAGATGGCTAGTTCGTTTTGGGGGAGTGGGCCTGCCTTGCATATTTTGATGGTGAAGAAGGCTTTTTCCCTGGGGAAAGTTAGAGTTGGGTGTCTGGTAGGGGATGGGAATGGCTTACTGGAGATGACGGCATAGCCAGGTCGTGGATGATGCGTCGTAGGCGAGTTTGGATGCGACCTGGTATTTGGATGCTAGGATCTCACCGATGTGGACGGGGTAGAAGTTGGCGGGATGGTAGTTGGGGGATTTTTCTTCTTCGATTTTCTCGAGGGTTACGAAGCCGGTTGTTGGTTTTGGGGTTGAGGTTGATGATGATAGATTGTGGAGGGGACGGAGAGAAGGGCGGGCAAGAGATGGGCGAATGGATGGAAGACGGCTGCGAAGGGGTGACATGGTTTCTACCTCGTGACTAGGTCTATGGTCTGGCGAACTTAAAAGGTTGAGATGGGTTCTTATATAGATTTGGGATGTCATTTTATGAGGCAGCATCCTACGCAGTTGTCGGGATAATATTCTTTGATCCATTGTTGTGGAAGCATGGTCAACTGTTGAATCCACCGACACAATGAAATCTGCCTGACGGGTCTGTCCGTATAGGCGGGAGTAACCGAGGGTTTCTTTATGCTCAGTCTTAAGAAGCCTTACTAGAATATAGAGAATGTCCATAAGAAAGTGTCGCGGATCCGATTAGAATGACGGTTTGAATGGAATTCCCGGGATCTGTCATATCAAAAAGGACCATGGGAAGGGGACTATCCAAACCCTAAAAAATGCCGAGCTTAGTGTCCCATGAATGCATCTTTTTCTTAATGTGAGGTTGACACCCACCCCTCAACTATCCTTAGCATACTCACACTCTACGTCATCAGCTAAATCCCACCCTCCTCTCCCTTCTCCATCTCCATCTCCATAAACTTACCCCTCTCAATAATCCTCCCGGAGCGCCTAGACGACACGAAAGAACAACAAACACATTGAAGCTTCTCTTGATCCTTCACACCCCACGACTTAGGTACCAAGCAAAGCAAAAAGCGAGTTCTGCATGCTGTCTCAAACTGCAATTCATCTTGAAAGATAATTGATACAGAATGCTCTCCATCATCATCGAAAACGGCCCAAACGAACTCATTTCGATCCAAGAGTCTCGCTCGACGAATACACCACCCCGGGTCGGAGTTTCGGCCCAGGTACTCCAGAAACGGGAAGATGGATGATAAAGTAGGTGTTGAGAAATCTGAGTGGTCAGTTTCGTGCTGTTGATAAATGGGGCTGGGCGAGGGGACTCACAATCCGGACGATTCCAGACCTTCAATATAATTAACTCGAGCAAGGCTTCTTCTCGATCTAGTGGTTGTCAGATAGTATTGTCTATGATCTGTTCCGAGGTTGATTTAATGAGATAGGAACGTAGATCTCTGTCTTTTGCTCTGGGTGTGTGTTAGTTAGGTATAGTTGAGGAAAGTAGGTTTATTGTCTCGTACCGTTTTCCAAGATGTAATTCAACACCTTGACGTTCACCTTCTGCAAAACGGCTCAATATTATGGGTTCACGGAACCGAAGGGGTAACTTGGGGGTGAAAGTGTACGCTTCAGAGAAATCATACAACACTGTATCATGAAAGTCATCCGGGAGTCGGAAATGCCAATCTTGTATGTCTCCATGGATGATTCCCAGCTTATGCAAAGCGTTTAGACGATGGAGACGGTCGTGGAAGAGAGATAGATAGTATGAGTATTCGAATGGGCTTAGTGGTAGCTTTGCAAGGGTGTGCGTAAAGCTGGTAGAGTGTGTCTCTGGCGATTCAGCTAGGATCCGTCGAGAGCGGACATTCGGTTTAATAGCCTCGAGGATAATAGCTCGTTCTTGGCGATATCCCGAGGAGAATCTGGATTTGTCCAGATTTGTGATAACCCCGTAGTGGCTGGGAAAGTAGATTCTTTCGTGGTCAGGGCAGAATCGGTCAATGTGGGTGTATGCCCTAGCTTCTCGGGGAAATCTATCGAATTCGTGCAAAGCATCGGGGATCAGTTTGGGTATCTGGGAATTGCGGAATCTGAAACGTTGGAGTTGTATTTTGGCTTGGTTTGGGGTGTATTCGGGGAACTAAACTGATCAACTTGGATCTGGTTGTATGATTGGGGTATGGACATACTACTTTGGCGATGTATTTTCTGTGGCCGTGGCTACGGAGCCAGAGGACTTGGATTTGAGTTGGATCTGGTTGTCGGCCTTTGTCTGCTTTGCGTCCTAGTTTCCAGTTGCTGTCTTCGGGGATGAATGGGGATGGTTGGGGGTTGGTTTCGTTGTTGAGTTGGTTGATGAAATCGGGGGGGGGGTTGTTGGAAAAGAATATGTTTGTCCAGGAGGGGTTATCGTTCATGTTGAGTGGGGTTATGGGGTAGTTGTGGTGGATTGGTTATTGAGTGAGGTTTTAGTGATGGTGTTGAGTGGTATCAGAGTTATCAAAGTATTTCACCTGCCGGACGGGTTCTATGTCATCCCCCCAGAATAGGCAGAGCTCGGACTGCCTGGTTGCCTAATTATCTGCCTTAGGCCTATACTAGGGTAGATCCTTACTATCAAATATTCCACGGGCTTTACCATCAAGCCCTAAGTATATGGTGTTCTCCTCTCATGCATGTAACCTAACGTATCACATATGTGTTCAATTGCAGATATCCTCTGCCGATTCAACAACCCTAACTTATGATTGATTCCCAATTCAACCTTGTCAACAGCACGGGCTTGGTCTACAACTGTTGTGCTCAAGTCCATTTGTTTCAGCAGCTGTCTATACTTATCATCCAATCAGAGCGACACAGATCCAAGACCAGCAAAAAAGTAAAAAGGTCGTGCCCGGGATCGAACCGGGATTGCTGGAATCAGAATCCAGAGTGATGACCATTACACTACACAACCTATTCTATGTAAGCAGACAGCATCTAATGCTTTATGTAACATATAAATACGCATAGATGATAGCATGAGATATTGAAGCCCAACAACAATTTTCTAATTCTCGTTGAACAAGTCGAAGCTTCGCAAGGTATAATAACACAATAAAGCAAGCACCTACAGCTACCAAATCTACTAAATCCCACACTTACCAAGAATCACTCCACTTGAACAAGTATCATCCAAATTCTGATCCCACCAGCAACCAGTCAGTAAAAGAGTCAAATCCAAATACCCCAGTGACGAATAAACCATATCCCCAGACCAGAAACCACAGAAAGTAAATACCAGCAACTACCTAAGCCAAGCTCTCACCCCACAAACATTCACATCCACATACAAACACACATGCCATCCACATGCATTCCATAAACCAGCCGGTTACCCGATCAGGCAACCCATGCCCTCATTCCCAGCCCACTCCTCCAGAACCCTTTGAAACACCAATAAACAATCCACACCCAAGTCAAAGTTTCATCTCTCGCCCGAGAAGTTTCCCGGGTTCTAGCTTATACCCGACGTTGTATACAACTTCGTTCCCACCTACCTATACCCATACCTACCACCAACCCACAGCTACATAGTACACCACCAACCAACCAACCAGCCTCAATCCCACCCACCATCTACCACAATCCCTCCCTATAACCAACATTCTCATAGTAAATCACCTACATAAATCACACCTCTCCCACAATAATCCATAGGAATGACAACCCCTCCCGCACATCATCACAACATCACACCCGAGATTGCGCCATCGGCAAACCACATTCGTGATCGTCGCCGCGGCCGCCTCCTCCTATGAGAACCGCCCATCCCCAATAATACCTAGTCTTTGTATCGGGCACGCCATATCCCTCCACTGATGGTTACATCGATGAATCCCTGTGCTTATCGTTGATTACCAGGGGTTGGGTTTTGGCTGCAGTGGTGAGGGGTTGTGCAACGGACAGGGAGGGGTATATATACATACTCCTCTTTCCCCTCTTGCATCTATTCCCAAGACACCACCCCAATCTCTTTTACCCCATCAACAAGATCCAACCCTACCACTGAAAAAGTAACGACAATGGCCCTTACCCAAACCATCCCCATTGAAATCTTCCCCGACGGCCTCAAAACCACCGGCCAACACCCCCCTCTCGCCGAACACATCCATCCCTTTGAGAAATTCCCCACCGAAATCACCGGCCCTACGGTCTGGAAACCAGAAGATTATCGTGATAATCCTGAGAAATGGACGCATCGGTTTACGGAGGCGGAGATCGACGAGCTTTCGTTTGCGGCGGATGAGTTTCTGAGGAAGAAGATCCCAATGACGGGGATAAGCAAGGTACATACCCCTACCCCTCATCCCTTTCTTTCTTTGTAGGTATGTATACTGACAAAAGGTAGAACAACTTCCCCCTCCCCACCCTCTCCATCCGCCTCCACTCACTCCGCTCCGACCTCCTCGACGGAAAAGGCTTCATTCTATTCAAAGGCTTCCCCGTCGAGAAATGGGGGAACCACAAGTCCGCGATCGCGTATATGGGACTAGGCACGTATTTGGGATACTTTGTCAGCCAGAATAGTCGCGGCCATGTGCTAGGTCATGTTAAGGATTTGGGGGAGGATCCGACGCAGATTGATTCGGTGAGGATTTATAGGACGAATGCGAGGTGAGCATTCCCTTTCTTTTTGGTTGTGGTTGTGGTGGTGGGTGTTGATCTGGTAATATAGACAATTCTTCCACGCTGACGACTCCGATATCGTCGGGTTACTCTGCATTCATCGTGCCCGGGAAGGCGGGGAATCAGACCTTGTGTCTTCGCATCATGTGTATAATGTTCTGGCGAAGGAGAGGCCGGATGTGCTGAAGACGTTGACTGAGCCGATATGGTATTTTGATCGGAAGGGGGAGACGAGTAAGGGGCAGGAGGAGTATATTAAGACGAGTGTGGTTTATTTGGAGAGGGGGGAGAATGCGCGGGTTTATACTAAGTATGTTTTCTTTCTTTCATTCGGGAGGTTTTATGGTGTGTGGTGTGGTGATGCTGACAGTGGTTGCAGATGGGATCCCTATTATGTGCGCTCGCTCACTCGGTTCTCTGATGCTGGCATCATTCCTCCGCTTTCCGCTGCTCAGGTTGAGGCGCTTGAGGTTCTCGAGGAGACTTGCAATCGCGTCAAACTGCACATGATTCTGGAGGTGGGCGATATTCAGTTCCTGGCTAATTCGCACGTGTTGCATGCGCGCACGGCGTATGTGGATCATGCGCCTCCTACGCCGAGACGGCATCTGATGAGGTTGTGGTTGGCGACGCCGGAGAATGAGGGGGGTTGGAAACTGCCGTTCTGGGATAGTAATGAGAAGAAGAGAGGGGGCATTCAGGTGGATGATCAGGCGCCGGTGGCGCCGTTGGATGCGGAGTGAGCTGGTGTGGATGATTGTCATGTCTTGTTTGATGTATGTTTAGCTTATACCATGTTTGAATAGTTGTTGAATTAGGTTATGTCTCGTTATTCATAAGTCATACAATGTGGTGCTGCCGTATTGCATTACTGCACGACCTTGTAGTTGCCCCCGCTGACAATATCCAATTTGCCCTTAGAGACCATCCCCGCTAGGAACTCTCGGAGCTCTTCGTTGCTGTATGGAAATCCGCCCGGGACGGCGATCTTCAGCATCATCACGATCCGTTGCAGTGGCATTGCGCCCTGGTTGGTCAGCATGCCCATGATGAACTGCCAGTACAGATTCATCTTCTCCATGGCTGCCGCTTCGGCTGTTTCTTTGGCGGCTGCGGCTGCAGCTGCATCGGCCTCGGCGGCGGCTTGGGCTGTTTCCGCAGACTGATCCTCCGCAATGCCTGCGCCAGATGCACCCGGATCTGCGGCTGCGTTGCCCTCCTCGCTCGGTAGGTTCTCCAATACGTGGTATGTATCCCGCGGTGTCTCCACGAGGATGCGCTTGCTCATCCAGAAGAGACACGCGCTGCGCACGAGAGCAAGTGACATATCAAGTTCGCAGGCGAGATCCTCGGTGGTCTTCGTCACCGGCTCACCCGATCCCGAATTAAACGCATGGATCACAGTGGCTTGCCAGGTCGTGACATCGTCCACAAACACGCGGTCCTCGAGATCCAGCTCGACAGTGACCTGTCCCAGCCCGTTCAACCAAGTGAGCTTACGCGACTGCTTCAGTGACCCGAACCCTTGTGAGTACCGCTCCTGCAGGAAAGAAATCTCATCGGGAACCCTGAATTCCGGTCCTTGGAGCTCAGGCCAGAAGAAGTGGGAAAGAATCTTGGCATGCAACTCTGGCATCTCTTCGTCTGGCTCCGTTGTAAGCGTAACTGGCATTTGTATTGAATCCAGCCCTTGATCATTGCGGATGACGGCATCAACGCGACGCGAGTCGAAAATATCCCGCAACATGACCTCGCATGCTTGCAGGGCATTGTCACCAAAGCGCACCTTGAGAAGCTCCAGAACAGACATCTCTTGGTCGAATTCGGCGCGCTTCTGTATGAGTCGGTCGCCCAGCATGTTCTGCATCTCCTTGACGAACATCTCCTTGGACTCAAACAGACTGATAAGACTTCCAATGACATCCGATGTTTTCGACTTGCGGTAATCTGGTGCCGCGTCGACCGGGTCAGGGACCCAGTTCATGTCATCCCAGTCTAATTCCCCGCTATCAGCCCGCAGGGAGTTCTGGTGTGCTTTGGTCAGTTCAGCCGACAACTCCACCAGCGTGTCCGTATGAGTGGCAGTCTGTCCATCCGCGTCCGGATCAGCCAAGAGACCCCCGACAATAACCTTGACGGTGTCGTCGCGGTCGCGAAGATATCTGCGAATGGGCCGAGCAATCCGATCCAGAAGCACCCCTTTGGGATCTAACAGATTGAACGATCGTATGATAGAGATATACACCTGCAGAATTTCCACCGTCGAGGCGCCCGGGTGTAGCAATCGCTGGTTGAGGACGGCAATAAACGAGTGCGTCAGATGAGACCGCGCTGCTGGGTACGTAGTAAAGTGTCGTAAATCTTCAATAGCTCCGCTGCTCGCAGGCCACTCGACAATCACATCGAAGAGCTCGCTTGTCCGCAGTGCCCCCAAACGAGCAATCCCGATCTCTTGCCACTTCTCCACGTCATTTAGACTGACATCAAGACCATCTGGCTCCCTGGTCCCCGAGTCTGGTACGTTAATGATTGCTAAAACCTGCACGACCAAGCGCGCAAACACGTTCTCAATCCAGTGTCGCAGATGATGGGACACGAATGACGGCCCCTCCCACTGTCCTGTATACGCCGCGCGAATAAACTCGCTCAGCATAGTATTCATCACACTAGCAAAGACTTTTTGCGCTTTGTCGCCGCCCATACCAACCAGCTGCAACCCATCAAAGAGCCCCAACAGGCGTTCCCGAGCTGCACTGACACGCGCGTCCTCCTCCGCCATCAACTGCACCCTGACTGCGATAGACGGCTCATCACGCCAATCCTGATACGAGACCGAATATCGCCGATCGACCTCCATGTTATCGACGCTCTCTGCGTCTCCCCCTTCACCCAGCGTATCAATCCCCAAGATAACCAGAGCTTCCGTCGTAATCTCCCGAGTCAGCAGCGTCGATCTCAACGACCACGGCAACGCATAAGCAACCATCATATGAAATGCCCTACGCAGTTTGAAGAACACGCCCTCCTGCTCTGCGGCATCCAACAGCGGCAGCAGAAACTCCACTAGAGGCGCAAAATATATTCTCCTCGTCAGCTGCAAGCACTGCACAATCTTCTGCAGCAGTCCGCCCTTTTCGGGGTGATTTAGGAGCTGTACACGATCAGCACCATTAAACGAGCATAACTTCGCTCAGAACCCACCTTGAACAGCCCACCCCTAAGGTTTCTCAAAAAGTGTCTCCGAATCTCATACCCATACCAATCCAATAAACTTCTCTGCAAATCCTCCACATCCAACCCCACCGCAAACTTGATCAAGTATGCAAACGCCTCCACCACCTCCCGAGACGGTTTCTTATCCCGATTTGACAGTCGCAAGAACTCCGCTTCTCCTATCTCTTCATATCGTAGGAGCACTTCAAACCCGCGATCCGGAATGGAGAGGAACGTTGTCGCGGCCTGCCAGGCCCGGCCCCATGTCGCTTGGTCCAACCATGGCTCGTCGACGTCTGTTTTATCGGATGTAATCGAAGAGCGGAACAGGGATGTGCTATCACGGGATTTCAGGCTCGAGGAGAAGTTGGAGAAGAGGCTGGAGGTCGTAGGCCCGATTGCGCCCGCGGACGGGAAATCTTCTAGGGACGCGGGGGGGAGGACGGAGCCGAAGACGCGTCGGCGGCTGGTGTGGAGTGCTGTGGTGGATGGCATGCTGGTGTCAGGTTGGAGTCATTGCATTGGCTTCGGGATTGTTTTGAGAGCTCTTCTTGGCTGATAGCTGTTGTTTGGATGTTGTTGATGGAGGCGTTTGGAGCATTGCTGGATAATTGGATTAGTCAGCCGCCAACATGCTTATCGATAAGAGCCGAAAGAGGAAATATTCAAACAGTCACATTATAGCGGTTCACTTCTGATGGATGTTGCTTTGACAGTATATTCTGAGAAATGTCTAGTGCTGTCTAGCCTGATTACTTGATTTGGGCTCTGAACTTTGCGTAGTGTGGATGTGTTGTCACTACTGTGTATCGAATGGGCATATATATATACAATGCTGTGATGTGATACCCCTGAAGCACTAAGGTGTCTACGACTTGAGACTCTTTGAGACTGTCTACGACTGTCTTTATCTATATTAGGCTAGTGAGTATTAGCTATAGCATGGTTGAGGGATGTCAAAATGGAATTGCTACAGCTACACCATAGACCACATACTAGACTCTGCGCCACTTCTTGTATCTATCCATAACATTTGATAACAGAGAAGGAAATCATCGAGATCATGGCAGCATGTCGGAACCGGCAAGATGAAAGCCCCGAGAGCGTGACGCATCCGAGCAATATCATGGACATTGCAAACTATAACATGGGACAGTATCGTATCTCCTGGTGCGTTCGGGGGGATAATACCCCTGAGATTGCAAAGTACCTCGGGTACTTAGATTTTTGGGATCTGTATCCTGACTTTCCTCGAGGTAGGAGGCTGGAGGCTTTCTATCGGGATGTTGTTAGTGGGAGTATGTCGGATTAAACCATTTGGTTATGTCTAAGGATACTTAGGCTTAAGGGCTGTATTATTTGGCGGTGCTCAAAGGTGACTATTATAATATATGTGAAATATTCCTTGGATAATTAGATTACAACTAGTCAGAAAGCGGACTGCAACTGATCGGCTACTACGTAATGATACTATTGATATACTTGGCAATCAATTGATAGTTTTAACCAATACGTGGAGGTAATAATATTTTACTAGGTGGATGGTCAAGGAAGGACGGGTTCAGGTAGTTATTAACGGCATACATCCTCTGGGCCGGATGACGAGAGGCGATAGGATTGAACTTGCTGAAGCAAGGCAGGATAACATTCTGTCGTGACTTTTGACGCAATCGTATAGTTGGGAGGTCATTGGTCCGACGTGGGTATGGAATTGCAGCTGGGAGGGGTCACATTCGGCGTGGGATATTTCCTCCACCGGGCTAAGGGATGTTCCGCAGATGCAAGGTTGGGCTTATCTCTTTGCCGTGGGGTTTACCTGGACAGTGTACAGTCATTCGGATATCTCATTCAATATAAATATCTCTGTAAATTCCATCCGGCATGAATCAGTCATCTATGGGGTATCTCGCCGGTACGAGAAAACAGAATGCCTCTCTACATCAATATGACACTGCAAGGAATGTATGTAGACTGAGCCGTCCGGCTCCTGCCCGATGCAGAACAGTATCAGGTTGGGCCACACGGGCCCTTGGGTTGCATTGACACGCCGATCCAACACTGCATGCCTAGATCGCCTTGCCGTCATCCACCTTTTCCCATTCGCTATCGGTACTTTGGTAACCTGAGCTGTCGCCGCTCATGCTCAGGCGCTTCCGAACTCCGCCGTGCTCTTCTGGTGGCTGCAGAGTTGCCGAAGCAGCAATAGACCGAGGAGCGGAAGCGGTGGCAGCTGCACCCTTGCGCTCGGGCAGGCTTTCCGTCTCTGTATCACTTTCGGCACTGTCGAGAGTAGCCGGGGTCTTCCGATTGCCGTCTGACTCGGATTGGCTCTCTGCAGACTCCTCCTCCGATTGCTTCTTTTTCTCCGCTTCCTCCACCTGCACCCGCCTCAGCTCCTGAGCAAACCAGTTGATGGACCACCATAGGGCACCGGACAAGAAGGATAGGACAATAAAGTGGATGCTGTATGTGGCCAGGAGGAGGGCGAGCAAGAGGGCCTGAAGGGCGGCGAAGGTGACGTTGGTTGCGATGAGGAGGGTGGGGGTGGGACCCGGGGTAAAGATGCTAGACCAGAGATCCTCCATAAACGAGCCCATAATTTCGGATTATGCGCGATTGCGGCTAGTTGCGGGGAATGGTCGGAGAGACTGGGTCACAAAGAGCGGCTCTGGGGTAGGGGGAAATGTGGAATGACGTTGATGCCGGAAACTGGAATCCGTTGTTGGGTTGAGTTTTTTTCCCTTCCTAAAGACCAGTCGCGCAACAACCCGTTAGCAACACACGAACTCGGAACGCGAGCGACCAACCAAGCAGGAAACCGGGATGTCAAAGGCGACCACGGACCGGTGGCAGAATGCGCAATGCCGTGCAGGAGAGCAAGTGATGCAGATGGGAAGGTAGGACGAGGACCGGTGGTCGACCGAGCAGACGGTCGGCGTTTGGAGCAGAGCCAGGTGGGGAAAAGAGGAGAACGGGAACTGGATCCTGGGCCGATTTGCCAGGAACTAAGCTTGAAGTTTAAATCCCCGTGGGGAGAGATACAGCTGCCGTCAGAGATACGGAAGAGAAACTGAGGAGCTGGTGGGCTGGTGAGAGGGAGAAGAAGAATGAAGACGCGGAGGACGCTTTGGAGAGCGTCACGTCACGCCCGCCCGAAGGAGGGGCAGCTGCCCTCGCCGTAAGGTTACTTATCATCACGGGACTCTCTTTCAGGCACCGATCTCGAATGACTACTACTGACCGACTGACGGACTGACCGACTTCATCCAATCCTCCTGATAAGGTACTCACTTTGGGCCAACATCCCTCCAGCTTCCAAGCCACCTGGCTGAATCTGGCTGTGTCTTCTTCCGGTAACCTACACGTTTTTCCTGGTTGGCTCAACAAGTACACTACGTACTTACTTCACTTTGGCCAAGCTACGGTGTGTCTATCGAATACCGTCGATCGGCTTTCGACCTGACGGCTTCTCCGCTTCGATTGCCGCAACCGCGTAGGATGATGCAGCATCCGTGGCACGCTCATCCCGCAGCTGCTTTCGGGCATCCCAAACTCCCCTCTGATTGGCCGTTGAAGAAGCATCATCCATGAAGATACGCTTCGTTGATCCATGGCTGTTAAGTGTACGATGACATAGGCTGTCTGAGCCGAAATGGCGTTGGAAAGTCGGATGCTTCCTATTCGGCCATGCGTACAACAGTGGACCTATCGCCATGCGGATGCGGAGCATCTACGCTGAGAAACAGACACCAGTCAGGACGCCCTTACTCCGACACTAACACTGGGTGAGACAATCGTCGATACGCTCATCTGCCGGAAAGGAGTTAATGATGCCCGCACGTGTCGGCGTCACGGGATGGTCTGTTCTCGTTAATCGGAAAATTAAAGAATGTAGGAGAAACAGACAATCAACGAACAATTCCTGGGAAAGGTGCAATTGATGGAATTCAATCCTTAAGACTGCCTTTGAAGCCGCAAACCGGCTTTCGATCCAATTCCATCCCACGCTTGCGCCTTTCTAGTGGCTTCGAGCCAGAGAATCCACCTCCACCTCGCGTTTCCCTGTCGGTCTCCGCCCGCGACCCACTCCATTCCAGGCCCTGCGATTCGACGCTCACCTGCAGATCCCAGCTTAGGGTTCGTTTCTTCTCTCCTCTTCTGCCTCATGGTTATGGAAACACCCGAATCCTACCGTTCTTACCGTTCTTCCTGCTGCGAATCATGTCGCACCGCGGTCTCTGACTTTCCTTGGGTATCTGGCTCCTTCTGGTTGGCTGGTCGGGCTGATTGGAGTTGATCGATATATCTATATAAGTCGCGGTCTAAGTCCGGTCTTCTTTTGCTTCCTGGTATGACAATTTACGTGCCACTTCTCTCTTCACAACAAGCATCCCCTTGACCCATCCGGGTCGTAGCCATTTCTCCTCCCATCTGTCAGCTCCTGCCTTGCCTTGTTCCATCTTCCATCCTTCCCAATCAATATGGACAAAAAGTCCACACAGCCTGCAAAGGATCTGGCACCGGATGGTCGTTCGTCTATCCATGGGTTCACTCACCATGCAGAGGATATCTTGCCCGATAGGGAACCCTACGGCCCTCCAGGCATTCGGGGTCTCATTGCCAATCCATTCGTTCTCATGTGTGCCGCTTGTTCGACACTGGGTGGTCTCACATTTGGTTATGATCAAGGCGTAGTTTCAGTCATCCTGGTCATGGACCAATTCCTGGAGCGTTTCCCCGAGGTTAACTCGGGCTTCTGGAAAGGTCTGATGACAGCCATGATCGAACTAGGGGCATTGATCGGTGCTTTTAACCAAGGCTGGATTGCGGACAAGATCTCTCGGCGATACTCGATCATTGTCGCGGTCTGCATCTTCACGATTGGGTCGGTACTGCAGACAGCTTCGGTGGACTATGCCATGTTGACAGTCGCCCGATTGATTGGCGGTGTGGGCATTGGCATGCTGTCCATGGTTGCTCCATTGTATATTTCGGAAATCAGTGAGTACCGGGATGTTGTTATCACATGAGCGTCCACTGACTTAGTATGATAGGTCCACCTGAGTGTCGAGGTACTCTTCTGGTTATGGAGGAACTGTTCATCGTCCTTGGTATCGTCATTGCATACTGGATTACCTATGGCACTAGGTACATGGCTGGAGAATGGGCATGGCGCCTCCCTTTCCTGCTGCAGTTGATCCCTGGGTTCATTCTGGTGGCGGGTGTTATCATCCTGCCTTTCTCCCCAAGATGGCTTGTTGCGAAAGGAAGGGAGGAGGAGGCTCTCCACAGTCTGTCCAGGTTGCGTCAATTGCCAACGAACGATAAGCGCGTTAGGCAAGAGCTTCTGGACATCAAGGCGGAGGTCCGCTTTCACCAGCAACTAAATGCAGAAAAGCACCCCAATCTACAAGGCAGTGGATTTAAGAATGCGGTGCTGCTTGATTTGGCATGCTGGGCAGACTGTTTCAAGAAGGGTTGCTGGAGGAGGACACACATCGGTATCATGATGATGTTCTTTCAACAGGTAAGCAACGAAGCTATTTTGAGAACGCCCTAGGCGAGTACTGATAGATGTCTAGTTTGTTGGAATCAATGCTCTCATATATTACGCACCCACGCTGTTTGAAACCATGGGATTGGACTACAGTATGCAGTTGCTGATGGCGGGTATTGTGAATGTGGGCCAGCTTGTGGGAGTGACTACGAGTATTTCGACAATGGACAAGTTCGGCCGACGGGCTCTGCTTCTATGGGGTGTGGCTATCATGGCAACCTGCCACATTATCATCGCCGTCTTGGTCGGACTCTACTCTGACAACTGGCCCGCACATCGCGGACCTGGCTGGGCCAGTGTAGCCCTTTTACTCGTATATATGATCTCTTTTGGTGGCTCCTGGGGACCTGTAGGATGGGCATTGCCAGCTGGTAAGCAAATATCCCAAGAAGCATGAGTAACGGTTCGTATCTAACTGGTCGCAGAGGTCTTCCCATCCTCTCTTCGTGCCAAGGGCGTAGCCCTCTCGACATGCTCCAACTGGCTCAACAACTTTATTATTGTAAGTACCCACGTGATTCTCTCCGGGGTGAACGCAACGCTAATATAGTTAATAGGGCCTGATCACGCCACCCCTGATCGAAGACACCGGCTATGGAGCTTACGTCTTCTTCGCAGTATTCTGTGTACTCGCCTTCGTGTGGACCTTCGTTTTCGTTCCTGAGACCAAGGGCAAGAGCCTGGAGCAAATGGACGAAGTGTTCAAGGATAACTCGAGCGAAGCAGAAAAGGCTCGCAGACGTGCAATTGAGGCCGACTTGTTGAGAGAGGAAGAGCAGACCGTTCTTGGGGCTTAAGATTTTCTCTGTACGGCTGCATGGGTCTACTGGTAGACTCGATGCGTTTTTATTCTTTGTGTATATCATGATCAATTAGTTAGGATAACGATTTATGAATGATGTTGTATTGCTTATGAGAATCAAGTGCCCGGGTCGGATGTCCCGGGTACCCGCTTACTAAAGACAGGCGCCGAGCCGTCAGTATAGTGGTATTGCTCTGTATTGATCGATCATAACGTGAACTAGCGGCATGCCAAGCGGCTCATCTAGATACTAAGTGTCCAGTGCTACTTCCTGGTCAGCCTGCACAGATATACCATTTCAGCCACTTACCAGTAGTCACAGGTCTAGCCCCTCAATGCCAACCAATTCGCCTGCATCTCATAGACTCTTTTTTGATCAATATGCATGGCTTGAACAACCCCCCCATTCGGAGCCGGGATATTCTCGGTGATAAACTTCAAGCCAGCCGAGTAAAGCCGCCAGCAATCCCAGATGAAAACCCCAAGACGTCGAAATGGCGGCATATCCTGTATAGCAGGGCTGGCAAGTCCATACACCTGAAGTATACTGAGTAGTTGGTGGTAAAACAACGTCCCCCGAGACGAATCTTCCGGGTGCCGCACAATCCGATCCCAGGCCTCATTGACCGTTGTATGTTCCGGCACTGGAGGCGGACACCATACCGGGTGATTCTCGGCCTGAGGAGGAAATTGGAATGATGTAAACAGAGGCAATGGTACCCTTGGTGGGCGACTCAAGCGATCCTGGGAGGGTTCCTTTTGCTGAGATGCATATAGACCCAAATCGGACAGAGTCGCTGCGATGGCCCAGATCTCCTCAGCACGGTAATGAAGGGCAGTGGGGCCGTTCCAGCTGGCGTATGTTTTCAGTTTTTGGATTATTTTGGTGTTGTCGGGAGAATTGATGCGTTCTCGTGCGAGTTTATGCAGATCGGAGTAGTGGCGCAGGTGCCATAGAGCCCAGTAAGCTCGGCATTCTTCGATGAATGAGAAGGGGCCCGCAAAGTCCTCGTTGACTATCGATGTAGCCAAGTGGGTTTCAACTGAGGTGCAGAACTTGCGCCGCATGGTAAGTAGGCAGGCGCATGCTTGACGTTGGATCTGCGCTGCGGTGTGGATCATATGTAATAGAGTTGCGCTGCCCATGGGACTGTTCTCGGATGCTGACTCAATGTCCCCATCGTCACTACTGGCGCTGACTGATTGGCGGTGGATCAGGGCAACATGGCGGAAGGTGCTTGGAACGTCGGGCATCGCTAGAAGGTAAGTCGATGCGAGAAGGTCGTCCAGGTCAACCGCGCAAGGGTCATATTGAAAGACAGCCTTTACTCGGGCTGATACTAATAGCAGACTTTCTACGCCGACGAAATCCGGGATATGATGGACGATCGACTTGATGATTTCGACGGGGAGGCGTTGGAAGGGATCCATGATTTGCGTAGGACTGGGCAATATCTATATCTATATTATATCGAATATATGAAGCTTTGTGAGAGGGACCCACGTCGTGCGAGCTCACAAGATAAGCGTAAGCTGGAGGTTGGATGAAGGGTCCGTATCGTACCACATGTATGGCCCGTTCCGTGTAATTTACCGCCGTGCTTTGTCAGCGGACCGGAGGGTTTTCGCCTCGTGCAACTTCCGTCATCCTCCGCTCTCATTCCTTCTCCCTAGCGACTTCTGGATTACTACGGACTCTATATGGTCCTTACAGACGCTGTGTACTCATGTATCACTCTCCTCCGTCAGTCGGCAGGTCAGAAGAGGACGCTCAGAAATTGAGAAAGCGTATCTCAAGGGCCTGCGACTCGTGTTACAAGAGAAAGGTCGGTTTCGCTGTCGGTGCATACATACTTTGTCCTCTGACTTTTGTAGATTAAATGTGATGCTGCCGAACCCCAATGTAACTGGTGCAGTCATCATGACATTCCATGTACTTTCACTCGGGTCATTACGCGAAAACGGAAAGCCAAACATGATGCACGGGGGTATGAGATCAATGCCTTCAAAGTACCAGTACTGGAGTATTTTCTGACCCATGGGTTGCAGCGAGAGAGAAACGCCTGGGTTGGCCGAGCGCATTGAGCGTATAGAGAAGTTCCTGACGGAGAATCTTCTGAAGGAGCCTAGTTCGTATGCCGGGTTGTACTTAGTTTTGTCATTCACTCACCATGCATAGCACCATCCGCGACACCACCTAGTATCGTGCACCAAGATACCCCTCCAGAGTCACATCTGTTGAACCATACCCTGGAGTTTCCAAAAGACTCACCCCCATCAAATGAGAACTCGGGCCCATCTTCGGTACCTCTCCATTTCGCGGGTCGAGAGCTGGGGTGCTTTAGCTTGTTCACCGGCATCCCATTACTACTGCCGGAGGGCAAGCGATGGGTTCAATCACGGACCGGACAGAACATCTCACTCAGCAAACTGGTCAGCTCTAACAAACCGCCATGGGAAAGGCAAAGGGCGCTGAGTTCCAATGCGCTGGCGATGAACCCGCAAACTGAGAACGCTTTCGAGCTACCTGATCGAACGGTTATCGATAACTACTTCAATCTGTTTTCCTTGTCATTCATGCGGCGCATTTTTCCCGTTTTGGACCCCGTTCTTTTCAAGGAAACTATCGAAAGCGCCTATCAGCAACGTCACCTCAAGTTTTGTTATGGAAAAGCTAGCCTCAAGGCATGCGTCTTTGCTTTTGCTGCCTTTGTTTCTCTAGTGCCTCCGCCTGATCTCGAACACCAGTATAGAAGCTTGCCCCCTCTTGATGGTGAGGCCTACTTTACAAAGGCTATATGTCTAGTGCCTCAGGTTCTGCAGGAATCAGGCTCCGTGGAAGGATTGCAGGTGGTCGTAATGCTGGTGAGTCGAAATTCTTGACCAGCAGTGTGACTAATTAATACCCAATGCTTATACGGCATCTTTTCCATCCGTTATCAAAAAGTGGGTTCTTGCGCTCTAACAATATCACAGGCACTCTATGAACTGGTGACTGGGAATCTACAGTCTGCTAGCTACTATGGTTCAATAGCAGCTCGCATGATATTCTTATTAGGCGGGCATACCACAATCCCTCTTGCTGAAGATCCAGACTCGCCACCGACTGATATCACCCTAAGAACACAGATGCATGTTCGACGGATATTCTGGCTATGTTATACAATTGAAAAAGACGTGTCTCTCCGTACTGGACAACCGCAAGCCTTCTCGGACGACAACTGTGACTTGACAATACCCCCAAACTATGGGGTGAATTTATTCACCTGCCCCCTTGACTACCAACATGTGCCCCCGGGAGAAATGCCCGAAGATCCAGTATATCCGGTGGACATTCGCCTCAGCATAATCAAGTCCCGAGCTTACAGTGCTCTATACTCCTTCAAAGGCCTCAAGAAAACTGACGCCGAGATCCTTAAAGAAATCCGGGAACTGGACGACGAGCTCGAGAAATGGCGCCTATCAGTCCCTCTGCAATGGCGACCTACCTTATCCTTTTCACAAGAAACCCCAGACCCCAACGCCAACATGCACTCGGTCATCCTCCGACTAAACTACCATCTCTGCATGACCATCATCCACCAAGCCAGCGGCCGCTGCAGATCCTGGTCCAAAGAACAAGGAGGAATCATGCACGGCGTGAACTCAAGTCTAGCTCTCTCCGTCGAAGCCAGTCGTTCAACCTTACTATATCTCCAAGCATCAGAACACGTTCTAATCGACGGCATATTCTGGTTTGCCCTCCCCTTCTCTTCTTCCACAATACCACTTCCCAGACAACATTATCAATTACTAACTACCAACCCCAGGACCCTAATCTTCTACCCCATGTCCGCCCTCCTCACCATCTTTTGCAACATCCTCCAAAACCCCTCCGACCCCCAAGCCACCAAAGACCTCGGTCTGCTCAAAATAGCCATGAGCATGATGGAACGAGTGTTTCTACGTCAACCGTCCTCCGTCAATGAGATCGTGCATATCAAAATGGTGGCGGATTTCGTGGCCGAATTGTATAGACTTGCTAGTTGTGCGATTGAGAAGGCGTGGAGTGAGCGGCCTGGGTAGGTAGGAAGGTAGGTAGGGCAAGGGATTGTGGCTGTTAGGTAGTAGATATTTAGAAGGTTCACTGTGATGGGTAGGTACTTAGACTTGGCGTTTGGTTTGTGGGTTTTCTTGGGGAAGAGGGTCGGACTTGCGCTATGCTATGCAAGGGGGGTTGGATGATCGATTACGCTACGTTAAAAAGCTTTACAGGATTTATTTACGAAAGCGGAGAGAAGATTTTCCAAGATAATGAGATTAATATTAATTATCATAATGTGAAACGAAACCTAAAATCTGAACCGAGTCAGCAAGACGATTCATCATGGTGATTGCAATCAAGACAACAAAAAGCAATTAAGCTTATTTTCAGAAATATTAGAGGTAAGATGCGCAGTTATCATCAAAGTGTACATAAATGTACTTCTGATGGGGTTGAAACAAAGATAAAGGCAATTCATCATATAAGCTGGTTGAAGGAGAAAAGTTGCTCGACTTACGGATTAGATTTGTTCAAGGTTGCAATTGGCGCAAAGGTTGAGGTTGAGGATTGAGCAGCCAAACTCTGAAGCATCATTAAGCGTTCTGAGAGTGTGCTCAGTCTTCAATGGTCAACCTTGGTCATGGCGAATGTTGTATGGTTGGAGAAAAGTTGCGGGAGAAATTTTGGTGGGATTTTAAATGCGCGTCATTAGCGCGGCACGTGATGTGCGCGGAACTATGTTGTTCCTGGTCGCAGAGTGGGTTTATGGGTATCAAAGTGGATGCTTGTTCCAGTGTTGTATTTCGCGTGTCGCGTTGGGGTATTTGAGAAATACTCAGAGCAGAAATTGCCTGTATTTATCCTGCTTCGCTTGGCTGATTCATTCGTCGTAGCATGGTCGGCCAGGGGCCAAACAGGAGCATGATCCGTTTCGCTGAAATTGCGCGCGCCCTTTGGTAGAAGACAGTCCGATGTATTAGTCTGCACGTCGATTTGTCACGGGCAACAATTGCACGCGCTGAAGAAGCCGAGGCCTTCTGGCAGGTAGCTTCAATAGCACGAGCTTATCCGTAGTCAAGACTTTCAACCCTCGATATTACCATCCAAGAGGTCCCAAACCAGTCGTGCGTCTTCGAGGGTCTTTTCGCTTGACGCAGAACCCTGTTTGCCGTTCTCATCTGTTTTCTGGGCAAATGACTGCGCTGCGATACCATCCGCTTCCAAACGTTCCAGAACACTCGTGATCTCAGCCTTCAGTTTGTCCATCTGCTGGATTTCTTCCCTCGTTCGGCTCAATTGCTCTTCCATCATCATGATCAACGATTCGCGAGCTTGGTGTGGTCGATATAAATTGAGGAGATGGTGTGCGTTGATGAAAAGGTTGCGCAGATCCTCGATTTTGGCTTCGAACTGCTCCGGAGATACCGAAAGAACGCCAACAAATTCGAGAAAGTTTAGAAGGAGTGATTTGCTGATCTTCAGGAGATAGTATGCGTGATTAAGCGGTCCGGACGGCTCCGAAGGCGATTGACGGTCGGTGTCTGCTGGCGGGGAGGAGGGATAGAGCTGAGTGATACCCTGATCCTTCAAGGATGGAAGAGCGGTCGAAAGCTGTGAATCATCGTGTAAGCAGCTGAATTACAGCGAGGGGCAATCGAGGACGTACGCTTTGGAGCTCTCCAAAAACGCTGTAATGTCCGGAGCTAGGTATCGCTGGGGGCACGAGAAATCGAAGCTCTGGCGGTAGATCCAGACCACGCAGTTCAGAAGGCGACCACCTCTTTCGCTGCGGTTTCCCATCCTCACCCTTGGACGCCTCCTTCTTGATCTCTTCAAGCTTCTTCAGGTTATCGGGAGTGAAATGTTTCCACAGCGGAGGCGGCGGGGCAAACGCGGTTGCGAGCGTCCGTGGCTGGCCAGCGTCAGCCATGGTGTTGGTGGCAGTAGACAGCAGGGCAATTGACTGAAGGGGACGTTGCAGCGAAGGGGACGAGTTGACTGGCGGGGTGGTGGTGGTGGTGGTATTTGTGGTCAAGTCGAGGCGGCGCAATGCGGAGATCCGGCGCGGTTGGCCCGTGCTCGCTCGGGCGGCCAGGCCACCTCTTGCATGGTACTGCCGGTCTGCATCCTGCTCCGTCCATGTCCCTGGGTTGAACTTACCCAACTACCTTATCGATCTAACCAGGCGTTGACTTCCGCCGGTTGCCCATGAATCTGGACTCCTCCGACCGAGTCCATCAGAAATGCCTCGCAGTGGTCTTGCTGCTGGCTCAGCAAGCCCCCGCTCTCCGATAGTCGAAGCAACTGGCACAATGTCCCGTCTCTATCAGCGCTCCTACCCGGTCGTCGACACGGTCGCGCTGGCGTGCATTGTAGGCGCATGGATTCTGGTACGTCTTTAATCTTGCTACCTGTTACATCCGGACGCTGACTCGAATGTTCCATGCAGATCCAGTTTTTCGCGACCCCGTTCCATCGCATGTTCTCCCTAGACAATAGATCCATACAGTTTCCCTACGCCCTTGTGGAAAGAGTCCCCGTCGGTGAGATCTACATCCACGCCCACTACCTACGCCTCGATGCTTACTGTCGGCCTAAGTGTGGAATGTCATTTATGCCGGAGTGATTCCGTTTCTCATTCTTGTTGCATGGGCTGCCGTGTTCCGTCCATACCCTCACAAGGTTCAAGTGACTCTGCTTGGCTTCCTCATCGCATTGATGTTAACGAGCCTCATCACGGATATCATAAAGAACGCTGTCGGGCGACCTCGTCCTGATTTGATCTCGCGTTGCATCCCAAGAAAGGGCACTCCCGAGGACTCATTGGTTTCGTGGACAGTCTGCACACAACCCAACGAGCATATTCTACAAGAAGGATGGAGGAGCTTCCCTAGTGGTCACAGTAGCTTCTCATTCAGTGGACTGGGCTATCTGTCACTGTAAGCTAGCATGCTGCACATCCCACAACCATATTGATTGATTATCTAGGTTTCTTTCCGGCCAAATGCATGTGTTCAGACCACGCACCGACCTCTGCCGTTGTCTCGTGGCTTTTGTGCCGTTTCTCTGTGCTTTGTTGATTGCCATCTCTCGTCTTGATGATTATCGCCATGATGTATACGATGTTACCTGTGGATCACTCCTCGGGTTGCTCGTAGCGTATTTCTCGTACCGACGCTATTACCCAGCCCTTCGATCAATCACCTGCGAGAGCCCCTATGGAAGGGACGAAACGATCGGACCGGATGGATTCTCCAAGCTTCCTGGTGACGAGGAACAGCAACTCCCAGGCCATGTTTCTGCCACTCGCCTATGGGATGCCCGGGAGTCCTATCAGCTCGCCGAAGCCGCAGCCTCTCAGGAGAGGTAGACCTGAGCTCATTTTCTATCATTCGGTGTTTATTTCTATGATACCCTAGAGTCTCAAATGATGATGTACCATTTTTTCTGGATCGTTTCTGTTTGCTGTTTAATAAAGTACATGCTTCTGTTGTCCGCTTGGTGTTGTTCATTTTGGAATTTATTATGTGCCATTATTCTTACAACTTGGAGATGTCTCTATGCTGTACATTGGTCCATTCCTTGACCTCATGAAAGTCCATAACTCTGTTGGGCCCTCCAAAGCGGCCCAGGGTGTCATTCCAGTTTCTGTCCGAAGCAATCTCGGGGCTCCATTTTATGAGCTCATGGATCTTCTGAGGAACCTTGTCCTCCAAGGCATCAACGATCAGGCTTCCGATGGATGGTAGGTATTTGTAGCCTGATTGATGACGATCAGTCAGCAATTGCGCATGGTGTGTATCTCACGAACAAGGGGACTTACCTCTGCCAGAAGCACCACACCCCAGAATGAGTGATTTATGTTGGGGGTGACGGTCAATGATGAACTCGCGGTTTGCGGTGTCAGCACACCAACAGATTCTTGCGAAGCTGAATGGACGGTCTGCCAACTGAGGCACGGTCTCTCTGAGAAGTGCACGAACTCTCTTCTCGGACTCCAAGGGGACCTGAGTTTTCTCGAAGGGAAGACTCTGTAGCTTTCCTTCTGGTGATTGGACTATATTCGTGTATCCTGGATGCTCATCACAGATCTTGATCTCGCCACGCTCCTCATCCGGCTCAAAGAAGAAGCCCTTTTCGATATTGAAGATGACCGGCATGTCCTTGTAGAGCGCACGCTCCTCGGGCTTCAAGGCGATGTGTACGAGCGTCCATGCAGTCGGACGCAGCTGGTCCTTGAAATCCAAAAATTGTCCTGCATTTGCACCAGCGCACAGGATCGTCTGTTCCGCACGCCAGATCTTGCCGTCTGCAGTTACGGCACCCTTGACGTCGTTGTTTTCGAAAACCAGAGTGATGACTCTGCCGGCCGGTGATCCAGCAACAAATTTGACCCCCAGTCTTTGTGCTTCCTTTGCGGCCGCAACCAAAGCGTTTCGAGCATGGGCCCAACCGGCACCGGAGCGAAGGAAGTAACCCTTCCAGCCAGGGAAATCACCCTTGAGTACAGCAGGCGCCAGATCACGGAACTGCTCTGGGCGCGACATCTCAACCATGTTTGGATCCTCTTCAGGCCTCACTCGAACACCAAGGCGGTCCAGGCCAGCTGAGGTGCAAGCTGACATGAGAAGACCGACATCGTGATAGTATGGTTGGAAGAGAGGGTCGTTCTTCCAGCCCTGAAAAGCTTGTTCTCCCAGAATTTCGTTCACCTCGATCTCATCCTTTCTGTTGCTGTATTGACCGGAGGAAATGACTTTGTTGACATCATTTCCTGCGGAAATGGCGGATGGGACAGGGTAGGGATCTAGGACGGTTACGTTGGTGTAACCTCTGCGAGCCAGGTGAAGGGCAGTCGAGCAACCCCAGGTACCAGCGCCGACGATCAGGATCGAGGAAGATTTGGTGATCGCCATTGTGAATCGTGTATTGTTAGGAGCGACCATGAATACGGTGGGGGGTAAAAAGATTCTTGATAAATGCCGCTCCAATTGGGGGACTTTTGAATTAGGGAGTGAGCACCTTGCTGGGTAGGATCAAAGAGAGCTTGGGGGGATTACTGGAATGACTCTTTATACTACGGTTCTAGAATTGCGACAATGAGGGTCAATGGATCATCAGATGTTAGCGATAGGCAGGAAGGTCCACGCGGTGCTTATCGAGCAGTGGCCCTGGCTGGCCACCGCCCGGGTACCCTATGAGATCGGCCAACACGAACCCTCCCCGCGTGCACAGTCCAACGCGTCTTATCCCTGGCCCACCGGAGCTTTATCGCTGCGTGCTTCCCACGTCTGCCCCTCCGCCGACGTCGGCCGGCCAAGCCTGTTGTGTCCGGAGCAAGACCGAGAGCATCATCCCCGCCGGCAGTTGCCATGTCGAATCATCGCCGCGATAATGGCTCGACACTGGCGGATGGCAAATAGACTGCATTAGCTTAAATGCGAGATAGGACTAGAATGGCCACAACCTGGGCTTGTTCTGAATAAGGCTTTAACCACTGGATGCACGGGCGATTTCACCCGTCGTTGCTGGTTATTCGTTCGCTTGGACCTTACCCAATTGCTCCTGGAATCCTAGCAGCCGTTCGGTGGCTTGCTTTGGGCTCGCCATGAGTCCAATAACGGTTGCTGCCGCATGCTTGTCCTTCACCTCGCATTAAGCTTGTGCCGCTGTGGTCGTTCGGCATTTTCTATCAGGATAAGCCTACCATGCCTTGAGCTCACTATCTTGCCGCTCCCCTTGAGCCTATCTGCTCTGCGATATGAAAGTCCGTTGATACGACACCCCGGATAAGTTCTGGCAGGAGTATCCCGCTATAAAAGGGGGAGAATGGGACTGTCGGATGGGCTGCTTTTCTTGCCCGCGACATTGTAACTGCTATCCCGAACTTTTTGGTTCTCCTTTGTCTGAAGAGCAGTCCGCTGGGGAGTTCTTGATAGTGCATGCTTCATGGCTCGTTATCTCTCAGAGACAGCAGATGTTGAGGAACATGCAGGGGATCCAACACTGCGTGACGATGGCACCTCTAAGAAGCCTGTGGCTAGTGAGGATGCCCTAGAAATCGCCCTTGGTGAAAGCAGCAACGTTGAATATACCATCGACTCGGACAACTCCCCTTACCTGGAGGTGCGAGCCAATGTGCCAAACACGGATGATCCTAATTTACCAGTGAACACATTCCGAATGTGGTTTCTGGGTGTCGTCTTCACACTTGTAGGTAGATCGTTGAGCGCAGGCTTTCTAGCTTACTGACGTTCCACCAAGCTCGGTACAGGCGTTAATCAGTTCTTCTCCATGCGGTATCCAAGTGTGACAATTACTTCCCTTGTGGCGCAGCTTATTAGTTACCCCGTGGGTTGTTTCTTTGCCAAAGCACTGCCTATCATGAAATTCCGCTTGTTTGGACGGTGGGATTTGAACATAAACCCCGACCACCATTTCAATATCAAGGAGCATGCTGTGATTACGATCATGTCTAATCTCAGTTTCAACCAATCCTGGGTGAGTTCTCCAATTTAGAATGCCAGACCGAGGGATACACTGACCCACCATAGGCGAGTGCTATTATCCAGGCCCAAAAAGTGTATCTGAAGATGTCAACACCGGTCGGATATCAAATACTGCTGTCGCTATCCATGCAGCTGTTTGGTCTTGGTCTTGCTGGGCTCTCGTACCGATACATCATTGAGCCCCCTCAGATGGTAGGGTATGAGCACGATTATGAGATCAGCTTCGACTGACTGCCTTAGATCTGGCCTTCCACATTGGCCAATGCTGCACTTTTTCAGACACTGCACAGTGGTGCGAACCCAATGGCCGATGGCTGGAAGATCTCTCGGTATCGGTTCTTCATGTACGCCTGTATCGGAAGTTTCTGCTGGTATTGGTTCCCTGGATATATCTTTACCGGATTGAGTACTTTTGCCTTCATTTGTTGGGCAGCTCCTAGTAGGTGACCCGCCTTGAAGAGAAGATAGCCGAGCTGACATCGCTTTCAGATAACAAGGTCGTCAACAACCTCTTTGGTATGACAACAGGGCTGGGGTACATGCCAACAACTTTCGATTGGAGTCAGATTGCATACAACACATCGCCCCTGACTATTCCATACTGGGCTCAAGCCAACGTCTTTGCAGGCTGGTTTTGTGTTTACGCTATCGCAGCCCCGACTCTCTACTATACTAATACGTGGTTCACGGCCTATCTTCCACTCACAAGCTCTGATGCATATGACAACACCGGAAACCTCTACAATTCAAGTCGCATATTGGACAGTTCAGGTGCCATCAGCGAGGAGAAGTATAAGGCGTACAGCCCGATTTTCCTGCCCGTGACCTTCTCCTTGAGCTACGGCGTAGGGTTTGCCGTCCTGACTTGCCTCATCACACACGTGCTGCTATACCATACCAAAGACATCATTAGTACATTCAAGGGAGAAAATAAGAAGGACATCCACGCCAGGCTGCTTTCTCGGTATCCTGATGTACCGTGGTGGTGGTACGCTATTTTGACGGTCGGTACCATATTTCCTTTGATGATAAACAAGCTAACTCTGAGAAGGTCATTATTGTTGCGCTTTCAATCATGACCCAGTATGTATGGGACACAGGTCTCCCGTTCTGGGGTTTGTTTATCACCTTAGTCCTGGCTGCGATCTATGTGATTCCTGTCGGTACTGTGTATGCTGTGGCAAATCTTAACAGCAACTGCTTGACTGTCTTGGGAGAGATCGTGTCTGGTTACCTTTTGAAAGGAAGGCCGCTTGTTCTTTTGATCTTCAAAGTGAGTTCCCCGTTCAACACAAAAAGAGGCATGGTTTTGCTAACCGAGACAATAGTTCTATGCATACACCGGACTTAGTCAAGCTATGTATTACGGCGCAGACATGAAGGTTAGTCGAGTTCAAGAGTTTTGAAGGAAATGCCAGCTAATCCCTGGGACCTGCTATTTTATAGCTCGGAATGTACATGAAAGTCCCACGCAGAACTCTGTTTGTTGCCCAGCTGATTGCCTGCATACTGGGAACTTTGACGCAAAGTGAGTGCTACACTATTTTTCGCTGCTTGCCAGCTGACGGCTGATTTTGGAAGATGGTGTTCTGTTATGGATGCTGGGGAATGTGAGCGACGTATGCTCTGAGAATCAACCAGATGATTTCACCTGTCCACAGGGTCGGGTCAACTATAATAGTGCAGTTTTGTGGGGAGGTATGTTCGGTCCATTCGAGCGTATAGACTGCCACTGATGTTGTGTAGCAATTGGCCCTTCCCGTTTATACAATGTTGGGAAGATTTACTCAGGTCTCCTGCACTTCTTTTGGATTGGGGCACTGCTCCCTATCATTACTTTTGCTCTGCGCAAGAGATATCCAAAATCGCGTTTCTTGGACGCCATCCACTGGCCGATCTTCTTTGCAGGCACCGGTAACCTGCCTCCCGCGGTATGTGAACCCTCTTTACAAATCATATGCAACGGTGACTGATGGTGATAGACGGGTATCAATTACTCCACGGCATTTGTGGTCAGTCTTATCTTCAACAAGGTAAGGAACAACCTCTCACGTCATGGGGACAGTTGGTCTAACTTATTACAGATCATCAAAGGCCGTAAGCCGCTGTGGTGGGCCAAATATAACTATGTGCTCTCTGCCGCATTGGATTCGGGGGTTGCTGTTGCAGCCATTGTGATATTCTTTGCATTGACCTTCCCAGGGATTACCTTCAGCTGGTGGGGCAATACAGTCAACGATGGGACTGTGGATAGCAAGGGCACCCCATGGTTGGAGCTGAAAGCCAACGAAACATTTGGACCCACGACGTGGGCTTAGGGGATCCGCAGGAGGACAATGAGAGACACGGGTTCTATGAGAACAATGGATTTGCGTTTGATGAGTGGACGACATATGTGCCTGACTGTGTTTGGGAATTAGATTGACTACTTCGATGAGAAGTAATGAATGGCATGGTCCAAGCAGCCCTCGGGCGAATACCCCTGGAGCGGTAACTGTATCGATGCTAGAAGATAGATGCCTCAGGCCAGACACCGGAGCGGAAGAGGATGGCTTCCGCTTATCTGGCGATATTAGTCACGGGCCCGAGGGACCTCCGAGCGACTCGATAAGTGTCGATAAGCATCGCCGGTTGTTCGCTGGTCGTTGAGATTAAGCCACTGCAGCTCTTATCCGGCGAGCTGTCCAGGCCAATCGATTGCTTCCTGCAGGGATCTTTTTGGGTCGAGCTCGGCCTTGTTGCACCGGTAAATCCCTGAAATCGCCGGTGCCCCTCTCTGGTCACGTTGATTGCGCTTTTGCCACGGGTTGACTCCAACCGAAGCACAGTCTCCTTCACCCAGAGGGGTTGTTGCTCTTTGCTCCTGCAACCCGTTCCGGAGCCAGAGGATTTCCCCAATCCGCAGGACTGCCCGGCCATGTAAAGATCTCTAGTCGGATGCCGCGCAAGAAGGCTGCAGACCGCGTGGGTCCGGTCAAGACCCGAAGTCGCAGTGGCTGTAAAGAATGCCGCGCGAGTCGTGTCCGCTGCGATCTGAACAAGCCGATCTGCACCAGGTGCCTCGAGAAGGGCCTAGTATGCTCAACCCAACTGGTCCTCAAATGGGAATCGGAGTTCCTCAGCCGCGGCCTAGCCTTTGGCAGAGCCGGCGTTTGGAGTAAGGCTCGGGCTGCCGGCGGGCCTCCATCGAAGCCTTCGCCCGCCGCCGCAGCCTCCTTTCTGCTGGACGATCAGGAATGGTGTCCGATTCCACTGGTCGAGTCGTGGGGGTTTGTCAACAGTGGGGTCTCCACCTTCGAACAGCCCTACGAGGTCAACGTCGCCTGTGACGAGTTGAATGCCCTGGTGGTCCGCGACAAGGGCAAGAGTCCTTGGCAGGATGATTTGCTCGAAGTGAATTCGGATTGGTCCTTGTCGATATTAGACAATTCGGACTGCTCGCCTGTCTCACTATCTCCACAGCCGACCCCGCCTTTGTCGATGTTTCCGTATCTATCAGAGTCCAATCAAGGGCTCCTCTTTGATTACTATCTCCAGCAAGTGTGTCCCCGGACCACCGCTAGCTCGAAGCTACTTTCGCCCTTTGCCTCGATTATTCTTCCGTTCTGCATATCAGCGTCTCCCATTCTATTCAAAGCCATCCAAGCTCTAGGGGCCTGTCACTGGTCGCGGTTCGACTCGTCCTACAGTGTAATTGGGCTTCGGCTCAAATCGGAGGCTCTCAGGGGCCTTCGTCACCGCCTTGCCACTGAGGGTTCAGTGGTATGCTCGGAGGATCCGGAGGTATTAGCAATCATGATGATGTTGTGTCAGTATGAAATTGTGGACAACTGTGACCAGCGCTGGACAATCCACTTGAAAGGCGCTAAAGACTTGATTCGCCTACGAAGGCAGCAGCAATTGACGCTCTCTCGGCCTCGCCACGCTCTGGATCCAGTTTCTGCATTTGCCGAGCTCTTCTTTGCTTTTCAGGATGTCATGGGACGCACCGCCTGTGGTGAGGAGGTGCTATTTGGCACCGATTACTGGCAAGAGAACGAACGCCACATTGACCTCTGGATGGGGTGTAGCCCAGAACTAGTTTCAATTCTGTCTTCGATTACGGAAATGAGCCGAACGAGGCGACAGCTCTCCTCTGACACTGGTCGCGCATCGTTTGCTCAACGAGCAGCCTCTCTGGGCCGCAGACTCGAGAATCTAGTCCAGGATATCGATGACGATGAGGATGGGAGTCTTCAGTCTGCTGCCGAGTTGAAACGATTGGCAGCCGTCTTGTATCTACATTGTGCCCTGTATGGGGCGTCGCCTTCTACGCCGCTAGTTGTTGGCTACGTACGAAGAATCCTGCGACTTGTGTCGGACATGCTCGACTCTGGGTCCCTTGTGAGCATGACATGGCCGGTTTTCGTGGCCGCGGTGGAGCTTGATCCCTTGCATGACGAGGTCTGGTGGGATTCTAGCGGTGATAGCGTGGTGTATGGACGGCCGCTTGTATTACGCGCGTTGGCGGCCATGGCCGAGTCCAGCGTGTCGAATGTGGCTCGGACCAGAGCCGTGATTGTCAAGGTGTGGCAGGCCCGAGACAGGGACATGCTGAAGGGCTCACCAGTTGATACCTCGGATGAAATGGTCAGCTGCAATGACTGGGAGTGGTATGTTGCGCCGATTAGCACGGCAATGAGCCTGGCTTGAAGCCGGTATAAATCTGGAAGGTTATGATGCTTTTTGGATGATTGAACGACATGCAGGTTTTGTAGGATAGATTGCCTTGTGTTCTGGATTTGTATAGTCACCTAGATTGAACATACTTGACTTCTCCATATAATCATAACCTCTTGATAGGAGATGTTCGATATTTGGGATGGTATCAGGGTCCAGCTGACAAATGTATAGTAGTAATAGGAGCTAACCGCACCAATCAGCGAGGAATCCAGGAAGGCGGGGCAGAGGAACGGTGATTGGCCGGACGGGGCGGAGGACGTCAGGGCGCCGATGAGCCAAGGCAGGCGAGCCTCGAGGCGTTGCTCTCTCGCGGATGCCTTCAACCGCGTCCTGCTCTCGTGTTGATCTTCTGTCATGTGTTGATGCCTATCCCTCCCATCCCATTCTGACGATAGCCGGAACTATCCTCCCCGCATCCCGTGAACGAACGCCACACCGTCTCTACCAGTCCATTATCCCCGTTATCGTTACACCTGAAATAACCGCCGGAATAAATTCGCGTGAAGAAGCTCAGGATGCTCTATGCGGTCTGAGGCGTACAACGGCCGCATTGACACGTGTAAAAGTGGTTTCAGCTGCGAAAATGACGTCGTCCACCAACCCTTCAACTTTATCACACAGCCTGGCCATTCCATTTGCGAGCCGGCTCAGCGAACAACTGTCGCAACGGACCGAGCATACCGGTTCAGGCACCGACACCGACCATGCCGGAGACAAGACTCCTGCACTTGGGCCTCCATTGCGCCCTTCACCGAACACCCGTTCATTGAGCGATGCGGCAAAACCAGTTTCCGCTACGCCGATCAATCACGATGATTCCCGACCTCCCAGCAAAGATGATTCCTCACTCCCTTCGACGCCAGCAACCCCCGCGACGCCCCAGCGGTCGTCCATGCATGGCCTCTCGTTAAACCTCCCTTCCAAAGCCTCCGGACCGCTATCCGTATCCAATCGTGCCCCGCTCTCGCCGAAACTTGACTCCTCCCACATCTACGGCTCGCCGGGCTCGGTCCTGCCCCGTCGTTCGCGTGGCCTGGACTTTTCGCGGGCTTGCACCAATCTACATCACTCGACCCTTGCAGAAGCGTCCCCGGACTCGTCTCCAACTATTGGTGGACGAGGGGTCAATATCCCGCAACGGCGTGCTTCGCCCGGCTCGACCTCCGGGCTTCAATTCTCCACTTCCAACCCGGCCGATCGGGCCACGATCTCGAGCTCCGTATCCAGCGTCAACATGATGGAATCGGATACGAGCAGTAGCGATGAGGATGAGCCTATGGTGGGCGATCGCGATGACATGATGATCACTAATACGCCACAGGCCAAGCGGTTGGGAGGCGGGATGAGCCCTTTTGCGGTCGGGAACGTGTCGAGCCCAGGGAGCGAGTGGATGGGTGGCTACTCGCAGGCCACGGCGAGCTTGATGAGCTTCCAGCGGGCCCGGTTCCGCAAGGGACGCAGCCGACACAGTTCCAGCAGTGCGAGTGGCAGTTCCAAGCAAAGTCCGGGACCACTGTCCCCGCCTGTGATGAAGAGCATCGAGGGCCAGAATGGAGGATACTTTGGCGCGGGGCCCCGACGCGGAAGTCTTAGTTTGGGTACGCGCGACTTGCGCCTGTCGGATGTCAGCGACGAGGGTGAGAACCGTTTTGCGCGTGGACAGAGCCCCAGTACATCCAACTCCGAGGGCGGGCCTTTGGGGGTGATCCGGCGTGCTGTTACCCGCCGGGGGAGTCTACTGGTGAGTGTTAAGTTCCAACTCGTGTGGATCACAGCTAACTCTATCTAGCCTAAAACGAAGACCTTTGCGCGCATTCGGGCTGCACTGATGGAGGAATCTGCCCCCATTGATAGCGAAGCGAAGCGGGAAGCCGAGGTGATTCGACAAGTAAAAGAGAGCGAGCCTGAAGTCCAGCCGAAATCTCCCTCGGGTGGCCTGTCATCTCTAGACACCACCCCTGTTGGCCCCGGGCACACCCCGGAGGATATCCCTGGAAAAGGCGGGATCACCACCCCTGACGAACCCAAGTTCATCGACCAGGCGAACCGGAACTCAGGCGGCGTCGAGTTCTGGAACTCGTTTGACGACCGTTATCGCACGCCGCCCCCGCCCCAACGCCGACACGGGGCTTCCTCTGTGTCCGAAGACGACCTGGCGATGGACCTTACACCGTCCACCACGGTAGGATCTCATACCGAGTTTGCCAAACCGAGCGAGCGGCCCAGCTCGCGGAGTGAAACGCAGGGCGCTCATGCGGGATTCCTGGGCGAATTCAAGAGGAAGCGCCGTCGGGATGACGATTTCGACCCGAACCTGTTCAAACGACGCGCAGTGTCTCCCAGCATGAGCGCGCAGAGTAGTCCGATCATGCCGAATTCGCCGGTCGTCAAGGACACGAGCCCTAATATCTGGGGGCCGCCGCGATCGAACTTGGGCTCGCTTTTCCCGGACCGGCCAGGCACAGAGAGTGGCCCACGGAATGGCAACAGCCACACAGGGACCCTCAAGCGGGTTGGACTGCAGGGGATGACCGAGACCAACGATGGGTTTATGAACATGAGCATCGAGTAGCTGGCTGAGCCGGTTCTCACTGTAGGCATGGACATTGATGCTGCTTAGCGAAGTTTGGTTGGTGGAGTTGGCGTTTGGTTCGGCTGTTATACATAGGAGCTTATTTCTCTCCATAATATAATGATAATCACCATCACTGCTCCGATGTTGCGTAGTACAAATGATCGTATAAATGGCTGCCACGGATAGCCGCGTCCACAGCTCGGAGCCACGTGCGGGTCGGCGGATGTCGCGCTAGCCCCGTCGGGCTGGAACACCGAAGCTCCAGCTGCTTCACCTTCATGTCAACAGCTGCCCCTCCTTGCTGCATCCTTGATACATCCTCTTCCCCTGCTTACACCCTTATTCTAGCAGCTGTGTGTCATCTACATTATTCATGGCTTCCACCATCGAACTTGCATCCTCCTTCATCGAGGGTGCCCCGCCCGGCGAGGTAGGCCCCTCCTATCCCACCTCCTATACTTGCATACTCCTGAATCCAACTAACCAGATCCTCAGCTCGCAGATGTCGTTGCAGGTATGCCAATCCGATGCCGTCCATCCACCCACTCCCCAGCTTACCCCGCATGCGACCCCGCCCCGTACTAAGCAGCTCTGCAGACGTGAAAGCCCTCACCTCCGACGGCTCCGACATCATCCCCTCCCTCGCGCCGGCCTTTGAGCGCTACAACGAGACACAGCTTACGACTGTCAAGCTTCCCGGCGCCAGCCAGGAGGTAGGCTATCCTTCCCTGAACCGACCCCTGACGTCCCTGACACCAGCAGGTCCTGATCAGCGAATACAACAAACTCGAGGGAAACCGGTACTTTGACGTGGAGAGCCAGACATCATTCGAGGTGGACCATATCACACAGGTGGGTGGGTTAGCCACAAGGAAGACGGGATATTGATCGATTGGGTATAGGAAGCATCCGCGGCACAGTCTTACGTTCTAGAGTCGCAGAACGCGGACTTGATGTGAGTCCCTCGCCCGGCAGGGTATCAAAGGACAGGCTGATGATAATGGATAGTAAATCGCTGCTTAAATCCCTCTCCGCACACGCCACCGAACACTACCGCTCGTGCTCGTACGGCGTATACCCCATCGAGGACGACAGTGCCGTGGCGATTGTTCTGGTTGCGAACCGCTATTCGCCGAATAACTTCTGGTATGCTCTCTTCATCTTGAGTATACTATGTGGGAATTGTGCTGAGTTGTGTGACAGGAACGGCCGCTTCCGCGCCATCTACACTCTCCCCGTGGGCTCGTCAACCACTATCTCCGGCCAGATCAAGGTCGATGTGCACTACTACGAAGACGGAAATGTGGCGCTCAACACCACCAAGCCGGTGAGTTTGTCGGTGCCGTCGGTGGACGCGGGGGCGATCATCTCGAAGATTGCGGCTGCGGAGCGGGATTACCAGGAGGAGTTGAACCGGACGTTTGTGAATACGGCGGAGGGAGCGTTCAAGGGGCTGCGGAGACAGTTGCCGATTACGAGGCAGAAGGTTGAGTGGGAGAAGGTGGGAGGGTACCGGTTGGGACAGGATATTTCGGGTGGAAAGGGTCGGTAAATATTAGCGTAGGTGCAGGTATTTGTTACAATTATACTACTATTCATGTACTCCGTATAGTATCGTAGTTGTGATAGTGATAGTAGTCGATATGATAGTGAGATGGATCAGATAAGCGGATACCCGACCCGATACGCCATATCGCGATACCACCAGCCCCTTGTCTACCTATTTACCCGTGACCACCACCACCACTCAACACCAGCCTTATTGATAATACATATACTCTTCCTATTCACTTAAGATCTATCAACTATATCCTTCCCATCATATCCTTCCTATTCGAAAAGACGAAAAAGAGCAGTAAGAGCGATAGAAAGAAAGAAAAAGAGAGAAATGCTCACCCACCTCTCCCGCTTCACGCGCACCACACCAGGGCTAGAAAAAACCCTCCGATTAGTCCAATCCCTCTGCGTACTTGCTCTCCAAGTTCCTGATTTAAATTATGTGGCTGTTACGCGGTTTGGGATTGCGAAGCAGCAGTTGGCGTTGAGTAAGCCCTCCCTTCCCTATCTCCTAATCTTGTGCGATGAACATGATCTACGGAGTGGAGAATCGAACAATAAAAGACTGAATATGAATATTGATGAGAGAAATAGCAAGACGCTTCCTCCGCTTCTTCAACTTCATCGAGTGTTTTAATCGCGTGTTTGCTTTATTGGCTGCGCCTACTGCATCTACTGCTAGGCAGGGTGGAAGTGGGAGTGGGAGTGGGATGGTGATTCAAGTCCTGGAAATAACGAAATGGAGTTGTTTCGGGTGTTATTTTTTGTTGGAGGATTTGACGCTTGTAAGTTACTTTCTTACTCCCTACATACCTCAATTTCGTTCTTTGATACGTGGTGTGAACATACCATAATAATGACTAAGTCCGAGAACAATAAACTAATGAAAAATGACAGCTCCATGCAACGTCCATCCACCCTCTCCCCACACCCCTAAACAAATTTATCCTTACAGAAGCAAATAAGTTTTGGTTCTATGCTTTGTCGTTCTCGCTTCTTGGGGCTGGGGTGTCTTTCTTATCTTCGTTTACTTTTTCTTCCTCTTCGACGGTATTTGAATCGGTGAAGACAGAGAAGAAGACGAAGACGGCTGCGGGAAGTATCACTTGGTATGGTATTTTTAAAATGGCAGTTGTGGACTCATGCGATTTACTTATCCCAGGAACATTCCTGGGATGGATTCAAATGGAGCAGGTGGGTGTGGGGGTAGGGATGGTGGTGAGTACGCTTGTTTCGGGGTGGGAGATTTGGAAATCTGTCTAGGATTAGTTTGGATCTGGGGTTGGGATAGGTGGTGGGTGATGGATTAGAAGAACTCGTGGGTGTAATCGCCTAAAGTAGACTAAAACAAACTGGAAGAAATGGACGAAGCTTTGAATGTAATCTCCAATACAAGAGACGACAGACGTATGATGTATGATGATGAGCCGAGATGTTAGGAACGAAAAAGCTCAATTACCTTTTTTTCCCAAGTTGAGCAACGTAAGCAGGTTAAAGATTGACCAAGACATACAAAATGCATTAGTCTAGAAACAATTAAAGTGGCGTTCGACGTGGCAATAGTGTGCTGAGCTAGCCAGAGGGCTCCGGTGGGAGAAATCAAAAATATAATCGCAGTAAAACCACAGTCTTGGGTCAAGAAGAGAAGATCCAGAGGGGCGGGGGGGGGAAATTTATCAGTATGCAGTCCCTAATGATAGGTCTAAATCAAGCTTTTTCCTCGACGGGTACTTAATGGTGGCTTCTCGAAAGCAAGCAATAAAGCCCTTTATGAAGTACTTGACGCAATCCGTGGAAGTGGAAATACTCACCGGAGCTCTTTAGGTGCTTGATACAGCGCTTAAAAGGGCATTAATTAGATGTTGAAATAATGCGTTGACGATACTATATACGAAAACGCTTCGCAACGTCTTGGGCTGGGGCTCCCCGCAGATCAGGACCTATGTAGTATAGTAATTATCATCGGATATAAAAAAGTTCACTAATGCAGTAGAGAAGAAACGAGGAATTTTTACGAACCTCGGAATAGCCGGGCTTCTTCGCTATCTGTCTGGGGAAATCCTTCAGCCAAACCACTCTTCTCGCTACCTATCTATATCGGGGCTTGTGATAACCGGGGTTCAATGATTGGGTATCCGATCATAGCAAACAAGCAACATCCCTGCAAGGCCAACTCATCGTGGAGCCGTCAGCTGAGCCGATCCGAAAAAATTTGGAATAGCTGAAAGATAGCTATGGGGCGGGGTTGTCTGGAATTATTGATAAGAAGGAGAACTGCCCAAAATGCCCTGATATCTTTTCTCTATAGTTGGAATTTCTCTGTACAGTTGAATGCATGTTCATTGTTTTGTGATTCAATACCACTGTCAAACGCGGGGCGATTATACTTGAACTTGAATCCCTATCCCACGTCTGTTGAAGTGTTGCAGCATGATTTCGGAAAATGTCTCGCAGAATTAAATATGAAAGACGATTGCAGGACTTGGAGCTCGAGATAAAGAGGCATTTGGTCGATGAAGATGACATAACAAGAGAGGAGAGGTACGAGCTCGAGACACGCGGAGAAGATGGACATTATCCTCTCCCAAGAAGATGTGAAGATTGCAATAACCTTTCGCCTTACGGCCACTACCCTAGCTATTTCAAAAATGATGGCCGGTGGTTGTGGCTCTTTATGCGTGGATGGGTCGCCCGGGATGACTGCCAGTTTTGTGCATTTCTCGCCCGAGTTTTCGGACATTACTTTGAGGGCTTTCGAGCGGATCCCATAAATTTCGACCTCAACTTAAAGCCGGGAAACCCATTATTCATCAGCGGTATCCGTGGTAACAATGGTAGGCTATCTTCACGGTATGGTCGGATAGACTGCATAGAAGTGTTCAAAGATATTGGTTTGTTCTTCTTATGAGTACTCAAGCATTGGTAATTATTGCTAAGAGTCACAGAAAATGATATTCCAGCCTGGTCTGAGACTCCCTTCATCGGTGGTGGTGCCATGATAATCAATCACTCGGATGATCAGGGTGTTTTTGACTTTATCTCCGATTGTCTTTTCGAGTGTGAGAAAAGCCATGCAAGCTGTCAAGCTGTTAATCCGCTGCCACTGCCAAGGCGACTCCTGCAAGTGAATGTAGTAGATCAAAGTTGCAGACTTCATGAGCCATCACAGGATCAGGAGGGAACCTATACGGCATTGAGTTATTGCTGGGGGAAAGAAAATCCTAACCGTTTGATGCTTACTCGAGAAAATTATGATTCTTTCAAAGATGAAATATCTTGGGATAGGCTCCCGCGGCTTTTTCAAGATGCTGTTAAGATCACTAGCCAACTAGGCGTTGCTTATATCTGGATTGACTCTCTTTGTATCATCCAGGATGATAAAAAAGACTGGGAAATCGAGTCCCAGAACATGGCAAGTATCTTCGAAAACGCGCATCTCACTATTGTGGCGGCCTCATCACCCGATCCAGACACGCCTATTCTTAGGGGACGAGGGCTGTCAGAGGAAAAAGTCAAGTTCGACTTTACGGGAAAGGATCAGTCACAGTCTTACCTCTTCTCACGCCTGACAACAATAAGGGACATGAATAAATTTTTTCCACTCCAGGTAAAAGCAGTGTCGAGCAGGTATTGGGACGAGATGTTATATAAAAGAGGGTGGACATTCCAAGAAGACCTCCTGGCACGGCGTACAGTCCACTATCTTCCAAACAGGGTAGTCTGGGAATGCCGGACGCTGCATCAGGATGAACGTCAGTGGCTTGGCGAGCGCAGACTCGCTGAAAGCACAAATGTGACATTGTGGACATGGCGGGAGTATGTGGAAGCCTATAGTCGTCGAGATTTGACGTACATTTCCGATAAACTCCCAGCCATTTCGGGCATTGCAAATCGGGTATCGCAAAAGATGGGAGACGAATATCTCGCTGGTCTTTGGAAAAACTCCCTTGTGTTCGATTTAGGCTGGTGTGTGGGCTACTTATCTATGCAAGAACCTCCTCCCTCTCCGCCGAAGCAATATATCGCCCCTTCATGGTCCTGGGCTTCCCTTGCAACAGGGACAGCGATTTTTCATTTGGCAGACTCACATGTTATCCGTACCTCCGCCACTGTGATCGATGCAGATGTGACATTAAAAGGTCAAAACAGATTTGGCGAAGTGACAGACGGCTTCGTGCAGCTCCGTGGCTTGGTTCGTGAGATAAAGATTTATTATCAGGGGTCTCGGAGGCGGTTCCAGATTAATCTTTCATTTGGACGGAATTTAGCGATTCCAGACATGGATACTTGTACCGGATACGGGTTGCTAGAGTCAGGCGCCAAGGTGCCTACGTTGTGCCGGAGGTATGCTGATGAAAAGCCTAACATGAAATCAGACGAGGAAGCATATCCTGCGGTACATATGCTTATGTTGTTTGAAGATGATGGAGGGAACACCGGCCTTATTCTTGGGCGATCTCCCCGAGTACGAGGGGCTTATGAACGGCTGGGGTTGATACACTTTAGATCGAAAGAAGAATTTGAGACTGTTATGGAGCTGGCAGTTGAATCCACAATTACAATTGTCTAGCAACTCGTTCATTTTGATTCAGGCTTACATTAGGAGTTCCAGTATATGTCAGACTAGAATGCATTGATCAATAGTTTTTTGATTCTATACCAACATTATCAACACTGTATACTCACCTACATCCGCCGATTCATTAGCACCAGAGCTGACGCCTACTTACTGCTTTATAAGCCCCCAATAGAATGACATGTCGTTTGTGTGTGATTACATCACGCTTTGGCTTCAAGGTAGCCCATATGGCAGTGGGCCTTAATCCGGGGAGTCCGGTTTAGAAGGCTGGTTTGGGATTATTGGGTTTGGTTTGCTTTCCTATTCCTCTTAGATTCTTCTTTCGTCCCACTGGGCTTCATTGCCAGTGTCTTTATGTAAATTCACAATTGTGGGATTATAGTAGCCTCTCGGCATTATTTGAACGATAGGAGCAGAATAAATCTTTGACATCTTGTGAGTTAGCACGGACTACTAAGATTAGTATTGGGTCCAATGATCTAAAAGCTAAATACAGTCTATATAAAAGGATCTTGCTGCGTGATTCCCCGGGCATAACGTATAAGACAACGAGAAATGTTCATGAGTGAGCTCTATTCCAAAGGCAAAATGAATCTATATGCCTCGTGTGATGATAAGATAGAGTTAGTTAGTTATGCACTGAAATGGGATGAGTCATCAGCACAATTATTCTCCTACATAACTCCATTCCATGCCATCGTATTGCATCGCATCGCATCGCGGCATCATCCTCACCAACAAACCAACCCACCAAACCCACCACCCCGACTCGCACCGACTCACCAACCATTTACCACACCACCACCCTACACTCTTATCTCCACAGAGCTAACCCTCCCCCAACCGCCAAAATGCAAGGCTTCAGTACGTCCCTCCTCCCTCCCCCTCCTCAAACCACCCACCCCAACCTAACCACTAACCAACCCCCCTCCCCAGACATGGGCCGGTACATCCCCCCGGACCTCGAAGGGCTCACCACCCCGAACGCCCTACACAAAAAACACCCCCTAGGAGCCCGCGCCCGCCACCCCGGCTCCCTAACCGTACGATTCGAAATGCCCTTTGCAATCTGGTGCACGACATGCAAACCCCACGAGACGATAATCGGACAAGGCGTGCGCTTCAACGCCGAAAAAAAGAAAGTGGGGAATTACTACTCCACTCCCGTGTACAGTTTCCGAATGAAGCATGGGGCTTGTGGTGGGTGGATTGAGATTCGGACGGATCCGAAGAATACTGAGTATGTGGTGACGGAGGGGGCGAGGAGGAGGGATACGGGGGTGGGGAAGGAAGGAGTTGGTGAGGGGGGGGAGATTGTGATCAGGGATGGGTTGGCGGGGTTTGCAGAGGCGGGGAGTGATCCGTTTGCGAAGTTGGAGGGGAAAGTGGAGGATAAGAAGAGGGGGGAGTCGGAACGGGATCGGATACTAAAGTTGCAGGAGAGACAGGCGAGGGATTGGGAGGATCCGTATGAGAAGTCGAGGAGGTTGAGGAGGGCGTTTCGGGTGGAGAGGAAGGGGTTGGAGAGGAGGGAGGCCGAGAGGGAGGCGTTGAAGGATAAGTTGTGTTTGGGGATTGAGGTTGTGGATGAGATTGAGAGTGATCGGGTTAGGGCTGGGTTGGTGGATTTTGGAGGGGAGGAGGGGGAGGTCTTGAGGAGGGCGAGGATGAAGCCGTTGTTTGGGGTGGGGGGTAGGGCTGCTGGTGGGGGTGGGGTGGGAGGAAGGATGGGAAGAGGATGAAGACTGCGGATTTGGTGGCTGAGAGGAAGGCTATGTTTCGGAGTGAGTTGACGGGGAATACACGGGCTGTGGTAGATCCGTTCCTGAGCAGTGATGGGAGTGCATGGAGGCCGGAGGTGAAGAGGAGGAAGTTGGTGGCCTCGGGAGTAAATCGGGCGAGGCGAAGGATGCTAGTGAATCCCCGGTTGAGAATGGCTCGGAGCCGGAAAAGTCGTCTGCTGGAGAGGTCATACAGACACCACGTCCGATGGCTGGGCTGGTGGACTATGCGTCCGATTCAGAGTGAATGTCTGGGACGCTGATGTTTACAAGGCGTTGTTTATGATACGGATGATACCCAGGGCTTGGAGTTATGTGACATGATTGCATGTCATGCTTTTATCATTGACTCTTCTGATGGATGCAGTTGATATCATGCAAGGGTATATGTACAGAATGCTGCTAATATCATTTAGCCCAAGGTGCCTTGGTCGTTACGTCTCCTCTGGGGTCGATATCACCAGGTGCCGGCCCTGGCGGTGCACTGGCCCATGGGGCTCTCGTAGGCGCCATCGGACCAGGTGGTAGCCGAGAAGTGTCAGGTAGAGCTGTGCCTCTGGCTGGCGCTCTTGCTGTGGCCCAGGGCGCGGCCGTTCCGCTTCCTAATGAGGGAACGGCCTGAGACCTTGCCCATGGGGCTTTGGTTCCCGGACCAGGTACTTGGGAAGGAAGTTCGCTTGCTCGAGGCTGAGGTGCTGATGTCGTGTGGACAGTAGACGGAGGTGGTACCGCGTTAGGGTCACGATCCCAGCTGAACAGGGAACCAAAGGGAAAGTGTTGCACCACTGGAAATTTGGACAGCACTTCTGCGTTGTACATCTTGATCATTCCCTGGAGTTTGTTAGTGTACAATGCTGTACCACCTTCTCATTGCAAGTACCTTGTTGATCTTCGCCCAGCCGGTCTTTATGCCGGAAATGTCGTAGAGCATAGGGCTATGCTCCCAGAATGGTCCTTTTTTCACATCGTAGATGAAGCCAATGGCAGAGAAGTACAGGTTTCCCCTTCGTTCTCTCTCCACAATAGTTGCTTTTGCAACACCAGTTGGGTCAGGCGCATCAGGCAAAGAGCCCTCTTCCGGCACTCGATCCGCCTCTGACAGAGCTGGCGCAAACTGCGCAGAGCCGAAGATGTAGGGGATGAAAGAGTGATCGTCCAATCCCCAGACTCCATGAGAGCCTGCTGGTTCCAAGGTGTACGTCTTGATGATGGTTCGCACTAGCTCAAGATACCTGGAACTAATCAGTGTCGAGCTCATGGGAGGCTGGCAATGGTACACACGGTTGAATCACGCCTAAAACAATCGCTCTTTCTTCAACACCCGAGGAGCTCTGAGGAAACCCATTCAGCTTCCAGATCCCAGCCAAAAAAGCCAGGAAGCTCAGTTCATGACCTGTGCCATAGTCTAGTCGCTGCGGGCTTCCCCAACTTCCTAGGAAATATGCCTTGAGTTCTGCCGCCGCTGTCGGTCCGTCAGGGTTAGCGGATTTCTTCTCAAGAATCTCCGCTGAAAGACACTCCTCCAGCAGGCTGGAAACGCGACTTTCTACAATTTCGTACCATCTCCGGAAACTTATGTTTCCAAACCTACGCGGCCCTTGGTCAGGCGGTGCCTCCTCGAGAATTGCCTCTAGTTTGGATAGCAGCTGCTGGAGCTGACGAACTGGCGCGGAGTACTCCACGGCATCAGAGTTCACGGGCCAGGTCTGGATGGTCCCATCAGGCAGCTTGGCTGGGAACATTGAACGGTTGAGCTGGAGCAGGAACGTCGTGATGTCCACATAGGCTTTAGAGCACAGAAACTCGGAGACATCGCCATGCTCGTGAATGCGTTTGGTTGGCTCGATGAAGGTATGTCCCGCTGCGGGGTTGATAGTGGGCAAGACACGGACTGAAAGTCCGTCCGCTGCCATGATGAAATAATGAACGGTGGTAGGAATACAATGGATAAGCCCTCGTGGAACTGAATGTGATAAGAACTGAACAACGGGGTGGTGGGATGTTGTGGTGGGATTGAAGCGGCGGCGTTATCGATAAGGAGTCGATGACGCCCGCCGATCACGGGAAATGCGCGATCATCGACCTCGTTTTCTTCCCATGCAGCACTAGCTCTCTCCTGATTCCCAGCCACGCGGCTGATGGCTGCTGTTGACAGGTCATGTATGTTTCCCCGGTGATCCTTGTCGCTTGTCGTCTGTTTCTGACTCCCTAAAGTTCATGGCTGTCCACAATGTCGGGCTCTCCGCGTCCTGTGCAGCGAAGGAAGAAGCGTGATTCAACCACACAGGCACTGGACCATTTGAATGGTCTCATGAACACACAAAAGCGCCCTACCCCGATTAAAACGGCCTATGCACCTACACCCCATCCCTCGCGTCGGCTTACGTACTCCGGCAGGCAAGATATTTCTAGCAATCTCAGTCACCTTCCATCCCCAAAGACTCTACCATCGAAGCCCCGGCGCGTTCCCCCGACTGAACCACTCACTCCCCGTCGGACATTAAGATTCTCGGAACCAATCCCCGTTGGGTCTACACAGGGTGGTAGCACGCGGAGCTTGCGACATCATGACAGCCCACCGCCGAGGCATGGAATTGACGAGGAATTTGAGGGGCCAAGTGACGAGGAAAATCCGGAAGAGACGGAGACTAATGTCGGGGATGCCATTCACGCGGATGACCCACAAATGGGGTCTGTAAATCAAAGCGAAATTCATGAACCAAGCGACGATGAACAAAGCAATGAAGGTGAAGATGAAGGTCCCCTACAGGAAAACGACGAAGTGCTCGATGGGGAAGGCCTTAGATCGGACGTGGACCTTTTTTCAGACTATGATAACCATTTACCCTTTGCCCAAAATAGTCCGTCGTCATCCTCCGGTCAGAATACCCCTGCTCGTGTGCAGTCGGAGAGTCCTGCCAACTCCGACATAGCACAACCAAGTGGGGATATTAGCAACAAGCAGAAGAACGATACACCTGGACAACCATCAGATAAGCAGCACTCAGTCTCCAGCCACTCCTCACCTACAAAGCGAACGTCGACAATAGCGGTCGAGATCACGAGAACAGAAGCTTATTCTTCGCCTGTATCTGTTACACCAGATGACCATCATTTGAGCGATATTCCAGTGACGGATGACGCGCGGATAGCAGACCAAAGAGCTAATATTGAAGACACTACAATGGATGGGGATTCAGTTTATCAACCTCCAGAAGACTCTTCATCTTCAGTGTCCTCCCCTAGTATTTCATCCGAATCAGATTCTCAATGTTACTCGGTCAAGACAAGTCCAGAAGCCTCAAGCCCTTCCAGGCAGTCCAACAAACGGAAACGCGCAACTACCAGTCATCAGGAAGCAACCGGCCAAGTGAACATGCAGTCTGGACCGAAAAGGCCCCGCCCAGTTCCCGGCGCTAGCTCTCTGGTTTCTAGCAAGAAGCGAGTCAGGGAACACCGGCACTCCCATAGTCAAGAGGACCCCAATAGTCATCATGCTACGCAGCCTGTCCAGGAAAAGCCTGTTACACAGAAACCCACCACCCAAGATGAACCCGCTCAGGAAGAAACTATTGTTCGAGAGCAGGATCATAGACCAGAACGACTTGAGGATAGCTCATGGTTCAGAGAAGCTTCGAACCTCAATGAGCAGAGCTCCAATTGGAAAAAGCTGATCCAGAGGGCGCACGCTCTAGAAAACGAAGCTCGTCTAAGTCCAACGGCTGAATTCGATGGTATAAGACATAAGATATCTCGTTTAATCGAAATGTATACAAACATAATCGATAACTTGACGGATGGCACGGGGCCTTCCAATCATGACGTTCGTACATGTGCACTCTCTCTTAGAAAGATCGCGAAGCGTGGGCGTCGTCAATTGGAAGAAGTCTACAATCTCTCTACCAAAGGTAGTAAGGACAAAGGCAAATATCTCGTGGAGGGCTTCGAGAAGCATGTCATTCCGCTCCTTGTGCGACTGGTTCTAGTCTGTTTCCAGGCTTATTACGCGAGAAGCCGACTCTTTCCTGAGGCAAAAGATCACGTCCGTCGTGCTACGGAAGTGCTGCTAGGGCACTGCGATCAGATCCACGGCTTGATACAAGAGAACTATGTGGATTGTCACGCCATCAGCCAGGGGATTCGCCTGCCTTTGAGGCAGATCATAAAATCTTTCGATCAACGCGTGAAGAGGAGCCGCTTGTCTGAGACCACAGAGATGCCGCGGGAATGGACTGACGAGGAGGGACATGCTCTCGTGGAGGGCTTACAGCTATTCCAAGGTAGGTTCTGCGCCCGCCCTGAAGAGAATCCCCGATACTCATGACCCCCACTTAGGTCCCAACCGATATTATCAGATTTGCGAAGCCTACCGCGAAGGAATCGGCAGACGTGGGATGAGGGAGGTGCGCAGGGAAAGTGAGCGACTGTACCGCCGGATCTTCCCCCAGATCCGGGAATCGGTGCGGACAGCAAAGGGACGTCAGGAATGGGGATGGTTGCTGAAGGTGATGAAGGTGAGAGAGTTATAGAGGTTTACTTTTTGTTTGTGTTCAGCACAGCACCAGCGGATGTGGCTGGATGTCAGATACCCTCTATCGTACAAATGTTCCAATCAATGAGGTTGAAGTCTATAGAGCCGGAACCATGGAACGATGAATGGCATTGTTGATAGGGGGGAAGACGCGCGGACCCGACCACAACAAACCATGGGATTCACCTGGGGGAAGCGGAGCGCCCACGGCAGCAACCAGCGGAAGACTGTGTGGTCTGAACGTGAGACATTATTGACGGTAGTGTGGGATGCACCGACTAAAAAGACCCGCTGGACTGACTACTAACCAGATACTAGTAAGGAGCGAGAGGCTTTCCAGGAGGGCGCCAGGTGACCTCCTGACGGCCGGCCGCCGGGCAGCAGGCGAATCACGGGTGGGCGCCCGCCAGAACAGACTTTCCCGTAGTAGATACTGTCCTGTCCTTTCCGCCTTTCTGGTTCCCCCCCTCCCCGTTCTTCCTCTTTCCTCCCTCCTTCTCCCTCGCCATCTCTCTCTATCTCTCATACTCCCTTATCCCTGTATTGTTTCCTATTGCTTTTTTCTTCTATTTACCTTGTAATTCTTTAATCCTTCTTGTTCCCTCTTGCTACCTCTTTTAATCCGTCCGTTGTTGTCCTTGTTCCCACTGGCAGTTCCTAGTGAGTGACCCCAACTGTTTTGATCTGCACCTCCGGGGAAGAGAAGAACCATGCACCGTGCCTCAGACCCCTCCCTCCCTGCCCACCCCCTATATAGGATCCCCCAAAGCTTCCCGGAATCAATCCCTGCATTCTCTTCTGCCATTGAGCGCGCCAATTACGTCTGCGTTGCGTGATCAACTGTTATGCGCGGTGGTCCGCGGAGCTGGAAGAAAAAAAGGAGACCCGCCTCGGCTATCCGTCGCAGCTCCCTCAACGGGGGAACAACCAGAGGCACTTTTTTGGGGCGGGCTCACATCTTCTTGCCCCTTTCCCTGGCCTCTATCTGCAGCTTTTGATTTTCTAGCGACGACTGTCCACCGCTTTCTTCTATTCATGTGATATCGCATGCTTCTTTGCTTTTGCTCTTCCGATCCGCTAACGTGGACACTCTCAATTTGTTAGACTGCCTCGCTAAGACTTGACCACTCGAAAGTCTCTGAACGTCTCCCCCGTCCACACGCCGACCGCACTCGAGTTCTCCCTCTCACACCATGGCGTCTACGGAGGAACCCGTTACCCCGATTGCTCCGCCTGAGGTGGAGCCGGAGATTGCGACTCCCGCTACTCCTGTGGAATCGTCCATCATGTCCGGAGGCGAAGACCCCATAACTAGCCCGGATGCTTCCAAGGACAAGGAGAATGCCAAAACCTCACCGGTCAAGAAGAGCCCAACTTCAACCACGGCTACTCGGCGTCCATTGTCGGGGACCACCACCACAAAGCGGCCCACTTCCATGTCCGGTCCTCCTAAAACGACTTCAACCACACGCACCTCCGCGACCAACGGCAGCACCCTGAACAAGCCCCCCACCAGACCTGCCACCACGACTACTGTGCGCAAGCCTCTGGGGACTACAACAACCACCGCCACTCACCGATCCCGCGCCTCGGTCAGCAGCTCCGCAGATGAGAAATCCCACCGGTCTGTGGCCAGCTCCGGCGACGAGAAGCGTGGCATCTCCGGCACAGCAGCCAAGAGGATGTCGCTGGTCGGTACTCCTGCTACCAGAGCCCCGGTGAAGCCCACCACTTCCGCTCTAGACCGGCGCTCCAGCATCGCTGGCTCGACTACGGCGGAGAAGAGGACCTCCACCTCTCGGCCCAGCACCGCCTCCACGGTGAGGCCGCTGACCAAGCCAACCACCAGTACCTCGACTTCACGTCCGACCACCTCCTCTTCCGCCACCGCGCGTACAACTACCAGGCCTACTTCTACGGTCACCCGGCCGGCATCAACCATCTCCAAAAGGTTGAGCACCGTCCCCAAGGGTGCCGAAGAAGACTCGGAGAAGCTGCAGTCACTCCAGAACAAGCTTTCGGAAAGTGAGGCCACCGTGGCCAAGCTGAAGGAAGATTTGGACACCGTCAATCTCAAATTGACCGAGTTGTCTCTGGCCCCCAACGATAGTTCTCAGGACGTGGATGAGGCTACCAAGTCCCTCCGGGAGCAGCACACGGCCGAGATTGAACAGCTGACAGCCAGTCATGAGGAGCAGTTGCAGGAGTTGCGTATCCAGCTCGAGGATGCCAAGGTGAAGCATAAGGAGCTGGAGGAAAAGACCCTTAGGGAGTTGGACGAGGCCGCCAAGTCGGCTGCAGCCCAGGGAGATGACCAGTCAGCTGCAGCCCTGGAAGAGTTGAAGCTGTCGCACCAAGCCCAACTGGAAGCGCTCGAGAACGACCTGGCGGAGCAGAAGGCGGCGGTTGCTGGATATGCTGAGCAAATTGACTCCTTGAAGGCAGAGCTTGAGCTGCAGAAAAGCCAGCTTACCGAGGCAACCACGAACCTGGAGAAGACGGTTACCAAGCTGGAAGATCTTCAGCGAGAGCTGAACGGCAGGGACCAGGTGGTAGAAAATCTGCACATGGAAATGGATCGGTTGAACCAATCAAAGCAGCAGGAAACCCGGGCCGCAGAGGAGGCCGCGAAGCATGCCATTCTGGCCCTGGAGGAGAAGGTAGCATCGCTGGAAGCCCAACTCGCCGACGCCGGTTCTGCCACCAACCAGAGCAGCGAGGAGACGACCGCACGCCTGGCCGAGAAAGACACGGAAATCACCACGCTCAAGGAAGCGTTGGAAAAGGCACAGGCTGAACTTGAGCAGGCTCGCGAGGTCGCAGAGCACGAGCTCGGAGAGAAGATCAAGGAACTCGAGGCTGCACATGAGGTTGCGATTGCCCAGCTTCAGACCAACCACGAAGCAGCTCTTGCTCTGGCAGCTGAGAACGAGCTTGGTGGGAAGATCAAAGAACTCGAGGCAGCGCATGAGGAGGTTATTGCTAAGCTGAAGGCCGAACATGAAGAAGCGCTTTCTTTAGCTGGAGAAGACAAGCTTAGTGAGAAGGTCAAAGAGCTTGAGACTGCACACGAGGAGGCTATTGCCAAGCTGAAAGCTGAGCATGAAGAGATACTTTCTTCAGCTGGAGAAGATAAGCTCAGCGAGAAGGTCAAAGAGCTCGAAGCCGCACATGAGGCTGTGGTTGCTCAACTAAGAGCTGACCATGAACAAGCACTCTCTTCGGCTGCCGAGCAGGGTCTTGGGGAGAAGGTCAAGGAGCTTGAAGCATCTCATGAGACTACAATCGCTCAGCTGAAGGCCGAGCATGAAGAGACAATCTCCGCCACAATCGCCCAGCTCAAGACTGAACATGAAGAGGCATTGGCTTCAGCTGTTGAAGGCAGGGTTGGCGAAAAGGTGAAGGAGCTGGAAGCAGCACATGAGGCTACTATTGCTAAGGTCAAGGCCGAGCATGAAGAGACAGTCTCCGCCACAATCGCTCAGCTCAAGGTTGAGCATGAGCAAGCGCTTTCTTCCGCTGCTGACCACGCCCTGGGAGAGAAGATTAAGGAGCTTGAAGCAACACACGAGTCTGTCATTGCCAAGCTCAAATCGGAGCATGAAGAAGCACTCTCTTCAGCTGGAGAGGACAAACTCGGCGAAAAGATCAAGGAGCTGGAGGCTGCACACGATGCGGCGATCTCTCAACTGAAGGCGGCACACGAGGGAGCGCTGGCTGCCACAGCGGCAACTCACGCGCAGGAGCTTGCCGCTGCCAAGGCGGCCGCCGAGTCGGCTGGCACCAGTCACTCCCAGGAGCTTGAGGAGCTCCGTGCGAAGCTGGAGTCGGCTGAAGCTGCTGCCGAAGAGGACAGGGAGGAGTTGATCGCGGAGCTCGACGCTGCTCATCAAGCGGAGCTGCATGCGCTCCAGCAGAGGTTGGAGGCCACGGAACAGAATCTGACCGAGGCCCGACAGTCTCTGGAAGAAGGCAACAATTCCGCTCAGGATCACGCGATCCAAGAGATCGAGTCACTCAAGGAAAAGGTCGGTGCCCTGGAATCCCAGCTCTCGACAGGACAGGGAGAGATCAAGTCTCTCCAGGATGAGATCCAGAGCAAGCAAGGACAGGCCGAGGCGCTACAGCAGAGCCTCGACGCCTTCGAGGACAAGACCAAGGCCAAGGACACTGAGCAGGAGAACCAACTCAAGTCTCTGGAACAGAAGGCGGCCGTTGCCGGCAAGGAGCTCGAGGACAAGGTCAAAGAAGCCGCCGCAGTTGCCGAGCAGCACGCACAGGCCCTTGAATCCCTCAAGGCCGAGCACGCCGTGCAGCTTGAGCAAGTCAAGACCAGTGCGACTGGCTCGCACGAGCAGGCGCTCAGCGAACTTCAGGCCAAGTACGGCGACCTCTCATCCCAGCACAGCGAGCAGATTGAGTCTCTTGAGGCCGAGCTCCGTGCCACCCTCCAGCGCCATGCCGAGGAGATTGCGCAGCATACCGAGACCCGTGCCAAGGAAATTGCCGAACTGCAGCAGCAGCACGAGGAGACTCAAGCTCGGTTCCAGGCGGAGTTGCAGGCCAGCCAAACGTCCCGATCCGCCGAGACGGATGCTGAGCACAGCAATGCCATTGAACAGCTTCTCACCATCCAAGAAGAGAAACTTTCCAACCTGCGGGCCGACCTTGAGTCTACCAACCAGGCGAAGATCGAGGAGCTCCAGAAGACCCATGATGCAGCCCTCGCCGAGGTGCACGCGCAGCTGGCTGAGGCCCACGCCGCCGCCCAGGACGTCTCTATCCTTGAGAGTCTGAAGCTGACCATTGCCGATCTCGAGAAGAAACTGAACGAAGCGGAGCACTCTGCCGCCGAGTCCAAGGAGCTCGCAGGCAAACACAACGCCGATCTCTCCACAATCCTGACCGAGAAGAACGAGTTGGAGCAGCAACACCAGGCCGTGGCCAACCGGGTGGCGGAGCTCGAGAAGTCTCTCGCTGCTTCGGAGAGCGCCAAGTCCGAGTTGGAAGCCGTCCTGCATCAGTTGGCCGCGTCCAAAGATGAACTGTCGCAGTTGAAGAGCCAGCACGAGACGATCACGGGCGAGCTGCAGGCGTGCAAGACGGTGAACCGGGCGATGGAGGAGCGCCTCGAGCAGGGCGAGCGGGATCTCAACAGCCAGATTGACAAGAACATGTCGCTCCTCAACCAGCTGGGCGAGGTGGACTCGTCGATCGCAGCCAACCGCAAGCGAGTGCGGGAGCTGGAGGCCGAAGTGGCGGCGTTGAAGGCCGAGAAGGGCGGATCGACGGGGCTGGAAGGCAGCCGCTGGGCCGAGAAGGAAGAGGCCGTGGAAGGTGAGGATCTTGGCTCATCCATCCAGGGAACGGTGGGACTACCCCGTTTATTTCCCAACTTTCCTCGCTTGACCTGAATTGGCCCGTTCCCTGACCCGGCATGGTTTACTGATTGGCGTTGTCTGGCAGATGGCAAGCATCCAGGAGCAGCTTAAGCACATCCGGACGTCCAACGATGACTGGTATGACGAACACCGACGGTGAGTTAGACCCTGTTGCCTGCTCGGCGCATCGGCTGACCCGAGTGTCTCAGAATCCTGGGCGAACTGGCCGAAATGTCGCGCCGGGCAACGCCCAACCCGCCTAGTCAGTCGACGACGCCGCAGCCGGAGAGATCGAGCAGCGGGTCGGACCATGGCGCGGATGACGGATCCTCGTGACGGTTGGATGTCCAGTTGTGAGGGCTTGAAAGAGTGGATTTCCTTTGTTGAGTGACCCGGCGTGAAGGTTGCGCCGGGGCATTTTTCCTTTGTGGTTGTATCGGCCTAGGCTGTATGTAATAAGATGCTCGGGATACCCCTGTCTGCGCGTTTCGTGTGATTGCAACCGACGGGTGCATTGACATCCCTTGCGGCCATTCCTGGGGATCCTATTGGGCTAGCGACGTTGCACGAATTATTGATTTTTTCTTGCCGTGGATGCAGTGCAGCATTGTCTGAGCCTAATTGTAGCCCTGCCTATTGTGCCTATTGTTCTCGGGGTTGGCAGCCTCGCCCGCTCGTCGGCGCACCCGCGCCCACCCTGTCCGGATGGCTGTCCACCATGCATGGCGCTGCTGCTGTTGCTGTTCGCGCTTCCACCGGTCCTGGCGGCGCTGCTGTAATCTGACTGCCCGTCGCGACTGTTCGTACCGAGCAGGTGTGAGGATTCTGGCGGGGGGAGAGATCCGACGATGCTCCACGGAGTCATCTTGATCCTGATCCTGATCGTCCGGGTTCCGCAACCAATGTAATACCTCCCTCTGATCATCTCTCGATGGGAGAACTCTATCGTCATCCTCTTCCTCCCCTCCCTCCAGTCTCATATCCATCCTCGTATCCGTTTGCATTTCAACATCGTAGACAGGCCCTTTCTCCTTCCCCCTCCCTTCCGCAGATTGAACTGTATGTTGCTGTTGCTGTAGTTGTTGAAGTGATTGTTCATCTTCCACCGACGCATGCAGATAATTCTCGTCCGTTAGACCCGAGGTAAACGCCTCGCAGTACGCTGCGTAAGAGGAAGTGAGTTCTTGTTCGGAGGTGGTTTGGGGTATGAGGTGGGAAGTTGTTCTCGTTGTGGAGGCGGTGGTGGTGGATGTTGCGTCGGTGTCTGCGTCTGCGTCTGGGTTTGGGTTTGGGTTTGGGTTTGGGTTTGCGCCTTTGGGGGTGAAGGTGAGATTGAAGTGCAGGTTTAGGTTGAGGATGGAAAGAGGGGTGCGTGTGCGGGTTGGGGGTGGAGGTGGGTTTGGAGGTCCTGTTTGGGGTGGGTTTGTAGTGACGGTTGATGCGGGTGGAGTATTTGTGGATGTGGGATTGGTGAGGGGATTTGGATCGGTATGTATCGGTATAGATGTGGGTGCAGGTGTCTTAGAGCGGAACAATCCTCTTGGTTTTGCGGTGGTGGTGATGGATTGGGATAGATTCGGGGTAGATTTTGCTTTGGGTTTGGGTTTTAGGGAAAGCCAGCGGCGGAGGGTCATGTTTTTGTCGTTGGTGTTGGTGGTGTCGGGGATGGAGATGGGGGTGAGGATGCGATTGTGGTTGTGGTTCTGCATGGGGTGGAGGATTGGTTGCTGCTGCTGCTGGTAGCGGTGGTGATAATAAGATGTTGGATGAGAGGTACTGGTGGTGATGGTGAGGATGTTGGAGGAGCAGAAGTAGTGAGGATCTCGTGTTCAGCCATTTCTCTTATTCAGTTCTTGATGTTAATACACCGGGGAATGTGGAGTGAAGGACTTTGTATGAGAGAACTCTAAGGAGTGAAAGGAGGATCGTTATTAACTAGGAAGCAGAATAGAAGAAATAGTGAATCGGCCAACAAAGAAAGATAAGTAGAAAGGATTGATTGGGTTGGGCAGGGATCCCCAGGTAAGATATAGGCAGACCACCTGACAGAACAGCCAAAGTACCTTGCCTGAGCCAACAATGCTGCAGACCCGCCAAATTAGACTCCTCAATGCCGGCATGCTGCGCCCTGTTCCCCCTCACCTCCCAGGCACGACTCATGTAAATGTAGCAGGGCATGAAATGCCCGCCCCTCACATGCACATCAACGGGCTCTCTATGTCGGACAAGCTCATTCTGTGCCGGTCTGTCTGACGGGGGCACCGCGGCATACTACTGGCGGGCCCTCATGGCGTGGCGGTTGTGACGGTGGCACGATGGCACGATTGCGGTGAGGATGGTGAGACGGGGAATGTGCGTTTCACAGGGGTTATGTATCTAACGGCGTGGCATAGTAGTGTACATCATAGCAAACATCTGGTCATGACATGTACAGGTCCGCAACATCACTCCGACCCTCCATCCCGTCCCAATCCCCAGCGTCCGACCTCGCGCATGGCCTCGTCGCCGCCCTCGACCAGTCGGCCGTCGGCGTTGGCCGGGTTGGCGCTGCCCAGGACGCCCGCGACGCAGCCCCAGCCGTTGCGCCCGCCGCCCCAGCGGAGCACCTCGTTCTTGTACCGCTCGCCCGCCCGCCGGTCCACCGCCGCCGCTCCGCTCTGGAATACGTCCTCCCAGAGCTTGTTGGCGATCGCCCGGTCGAAGATGTAGCTGTAGTACGTCGCCCCGTACCCGTGCAGATGTCCGAAGAACCCCTGCCAGGAGGTTGGCGGCTTGCTGTCTGCCGGGTCTGGCAGCGTCGAGTGTGCCGACGATACCTGGTGGTAGAGCGCTGTGCTATCGATGGCTGCCTTCTCTGCCGGCAGCGAGTGGTATGCCTGGTCCACCAGCGCCATCAGGATCTGCGACTCGTTCTCCATCGCCCCGTAGATCGATCCGTGCGCGGTGCGATCCTGCTCCATGCTGCGCATCATGCTCTCCGACAGCGGAGCGTCCGTCTGCCAGTGACGGGCATACAGCGCCAGCACCTCGGGCGCCGTCGCGAATCGCTCCATCAGCACTGACGGCAGTTCCGCAAAGTCAGTCGCACACCGCGTGCCCGAGATGGACTGCAGCCGAGTCTGTCCGAGGATCGAGTGCAACGCATGGCCCATTTCGTGGAACAGCGTGCGCACACTGTGCTCGCTCAGCAGGGACGGGCGTCCCGCCCCCGTTGCCGGCGGCTCGGGAAAGTCGCACACCAGTGCGATCGTCGGCAGTTGGCGCAGGGTCTTGGAGGTCCGGTCGATGGCCGTCGCCATGCCGTCGTTGGGGTGTGCCGACGCATCCAAGGTGGTGGCACACTCAGCCACCTCCTCGGCTGAGATCTCACGCGCGCATCGGAGTGTGTAGTGGGCCGGGTTCGGGTGCTTGTTGGGGCGCGAAAACAGGTCGCAGTAGATGACAGCAATATGCCGGTCCGCCTCGTCTACCACGTCCAATCGGCGCACGTCCGCGTTCCACGTCTCGCCCGCCGCCGTCTCTTGCGGCACCAGCCGCACCCCGTACAGTCGGTCAAACAGCCGCGACAGACCCTGCATGACCGTGCCCAGGGAGAAGAACTCGGGCACGGCGCTCAGCTCCCGCGACCGGCGCGACTGCGAGTACTGCATGACCCGTTGGTGGACATAGTAGGCGTGATCCCACGGTTGCAGCCGGCCCACAGAGCCCTTCATGCTCTGCAGCTGCGCCAGCTCCTCCTGCACGTACGGCCGGTTACTGCCAACCAGCGACGTCAGGAAGTTAGATACCGCCTCGGGAGTCTTGGCCATCTTGTCGCTCAGCGTCATGTGCGCGAAGCTCTCATAGCCTGACAGCTGAGCCAGCTCGGCGCGCTTGGCCAGCAGCTGCTCCAACCGCTGAACCTGGCGCGAGCTGGATGTCCGGGTGGCCAGGTAGACGTCCCGCCGCACGGACTCGTCGTGAACGGACCGCAGCGCCAGGCGCGGAATCAGGCCCATGGTAGGCACGGACGCTGTCCGGTTCCACCGCTTGATCTGCTGCACAAGCATGGGATCGAGCCCGCGCAGGCTGTTGGCGCTCACGACCACGTGCGACTTGGCCGGCTCGGCCCCGTTGACAAAGTTGTTGCCTAGGTGGCTGATGTCATTGGAAAGGTTGACAAATCGCTGGCGCGCATGGGGGGGCATGTGGATGGCGGAGTTGGAAAAGTCCTTGATCAAGATCTGGGCGACGATCTTCTCCTCGTCGGACCAGCGGGCTGTAACCTCGGGATTGGCGGCGGCCTTCTTCAGCTGATCGTTAAGACCGGTGGTGGTGTTGAGGACGTTCATATACTCGAACATGAGGGCGTACGCCTGCGTCGCAGCCTCCTGCACGCGCGGATCGGGGTGGATGACGCGGATAAAGTCGGACAGATCGATAACCCGACACAGCAGGTCGCTAAGCCGGTCGAGGTCCCGGGCCATGTTCCGGTGGTCCTCCAGCGTCGAACCGGCCAGCACCTTGGCGACGATGGCCTGGCATTTCTGCAGCGTGGTGGTCGCGAAGGTACGGAAACCGTCCGGACTGGTCAGGTACTGGTTCTGGACGAGGCCAGTGGGCTTGAGCTGGGCGGCACTGCGCTGGCTGAACTCGCGCCAGAAGGGCTGGGAGTCGAAGACGCGGCGCAACGTGTCATCGTCGGACTGCTTTTGGGCATCGTTCTTGGAGGGGAAGTAGTCGAAGGCGGAGCGCTGGGCGGCGGAGGCTGCGGTTTCGAGCGAGCGGCGGGCTTGCAGCAAGCAAGTCCGGCAGGTCCAGGGACGGCGCCGGAGCGGCAGCAGCAGAGCTCCCATGGTGACGTTCAGGGGAGGATAATAGAGAAGGGGGGACTCGACATGGGAATCATATTACGATTAATAGTAATAAAGAAGAAGAAGAACCACGCCAGACAGGGTGGGGTGGAAGAGAAGGGCGAAACCGGACGAGAGGAGGAAGAGAGAAAGACAAAAGATAGGTTGAAGAAAGAAAGACGGACGATGACGGAGGCTCCGCAGCAAACAAGCCAAAGTCACGAAAAAAAAGGCTTGGCGGCGACCTCGTCTCCGTCATCTTCAACCTCTCCCTCTCCCTTCTCCCCGTCACTTTCTCCCCCATTGGCCCCTTCCATCATGTCTTTCCGGCCAATGCTTCAGCAGGTGAGTTCTGTACCCTTTGTTTCTTCTCCCTCTGCTGTCTCCCCGCTAACTCCTTCACAGCGGGCTGTGGCCCCCATCGCGGCCACTCTTCTGGCTGGCGGTATCACGCTCTATCCCCGGCGGACGGCCTTTGCAGAGGAGCCCCAGGACGCGGTACGATGCTCGATCCCTCGCTTCTCCTGTCTTCTGCTTCGTCCCCTAACCCGATGACCTCCTCTGCAGAAAAAACCCATCTACGATGATTTCCCGACCGAGATCCCGGCCGCTCCCAAGCCCGTTCTCCGCTCGGCGCCCACGCCGGTGTCCGCGCCCTTGTCCTCGTCTTCTTCCCCGACCCCCACCGACATCCTGACGGCCCAGGTCCGCCAGGCCCGGCTCTTCCTGTACCAGAACTCGCTGGCAGTTGAGACCTGCTTCAACAACTTCCTGTCGCGGGCCCTGCACATCGAGAACGCCTTCACCAACACCGTCGCCTCGCTGGCCCCGTCGCCCGAGTCCGGCGAACGTCTGCTCCCCGGCGGAGTGTACGTCGTCGTGGCGGCCATGGCCGGATCCATTGTGGCCCGGAACCGCGGTGTGCTGCTGCGGACGGCGTCGCCATTGGCTCTGGGTACGGTTGCCGCCTGGACCCTGCTGCCGGTGACGATGCGCAACGTGTCGGATCTGGTCTGGGAGTACGAGAAGCGGGTGCCGGCGATTGCGGACACGCATCTGCAGGTGCGCGGCCAGGCAGAGCACCTGTGGTACACGGGAGTTGCGCACAGCGGGATGGCGCGGGCGATGATGGAGGAGAAGATCGGAGATGCGCGGAAGAAGCTGGAGGAGGTGGTGAGCAAGGGACATTAGCGCTTCATGGCTAGTTGTTTAAGTTCTTGCATATGTACTTTAGTAGATGATGTCTACTGTGCAGCTAGATACGCTGATACATTTTTCCATTCATAGCATCCTCCAACTCATCTCTCCATACAACCCATCCCAATCCCCCATAGCATACACATTAGTCAAGTCAAATCATATTCTATTAGCCTAGTGAAGCCCGTTATATGCCATGCTAGCTATATAAGCACTTCCTGTTGAAGCAAGAATATGAAGCCAAAACGCCGTATCCCATGCATCCCACATCTCGCAGTGATTCAACGCAAAAGCCACGCTTTTAGGAAGAACTCAATAACATAACAAAACACAACTAAGGAGACAATTTTAATGATATGCAACCGGTCATCCTCTCTGCTCATTCTCCGCTTCTCATTCCTAGATCCAACCTGCTTGTTCCTATACTGGTATGCGTGCATGCCCTGGTGACTCCATGAGGGCGTGTTTGGTGCCTCTACCCATTGTCTTCAGTGTCTAGCCCAATGCCCTTAGGCCTGTGTATTCGTGATACCATCCACACTAATCCCATACACACGATCATAACCCTCATAGCCTACTCTCTTCTCCTAATCCAACAAACATCATCACACAACTACCCAACCCGTTAGCTTATCCCCCAAAACACAGCAAAAAGAAAAAGAAAATAAAATAAAAGTAAAACATACCTAACTCTCGCATCTCCCGATCTATCACCAGCCCTGTAATAGGGCTTAGGTTATCCGGGAGAAATTCGATTGGAAGCCGGTCGTTGAGATAAAAGGGCTCGGAGATTTCCTTGGGGACAGACAGTCTGGGTGATATGTTTTCTTGTGATCGCTTACAGCGGCTGAGGGTCAGAGTGTGATTTCCTTCCAAGAAATGGTGCTAGTAGGCGTATCGATCTGGATAGCTTTCCCCAATACCTGGCTCGTCATCGAAATCTTCAAGTTCCGATAGCGGTACATCTGCTCCACTCAAGCTTAGGACACGGGCAAAAACCCACTGCATCTCGAGAATTGCTAATAAGGAAGAGGATGAGTTTCGGGATTGTGGGTTTCCATTCGAATCAAGTCCCCGGAACAAATTCGGTGACCGGATTCACAATCGAAAAGCTTAGTTCTCTTCCGAATATGCTTTAGATTGCATGGGGTATCAGGACGTGTATTGGTAGCAATTTCTGCCTTGGACTGGGCAGGTGGAAGTCAGAGAAATCTGGGAGTCAGAGACTTGTTGTCGGCGGAGAGCTCTACCGGCTGAAGCGCGCTGCTCTCCACAGACCAAGAGCATCCTTAGACAAGCATAGCATGTTCTCCAAGACTTCGATACCCTGGGAGCCCGTCACCATGTTCGCCCATTCGGCAATCTTCTCAGCCTGTCAGAAAATGCGTAGTTCCAGGCAGAAGGCTGTCTGTTCACGTTTTGGGCGTGTAATCATGCTAAAGGGATACACGTGGGCAACCTCCAAGGGTTCATCCTTTTTGGTAATGGCGCAAAATTCGTCTCCCTTGATACACTTGATTATTGAGTGTTAGCTAGCCGGGTTCTAGGTATACTATGTGATAACAAATAAAAAGATAGATGCCGAACTTACCATAGCTCTCATGGCTTCGGAGTCCGTTGGAATAGGCTCCTGAGCTTGTGTCTTCTGAAATGTACTGATGGCGGCATTCTCGGGATCTTCTAGGGACTGAGCACAGCCAGCCCCTTAGCATAGATCAGCATGTGTACTTAAGAAATGGGGACTACATAGTATAATACTTACAGGAAAGTATAGAGCGAAGGTGGTTACCTTCCAAGACACTCGCTATGATGTCCTCACTCAATCTCGCCAAATATTCGAGACGAGGGGTGTCGGCCAGCCATAATAAGGCCCAATTGACGGAGTCAACAGGACAGTTTGGCTCAACTTATAGATAAGTTCTGCCCGACCTGCATCCTCACATTCATTTGGGGGGCTATTCTCTCCACGATTCGTAGGGAGGTGAGGTTGAGGTGGATTGTGGGTCACAAGCAGCGCTAATCCGGGGATACGGAAATTAATGCGAGGGTGTCAGACCAGAGATTTTCTAACACCTTCAAGTTTGTGTCGGCCTGGCAGCCTGGCGCCTGCCGGAGGCCCCTGTTGGCTCATAATCCTGGTCTTTTGCTGGATAACGCAGTTGGCAGGGGTTGAGTCCCTAGAAGTGCACCTAGGGAGCGACCTTGACAAAGTTAATCCTGATTTCTTAATATAACAAAAGACATTAAGTAAAAAATTATTAGCAAGTAACTCTAGCCATGCATATAGAAAGAAGCCAATCAAGCAACACACAACTAAAGAGACACTTTTAATGACCAGCCAGTTACCTACGAGTCCATCCTTTTTCTTCGTTCTCCGCTTCTCATTCCTGGTTCCAACCTGGTATGCATCCATCAGGGCGTGTTTTTGGTGCCTCTGCCCATTGTCTTCAGCGTCTATCCTGCAGACACACTATCCCATCCACATAACCATAACCCCTATAACCTACTCCCTTCTCCCACTATCGGACCCAACCTCACTCTCCTCCTCAACATTCACCTCCTTCTCCATGTCCCCCTCTTCATTGGTACCATTCCTCCTCCCCCCAACAAACATCATCACACAACTACCAAACCCGTTAGTTCATCCACGTCCCTTCCCAAACAAAACCAAGTCAAAGAGAAAGAAAAAGAAGGTAAAACTCACCTAACAACCCCCGCCCCCCAGCCAACCCACCCCAGCACAACCCCCGCCACTCCCGTCCCATCATCCCGATATACCAACTCATTCGCACTCTCATCCAAATAAACCGTGACTCTTGGTCCCACTGAAGCCCCAAATCCTACTTCTCCGGTAGCCAGAATCACAGTAAAGGCGATGAGGCTGGCGGTTAGGAATATAAGCCCCAGAACAACACTTCCTTTAAGGACCCAAGATACGGGTGCGGATGTAGATTTGCTAGTGGAACGTCGAGTAGTAAAAGCGAGGGTTAGAAACACCGCAGAGGTGAAAATCGTGGCGAAAATATGATAAGATGTGGTAATTAGGATCGGGTGGTTATAGATGTGGACTTTTGCGACGAGGGAGGTGAGGTGCGTTGCTTGGTGGAGGTAGGTGGTTAGGGTGTAGGTTGTTAGGATGAAGGAGGTTAGGAGGAGGAGGGTTGATATTGTTAGTGATGAGAGGGTTAGGACGGGGGTGGGGTTGGGGGGCATTTTTGTGTTTGGTGTTGATATTTGTGTTACTAGTGTCGGTGTTGGAGAGGTGTAAAGAAGGCCAAGGTAAGGTAAAAGTTTGAAGGGTGGTGATGGGATAAGTATGAACGGAATTGGTTTGATATTTATTTAGCTTAGGGTGTTAGTACTATTACTGGGTCTGGAGCTGGGGACAGGCTATGGATTGAATTCAGAGTTGAAGAGATTCTCAATCTGATCATGGGTGACTGCAGAACTACTTACAGATGGATGGATGCAGTGGAGATGGACACGCTAGGATGTTTTTAGAGGGACTTTGCGAGATCCGAGATGGAAATGGTTGTGATTGGCTGATGTCTCTATGGCAAACAGTACGAAGTGTTAACTCCGTGGTCAAAGAGCCAATCATGGACTTGGTATTGACAGGGACTGACTGATTCCGCGGAGAATTGTTATCAATCGTACTGATTGATCGATTGATATCGTGAAGAGATTGTTGGTCAGGTGGTTAGGGTCCGATGCTGTGCATATCTGGAGGTCGTAGAAATTTAGATGGTAGGGATAAGATAGCTATCAGGGCTGGCTAGCATGTATTTATTTGCCATCTTGGCAATCAAAAAGTTTAGGTACATAATAGTGCGAGATGGCTTGGCTTCATGCAGAGCTCAACTCAACATTGTACCCACTGCAGCTGCACCTCATTCGGCCTTCTCACCTGAATCGTCAGCTTCTGTGCCGAATCCTCCATCAGCTCCTTCAGCCGCGCCTGCAATTCCTCCGCTGTCATCCCTTTCTGTGGCAACGGCTCGCACCTCGTATGCCGGAACAGTGTCGCTACTGTTGCAACAAACTCGACCTGGGACATTTTTTGGCCCGGGCAAACGCGGGGCCCTCCGGACCACGGCAGGAACGTGCCCTTCGGCGGTACCACGACCTGACCCGCCTCGTCCAGCCACCGCGTGGGTCGGAAGTCGTCCACATCAGCTCCCCAGATGTCTGCGTCGGCATGGATGCTCTGTTGCGAGACAAACACGGTCATTGGTGACGACAGTACGTGGACGCCATAGCCATCGGCTACCTGCTGTGTCGTGGCCACAGAGCGCGTGGCGTGCGGGACGGGCGTGAAGAGGCGTAGGGTTTCGAACTGGTCATGTCAGCAATCCACTATCGATAAGAATATTAATGTCACTATGATCAACCTACCATGACAGCCAATACGCGCGGGCATCGGGAAAACACATCATACCCCCAGTTCGAGACATCAGTATCCAGACCGCGCAGCTCTTCGCGCATCCAATCCTGCCATTGCGGATACATAGCTAGGAGAATCACAGCATACCCCATCGTGTTCGCTGTGGTGTCGAACCCAGCACCTGTAAACACCCATAGGTTGCCGCTGATCTCAGAGCCGGTCAGAAACAACGATGAGGAAGAGCGCTCCCTGTCGGGGTCTGAGAACTGGACCAGCAAGTCCAGAAGATTACTGCGCTTCTTGGGTGACTCGCCCGACTTGGCATTCCGTTCGTCGTCCAAGATCTCCTTGATATACTGGGGCACGTTTGCCATCTGGCGGCCGAGCAGGCGCAGATACTTGGGCATGAAGGGCATCGTTTTCAACTTGCCCGGGATCAGGGCTGATTCGAAGAACCGATCTGCCACCATGGCGATTGTCTTGAAGTAAGACACTCTGGCTCCCTCCCAGTCCTCTCCCAGGGTCTCCATAAAGTCCGGGGACCAGGGCTGATTCTGCCCGTAGCCGGCTTGTCCTATGACGTTGATAGCCACGCTGCGGAGCCCGCTTAGGGTCTTGCCGCCAGGATGCTGCAGGAGGTAACCGAGCATCGACTGCGCCTGGTGACTAGTCTCATTCCACACCGTGTCCATGATGGCTTCATTGAGATTGGGGGCTATGATTCGTCGCATGCGGGTCCAATCATCACCGTTGGATTGCAGGAGGTTAGGCCCGAAGAAACCGATGAATTGGGCCACGACGGGGGGCATGACAAAGTCTTTACGCCGTTGCAAGACGGTACTGGCGACTGTCGGGTCGGCTATCCTGTGTCGTGGATCAGACTCGAGGCTACGAACACCGGGTCGGGCCACTTACCAAAGCGAACATTCATCGGGCGAGACGATGGCGAATATTTTGCCGAACCGGCGATGCATCTCATTCTTGTGGCGGAACTCCCACCCGTGGATGGTGATGTCGAGATGCTCATAGAGACATCGGGGCAGATATCGCCTTAATTGCGGCTGGAAGGTCGGTCCCACAAACATCCAGAGTACATGCTGAGTGAACAGAGGGGTCACAAAAAGGGGAAACCCGGTGCGACGACCGATGATGTAGAACCGGGCAAAGGAGACGGCTTTGTAGAGGAAGTAGAGCCCGGCCAGGGCGGCCAGGACAGTCCCCAGGGTGAGCTCCATGCTGGGCTAGTTACTGCTAGACCAGGAGACAGGAGAGAGCTGTCAGAAGTCAGAACTTATAAATCTAGACGAGATGGATATTGTCGTCAGCACATGCCGGCATTGCCCCAGCCGAGCCTGGAGCTAATCAAAGACTTATTAGGGAGGTGCCGGTCAACGGGAGGACAAAGCTAATAATCGTGCCAACGGATCCTTATGGTAGTAGCCTGGTGGACTGAATCCTGGCGCCGTTTGGTTATACTGTCGCGAGGCTGAGCATCGCCCGGTCCACTGCTGTGTTGAGTAAATGTCATGGCTGGAGGAGCATAAGATGCGATATTCATCCATAATGGACTGTGAATAGTGGTAGTGACAGCAGTAGGTAGTAGTAGGATCTCAGTTCACAGTTGGTAGATAGATATCTGTATTTTGTAGCCACCAGACCAATGGGAAGCCGGGAATTATTGTTATGTTCAGCCACTAGTAGCGATTAGTGTTGAATGCGGGCGGGTTGGAGAGCGATCCACTTCCATCATCTTTCTCGCACCAATGACCATTCCATGCTTGACACGGGAAATCTCATCTACAGCACTAGACCATCGTGACTCCAGATCTCATAATAATACTGTACAACTAAGTGTTTGCTCACTACGCAACCCCTGACGCCGGACTCCCGAGCTGGGCGGCGACCGCACCCCAGCCTTGGGCGGAGGTGGCAGCGGTGTTCCTCTCCGGGACGGCGCATAGTCTTGCTCTTTGCTCTTCTGCTCTCCCTCCGCGAAGTAGTCGTCGAACGACCCAGCATTGGCGCTCGCCGTGTGACGGGCCTTATGCCGCCGTCCCGCGGGCGAATGGCTCGCTGGTGATGCCGCCAGATTCCGTGGAGGCCCGGACAAGGGCGGAGGCGAGGTCATATTGGCTGGGACGAGAAAGTGTCCGGACGGCGGGGGTGCCTGGCCCATCGCTTCCATCAGAGGTGCGGAGGTGCCATCCTCGCGCGTCTCGAAGACCACTTCGCCAGGGCCCTCGACTTCCTCGCCCAGTCCGACCGGTAACCGGTGTAGTGCTCCGTATCCCAGCTCGGCTCCCAGAGCGCCCTCGCCTCCCCAGCCCCGCGTGGGCACCAGCTCAACCTCGCGCACCACGTCAAACTCGCTATTGTAAACCCACAGCACTAACGTGCGGTTCAAGTGGTCCTCGACAAGCTCTCCCAGCGCCGATTCACCGCGTAACGTACCACTGGGCGTTCCGATAATGTAGTCGGAGTGTGGAAGCAAACCGGCGCGGTAAGCCGGACTGAGCGGAGAAGGGATCGTGAGGACGTGCCAGATGTGTTGGGTGGAGGATAGGGGGGCCAGTTGTAGCGCCAGGCCTAGACTAGGGTTGGATGCGGGGACAGGGATGGAGACGGTGTGTGTTTTTTGACCCTAGGCAGTGACGTTAGCATCCTCTGTGGTCGCTAGGATAGAAGTCATACCTTTGCACTCCAGACTTCAAAGGTCACGCTGGATCCCGCGCAATTGCGCACTTCCGTAGCGAAGAGATTTGGATCTGGGTCCTCCTGATATAGTCAACATCAATAGCATTCCCACACCTGTCGACAGAAAGGTAAGTCCACTCACTATTAACCGGCCATTAATGCCGACAATGAAATCAAACCAGGGCTCCAGCGGCAGCTCGGCATCCTTGTTGCGGAGGACCTGAAAACCAAATGAGTTGTCGCTAGGATTCTGGGCCCGGCTCTGCTCGACAGGCTCGGCCTCCAAGCCGATGAAGCGATTCAGAGCCCCGAACATGTTTGCTGCGACGAAGCGACTTGAGGGGTTGGGGTCGATTGGGCACTGCGGAGTAAAGCAGATCGCAACGTGGAGAGCTGGCCAGGCGGCGGCCCTGCAAACACGGCAAACATCGCTATCGCTTATCGCGATTGCTTTTATCGCCGCGTCCTCTACAGTGCCTGCGGCCTCCATGCTGCAGAGCGATCGGTTTTCCATTCTTCCTTTTACTTCGTCATGGCGCGAGAATCTAACGCAGAGGTCGCGCCTCCTGAGGTACATCACTACAACGACCTCAGCGAAGTGCCTTGGGACATTCAGAAGTACTTTGCTCTTGTATCGTCTACTTGGAAATTAATCGAACTAACGCCGGAACAGCTACTGGGCGCAACGATACAAGATCTTCTCCAAGTATGATGAGGGGGTGTGGCTGACTGATGATGCCTGGTTCGGTGTCACACCAGAACCTGTGGCCAAGTGAGTACTGGATTCGCATGCTGTCAACGGCAACTCCATCTAACACAACGTCCAGTAAGATAGCGGAACACATGGCCGAATCCGCACCCGCAGGACGCAGTATCCTGGTTGACGCATTTGCCGGCGCCGGTGGAAACTCCATTGCTTTTGCGCTGTCGGGCAAGTGGAAGCGCGTCTATGCTATCGAGAAGAACCCCGCCGTGTTGCAGTGCGCAAAACACAATGCCAAGATCTATGGCGTAGCAGACAAGATCACTTGGTTCGAGGGAGATTGCTTCGAAATCATCAGAGACAAACTCAAGGATCTGGCTCCGTACAGCGTTCTGTTCGCCAGCCCACCCTGGGGCGGTACGGGGCTACTCTTCCCTCCATGCATTTAGACTTCCCGCTGACATGATTCTAGGGCCTGGATATCGCTCTGATACAGTGTTCAATCTGAACACCATGGAACCATACTCTCTTGCAACGCTTTATAATGAATATTCTCTCTTCACGGAGCACATGGTGCTCTTCCTCCCACGGACATCGGACGTGAAACAGATGGCCAAGGTTGTCAAGGATGGTAAGAAGGCAACGATTATGCATTACTGCATGGAAGGTGCAAGCAAAGCGTTGTGTGTCTACTATGGCGGGTTTGATCTCCAATAATTGCTCTTATGTTCTTTTCTGCCGGTTGCTTATTAGAACTTGATCGGAAACACCAGATGTCTTCAGTGTATAATAATATGACTCGTATGCCTCAATGGAATACCCTACTAGACCTACCACCAGAGCGGTCTCTATATCAACAATTAAATATGATTGTTTAGATAGTCTCGGCTCCGGACATCTTAATGCTGTGGTGAATGTCGATTCCTCATAGGATCCTACATTTCGTTTGTAGGAGTCATACTACGAATAGTAGTATTGCGATTTTTCGCTGTATAAATGGGCTGGGACGCCCAGTAACTGGGAGTCATGTTAGCTGTTTACTATATACTAGTCTAACAACGCTGAAAATGCTCTTCTGCATTTCCAGACTCTATCTTCTTGTGAGTTAGTGACGGAAATATATATCTAAACCAAACTTCATGTATATAGGTTTCACATTCACAGAAATAAGCTCTTATAAAGATCCAATAATACTGAGCAGGATACAGTCAGATGCGATAATCTTCCGAATCAAAATGACTTTATGTGTATTGGAAAACCTGGATACTTGTTGCATTGACTGGTATAGAAAAAACCCACTAAACCAATCCAGGTTAGTGATAAATAACGGTTTCGCAGCGCTGCATATCTGGTCTTTTCCGCCGCCCGGACTCCCGCTGCAGCGACTGTCGAGTCTGGAGTCAGCCATCTCTGAACAAGCTCATCAAACTATCCTTTGTCGGCGTGTTAGGTCGTTGAAGTCTCTGGTAGACGCGCTGGCCTCGATGCGCTCTCACGCGTGATCATCTCCACTGGCCTCACGTCCTCAACCGAATACCCCACCTCTTCTCCCTGTCCCTCCGACCCTCATATCCATCCTCTTTCCAAGCTCACTTTCACTTCATCCAAAATGCCTCACGCGACAGAACCCCCGGCGCCCGATGCCGAGGACGCGGCATTTGAGAATGTAATGCGACAGATGAACGGTCCCATGGTGGAAGGGGGCATGTCGTTCGACTTCTTATCACGAGACTTGGAGCCCGGAGAAAAGGCCGATGACGCAGTGGACTACGAAGATTTCGACGATGACGAGCTGCCCGAAGAGGAAGAGCGAACAGGACCTTCTGCCGAAAATGGAGTGGAGGAACCCGACGATGCGGATAAAGGTTTGTTTGAAGCGGACGAGGAAGATCTATTCGGAGGCCAGGAAGACGAGAACCAGCAACCGCCGCGCGACGACCTGGACGACTTGTTCGGAGATGGACCTTCGTCGCCAGGACCCGATCATGCCGACCCTACGAGGGATTTGTTTTTCGAGGAGGAAGATGAGAAGCCTTCCGAAGTCCCAGAGCCAGTTGAACCCCCACCGACGCAGCCCGAACCCGTGCCGATGGATGAAGATGCAGACGAACCCATGCAGGAGGATGAAGCAATGAGCCAGACGGCCGAGGAAATGGACCCGGCTTCTCTTCGCGCCTGGAAGCTCCAGAAAGCCCTGTTTGCCATGTCGTCTTACGGCCCCGAGAACGTGCCCGCACCGCCGGACAATGCCGAGGAGCTCTTGCAGTCGCTGTTCCCAATGTTCGATAAAAATGCCCTCCCGCGTTTCCTCGAATTAATTCCACACAAGAAGGCCTTTTTCTTAGGAAAGCAGCCTCTTAAGGCCCCGAAGCCCGTGATTCCAAGCAAGGTGAATATTGAACTTGCCCATGACCAAGAGCGATCATTCAAGTCCGGAGGTCAAGCGTTCAAACGTTCGTTAGAGGAGCATTCGGGTGTGGTGGCGATCCTGGAGGCCGCTCAAGAGGAGGAAAAAGAGATCAAGGAAGAATTCGACCAGGATACCGACACGGATGAGGTGCTCCCGGGGGGTATTACCCATCATGACCTCCGTGTTGTTTGCGCCGACTGGGATGTGAAGGATGACATCTCCATAATGGACATCGATGAGCCGGAAGATAATGATGCAGAATCCGTGGAAGATGACTGGCTCATGGAAACCACTCGCCCGGCCAAGAAACGGAAGATCGGAAGGGATCCGCTGGAGATCGTTGCCCTGTCGCAGATTGATGTGCCGGTGATTGACGACCCTCAACAGGCCACCTCGCGAATCGCTCAGAAAATTACCGTCGACATGAATGATCCTCACATTCTCCTGGACGAGCGGGGACCGGAGTCTGCTACACAGAAGCCCAAGTCACTGGGTGCTCTCAACCGGGACGAATTGGATGCCAGTGTCACGAAACGTCTTACATCTCGCTACAACATCTCGAACGACCAGGCGTACGATATGCTCAAACAAAACCACCAGAACAAGGTCCGGAGCACCCTGGGCAATGTTACTCTCGAGCACAGTATGCCCGCCCTGCGTCTGCAATGGCCTTACTACAGAACCGAGCTGGCCAAGGCCGAAGCGCGTTCTTTCCACCGCCCAGCTCTTTCTTTCAGGCCGGGACAGACGTGTTGGTTCAAAAACACCGCGTACATGAAACGCAAGCACCAAAGAAGCAAGGATGTCAAGACGCTCTACGACTCTACGAAATCTCTGTCGCTGGCGGACAACTCCAACGTCCTGCTCGTCGAATACTCAGAAGAGGTTCCGCTGATGCTATCCAACTTTGGCATGTCGAACCGGATCATCAATTACTACCGGAGAAAAAGCATGGAGGATCCCACTCGCCCCAAGGCCGAGATTGGTGAAACCGCCGTTCTTCTACCTCAGGACAAGAGTCCCTTCTCTATCTTTGGACATGTGGACCCCGGCGAAGTAACCCCTGCTATTTCGAACTCCATGTATCGCGCTCCGTTGTTCCCGCACGAAGCCAAAAACACCGACTTTTTAATTGTGCGCAGCAGCACTGGCTCGGGTGGCAGCGATTATTACATCCGAAACATTGAGAATCTGTTTGTCGCCGGACAGCAGTTCCCGTCCGTGGACGTTCCCGGTCCGCATTCGCGGAAGGTCACCACGGTGGCCAAGAACCGCATGAAGATGTTGGTATACCGTCTGTTGAAGAAGAGCCCGGACCTTCGGCTCTCTATCAGCGATGTCACTGCGCACATCCCGGGCACTAGTGATATGCAAAATCGACAAAAGGTCAAGGATTTCCTCCAGCACGACAAGGACTCCAAGTACTGGGTGCCGATGGAGCCTGTTCCAGAGCAGGATGTGATCCGCGCGTGGGTTCAACCAGAGGACGTCTGTCTTTTGGAGTCCATGCAAGTCGGCCAGCAGCATCTGCACGACACGGGTTTCGGCAACGATGCCGAGACCGGTGGAGACGAGGATGCCGACGAGGAAGGGGAGAGCTTTGAACAACAGATGGCGCCCTGGAAGGCGACCCGCAACTTCCTCCAGGCATCGCAAGGTAAAGCAATGCTCAAGCTGCACGGAGAAGGTGACCCTACGGGGCGCGGGGAGGGCTTCAGTTTCATCAAGACCTCCATGAAGGGCGGATTCAAGGCGGTTGGCGAAAGTGTGGAAGACAAGCTTGATGCCCAGCGACTCAAGGAGCTTGGCGGTCACAGTTACAACGTTGCCCGGCAGCAGAAGTCCTACGAAACGTCCATCCGACGCATCTGGGATTCCCAGAAAGCCAGTCTGTCGTCGACTGTTGAGCATTCAGACGACGAGAGTGACATCGACCGCGAAGAAGAGGAGGAGTTCGGCAAGCCGACCCCCCGATCCGAAGCTCCTACGCCGGCTCCTTTCCGCCGTGACGACGAGACAATGAGTCAGTTCAGTAAGATTAGCATGCCCGATCAGAGGGGCAAGGTCCTACGCATCGTGCGGACATTCAGAGACGAAAAGGGCGAGCTCTATCAGAAAGAATCTATGGTCTGGGACCCACGCGTTATCCGCCACTACATCCAACATCGTCATCGGGTGGAGGCTCTTACCACCAAGTATGCCCCAAACCACTCCCACTCCTGCCCCAACTCTTACAAAACTAACCTCTCCAGGCTCGACTGCCTCCAACCCACCGGCGACAAGGAGATCGACGCCCGCAACAAGAGGCTGTATGTCCAAAACCTACTTACTACTTCTATCATCCACCGCCCCCTGCCCCCAAAGACTAAGCCCCCATCTAACCCCCAACAGCCTCGAAGCCGAGCTCAACCGCCTCAACCGCAACAAGGAACGCCGCTTCGCCCGCGAGAAGCAGAAAGGCGCTGCCCGCGCCTCAGCAGGAGACTCGCCCGCCGACGGCGGCTCAGGCGGCAAGTCCGCAGGCACGCAACGCAAATGCGCCAACTGTGGCCAGGTCGGCCACATCAAGACGAACAAAAAGTGCGTATTATACAGCTCAGGAGCCCTTGAATTCCCCTCCAACCCTTTGGACTTCGCCCCCTCGTTTTTTGCCTACTCCCCCGTAGTAGCCCCCACTAGGCCTGCCCCCAAGGCCTTGACCCAGGAACAGGACCCCAAACAGGACCCCAAACAGGACCCCAAACAGGACCCCAAACAGGACCCCAAACAGGACCCCAAACCTGAAATCAAACCTGAACCTGAACCTGAACCCGAAGAGGAATCCGAAGAGGAATAATCCGATTCCATCCTTACACCCCCCCTTAACCCACACGCAGTTCCCCACATGCAGTCCCCCCCAACTGCATGGACCCCAACCCAAAACCCATTCAAAGCAAACACACAAGACGAGAAACGGAAGGAAACAAAAAGAAAAAAAAGAGAAAAAAACACATAAAATGCTAATTCATCCATCAATTCTCTTCCAGACTCTGCCCCCTTCTCAACGGCACTATGAAACCGGAAGAACGGGTTAGCGATTCCGCCTTCGCCATGGGCGCTCCCCCTGCTCTGTGATTTCCAACTTTTACTTCCTTCGCCGTGATACCCCGTTCTCGTCTCGCCTACCTACTACACAGTCACAATTCACCGACCGAGTGACCGACCGACCGATTCACCTATACCTCCGTACCTACCCTATCCCTTTGAATCGGCTGCTTCGATTGGTGTGTGCACTGGGCCTTTCCCTTTCCTTTCAAACTATAGGTTCTATAGTTTGTTCTCGCGCAGTCTTATTCTGGATCATTCTTGGGAGTTACAGGCAGGGGTTGGTGGAATGCGTCTTACGAACTCTGTGCCATGAACCTTGAATATGACCTCTTTTTCCTTTGCCCATCAATCTGGGCGTTGCAGCGAGAAATATCAGATCATGCATTTGTCCAGCAACATTATCAATAATATCTTATAGGGAGGGCAGCTATGATCAGTAGCAATATGACCCCAGGGCCCAGATAAGACTACCATAAGAATGATAGTCAAGAATATGTCATGAAGAATACAGTATTGTTCAGGATAAAGAAACGGAAACCAGTAGAGAGCCAGGCAGACTCCCTACCCATACAAGTCCGACAGGTGTCCTCGTCCTAGCAGTGCTCGCCCTCGGTCCGGTGCTAGGGCCATCGCAACTGCCTGAGGTCGGCGATAGGTATATCCTAGAAATGCTCCCTTCTTGCGCATCTCCAAAACCGTCATCCTCACTCTTCGGTCACGTAGCAGCTTGTCTCGCGGCCGCTTCTTGTCCTTTCCTTTTCGGCGATTTTTTACCGGGGGTTTGCTTCCGGGACTCGGCATTTGATTGATGTCCTGATATCGGGGTGGTTCGCCTTTCTCTCGATCACGCTCCCCTCGCTCTTCAGCTTCGCTGTATTCTTCGAGATGGTCTGCCTCTGACGCCGCGGAGAAATCCTCCGGGTCATGATCATACCCAGCATCATCAAAGTACCGGGTATCCTCCCAGCTCTTCACTTTGGGGATGAATGGGGGCATCGATTGGTGGATCTCGCTCCAGTTGACGCAACGAAAGAACGGATGGTTCTTGATATCTGTCGCATCGTTGGGGTAGACATAGAACCCACGATAATTCCTGTTGCGAGGGTCCATGTTATAGAAGGGGTGCCTGGACGCTAACCGGAAAGTGATGGAGTCGTTCACTCGATATTTGCTGGAGGACAAACGATGTTCTTTCTCCTGAAGCAGATAGTTGATCAGGTCAATTGCTTCGGCAGAGATGTCTTTGTCTGAAGACCGATTCGTTGGGAATTGTAGCGTCGTGCTGTGATGCTTTGGCCTTGTCAGATACACCTGCATTGAACAATGGTATAGGGGATCCTTACGTGGATCTTCAACTTTGTTTTCTGCCGATCATCCGATGCAAAAGGGGTGAATCCATAGAGACACTAGTGCTTCTGTCAATAATTGCAGCATGACTTGGAACTGGGTTCCTTACTTCGTACAAGATAATGCCCACACTCCACCAATCGCATCGCCCGTCATATAGCTCGCCGCGAACCACTTCAGGGGCCATGTATTGGTTGGTGCCGACGACACTCCCTGCCAACCGCCGTTTCTGTGTCCGATCACGCCATCCTAGAAGGCCAACTGCGGGTGGGGTCCAGCTGGTGTCATCGACCTTGTCGTTGTCGGCTGTTCGAGAAGACTCCTCTGCCGCCCTTGTCGCCTCTTTCTGGTCCAGAGCGTCACCATCAACCTGGATTCCTAGCCGTTTTAGGAGAGAGTAACGATGATCATTATAGTAGACCTGGTCGTGTGCCCAGTGCCCATCGAAGGCCAGGCCAAAGTCGGATATCTTCAGGTGGCCAGAGGCCGAGATGAGGAAGTTGTCTGGTTTGACATCGCGATGAATCCAGCATAGTCGATGAGCCTCTTCGACGCAGAGAATCATCTCGGCGATGTACCATCTAGCAACAGTCTCGGGCAAGATATTTCGACGCATCAGCAGGCCTAAAAAATCACCGCCCACCATATAGTCCATGATGAGATAGAGATGGTTACTATCTTGGAAGCTTGCGATCAAGGGGACAATCCACCGAGACTTAGCCGATGCCACCAGAAAGTCTCTCTCAGCCCGCAAGTGACCTTCCTGACTGTTGCGAATCATCGCCGACTTACGAATAACTTTCATGGCGAAGACATCCTTCTTCACGCCGGTCATAATCTTCCGACGGTTGCTCTTCGTCCCGTCTATAGCGGACCGTAGAGAATCCAGTGCGTGTGCCTTCGTACTGGTAGCCTCATTCTTCCAGCGTAAAAGCTTGTCCTCGGAGCAGCCATCATATTCACCCTCGCCTCCCCTCCTTTCCTTGACTAGGCGTACGACTCCGAAACTCCCCCTACCTAGCACTTTGATCACCTCAAACCCAGCTAGAGATACAGTCTCATCATGGCCGCCACCGCTATGAGATCGACTCTTGAGGACTCGACACTGCCGTAGGTAGTGCCGCTCCTGCGTAATCCAGTTGTCCCATATCCGGGCTCTTTCTTCAGGACTCAGCGGTAGTCCGTACATATACTGCTCAAGTTCCTGCCGACGCTGAGAACGAGGATCTGTACCACAAAAGACTGTGTTAAAATACGTTTCAAAAAAGACCTTGGCGTTAGTAGCGGCCTCCACTGTGACAACGGAAGGTGACGTTCCTGACGACGCTTCGGTTGATGTAAAATCTTCGCCAACCTCCTGGACTGGGCAAGGCACATCCTTTTCGTTTCTAACCGAACTACCGAGTGCCTGCTTCGAACTTCCGGAGGGGTCTTCTGATGTGGGAGGGGTTGACTGTGTGCCCAACGGAGACCCACTGTTACCTGGTGATGTCGAGGGACTCGAGCTGTCGTTGGCACTATCGCCTTGTTTGTTGAGACCATGGGAAGGGGCTGAGAATTTCACAGCACGGATATTGGGCGGCGACCGAAGGTGCGAGCGACGAATGACAGTTGGATTGCCAAATGTCGTGGACAGCTTGGTGGATACAATACTGGTGAGTGCTGCCGGCGTTGACTGGCTCCGTTTCACTCCCACTGCTGGCTTTCTCTGGAGCCCACGTGTATCAAATCTCTGTGACTTCGAGGTGGCTTCGGATTCCTGTGATGTCCCGTCCCTCAAGCTGCTGTGGGTGATGCAGGTCGGCAGAGGACCGGGATGTACCTTATCTGGATCGATGGCCGTGCTGCCAGAGGTGACTCTATTCTCGGTTTGAAAGGAATGGAATGACTGCGACGGATTGCTGTCGGTCGAGCCCTTCCGAGGGACGGCGGTCTCTCGAGTCGTCACTGCTTTGAGCACTAGGTCACCAGTCAGCAGAGTGTAAAGTTCAAAGAATCGGTATAGTCCTACCGCCACTAGGACCGCGAAGGCCCAGTAAGGATAGAATACGCGAGCTTCTTTGCCTGATGCGCTCCCGGATGCCGTTGTTTCTGGGCTGCGCTGCTTGATGTTCCAAATCCACACCGTCCGACATAGCCGAATCACTTGCTGACAGCTCAACTCTGCCCTCAGCAATAGTGTCGGGGTTCATCAGTAAGCCAGGGGGAGTTATGGGCGTAGAATCACCCGTTGGATGAGAAACCATCTCGGTGATGGCCGACAATGGAGAGAGACAGGGCGAGCCGGCCCTCTGAACCGTGCGCGTTATAGAGGGGTGTTAACGACCGAGAGGATAGTATGAATGGGAAGATCGAGCAGAGGGGGAATTCCTTAGAAAGCACACTCTGATCCATAATCTTCATAGTGTCGACCAGGTTGGAGACTGGCTGATGGACGAGGGGAGAAAGAGGGGGGAAGAAGGTTGGCGGCAGGCACGATGGAAGAAAGGCAGGAACTGCCGGTTCCGCGAGAATTCCATCTACGAGGGATCGATCTACAAGGGATTTACGATGAAACGGGTGAACGGCTCCAAACTGATGGTTCAAACCAAAGCCACTTTTCATTAGACAAAGATACTTGGATCGCTTGCAATATCCTCATCCCTGCCAATGCATCGGAAGGCTGTGCAAGAGAAAAACAAGTCGGATATCACAGGACTGATGTCAGATTGGAAAAACCCCAAACACCTTTTAAGCAAAATAATATGAAGGAACAACTATGCAATTAGATGGCGGATGTGTCCGAGCAACGAGCGACGCGGCACACCCGGGTAGCGCCGGCCACCCATCTATTTGATCTCGAGGAGCTTGACGTCGAAGATCAGCTTCGAGTTGCCGGGGATGCCGGGAAGAGCGCGCTTGCCGTAGGCGAGGTGAGGGGGGATGCTGATGCGGCGCTCACCACCGACGGCCATGCCGGCGACACCGATGTCCCAGCCCTTGATGACCTCGCCCTTGCCGAGCTTGAAGGTGAAAGGCTTGCCCTTCTTGTTGGCTGCAACGACTCTGTTAGTGCGCAGATTCTTTGACATAGCGGAGCAGGTCAGGACTTACAATCGAAAACCTTGCCATCCTCGAGCTTGCCGATGTAGCGCATGGCCACGGTGTTACCAGCCTTGGCAGCAACACCCTGGCCGAGCTTCTTGTCGTCGATCTTGACGCCCTTGACCTCCTTGACACCGAGGGTGCCAGTGGTCTTCTCAGCGGGCTTCTGGGTGGAGCCAGTAGGGCCCTGCTCGAGGTTCTTGGCGAACTGGACCTTCTTGGCCTCCTTGCCCTCCTTGGCCTCCTTCTTCTCCTCAACGGGGGCGGCCTCGCCGTTGTTCTTCTTGAGCTTCTTCTGCTGCTTCTTGCTCAAGGCCGGCTCACCGTTGGCGGCAGGCTTGGGCTCCTCAGGCTCGGCGGCACGCTTCTTGTTGCTCTTGGATTCCACGAGCTTGGGGGCCTCGTCCTCCTCGCTGTCGACCTCGGTGATGCGGGGGTCCTCAAGGTCGTCGAGGTCGTCGCTCTCGTCATCCTCACCCATCAGCTCGTCGAGGTCCAGCTCATCCTCATCGGGGGAGAGGTCGTAGTCTTCCTCGTCGGACTCCTCATCGTGGTCGTGGTGGTGGTCATCGACGGGCATGACGTAGTTTCCGGTCAAGTAGATGGTGTGGGTACCGGTCACCTTGAAGAAGACACGCTCATCGTCGGCGACGGTGATGTCCAGAGGCTGCTGGCAGTTCTACTTTGGGTTAGATTTCAAGTAGGGATCGAAGAGATCCAACGGAAACGCACCTTCTCGGGGTCCAGGGTGCAGATGACGGTCTCGTCCAGCTCCAGACCCTCATCGGAATCGACATCCGACTCGTCATCGTTAGCGGGGCCCTTGCCCTTGATCAGCTTGGAGATGGCGGCCTTCAGGTCGAAATCGCTCTCCTCAGAGTCCTCATCGTCGTCCTCGTCCATGGCCTCCTCGAGCTCCTTGCGAGCAGCAGCCAGCTTGAGCTTGCGGGCCTTCTCCTTGTCGCTGGGGCCGCCGTTGACCTCCTCCTCGTCGGAGTCCTCATCATCCTCGTCATCTTCCCAGTCCTCATCGTCCTCCTCGTCGATGTCGAGACCGGGAGGGGCGCGCACAAGCTTCAGGGTGGCACGGGGGCGCTTGTTGGAGTCGAAACCATCCTCGTACTCGGGAGCCTCGTCGGGGTCAATGGCAGCCATGCTGACACGGAACTGTTGCAGACGATTAGCGGATTGATTTAGAAAGGGAAGGCTCTACTACTGACCATGGCAGCAGCCTGAGGAGGAACCGCTGGGATCATGGCTCCGCCAGCGGGAACCCGGAGGGCGTAGACAGCAACGGGCGTAACTCCGGACATGGTGAGTTGGATAAGAAAATGTGAGGGGGAAAAAAGGTAAAGATGGGAAACGAAGCCAACGAGAGGATGGCCAGGAGACGCAGGTAAAGAAAGGTCGTCTACCCGAATCAAGCGCGGAAGAACGAGAAAGCAGCGGAAGGGGAGAGAAGAGAAGAGAGGCAGAGGGAAAAGTTTTGAGCTGCGGATGGATGATGGCAACCGAACCCAATTCGACGGCAACGGCTTTTTTCTGACTTTTTTCTGCCGCCAATCAGCTGCTGTTCCCCGGCGGATCTGCCGCTGTTCACCGCTGCGGGCCCTTCCGCATCACGTGCGCTCGTGGCTTTCCGCGTCTCATCCATGATTCGCCTCTCTCGGTCTTTCTCAGTTGCTTTCAGTCTCTCTCTCTCCTCCTTCGACGCTTATCTCACCGGAACTTCCACCAGATGGTTCGAGGGTCGACTTTGCGTCCCCATACCATGTGCCTAGTCCCGGCCCCTCATGGGCTCGCTGTTAGACCAGAACTCCAGCGCGGTGCGCAAGCGCATTCAGAATCGTAAGTGGACCCCGTGCCGTGGCGGTGGGATACCGCTTTCCTGCATCGTGCTGACAGCGGGTCTCCAGACCACTTCGATGACGAGGACGGCGAGGAATACGAAGCCTCCGCCTTTGGCGGCTTCGGCGATTATATGCGCCGCAAGAAGCTCAAGCTACAGAACCTGGATGCTGAAATACGCTCCTCCGCCACCGACTGCCCGCCTATCTTTCGTGGAGTCGTCGCGCACATCAATGGCTACACCCAACCATCTCTGCAGGACCTCCATCGCCTTATCGTGAGCCATGGCGGGGGGTTCCTGCAATATCTGAACGGCAAAACTGATGCGACGCACATCATTGCCAGCGCGTTGACACCCAAGAAGCGCGAGGAGTTTCGACGCTATCGGATCGTCAAACCAGCATGGGTGGTCGAAAGCGTCAAGGCTGGTCGGATGCTGCCGTGGGACGCTTTTCGTGTCCTCGACGAGGGCCAATCCCAGAAAGTGCTCAAGTTCGACGACGGACGGATGGTCAGCCAGACGAATAGTCCGCAGTCCGGCTACCGCGAACAGACCGATTCCAGCTGGTATACCTCCCAACTTCAAATGGCGACTTCTGTGGACCAGACAGAAATGCAGCGATCTCCTTTGCAAGACTCCGAAATGGTTGGCCTAACGGACCAACTGCCCAGTGGAGGCACGCAGTCGGACTACGGCGAGTTTCCAAGCTTTGCCTCTCTGGATGAGACGAGCAAGCTACCCAACGCACCATCCCCGCTGAAGGAAGCACCACCCGGCACGCCACAAGATAAACAGTCACCATCGAGGCATGAGAATGTAGGAACTGATTCCAACCTGCGCGGACCAGTCGATGGCCAACTTGATGTGGCTCCCGCACCGCTACCGCTTGTACGGGAGAATTTACCAGCGAAATTAGACATGACCTCCGAGGAATACAATGCGCAGCTGCTGTCGGACCCGCGCATGAGGAACTCTAGTGTTGCGGATCCGGAATTCATCCAGCAATTCTATAGTGAATCTCGACTTCATCATCTGTCAACGTGGAAAGCCGATCTCAAAGCGCAGCTTCAGTCTGCTACCAAAGAAAAGCTACAGTCTCAATTGAAGTGTAGGAAGCCTGCTCCTGGAGCAAGGAGGTATATTATGCACGTGGATTTTGATTGCTTCTTTGCAGCGGTATCGACATTGAAGCGGCCGGAGTTGCAGGGGAAACCTGTCGCCGTCGCACACGGCACCGGCTCGGGATCGGAGATCGCCAGTTGTAACTACGAGGCGCGTGCCCATGGGATCAAAAACGGCATGTGGATGAAGGGGGCATTGCAGGCCTGTCCGGAGCTAAAGGTAGTGCCCTATGACTTTCCCGCGTACGAAGAAGCCAGCCGGAAGTTCTACAGCGCCATTCTATCCGTGGGTGACACAGTTCAGAGTGTCAGCATTGACGAGGCTCTGGTGGATATTACTATGCAGTGTCTCGAGGCTGGAGGTTCGGATGGCAGAGGTATCTCGGAGGGGTCTCTCTATCGGGAACAGGCCAAAGCCGATGAGATCGCAGAAGACCTTAGGGCCACAGTAAAGAGGGAAACAGGCTGCGCAGTCTCCGTGGGAATCGGAGGAAACATCCTCTTGGCCAAGGTTGCTTTACGAAAAGCGAAACCTGCTGGTCTATTCCAGCTAAAGCCGGATGCTGTCCTTGATTTCATTGGAAACCTTACAGTTCAAGATCTCCCGGGTGTTGGTTACAGTCTGGGAACGAAGCTGGAAGAAATAGGTGTCAAATTTGTCAAAGACGCCCGGGATCTGTCTCGTGAGAGGCTCACTACGAGCCTGGGTCCTAAGACCGGCGTCAAGATCTGGGAATACTCCCGCGGTATCGATCGGACCGAAGTCGGCAATGAAGTCCTCAGAAAGTCGGTTTCTGCGGAGGTCAATTGGGGAATACGCTTCGTAAATCAGACCCAGGCCGATGATTTTGTGCGGTCCTTATGCCAGGAACTGCATCGCAGACTTGGCGAGAACCTGGTGAGAGGAAAGCAGTTGACTCTCAAAGTCATGCGGAGATCTCTCGATGCGCCTCTAGAGCCCGTGAAGCATCTCGGGCATGGGAAGTGCGATGTGTTCAACAAAAGCGTTGTTCTCGGCGTTGCCACTGATGAGACCGAAATTCTGGGCAGAGAGGCCGTCGCTATGCTAAGAAGCATGAATCTCTCGCCTGGAGACTTGAGAGGGCTGGGCGTTCAGATGACTAAACTTGAACATCTCAAATCGGGCTCTCCTGGAAGGTCCGGTCAGCGACAGCTCAATTTCAAGGCGTCCCCCCTTCGCAAAAGCATCGAGCGTAACGATGATGACATCCTTGACAGTCCCCGCAAAGGAGAGACCGAGTCTGTGAGGCCCGTTCCTTCATTCAGTGACAGTGGCCGGCCGCTGAATATTTCGGGGACTCAATTTATTTTGCCCTCGCAAACCGACCCTACCGTCGTTGCTGAGCTGCCAAATGACATCCGATCGCGACTCATCGCCCAGGGGAAACCTCGACGCGATGCGCGCTCTGTGTCTCCCTGCCCTCCAGCTCGCCCCCAGCCATCCGCACGTGTGGAACTTCCGCCCCAGTCGCAGCTTGATCCGGACACATTAGCAGCTTTGCCAGAGGATGTGCGTGCTGAGATCCTGGAATATTATAGCCGGCCCTCGACCAGTCCGGGTCCGCAGCCCGCGCCGCCCTCGCCGTCTCCTGCCCCTGCTCTCACTCCGCCTCCCCGGCCCTCTTCCTCCTCGGGATCCCTGCTGATGCGGAAGCCCACGAGCCCTCCCAAGAAGCGACGTGGGCGGCCCAGCACCAAGTCGGTAGGCAATCCAGCATTCAAGCAAGCTCGATTCGTTTTACCAAGAGCCACTGCTTCATCTTCAACCAACAATGAGCGTCAGTCGCCTGCCCCGGAACTGACCGACGTCTCGGCCGACTTCCTCGCCGCGCTCCCAGAGGACATCCGTCGTGAGGTGCTCGAGGAACAACGAAGGGCAAGGATGCTCCAGCGCCCAAGCATCAACCCTCCGGCGCAGAGACCCACTCAGTCAAGACCCTCCGCCCCTCCCGCGCAAGAAAAACGACTGGTTTGGCCCCCCCTACCAGAGAGGCCAACATTCACTTCCCAAAAGCTCTCTAACATATCCGACCTGCGGGATGCGATTAGTTCCTGGCACGCAGCGTTCAGCAGCGAAGGTCCAATTGAAGAAGACGTGATCTCCCTCGGCCGGTATCTGAAGCGCGTTATCGTGGATGAGAAAGACATGGACAAGGCAGTGTCGGTTCTTAAATGGCTCATGTGGCTGATTCATGACGAGCAAAACGAGAATGCGTCTGATGCGTTTAAAACCCCGGACCCAAGTGGCAAGACGGGCAGCAGCTCGCAGAATGCAGTCACCTGGGAGGCTGCAATCAGGACGCTGCGGGAGAGCCTCGACGAGGGGTGCACGGAGCGAGGACTGCCTCCTGTTGATTTGTCTTGATGTATATAATGTTGCTTAGTCGAGTTGGCCTGCTGGCGTTAGCTCGGATATGACGTTTGGTTACTTAGCTTGGACATATTAAATGTCGAAATGGCTACTGAAGCGATACAACGTGGATTCAGTGGGAATGAATGAATTGGATGACTATCTAAAGCGTCGCTACTGACAGTCTCTATATAGGTAAAGTAATGGTATGGAAAAGAGGTATTACATGACTATAATTGCTTATTATACTCTGGAGGACTGGTAGTCTTTTAATACAGTCTTTTAAATAATAAGATTTTATCTGAATCAGTCTTTATAAAGTTAATATTATTTCTTAATTAGATAGTTAGTATAAGAGCGTTAGACAAGGTGATAATTGCAGGATTTAATATTATCTTTAATAATGTTAAGAAGGTCTGGAATATCTTTAAATTAAGTAACTTAGTAAAGCTGTTTACAAAGTTCTTTGTTCTTGTAATATACAATATTTTAGTAATATTCTTAATAATTATATTAGTGATAAAGAAGTATCTGTTGTCTAGCTATTTAATAAAATAAGAATAGAATTCTTAATATAGAATTATGAAAGAATTAGCTGAGTTTGTGAATATAGAGATCTAGTTATTTAATAAGATTATGTTACGGACCCCTGCTAGCTGAACAACTAGTAAGGCGGGTATGTCAGGCAGAAGGCCACATCCGGACGGAAGGGGGCTCTTATCGAGGAGGATCCCGACCCGAACCGTCAGGCAGCACGGATCACGTGACCATGGTATACGGACAAGCATGTGGTATACAACATACCATCATGGTCTATAACTACCAAGTGGGTATACGACAGACCCGATGGTATATGAAATGGTATACGGGGAACGGATATATAAGGACACTCCTTCATGTACTTAGTTAGTTCTGTTCTTCGTGCTCAATCAACATTGTCTTTAAGTAACCTACGTTTTGGTAGAGCTTAGCGACAACACTCGTCCGCACTTACTTACGGATAGCTGCGCGGCACTATCTGGCCTTACTTCTCTTCTTCTGTTCAGATCAAGTCACCTTTAGATAGTCAACAGCCTGACTACCTTTGATTCAGTTCACAAGGTACGTATTGGAACGGGAGCTAAGCTAACAGGAACAGGGAGAAGCGATCCTAGGGTTTGACAGATTATAAGACTGGATATTATTATTAATTTCTTGATATATAGTATTTCTTTGATAGTATTATTATATATATAGAATTCTGTAATAATAAAAAAAAGAATTATTATTATCTATTTTTATAAAGTTTATAATATTAGTAGAATTGCGATTTGCTGGCCCGCTGCCGCTTTCAGCTGCCCCCTCCTTCAGGTTTAGCGTCCGTGTGGTGTCAGATCCGGGATCGCGCCAGGCATATGTAGTTTAGCCCGTCCGTACCGGGTTTAGCGCAGAATGTTAGTCCCGATCGGGATCTGCCGTCGCCCACCACCCGTAGCACGATGTCCACTATTCTATATAAAGCCGCGGTGCGTCGCTCAACAATGACTTTCTCCTTTCCCACCAAGTTTGCTTCGCCGGCGCCATTTCCTGGTCGGCTGACGTGGCTCGTGTCAGCTGAAAATTCTGTGCCCTGCGCACAGCCTGCTTCCCCACTCGCCGGAATTAGAAGGGGACGGTCTGGTCTTTGCAAGTCACCCCGGATCGTTCTTCGTTTCTCAGCCCTGTATAGCTCTATGCATTCTTCGTTTCACACTGTACGTTGTGGATGGCCGCTGTTTCAACTTGTATACACATCACATTCGGGCTGCTTGATGATTGGGCATGTGAAAAGCAACTTTGGCCATTAGCCACTCTTTCACTGATCTCAAACATTCATGAAAATGTTGGCTTGCCTGATCGGCTCGCGTGACTGTTAGAACTGTAGGCTACTGCGCGTAATGAGAGATTTTTCTTGATGATCTTTTCTAATTCTCAAGTCGTCAGCTGAGGTGTTTTGAAGGCTGCAATGTTATGAAATGAAAAATGAGGAACCTTTGTACAGTGGATATGAGGGTGATTCTTGACCAAATCGAGTTCTATCATGGCCCAAGTCTCCAGCGGCCATCCACCAGTGCGAAGAAAGTTTCTACCGGTCATGCCACAGCTCATGCTCCTCGAACTTTCCACCGTTATTCTCCCACTGGATCCGGTTTCTGCCAAAGACCGTGTGAGGCATCTCTAGGACAAGCACCGCCGTTGACCGGCACAACTCATGAGTGGAACATGTTTGATATCGCGATTGATAATGTATATGGCTCCACTTGGCCTCAAATTACGAAAGGTATTGAACCCGCAGCGACAACAAATATGCCAACTGCCCGTGATATGCTGTTGGATGGTAGAAGTTCCACGCTGGCAGACTCAGTGTCATTGAGACACTCAACACGGGTTACATGTCCTGCAGGGGCAGACTACCTCGACCGCATTCCTCCTGATATGCGAGAAAATGACTTAGCAGGTAAGCTGGCAGAATACCTGATGATGAACGTCGGTCATCTTTGTCTGACCTTTTTAACTTTCTTTCCTTTTTTTTTTTTTTTTTTCTTTCTTCAGAAGCCGTTCCTGATACAAAGAAATGGAGACTTCTCGACTCTCGTGCGTGCCCTGCGTGACCGCGCCTGTGCCCGCACCCGAACAAGCAAACACTGCCTTTAGCAATATTTTTGCGGTGGGCGATTCCCAGCAGAGATCAGTCAAGCGAAAGTTGTCTATCACAGGCTCCTCTCACTCAGATAGTATGCACCATTGGGGCGACGAAAAGGATACGGAGCCAAGTCAAACAGCTGAGCTAGGTGGAATTCCATGCTACAGGGAAAATGATGCCCCGAAGCGGGCTAAAGATTCCAACACTGCTGAAAATAAGTCAGCCTCATCTGGCCCGCCAACCGTGCGCTCAACTCCAGAATATTCTGGTGCTCGAATGGCACTGAGTTCCGATAAGCCAGTAATTTAATGATAACATCTATATTTACCACTTTCATCACACATATTCTGTCCCGGAAGTGGACTTTGAAAACCACTGAGTACTTGCTCTTCTTCAAAATTTCGAGGAATTCCACCTCAAATGGTTTCACATCAACCTCAGTAGACATGAGGCCTATGTGAAATTCGTAAAGTAAGCGAAAGATGAGGGTCGAGTGTGAGTTGTGCTGGTTGGTTTTGCGACTTGGATAGTTGAAGGAGACCTGTCAGACAGTGTGAAAGGCTAAGAAGCCAGGAGACTACTTAAGGTAAGGTAGTCAGTAATAGGAATTGAATTTACTAAAGAAGGAACAATCTAATCATAGATGAACTAATCTTTCTTATAAATAATCTTCTTTAAAGATTCTGTATAATTTTAAAAGTTTCTTTACTTTTTACCGTCAGACGGGATCATAAAAAGTCAGTTTATCAGCAATGACCGTTTCCCACGGGGATGATTGAATGCGGGATCCGTTGGTCACCTGACTGCGGGACTTAGTCATTAGACTAATCGAAATAGGTAATGGCCGAATTGGGAAGTAGGCCAGCCGACAAAGTACTTATATTCAGACTGGTAATTGGTCACGCTCTAAATAGACTAATGAATAAGATATAGTTTAAAGCCATGGACAGGATTACAGGAACAGAAGGTTTTTATCTATACAAGAAGTATATGCAGTGTGCTTAGCAAGATCGCTCTGTGCCCTTTTTAGAGAATTTTTATACAGCTTTGAAAAATCTCTTTATAACTTTAAAGACTTTTCAAGATTTTCTTTTACTTCTTAATTTTTACTATCATAAATGTTATTAGATTAAGCTTGTAGGGCCAGACAGGCTGGAACATAGAATATTCCAGTTCCGGATGGCTGACAGGGTCTAACCCTTTCAGAGCCGTGCTGGATTACTAGGTACTAATGGAGCTCACATTTCAAATTCTATATAGTACGGAATGATAGGCGAATTTGGCACTTCACGCGCTCAGGGACCGTGAGTATACTGTCGTAGTCAGTGCCCCACCCAGGCTATAATCATCCCCGGATTCGGTATAGTTTCGGCGGCCCCCTTGATTTCGTCCCCTGGACTTCCTCCCTTGGATTCGATTTCATCCTGGAAAACTTGCATGGAAAACTTGCATGGAAAACTTGCATGGAAAACTTGCAAGGAAAACTGCAAAGCATGATGACCATCAACCTATCAGAGGTAGATTTTCTCAACCTAAGCAAACGATCCCAATCATCTTGTGTCTTTCACACTCGTTGGCGCGATAAACAATGTATCCTGAAAGTGGTATGCGGGCTAGGCATTGTCTCACATCTATATACTTACCAATATCCAGTATCACCATGTCGAAAGAACCAATGCCAGTCCCAGAGACCGAGAAGTTGATCCATTTACATGCGAAATTCAAACGTATACACGACTGAAAGCGCATGGCCTCTGTGGCCGAGGATGCGTCCCCGACTTCTACGGCGTAATTGACGAGATCAATCCTATGGATCGATTACCCTATCTGAAGGACTTTCTCAAAGACCGTACCTATTCTAAAGGAGTCCTAATTGAGTTTATACCCAATCTCAGGCAGATAGATCTATCTACCTTCTCTCAAGATGGGAGTCTATAAGCTCCGCCAGATCTTAACAGAGATTCACAGGGCCGAAGTCTACCATGGAGATCCATATCCGCGGAATATGATGGTCCAAGAAGGCTCAGATCGGGTGCTCTGGATTGACTTTGATCGTGCGCAGACTTACGATTCGATCACACCTCGCCAACAACATCTACTGGATGAGGAAGATGAGTTGATGGATTATTTTGTTAATGCCTTGGTGAGAAACACCTCCACCATTTATTGTTTTCGCCATTAATAGTTCGTGTGTAGGCGGAAGACTATAAAGAAGGCAAAATTCATCGTACGTGGGAGTGTTATTACGAGTACGTATAATCCCATCACGATAGTAACAGAAACTGACTGCAATATCATCTGCTAACGTGCATATAGTACCATTTATCAGTCATCCTGAACTCACTCACGCCTGCTGGTGGATGTTAGGTCATATCCACAGTTTGTGATGGATTACATGGGTGCTTATAAGGGCATGAAGCACAGACTACGCCTTGGCTCAATAGGTGTGCTGACTAGAAGCCAAGTTCGTTTTCAGATCCATGCTACAGGTGTTGGATGTTCGATAACTCTCAACACATGCCTGCTGATATGGATCCATCCCAAGATGCAATAATATCCCCAGGTGGTCTATTTGATACGAGGTGCCTCCGTGTTTACATTTCACTCTCGCATAGTGCCTGAGGGGACAGTGCCAACCGATTAGTGTTGAGCAACGAGGGACGTACACCATTACCCCTTTGGCAGTGAAACCTCTGATGAAGGCACCCCATAGCATAAGAGACATATCTCCACATCGAGTTGTTCTCTGTACAAATCGTGGTTTGATCGATTCCGACGAGGTGCAAGCCTTACTGAGAAACACCCGATCATTTTGTCCTGTATGACTCTGAGCAGATTGTTCCAATTCAGTACGAGCATCTATATCTCGCCTGAATCTTTTTATTCTACATCTACCTTTCACTATCCTCCTTACCTCTTTCTTTTCTTATTATGAAATACTACATTCCTTGTTCGTGAATATTTTTGTTACTTGTCTTCTATCCAATAGAATTAATTATACCCTTTGACAAAATTGTAAGCATACTATTTGTTTTACATTTCTTCAAAGTCTATCGGGGAGAATTAGTCTTCGGGGTAAAAGAATCTAGATGCATCTTAGCACCGCCAAGATCCATATCTAGTACTTAGATTCCCCGGCCTTCACTGAACCACACTAGCTTCATTGGTAGTTTAGTCTCATGATTCAATGACATCCCATTGACGTCGTCTCACAAGATCCCCGCAACTGACCTTTAACAGTCAACAATCATCTATTTCATATCCCACCTTCCAGAGCCATTCTCCTGCCCCCCTCCACACAACCACACACCTCCCTCCCTCCACAAACATGCCCTACTACACCTGCACCCAAGACAACAACGACTTCACCCGCGAAGCCGATCTCATCGAACATATCCGCCACCACCACTACGCAGACTTCATCCGAAGACCCGGATACCCAGGAATCGAAGACAGCCATGGTCACATGTGGTACTGTTTCGAGTGTGATCGGCCCACGAGCGATCACCGAAGCTTTGATTCTGATCGTGCAATGTTGAACCATTTGAGGTCTTGTCATGGGTATTTTACGGATTCTAGCTATGAAGATTAGGTTGGGTTGCTCCCCATGCAATGCAATGATATGCTATGCGTTGATGATGAAATCGTTCGGTTGATGGAAGGGGAAAAAGAAAAGTTGGGAAGTGTTTTCTTCTTGTAATGAGCTGGGCCTAATCTCAGTAACTTTAAGGTTTACTTGATGAGAAGATTTGTATTTTGTTGTGAGCTTGTGTAGAATGATGGATGGATAGATGGACTTTGGTAAGTAAGTGGTATATCTACTACTACAGTATAGAAATTCGATGCTGTATGAGCCCTTAGATCCAACACAAAGATAGTGATAATCTCTACCTAGCTGAAATTGGATTGATGGGGTTTGTAGCGCCGCGCTCGATTCAAGATTCCTGTCCTGATTCGGGCACGACATCCATCTGGATATACCAATAGGAATAAACGAAATAAACCCAGCACCTACCTGTATCCAACTTTTATTGCTCCTCCAGTTAGCGGCACAACCAAACAACCTAACGGATGTTTCTTTCCTCGTCGGCGTAAGTTTAGATGCAAAATCATCAGTATCAAGCAGGTGGATCCCTAAGAGCTGCAATCATCGCGATATGTTGGAGTTGTTGGATGTAAATCTGGGAGATAAGCGGATTTAACGGACAGAGAAGCACTGAAAGATGAAATATGACATGTTTGTTGAAGATCGGATGGATTATCTTGATGACGGTCTAACCCTAACGGGTAAGCGCGTAATCTGGATCTTGGGACTAGTCTAATTAGGGATTAGTTCCGAGAGCCGAGGGGGGAGTATAAGCATGAATCCCGACCATATATATATGAGGTGGGTGCCAGACTCAGAGATTGATTCCGAATGATTTTTGAAGATAGGAATAGAGAGAAAGAAAACGACATCATGCTTGTTACAAGACAACTCGGGAGAAATGGACCTCTGGTTCCGGCTCAAGGTGCGATTCCTGTCAAGGGTTCTTCTAGAATAGAAGAAAACAGGGAACAAACTAATGGCTATCATACAGGCCTCGGTCTCATGGGTTTATCCATGTTCTACAATACGCGTCGTCCGGATGCAGAGCGTCTAAAGTTCCTCGACTACGCTCATGCCCAAGGTGCCACGTTCTGGGATTCGGCGGATGTGTACGCCGACAACGAGGATATTATTGGGAAGTAAGTTGAGACGAGAACCCCAGTTGGATTTATCACCTGTAGCTGATACTCATGCTATAGATGGTTTCAAACTACCAACAAGCGAAAGGACATCTTCCTCGCCACTAAATTCGGTATCCAGCAACACCCCGGCCTCCCCGCTAGTATTCACAACAGCCCCGAATACGTGCGAGAAGCGTGCCTTAGAAGTCGTCAACGACTCGGTCTAGCTGCCAACGACCCCATAGATCTCTACTACTGCCATCGCATTGACCCCCAGCAACCAATCGAAATCACCGTGGCGGCTATGGCGGACCTCGTGAGGGATGGGCTAGTCAAATACCTCGGTCTTAGTGAATGTTCCGCGGAGACATTGAGACGCGCCCATAAAGTGCACCCCATCACGGCTGTTCAGGTCGAGGTGTCGCCTTTTGCAACGGAGGCGTTGGAGAATGGGTTGTTGGATGCGTGTCAGGAGCTGGGGGTCGCTCTGATTGCCTATTCGCCGTTTAGTCGTGGGTTCTTTACAGGACAGCTGACTTCGTGGGATGACTTTGATGAAAGTGATCGCCGTCGTGTGTTGCCGAGGTTTTCCAAGGAGAATTTTCATAAGAATGTTGAGATTGTTAGGCGGTTTGAGGAGGTTGCCCGGAGGAAGGGTTGCTCGGTGGGACAGCTTACCTTGGCGTGGGTGGCCGGGTTGTTTGAGCTTTCGTTTCCGATTCCGGGTACGACTAAGGAGGCGAATTTGGTTGAGAATTTGGGGAGTCTCGCGATTGAATTGACGGAGGAGGAGCAGGCGGCTGTGCAGGCGGTGGTGGATGAGGCTGTGGTGCATGGGGATCGGCATCCGAGTAGTATGATGCCATATCTTTATGTGGATACGGTTCCTTTGTCTGAATAATGGACCGAATCTTCCCTTCCTAGGTAGTTGAGTGATCAATTGACATGCCTGATTTTTGCATTGTTAATTTCACATATGCCCCAGTCACACAATACCCTAACTGGGTGCTGCCTTCGTTTGAGCTTAGAACTCTTCGACTGTCTTCCCCGATGGAAGAGTTGCTTGATAAGTTTCAACATGTGTGGTGGAGGCAGACTAGAGAAATGTAGTATTTGAATCCGAATCTAGGAGGAGATTGTCCACTATGAGGAATGCTATCGAAGAATTCATTTCAACGTAACAAGGGCTTTTTAGGATCCGCACTCACACGAAAGACAGTCTCTGTTAGGTGTGGATATGACAATGCTTGGGCCTCGGGTGGAACCAAACTCTGCAATGTCAACTATCGGTCAACCTATCCGTTTAGAAGGTCATGCCGGATGGCGTTAGACAATAAACCCCGTCAAACCCGGGGATTACTATGCTAGTATCCACATGTGGTTAGAGCGTCATCACTGCTTAAGTTCAAGCACCACCAAGCCACCTGCACGAAAAGTGGGACCTCTGATCCGTCTGACGGCGAGTTCATTCCAAAGAGAGATCTATGATTATCATATAAACAGGGTTTGTTCCCATTCAATGACAACAGTCAAAGAGAAAGTAACACCCACTAACCTCTAATATGTCAGGTCCCTCCTACACCTTGTCAGGCTGAGTGGACTTAGACAAATTCTTTGCAAAAGCCAGGAAGAAACCGACATTGACATCCGATTCGCTCATTGTTTGGTGTATTCCTTTGATCTGTGCGTTCTCCAAATATGCGTTGGAACTCCGTACCGTTAAGTATAATGCATATCAAATGGAGCCATAGGTCAAAGGCTATGGTAGCTTGCGTTTGATCGTCTTGGCGGTGTCATCGAACACGGTTCCGATCTTATTCGCCTTGGAGCTCCTCCAGAGTGTTGTCCTGGGAATCCCGAGGATGGGCCGTTTACCATTCCTACAGGGAAGTTCACATTGTGTGAACGTTCGCTGGGTCGAAAAATTAAAAGTCCGGGTGAGATTGAGAGACGTTGCAGCTGGTTGTGGGGATGGGGACAACGCCGTGGGTTGAAGAGAGCATGATGGACAATGCGAATCTGATATCAATAGTGGAAAGGTCAAGTACCAGTATGTTTGACGAATCGATTCGAATAGGTCGTTCGGGGATCAAGTTCATCCAGCTGATTGAGAGAATTCCTTTCACAGATGTTGGAGGGACATATTTGGAGACGCGTATCATAGCAAAGCATGCATCGATAATCGTTTCTCTCCCCTCATCGCTCGCCAATAATTCGTCGACCTAATCAACTCCGTACACCCTCTAACAGCCCACCCCCATTTCCTCAGAAATCCCTCTGACAACTCCCAATTGCCCACCTCCCAGGGATTCCCCCAAATCACCAGCCCTGGACTATCCTTCTCGTCGCTCCAAAATCCCATGATATCCGTACAGAGCTGCTCATCATCAAACCCATCCCCCGCAGCTATCAGCTGGTCCCGCATCCTAGGATGTGGGAAGAAGTCCAGCCATGGGTGATGTGGTACAGTGCACTGGATATCCGTAGGTCGAAGGTGCGCCGGGATAATTGTGTTACTTGTGGGGGGCCATGGCTGAGATGTGCAAAATGGAGATACGGCGTCAGCATTCATCCAATTCATGTCCATGCCTAATGCAGCCATGTTCTCGACCAAGGCACGATGAACGTTGATCTTGGTCAGGGTCAGCAGGTGGTCGGTCTTTGGCGAGCCAGTAATGTAACTCTGAAAGGCATATTTTCTGAAAGCTACAGCCCGTTCACAGGCACCTCTCGGGGCTAAATAACAGGCAATGATGTCAAGAGAATCCGTTCGAGGATGTACCAGAGGCTTATCTGAGAAACGGTCTAACGAGGCATGGGGTTTTGCAGCAGAGACGTCATGTCCATCATCTGGGTCAGTGAGCGAGCCAATGAGTTGCCAATGAGTTGGGGCAGATGGTTTGCCAGAGTTGGCTTTTCTACGTAGACCTGCAAGGAATCAGTGAGGAGCCAGTGAGTGGCCGACTTCGGCAGTTCGCTTACGGTAAGTCCTTTGATTTATCCGGTTCTGCCTTTTACGGCGTTCGATCTTGTCATGGTCTTTAGATCCTTGATCCTCACTTGGCTTGGCTGTCATGGGAGATAATGACCAGTCTGCCATGGTTGGTGGCTGGTAATTCGAGGAATTTGGTCTTCTTTGGTGGCGTGCGGAGATTAGGATGCTTGGCTTACTTAAGATTTCTAGCCTAAGGCAGTTATGCCTTCCTTCTTCCGTTTATTGGTGTTCACTTCTTATTCTCATACTATAACAAGTACAACTTGTCTTGTATGTCTCCGAGCCTCGTACACACATCCATCCCAATTCAATCCCATTTCCACTTCCCATTTTTCTTAGTCATCTAGTAGAGAACGAGTCCCTTCCTCCATCTTTAACCACCACCGTATCCATCCCCTACTCAGCCCCCGCATCCATGTACCTGCGAAACATTTCCATACTTCTCGAAGGCAAAACCATCAACTCATCTTCATTCGTACGAGTCATCAGTTCCCGGGTAGTAACACACGGAACCCCCGTCTTGGTGCATTTCGCGCAGGGCTCCAGATTCAGCAGTACGCACTTGACCCTGTTCAAACGACAGCGATTACAAGAGTTAAACGGGGGACCCATCTTGGTAGGTGCCATGAAGACACACTCTGCATCTGCATGATGGCACTCGAAGCAGGCTGGTCCAGGGCCGCTCAAACTTGGTCGTACGCATTTCCTCTTTTGCATACGACAGAAGTTGCAGGCTCGAACTTTGATGGGGTGGATCACGGGGGGGTTACATGCGTTGTGTGGGCTTGGTAATAGCTCGGGGTGGGATTTCGGATGTTCTGGGTCTTGTAGTGGGGTCATGATGAGGGAGTGCGAGGGTTTGATGATGTTGAGAGTTGATCATGGTGCGAATTGAATAGGTGGGCTTGAGATTGTTTATATAGACAATCGACGAGGCGCAATTTGTGATTATTGCTTTTTATTTAGGTTGTGTTAGAGCTGGCAGTGATTTGCTGAGGTAGTATCATGGATTGCTTTCCTTGTGAAGGAGGGTTCCTATCTAATGGAAAGAAACTGAGGAACCATTTAGTAAGATATTGGAATCTTTCGCCTACTTCAATTTAGCATTGTAGATAAGTAGTTCTATGTAGGAGAGTTACTTTGTATAAGCAACAGAAATGGCTGACATTCATCACAATAATAGTAATCTAGCAATCTCGATTATTAAACATATGTAGGATGTCTCCTACATGGTCCGCAGAATAAAACTGGTGGATATTCACTGAGATGGTGGAATTTTCCGAAACTATTTGGCATGTTGGCAGACAGCTGAGAGGAGATAGTTCCTTTTACTCCTGTTTACATTTTCTGTTGTAGTGATTTTTTACGTATATTCAAATTGAGCCATGCTTGTACAATAAAATGCAGCAGCAGGTTAGATCTGTGCTGAAAATTAGTATTGATCTTTTTTTTTACTTTCTATGATTTCCCTGTCTCAGATTGGATAGATTTAAGTTGTTTATATAGAATCAATCTATCCACCACCACTTATGTATTGAAGGGGAAGACAGGCTTTGGATACATTGATTGAGGTAGTACTGGTATTCTCTCTGTCTGCATGGCGGCTATGGTCGGTCCACTGTAGACTAACTATGCCCTGCTGTCATCTCGGCCTGGTTGCTGAGTCGAGTGACTATCTAGATAGACCCATTGGGTAAGTCCGGACCAATCATCTAATAAAGATGAAATTTTCCTGAACTATACAGGAACCTTCTATAATCATAGATTGTAATCATAGGCATCTTCCGACAATGTCGTGGGAACCATAAGGTGGCCTATATTATTAAAGTTGCCTCTTGTTGTTGGGTGTTCTCTTTATTCATACCCCTATACTCATCTTTCATCCTTGATTCCCTTGATATGGTCATGATAAGGCACCCATCACATCGCTTAGGTAGGTAAGCCGAGGGGCCAGTCCATCTAAGTATACGACTCCACGTGCCATTCATCTCAAGTCCAACATCTCCTGTATGCCTCTGAGTCTCATACACATATCTAACCTAAATGAAACCTGATATTTACTTCCCAGTTCCTCAAGAGAAAGATAAACCTCCTTCCTCCGTCTATATCCATCTCCCAACCAGCCCTCACACTCAAGCATCTTCCATACAGTCACAAGCATCCCGAGCCAAAGCAACCAACCCATCTCCATTCGACTCTTCCACCTTACCCTTTTTACGACACCGCCGAGGGGGCTTCACTTGCTGTGTCGTAACACACGGCACACCTTCCCGGATACAAGAAGAGCAGGGTTCCGGATTGAAGAGTTCTCTGCGTACGCAACGCACCTTTTTCCCACGACAGCGATCACACGACCTCAGGGGGGGAGGATCTGTCATGCTGGGTGTCGCAGCGGGGATATCACCATAGACACACTCAACCCCTGCCTGATGGCACGCAGAGCAAGGGCCAGGACTGATTAAACTCGGTCGGACACATCCCCATCGTCGCAGACGACAGAGGTCGCAACGTTTATATGTGCACACTCTCAAGGGGTGTGTCACGGGTGGATCACAGGCTGCGAGAGCGCCTGAGGGATAGTAAGTGGCGCGGGGGTCAGGGTTGTGCAGTTTTGGCCTTAGGGCTGGGGAGGGTTCTGAATGCTCGGGATTGGGGGCCATGATGGGAAAGAAGGGAAGCGCGGTGGAATGGTGGTGTTGAAAAATGGGTAGGGATTGAATAGGCGGGCTTGAGGAGGTTGTTTATATAGACGAGGCCGGATTCTGAATGGTTGATTTTATGTAGGGTTTAATGTTGTCCTTCTTATGCGGATTTAGGGGCTGGTAGGTATCTATTTATTGAAGTGTTGTAATTTTCAACGGATAGTAGTTATTTAGATGGATTTCATTGCCTCATATGTAGGATATCTCCTTTGTATGAGAAGTCAAATCCAGTATGAGTTTATCAAGATTGGGACTCTTTCACCTGCATTGATCTTGGCATCCGAGATAAATCAATTCCATGTAGGAGATTTCCTTTGTTATAAACAATTGGTATTCCGGGCGTTTTCCGACAATATTGCAGGAATTTTAGGCTGGTTTATGACATTGAAAGTTGCCTGAACCTTGTCCGGCACTCTTATTATCAATACCTTTAGACTCATCTTTGATATTTCTTGCCTTGAAATGATCGCAATTGCAGTCTGTTAGCCCTCCCACTGCACCCAAGCCTCATCTGCATCGGCAGTGGCCGTCTCCCCAAACAAGCTATTGAAGAGGGCCACATCAACTCCCTGCAGGTCCCAATCATTCTGTCCGGAGAACTCTGGATCGGAAATTTTGGGGCTGAAAGATACCATCTGCGGCACACACTCCGCGGCAGAAAATGTAGACAAGTGTGAAGGTTTTTGTTCGAAATCAATTGTACCAAAGTAGGGAATATACACGTGAAGCGAAGTGCCGCCGTTGGTCAACTTGCCGTCATACTCGAATTCGCCCTCGCTGCCTTTGGATGTGCTGGTCTGGTAGATGGTGCCATTAGCGGCAGTGGCTTCCACGGCGAGTAGATGATGGATGACCCGGGCCAGTTTCATGGCGATCCCGTCGGTCCCAGAGCGTGCCATGGTCTCGATAATTTCATAGGTACGTTCCATCGTACCACGGTCACTGGGGCGACTGTGGGCGAGGAAGTTCATGACCGTTCCAGGGATTGGACACTGTCCGTATGAATCGATGTGGGCGAGACAAAGGACCGTTGTGGCCACAAAGGCGAGAAAATCGGTGCCGCGGCAGTAGTAATGCGCAGGGTTGGAGGTGCGGAACGCGATGTACCGGGACAGAATCTCCCGGCTAACGGTGATGATAGTGAGTTTACTGGGATCGTATCGGTGGTCCGACGAAGAGCGCAACATATAGGGCAGATGGAGTCGGAGCAGCAGCTGGTAGTGAGTGAATTGGTCCATAAGACGAATTGTATCTTGAATTGTCTCTAGCCCGTCGCTATTGCTAGATGTCAGACCTGGAATTAGCCACCACTGGGGCGGCACCTCGGCAGCTGCCTTCTGTAACTGCTGGTCAATGTCGTGAGTGTTGGCGAGGTTGTTGACGTCCGCATCGCTACGTTGCAGAATACGTCCGGCAACGGCGCAGTGGATGCGCTGCATGCGATCAATAGGTTGGCATTCTTCCATTGCCTTTGGAGCAAGAAAGCGGATCTCTAGCGATGTCGGTGGTAGGCCTAGCATGAGCGAAAGGTAGCGGTCCATTTGCACTAGACGAAAGCACATGTGGTCCGCGTCCAAAATCGCCCGGGTCTCGGGCTCGAGGGTTTTCAGTGATGGCGAGGCAAGGCCGCGGTGAAGGGCCATCATCTGCGCGATGGCGGTCGCTCGTCGCACTGCCATCCACGCCTGGTGCAGATTCCCTGCATAGTTCTGGTAGAGGCCCTCGAACATGATGCACTCGATACCCTCGACGGAGCTGGTGAGGTTGTCATTTGTCGTCACTAGCCTGATGGCCCGGTTGACGACGCGGGACATGGTTTCGCGGTAGGTGTTACCCAGATCACCCAAGCTATGCATTGTCGATGGACGAACGCCTTGGAGGAATATCCCGAGGACCAGGAGCTTCCGCGCAACCAGGACCGGATGAGAACCTGGCGGAGGCAATTTTAGCATCTCCCGCGGCGATGGCAGGTCCTGAGCAGAAGGAGCGCATATTCCGCAGTGCAAATACGCCGAAAGCCCAGCTGGAAGGGTGTAGATGATGTCGAGCTCGGCCTGACTGGGCCATGCCGCGACAAGCTCCCGAGCTATGTCATGCTGGCTGGCAGTGATGGTTATGGCAGGGGGTACCGGCTGAAAGACAATCTGAGTGTTAGAACCATTGACAGGGACTGTAAGGTGGAGCAGCTCACGAATACCTCTTCACGAGCCTCTTCTCTCTCCTCTAGCGTGCTCGGGGTCAAGGGAGCTTCGGAGCGCTCTTCAGAGCCAGCAGGGCTGATCAACTGCTGGATGAGTTTCTCAACGCGGTGGAGTCGAACCTCGACCGCATTTCCAGTGGATGAGTCCGGGCTATCTGGGTGCTCCTGGCTGATACAGGTTGATCCGCGTCGCCTGCAGTGATCGCAGAAGAGGCTGGCAGGGGAGCTGAAGATGCACCTCACCTTTCGCCGTTTGCACTCCCAGCAGCTTCGCGTCCCTTTGCGGACCTTTCTCCTCTTGGAAATAGGTCCGTAGGTCATTTTTCCTGATGAGATCGATGAACATCTTCTGGAGAAGACGTGGGATACGTAGGGGAAGGAGGGGGTCTGACCGAAGGATTTCGGCCGAAGGAGCGAGGCGTCACGTTTCGCCCGAGCTCGGCGGACGAATCGCCTTAATAAATGTACAGTGGAATCTACATCTGAGTTGCAGCAGCAATACCCATCCTTCCATTTCAATCCCCTTGGAAATGATCACTATCTAAGGCTTCTCGCGCCAAGCATCACCCAAGAATTCCTCTATTCCAGTAACCTTATAGTCGGGCAGCAGCCGATTCCACTCATCGGAGACCTCAAAAGACCGGGCAGGAATGGCTAACAAAATCCCCGAGGCAAAGAACTTCGCGAGCGAGTCTACCTGCTCCGGTGGAATAGAAGGGTGATCCAGTCTGGGTACCCATGAGGTCTCCCATGTTCCGGCTGTCAGGTCCTGTGCCTTGACTCGCTCGATCTCAAATGGCGTTCCACCTAGATGATGCGTGTCAATACAGGCTTTCTGTCCGAATATGTAAAGCTTGACGCACCGCGAAGTTTCTCCCCGAGAGCGATGAGTTGCGCGATGGAGACACTCGAGCCTCGGATGCCTCCAACAACTGGCCACTCGCCTTCGAAGTCGATAGCTCGGGCTACCACATTGGCGACATCCTGTACGGTTGTGAAAACAAGACGGTTGTCGTCGCCACCATCTAGCAGAATGGCTCGGCGTTTCGCAAAGTCGAATGGAGTTTCAATGGAGTGCACATGTCGGGATGACTGATACGGGTGGGTCAAGTAGTTCACGAAGAGGCCCGGTTGGAAGAGCGTATATTCAAGAACCTACAGATGAGGTGAGTCAGATCTCCAGTGTCCGCATCAACATCTCCCTCCACTAACGCTTACCTTCTTGTCCTTGTTCAGCTCTTCAAGGTACCTGCGAGTTTCTCCCTTGTAAGCATACCAGCTCAGATGCTCCAGACCGGATCTGAAGATATTAGCAAATGACTGCCATACTGGGAGAGGTTCACTCACGAAGCCCATTCGCTAGGGGCAAACCTCTTCACGCCGGCTTGAATGGCGGCATCGATGAGGTTTTTCTGGACTTTGCTCGTTGGATCATCCTGGGTGGTGACGAAGGAGAGCAACGTGTGCACTCCTTGCAGAATTTGGGTCAACTGCGCTGGGTTATTATAATCTGCCTTAGCCCATGTAAGGCCTGGGGTAGAGCCCTCAGTAGGAGCATCCTGTAAATCAGTTAGTACGTCAATATCCCATGAATAACGCGAATATGGGAGCGGACCTTCCGAGAGAGAATCAAGATCTCATGCTTCTTAGCTGCAACGAGCACATCGATGATCTCTCCAGCAACATCTGATGGGTGTCAATGACGCTGTAGCCTCTCAAAGTAAGGGAGACATACTGCCTGAGCCGCCAGCCATCGCAATCTTGACCATTTTGTTGAATCGGGTAAGATGGGTGGTCCCCTTTAGAGCAGAAGAGAAGATGATGTTGGAAAGGATAGAAGAGAGTAAATTCCTGTTTGAAGTCTGACGTTGTTACCGGATGCGAGCCCATCTATATAGTAGCTTTAACCGAGACTTCGGCCGAACTCAGCACCACTTAGTTATGAGACCACGAGGCTGTTAGCGATCACCACATGGATGGTGTGATCGTGGAATTGTAGAGTAGCTGCTTTTCCGAACTTTTGCTGGTTGCACCGAGAAATTCGGCCGAACTTCATACAAGCGTAATGGCCTTTTTACACATGAACGATGGTATAATCCTGTTATCCATAGAAGGGTATCTACTTTACGTATCACGCGGAATCTAAAAGTGTCGAGCTGCTGGTTGAATTGAAATATGATTATCTCTGGATGGGGGGCCATCGTACGTATACGAACTCCTTGAGAGGTTGTAGCCCGAAAGAGTTTCATTCGATTCCAGAAGCCAAACTGCAATTGTTGAATGGCAGTCATCCTGCGAAATACATGAGCAGAAGCCTACTACATTTGTAGCCCCTCACTGCAGTGAGATCCCCACGAAGAAATCATCACATCCATCCTCAATCCTTGACGCAAAGATTCGGGGTTTCGGCAAAAATGGTCTCGGGTTGTCCCACAGCGGTGGCCCAAAGACGATAGTTGCAGCTGCACAAGAAACCTTCAGTAACGAACCCTATTTTCCCGCAGGGCATTGACTTACTTGAGGGGTCTCGGAATCGGTCCCGGGGGAGGGATGACGACCTCATCCTGGCCCATCCTCACATAGCGAAGAACCAGTTCCGTCACGGGAGGGAAGTCAACTCGGTTGGTGAGGTAGATGGAAAAGCATTTGTTCTCTTCGCCACTAGGACTAATCAGTATTGTGTTCATAGGAATGTTTGGAAGAACGAAGACATACGAGACGTGAGACCACCGAACTCTCAAGGGCTCTGTCAGATCCCAGGTAATCTGGGCTGGTTGTTGGGGGCCGGGGTTTTCCCAAAGCATGTTGGAGAAGGCTGGATGGCTGTTGATAACAAGTCAAGTCAAGTTGGACTGGGTGGGATGTGCGATGGAGCTCACTGGGGACTTGCTTGGTTATATACCACGAGGTGACAACTCTTCGAAGAGTGGATCGAGAATCCGAGTGCTTTGACCGGCGTTTTGGCGTGTATGACTACGATTACAGTCATTGTACTAGCTCAACAGCATCTCTGCCATACCCTTGAGTCAGTCATTGTGTCGATCACGGTCAGAAAGTGCTTTTCAAAAGGAAGAGCATGAACATGAGGCTCGCAAGCCTGCGGTGCTGGCGAGGTTGCCTGGGCGATGAGTTGAATGCCATTATCCTATATAACAGAGACCATTGGCCAGTGTTACAAATGTCCGTGTGTCATTGAAGCGTCCAGTCAACTTGTTCCCATTATGATAGTTGGCGATATTTCTCTGCAACATGTCAGCTCACTGTCGATATGTTAGTGGGCCTGGAGAGCCTCACGCTTTCAATCCGGGAGCACTTACTAGAGATCACAAGGGGCCAGTGATTAGTGAGTTGGAGCGTCTATTCTGTCCGAACTTTCATTACCATATAAAAGGAGACATGGAGTATTACCCCGAGAACAACCCATTACACGGTGCAGGGGGCCGTGGACTAAATGCACAATACATTGTCCGATAAAATCACATCATAGGTGAGTTATTTAGAAACCAACTGGCAAGGCGTAGGCAGTAGCATTTTCACAGCTCAAGCTGCAAACAGAGTGTCTCCCAATCGGCGATCCGACAAGGGTATATAAGCTTAACAGGTGTCCGATCCCTCCTTTGTGTAACCACCGATCAATTGAAACCCTATCTACAGCCGCTGCTTGCTTTTGCTGACGTTCCTGTTCGAGGGTGTCCGCGTAATCACAATCGACCTGACTGGAATGTGACAACCAGCATTTCCGGCCAGACCAAAAAGCTCCGACGCCACCAATAATATCCGGGGACCTTTTTTGACTGGCTCGTATATGCGAGACTACAGTCATGGATAGAATGCGCGTCATCTCAGCACCATTTGCCGGAGTTTGACATAAATCTTTCCCCAGGTCTTACTGTTCTTGCAGAAAGGACTAATGTGCACGGCCTGTCTAAAGTTAATTCTCCGTGCAGGTTGGTGACAGTAAGGCAATTGCTGGAATCTAGAATGAGTTGAGTAAGCATATCAAGGTACCTGTTTCCGGGATGTGACCTACCAAATCCAATCCTGTTCAATTTGTATTCCATCAGCCTGGTGGAGCGTGCTAGATGCCAGCAACAGATTCCCATCAGCTACTTTGTGTTACAGTAAAGAGGAAAGTATTGTCTTTTATATACCAATGAAAGTATGCTATGGCATCACAATCTTCTCATTGTTGAGTATTCGTATAACCTCGCCTGTACAATGGGGTTGAAGTCAAGGCAAGTACAATATAGTATATGATAATTTATATTTGCAAGAGTTGCGTATATGGTATGGCATTTATGAGAGCCTTATTCAAATGACCATCTTTTAGCTAAAATGCACTGAACTTGCAGATGGGCGGCTCAAGAGCACGGTAAATGTTAATTTGAGCTCCAGTAGACGATGGGCTCTCAAACAGGCGATATATTCTTTCTTCTAGTTCGCGGATCTGGCACCAGAGCTAATAAACCCAAATTAATGTCTGTCCCAGTCATCTGCGGCATATCCACTGGCTAAGCCGAGTTAGTCCTAACTGACGCCGATCCGGCACTAAAAGCTGACACCTGCAGATTTGGCCGAAACTTCGAGTGGACCCCCTTAGATCAGTGGCATGTATAGATTTTAGATAAATAGCGGACAAAGCCACATTTTCTGCATTCTCGGTCTCATTCTTCGTACTCAAACATCGCGATGGTTAAGGTGGCAATTGCCGGAGGCACTGGAGGTGTTGGCCGAACCATCCTCGAGGTCTTGAACGCCTCTTCCGACCACCAAGCATACGTTCTCTCCCGCCAGGTCATCCTCATATCTCCAGTCCCTTCTCCTTCCCTCTGACCCTCTTTTAGCCTTCAAGCTCCACTCCCAATACCCTCACTGTGGACTATACCAACGTCCCCGGACTCATCTCTACGCTCGAAACCAATCAAATTCACACCGTGATCTCCGCATTCGCTGTCGCGGGCGACTCCCTTGCCACGTCCCAACTCAACCTGATTGAAGCGGCCATCCAGTCTAAAACGGTACAGCGATTTATTCCCAGTGGATATGCAATTCCATATCCAGAAGAGTACCTCACCCCCTAGACTTATCCTGCGGACAGTCCGACCGATAACCAATGCAGGAGCTTGAAAGTCCTCCCCCAGCTCAAAGACTACTTCAAGGCCATTGAAGTTCTGCGCGCCTCCCGCCTCGAATGGACCATCTTTGTTAACGGAATATTTCTCGATTACTTCGGCTCTCCGGCTCTCCGATCATATCTGAACCCGAATGTCTTCGTCCTCGATTTGGTGAACCATGTCGCCGCGATTCCCGGTGACGGCAACGTGCCGGTAACATTTACTTACACATTCGACCTGGCGCGGTTTGTTGTTGCAGCATTGGACTTGTTGGACTGGCCCGAGGAAAGCCGCGTGGTGGGGGATGAGCTCACCTGGAACGAGTTTGTAGGCCTGGCAGAGGGTATTCTGGGTAAGGAACAGGGATCTTTCCATATAATGTGTGTGATATGTAAGTTTCGGCTAATCCGGGTGTAGGGACAAAATTTACTATCTACCACGATAGCATCGAAAAACTGCAGCGATTTGAGATCACCGAGTTACCCGGTCATCGGGCGCTGTACAAGGCTTTCCCGCAAAAGGCATTCCAGTGGTTCATGGCGATTTTCGAGCTGTTCACGGCGGACGGGAGTTCACAGATTGCGATGGAGGGGGCATTGAATGAGCGATTTCCGGATATACAGCCTTTGACGGTAAGGGAAGTGTTGGAAAGGTACTGGCAGAAGTAGAAGTAAGAGTAGGAGTAGTTAGAAGAACCGGCCCCGATGCCGGCGGTGCCCCGGAGATGTCTCCGCGGTGGAGCCGTGCCGGGGCCGACCCCGCATCCTCTCGCTTTCTCTCGGAAATTTCTCCTCGTTAAATTCCTGGTTTCCATCCCTCGGTCAGCTTATCTCGCGTTGAGGCTCTATTTCCAACGCTTCGGAAAAGGACCAGACCCCTCCAGCGTCCATGTCTCACCTGCGGAGCAAGGTCATCCGAGAGTCATCGAATCCATGGCCTCAGCGCTGGCTACCCCGGTGGACAGCTCGAGGTCCCCGGCCATGGCCACTGACAGTCACCGTCGATCCACCAGCACCGACGGGTCAACCCCCGCAAAGCGTCTGAGAAGGGCGTCGGACTCCCCGGCCAAGCACCCAAATGCACCGCGCCAGAAGATCACGAGGGCCTGCGATCACTGTAAAGAAAAGAAGACCCGCTGTACTGGAACCCTCCCCTGCGTCCGCTGTACCAGACTAGCACTGCCGTGCGAGTACAATGCGGCTTACTCGCGGGGGTTGCCCCCCGATCCCCTCCCCGCTCTGTCGTCGATGGCCGACAACTGTGACTGTGCTCCTCCTGCCAAAAAAGCTACCGCTGCTGACAGAGACCTGGGCCGTCGACAGTCACTATCCGCGCGTCAGTCTCCAAGGGCAGTTGCAAGCACACGTCTGCAACCCCAGTTCCGGAATGAATTCTCGCAGCGCAATTCTCCCGACCCCGCCGTAACCGACTTGGAAGGCAACTATCTCGGGCCTGCATCGGGGGTATCCTTTCTCAACCGTGTCTGGCGCCGCCTGCATCAGGATGAAGTGCACGCGATTCCTGATCGCCCGGAGAATGAGCCCTCCCCCAAGAACACGTCCGTGTTCATGTTTGGCGATAAACCTTACTCGGACTATCGCGAGGTTGTCTTTACACTTCCTCCTTTCAACATAGCGCAAGAGCTGGTAGACATCTACTTTGATTTTTCCATGGTTACGTATCGCTTTCTACATCAGGGGAGTGCAGAGGAGTGGCTCCGACAGGTATATGCAAATAATATTTCCTCCGCTAACCTTCCGACGGGTCCTTTGGTGGTGAGGACGGCTATCATCCTCATGATATTTGCCGTGAGTACTCTCTATGAGGAGCAGAGGCCCAGCAATCAGGTAGATGGGTGGTGTAGAAGGTAAGCCTGAGTTCCGGTACTATTGCTATTAGCATGCTGAGCCATTGTAGCGAGCAGTGGTATGCGGCGTCCAAGTACATGACTTCGCTGGAGTCCGGACCTCCCCGACTGGAAACGGTCCAGGCAAGGTTAGGTCAATGTCTCTACTTGCTGTCCACCTCCAGGGCCAATGAGTGTTGGTATTCTTTTGGAACCGCTCTCCAGCTTGTAACAGCCCTGGGCCTGCACCGGAAGTTCCCAGGCAAGCTGCCGAAGGGAGGGAATACCTATCTAGAACGGGAGCTCCGTAAGCGCATCCTGTGGAGCGCCTATATGCTCGACAGGTATCTCAGCGTCATGTTCGGTAGGCCGCGGTTGTTGCATGATGAAGACATCGATCAAGACCTTCCGGATGAGGTTAATGATGAAGACATGCTACAAGATGATCCTGCACAAAGAACCGGGTCCGCCGATTGCATGATGGTTGCATCCATCCTGCACTTCAAGTGGGTTACATTCTTCCACTTTGATGCTGATACTGATCATGTAGACTTGGTCGTATCCTTGGTGATATCTCCCGACAACTATACACGGTGAATCCTTCCTCACGGAGTCCACCTCTGGAGACGGCTGCTCGGCTCACCTCCGAGCTGGAGCAGTGGAAATCTGCCGCACCGCCGCTATTCAACAGTGTTCGCGCAACAAGCCTCATCCCACCGCTGTGTAGGCAAAGTCAGGTTTTACAACTGGCATACTCACATGCTGTCATCCATGCAACCAGATCTTTCCTCTTAAATGACTTTTCGGATTTGAGGCGCAGACCGCAAGTTCCACATCCGGTGGTGTCTAGCCATGTGCGCAAGTGCGTTCAAGCCGCCCAGGAAGTCATGGAACTGGTGGATGGCTTGGCCAAACAGAGCGTCTTAATTCAGTCGTTTTGGTTCACACATTATGTGTGCTTCTGTGCAATCACCGTCGTCTATATCTATACCATCCAACAGCATCGAGCATCCGACTTAGAGACATCGTCGCCAGGTTCTGAAGATGTCGATCGTCTAAGCTCGCTCTTCAGGCTTGCGGAGACATGCCAGCAACACCTCGCAGAGGCCACCCGCAAGAACTGCCCCAGTCGTCGCTATAGTATCATCCTCGAGGAGCTAAGAAAGGAAGTCCATCGTCAGATTGGTCCGCACTCTGGCTGCATCGACAACTCATCCCAGCAGGTCCGGGCCAGATCCAGCACCAACCAGGAGCCAGCCGTAGAACAACAAATCACTCCATCTCACATGTATCCCCAAATTCCCCTAGACAGTCCGTTCAATTACTCCGACGGCCTACAGGCTACGGATCTCCAAACCTTTGGACCCGATGGTGATATCGGCCTAATTGATAACCTGGAGGGATCGGTCTGGTGGACACAATTAGACTGTTGGGTGAGTTTATAAGCATTATCATATGGTTCTATGCTAATTTGGATCTGCATAGGCGTTTACGAACCTTCCCGGTGACCCTTCGACACTCGGCCTATAATAACAATTTTTTTCATCATGATATCATTCGTTTGATCGTCTTCCGAGTGAACATGAAAGCGACCTTGACGTGCTGTCCCGCATGGCTGGAGCAGTAGACAGGGCATTAATCTACTCCTGGAGTGGGATGCGCCACGGCACTCTTGTATGGACTACATCATTTCCGGGTCGCTCAATTGGCGCAAGGATGATCTCCGAGGGCAACCGCGCGTGGAAAGGTCATGTCAGCAGTTATCCGCATGGTTTCTGGGATTCATCCACGACAATTCGTCGGATAAATATCCGAGCTCCCCCGGCATTTCCGCGAGCTGCATCAAAGCACCCAATTAGTTCCATTGTCACTGCCTGGAGTATCCAGAATTCCAGGATTGAGGACGTATTAAAGGCTTGTCTTTCGTCACGCTCCTTGCATTAATGAAAACCAACTCAGCTCACAATCAATCCATCCTATGAAGTAACACCTGCTAAACCACTACCCAAGATGCTGTCTACAATTGCTCCGCAGCCACCAACCCTACATGAACCTCTATCTAAAGGTGATCACATCCTGCCTTTAGAATCTCAGAGAGAGCCCTTGACAATTGATGAGCTTGTTCGCCAACGTGCGTCGCTGGGAGCTTCACAACCTATCATATCCTACCCGCGGACCGGCATCGAATATGTGAACTATCCTCTCCATCAATTGGATGTCTTTGCCTTTCGCGTCTCCAAGGCGCTAGCAGATCGTCTTCCTCCGCGGGCATCATCTGCAGAAACCCCCAAAGTCATTGCTCTGCTGGGTCCATCAGATCCCAACTACCTTGTGATGCTACTTTGTCTTGCAAAACTTGGTCACAGCGGACTACTCCTGTCGACACGGATCTCCGTGGACGCCTACGTGTCACTGCTGGAGAGAACAGAATCAAGACATATCTTCATCCACAGCGCTTTCCGAGACACCGCTTTGGATATCAAGAAAAGGCTGCCCGATCTAGTTATCGACGAGATACCCACCGAAGAAAGCTATCACTATCCAATCACGGAGGATGTCGACACGAACCTTGTCCCAAATCTGGACCCAGCCGTCGAGTCCAAGTACATTGCATGGATTATCCACTCCAGTGGCTCGACTGGACTTCCCAAGCCTATCTTTCACACCCAAACCGCTGCCCTCAAGAACTACTCCGGGCACATGAACATGTCCGGATTTGTCACTTTGCCGCTGTACCACAACCATGGGATCAGTTGTCTGTTTCGGACGATCCACGCCTGCAAGCAGCTGCACCTCTATAACGCCAATCTTCCGCTTACAAGACAGTATTTGCTCGATATTATGGATGCGAATGATTTCGAGATCTTCTACGGTGTCCCGTATGCTCTAAAGCTGCTCGCTGAGACACAAGAGGGGATATATGCTCTTGCCAAGTTCAAGGCTGTGATGTTCGGGGGCTCTGCATGTCCAGACTCGCTGGGAAACCTGCTGGTAGAAAATGGCGTCCACCTCATCAGCCACTACGGATCGTAAGCATGCGTCACATCAGCCCTGACCATTGACACTGCTAATGTTGTGCAGCACCGAAACCGGCCAATTGATGATGTCCACCAGGCCTCGAGACGACAAAGGCTGGGACTGGCTCCGTCCGTCTGACATCGTCAAGAAGTTTCTGCGCTTTGAAGAGCGCTTCCCGGGGGTGTTAGAACTCGTGTGTCTAGATGGCTGGCCCTCTAAGGTCATGACCAATCGGCCAGATGGCTCCTATGCCACAAAAGACTTGTTCGTCAAGCACCCCACAATGGAGGCATACAAGTACTATGCCCGTCTAGACGACACAATCGTTCTGGTCAACGGCGAGAAGGTCAACCCACTCGATCTAGAAGGACGGGTCCGACAAAGCAGCACTGTTGCCGAATCCATTGCGTTCGGCGCTGGCAAAGCCCATATTGGGCTGGCCGTAATCCGGGCCTCTGGCACCGAGACTCTCTCTGACGAGGAGATCATTGACAGCATTTGGCCCGCCGTCGAGAAAGCCCACGAGTCGCTGCCTGCATTCGGGCAGCTCTCCAAGAGTATGGTCTGCGTCTTGCCAGCAGACACCCCTTACGCTCGCACAGACAAAGGCACCATCATTCGGCAAGCCTTCTATAAAACCTTCAACTCTGTGATCGAGGAGAGCTACGCAGCTGCAGACGCCATGACCGGCACTCTGGTCCTGTCCGAGCCTGAGCTGAGGGTCTTCCTCAAACAGCATCTCCTCCAGATCCTCTCCCTCAAGGATCCGGGTCTCCTAACCGACGATGCCGACTTCTTCTCCCTGGGCATGGACTCCCTGCAGGGCAGCCAGCTGCGCTCCATCCTCGTCCAGACTCTCGACACCCACGGCCACCAGCTTGGACTCAACATCGCTTTTGAGCAGCCCACCATCGTCTCGCTCGCCCGCTACCTGGACGTCCTCCAGACTGACAGCCTCCCAACATACTCGGAACCCATCCACGACCAGATGCGCGCCCTCATCGACCAATTCAGCCACTTCGAACAGCACATCCCCCGTCCCAACACCCTCACCGGCCGATACATCGTAAGCCCTCCCCCCTCTGCCTCCCTCCACCCACTAACCACCCCCTCAGGTCCTCACCGGTGCCACCGGCTCCCTGGGCAGCCACCTCGCCCACCAACTCTCCCTCCACCCCTCCGTCCACAAGATCTACTGCCTCATCCGCGCCTCCTCCCCCATCGAAGCCTACCAACGACTCCACAACGCCCTCCACACCCGCCATCTATACACCTCTCTCCCCAGCACCTCCAAAGCCAAACTCATCGCCCTCCCGGCCCCCTCCCTCTCCCACCCAACCCTCTCCCTCCCCCAATCCACATACACCACCCTCCTCACCGAAACCACCGACATCATACACTGCGCCTGGCCCGTCAACTTCAACCTCCACCTCACCAGTCTCGCCCACGACACCCTCCCAACCCTCCTCAACCTCCTCACCCTCTCCCTGAACACCCACCGCCCCACCCCCGCCACCTTCAACTTCTGCTCCTCCATCAGCAGCGTCATCGACTCTCCCACCACCCCGATCCCCGAATCCATCCCCGACACCCTCACCGCCGCCCAAAACATGGGCTACGCCCAACTCAAACTCATCGCCGAACACATCTGCGCCAACGCCGCTTCCCAATCCCCTTCCCTAACAGCCCGCATCCTCCGCATCGGCCAAATCATCGGCGACACCCACCACGGCATCTGGAACGCCACAGAAGCCATTCCCCTCATGATCCAATCCGCCGTGACTGTCGGCGCATTGCCGAAACTCGATGAATGGATGCGCTGGTTACCTGTTGATGTGGTTGGCGGTGCTGTGGTCGACATTATCCTACCTTCCACAATTGAAGAAGCCCCCAATAAAGCACTAGTCTACAACATCACAAACCCCACCGCCTTCCACTGGACCTCCGACCTCCTTCCTACTCTCCGTACCGCGGGGCTGCAATTCACTGAACTCGAACCCACGGAATGGATATCCCGTGTGCGGGACGTTTCGGATCCCAAGGTTAACCCGCCTGTTAAGTTGGTTTCCTTCTGGGAGGGGAAATATGCGGGTGTTAAGCCGTTCAAGGGGTTGGAGTTTGTGACAGAGAGGGCGAGGGAGAGGGCGTCGGGGTTGGAAGGCGTGGAAGGGTTGGATGCGGAGTTGGTGGGGAGGATGGTGGCGTGGTTTAGGGGGGTTGCGTGGGTTTAGGTTTTGCTTTGTTTGTTTGTCGGTGAGATTTTTTTTTTTTTTTTTTTTTTTTTTTTGGTTTTGGGGGGGTATATAGATATCATGCTGGATATGTGATTTGGTGTGAAGGACTCGATTGAAGATTGTGTTTATATGATTTGAAATCGGCCTTGTTTATATCTAGATGGATTGAATAGAGTAACATATCCATTGTAGCATTTAATGTCGGAAGACCGCCGGTCCTCCGGAGTACGATAGGCAACTACAGTCATGTGATGCCCCTTTTTCACACCACTACTTTATCTATATAAAGACCATCAGTAGCAATACTTTAAATAGTTATCCAATTTATTCATTCTTACTAAATCTATATTATATCACTTCAGTGGCTATTCTAACAGGTTATAAGTTATCTAGATTAATAATATTATTAACAAGAATCACTTAATTACTTTATTAATAAGTCTATTAAGATAATCATTCTATCCCCCCCCGCGCATGATATCAGTAACTTGTATTAACTAAATTAAGTCTTATTAAGTTTTTTGAAACCCTATCAAAAACAACTACTATATCTCTATATAAGAAAATTATTATTATATTCTTTCTACCTCTAAACAAGCAGAAAAATATATTAAAATAATTTCTATAATCTGTAATACTATAGTAAGTTGTTAGACGCTGTCAAACCCTAGGATCGCTTCTCCCTGTTCCTGTTAGCTTAGCTTCCGTTCCAATACGTACCTTCGAACTGAATCGAGGCAAGTCAGACTGATGACTATCTAAGGTGACTGGTCCTGAACAAGAGAAGAGAAGTAAGGCCAGATAGTGCCGCGCAGCTATCCGTAAGTAAGTGCGGACGAGTGTTGTTGCTAAGCTTTCCAAACGTATGGTTACTTAAAGACAGTTGTATTGAGCACGAAGAACAGAACTAGCTAAGTACATGAAAGAGTGTCCTTATATCCTATCCTTCGTCATGGCGTCGCCATGCTATGTCATGCCACTGATATGTTATTTCATGTCGCTGCTATGTCCTGTCGTAGCGCCGACATGTTGTAGCGTGTCGGTGACATGTCCACCGTGGTCACGTGTCGTGTAACCGTTCCGGTCATCGGTGGCTCAGATCGGGATTCTACTCGATAAGAGTCCTGGCTTTTCCGGACGTGGCCTTCTGCCTGATGAGTCCGCCTCACTAGTTCGTTCAGCTAGCAGGGGTCCGTAACAGACGCCTCAGGCAATCCCGTGACAGATGGTGCGCCAGGGTCACGGGACTTGCAAGGAGATGAGTGTTATAGACCCCTGCTAGTTACACTACTAGCGAGGCGGACTCGTCAGGCAGAAAGCACCGAGAAGGTAATGGTCAGACAGACAGCAACTCTTATCGAGTAGAATCCCGATTTGAGTAACACCCGGAACGACCACGCGTCACGTGACCATCTACCATCGGATCTACCATCGGAAGTATATCCAAGGTATACTAGGAACTTTGGACCATGATTAGATCGACTATCGATCTATTTTGAATGGTATATGATATGGTATACGAAGGATAGGATATAAGGACACTCTTTCATGTACTTAGCTAGTTCTGTTCTTCGTGCTCAATACAACTGTCTTTAAGTAACCATACGTTTAGAAAGCTTAGCGACAACACTCGTCCGCACTTACTTACGGATAGCTGCGCGGCACTATCTGGCCTTACTTCTCTTCTCTTGTCCAAGACCAGTTGTCCTAGATAGTCATCAGTCTGATACAGCCTCGACTCAGTTCAAAGGTACGTATACCAGTGAAGCTAAGCTAACCGGGACAGGGAAGCGATCCTAGGGTTTGACAGTAAAGTTAAGAAATTATTTAAAGTAAATAGTTAATATTTTATAAATAATAAGATAAAGATAATAGATATTATATCTTATCTTATATCTGCACTTCTTTTACTATAAAAATAATATATTAAAGAAATATTTACTATAACACGAGAGAACTTTATTTAAAAGAATTATTAAGTCTTCTAATTATATTAATTAAATAATTCTATAAATCTGTAAAGAGATATTAAGTGATATTATTAAGATATTAAATAAAACTTATAATAATCAGTATAAGAATTTATATAATATATTTACTAGTAGTACTTACAGCTATCTGAACTATATATAAAAATTAATAGAAAAATTTTATATCTATAAACCTTCAGTAATGAATAAGATAGTATTAAAGCTATTCTTAAGTCTTATTATCCTGAAAGTCTTATACTGTAAGTAATAAGATATTATTATAACTCATTTCTATATCTTAATCTAGAAAAAGTAAGTCTTTATAAAATAACTAACCAGTTACTATAAAAAATTCTTTAAATATATCTATAAGTCAAAGTATACTTTATATAAACTTTAACAAGCTATAATTTTAGAATACCAATATTTATTAATTAACTTATTAAAATCAGCTTTAAGCTATTAAAAAATCCCTGTATCTATTAAAAAAATAATATCATTCTTTCATTATTTATTAATAATTTTATAATTACAGTATTAAAGATAAAAGATCTTAATAAAATTAAATATCATTTATCCCAGTTATTCAGATTAAAAGAATTAAATAAATTAAAAATCTTTTCAAAATACAATATTATAATCTATATATATCAAAGAATCTTGAATTATTATAGAAATACAACACTTCTCTATTACTGCTATATTAATAATATTATTATATTAAAGACTTAACTGTGTTAATATAATAGTACTAATTATTAATATTAATATTTACCAGAGCTCTACTAGCTATTTAAACTAGCTAGTAATAAAATCATATCCTAATTTATAATATTTTATTTTTTATTTATAATAACAACTCTAAGCCTCTACTAAGCTAGATATAAGTCTTTAAGATAATATATTAATATATAAAGATAAATATTAACTTAAACATTATTTTCAGCAGAGATTTATTTTAAAATTTAGAAATCTTTATTAATATAATCTATATAGACTATAAGAATAGTAAGTTTATAAAAAAAATATTATATTTTATACAGAATTACGTCCCTCAATATAAAGAATATTTCCTACGAAACATCAACCTCCCCACACGCATCCCCAACCACACAAACAACTCTCAAATCCCCCAACCCCTCTCCAACCCAAAACGTAACCCCCTCTCCATCAACCGGAGCCTTCCAATCCTGCATCACCACATCCCAAATACTCAAATCCTTCCTTGTCACAGTCAACTCCAGAGTCTGACTCTCCCCTGGCGCCAGTGTCCCCGTCTTCTCAAACTGTCGGAGTTGTTTAGCGGGCGTGTCGATCCCCAGCACATCACTTCCGGGTAGTCCCACGTATAGCTGTGCCACCGCGCGGCCACTGTAATTCCCCGTGTTGGTCACGGTGACTTGGATGGAATAGGCGATATCCCAGAGGGCGGGGTTCCCTCCCTGCGCGCCACCGGCGCGGGGGGCGGGTTTCGGGGTGGTGCTGTAGCCGGAGGGGTAGGGGTAGGCAGTGGAGGAGTTGGAGGGAATGGAGGACGGGTTGTCGAGGTAGGGGTAGAGGTAGCGCCAGATGCGGGTTAGGGTGGAGGGCCAGGCGACTTCGGAGGGGCTGGGGAGGGAGGTAGGGTACACGGGGGTTGGGCCTTTGGAAGGGCGGGTAGCGGGGTAGGTGGTGTTCGGGGGGTTAATGGGGGTGAGGACCGGGGAGGAGTAGGTGAAGGTGGTGTAGGAGAGGCCGTGGCCGAAGGGGTAGCGTGGCGTGATGTTGGCTTGGAGGAAGTGGCGGTAGTCAATATAGAGGGTTTCCGTGAAGGGGTCTTGGATTTGGCCAAATGCTTGGTCGAGGAGGCCCACGCTGGAGGGGTAGTCGGATTCTTGGTAGGGAATGGTGTACGGGAGGTGGCCGCTGGGGGAATATGTGCCGAAGAGGACGTCCGTCAGGGAGTAGCCGGCTTCTTGGCCAGGGAGGTGGGCGATAAGCACGGATTTGACGGAGGGGAGGTCGATCCAAGATTCCAGAATAAGAGGGCCAACGGTGTGGATGATTACGACGACGCGAGAGAATTTGGCAGCCGCGGCGGTGACGAGGTCGTCGCCATTGTGCCAGGCGTAGAGGTCGGCGGTGGTGCGGTCGCCCGGGTTGCTTTCGACGGTGATGTAGTTTTCGCCGGAGTCGGCGTTGATGAAGACGAGGGCAATAGAGGACGAGTTGACGGACAGGGAAGAAGGAAAGGAGTCGGTGATGTGGAACTGGGCGTTGGAGGAGAGGTTGGCGATGGCTTCTTGGGGGGTGGCGAGGTAGGGCAGACGCGAAGTGCCGCTGCCCCAGCCCATGGTGAGGACGCCGTTATCGCAGCCTTGATCAGTGCATGAGTTCAGCCCATTGGAGTTGGGCCCGGCGTCGGTGCCGAAGATGTGCAGAGAGTCGGCAGTGGAGAGGGGGAGGGTGTGGTTGTCGTTCTTGAGAAGGGTGATGGCGTCTCGGGCGATGGCATGAGCGGTGATGTTGTGGTCACCTTGGACGTTGACATACTGGTTGACGACACCGGAGGGGGAGATGAGGGCTCCGGGATAGAGAGGCCCAGTCTCGTCGAGAGTGTTGCTGGAGAAATTCGGCAGGGGGTAGTCTTCGTCCTGACCCATCTGGTACCAAGTGGCGACGATGCGGGTGACCTGGGAAGAGGTTAGGGCTGTTGAGGATAGCAAATGAGGGATACGGACCATGTCGTTGAGACGGTCAATGGGGACAGAGCCATTGAGAATCGAACGAGAAAGCTCCGAGCCCCAGTAGCTGTCTCCGAGCAGAGGAATGGCCCCATCGCCTGGCATGCTCATGTCGAGACCGGCCAATGCGGACGACACGCCACCGAGTTGGGCGAGCCAATCGGTCACAACGAAGCCTTGGAAGCCCAGTTCGTCCTTGAGGATTCCGTTGATGAGGAGGCTGTTCTGGCTACAGGTGGACCGATTGACCTGGAACAATTAGTGACTTGGATACTATGATACGAATGCACTCACGTCGTTGTAGGCCATCATCACCGAGCCGGTCCCGGCTCGGACACCCTCCGCAAAAGGCCACAGGTAGATTTCATGAAGGGTTCTGTCATCGATGTTCGAGGAGTACCCTTGCGTAATCACACTACTCTCCCGGTGCATTTCCTGCTCATTGCCGATGAAATGCTTGAGACACGAGATAGCCCCGGTACTCTGCATCCCCTTGATGGTCAAGGCACCCCCGATAGCTTGCAGACTCGGATCCGCGCCAAAGCCCTCCCAGTTGCGGCCTCCTCTCGGCTTGCGAAAGGTAGGACCGACGACCGGGCCCAAGAGGACGTTGACTCCCTTTCCTCGAGCTTCTTGTCCGAGTTCAACACCACGCTGGTACATAAGGTCTTTGTCGAAGGTGGCACCAACCGTGACGCCGGGGGGAAAGGCAGTGTTGTGATCGGAATTGCGGATCCCCAGCGGCGAATCGTGAAGGCACAGATTGGGAATGCCGAATCGAAGGGCACTCCCGGTTTGGCCGGCACAGGGACCCATAAACATGCCGGTTCCTGTGGTAAGATTCACTTTCTCCGCTAGTGTCATGTTGCTGACAACCTTGTATGCCTTCTCGTACGCATCGGTCCATTCGGATAACCAGCCCCCCTTTGGGGCCGGGTAATAGGGGGGCGAGAAGGCTTCATCATCACGGGGGTGTAGATGACCTTCTGGAGAAGCCAGAGACCAGGGGATAAACCCCGACAGCAAAGTGAAGTATAGAAACCGAGTCATGCTCATGATTGACTTTGTCTGCAACAAGGCAGGACCGGGGAGCGAGGGCACCAGGGAACGCCAGGAAGGATGTCAGGCTGGAAATATAAGCCGGTCAGCGCAGACCCCGGTTCCATGCCCAGATTTCATCCACCATCCATCGATCATGCGATCACCAGCTGGATAAATATAAAAGCAGTGGTCATCCTGCGTGCTGTGAGGCAAGGCCAATGAAAAAGGGATAAATTGCCAGGATGCAACGCCAGGGGTGATGCCAAGGGCCCCGAAACCTCGAGATTGGGCCCGTCATTGCTGGAAAATAGACAGGTACTGGAGGGTGAGAATCAAGGGATTGGGGGTGGGAGCAAGTGATCAGCGAGGATGGCGACGGGGAGGGTCATCCCGGGGATGGCAGCGCGGAGGACGATTCCGGGCTGGATGAGGAGAAGTGGACACGGCTCATTTCGCTGCGGGTGAATGGTGCTTCATTCAGCCGAACTTCAGGGGATGGCCTGGCATGGATGCCAGCTCGGGGAATATGCAATGCAGGTCACAGGGACCCGTGGCTCGTGACAGGCCTCAGGCTACCGAGGCATTTTGGTAGGTCTCCTCCTTTCATGATTGTTCAAGTGCTTACCGGGGATTAGCAGGGGTAGTGGCAGTAGACAGCCTCTCGCCGTGGTTCGCTTCTCAATTTACTCTGTCTGCAGTTACATGACCTTCATTCAGCGTCAAAGCTACTACCAAATAGATCCAAAGAGATATTTCCCCCTGGCCACTGACATAGGTAAAATATCCATTTCGCACCAACGACTAATCCATCTTACTGGTTATAAAGATTCGTAGATACAACACAATTCCCCATCCTCAAACACCGAAGCAGAGCCAGCACTACAGTTCAAAGAGAAAGAAACCATTCCAAGTCCAATCCAGTCGTCTCATTGTCCACCCGTCGCAATAGAAGGCGCGTCGCCGGCATCAAGGCACAGCCGATCGCGGGACATCCAGTCTGCTGATGAAACAACTCCATGCATCGGGGCTCCTGCATGCCCGACACAACCCGCAGCAAGTGTTCCACGCTTAGCCCTTCATACGGCGCCTGAGGCGGAGGGAAGATCTCGCGCGGCTTCAACTGAAGCATCATAGACCCGACCAACATGGTATCGCACGCGCGACAGCAGCCGCCATGGTCTAGAAGGTATTCCATGCGTTCGTAAAGCGAGACGACGATAGAGTCAACCTTGCACTGACGCAGATGTTCGATGTGACCTGTGTGCGCGATCAGTCGTGTCCGCAACTCACACCCCCGAAGGCAACAACTCACCAATTAAAGAGCTTGGGACAGGGAGGCCAAACGTTGGAACAGGACCGGGACTCTCACGGATCGCGATGCGAGTCATGAGATGGAAAAGTGCTTTGTTGCGAAAGACCAAACCGATGTAAAGCCATCGACCCACATCATTGTTGAACGTCCTTGGAACGCTCTCCGACAGGTTCAGCATCCAGGTTTCTGCAAATGCTTCCACCGCCTCAAGACACTCGTACTCCTCGACCAGAATAGATAGCATGCACAGTGTCTCCAGGCTGATATGGCGCGGTACATTGCGGGCTCGGCAATGTATGGTGTTCAGCAGAACGTACAACGCGCCAAGATTATTGAAACATGGCGGCAGAATGTCCTCTTGATTCGACCTCTCCTTAATACTGAACTTCTCTTGGAAAAAGCGAGATGCGAAGGAGAGGTGTTTGGATGAGACCCGGATTTTCGCCTGTGTGATGTGAGAAGCGGGAGGATTGTTGCCGACACGAACAAGTTCGTTGGATGGGTTCTCTGGGACCTCGTTAGCAAGAGCGAAGCTGACGGACATGTTTGACTCCAGCCGATATGCATTTGAAATTCTGATGGGCTGTTCGGTAACATCATCAGCGGCATTGGTCTCGTCGTGTGTCTCAGGGGTCAGAAACAGTGGATGGTTTTGTTCTAGATTGGGAGCAGGTTAGCATCGAGGAAGCATGCATGGAGAGCAGATCGCAGGGAGTCTGTGAAATTGCTCAAACTCACCTATCTTGACTAAGCGGGTGTGAAACTGTCCTGCATATTCCCCCACGAGCAAGAGCATGTCCCCTCGTGGGTCAATTATGTCATATTCAGAGGCCATCGCAGTCCGAACATTTTCACAGGTTGCTGTGATTGCAGTGGATGAAGGCGCGGGTTTAAATAGGAAGATCGTGGGGGCGACGAGAAAGTAAGCAAGCAAACATGCACTGTGAATTCTCTTGACCATCCCCTAAGCAACATGCTGCATTATGAAATTACTGACTGCAGTGAATGAGAGCATTACACAGTTGTTACATACGTGAAACAAGAACAGTATGATTGTCTATATACCATTCAGCATAATGCACTTCGTTATTTCATGAGTGACCATGGCCATCTATTCTAGTCTCGTAACATAACTCTTATGTAAATCAGCACCCTAGTTGAAGTAGCCAGGGAACAGCCAGTTCATCTTCTCCCGAGACTCAGGGCTCCAGTTGGGCTGGGCAGTGCTGAGGCCAAACTTGATGGACCCTTCGATGTGCTTGGCCTGGACCAGCTCCGAGTTCTGGTTGGCAGCCAGCTCGTCCAGAACGGCGGTCACGAAGCGCTTGGCATTGATGGCGTTGGCCTTCATGTTGCCCATCACCATCTCCACGGTCACGTCCGCGGTCGACTCGTGCCAGCAGTCGTAGTCGGTGGACATGCAGATCATCTGGTAGGCGATCTCAGCCTCCCGAGCCAGCTTGGCCTCGGGCAGGCACGACATGTTGATGACGCTGCCACCCCAAGAGCGGTAGAGCTTGCTCTCGGCGCGGGTGGAGAATTGAGGACCCTCTGTGAATCAATCCGGTCAGTAAATGTGATATTTAAGCCGACAGCCCGCGATCGGATCACCTACCCATGCAGATCAGAGTACCGCGGTCGTGCAGCACCACACCCTCACCCTCCAAGCTGTGTCCACAGGCCCTAACCACCTTGGCGACACCCTCATCGAAGGGGTCTCCGAAAGGAACGTGGGCAACAACGCCTCCCTCGAAGAAGGTGAAAGGGCGAATTCCCTTGGTGCGATCGATGACCTGGTCGGGAACGACGAAATCGCGGGGCTTGATCTCCTCCTGCAAGCTGCCGACGGCAGAGAAAGCGATGATGGTACGGACACCGATGGAGCGCAGGGCAGCGATGTTGGCGCGGGCGGGAACCTCGTGGGGAGCAATCTGGTGGTGCAGACCGTGACGGCTCAGGAAAGCAACAGCAACGGTCTGCTGGTTGTGAGAGCACTGGTGGTGCAAGATGGTGATGGGGGAGGAGGGGTTGCCCCAGGGAGTCGAGACGTTCAGCGAGGCAACCTGGGTGAAGCCGGGAAGCTCACTCAGACCAGTACCGCCAATGACGGCGATACGGACGGGTCCTGCACCATGGAAAGACAGAGGATCAGTCTGTGATAGTCCTGAGAGAATTTAGCGGACTTACCGTCGTAGGTGGAGGGAAGGGCAGCCATTTTTAGAGCTAGTTGCTTTGCAGACACGATTCTCCGGAGGGGCCTGGAGGGGAGGGTGGATAGTAGACGACGCAGGGGAGAGAAGGAGAACATGCGCGGAGGGGAAAAGCGAGAATCATCTCGCAAATCTTCCAGGCATGGCGGGGTCATTGCCCAATCCGGTAATCCGCATCTTATCGGGCCCCACGTGCCGTGTCCTCAGGCATCCACTCGTCTTCGTCTTCCTCATCCTTCCCTCTTTCACCTTCCCTCTCTCTCACTTTACTTCGTTCCCTCCCTTGATCACCACCAGTATCATCCCATTTCTTCTTCTGATTATTTTTGAGAGGAAACAATACTCAATACGATTGATACACCTTCATACGCACACCTAGCGACAGACACATTTCTACATGAAAGTCTCCGATTAGAACAGCATCCATCCGATGCTACATAAGTATCTTGAACATGTGATTTCACTCAATGCCTCCACAAGACGTCTCTAAATCCAATGATTACAAACACTCCCAGGCATCTAGGCTGGGCGCCACTCATAGTGGTGGGGCCCCTTTTTCACCGGTCCAGGGTCCTCCCCAGGAACTCCCGGTTTGTAGTAGGCATGGGCTCCAAACAGGTCCATCTGCGCCTCCATGAACTTGGTGGGCAGCATCGTTCCTCCTTCATACTTCAGATACTCTAATGTGGCAGAAATGGCGGGTATGTACTGGTCAGCCACCGTTGCTGCAAGCACAATCTCCTTCAATGCATCCCACTCCTTGTGCAATTCCCGGGCAATTTCATCCACAAACTTCATATTGGTCAAATCCACTTTCATCGCTGGCTGCAAAAGGTCGGCGATGGCTTCGGACTGGATGATGCACCCGCCACGCCAGATCTGGATACACTTGCTGAGATCAACGTTCCATCCCTCATCCTTGGAAGCGCGGGCGATCAGCTCCAGGCCTTGGCAGAAGGAAGCCAAGAAAGAGCAGTAGACGGCGCGACGCAGTTTCTCAACAAAATCCTTGCGATCCTTGACTTCGATTGGCTTGGGATCGGGGATGTTGAGCTTCTGGGCGACCTTCAGTCTTTCCGCACGGTTTCCACTGGCAATGCGCATATAATGAGCTGTGGCGAGAGTAGGACCGGCAACATGTCGGTTTGCGGTTTCCATGACCGACCAGTACGGGGTCCCTTCGGTGTCATCATCATCCTGTACCACTTTGTCAAGCACGTCATTTAGCACGTAACCGTCATCTTGGCTAGCGCCTTCGCCATTCTGGTCACCCTGGGGAGTCTTTTTCGTGCGCAGGATTTGCACACCAATGTCGAGAAGGAAGTTTTTCCGCAACTCGCCTTTCTTGTTCCAGTCTTCAAAGATATCCGCGATTTCTTCGTACTTCAATCCCAGCCCGTAATGAAGGATGGCCCACGCCTCAGCAGTTGTGGATAGCATGCCACCCTCGATGCCGTTATGAACCATTTTCACAAAATGACCCGAGCCTGCGGGTCCAACGTTGGTCACACACGGGAGGCCGGTCTTTTCGTCTTTGGCCGCATATTGTTCCAGTAACGGTAGGACGAGCTCCAATGCCTCGGGGTCCCCTCCGGGCGATAAACTCGGTCCGTGGCGTGCCGACTGGTATCCACCAGAAACGCCCATGCCGATCCAACTGACACCTAGGTCTTTGCATCTCTTCTGCCGTTGCTCGGTTCGCCGGTAGTTCTCATTTCCGCCGTCAAGGATGATGTCGCCTTTTTTGAGATCGTCCTTGATCATGTCCAAAACGGAGTCCGCGGGATCGCCATGAGTGATGGAAAAGATAAATAGTTTTCGCTCCCCTTGGCCCTCCAAACTCTTGGTGAACTTGTCGATCTCGTAGAAGCCTTCAACCTTGCCCTTTCCTTTGAATTTTCCTTCGTCGCACCATTTCTTTATCCCGTCGATGTTTTCTCGTTTAGCGTCCCAGATTGACACATCGAGTCCGAGTTCCGTAAAGGCAAGGCTCATCATGGAGCCCATGTTACCGGCACCCACGATGCCGATACGCTTGAAGGAGTGGGATCGGTCATTTTGGGATGGCATGATGTCGTACCGCGATCACTGTAAGTGACAAAATAATTAACATTAATTACAGATGAGAATGGAATCGACAACCTACCGATGTTGAACTTCTTAAACGGAGGCTGTGGCGAGATGCGGCCAGGAACAACTACGCAGCGGTTACATCATGGCGGTTACCCAGCCGGACGTCATGCCAGACTCGCCGTGTTGTTGCACTTCCAGAACGTCCAACTGGTGTTCTATAGCAATTATTATTACTCACATCATCGTTCGGGCAGTGTTTAGAGTGACTTTCTTATCGTGGATGCGCCGGAAGCCCTAACCTGCAACGGCCTGCGGTTACATCATCCTGATCGAAGCATCCAAACTCAATTCCGCAACATTCATCCAGCAGTACCTCGGATCCAGACTATTTTTATCTTCATCTGATCTGCTCCTGTTGATTTAACCAGTTTGCCTGTATTTTATCTGACTCGATTTTAAACCCGCATACAACAAACACCACCACAACGACCAAGAGACAGTAATTATGTCTATCTCAGGGATCGATCAAGTTCCCTTCTCCTACGCAACCTGTTCCATCGGCTCTCCCTCATCCCCTCTCCCAGAGAAGCTGTCTGCTCTCAGCAACGCAGGTTTCACCGCAGTTGAACTCGCCTTTCCTGACATCCTTTCATACGCCGCCAGCCTCAATGGCCATGATGTCGCCCCAGACAACTATCCCGAGCTTGTCAAAGTCGCAAAGAAAATCCGCCAACTCTGCGACACCCACAATCTCAAAGTCATGATGCTGCAACCCTTTGCCAACTTTGAGGGCTGGCCACGAGGATCCAAGGAGCGAGAAGACGCCTTCAAGCGAGCCAACGGATGGAGCGAGATCATGACCGCGGTAGGGACCGACCTGCTTCAAGTCGGCTCAACCGACGCCCCCAACGACAAACTCACTACCTCCCAAGAAGATATCATAACCGACCTGCGCGAACTTGCCGACCTCCTCGGAACACGCAACCAACGCATCGCATACGAAAACTGGTGCTGGTCCTCCCACGCTCCGACCTGGAAACAAGTCTGGGAAATCGTCCGCGCTGTCGACCGCCCAAACATTGGTCTCTGTCTGGATACATTCCAAACAGCCGGCTCCGAATTCGGTGATCCCACCACCTCATCCGGTCATATCGAGGACTCATCCCTCACCACCGAACAACTCACCCAACAATACAACACCAGCTTAGACGAGCTAGCACGCACCATCCCCGCAGACAAAATCTACCTTCTCCAAGTATCAGACGCCTATAAACCCCTCTCGCCATTCAAAAACAAGGACATCGACAGCGCAAGGCCCCGCGCCCGATGGAGCCACAGTTTCCGACCCATGCCATATCGCGGCGGGTATTTGCCTATCGAGGAGATGGGGCGGGCCGTCCTGAAGACCGGGTTCCGGGGCTGGTTCTCCATGGAGATCTTTGATGGGGGCAAGACGGGCAAGGAAGAGCCGAGTGAGATGGAGCCATATGCGAAGCTCGCAATGGCGAGCGCGAAGAAATTTCTGGAAAATTGTGCAGCTGCCTAAGTTGTCAGTGCTGTTATATAATGCATGTGGCTATGCCAGCAAGTCATTGTTTCGTATTCATTACTCTGGTTTAGGTTATGGACATCGCCTTTTGACAGGGACCCACTCCAATTTACGTATGATGTTTTTTTGGTGTCCTTACACCGTAGCCTAGATAGAAGATCAACAGTAGATTCAACTAAGGTGGAGCACTCTCTCTGGTTAGATAAGTGCTGGTCGGCCGCATAACGATCAACTTGCTCAAATAGGTACGTAGATTGGGAAATATTTTCCGGTGGGACAACATGGATATATTGGAAACTAATCATACAAATAACAAGCCCGGGCGCGAACTTTTCGCCGAACCATCAAACGCCAGATATGCATCATGATATAAAACGGATGGGGAATAATGCCAAGTCGAAAACACATCTCTCATCAGCGGTGTAGGCTGACGCTTAGGCGTCGTTGCTGGGGTAAGGGACCTTGTAGGTGGGGACAAACTCCTCCTTGATCGAGCGAAGGCTGACAAACCGGGACAGAAGGTTGCCGCTGCCGGCCTTGTCGTTGGTACCGCTGGCACGGGCACCGCCGAAGGGCTGCTGGCCGACGACGGCACCGGTGCTCTTGCAGTTGATGTAGAAGTTACCGGCGGAGTTGCGGAGGGCGTCGTCGGCAGTGCGGAGGACCTCGCGGTCCTTAGCGAAGATGGAGCCGGTCAGACCGTAGTCACCGGTCTGGTCGACCTTCTTGCAGATCTTGGCGAAGTCGGCCTCGGTGGCATCGTTGTAGGAGTGGATGACCAGGACGGGTCCGAACAGCTCGCGGGAGAGGAGAGGGTGGTCGGGGTTGGTGGTGCGGTAGATGGTGGGCTGAATGTACCAGCCCTTGGAGGAGTCGTAGGTACCGCCGACTAGAAGCTCCAGCTCGGGGTCGTTCTTAGCCTCGTCGATCACGTTGGCCAGCTTGCTGAAGGAGCCCTCGTGGATGACGGGACCGCAGAAGTTGGTGAAGTCGGTAGGCTCGCCAACCTTGATGTTCTTGGTCTCGGCCACGATCTGCTCGACGAACTCATCGGCAATGGAGGCGGCGACGTAGGCGCGGGAGGTGGCACTGCACTTCTGGCCCTGGAACTCGAAGGCACCGCGGACGGTCTGGACAGCGGCGTTGCGGACATCGGCCGACTTGTGGATAAGGTGGAAGTTCTTGCCACCGGTCTCACCGACGATGCGGGGGTAGCTGCGGTACTTGCCCTCGGCGACGCCGTTGGCGATCTGGCCGTAGAGGCTGCGGAACACGGAGGTGCTGCCGGTGAAGTGAAGGGCAGCGAACTCGCGGTGGTTGAGCACGGTGTTGGTCACCTCTGCGGCGTCTCCGGGGACGAACTGGATGACGTCCTTGGGCAGACCGGCTTCGAGGAGGATCTGGTGGACGAGCCAGTTGGAGGCAATAGCGGAAGGAGAAGGCTTCCAGACGACAACGTTACCCATCAGGGCGGGGGCACCAGCCAGGTTACCACCAATGGCAGTGAAGTTGAAGGGACTGATGGCGTAGACGAAACCTTCCAGAGGGCGGTATTCAACACGGCTGGTCTAGGTTAGTACTGGGCTGTTCGATGAAAAATCAGGTGCGTCACTCACTTCCACACGCCAGGGGCATGGTGAACGGGCTGCTGAGCATACAGCTCCTCGGCGTACTTGACACCGAAGCGGAAGAAATCGCACAACTCAGCAGCGGAGTCAATCTCGGCCTGCCAGGCATTCTTGCCCTGACCGTGCATGGTCAGCGCCATGATGTCATAGCGGTATTTGGTCGCGATCAGGTCGGCCGCCTTGAGGAAGATACTGGCCCGGTCGGCGAAGGAAGTGGATGCCCACGACTTGCGAGCCGCAAGGGCAGCGTCGATGGCGGCCTGGACGTCGGCTGTGGAGGCGTTGGAGTAGGTGGCCACGGGGGCATGGGAGGCGGGGTTGCTCTGGGTTTCGGTCTGGGAGCTCTTGATCTGGGTTGGGTTAGAACGATTCCGATCGCAATCGCAAACGTGGTATTATCTGCCACTGACCTCCTTTCCAGCGATCACCAAAGGCACCGTGAGGGGAGAGCTCTGCTTGGTTCTGGCGAGGGCCTCCTCGAGGGCGCGGCGGTCGGGAGATCCGGGGGCGTAGTGTTTCTGCGGATGGATTAGCGATTTTAACAGGGAGTTGAATTCGATTCAATAGTTTTACTCACGTTAGGCTCGTTGTCAATGCGAGGAACCTTGAAGGTGGCGTAAGAGCCCATAGCACGAGCGCTCGTGCGGGCAATGCTGAGGGAGGGGCATTTGGCCAGGGAGAGGCCCCGGGAACGCAGAAGCAAAGAGGACTGCATTATGAATTATGCCCTTCCGAGTTCTAGCAACTGGACGAGGACTGAATCCGAATGAGAGAGGTAAAAGACAAGGTGAGGAGAAAGTGCGGCGGACGCGGGGAAGCTCGGAGCATATAAGAGGCCCGGTTACTGCCGGCCCTGGGTCGATGGCGGTCAGGATCCTTGGATGAAAGGGGTTACGGAGTAGGGACCGGGCAATGGAATGCCAATCAGGGGAGTGGCTTATCGGAGAGACTCAATCAGTACCGGGGACCATGCCTCTCACTCCTCCTAGCTTCACTAGTAACCTATCTAGCAGTAGTTGACTGTATCTGTGCCGCCGGCAGGGTTCCGGGTGGACCCGCTGCCAACCGGGCCGGACTCTGCCTGCCGGCTGCCTTCCTGTTCATTATTCCATTAGGTACGCGATAGCAGCTGGATATTCGGGCAATCCATGACTAACAAGAACGTATTTACTTTGCTACTAGCCTACTACTTACCAACATTTTTTGTTTGATACATACTGGCGCTTGATACTTGATTGTCCTGATTTAAGTCGGTGCTGATGTCCCCGCATCCACGGCGGATCCCCCCGCAGTTCGCCCCATCGCCCTACAGTAGTCCAACCCAAGGGACAACTATGTACTACTCCGTACAATTATGCAAAGCAGTCACAACTCTAATTATAGGCGATTGAAATAACTATGTACAGAGGTGTCGCCCGACTCTCGCCTATCTCCAATCACTACCAAGTGTCTAGAAGGCTACTCAAGCAACCCACCACCACACACGTTCCACCCAATTCCGGGGCTCCCGCTCGAAGTCATTCTCGCAGAGTCGATCAATTTCCTCCTTACCCGTGAAGACATCAATTTCAGACACCTTCGTGAGCCATGGGGTTCGGTACCAGATCTTGTGGCCCACATAGAGGGCCAAGAAAATGGCCACCACAATGTACGACACCAGGAAGCCGGCGGCGGTAAACTGTCCGGGGAAGAAGATCGCGTACCCGTTTGTGATGGTCAGGAGGCTCACGATGACAATGACATAGTAGGTTCCATATGGCTGAAAAGGGGTCCTGAAAGACAGGCTGTCCAGTAGGCCGTGGTAGTTCATTGCTTTGCGGAATCGCTGTAGTCCAAATTAGTCCCTGTCTCTAGAAGGCCGACGATCAGTACTAGAGGACTTACCAGATAAGCGATGCCGACCAAGACCCAGTTGATAAACCCTCCCACCGTGGTGATGTTGGTGAACCAGTAGAAGACATTTGCACCAGAGTCGGATAGGTTCAAGAAGGATAGCAAACCAACCGCCCAGGTGATAAGAACAGCGTAGTAGGGTACACCGTTGCGGTTGCACCGGCTGAAGATCTTCGGAGCATGGCCACCACAGGCGAGCGAGTACAGCGTCCGAGAACCAGCGAACAACCACGCATTACCCGAAGACCAGGCGGAGATCAGGATGGCAGCGTTGACCACATGGTTGAGTCCAGAGATACCAGCGTTCTGGATAGCAATGACGAAAGGACTGGCACTAGCGGTGGAGCTTCCGCTGGCAACAGCAGACATCAGACGGGGGTCGTTGTAGGCCACGGTGACACCAATGACAAGGGTCCCCAGGATGTAGAAGGTAAACACCCGATAGATGAAACGGTTGGTAGCTTTGGGGATGTTCCGACGAGGGGCCTCGACTTCACCAGCAGCAGTGGTGATGAGTTCGGGAGAGAAGATGAAGGAGAATCCGGACTTGATGAACGCCGTCCAAAAATCAAGGAATCTACCTGTGCTCCCGGCTACCAGGTAAGGGTTGAATGCGCCGGGATTGTCCCAGTAGCGGAAACCCAGACGGTCATGGTTGGGGCCTCCACCAAAGAAGAGCACAATTCCCAGGATGATCAGACCAATAATGGCGAGGATCTTCAATGTTGCAAACCAGAACTCAGCTTCTCCATACCATGACACAGCGACAACATTGAGGACCAAAATCACTGTGGTTGTCAAAATAAGACCCGAGTATGTTGAGACATCAATCTGGTAGACAGGACCGTTTAGTACATACCGAGCAGGATGATCGTAATCCAGACCCCAACATTGATGGAGGTGGTCCAGTACTGGATGATGATACCGGCAGCCGTAACTTCACTCGCGAGTAACATAGCAAACGAGTACCTACAAAATCTGAGGATCAGTGGATAAGACTAGATGAGGTTAACCAAGCTTACCAGTAGTTATATCCGGCAGCGAATCCAATACTGGGCTCCGTGTAACGGCCAATAATATAAGGCACCGAGATGCCCTTGATGGGCAGATACGTGGTCATCTCGCCCAGCACGTTCATCACAAACCACACCACCGATGACATGGCAAAGTAGCCCATGAACAGCGGGGCTGGGCCCACCGTGGACAAGGTAGATCCGGAGCCTACAAAGAGACCCGTCCCAATACAACCCCCGATGGCAATCAGCTGCAATTGCCGCGAAGACAATCCACGATGAGTCTCCGTGTTAGGCCCTTCATGGATTTCGCCCTTCAGCGCTTGCGGGTCCTCATAGTCATACATCTCTGGCGATTTCACTTCGGTTTTGGCCTCCTCGAGGTCTTTTAACGACGGAGCACCCATATTGATCGAGAACGACAAGCACGAGGATGGAGTGCAGCAGTACAGGCAAACTCGGAGGTTGGTGCAGGACGTATTATATGCTCGCCCCGGGGGGCTCAGACAGCATCCTTATCATGTCCAACACGGGTTGCGTTGCAGCTACGGGCCGATGGCGTAAAGCTTGCCAGAAAGACATTATCATTGGCCCAGAAGCGCTGAGAGAGCATATTTGTGGAGTTGAACATCTTATCTCTGAGTTGGGTTTACATACGAGCGGCCTTTCTTCTTAGGACATGGAAAAAAAAAGTTTGGTGACTGGCTCTCTGCTTATCTGTCTGCCTTACAGGCGGAGACCTTCCGACGCGGCAGGGGCAAGGGTGCGATAGCATGTTATCGAGCTTGCCTATACTCGAAATATCGCTTTTCATTGACAATGGAGCTCCTCCTAAGCTGTCAGATTGGTTTGGCGCCGTTCCTCGTGGCATTCGATGTAAATCCGGGGTTGTTCTCCGCAAAAGCGTGGGCATTCTAGACTTGGAGGGCGCGACCAGAACGGCTTTATCCACCTGGAGGTTTCTGTGACTAACAGAAACTGTGACAGCTGCAGTCCTCGCGATGGGCCCATCGCGTTACCTAATGGCTTGGTTCATCTTTGCTCGTTTGAAAAGCTTGACCCATCGGGACCGGCAATGGACCGCGCTGATTGAGTCCCCGGCTGCAGCACAGTGGAGTCCGGCTCGAACCTGCCTAGCGCTAGCCCGGAGAAAGTATACTATGTAAGTAGTAGCGGTCCCTGAGAGCCTTAACAATCAGGCATTAACATAGTCCGTGCCTGGCGGTTTCTGCTTTGGTTCGCCTCGAGTCGCCACATCGAACCGTGATGTCATCGTAGGGAAGGGGGACCCTATCATTATTGCGAGACTGATCATTTCCAATCATCTCAAGAAATCGTTATCAGCAACGCCACACTGATGGCATCCCATCGGAGTACGGAATATCGGCGCTCATCCAGCAGGGTAAGCGAGTGGAAGCAGCCTGGAGCAGCAGCAGTATGACCGGGCCGGTCAAGGTGGCAGCAGCTCCGGTGGGGAAACCTACCGGCCCGCCACCCGGTTGTGGCCAAAGATCTCGTTGGATGTTATCAGGGTTATCGCCAGATCGATAGCGCGGATCCGGACACGCTGCTGACTGAGAACAGGTAGAAACATGGACACGGTACAGGGGTTGGTTCCTTGCACGGGATTCTTTTTGACCAGGAACCAGGCAGTAGTCAATTTAATTCCCAGTACGGAGTACTCCGTAGTCAACTTTATCTACTCGCGTTTTACACTTTCTACTGTCCACCCCATCCCAGTCCCAGGTGCCTGGTAGCTCGGGCGAAGCGTACAGTAGCGGGCGATCACGCGTAGATCTACATTCTCGACCGGTCAGGTGCCACTGAATTTATAGTTGGCAACCATTGACTGGAAGGGCTATAGCGCCACCGGCACAATCTTCCAGTCACCAACTACTAGTCAGATTCCATTATCTAACGTCACGGGGTCAGTTAGTCCAAGCAATAGACAGCAAAGGGGGGAAAGCCCCGACCGGCTTTGAGGCCAGGCCCGCCCGGTTTCCACCGGCTACGGCATCCCCCATCTATCCTCCACTATCCATACTTCTAATCTTCATGATGCATTTTATACCTCGACAAATTCCCCTCCTTGGTCTTCTCACAGAGGTTCTTATCCCTATAATAATCTTGACGTGAAGCCTTCTTTGTTCACGCTCCACAGATCCCCTCACCAACCCTCCTTGCCTCCCCCATTTCTCTATCTCTCTATCTTCGCCACTATCTTCTCGATCACAATGAAGGCCGCCCGCCGTCCGATGCGGGCGCTATCTAGCGCTCCCTCTTCGTACTCTTCGGCCAGATACGTCAGTCGCACCAGCAACCCAAAATCCTCTGCCGCCGCCTCCACACCTGCATCCACCAGCAGCATCCTCCAACAGGCGACTCTGTCGCCCAAGGATGCTTCAGGATCCCCGCTGGCCAAACTCCCCATCTCCTCGGTCTTGCGGTCGTTGGTGATCCTGTCCGTGTCCTCCTCGACCCTCCTCCTCAAGCCATGCATCTTCGCTCTCTCGACACTCGCTCACCCCAAGACTCCCGTGTTGGATGTGGCCAAGAACCCTCTCTTGAATGCAGTCGTCAAGCACACTCTGTACAAGCAATTCAACGCCGGCGAGAACAAGCTCGAGGTTCAGCGGTCGATCCAGGCTATCAAGCAACTGGGTTACCGCGGCGTACTGCTAGGCTATGCCCGTGAAGTCCTCGTGGGTGAGAGTGATGTTGATATCCGCGATGAGAAGGCCGCACAGGCGGAGATCCAGACGTGGCTGGATGGTACCTTGCAGACCGTGGATATGGCCCAGGAAGGCGACTTTGTGGCTCTGAAGTATGTTTCTGCTCCTTGATATCCAGTAGGAATATACACTAACAGCAGTAGGTTCACTGGTATGGGTACTCAGGTTCTCCACTACCTGCAGCAGCAGGCTGCGCCCTCGGAGTTCATGGACAACGCCATCACCAAAGTCTGCGATTTGGCCATCTCGCGCAATGTGCGACTTCTCGTTGATGCGGAGGAGCAGGCTGTGCAGCCAGGAATCGAGGGGTGGGCTTTGAAGTACCAGAAGTACTGCAATGCTAAGACCCCTGGTCGCGCTATCTTCTACAACACCTACCAGGCTTATCTCCGCTCTACGCCGGCGACCATTGCCAAGCACCTTGAGGTCGCTCGCCAGGAAGGCTACACCCTCGGTGTGAAGCTGGTGCGGGGTGCTTACCTCAAGACTGAGCCCCGCCATCTGATCTGGGCTGAGAAAGAGGAGACTGACGCATGCTACGACGGCGTCGTCGAGGTCCTCCTGACCCGCCGCTACAACTCTATGCTGAAGTCTGCCTCTGAAGTGCACAAGACCGAGCTACCACCTGTCAACGTCATCATCGCCACCCACAACCGGGATTCTGTCCGCAAGGCCCACGCTATCCGTCTCCAGCAAGCTGCTCGGGCCGAGTCGCAAGGGGTTGACCTCAGCTACGCCCAACTCCAGGGTATGGCCGACGAGGTCAGCTGCGAGCTCTTGCAAGGCTTCCCGGGCGCGGACTCCACCGCCTCCCAGGAATCGCCGAACGTATACAAGCTGCTGACCTGGGGCACCGTCAAGGAATGCATGGGTTTCTTGATGAGACGTGCCGTGGAGAACACCGAAGCTGTTGGACGTACCAAGCAGTCGCAGGAGGCCATGCTTGGGGAGCTGAAGCGCCGGGTTCGTCAGGTGTTTGGGCTGGGCAATTGATGCTACTATGATACCTTTGTCTTGCGTTCTGTTTTCGGGTTTTCTTGATATCATCGGGCACTTGCATCTTGGTCTGAAGACTGATTCTCTGAGCGTCTGCTTGCATCTAGACGGTGTTAACAATTCGAGGTTGGCGCATTAATGATAACGAATTTCAAAATTACATGGTGTTCCTATGGTTCTGCGTAGATTGCCTAGGCCAATCCGCCTAGCGTGTGGCGGTGATGTCAAGAGAGAGATCCGTCCCCTCGATACCCCGCGTTTCCTATCATCTCCAACCTCCGATCGCGACGCCAGACGATTCCAATTTCAAGTGCCCCTTGATAGCCAACAGACCATCCCGTCAATTACCACTGCTTAGCATCTCCGGTCCGATTCGGGTCTGGTTTCCGCAGGTGAGCCTATCTCCGACATCGCTGCCCGACACCAGACGGTCTATAAAGGCTACTCCGTCCTAACAATCGGTTCAGCGGACAGTCAAGTGTAGTTGACCATTGCCTTCTCTCTTCGTTCCTCCATTTTACGATTGTTAATAGCCATATGGTCTCAATTACTCCTTCGCACATTTGTGTACATCATTTGCACACCATCCTGTGATTAATCCACATCGACGATGCGTCTTCTACCCGAGCCCGCGGTCGCCCAAATCCTGCGAGAGTTGACCCCGACACAGTGTCATGGCTTCCTCGACACCCTCTGTGAGGCCCTGAAAAACGTATCATCTCAGTCAGAATCGTCTGGACAGGAGCGACTCATTCATCAACCCCTCCGCAGCACCATCGTCACCAAGGAACAGAACCTGTCTCTCTTCATGCCTGTTTCCAACACCGTCACCACCGGCATCAAAATCGTGACTGCTTCCCAGTCCAACGGGATCATCGGAGTGATCAACATTTTCTCCCCGGAGGGCAAGCTGCAAGGTCTCCTCAGCGCAGCGGAGATCACGGCCTTCCGCACCGCCTTGGCAATCATGTCGCTATTCCTACGCTGCGCAACCATCCCAAAGGAACACATCTTGATCTTCGGTTCGGGAAGACAGGCAGAGTGGCATGCCAGACTAGCACTCCTCCTGGCTCCCGATCAGATTAAGAAGATTACTTTCATCAACCGAGGTCGTCGGCGAATGGCAGAGCTAGAGAAAGACGTGATCGCCGATCTACGATCGAGTCATCCTAACGTGACATTTTCTACTTTGGTCAAAGAAGACACTCCCGATTATGAGGAGATGCTTCGCACCGAACTGGCTTCGTGCGATGTGATTTTCAGCTGTACGCCCGCGACAGAGCCAAACTTCCCGTCCACGTATCTCCAGCCGTTCAAGCCTCGGTTTATCTCCCTTATCGGCTCGTACAAACCGCATATGCGGGAGGTAGACACTGATACGCTCCTGTCGGGCGGCGGTAAGATCTATGTGGACTCAAAGGAGGCGTGCCTGGAGGAATCTGGGGAGTTGATTCTGGCGGAGGTGAAAGAGGACCAGCTGGTGGAGATTGGGGAATTGTTTGGGGGAATAGGAAAGGAGGAGCCGATTGAGGTGCCGGAGGGTTGTAATGTGGTGTTCAAGTGCGTGGGAATGGGGATTATGGATTTGGTGGTCGGGAATAAGCTGTTGGAGGTTGGCCGGGAACGAGCAATTGGGATCGAAGTGGATGGCTTTTAGAAGTAGTGGATATCCATGTGTAGAACGATACATAGATCGTCTTAGTGGTTACTTTAGTGATATACTCCGTATCTCCGGCGCTGTGGTGGTGGTGGGCGATAAGTCCCCCATGCATGCACGGCTGGGTCAAGTCACGCGAGCACGGCCAGGCCCTGCAAAGATCTCGTCACTGGGACAGCAAATGCCACCGAATCGTACTTTTGCCTTAATTTCCGCGGGCAGAAACCAGCTGGCAAACCCCATGGGCCGGAGTGGTGATCGGCCTCTCGTGCCGCTCCTGATCTTGTCCTTATCAGTGGAAGTGGAAAGTGGAAAGGGAGGATCTCCTTCGCTCGAACTCGGGCAAATTTTCTTGTCCTCCGCAACCACCGCTTCTCATCGACCCTCTCCGCTCCTCCTCCGGATGCCCTCGCCATAATCCTACAATGCGCCTGCCTCTCCATCGGCCTCCCTGATCTCGAACTGCCATGGATGTGGGCCCAACCACCCCTGCTGGTCTAGGCCAGCAGAAACGACCCCGCGTTTCGGACGAAAACCGCAAACGAGCCGTGCGAGCGTAAGCCTGCCTCCTCCCTGATTCTCCCTGATTCTCCCCTCAGAACTTCCCCGGAATCGCTCGGGATCTTGGACTCTGGTATTGACTGCCATAGCTGCGATGGCTGTCGTCGCGTCAAGGAGAAATGCGAAGGAGGTGTACCCTGTCGTCGATGTCTCCGGTATCGCCGGCAATGCAACTTCACTCACCCCGATCATGCGGAGAAACTCGCCCGATCGTCGTCTATCCCGTAAGTCGACACACGCCATCAACACCATAACAAAGTGGAGGATGCGGAGGCTTATACATGATGGCTTAGACTTCTGGAACGGACGGCCGCTCTCAGTCGACATGATATGGCCGAGGCGGAACGTGTCCGGTACATGGAACGCATCATTCAACACTATGTCCCTAATGTCTCGTTCGATATTTACTCGCTCCGGAGGATGGCGGAGGAGCTGACACCTAAACATCGCCCCTCTGGTTCTACGGAGAGCCCTTCGATGCAACTGGATGGAGAGGATCTGGAAGATCTGGCTATCGACGATGAAGACTTTACCATCAAGGCTTTGCCGGATAATACCACTCGTATGCTTCTTCCTCGCTTGGATTGCGCTTTACATGTGCGGGCTATCTAACTCGATGACAGAATACTCCGGAGAATTCTCTTATCTAAATTTCTCGATGAAAATCAGACAGAAGATCGACGAATGGATGCAGACCGCAGCTCCGGAGGTAAGACGGTCTCAAATAGCCACAGTTTTGTCGCTGACAGAGTTATAGGCATCAACCGAAACAGAGCCGTTCGAAGAACGATGGCGGGCAACCCAACTGCAGTCCGGGTCGACGTTGGTGTCGACATCTGTCACCTGTCTTCCTCCTCGCTTTGTCGCCGACTTTCTGGTCCAGATCTTCTTCAAATATGCCCAAACGAACAACTTCTATGTGGAAGAGGATTGGTTGCGGGACAAACTCAACACCTGCTATACGGACCCTTCCAGTCTTTCCTCCAAGGACGCTGGCTCTGTCTGCGCCATTCTAATGGTTCTGGCTGTCGGAACCCAGTTCGCGCACATGGAATCGTCTATCCCTGTCAACCGTCTCTCATCCAACTCGGCGTTCGATGATGACCATCACTTTTCCGAGGACGACGTTGGTCTCACGTTTTACCAGTTCGCATCCAAGTTGCTTCCAGATATTATTGCCACCGCGTCCGTTCGAAGCGTGCAGGCCTGTCTTTTGATCGGAACATATCTTCTGCCGCTTGATACGTCAGGTCTCTGCTATACATACTTTGGTCTGGCACTAAAGATGGCCATTCAGAATGGCATGCACCGGAAGTACACTGGCGAGGGACTATCACCTCGTATGATCGAGACTCGGAATCGCGTATTCTGGACCGCTTACACGATAGAAAAGTAAGTCAGATGAGAATCATTCTCTCACACGATGCTTACGATCTCCAGGCGTGTCAGCATTCTTCATGGAAGGCCAGTCTCCTTGTTAGATGCGGACGTGGATGCCCCATTTCCTACTGACTTTCCCGGCTTGACGCCGTCGGGACATGTTTCGAACGATACGAACATGGTGACACTCATCAAGTTGACACTCAAACTCGGAGAAGTTGCAAATGAAATGTGTGTATCTCTTCGAAGTGAGTCAGGAGCTCTGCTAACGCCAGTAGATCTATCCTTCGCAAGTCCCGAAAGAACCAGCAACAGGATTGTCTGGAAAGGCTACTGAATCTGCGGAAAAACCTAGTCGACTGGTGGGCTACGTTGCCAGAAGAAACCAATTGCAGGGATCTCAACCCAGCCGGGCCGCTTTTCCGCTCCAATGTGCACCTGAAGCTCGACTATTGTCTGACTCGCATCTTCCTTGGGCGGCCATTTCTCTTCAGCAGCATGAGGGCAGTCAGTGTCACCACGGCCACTGGCGCTCCGCTCAAGACACCGTCGGGTCTTGCCAAGAATCGGTCAACGCTGGTCACTGATTGTGTGGAAGCCGCTCTGGAGATTATTGATTTGTGTCGGCTGCTTCGCGACGAGCCCGGTCTAGCCCGCGCATCATTTACCGAGTTTAGCTCATGCCGTGCCGCTCTGCTCGTTATTCTGGCCCAAAGTTTGACCAAACGTACAGAGCGGCTGGGCGAAGCCTTAGATAAGGGCATGGCGCTGATCAAGATCATGTCCATGGGTGTCGGCTCTGCCCGGGCGGCAGTGAGCGTCATTGAGACCCTGGAACGTGCGATTCGTCGTCTCGAAGAGTACAGTCAGACTCAACCCCAAGGCAGTACCGGTGTCGTCGAATCAGCCTATGATCGGTTCAAGAACTGGGAAATGTTATGGAAAACCGGGCCAATCTCTCCCGAAATTGTACCTTTCCAGGAACAGTATCATCATCCTAGCGGCAACGGACTTCCCCCTGTCGTCACCCCAATGGCTGGTGCTTCCACCGCAAATGACCAGGTGGAAGCGGACGTGGCCAGCGCGAGCATCCCCGACTCATCCGAATTCTCCGTTTCGCATCCTCTATCGCACATGCCTCATTTTGGGCTTGATCACTTCGTCTCAAACCTGCCTCAAGAGCTGGGAGAGTTCACTGCTATCCCTTGCTTTGAGACCGATGGCCAGCAAACGCTATCTGGGGAGATGAAGCCCGGGTGCGCTGACACGCCGCGGTGGATGAACTTCATGAATGATTAATGTATTCAGCTCTGGTTAATATTCTTTCAGCGTTTCCGTTTGACCTTTCGCGTTTGTCTGTTCATACGTTATCTGTGCACTGGATCCGTTTCAAGATACCTAGGCAGCATATATTTGTTTTACCAGCGAGAATGGCAAGTGTTATGTCGGAAGCTTTTGGATAGTCATGATGTCTATAAGTACATATAAAAATTGGATATCTAGTCGAACACCACCTTCTTTCCCTGGAACGAAGCAGTATTCTTCTGCTCCTTGGCCTTCTTCGCAGCCTCCCATGACGGATGCAGCGGCTTGTTATCCTGGGGCTTCGCCGGAGGCGCACGCTGAGGACGTCCATTCTGTTGCTGAGGCCTGCCCCAGCCTTGATTTCCGCCTCGTCCCCAGCGGTCTCCGCCGCCCGTCGCTCCCCGACGTGCATCCCACCCATTATCCCGGCCTCTCTTGCCCATATCTCGCTTGACGTGATTCGCTCCAGAACCGTACTTCTTCTCCCACAAAGCCCGACGCGCCTGCTGACCCATGCGGTTCTTGCGTTTGGGGGGCTCGTTCGCGGCAATATCCTCCGCTTCAGATTCTGAGCCAGACCAGTATCCACCCATAGACAGGGACGGCAGGAAAGTTGTGCTAGTGGCGGGTGCGGATGAAGCCTTCTTGCTACCCTTGGCCTTCTTAGAAGGCGGAGAGTCGGACTGTTCCGGGGAGGGAGACCGGGAGATCGAGATATCCGACTGATGAGAGTGTATCCGCTCCTCGTCATCGTCATCACTGTCACTGATATCGCGGTCATCCGCTCTCTCCTCACCATCTTCATCCTCCGACCCCGACGCAAGCCGTGCATCGAACTGCGCAAAGTCAATGCTGTCCGCATCATCTGCATCATCCATATCGACATCCTCCTCATCTCCACTCTGCTCCACTTCAGATACCGTGGTACTATCCTTCTTCTTCGTCTCTTTCTTGTCAGCCCCAACAGCACCCTTCTCCTTCATCTTCCCATCTTTCTCCACACCCTTCTTCTGCTTCTTCTCCGCCCCCTTACCATCCGCAGACACAGCCTTATTCTCCACCCCCAGCAACTTCCGAATCCCATCCATAATCCCAGGAAAGACATTCTTCACCGGCGTCGACTTATACAACCGCGCCGTAACATTCGCCTCAGCCGGACTCTTCGGCCCCTCCGCCGAAATCCTCTTCGATTCCTTGAATTTTATGAAAACGGGCGATTCGGCGATCCGTTTCGTCTTGACGAGTTGTCTGAAGAGATAATTCTCTGCTACTTTGATCGGGTCGAGTGTCTATACCATACCCCCATACATTAGCTGCGAATATCCCCAAACACAACCCCAACCCTCAAGCTTCAACCCAGGGAAGGAGAAGGGGATAATTAACGAACCTTAGTAAACTCAACCTCCTCCGCCAACCGACTCAACGTCCCCTCCTTCCCCTCCGTAGTCTTCGCCGTTTTCTCCCGCCGACTGAGCTTCTGGCGCTCGAATCCCCGCGCTACCTTCAGCGCCTTGGACAGCGTTACCACTCCATATTCGAATTGTTGGAAAAGCCGTGTCTTTTGGAGATAGAAAGCTCGTTCTTCGGGTGTGGGTTCGCCCCGGGTCTCCGTATAGTCGGAGAAATTGCGCTTCGGCATTTTTTTTTCCCGTTCTCTTTCGCTTGCGCTTGGTCCTTGCTTTTTGTTTCGCTTGTTCTGCGGGTTTTTTGGGTCTGTTTGGATTCAGTGGTGATTGGCTTTGGGGTTTGTTTGAGGTCTTGCGATAAATTTGGGGGTTGCGTTGCGGAGGTCGATAAGTAGATCAGATAGGTAGGATCGGAGGGGACTTTTTTTCTTGTCGGTCGGTGGTCGGTGGTCGGGGTTAGGACTTTGGGTGGCCGCCAAGAGTTTCCCGGTGTCATTTTGCCGTTTCGGGTGTCTTATTTTGGGGGAGGTCTTATTGGTTGGTTTGGGGTTAGTTGCTGATCTCATGAAAACTACTCCGTATCAAGATGTTGGGATATGTAGGTAGCTATCGGTTGGATTAATTGGTTCTGGTGATGAGGATTTTATGCGATTGGTTAATATTATACTATGTAGGATTGATGGAATAGATATAAAGAAATTTCATGACACAATCTACGAAATATATCATAGACTGAGTGCTAACCTAAACACAGCTTTACCAACATTAGACACAATGCAGTCAACGTCAAATTCAAACATAGACGGTATGTACATACAGAACCAGCAAGGAAAGAAAATACGATTACACCTCCTCTATTTCTTTTCCTCTTCCTTCGGCTCCGGCTTGGGGGTGGGCAGTTTGAACTATATCAGTCAGCATCAATCTTCTTCCACAACAGCAAGGGACCAATGGGGTTTAACATACCGACTCAGGAGTCTTATCGTTACCCGGGCCAACAGGCTCCCAGGCAGCAGTACCGCCCTCGAAGTTCCGGAACGCCTGCGTAAGCTCAAGAGGCTCAATGACGATCCGCTTCTTCTCCTCACAATAACGCAACTCCGTGTATCCGGTCAAGGGGAAGTCCTTGCGCAACGGGTGGCCATCGAAACCGTAATCGGTCATGATACGGCGCAGATCCGGGTGTCCCGTGAAGAACACACCGTACATATCGTAAACCTCACGCTCGTACCACAACGCACCCTCGAACAGACCCGTCACGGAGGGCACGGGGCTAGCTTCGTCGGCGTAGGTCTTGACACGGATACGCGAGTTGTAGCGCACGCTCAGCATGTTGTAGACGACCTCGAAGCGCTGGTCGCGGGTCGGGAAGTCAACTCCGGTGATGTCGGAAATCTGGGTGTATTCGGCCGCGGTGTGGTATTTCAGGAAGGTCATGGTGGGGATCAGGCCCGACGGAGGGACGTAGATGCAGAGCTCGTCCTTCCAGACGGAGAACTGCTGGACGTGCTTGGGAAGACAGGACATGATGTACTGCCCGTACTTGTGCAGACTCTCTGCCTTGTCCTGGTACTTGTCGACGGGGTTGACGACGGGAGCGCGCAGAGGGCCCGAGGCTGTGAGATTCGGTCAGTTAGGGATTGGAGTGGTCGGGTCCGGTGGCCATTGACGTACGGGGACGCTGGGCCTGGCGCATGTTGGGAACATGCTCCGAGATGGGCGCCGTCGACGCCTTGGAGGCTTGCAGTGCGGTCGAGGAGAAGGCACGGGCGGCGGGGGCCAGGGACCGGCCGGTCCCCAGGCGCATCAGGGAGCGAGCAGAGGCCATGGTGACGGGGCAATTGCGGGATGCGAGGAGGGTGGAGGGGAGGGGGAGAGCAGCGGAGGTTCCCTACAAGGAGCTTTTGCCGGGTCCAGGCGAAGTTGTCGCCGTCACGTGAGAGCCGTGGAATCGTGTTTGGGCAGGATGACATAAGCGGCGCTGTGAAAGCCTCAGGCTGCTGTCAGGCTGGACACCCGTACCAAACAGTGCAAACCCGCGCAAACCCCATCAATCAAAGCTTCACTTCTCTTTCTCTTCGCCTCCAACTCTCTCTCTTCTCTGCGTATTGGTGTTCCTTTCTGCTCCCTTCTTCTCGTCCTCTCTCCCCTCACCCCACGTTGTCGATCTTCTATCCTCCTCGCCCGCCTTAGACTCTTTTGTCCGCTTCGGTCCCTCCGCCCCTTGACACGAGAGACCTTCTTTTTGCCGCTTTTCCCTTCGCCCTCCCCCTCCCCCCTTCCGCCCGGGTTCGGTTGATGGGTGTTTAGTGTTGGACTGTGATCGCCGTCTTTTTCTCCTGTTGTACAGTTGCACAGCTTCATCGCCCATAATGTCAAATCGCCAACAGATTGATTCCGTCATCGACGATGACGACGAGTTCTGGTGCGTCCGCTCTCGACTTTTCGTTTCCGTCGGGTTGAACTGGTAACTTGTTCGTTGGGCTGACACCTTTGTCTTCCTTAGCCCCCTCTGCATCGAAGAATTCGATCTATCAGACAAGAACTTCAAGCCTTGCCCCTGTGGGTATCAGGTACGTTCTCTTCCCTCGTCCTTGAAATGCGAACCAGCGGCCCGATCGGGAGATGGCTCGCGTCGTATGCGATCTGGACCGCCGCTAACACCTCCCGCCAGATTTGTCAATTTTGCTACAACAATATCAAAACCCATAGTGAGGAAGGCCGGTGCCCCAACTGTAGACGGGTCTACGATGAGAGCACCATCCAGTACAAGGTTCCAGATGCCGACGAGTATGTGGTCTCTTCTCGCACTTGTTCTGCACTTGTTTCTGAGTGGCCCTTCCCGCGTCTTGGCGCTAACATCGCATCCCACAAAATAGATTCAAAGCGGACCTGGCATTAAAGCATCGGAAGGCTGCCGCCGCCAAGAAGAAGGAGGCCGATAGGCGCGAAATCGAGGCTTCTAGTCGCAAGAATCTTGCCGGTGTCAGGGTTGTCCAGAAGAACCTTGTCTATGTCATCGGTCTCAACCCTACGATACGTGACGAGAACCAGCTCCTCCAGACTTTGCGCGGTCGAGACTATTTCGGTCAGTACGGTGACATCGAGAAGATCGTCGTGAGCAAGGCCAAGCCTGGCGGCAACCCCAACCAGGGCATTGGCGTCTACGTCACGTACGCCAGAAAGGCCGACGCAGCAACTTGCATAGCGGCGGTTGATGGGTCGGCCAACTCTGAACGGGTGCTACGGTAGGTCCATATCTGATGCTCGTGCGTTGGTTTGGTGACGCCGCGTACTGACTGCTGTAGTGCACAATACGGTACGACGAAATACTGCTCTTCTTTTCTGCGCAACGAACAATGTCATAATCGGAATTGCACCTTCTTGCACGAAACTGGTGAGGACAGTGACAGCTACAGCCGACAGGATCTTTCTTCGATGAACACCTTGTCGAGCCAACGCGTCAACGGCTCCCCCAGCGGTCCAACCCACTCGATCCCTCCGCACGTCACCCGGTCCTCCGCTCAACCGCTTTCGCAGCCGATGCGCCGTCAACCTAGTAGGGATGATGCTGCTGGAAGCCGGCCACCTGATGGGTCCGCCCTTCCATCGTCGGCAAGTTGGGCGAACAAGGATGCTGTGCTCAGCCGGACTAGGCGGGCAAGTCTGACTGGCAGTCAGGCCTCGCAAAGCCCTCGGCCCGCGATGGCCACGGTTGCGCCAACTGTGGACGAAGCGAAGCGCGCGGAAAAACATGCGCAGGAACGTGCCCATGCCCAGGCTCAAGCTCAGGCCCAGCTTCAAGCCCAACTTCAGGCCCAGGCACAAGCAGAGGCACAAGCACAAGCTCAGGCACAAGCACAAGCACAAGCACAAGCACAAGCACAAGCTCAAGCTCAAGCTCAGGCCGAGGCTCAGGCCCGGGCTCAGGCTCAGGCACAGGCCCAAGCTCAAGCCCAGGCGCAAGCTGAAGCTCAGGCTCATGCTCAAGCGCAGGCTTCCCCGGCCCCTGAGTCACGCTCCTCGCCGCCTCGTTCCCCTGCTAGCGCACCTGCTCCTCCCGCCGTCCAGACGCCCCCGAAACCGGAGACTCCCCTGTTGGATAATCTGGTCAAAGCTGTCAATTCTCCGGACTTCAAGTTTGTCTTCTCGGCGGCTGGTCTGCCCGCGGAGGAAGTTGCCCTCATCGAGAACCACCCCTCATTCATCGATCCCTATGGTGGTGTGAAACGCCGGGCTATGCGTGAGAAGGCGGAGCAGGAACGTGTGAGGCGCGAACAGGAGTTGTTGCAGTCCGCTGCAGCTGAAGAGGAGAGCCGTGAGAGTGGCAGCTTGCAGCTGGGCGGTGAACCGGATGATGCGATGCCACCCAGAGGTCGTACCGGCCGTGAGTCTCATGGTGCCATTCAGCCTCCATCCCAGCAGGGTACTACGACAAACTCGGTGGTCGGCTCTCCTGTTTCCGCCACTAGCCACCAGTTCCAGCAACTTAACCTGGCCGGTCGCAGCTTAACCCCCCTGCAGCAGCAGCAGTTGCTTCTCTTGAAGTCTGCCAGCAACCAACAGGCAGGCCTAGTTGATCAGTTGCAGGGTGGACTGAACACCGCTGCCCTTGACCAAGCAGCTCAGGTCCGTCAAGGTCTCCTCCAGAGCCAGATGGCCCAGTTCAACGCCTTGCAGGCGCAAAGTCGTCAAAACTCTCGATTTTCTTTTGCCAATGAGGCCAATACAAAAAACCTCCCTAATGTCAGGATGTTGAGCCAACAGGCATCTCTGATGCAATCTGGTACTCCCAACCCGCTTGCTGCGCCTAGTCCCCAGCACGCGCTTGCCAGCAACTACTTTACCAGTGGCGTGCAGGGTCCACCCCCAGGGTTGAAGACAGCTGGCACTCCGCCTATCAGCGGAGGAGGTATGTTCGCGCAGGGTCACGGTTTTACCACGAACGCCAACCTCGGTTTGGGAGGCAACCTCGGAAAGCAAGAAGCCAATCCAGAGTTGATGCGTGAGCTGCTGAGAGGCCGCAGTGGCGCAAATGCCGGTGGTTTGCAGGGTCAAGAGGCCGCTAAGCGTGAGTTCATGTTTCCTTTCCTTCAGCAACACCAAACTCCCCCTCCCCTGACTCCCGCGAATGGCCTTCTCAGCTCTTTCTATGGCACTCAAGCGGGGAATTTCTCCGAGTCTGGGCCACAGAAGCAGAAGAAGAAGGGGAAGAAGCACAGACACGCTAACACTTCCTCCGGCGGAGGCGGTGTAGTAGATCTTGCGGACCCGAGTATCCTGCAGGCGAGGATGCACCAGGTCGGTGCGAATGCTGCTGCTGCTGCTGGGCAAGCGCTGTACGGGAGTCAGGGTCAAGGTGGGTACAATCAGGCCATGATGTATGGCAGCGGATTCAACCGCTGGTGATTGACTTCCCCCCTTTCTCTTAATTCATTAATAACCCTTTGCCCTTCCATTCGATCTCTGTTTTTTATGATGACTACCCTTTTGCATCTTGTTTCTCTCTATGCCCTTTCTGCCTCCTTTTTTTTTTGATGACATGATATCATATTTCTCTAGATGGGCCCGGGATATGATTCTTATGTTTCAGTTCTCCGGATTTTTATTGATTCGATGTTGAAAACTTTGCGACATATTTCCACTCTGCGACGAAGCATAAAGCAAACGACTCTTGAAAAAACAAGAATACGGGCTAGGCGTGCCTTTGGCGTTCATCTCATGGACTGTTTATCGTTTTCTGTTTTTTTTTTTGTCTACCTCCTTCTGTTCTCTTTTTTTACTTCTTTTTATTCTTTTCGTTTCTTTTCTTCCTTTTTGTTTTCCGGCTTCCGTGTGGATGGGAGGCGTCATTGCACTTTATGGGCACATTGTGTCTTCTAGGTCCACTGCGGTTTGGTGGCTGTCGTATACTTTGTTCTTTTGCATCCAAGCTGGATTGATCTATCAGCATCTTGGTGGCCCATTCGGTCTGGTCATGGCTTTATGTACGTTAACCTCCCTGCCCTGGCGTTCGATAAACACGAGCAGGGCCCTCTATGCGAAACCAATTTCTCACATATATTGTTCATATAGACAATATGCCATGTGTGTCCGTCTGCTTCAATCGGCCGGGACCTTTATGTAATTAATATGCCTGCCCTTTCGTACCTTGGTCGTCGCGTTTTGTCGTTGGGAGTCTATTAGCATGCCCTGTCTCTGCGTTTCTTTGCTTTCGTGTCATCTCACTCATCTTGTTGGGCACGTGAAGAAGCTAACAGCGCATCTAGTGGATGAAGACTTTCCTCCTCTTGGAGCTCAATCCAAGGACAAACGCCCTGTCGACAGCTTTGGCTATCTCGTGCGCTCGCATTTCTCCAGTGACTCGCAAGGCTCGGCTCGTGCTGGAACGCCTACGCTGCCGCCTGGACTACCACTCCCCCACGCGCATCCCGCGTCTGCCTTGTTCCAAAGTCCGCTCAACCCATCCAGTCCGACGTCGTCGGTTTCAATGCCACCTGGACTCAATCCGCCTTTCCCTCGACTTGGAACACCGGCTCATGGGTTCCAAGAAAATGCCTCTCGCCAGCCCTCGCCGGAGATGAAGGATAGGCCTGAGAATGCCCCAACATCGAGCCGCATCAAAAATGTCTCGGAAATATCACTTGGCTCTCCTGTCCCCAAGTCAGCCAGCAAAGCTCGATCCCAGCATAAGGCTGAATTGGCTGGTGCAATTGACATGAAGAATGGTCCGTCAAAGGCTGGAGATACTGTTAAAGCTTCAGCAACCACGGCTAAGACCAAACCCATAAAGCTGGAGCTCCCCTTGACCACTCCTCAACCCCAGGAATCTGCAAAGTCGGAGACGCCGAGCCAACCTATCCATGGCCCAGCTCCCACGAATATTGGTTCACGTCCAAATACTCCATTGACCAGCATTTCACGGATTTCAGACTCGTCTGCTCCACGCCAACCCAGAATTCTCCGTGTGGTTGACACTCCAAAGACTGAAACTCCGCCACCCCCTTCTGCCACTCAGTCAGTCGCATCCTTGGCTGCGGCGCAGAAAATACGTTCTAGAAGGCCGAGCATCTCGTCGATGAGTAGGCCGGACACGCCAGGTGACTTCGGATCCGAAGCTGATCTCTATACTTCGGCATCGGTTTCACGTGCCAACTCCCCTCCGGCCTCATCCCGGATCGGCTCTGCGCCCGTCCGGGCTTTGACCAAGAGCCAAGCCAAGAAGGAACGAAGACAGAAGGCTAAGGAGTTAGAAGCTAAGAAACACGAAGTTGTCGCTGTGATTGAAGAGCCAGTGCAGGCCCCGATTATTGGAAGGAAGCGCAAGACAAAGAAAACACCGGCTAGCTCGACTGACTCTCCGGTCCCGGCTACAGAAAGCGCTGCCGATGCTGGAAAATCCACCAATGCCGGTGGCTCCGACAGCAACGATAAGGCTGACCAGCGGACGGAAGCAGTCAAGAAGACCAAGTCCAAGGACAAACTGCCGAAGGATCTGAAACCAGCCCCTGCAGAAGAGAAAGCTCCTGCAGAGCCGAAGACTCCCGCGGAGGCCTGGCGTTCTAAGAATACGGTGGAGCAGCTGATGAAGGACGCAGAATCTAGCGGTGTCCCGGTCAAAGAACTGTTCTCTGAGCGCACCTCTCCGTTGCAGATGCTTCTGGCTCGGCTTCACAAGTCTGGTGATCTGGACCTGAACAACCACCCCCTGTTCAACCCATCCAACCTAAACCAGCGCTTCGACATGAAGTGCAACGCGGATGATTACGACATCCTCAAGCAGCCTATTGAGTTGACTGAAGATCACCGCAAAGCACTCCTGCGCGGAGAAGCCATCCGTGTCAACTCCGACTCCAGCATGTTGAAAGATCGATGCCTGATCAGTCCTCGTGGGTGCGTTCTTCACCATTTGTCGCCCGACGAAGAAGAGCGCTACCTAGCGCTTGAGAAGAGCATCTCATGGGCTCTCGATAACTTCCAAGAGTACACAACTGTTCCGATTACTGAACCGGATGTGACTAACCGTGGCGGCGGTCTCGACGCGTTGTTCGCTACACCCGAGAATTACAACATCTGCTGGGTCGACGAGACATCTGCCGGCATAACCTCTGCCTCTCCTACTGCCGGCTTGACTGGATCTGATGCGGGCGGTTCATCCACCATTCCTGCCCCTCCCAATGTCCTCTCGGCCATGGAGGCGGACAGCACTCGCAGCCACAACTGGGCCATTGCCAACACAGCGGAGCTAGTCAACGCCACTGCTACTTCGGTGCGGTCTTTCGCCGCTGCCACCGCCAAGCACATGCTCGGAGCCGCGGGAGTCGTCATGGGCAACATTCCTGACCTAGACGATGTAGTCGGCATGACAAACGAGGAACTCCGCTCATTCGCCGTCAAGTCCCAGAAGGATCTGGAGAGCTCGCGCAAGGAACTGGACACGATTGACAAGAAGCTCAACGCTTTGGTGAAGCGCAACCGTAAGCTAGCCCAGCAGGCGCTGGCAACTACTGTGGAAGGGTGAGACGATCGAGGTCTGTGACTGACGCCATCTTTGTATCATGACCTATGTAATCTAGAATCCGTCCTTTTCTTTCTCGTTCCATTACCTTTTTACTTTCTGCCCATGGTTTTCGGTCTTGTGGCTTTACTACTACTACCCCTGTATTTGTACAAATGGGCTGCGCGCGTTTTCATTGCATGGCGTTGTGGGAGGGACGAACGGTCGCTCCTCTCGGGAATGCTTTAATCGGTCTACATACTTTTTAGATCTTAAACGTAATATGAGAATGAGCCATACTAATACCATACTATCTTCAATATTTCTGAATACAGTACTCGTAGCGGTGCAATGTGGGTGCGAAAGATTCTTCAGTAGTCTTTATCAACTCATCCGATGTGTGAAGTTAGTAGTTCGGCTAACCTGTCCGAAAAAATATATTCCGACAGGCCGGTAACCCAATGCAGTCCTAATGCAAGATTGTATTCCACGCTCAGGATATAGAAGAAAGCTTGCACGCGGTCATCAGTACTTATCTTTAAACGTTTTAAATCATCCTGGAAATTCCAAGTTCTCTGAATTGATAGCCTTTTTCCATAGTCCAGTTCTGTCATAGCCATATTTTCATAAATACCCCTGTCTCCCATTGAAGGTTCGATGTGTACAACAGAGAACGATTTTTCGACCGATTTGCGGGTTGATGGGATTCAAGTTCAGTGTAGCGGAGTTGTCTCTAAGCCCTCTCGGCTTCTTCAAGGCCCTTAGCATATTCGAAGCCAACAAAGCCGTCATAGGCTTCACCACGAGCAGCGACCTTGGTGTCCTCTAGGCCCTTGGCGTATTCGAAACCGATGAAGCCATCGAGGGCCTCATCGCGCGCAGCCAGCTTGCTGTCTTCAAGGCCCTTGGCATACTCGAAGCCGACGAAGCCGTCATATGCGTCATCGCGAGCGGCGACCTTGGTGTCCTCGAGGCCTTTCGCGTATTCAAACCCAACAAACCCATCATAGGCTTCGTCACGAGCAGCGACCTTGCTATCTTCAAGACTTTTGGCGTATTCGAAGCCGATGAAGCCATCATAGGCTTCATCACGAGCGGCAATTTTGGTGTCTTCAAGACCCTTGGCGTATTCAAAGCCGACGAAACCGTCATAGGCTTCACCACGAGCAGCGACATCGTTCACTACCACCGGAATTGTCAACGCTGCTACTGATGTTCAAGGGTGGCCCACTCAATACTCACCCTTAGGCGTGGGAGCTGCCATGGCCAGCATGCTGGCAGAAAGAAGGATAGCAGAGTTCTTGAACAACATTGTGCTGACTGAAAGTGTGGTCTCCGACGATAGTAGATTGTCTGAGGTGTCGAGACGTTTTGTGCGTTTCTGCCTGTTGCGGAGTACAGCTCCCACAACCCTATTTATTTGTTCGCCATCAACAATTGCTGAGAAACATCTTGATTTCTTCACTCCGAGGTATGCCCCGGACTCCGGCGCTATGTCCGATAGGATTCCGATCAGGATGCGGCTGTGCTGCAGACTAATCTGATGAAGTCCCTCAACAGTGCTGAGAATGTCGTGATGCAAGGCTGAGGGGTATCGATAGTGGCATGATAAATGCCGCTCAGGATTAGGGAAGGATGTAACCAAGATTCACGCCAAATCATAGTTGCATTGGCCCAATGGACCTATCGGACGGGTTCAGTGCCGATGTCTCTCTAGTTTCTCTGGCGGAGCTGTCAGCCGGTCTGCTTACACCCGAAGGATTGGGTGGATATCCAAGGTCGAGTTTCTCCAGCTTATTGTGGTTCTACAGGCCCGGTTAGAACTCCCTCGCAAGGAATACGCAACAAACCAACTCTCCATCCCAACTAAAATCTTACGAGAGATTTCAGAGGCATGTGGTGACATCCATAGTACCTAGTCAGCGACAAGATAACCACCCGGCAGAATTAGGTGGAATATAATCAGGCTTTGGTCGGTGAGAAGTGCGCGCTACGCCCCGCTTCTGATAAGAGAAACGACACGGCGAGTGCTTTTGAATTCTCTTAGACAGGGCAGCTTTCTCTTATCTGCCTGATTCTTGCTTACTGTCAACTTTGCGACACTGCTGGTGATGGGGTTGGGCAAGTATATGGGAGTGTCGAAGCCTGAAAATGGCAGAGACAGTGAAGATGACTCTGACCTCGAAGGGCTCCTCCATGATCCTCAAAGTGGTGCAGTCTCACGATCGCCTAAAGCTCGCAGATGGGGTTTGTCATCGATCTTCCATTGGATAGCCCACGCTATAACAATAATCCTCATCCTCGGACTGTATGTTCGCTCAGATCCCCAAAGATCCACGAAATTGTCAATATACTGTAAGATGCTTTCATATACCCTTTGTTGATGGTGGAAACGTAGCTTGACATGAGATTATAGCACCCTTGATAGAAGCCATTGGAGACACCTCTCGGATTGAGTGAGTCTTCAAGGCACTGGGAAATTTCAGGTAGCGGTCCAGGCTGATGTATCATCCATACAGAACCTTTAAGGGAACCCTTTGGCAGAGCAGCCCATATCATGGTAAGACCCAACCTCTCAATAAAGATCACTGCGGTTTTGTCTTACCCAAGCATACTTTAGGTCCCCCAACCGACGAGGTGATGGCTGCATGGAAGCATATTGCCCATATACCTCTCCTGAACGTAACAGCGGAGGAGATGTCGCGAATGGGTCATTCTCTCGACTCAGTCCAATATCCCCCCGAGCGCGGCGGAGTAAGAATATAGTCTTTCCATTTTCTGTACCATTGCTGAATCTTCTCCTTGTCAGGGATACGTTGCCCAGTTTGAAGCGATCCATCAATTGCACTGCCTGCATTCCCTCTGGCAGGATCACCATTACCAGAAACACCCCGAGATGTTTCCGGAGCTCACCGAGGAAAGAAATGCGTTTCCCGACGTGGCCGAGGAGCACTATGAGCATTGTGTGAATATGCTGCGACAGCGATTAATGTGCACGCCCGACCCCAACTTCGTGGCCTGGCGCTGGGTGGAAGGCGTTACTGGACCCTATGCCGACTTCAACACTCCGCATGTCTGCCAGGACTATGAAGCGTTGCTCGAGTGGGGAAGAAGCCGTGCGGTTGATGCGGACGTGGTTGAGGATTTTTATTCCTGGATTCCACCTGCAGATGCCGTGGTATTGTCGCAAGCGCCTTGAGATTGTGGGGGAATGCAGAATGTCAATCTAAGAAAATGGAGAGTGGAAGAAGGAAGAAAGAAAAAGGCCGGCGGCCTGAATGGCCTGAGGGTTGCCAGACATGTGACCGGGCTCGTTCGATCCATCGTACAACCTCTTCTTCCCTCTCATCCTCTCATCCCTGCGTGTTTCTCTGTACTACCTCCATTCAATGAACATTTCAAGTTCTCCACCATGTCCCTAATAGCAGTCGGCCCATGCCAAGATGCAACCGATCCCATTTTACCCCTCTTCTGTCGGGGTTCCATCACCGACCTGCAGATCAGCAAATGATCGGCCCTCTGTCCGACCTCGATGCTTGCCTCGAATTTAACCGGCTCATCCTCTTCATTCCCCGCATGCAGTGAGATCCAATCTCCATGTCTTGATGGCCTGATTCTTGCTGATGCCAAAGATCGATCGTCCCCGCCACCCGAATAACCGTCAGCATACCTTCTCCCTTTTCGGCACGGAGTTTCCTCCTTGCATTCCACATCCCTGCCTTCTAAGGCAGTGAATTGCTGTTGTGCGTCGGTCGGGCCAGTTCCGATCCTGTCCCCTACAGCAGCGTTAATAGCCGTCCGTGATCCCACATTGAGACCGACACGGAAGAATCGCTACCTGTCTTCGCTCTCAGCAGCGCATCATGCACGTCCGATCCGAGATAGCGGCGGCCATGCTGGCATCAATCCTTCCCGTAGCTTTAAGTCAGCATGTCCGAGACCTAAGCAACGAGCATTGGTCCCTCAGCAGCCGGGCCTTGAATCGAACGGTGCCTGCGCAATTTCCATCTCAGGTTCACATAGATCTATTGAAGGCGGGGTTAATTGGTGAGTGCATTCGGGCATCGATCCCTTCCAAGCTACGCCTACCTAACAATCACAACAGACGACCCGTAAGTGAATTGGTGTACCGCCAGTGAGACTTATCCGCGCTAAACACTCTGTGGAGGTATCATGGTTTGAATGATTTCAATCTTCGCTGGATTGCGGATGCCAACTGGACCTATACCAGCCAGCCCATTCAAGACCTGTAAGTGGCCTTAGGCATAGTGAGGTACAGTCCATAAATTCTAAGAAAATTAGCCTAGATGAGTACGACTCAACTTGGCTCGTGTTCAATGGACTCGACACATTCGCAACGATCTCTTTTTGCGGACATCTGATCGCGTCCACTGACAACCAGTTCCGCCAGTACGCATTCGATGTTACGACAGCTCTAAAGTCCTGCAAGGAGGATCCTACTCTCAGCATCAACTTTGGTAGTGCGCCGAACATCGTCGATGCTATCGCCCAGGATCCAAATTCAGAAAGTTGGTTCTAGAAGCCGGCTTTTGCCGTAGATGCTCCATACTGACGATTCTATAGCTTGGCCATCAAATGTCCAGATCACGTACGAGTACCCAAACCGCTGGTTTATGCGCAAAGAACAATCTGACTTTGGATGGGATTGGGGCCCAGCGTTTGCCCCCGCGGGTCCCTGGAAACCTGCATATGTCGTTCAGCTAGAGAAAACGGACGGCGTCTATGTGCTGAACACGGATCTGGATATCTATAGGAATGGGCAAATCAATTATCTCCCACCTGACCAAAGCCAACCCTGGGTTGTCAACGCTAGCATCGATTTCTTGGGCTCCCTACCCAATAGCCCAACCATGTCAATCAAAGTGAGCGATGCTCGATCTGGCACGGTCCTTACTTCGCGTGCTTTGGACAATGTCACCGTGACCGGCAGCTCCATAACAGGTGTCACCATTCTCGATGGGCTGACGCCGAACTTGTGGTGGCCGCAAGGCCTCGGCGATCAGAACCTCTACAATGTGAGCATTACCGTCGCCCACAGTGAAACGCACTCTGTGGCCCACGTCACCAAAAGAACCGGCTTCCGCACCATCTTTCTCAATCAGCGCAACATCACTGAAGCGCAGCGCGCACAAGGTATTGCCCCGGGGGCGAATTGGCATTTCGAGGTCAATGGCCATGAATTCTACGCCAAGGGATCCAACCTTATCCCACCAGACAGCTTCTGGACGCGGGTCACCGAGGAGAAGATGGCCCGATTATTCGACGCGGTCGTGGTCGGAAATCAGAACATGCTCCGTGTCTGGTCCTCCGGCGCGTATCTCCATGATTTCATCTATGACCTGGCGGACGAGAAGGGTATCTTGCTATGGAGTGAGTTCCAGTTCAGTGACGCTTTATACCCTTCCGACAACGCCTTCCTGGAGAACGTCGCCGCTGAGATAGTGTACAATGTTCGAAGAGTCAACCATCATCCATCACTAGCTTTGTGGGCGGGTGGAAATGAAATCGAAGTCCTGATGCTCCCACTTGTCAAAGCGGCAGATCCAACTTCATATTCCTGGTACGTCGGCGAATACGAGAAGATGTACATCAGTCTCTTCCTACCTTTAGTTTACGAGAATACCCGCTCCATCTCGTATTCCCCTAGTAGCACGACGGAAGGCTACCTATACGTTGACCTCTCTGCCCCCGTCCCCATGGCAGAACGATATGACAACACCACTTCCGGCTCCTACTATGGCGACACGGACCACTACAACTACGACACCAGCGTGGCCTTTGACTACGGCTCCTACCCAGTCGGGCGCTTCGCCAACGAATTTGGTTTCCACAGCATGCCCAGTCTCCAAACCTGGCAAGAAGCTGTCGAACCCGAAGACCTCTACTTCAACAGCAGCATCGTCATGCTTCGCAACCACCACAATCCCGCTGGTGGCCTCATGACAGATAACTATGCCAACTCCGCCATCGGCATGGGCCAAATGACCCTGGGTGTAGAGAACTACTACCCGATCCCTAGCAAATCAGATCCTATTGCCAATTTCAGCGCCTGGTGCCACGCCACGCAGCTCTTCCAGGCAGACATGTACAAGAACCAAATCCAATTCTACCGTCGCGGAAGTGGTATGCCTGAGCGCCAGCTTGGATCCCTGTACTGGCAGCTGGAGGATATCTGGCAAGCGCCTTCGTGGGCAGGTCTGGAGTACGGCGGCAGATGGAAGGTTCTTCACCACGTTGCGAGAGATATCTACCAGCCTGTTATCGTCTCGCCATTCTGGAACTACACTACAGGTTCTCTGGAAGTTTATGTCACGTCCGACCTATGGAGCCCTGCAACGGGCATTGTGAATTTGACCTGGCTGGATTTGTCTGGTCGTCCTATAGCCGGTAATGTCGGGACGCCAGAGTCCGTCTCCTTCACGGTAGGAGCGCTCAACACAACTCGGATCTACGGCACAAATATCCAAAGCCTGGGTCTATCGGATACCAAGGACGCTATTCTCATGCTCTCACTCTCAGCTCACGGACGTCTCCCAAACTCGGCCCAAGCAACCACATTCTCTCACGAGGACCACTTCACTCCAGCATTCCCCAAGGATGTGTCTATTGTCGATCCTGGCCTTAAACTGGAGTATAACACCGAAACACGGACCTTTGCGGTGGAAGCTACCTCCGGTGTTTCTTTGTACACCTGGCTTGACTATCTTACCGGAGTGGTGGGATACTTTGAAGAGAATTCCTTTGCGTTAGCTCCCGGGGAGAAGAAAGAGATAGGGTTCACAGTCCAAGAAGACACGACAAACGGGGAGTGGGTGCGCAATGTGACTGTTAAAAGCCTATGGGATCAGAAAATTCGGGATTGATTCACATCAGCCCCTATACCAAGAATGTATATATCCCGAACCCGAAAATCTAGGCGTCCTTCACTGCTTATTATCAAACACTTTTCCATCCGGATAATTTACATCATTTCCTTCACAGGAAAATGTGATCGCTATTTTTCCGCGTGAATATGTTAGACCTATCTGTTTTGTAAGTGTTCGGGAGGAGGTATGTCACTGGAGGTACCACTGTTCAGCCCGAGGACTGTGAGGTCCAAGGCATGGCTAGCCGCGTTGTCGACAAACACTTGGATGGACTTAACGTTATTGTTGGTGAAAATTATGAGAGAAACACCCCATAGCCTCATACTCTTTCAAACTCTTTGCTGCAGCTGTCGTCAATGAGTTATAGTCCAAATCTGCCGTTCGGCTGAAACCTGCAGATGAAGCAGAGTAGCCGACAAGCAAAAAGACGATCAATGCTTGAGCCAGCATTGTGCATCTTCCTGCATCGGTAGACAAATCATTGGCTCGAAAGTAAGTCGGAGTAGTTCTAGCGCTTGTCAATCCACAATGCGGACATTTTCCAGCGATCAAGGGATCAATCAGTTCAACCCTTGCGTAACGCAGAAAGGAAAACGTGACATCAGGTCAATTCCATCCCCTAGCGGGCTGAATTTCAAGAACCAGAGTCGCAAATAATGCACATATGTGACTGTCTATGCGTGCTGGTTATCTACTTACCATCTGACCCTCCTGATTGAAGGCATTGTTATCCAAATGGGCTATACAACGCTTTGGAAGCGGCTTTCTCCGCGACAGCTGAACCTAGCCATCCAGATATTTTCTCTAATTGCTATATTCTTCGAAGGGTATGATCAGGGTGTTATGGGGGGCGTGAATGCCTCGCCCAGATATGTCACCGAAGTTGGCATAGGTCGGAGTGATGGAACTGTGACGGACACGACGCATGAAGGGGGGATCGTGAGCGTCTACTACCTGGGATGTATCTTTGGCTGCTTTGCTGGTGGATGGTTGGCGGATCGTGTTGGTCGAATTAATGGCTTGTTTGTTGGAGCTCTGTTTGCTCTGGTTGGGGGTGCTTTGCAGGCTGCGGCGCAGAGCTCGGACTTTATGTTGGTTGCTAGGGTAGTCACTGGTATTGGGACGGGAGGTATGTTTGAGATGATTGACGTGGTGATGTGATGCTTATGGTTGCGTAGGTTTAGCTGGCATTACTCCGGTGTTGGTGTCTGAGACTTCTGCGGCTGATCGTCGAGGGGGGTTCCTTGGGTATATCTTTATTGCTAATTGTATGTAGCGGGGCTCGACTGGTTGGTATAGTATAGTTAGCTGATAGTATCTAGATCTCGGCATTTCAGTTGCCTACTGGCTATCGTTTGGCCTGGCGTTTGTCGATCACGGTGACTCGGATGTTCGATGGCGGTTTCTGTTGGCGCTTCAATGCATCCCTGCCATATTTCTCATCGTATTTATCAAAGTCCTGCCAGATAGTCCGCGTTATCTTGCCTCTGTTGGACGTCATGATGAGTCCCGTGAGCTTCTATACCGCATAAGGAGCCATATAGCTAGTAAGGAGACCATCGACAGAGAATACGCCGAGATTGTCGCCATGACACGGCACAGCAAGCCAAGCTCTCCTGTTGAGTTTTTGAAGATCCTTTCTGGCAGAAGTGGAAGACCAGGTTCTAGTCTTGGTCGACGTGCCTGGTTGTGTCTTTTTCTCCAAATCATGGCATCTTGGACTGGAATCACGGTAGGCCCTCTGAGCCCTCTTATACATGTTGTCACTGATAGTAACCTCTCTCCAGGCAGTTACTGCGTACTCCCCTGTCCTCCTCAGCCAAGCTGGATATAGCGAGATCAAACAGAATGGTCTTGCGGGAGGTCTCAATACCATCGGAATCATAGGCACCATCATCAGTGCGCAGATAGTGGATCGCCTTGGACGACGAGCATGTCTTATGCTAGGATCCGCAATACTGTTCACCGTCGAACTAATTGTAAGCTCTTCCACATCATAACCATTAGACTCGCGCTGACCCACGATTCTCCAGGCCGGAGCTATCTATGAAACCTCGCGTCACCACCCCAACAAAGCAGCCCAGTACGCCCCCGGGGCAGTTGCAATGCTCTTCCTCTTCAACCTAGGGTATGTCAGCCACAATCCCCTATACCATACACCCGCTCACTCACCAATATCAAGCTACGCCTCCACCTGGGGCACCGTCGCCTTCCTCATCCCAACCGAAATCTTCCCTTCGAGCCTCCGAGCCCAAGGAAACGGGTTCGGGATTACCGGCTGGGCCATCGGCGTCGGTATGACGACTCTCGTCAACCCCATCATGTTCAACAATATCCAGAGTCGGAGTTACTTCTTGCTGGCGGGGTTGAATCTGCTTTGGATTCCCGTTGTGTACCTCTTCTACCCGGAGACTTGTAATCGGTCGCTTGAGTCGATTGAGGCGTTGTTCTCGACGACGAGTCCGTTTTCTTGGGATATGGAGGAGGCGTATTGTTTGGGTGGGGATGTGCTTGCGGATCGGGATGTTGGGGTTGTAGTTGGAAGTGAGGATGAGTCCAAGGGAGGAGGAAGTCGGGTTTAGTGTTCTGGTTTTCGGGGAAGGTAATGGGACTGGAAGAGATGTTGGGCATAGTGGGTATTCTTCTTACCATAATATAATGCATGTTGGCAACGATGGTTCAAGAGAGCAGAATAAGATTAGGATGACATCCCACCCATCTACTAGGTGACTCGCGGGTCGCGAAGGCCACAACAACACGGTGGACAACGTGATCAGAACATATGATCACCGTCTACCAGCCAACTGGTATCAATCAACCCATTCTTATTTTCAGAATCTAGGTTGAACATCCATGGTAAGAAACACTACCAGGGAAACTCCAAACCGTCAGAAGTCCATATTCATCCGATAATATCTTCAATGCGTAAGATCCTTTTTTTGATTTGTATAGATTCGTCTTCCAAGCTTGATGTGTAAAGTAAGCCTATGAGGACTTACTCTGTTTACTTATACCCACAGCACACTCGTAATCTAATCCAAACCCTCGAACTCATATAAGCTACCGACTGCATTTACTGTACATGTTCCCGCGATACACAGCGATAGAAGATAACAGATGGAAGACAGAAGCAAAATAATAGCACATATATGATCTTTTTCTCCCCTGACTTAGTATTATGTCTTCGGTCCCCCTTATGACCGTACATCGTCTGTTAGTTCAGGTGCATGTCACATAGTGGCGCGTTCAGCGCTTAATGTCTAACGAGGAATGAATATATATGCTGTTTAACGTGAAAGTAGTTCATTTTCAAGCCTAGCCAGGAGAGGAAAGAGAGAAAGGGGTGTTCCCTGAAGGGCTGGCAAGTTCAGTGTCGTGGACGTGACACCTGATAGTAGGCAGGCGCCCTCAGGGGCCGTGCACATTGTAAGGCTCCGTCCTCAATGCTTCACAGTCACAGGCAATATTTATGTGGTGTTTAGCGCTTTTCATGAAACAAGGAAATTCAAAGTAGGCAATCTGTAAGCAGACGATTACACAAGGGGAACCTTGTCCAGACAGGCAATTACTGTGTCCAGCACGGCCGTGATTTTTACCATCCTGATGGTATCTGAGTGGTGCTCGCTGTACTCTGCATTTGCGTGCTTATTAACCTCTATCAGCGGGTGATAGGCGTCCAACGATCGTACAATCTGGTTTCGTAAGATGCGCAGTTGCATTTCGCATTCAACAGCTGTCCTCCGTCTGAGGGGGTGATGCCGGTCGTATGAAGGTCTGCGCAGGAGCCTTATCTAGGCGAGCCTGGTAGGTTTGAAATGGGTTGTCTGTCTCGTGCTTATCCTCATCGTTGGGGTCGTATATTACGAAACGACACAGCTAGAACTTTTTTTTTCATGCCTTTGGTTTTTTTTTTTTTTTTTTTTTTTTTTTTTATAATTTTTTTGCGGTCCGCTTTGGCGTACTCATTATAGAGACCATCTTCTTAGCCCTTTCTTCCAGTTCCTGCCTACTAATCCCTTTGTTGAACTCCTTAAAGGCAGGTACTTGACCCAAGCTGCGACGCTCTCCTGCCTTGAAATCCCTCCATGTTTTCCGGAACGCGCTGTTGGCTTCCTGCTCTCAAGCCCTCATCCAGCTTTGGAATTCCGCTGACAGCATCTTGAAATTGATAAACCGCATTGTATACGAACGATGCTCAGGAACAAAGAAACAACGAGTCAATAGGGACCCGATAGCCAGGGCGTTCGACATTACCAAAGCAGCCAAATAAAGAATCTTCCATCAGCGCTGACGAAAGGAGAACTAGACTCTATAACCCATTCAATGGCAGGTTTACCATTCTTCCATAGAATTCAACCAAGCAACGCATGGAGGACTTCCAGCAATGTTGATTATTAGGGGGTTCTGCTGTCTTAGACAAGGTTAAGAACATGCAGCCATAGGAAGTCTGTCATTCCTTGAATAAGATTCCACAAAGCTCTCACGTGCATACCGTATCCAGTGTCCTATATCACCCTATTTCCGTCGTCTATCACCAATCTTTGTCAGCATGTCGCTTGTCAAGTCTCCATTTTGCACCCGGTCCAGGGCTTGGCCAGGAAATTTGTTGGCTTCGGCAGGAGGTGGATATAGATGTGTCCCGCTTATCGAGTGAGATGCACAACCCTAGATTGGTCAAGCTTGCCACTTTTCCTTTGATGTCAGGATCAGAGACATTCTGCCCTCAGTTTGGCTGTCGATGATCTCGATGTCCTTCCCATCAATGGTGCTTTTGAGGAAGCTGGGGTAAATCATCGTGGACTATCACACCGAGTCCTTCCTTAATGCCCGCAGTGAGGGTCCTACCTAGGCTCATTGTTTCTCCCTGGCTTGCAAAATTGCCATGTTTAACGAATCCCTGGAATGGCCGAGGCGGTATATCGAAGTTAGTATATTGGATCCTGTAAAGCGGAAGTGATTCGCTGACTCAGGCTGAACCATTTTGATAGTCTGCTTGATAAGCAGCAAAGAAAAATGGCAGTTGGATAAAGCCTAGAGATAAAAAGGGTATGAGAGAACCAAAAGGTGCTTGGTAGGTGTTCAGTGTGTTCAGACTTGAAGATAGGAAAATGAGACGCGGGCAAAGGTGAAATGGAGACGGAATTTATAGAGCTTATGAGGGGCTTTCACCAAAAAGGTCATTGACTGACAAGCAACAATGCAAAGTGACTACGAAGTTAGGAAGGTGAATGGTCTAGACAAGTCATCTTGCCTGTCCTGCTTAGGGGGGCGTGGCAGTAGTCGTATTCAATAACCATTGATTCAACCCAGAATTCCCGGAAAGAGAGCCATGAAAGTCGACTCGAATTCAATGGATTTGATGTCTACCTGAAGACAGGTATCTAGATATGGTCAGAGAACAGTAGCCATCAAGGCTCGTCAAGAGAAAGACAGGGAAGCGTTCAGATACGTAGGTGTAACATGAGTAGCCTGGCCGGTGCACAGAGCCATATTTAGATTCCACTAGCTGTAGAAAGCTTGATGGTTGTGGCCATTTGCTTGACAGCCTCTCTTGATGCTGTCCAGTGGCCAACTGTATCCGTTGGAGCGGGTGGTTGGTGCAGTGACCGCCAAGCATGCACCAGGACGCGTCTACTCACTCGAGTCACTATTTATATATTACTTGAAGACAGCCAGCTGCGCAGAGAAAATAGGTATAAATGAAAATGGCTCGGTTATCGCGTGGCGTTAGATGCTTTGCTCCTAGATTGATTGTTTATGCGTCTCCGTCTGTTGGATGCCATCCCTGGCGAAGTTGCCAATGGTTACCTCCATGCATTGAGCGCAAGCCGATGTCAACCTCCTCATGACCAGTTCCAGCCGTACCACGCGTGTTTCCTACTACCGGCTTTGAGATTATTGATCCAACAGAGGAAATCGAAGAGGAGACTTTGCCCACCTACAGAGCCGAAAAATACTACCCTGTTCGTCTTGGAGAAGTCCTTGATGGGCAATATCAAATCCTGGCTAAACTGGGGTACGGCGTTACGTCTACAGTCTGGCTCGCTCGTGATTTAAGGTATGTTGGTATTGGGGCCTTCGATTGATCAAAGCAGATCTCCAAGCTTGGCTCCCTCGGCTGATATTGTGGTCTCAGCGATTCCAAGTATGTCGCCTTAAAGATCTATGTTTGCGGTTCGGAGAGAAATCATGAACTCGGCGTGTATGACCGTATAAATACAGTCGAGTCAGACCACCTGGGACGATCTTTCATTCGTAAACTATGGGGTCACTTCTTTCTGAACGGTCCTCATGGCCGCCATATCTGTCTTGTCCATCAACCCCTCGGACTTAGTGTGGATCAATTTCTGTACTTCTTACCGGGGAAAGTTATGGGCCTTGAAGATCTGAAGCCATGTCTACGACAAATATTAGGCGTAGTGGACTTTCTCCACACCGATGCACATATTATACATACTGGTAAAGTTTCCCTTCATGTTTGATCAACTCTGTGTCTAACCTTTCCACAAGATCTGCAGTTAAAGAATCTTCTACTTCCCGGTGATGATCCGCAAATCCTCTCGGGCATTGAAGAATCAGAAATCGAGGCACCGTCACCCAGAAAGATACTTGACCATGGTCGCACAATCCACACCAGTCAACTCGTTATTCCAGGTAACGGATTACCAATGCTCAGTGACTTTGGCGAGGCTCGGTTCAGTGAAGAACAGCATGATGAAGATATCATGCCCAACGTATACAGGGCACCGGAGGTTGTGCTGAAAATGAACTGGGACAATAAAGTGGACGTCTGGAACATTGCCTTGATGGTAAGAAGTTTACGCCCAGGTTCATGATGCCCATACTGATTAATTGAAGGCCTGGGACCTTGTTTGTGACCAGACCCTGTTCAGCGGCAGAAACAGGGACGGTATTTTCGATGACCGAGCCCATCTTGCGGAGATGATGGCGATCCTGGGCCCCCCTCCAAGCGAGTTTATCAAGCGCAGCAAAGTGGGCTCCGTGTTCTGGAATGACAATGGTATGTCTCGTCTAACTTATTTTTGTGCCATGGTGCTTCCGTCTAACATTTGGAAAACTCCAGGCACATGGAAGGACCTCGCACCAGTCCCTCGTATAACCCTTGAGAAACGGGCGGCCAGCATCCAAGGACAGGATCAGGAGGGGTTCTTGCGATTCATGCGGAGAGCATTGAAATGGAGGCCCGAGGATAGGCCCACCGCTAGAGAACTGTTGTTCGATGGGTGGCTAATGAAGGGATTGGAATTCCGCAATCAGCAATAGATAATACCCGGTTTCTGGTTTCTTGTGTGATCTTGCATCATTTCATAGGGAGATATTAGATTAGGCGTAAGGGAGATGTCCTATGTGTGTACTCCGAGTTCTGTTGTAGATGAACAGGCGGAGTGGAGCCGGCGGGTGATTGGGGAAAAAGCCGGACGGGTGCCTGAGGATCCCAGGCCCAGGTGCATTCCGCCCGGCTGGGATTCTCTGTTCTTCTTTCCGCCGACCAACTCAGTTGCCTCAACATCACACCAGCCCAGCCATCATGTCGTCACGTACCGTTTGGAGGAGCCTCCAATTGAACGCCAGGAGGCGTATAGTTGTGCCGGAGACTCCCTATCGCTGCTTCTCCTGCACTCGACGCGCCCAGGAGCCACCCAAGTCCAACCATGACGATCGCATGACCCATTTCGGCTTCCAAAACGTCCCCGAGTCACAGAAGGAGTCTATGGGTGGGTTCTTCCATATTCTGTCAATGATGAAATAGCTAAAGGAAGCCTACTAAACGTAATCTGCCAATGTCTAGTGGGAGCCGTGTTCAGCTCCGTTGCTTCGTCCTACGATGTGATGAACGACATGATGTCGCTGGGCATCCACCGCCTGTGGAAAGACCATTTTGTCCGCTCATTGAACCCCGGATCTGCACTTCCATCTCGCGATCACGATACGGCCGGCCGCGGTTGGAACATTCTGGATATCGCCGGCGGGACGGGCGACATCGCGTTTCGCATGCTGGACCACGCGACGAACATCAACCATGACCTTGAAACCCGCGTAACGATCGCCGATATCAACCCGGACATGCTGGCAGAGGGTCAGAAGCGGAGCGTGCAGACTCCCTACTACAACACAAACCGACTGTCGTTCATGCAGGGCAACGCACAGGAACTGCCCTCCATCCCGGATAACTCGGTGGATCTTTACACGGTGGTGTTTGGAATCCGCAACTTCACAGATAAGCAGGCGGCTCTGGAGGAAGCGTTCCGGGTGTTGAAGCCCGGTGGTGTGTTTGCCTGCATGGAGTTCAGCAAGGTCGACAACAGCCTGTTCAACGCGATCTACAAACAGTGGAGTTTCAGCGCCATCCCCATGATCGGCCAGCTGGTGGCGGGCGATCGCGACAGTTACCAGTACTTGGTGGAGAGTATTGAACAGTTCCCTAGCCAGGAGCAGTTCCGCGGCATGATCCAGAAGGCTGGCTTCATGATCCCGGGGCGTGGGTACGAGAATCTGACGGGAGGAATTGCGGCCATCCACAAGGGTATCAAGCCTCTTTCGCGGGCTTAAAGACGCCAAGAGATGGATTGTTATAGACCAATTGTACACTAGCATATCCTTTTCGCCACTGTAATAATATGATTGGGGTCAGTTATCGGCACGGAAGTGAGCAAGAACCGAACGGCAGCGGGGACTGGATCTGCAAGGCATCAGCAGCAACGCCGATGGTGTGATGGCGGAACCTTGCCTGACCGACCGGCAGCGTTGACTAGATATCTGCTATCTGCCTAGACCTGCAGTCTGCGCCAATGCACACAGACAGAGCAATGCACGCGTCGGAATCTAGAAGGGGGTGAAAAGTGATTTATATTTATAATCAGGGTGGGAAATTCCTCTTGATATCCGCTCCGAGGCTTGCGAGGTTATCTCCGGGCCCCCGATTGATAACCTCCAATCAGGGCGGCACACCTTCACTATCTCTCCGGTCCTTTCCTTTCTCTTCCTCCACTTTTTATTTGTTTCTTGTCGCCCCCTCACCACCATCGGATCCCTCCTCCCTCCTCCGCGCCTCCAGGTTCTCGTCCGGGATCTTCTTTCCCAGGCTGCCTCCTGGGAGAAGGCCCCGTTTCCTTCTTTCCTCCTTCCTTCTCAGAGAATGGTTTCGAGACCATGGGGCATCTAAAGCAGTCGTTTGTGATCCCGTTATCGCCCGCCATGCCCCTCCCGGAGTCGAACCCCTCCATCCACGATGACTTCCTCCTACCAATGACTCCTCCAGAGCCTACCGATGCCCGCTATCGGGATCCAAGGACACGGCACCAGTCGCTACGGCCCTCCAGGTGATCTCTGCGGAGCGCGCTGCCCTGGCGCATCTGGAGCATATCTATCAGACCGATCCCTTGGCGCAAGACCACCTCGCGCGTGCCGTGAGTCAGATCGTACGCAGTATCAAGCATGGGGGCAAATTGGTCTGTTGTGGTGTGGGCAAGAGTGGCAAGATTGCCCAAAAGCTCGAAGCCACCATGAACAGCCTAGGCATCTACAGCGCATTCCTGCACCCCACGGAGGCATTGCATGGCGACCTGGGCATGATACGACCGGTAAGGATGGCCATTGCCATGGACCAGATAAGACCCGTTGACTGACTGAGCATCCTTTCTTTAGCACGACACGCTCTTGTTGATATCCTTCTCAGGTCGCACGCCGGAGCTTTTGCTCATGCTTCCTCATATACCTTCAACAGTCCCGGTGATTGCTATTACATCCCATATGCGCCCGTCAACCTGTCCGCTGCTTTCTTTCCACCCGTCCAACATGGGAATCCTCCTGCCGGCACCCATCCATGAGGATGAAGAGTCCTCGATCGGCGTATGTGCCCCGACGTCATCCACCACGGTGGCCTTATCGCTGGGAGATGCACTGGCTATCGCTACGGCCCGGCGGTTACATACTACCCCAGGCAGGGGTCCGGCTGAGATCTTCAAGAGTTTCCATCCCGGGGGTGCCATCGGCGCCGCGTCTATGGCCTTGACACCGATGAGCATGTCTTCCGCGTCAAGTTCCTCCGCTCCATCAGACTACATCCCGGCCCAACAGACCGCGGCTTCCTTCACGCAGTCAGACATCAAGCCCAACGAGCGTCCCCTCGTCCGCGACATGCTTGTTTCCCTCGACCAAATCCCCAAAGTGTCTGCTTCAGGCAAAGTCCGTCTCTTGGACGTTCTCCTCACCGCCATACAACACCCCAACGCCAAGTCATGGGTCCATCTCTCACCGTCGGAGATCGTACCCCCACGGCATCTCCGCTTCGTCTCCCAAAGCAACTATGTAGACATGCATGTTTCCGCATTCGTTGAACTTGGCCTACCTTTCGGAGTGCCTCGCAAAGATTGGTTTCGCATCCCCGGCTCAAGCACTATTGACGACGCGCGACGCCTCGTATCCGATGCCAGTGCATCCTCCGAGACCTCGGTGACAGTGGTGGCTGTCATGCACGACACCAACCCTCATGAGTGTCTCGGAGTAATAGAAGCCGAGGATTTGTGGAATGACTGTGACGACTAGACTACATATCTCTATTTTTACAAGTCTCCCTCTAAACCTTCTGATGATGTATATGAACTCATGCCTGGATTTCTATGTTCTTTGTCTTCCTGTCCCATATATTCGTTTTCTCAAACAACCATAGATAGTTATTCTTTGTGTGTGTTTGTTTCAGTACATTCTTCCCTTGCCTGGAATGGGAGGGATGTTGTTTCTATACACGGCTTCTTCTTCTTCCCCTTCCCCCACTTCCTCCTTTTCAGGCCTTTCTAAACATCTCACCCAAGGACTCTGGCTGACATCTCCTTTCTACATTTATGTGTTATCTACTCCGTTTGATCTTGATTTTAGAAAAGACCTCAAGAAGGCCTAACTTAGATACCCGATCATGACAACAAATGGTATTCGTCCGATTCATGTCTAGCTCTAGCTATCATCTAACGTATCGGTACAGTGATCTCAAACATAACAGGGTATAAGCATCATTGGCGGGGGGACCAGAAAAGCAAGATCGATAAGGGTAAGCAAAAAAGCAAATGATTAATCTATGGTATCTTCAACGCATTACTCGTAACATAGCGGAACGCCCGTAGTGATCAGAACACATAACATCGAAACGTGGCCAGGGGGATGCCTTTTCTCAGCCGCAGTCCACGAGGGATGACCATAGTAGTCCGTGCCCGCGGGTCAAGGACGCGGGTGTCACTGGAGGGATCGGTCGAGCTAATCCTGAGCAAGCGGGAAGAGAGAGCGAAGGCAGAGAGATATATACAGCGGGTGGATGATTGTGGCACCAGGCCGCGACGACCCGCGCGGTTCCGAATTAGACATCTCTATAGTGAGATGACTGGCTGCTTGTCGCACTAGCAGCCCCTTGGTTCTCTCTCCCGCTTGTGCTCTTCGTTCCTCATGGTGGAAAGCGGGACGACTCTGATTTTAGTATGGTAGCAACAGAGTCAAAAGGGTTGAATCTCCGAATGGCGACTCAACCCGATGATGCGGGCTCTTGTCGGCCCTTGCCCTTGTCAGTGGCAGTTGTGCCATCATCCTTGTAGAGGCTGTGTTGTTCAATGTAATGGATGACCGGGACGGGTATCAGGTAGCGGACGCTCATGTCACGCCTCAAGAAAAGACGGATCTTGGTGCTGCTGACGTCATTTTGAATCAGTTGCTGAATGACATGGATATTTTTCTTCCAAGTCTGCAAGGCTGCGAGCGCTTCGTCGATATCGGTTCCGCTGCGTTCCACGATAAAGGTCTGCGGGTCAGATTAGCGAGAGGGGCTCGTGGACTGGATCAGTAGGGGGTAGGTACATACACCGTATTTTCCAAGAATGTGATCGAGATCCTTTTCGCTCCAGACGCCGGGGGTTGACATGGTGTGGACCAGATCAGCACCTGCCAGCAGAGCAATCTGGATGGGCTTGCGAGAACCATTGCCGGCCTCGATGCCCTGTCGTACAGTGTTGATCTCGTGATCGAAATGGTCCAGCACAACGGCGGTTGGTTGGTACTCTTTCTGCATCGGTTCCCAGGTATCAACCATCAGCCAGTCAGATGTTTGATCCACAGCGAGCTGGCACATAGCGACACTGATGGTCATTGCTGTTAGCATATGTGATGACTTTTGATTGGTTGATTGGATTCTGGGGCGTGATAGCGATGAAGTGCTTACCGGTGTTCAGCGCTAGCCAAACCAGCTTTGCGATAGGCGTCCGACACGGGGGATAGGTAACCCCCGACCAGTTCGAAGTCCGTGCTAAATTTGACGTAATCGGCCGCCATCTCGAACATGCGAAGGTGCAAGTAGGTGATGGGCGAGAAGGAGCCACAAGCCACCAGCAGTAAGGGGGTCTTTTCGGGGTCATCCATTGTGCGCTTCAGGCGAAGCTCGGGGAAGGCGTAGTCGTCCATGGGGGCGGGAGGCAAAGGCGAGGGCCTCCGGTGGACATCGTCGCTGATGGCGTCGGTCATGGTTGCAGATGAAGGCAGGGTGGGGTGTGTCCCAGGGAGGGACGGTCAGAGAGATGCTGGGAGGGACCAGGTCTGGCCCAGGATGAGTCAAGGGGGTGGGGGGATGGACGATAAGACAGAGACAGAGACAGCGGGAAGAGACTTCGGGAAACGGGAACGGGGGGATGAGATGAAGAAAGGAAGTGGAATGGTCTGGACGAGGGAGGGGATGGAAAGGATGGATGCGGGCGCAGTTGAGTTAGTCAGCGTGGGGGAATCCAGGCGGCGGGCGGGGAAAAAAAGGACCAAGACGGACGTTCGGTGTGCCTCGCAGCCTCGGGGCCTGATCACCTCATCGCGACTCGCGTCGCATCGCTCGCTTCTTTCTTTCTTTCTCCGCGTGGCGCCCGCCGACGTCCGCGGAGTGGGTGCCTAGTCTAGGCACGGACTAGGTGCTTGGACGGATGACTCATTCATGTATCTTGTTGGTTTTGAATTATACTACTACAACTAATAATTCTATCGCATGTCCTACGCAAGTATACATAGTGGTTTGTTCGACATGACCTTGCAACCATGACTGACGGCAGTTGCAACGAGCGTAGGTAATGGCTGGCTGGCCCGCAGGACACATCGGGGTCGGTCTCGAACAAGCCATGTGAGTCCCATGTATGCACTCTGCACTCTGCACTCTGCAGACACAAGGAGATTGTTCGTGATGATTGGCGGCTACGGCATGTCTCTACTCGATAAACTCTGAGACTTCCCCCTTGATGCTCCTGTCATTCCAAGCAAGGGTGTTGGAGAGGAAAAGAATGCCAATATGCCCGCGGTGGCCGAAATGGCGCACGGAAATATCAACCCATACCAATCGTTCATGACGGATCTCAAGACTGATTTCGAGTCCAGCTGAGATACTGGGATGAAGTTAAACCAAATAACAACTTGGAAGTGGCGGTCAAACTGGCATGCTCTTCCTATCTCCCTTGCGTAGCAGATGGTCATGTCTGGCATGTGTCGTTCGAGGAGCTGAGGCAATAGACACCATGACAGGTTCGAGATGGCCGGTGCACGGGTACTGGAGAGGACTGGAGTATAAGAATCAAGACAGCGACGCTCTTACGGATGAAAGCTAGAGCAGAGCATACTGAGTCCTCAATCTTCTTTCCTACTCTATTCCAAGAACCCATCTTTCCCTTTCACTAGACTTGAGGCTGTGCCCAGGAGGTGAAGATGCCTCCCAGCTTAGCGAGCTTAGCCGGCGACGGCGATGTCCAAGGACTGGGAATCGGTCCGTTGGCCTTCAGGAAGGCCTTGTTCATGGGCAACGCAGACGCCATCATTGACGGGGACTATACCATGTCCTATGCGGAGCTGAATGACAAGGCCCTCCAACTCGCAAGCGAACTCTACCACCGTGGCATCGAGGTTGAAGAACCGGTTGGCATTCTCTCGCGTCCTGGAATCAACCACATTACTGCTCAGCTGGCAGTAGCCTATGTTGGAGGCAGCAGTGTTCTCTTGAATGCGGCCCACTCTGATACATACCTGGGAGAGCGGTTGGCTCAAATCAACGCGTCCTGGGTCATTGTGGATGTGGAACACCGAGAACGATTGCCTGACTATCAGACGATTGTCCATCTCCATCAGAGTAGCACATCTAATGTGCCCGATCAGCTGCAGATGCCAATCACCTCGGGGGCCCATCAACGCTCCCATGTCATCTATACTTCAGGAACTACTGGAAAGCCGAAGGCGGTTCAGATCCTCTCTCGTGGACTTATCAACCTGGCCACAGATCCAGATTGCCCGATCCTCCCGTTCTCCCGAGTTGCCCAGGCCAGTAACGTCAGTTTTGACGCATCAGTTCTAGAAATCTGGGCAGCTCTGCTCCAGGGAGCCACCCTTGTAATCACCAGGAAAGAACTGTTGCTCGACGCCGAGATGTTTGAGGCGCACCTCAAGAAATACACCCCGGCATATCTCTATCTGAACGCGGCCCTCATGGCCACTGTGTCAGCCCAGATCCTGACAATCTTCAGCCATGTCGGAACACTGATGGTGGGAGGGGAGGTGGTCAGCAAGGAGGCCGTCCGGCACATCCTACAGAACGGTCCCCCAAAGCAATTTCTGCATGTCTACGGTCCCACAGAATCCTCTATCTGGGTGACCAGACACACCCTGAACATTGCAGATACCTTCCTGGACTCACTTCCGCTCGGCAAACCGTTGCACAACGTGGAGCTTCTGATCCTGGATGACAACGGGAATCCTGCAGGCAAGAACACCGTCGGAGAACTGTTTGTAGGCGGAGCAGGCTTGTCGGCTGGTTATTTCAACGACGAGATCAACAACACCAAGGCGTTTGTAACCCTCAAATCTGGGTTCAACGAGCCCAAGGGCTTTTATCGTACAGGTGATTTGGTTCAGGCCAAGGACGATGGATCCATTTTCTTTGTGGGTCGGAAAGACCATCAGGTCAAGATCGCCGGCCATCGGGTTGAGCTGGAGGTGATTGAGCAGACCCTTGTGCAAACTGGATTCTTGCTGGAGGCAGTGGCCATGAAAGTCCAACCGCCCAAGCTAGACCTGGGTGCTCTTCTCGTGGCATATGTCGTGCCTAAGCCCGGCGTGGTGACGGATAAGGCCACTGTGACCCAGGCATTCAAGAAGTTTGGGCCAGAGCTGATGGTGCCGCGCCTCGAGTTTGTCGATACCCTTCCTCTGACGGCCAATGGCAAGATAGATCGAACTCTGCTGACCAAGCTCTATCTCGAACGATTCGCCGGCGCTGAGGCCATGGAAAGTGCGGTAATTCAACAACCGCAAACCCCAGAGGAGCAGCTCGCGGGCATCTGGGCCTCGATTTTGGGCATGCCCTCCAAGAATATCAGGCCTCAAGATGACTTCTTCGCTCTCGGAGGCACCTCCTTGCAGGTCGCTACCATGATCTCTGATATTCGCAAGACCTTTGGCATCAAGATCCCGACCACTTTTCCCTATCAGCACCCAAAACTGGCCGATTTCACTCAACTGCTACAGGAGGGTGGGAGCGCCATCGCCCGAGTGAACGAAAGAGACCTCTGGGTGCGCGATGCTGAGCTGGGGAAGGATATCTTTCCCCTTGTTGGACCCGTTACCGACTGGCAATCCGATGGGTCTGTCTTTATCACTGGTGCCGCGGGATTCGTCGGATCAGCCCTATTGGCTGCCCTGATCAAGATGCCACATGTCCGCGAAGTCATTTGCCTCGTCCGGGCTGCGAACGACGATGCCGCCCTCGGCCGTCTCGAGGCAACCTTTACCAAGTACGGACACACGTCGGCAATTTCCCATCCGAAAATCAATGCCATTGCCGGCAACCTGACTGATGCCAACCTGGGGCTGGGAGAAAAGGGCTTTGCCTCCTTGGCCGCGCGCGCCGGCGTGATCTTCCATGTTGGTGCGCACATGAACTTCACGGTCCCCTATCACACTGTTCGCCCAACGAATGTGGGTGGCACTCTGGCCATCTTGAGATTGGCCACCACGACCAAGCAGAAACAGGTCCACCATATCTCCAGCATTGCCGTCTACGGGTGCGCTCGAGGGTTCCTGGGCACAGCGGAGAGCTACGAGGATGGCGACCTTGAGCGGAGTGTCTCGGCCCTCGAGTATGATATCGGGTACAGCCAAAGCAAATGGGTAGCGGAGAACATTGTCTGGAATGCCAGTCGGAACGGGGTTCCTGTGGCCGTATACCGGCTGGGAGCTGTCCTCTGCAATTCCCAGAACGGCGCCACCAACCCCAATGACTACGTGACTCGTATCATGAAGGGTTGCATCCGTATGGGTAGCTATCCCATTCTGGAGCGACACCGATTCGACTTCGTCTCCTTGGAGTTCATCATCTCCTCCATTCTCCACATCGCGGCCACTCCGGGCAATTTGGGCCACGGGTATAACCTCGTGACGCCTGATCAGGACCCGTCTGTCTCGATTATGGAGCTTTTTGCCACCCTGAACAAGATTATCCCCTTTCCTTTGAAGCCCATGGATTACGATGAGTGGACGAGCCGCTTCACTTTCGCTCGGGATGATCCCTTGACTCCATTCATGCCGCTTCTTCAGGAACAAGTTTATGACAACCTTACCCGCTGGCAGATTGAAAGCGACCCTACCATGTACCGCAATGATAATCTGAAACGTGCTTTGAAGACCAAGCCGGAAATATGGGGTACGAACCCCAATCTGAAGGAAATGATGCACGGTTGTCTGGATAGCTGGATCAATTAGACCGGACGTCCAGGTCTGAAGGGGAAAGCGTGCTGGCTATTGTTCTTGAGATATTATCCTTATCAACGACGTAGAATCGCAGTTCTTATGGTTTTGAATATGTGCCTTTGCAAGACAGTTATCATAAAAAGATTCCTTCATTCCTAGATCTTATCGTAACGGTTTCAACTCCCTGAGTGACGGACCTTAGTCTGACTGTCGGAAGGACCGATGTCTTCCGTCGTCTCTAGCTGCCCATTTCTAACTGACCTACAACAGACATGTATTCTCGGGGCCGTGAGGTCAACGGATTCGTGGCCGGTGGACTTGAGGGAAGTGAGCGACGCACCTGCGGTTTTGCATAAAGACCAGAGAAGGCGGCCACGGACGGCAGTACCCTCTCAAGTATGGCGCTGTCCGCTAAACCCAACACGGAATAGGCATATCCAAGTGACAACCGAGGCAGCGGCCGAGAACGGCAGTCAACTCACTTCTTCAGTATCTACTCCGTATGCGCAGGGTGCGGCTCTCATTGTATTGGACGCGCATTATACTATCATTTTTAGCCATGTAGATCTACATGGCCAGGATGAAGGAGCCCACGTAATTTTGATATCAATCCAAGTTTCCGGGTTCAACTCTGTCTCCACTTCTCCAGGTCCTCCGTGCAAGCCGCTGAGCGGAGCGGAGCAAGGGCTGTCTGTCTAAGCAAGGCGAATTGTCCTACTTTATTTACCATGTTACCTTTGGATGTGAGTTTACTTTATTTAAGATATTATTTTCTTCCAAGGAAAGCTATTGCTTGATTAGTATATTTTATTATATTTCTTAATGGTCGATTACAAATGTTATCAAGGGAAGGTAGTTTAGCTGTTTGTATCTGCATATCTGACCAGGTGACAAACCTGATGCACGCGATAAGATTCACGGAACCCCGCACAGATGCAGTCATCTGCATGGGATGAAATGTCACAGACCTCGCTCTTGAATGGACAAGGTAGTGCTTTTTATGCTATGAGGGTGAGGTTCCGGTGTGTTGGCTAGTCTAATAGAGTTATTGCCACTAGTAACTGAAGATTCGCAAGGCTGAAAGTCACTCCAGTGCTCACCTGCCTTACTACAGTATATATCTATGTAGGCTTAATGGTCATGATGTTTGCTGTACTGCTGGTAGTAATTGAATCTTTAAATAGTATCGCAGAGTACCAGTAAGAAACCTTGGCGTACACAGCAGAGATATGGAGTATTATCTATCTTTAAACCCCATGTGAAGGTATGACTACGATGGTAACCTTCAAAGTCCGTGGTTGGAACCGTACGGAGACGCCCGATGCGGTATGCATCTGCCCATTTCAGCCCGATAACCAGGACCAAAAGGGAGAAAATCGAGATTTCGAGAGCAAATTCTAGCGGATCGTTCAGAAATTACCCAGCTAAATTCCAGGCCAGGTAGTCAAGGTATCAGCTATTGAGTGCGTTTTTTCAGTCGAGTCACTTGGATAAGTTACCATTTACTGAAACGGGCCCAAGTACTCCGCATAGGGACCAGGTCGGAACTGTTTGGTCCTGGTAGACTAGATAAGCTAATTAGGTATTTTCGCCTGAATGATTGTATGTGCTGGACTGCGACGGTGGATTACTTGTTTGCAGGGGTCTATCGACTTATTAGACGGAGCTTCTCGGTCGCAAGATCAGCCTGGTGTGCCCGGGGACGTTCGGTAGTGGTTGAGGCTGCACTTTGGCTGTCTGACGCTCTCCGGACTTGCTTCCTCAGGCCGGCGTCACCGCCGCCAACCACGTCAATCATCTTCCCCCCCAACTCCCTCCCTCACCATCAACTCAACCACCATTCTCCATTTCACTCAAACTCACGACCACCCGTTTTTATCAACGAATATTACGCCTCTCTACTCCTTCTGGTACATATTATCACCCTACAACCTCTATCTATTCTTGCGGAAAAGACCAACCCCCTGAGCGTGCGCCCCTTCACACCCCCGATCGGCCCTCAGCTAAACCGTCCCCGGATCGTCGACGGAACCCAATTCGCCATTCTGCCCACTCTTGGTCAACCTTTCCTTGAGTAACGGATGGCGGGTTAACGGTGTAAACTGACGAGCGAGCCCTCCTTATCCAGCTCTCGTTAGCAATCGACATATGGCCAGACAAAGGCCCAGTTCTCACCGCCAGGACCCTCTTGAGGACTCTTCCGCTCAGCCATCCTCCGCTGGACCTTCCGCCACTGCCGCTAGGTACATACCACATCTACTTTCCCTATATTCCCCGGGTTTATTCCCTGTGGTTCTTCGGTGTCTGGCATGATCCATGGTCACTGCCCCCTTTTTCGTGATAACCCATCAAGAACCTATCCTCCACGAGCCTGCCCAAAGGCCTCGGTAGACGAGAGCTCTGCCTACTAGCTGTATACTCGGCTGAGAATATCACTCGAACATCTCGGTCTTTGAGTCGGGTGGGAATGCCCTTATCATACTGCCAGCTGTTGTTCTGTTTCCATCTTTCTCTCGCTCTTACGCCATTTTGCACCTCTACCCCCACTATATCCTGGAAGTGAACCCTTTCTCATGTCCTCCAGAATCACTCGCTCAGCCGCGAGAGTAGCTGCAGACTCTCACCCGTCTACCGGCCCTGGTCCCTCCCCTACGAACGCGGCCGCTGGTTCGGCTCCAACTCGGAAGCGAAAGGCCCCCGCGCGACGTGATCGATCGGTAGACGCCCCGGAACAGTCGAACCCGTCGTCCCCTCCCCAAAAGGCTAAACGACAGCGACGCGCAGCTTCTCCCCGAGCGGCGGCGCCACCTGCTACCACTCGTCGTGGTACCCGTAATCGTCCAGCTATGTCCCAACCTGGGTAAGACCGTGTCTGCATACAAGGAGTTAAGAGCCGGGGCTGATTGATTATTATCCCTAGTCCATCACATCCCGCGGAGGATTCCTCAAGGAGTCAGGCCTCCCCTCCGGCGTCTAGGCGGAAATCCAGCAGAAGTGGAAAGGTGTCTCAAGGTAAGAATTGAACGCGGGGTGGCGCCTGCGCGGATGGGTTGAACTGACCTCTTGTCTCAGATAATGCCTCAGCAGCACAATCTTCGCCTCTTCGGCAAAAAAAGCGCCCTTCCAGAACCAGCCCCGATGCGATCATGAAGGAGGCGGAAGAGGAATTGGAGGAACCGGAACCGGAGCGAAGCGAAGAACGGGATTCTTCTCCTCCGAGCGAAAGCCATGAGGGTACAAACCCTTCGGGCCTCGATGATGATGACGACGAGGATGACGGGGACCTTTTCCAGAACAGTCTGTTTGGAGGATCGCGGAGTCCCTTGGGACTTCAAAGCACCCTCCGTGCTCTGAGCGGCATGATGTCGGGCATGTCTTCGCGCTTGCGAGATATTCTGTGCAATCTGAGAATGAAGGATGACCCGTCCATCCAGCTGATTGCTCTGCAGGAGCTCTCTGACCTACTACTTGTATCAAATGAGGATAATCTTTCCGGCCAGTTCTCCCCAGATCCGTATGTAAAGGAGTTGGTCGCCTTGATGCAGCCAAGCGATTTTGGTGAAGAGAACCCAGAGATTATGCTTCTTGCGTGTCGCTGCTTGGCCAATCTAATGGAGGCTCTGCGAGGTTCCGTGGCCAACGTGGTCTACGGGGGGGCTGTTCCAGTCCTGTGCCAGAAGCTACTGGACATCCAATTTATTGATCTGGCCGAGCAAGCTCTCAGCGTAAGTTATTTCCCCGTTTCCGCCCTGGTGTGCCAACTAACCGGCCATTGCAGACTTTGGCGAAGATATCAGTGGACTTTCCGGCCTCTATTGTGCGTGAGGGCGGCTTAACAGCCTGTTTGACCTACCTTGACTTCTTCCCGACTAGCACGCAGCGTACGGCCGTGACAACGGCTGCTAACTGTTGTCGCAATCTTCCCCATGACTCGTTTCCAGTCGTTAGAGACGTTATGCCAACTCTTCTCAATGTTCTCGCTAGCAATGATCCCAAAGTTGTTGAACAGGGCTGTCTATGTGTCTCCCGAATTGTCGAGAGCTTCAAGCACAAGCCAGACAAGCTAGAAGAACTGATCGAGCCTGCAATGCTAAAGGCTGTGCTTCGGCTGCTCTTGCCCGGAACTACCAATCTTATTGGCCCGCACATTCATACGCAATTCCTCCGTGTACTTGCCATCACATCCAAAGATAGCCCGAGACTCTCCGTGGAACTGCTGAAGATGGACGTGGTTGATACTCTTTACCAGATTCTGACCGGGGTTTCACCGCCGGCAAATCTCGATGACACAGCCGTCAAGATGGATAGTGTTCTCGTCATGCAGGCGTTGATCCATCGCCCCCGGGAGCAGGTTTTCGAAACGCTCAACGTTATCTGTGAGCTGTTACCGGGCGCCACTAGCCGGCATCTTCCTCAAGCGGACGGGTTGCTTGGCTTCCCCATTGAGGGTGATGCTGCACGCGAGCCAAAATCCCCCAAGGCGAAGGAATCCGCGGAGAAACGACGCTCATTACTCCTGGGCTGCAAGGTGGAATTGAAGCGCTTTGCCATGATCTTGCTACCGACCTTGACCGATGCCTATTCAAGCACCGTTAATCTAGAAGTGCGCCAGAAGGTGCTGACAGCTCAGCTCAAGATGCTGCACAATCTAGATGCTAGCCTAGTCGAGGATGCACTGCGCACAGTTCCCTATGCCTCTTTTCTGGCTGCTATCCTCTCCCAAAAGGACCATCCGTCTCTAGTATCTTCTGCGCTACGTTGCGCAGAAATCCTATTCCAGCGTCTGGAACATGTTTACCGGCATCAGTTCCATCGTGAAGGTGTCATTTCGGAGATTTTCAAGCTTGCCGAGGCACCACTATCTACTGACAAGCAGGGCAAACCAACAGGCGATCCCTCACCCGCTCCAGATACCTCTGTAGAAGCGAAACCAGCTGGTAGCGCAGAAGACGATGGCGGCGACGATGGCGAAGGAGCAGATGATTATGACGAGCAAGATGACGACGACAACGATGATATGTCCGAGTCGGGAAGTTCCTCATCATTCTCCGGTCACGTACTCTCCACTAGAATCGAGAATGCCATGAGGGATCTTGTAACCCGCGATGCCCGGGGCTTCGCGGAACTGTATGAGTCGAGCCAAGGCAAAGACATGCGGGACAAGGCTTTGGAAACACTGAACGAACTGAAAACCATTGCAGCAGACATCGAGGCGTTCTATGCAGGCGATGGCGAAGAAGATGGCCTTTCGCTTTTCAAGAAACTTGCGGCGTATTTCGATGGCGACGCATTGGAGAGTATCACCAGCTCCGAACTTCTGAACTCGGGGATCATCAAGGTGCTACTCGATGTTTTTGGAGATTTCCAAGGTAACTGCCCTTTCGGTCCCATCCACGGTCAATCACTCATTCGCTCTTTAGCTGCATCCATGCGCGAGGCTCGTGCTGCTTTTCTACAAGCGTTCATGGGATCTACCATCTCCGAAAAGGCACAGAGTCAAAGTACGGCAACTACGCCGTTCAGTGTTCTGATTCACAAGCTGCAGGATCTGCTCAGCAGGACTGAGCATTTTGAAGTCTCTACCGTCAGTCATAATTCGTTGGAGAACACAAGAAGCAATGCCGCTTATATGCTGGGGAAACAACTCCGGCTGAAGCTGGTGGCAGATGAAGGTTCAGATATTCCTCGCACATACCGGAACATCATGGTTTCTATTCATGCTATCGCGACCTTCAAAGCCTTGGATGACTTCCTCCACCCTAGAATTAGTCTTTCAGATCGGCCGAGACCATCTCGCACCCGGGACACGATTCTGTCTCAAGTTGCTAATGCAGCACGTCTCCGGGATCAGCTGGCCGGCGGCGAGTTCCCTGGCAGTGATGCTGCTTCCCTGCCTCGATCATCGACAACTTCCGGCAGACCCCCCCGTCCAGGGGAGGCAGGCCCGGATGCTAATGAGTCACCGGCTGAGGGACGTGATCACGGCTCCAGGTCCAGACGGTCTGGTCGGCAACAAGGCACAGGCGGAAACGAGCACGAGGGTGAGCCCCTTGAATGCGCCGATGAACGGCAAATGAGCGATGACGAGGACCCGGAGGACGACGGCGAGGACGAAGAACTGAACGCCATTGTCGATGACCTGGAAGATGATCTCTCTGACGATAATGTCCATGACCCGACGGCCGTCAACATGGAGGTAGCATCTTCAGGCAAGGTCACGGCCCGGAAAGAAGACGGTACTCGCGTGGCTACCCCCTCGCAGTCGACGTCAGCGTCCAAGTCGTCCGCTTCTGCTTCCGGTTCCGCGTTAAACCCATCTGGAGGCAGTTCCCTGGCAATGGCTGGTCGTCCATTCTCTTCCTATGCCGCCGCTATGGCCTCGATTCCGTCTGACTGGCATATTGAGTTCAGCGTAGACAACGAAACGGTCACGAATGAGACGACCATTTACCGCGCTGTCCACCATAACCGTCAACCTGCTGACCCTAGCGCAAGGAATGTTTGGTCGTCTGTTCATACAGTCAAGTTTAGGAGAGCCCCGGGGCCCCCACCTCCGGAGCCTTCCACGCTCACGCAGGGCACATCCGGATCTGTTGAGAATAACGACGGCAACGATATGCCTCCGTCGCTCAGTCAAGACCAAACTACCGCATCAATTCTGCAGTTGCTCCGTGTCTTACACGAGATGAACTCCACTCTTGATGACATCCTTGCGGAGACCAAAGAGCTGGTCGCCCTTAAACCGGAGCCCTTGGCCCAGTTCATCAACACCAAATTGACTGCCAAGCTCAACCGACAGCTGGAAGAGCCACTCATCGTGGCCAGCAGCTGCCTTCCTAGCTGGAGCGAAGATCTCGCCCGCTTCTTCCCTTTCCTCTTCCCCTTTGAGACACGCCACCTGTTCCTCCAGTCGACTGCATTTGGCTACTCGCGCGCGATGATGAGATGGCACAACTCTCAAAACGGAGATGACAGTCGCAATGACCACCGGCGTGATGATCGGCCGATTCTCGGACGACTCCAGCGGCAGAAGGTGCGAATCTCCAGAAGTCGCATCCTCGATTCAGCTATGAAGGTGATGGAGTTGTATGGCTCTTCGCCTAGTGTGTTGGAGGTCGAGTATTTTGAAGAAGTAGGCACAGGCCTGGGCCCCACTCTGGAGTTCTACTCGACCGTATCGAAGGAGTTTTCGAAAAAGAAACTCAAGATCTGGCGAGAAAATGACTGCATCAATGGGGACGAGTATGCCTTTGGCAAGCGAGGTCTGTTCCCTGCTCCGATTAGTGAGGAGCAAGCCGCCTCGGAATCTGGAAAGAAACACCTTCAACTATTCAAGGTCCTGGGCAAGTTTGTTGCTCGGTCGATGATAGACTCCCGGATCATTGACATCTCCTTCAACCCGGCCTTCTTCCGAATCGCCAACAGCTCGTCTTCTGTTGCCCCCTCACTTGGCACTGTGAAGGCGGTGGATCAGGATTTGGCCAATTCACTGCTTTTGTTGAAGGCGTTTGCCAACGCGAAGAAGGCGGTGGACGACAACAGGACACTGTCGAAAGCCCAGAAGAGCCAAGCCCTACAGCAAATCGAAGTGGGCGGGATCACGGTCGAGGACCTGAGTCTGGACTTTACACTGCCCGGATATCCGGCCATCGAGTTAATCAAGAACGGTTCCAACATCCCGGTAACGATCGAGAATGTTGACTTGTACGTCGATCAGGTCGTTGATATGACCTTGGGCAGTGGCGTGCAGCGGCAGGTCGAGGCTTTCCGAGCTGGGTTCTCACAGGTGTTTCCATATTCCGCTCTTCGGACATTCACCCCCAACGAACTTGTCATGCTATTTGGTAGGGCTGAGGAGGACTGGACCATTGAGAGTAAGTCCTTCATCCCTGTATTCACATCTTGGATTTGCTAACAATGGCCGCTAGCACTGATGGATTCAATCAAGGCCGATCACGGCTTCAACATGGACAGCCGCAGTGTGCGCAACCTGCTGCAGACGATGAGTGAATTGAGCGCCCAACAACGGCGGGACTTTTTGCAATTCGTTACTGGCAGTCCGAAACTCCCGATAGGCGGTTAGTATCCCGAATTGGCTGTCTGTGACTATACTAATGGATTACTTCAATGCAGGCTTCAAGAGTCTCACTCCCATCTTCACTGTAGTCTGCCGCCCCAGCGAGCCGCCGTATACGCCGGATGATTACCTGCCCAGTGTCATGACTTGCGTCAACTACTTGAAGCTTCCGGACTACAGCAGCCTGGATGTACTGCGCGAACGGCTATCGGTTGCCATCAAGGAAGGGCAGGGGGCGTTCCACCTGTCATGACCTTGGATTATATCTGTTTATCAGATCGCCTAAAACGAAAAGGAGAGCGAAAGCAGCGCCAGTGGGGCGCCGGTACGATAACAAACTGCATACCCTTATCGCTGTGATGGCGGGGTTAGTTTAATCTGGGGACTTGTGTTTTGGTGGGATTCTGCATTCGGGCCGCATGTCTTATTCTGTGCCTCGAGGGGGCGTCAGGGAGGGGGTTTGTTTATTGATTCATTTAGATAGAAATGCCACACGTACCCGGGGCCAGTGAGTCTATTATTCTGCTGATGTATCGATCTGTTGATTACATAGGTCTATTGTCTATCAAAATGAGGGTATTATGCATCACGCTTCGTCCAGCCACTTTCCAGCCACTTTCCACCCCGTTTTTAACCTCGATACAGCGGCACCATGGACTAACCATCAACCAGTCAGCTTACCACAAACATAGAACTAGAGACAAAATCACTCACCTCAGCGAACTTCGGCTCCACAAACAACGCCCTCGCCTCAGCAACCACCACCTCCTCCTGCTGCTGCCCCTCCTTCCCCTTCCCCCCATTCACCTCCGGCATAACCCTAATCTCACCCTCCACCCACGCCTTCCTCCCCTCCACCTTCACCGTCTCCGCCCTCAACACATACACCCGATCCGGAACCGCCGGCTTCCGAAAATCCACGTTCAAATTCGCCGTCATCCCCAATCCACTCGGAAACGAATCCGACACGCACCTCGCGAACGTCTCATCCAGCATCACAGACAATAGTCCACCGTGCACGTACCCAGGGTGTCCGCACAGCCGAGGCCCAATGTGAAACAACGAGAGGATTTTGGCCCGCTGGCTATATTGATCTTTCGTGACGGAGGTGAACATATACGCCGGCACAGACACTTTGTTTGATCCGGACAATGTCCCCGCCACGAAGTGGTTGGGACGTAGGGAGGCGTTCATGGTTAGGTGCGGGCGGGATTCCTTATATTTGGGGTTTTGGCGGAGGCGGAGGAAGAGAGGGTGCGTTGTTATTAGGTGGTCGGGGGTGAGGTGCGGAGGGGGAGGGGGGTGGTGGTGATGTTGGTAGGTGGTGGTTGAGGAGGGGGTTTCGATGGCGGAGGCGGAGGTTGCGGTTGCGGCTTGGATGGTGCGGATGGGGGGGTTGTTGGTGTGCGTGTGGGTGGTGGGGAGGAGGAGAAGGGATTGTGGGCGTTTGGTGGTGAGGGGGAGGGCTCGGGGGAGGAGGCGTGGGAGGGACATTTTGGTTGGTTTTGGTGGGTTTGGTGTTGTGGTTGGAATTGAAGTTGAAGTTCAACTTGGGAGTCAATGGTTAGTGCACATCGATGGAGTATTGAATGAATCACTCTGTGAGTGTATGTGTATGTGTATGTGTATGTGTATGTGTATTGTGGAATTGATTGTACTTGTGAGGATTAGGAAGGGTATAACTCACATCTATATAGCAAACCGACTCGTCAAGTCTTCTAGAAGACCGGATTGAGGTGAGAAAAAACGCAATGCGAAGTCTATCTATCGCAGACCGGGAAAAAAAGATGAAAAACCCTGGCCTATCCGGGCGGCTGGAGCCAGGAACCACGTGGAATGGCATCAACGTGGACTTGTCGGGCCAATGGCGGGGCCAGACACCGCGCTAATACGTCTGGTGGGCAGGGATGGGCGCTCAACTTGCAGGGATCGTGGCCGGTGGGGCAGATCGGGCGTTGGGATTGGTTGAGAGGACGGACTTGCATCGGCTTTTATGTGGGATGAACTCTTACCGAGTATAGAAATACCGATGATGCATGTATGGACTGCGTTTGTGGAAGCATGGAAGGGATGACTTGCGATGTTGATCACTTACTGTCTAACGCACTTAGGTGGTTTACCAGTCGCTGTAGTTGCTAAGGGTGCAGTGGACATGGTGATAGGATGTAGTGATAGGTAGCATCGTCATGCTCGCTACTCAACAACCCCAACCCGCCAAATCACCGCATTATGACGAGATACCATGAGCTCATCATCCACAGAAAACCCCTCTCCACATGCATCCAGCTCTCTCCTCTCTAGCCACTAACCCACATCAGCAACAGGAGCAACATGAACTTGCTAATCAACCAGTTCCAACGCCTTACCACTTGGACTCGAGACACTCCCCCGCCACGCTCCAAGCCCTTTGGGAACTATCACGCCGAATGCATTGCATGCCGTCAATTCTACAGCCACGAGTCCCTTTATCGGGCTCCCTGTCCCAGCAATCACGGCTACTGCAGCACATGCCTTCAAAACTTCTTCCAATACGCCCTGTCTACCCCCCTCCTCATCCCCGTATGCTGCGGCCACGCCATCACACCCGACCACGTGAGGTTCTTTCTGGGTCGGTCCAAATATCTCAAGATTGAAGCCCAGATTTCCAAGCGTCCGGACCATGATCCCGTAAATTGTGACAGCTGCGGATGGTATTTCCCCCGATGGAAGCGATCAACCTCCGTGGCGACCTGTGACGCATGCAACAGACGGATTTGTATGACATGCAGACGTGCAGAACATCCATGGACAAATAATTGTCACAATAGAGCGGGGGTGATTCAGCGGAAGACAGGGTCTAGGCTGTGTGGGATGTGTTTCGAAGAGAGGCATGACGGCCCGTGTCCGGATGGGTCCGACAAGCTGTTTAAGTTGGCGAGCAAGAAGAAGTGGCGGAGATGTCAGGGGTGCTTGGCAATGGTGGAGAAAGTTGACGGGTGTAGGCAGGTCCAGTGAGTTGCTTGTTTCCCCCTTTTTCTTCCCCATGTTTGCTTTGTCTTTCTCCTTGGTCTTACCTTGGGCGAAGATGTGAATCTCCTGTTTGCGTAGACCGGCTGGCTGACATGTCTCGAGTTGTCGATGTGGGACAACAATATGTTATGACTGTGGGAGCCCTGAGAACCTGTGTAGATGCTAGGCTGGATGACGATTTGGGCTAGAGGCTACCGGGGAAGGTGTGCATGGCGCTGGATGGTGTTTTTGTATTTGAGTGAACCTAACCTTGGCAGTTAAGAAATTCGTAATTGGATAATCCGATGAAACCGGTTATGGTTGCTATCTCTGGCGTAGTGGAAATCCTTCATTACCCTTCATAACCCTTCATTGCTGTGGAAATGGCAGGCCTCCCATCATGGGCGTTGGAAATCCTTGCGGTGTCATATGGAAGATAGCGCCCGTCCCTATAAGAGGCCCAACCAGCAGTAAACCCCCAGACAAGACTACCTCCATGCGCGAGCTGAGAGATAAGCGAGCTGATCATCCCCCGGGGACCGTACAGAGGATCTGACTGCTTGGAATGTAACCGGCAGAAATAAGTGAGTGGGTGGCAGTCTTGGAAGTCATCTCGGGAAGACATCTCCTGTTCAGTGTGATGAACCTGTAACCATGTAACCGGCATGTTTGGCTTGTTTGGCCTGTTTGGAAGTGGCGTCCAGAGACTGACGGAAGATCAAATGGCTCAAAGAAACTTATCTTCGGTTTCTTGCATCTCGTAATTACAGTCAGCTTACACTCCGCCTACCCGTGTGATTAATGTCTCCTTGAGACCGTAAATAGCTGTGCTGAGGGATAGGGGCCGTGAGAATCTCCGTCTCGAATCTAAGGCCAATGAGCAAGTCCCCGAGCAAGCGTTCTCGGACAGTAGCGTCCGGACCTAGCAGGTAATACTACTGGGCTAAAGTGATTTACAAAGAGAAAGTCTGGTATATATAGACACGACACAAAGTATTTACATGGATCAGAATCCCAGAGGATCCACCTGGCCCAGGAACGAGTTGTTGCCCTCGCCGCGCAACAACGCCTGGATATCCACTCGTCCCGAGGTGATGTACCGCTCGCTCACGCCGACGTTCACGCGCTGAGAGAGAAGGTGTTTCAATTCCGCGCGCATACCAGCCATTTCGTTCTTCGAGACTTCGCTGGCTTTGCGTTGCTTATCTTGACGGCCGCGGCCACGACCACGACCACGACCCTGGGCGCTGTCGAACTCGTCGCTGTCGTATTCCACGCCGAGGTCCTCGGCTGCTGTCCGGAGCCAGTTGTCCTCTGCGGAGACCTTCTCCTTGGCGATGTTGGAGTCAGCGATCTTGGCGGCTAGGTCGACACGCTGGCGGACCCGAGCGACGACCCGACGGTCCAGTTCTAGTGATTCGAGAGGCAGTTTCTTTCCGTTAGCCATGTTGGCGTGCACCTTCGCGGCTAGGCGGACCACTCCGACCATTTCCTCGGGGGCGCAGATGATAACACTCTTTCCTGAAGCACCGGCACGGGCGGTACGTCCAGAACGGTGGACGTAGGTGTCGGCTGTGCGGGGGGCGTGGTAGTGGATGACAAAGTCGATGCCCTTGATATCGAGACCACGGGCGGCGACGTCGGTGGCGACGAGGATGCTGCTGGGGTCAGATGTGGGCGAGGAAAATCGCTCGACTGAGCGCAGACGAGCTTTTTGGGCCATAGACGAGTGGAGTGCCAGAGCGGGAAGTTGGAGGTTCTGGAGAAACTGGGTGAGACGGCGGACGGCGGAGATGGAGTTGGTGAAGACGAGCGTTCGGTGTTTGGGGTGGTAGAGTAGAAGAGTGTAGAGATAAAGATCCTGGATATCACGTTAGCCGGTGATTGCGTGCTATACATGGTCTAAACGCACCTTCTCCATGGCTGCACACTCGGCAATACCCTCCTTGAGCCCTTCAGCCATCTGAGAGACCGGGTTCACGTCAATGAACTTGGGCTTCTCCTCGCGGAAGTTGAGCTTCTGGAGGAGATATTCCATTGATTCCTTGTTGTTCATGATGTCGCCTCCAGCCCAACGTGCCTTTCCGGCAAGCTTCTGCTGCAGGTCACGATGGAAGGTGGCAGAGAAGACCAAAGTCTGCCTCTCAGATCGGGGATCGGACTCTTCCTCGGCTTCGCTATCCTCATCGCCAAAGTTTCCTTGCTCGACGCGATCGAGAGCACCAAGAATCTCTTCAGCTTCTTTAAAGTGGCCCTCACTCAAAAGTCTGTCCGCTTCATCGATAACGAGGAACTTAATTTCCCGCATCTTGCGAATCAAACCCTGACCGCTGCTAAGCACCTCCCATACTCGACCGGGGGTACCGATGACGATGTCAGCCCCAGTAAGCACTCTCTGCTGTTTTTGCACAGACAAACCACCAGTCAAGAGTGCGATGCGGGCACTGGCGCCAGGGGTGTTGGTGGAAAGGTCGCCAATATGTTTAGCCAACTGATGTGCCAGCTCTCGAGTGGGGGAGAGAACGAGAGCAATGGGGGATTTGTCCTTCTTCTCCTTCTCCTTGCCACTGCGCAAGTCCTTCCGTCTTTGTTCAAGGTAGTGTTCGAGAATGGGGATGCCGAAAGCCAATGTCTTTCCGGAACCCGTCGACGCTTTGCCAACGACGTCGTGGCCATCGAGAATCTGGGGTATACAAGACTTCTGAACGAGCGTGGGCGTAGTGAACTTCATCTTCGACAGACCGGTGAGGATTTCAGGAGACAGGCCAAGCGACTCCCAGGCAGAAATATCCACGCCGTCGTCGTCCTCTTCATCCTCAAGAGCTGCGAACGAAAGTCCAGCCTTGATGCTATCGTCTTGCTGGTTTGGTGTGGCCTTTTGTTTCACTTCCTTTTTAGCCTTCTTCTGTTCCTTCGGTCTCTTTGTATCCTTCTTGGCCTTCTTGTTCTCCTTCACCTTGGTCTCGCCGGCCTCTTCGTCCTTCTTCTCTTCCTTCGGGGAAGATTTTTTTTGCTCAGTCGTCTCGTTGTCGCTGAAACCGGACCATTCATCTTCATCAACCTTGGATTTTTCTTCCTCCGGTTCCTTCTTCTTCAGAATTGATTTCTTCGGTTTACCAGTTGCCGCCTAGATCGCCAATTAGCTTTTCGCCAATAACTCAACTTTACCAACCAATACCTTGAACCGGACGCCTTCACTTCCACCCGACTTGATAATGTCGACTCCATCAATCTCCTCCAATCCAAAGAAACCTCCCGCATCCTCAAGACGATCAGGTAGCGCGACCTCCTTCCAGTTGAGATCATTGACGGTGACGATGCCGTCCCAATCGCTGTCCTCGGTCGCGGCGGCGGCGTCCTTCTTCCTCTTCTTCGACTGCAGGCCTGCGCCTTTGGGATCACGCTGTCTCTTCTGACCCATGATTGTAGATTTATGCCCCGACAAGATACCAAGGCTCAAGATGCGAGGAGAAGGCAAGTGATGCCGCCAGCGCGAAGAAAGGAAGAAAAAAAAGCGGCAGAAAAGCGCCGCCCTGAGGTTTAATCTTATCGCCGCCCCACGAGAAAATCCGCGAAATTCCCCTGGACCAGCCCAGCATCGTCAATCCCCTCAATCCACCCCACCGCCACCATGGGTAAATCCTCCAAAGACAAGCGCGATGCCTACTACCGCCTGGCCAAAGAACAGAACTGGCGCGCCCGGTCCGCCTTCAAACTGATCCAAATCGACGAGCAATTCGATCTATTCGAGCACGAGAACCCGGAGAAAGTGACCCGCGTCGTCGATCTCTGCGCCGCCCCGGGCAGTTGGAGTCAAGTGCTGAGTCGCGTGCTCATCAAGGGCGAGAGTTTCGGTCGACGCGCCTGGGTCGAGAAGAAGCGCAAGGAACGGGAAGCCCTCGAACGAGTCCAGAATGGCGGCGATACCACCCCCGCTGCCAACGAAGACACCGACATGGCCGAGCTGAAGCCCCGAAAGAACGTCAAGATCGTCTCCATCGATCTCCAACCCATGGCACCCCTTGAAGGCATCACCACCCTCAAAGCAGACATCACCCATCCCTCCACCATCCCTCTTCTCCTGCGCGCCCTGGACCCAGAAGCCTACGACTCCACCACCTCGTCCTCTCCCTCCGCAGTCCGACCCCCCCACCCCGTCGACCTGGTGATCTCCGACGGCGCCCCAGACGTAACCGGTCTCCACGATCTCGACATCTACATCCAATCCCAACTGCTCTATTCCGCCTTGAACCTCGCCATGGGCGTCCTCCGCCCCGGCGGCAAGTTCGTCGCCAAGATCTTCCGCGGCCGGGACGTCGATCTCCTGTACGCGCAACTCCGGACCGTGTTCGAGAAAGTCAGCGTCGCGAAGCCCCGAAGCAGTCGCGCCAGTAGTCTGGAAGCGTTCGTCGTGTGCGAGGGCTTCATCCCGCCCTCCATCCACGCCGGGACGGACGCACTGAAGAACCCCGTCTTCGGCGGCGTGGCTGTCCCGGCGCCCGTTTCAACAGACGGCAACGTCGCAGTTGAGGTTCGTGAGGGAAATGATGAGGCAGAGCCCATCAAGGTGACGCATCTCGCTCCGGCAGCGACAACCCTGGCTTCGGAATCCACCCAGCTCCAGGCGAATCTACTCCACGCCGACTCCTTGGCCTCCGTGACGCCTGTTCCCTTGGCCTATAAGCCGCTATCGGAGAAATTCGCCGTCGAGAACAGGTGGATCCCGCGATTCATTGCCTGCGGTGACCTCTCGGCGTGGGATTCCGATGCGTCGTACACGCTGCCCCCGGATCATGTCAGTTTGGATCCGGTTCAGCCGCCGACTGCGCCGCCGTATCGGCGGGCGTTGGAGCTGAGGAAGGAGAAGGGTGGTGCGTATGGAAAGACGAAGTTGGGTAGTATGGGGCGTGCGTGAGAGAGGTGACTTTTGCTGTGTTTCTGAGTATTGGCGTATAAAGATATCTTCTTGTTTATACTACTTATGGTTACGAATATTTGTTTCGGTTTGGCGGGAAAAGTTGGATGTGCTTAGAGTTGGCTGCTAGATGGGAAGGGGTACGGATCTAAGACAAATAGAGCAGATACCCATAGATTTACGATGGATGATGATACGAGAGACTAAAGCTATGGTGTTGAAAGCCAGTGGAGAAGTATCAACCAAGTTCAATATGTGCAGGTCTATGGTAGTTGATCAGGTGTCTATACTAGAATGCGCTAAACTTAAACAGGACGGACAGATCATCACATCATGCACAACCCATGCTGGAAATCCCCACCTCGTCGGGACTTTTCAACCTCCCCCTTAGTACACCTCAAGGACATATCTCTCCTCGTCCTTCAACTTCTCGATCTCCTTACGAGCATCGACCTTCTTGCCCAGGTTCTTGGCCTCGGTGGTGATGGCCTCTTCCAGCACGGCAGTGACGTCGGGAACGGGCCAGGTGGGACCGCAGAGGTAGAAAGCACCCTCTTCCCGGATGTACGCCTGGATGATTTCGGGCAGGGTCTGGCGCATGCGATCCTGGATATAGATCTTCTCGGGCTGGTCACGAGAGAAGGCACGGCCCAGGACGGTGATAACACCGGCCTCCTGGTAAGCCTCCCACTCCTCACCGTAGCAGTACTCCTCGCGCTGGTGGCGGGAGCCCATGTACAGCAGAACAGCACCAATCTCCTTGCCCTGGGCCTTCTCGAGCGCACGGTGCTGGACGAAGGCACGGAAAGGTGCCAGACCAGTTCCAAGACCAGCCATGATAAGGGGCTGAGTGGACTTGGGAGGCAACTTCATCACACTGGACTTGACACTGACGGTGATCGGGGTGCCGGGCTGGAGTCCGCTCAGGTACCGCGTCGCCAGACCGAAGCGGTCACGGCCAGTGGGGTCCGACCAGGTAACAGCAACGATCATGAGTGCCACGGAGTTGGGGGTCACCTTCTGGCAAGAAGCGATGGAGTACTCACGACGCTTCAGGGGACCGACAATGCGGATCAGGTCGTGGAAGTCAGGGTGAGCCGATGGGTACTGAAGCAGAATATCGGCGAAGGTAACAGTGTCAACCTCGGAACGGCGCTTGAATTCCACAGCACCTTCAGGACCACCCAGGGTGAGAAGATCGGTCTTCTCCTTCTCGTCGGATGCGAACTCTGCAAGAGCTTCGTAGAAGCGCTTGGGCGGGCGACCGAAGATATCGACGTTCTGGACAAGCGCCTGGTAAACAGTGCGGTTCTCCAGCACGGCGGAATCCTCACGGCTGGGCACCTCGACAATATCGTCAGAGTTCAAGCCGTAGAACTGGATGAATTCCTCGACCTCCTTGGGGTCGTTCTCAGCATGGACACCCAGAGCCTCACCGATGTCGTACGTGAGTCCAGAGTCACCCAAGTCGAACTCGATGTGGAAGATGTTACGGTCATAGGTGACGGGGGTCAGTCGTCTGTTTTCCTTCACATGGACAGTGAAGGTCTTGGTGGCGGTCTCAGGGCGCAGGGCATTGCGGGTGCCGTAGGCCTCCTTGAAGGCGAGACCCTTGGCAGCGGCCTGCCAGTCCTTGAGGTACGAAGCAGGCTCGCTCTCTTCCTTGTCGAAGGACACAAAGCTGTTGGGAGAGATGTCCTTGGGAAGCTGAGTAGCCTGCGATCCCTCCTCGGGGGTCTTCCAGGCCTCAGGAACCTCGATCTGGCGGAGCACCTTTTCAAGGTCCTTGCTAACACTCTCCAGAACCTCAGCATTGCCAGCAATAGAGGCCAGTTTCTTGATACCCACACTCTCCTGGGAAGGCAGAGCGACGCGCAAGAAAGCAACCTGGAGGACAGAGGACTCGGGGACGGACTCGCCGGCCACGGAGGGATCGACAAAGTAGAGAGAAATTCCGCGCTCCGCGACGGCCTGTCTGAAGGCCACGGGCAGCTTCTTCTCCAGCTCATCATCCTTGACGCCAGGGGCGTTGACGATGACCTTGCCGTTGTCCTTCACAGAAGCAGCAATGTCGACATCGCCCAACAGCTTGATGTTGCCAACATACGCGGTCTCAGCAGCGGTGATGGCGTACGGAGCATCCACAATCTTCGAGCTCTTGCGGATGTCAACGCGGACGACACCACCCTGAACGAGGTTGTCGTGGGCCTTGCTGGTAGTGACATTGCTTGCGGAGTCAGCAGCCAGGGCCTGTGAAAGAGTTGTGGCGACCTCGCCACCAACGGAGTTGTCGACATCCCAGAAGGTGTATTCCTGCACGGTAGCGGGGTCGAGCAGCTGGAGAGATTCGGACTCGGCACCAGCCTGAACAATTGGCTTCTCGTGGACGAGCTGGAAAGCGGCGGCAGTGTTGATCAGATCCCAGCGTTGAGAGCGGGGGTACTTGATATCGATGCAAGCCGGAGACTGCTCACGATCGGTGGCGAAGGTCAGAGCAGCAAGGACATCTTCGTACAGTGCAGAGCGGACACCCTGCTCCTGCACGGCTTGTTCGGTGGAAACCTGGCCAAGAACACCAACGGTCTTGACAGACTTCGGCAGAACGCGCAAGAACTCCTCCTCAACGAAGGGGCGGTAGACACGGACGTTGATGACACCAACGCGAACGCCATCCTTGGCCAAAGAGCGGGCGATCTGAGCAGTGAGCGACGCCTCGACAGTACCGAAGGCAACCAGAACGGAGACGGGCTCGGCATGGCCGTGGTACTCGAAGAGGCCATAATCAGTGCCGAGCTCACCGTTCAGGGACTGGAGGAGCTCAAGCAGCTTGCCCTGGGTGTCAAGGTGGCGGCTGCGGGAGTCTTCGAGGGTCTTGCGGGCGGCCTCGTAGGTACGAGAGAGGCCAGCCTGGTCGAGGACGTCAATGACGCGGGTCTCTTCCCGGCCGACACGGACACCGTCATAGATGTGGACGGAAGGCAGAACCGATGCGAGGAGGGTGGTCAGCAGGGCCATGTGCTGGGACTCGTGGACAGAGGCACTGGACACCAGACCCAGGCCAAGTTCCTCAGCGAGGGAGAGGGCGGACGCATAGTCGGAGACAAGCCCATCTTCACCGGCATAGTCGACGGCGGCAACGTGGGCGGCGACGGGGCTAGCGACGGAATACAGGAGGGACAGCTGCTCCAAAGCGGCCCGCATGTAGGGCAGAGTGGCGGAGGAGGCGACAATTCCCTGGGGAACGTGACGCTTCTTCAGATCGAAGTCCTGGGAGAAGATGTAACCGAGAGCGATGTTACCAGCACCCTGGCGGGTCTCCATGGCCTTGATCTCAGGAGATTCGCCATTGGCGTTGGTCTCCTGCTTGGACGCCCACTCCCGAAGAGCAGCATCCAAGTCGAAAGACTCGGGGGAGTAGGAGAAGATCTTATCGCTCAGCACATAAGCGACTTGCTGGATAAGCGTCTGGGTAGTGACATAAGTCGGACCGCCGAGGGTCGACAAGGATGGGGATGGGGAGCCCATGGTGTAGGATTCTTGTCTGGGAATCGGGGTTCAGCCAGCCGATACCACCAAGATGAAGACAAGAAAACAAGAGGAGAGGAACAGACGGCACCGGAATGGGGGGGCGATGGGGGGATAAAAAGCCCGTCGCCGCCGCCGCCGCCGTATAGAAAATCCCAGGGGATCTTACCCCATCTGGCTAGTGGCAATCACGCAATTTCTTATCGATAGACCCTGGAGGCGGTGGTTCGGGGCAGAAAATCTCCGCTTTCGGCCTTTCCCCGCATTAGTCAGGCGCACCGCCCCATTGCAGCCTGAGGCATGAATCGCCCTTTCGGACCAAGCGTAATCCGTAGATCCGCTGGTGATAATCATCCGCGATAAGTTCCAAGCTAAACGTCATCCTCCATATTCCTCTCGCTATCCCTGCTCCCTGCCATTAACATATTACTTCGTCCATAACTACCACAATGGCCAACGTCGCTTTAATTGGTTGCACCGGCATGGTGGTAAGTCTTCCCTCCAGCATCATTTCCCCCTCAATCAGCCTCTACCCCCACTCTCACCCCCGGTATTCCAATCGCAATCTAGACGCACTCATTCAGTCCACCACTTCCTATCCTCACATACTCACTACCATTAGGGAAGCCACATCCTCACCTCTCTCCTCGCCAATCCCTCCATCGCTCGCATCGACACCCTCTCCCGCCGCACCCCGCAACCCGCCACCACCGCACCCCAAGAAAAACTCACCACCTTCGTCTCCGACGACACCTCCAAATGGGCACCCCAGCTCTCATCCCTAACCCCACCCCCAGGCATCTTCTTCTCCGCGTTCGGCACCACCCGCGGTGCAGCCGGCGGCTTCGAGAACCAATACAAAGTCGAACATGGCCTGAACGTGGAGCTGGCCCGTGCGGCGCGCGACGCCGGGGCGAAAGTCTACGTGCTGATCTCTTCCGCCGGCGCGGACAAGAACTCCTCGTTCGGGTATCCGCGCATGAAGGGCGAGATTGAGGAGGAGGTGAAGGCGATGGGGTTTGAGAGGACGGTTATTTTGCGTCCCGGGTTGATTTCGGGGGAGAGGCAGGAGAGTCGGCCTGCGGAGGCGGTGGTGAGATACTTTGCGGGATTTGCGGGCAAGATTCATTCGGGGTTGAAGGATGGGTGGGCGCAGGATGCGGATGTTATTGCGAAGGCGGCGGTTAATGCGGGAGTTAAGGCGTTGAATGGGGAGGTTCCGGCGGGGAGTGAGAAGGTTTGGGTGTTGTTTGGGAAGGAGATTATTCAGTATGGGAGGGAGTGAATGAGTGAGTGGTGTGGTGAGGAGTGGTTAGTTGGTGGATAATGTTGTTTGTTTCATGGGTGTGTATAGTATCATGATGGTTTAATACAATTGTTTCCTACTTGTTTAGCATTGGAAAGGGGGACAGTACAAATCGCAACCCGCGATATCCAAGATAAACATCCCCAGCTACCTAACATACACACAACCAAACACCCAACCATCTTCACGAAATACTATTCCCAAACTTAATTAAACACACAGTCTATATACCACAACCCCCCACACATATCCAATTCCCTAACCTCAAACCTTCTTCTTCCAATCCCTCACCTCCCGATTCTTCTGCGTCCACCCCCTCGCACTCGGCCCCTCCTTCTCAACATTATGATCCGGCCCCCCCTCCATCGGCGGCCTCGCATGACTAACATCCTTGTTCCCAGGACTCACATCCAAAGGGTTACTCACTTTCCCCTGCTGCTCTGACTCCTCCTGCGCCGCCTGGACCTCGCTCTCAGGCGACGTCTTGGACGGATCAAACGCTGCGTTGTGGCCGGCGACCTCGCTATCCGTGCCTGTTTGGGAGGTCTCGGATCGTTGCGGGTCGAGGACAGTTCGGTCGCCGGATATTTCTTCGCCCTTTTGCTGATGCGTTGCTTGGAGGGGCGCGATGGTGCGGAAGGTGCGGCGGGCGGGGAGTGATGAGAGGGTTCGAGCTTGGGTGGTGGCTGTGGTGGTGCTCTGGGCCAAGCGGCCGATTGAGGCGAGTTGTTTGAACATGGTGGGGGTTGTCAATTGGCGTGAGGAGAGAGGAAGTGTCTAATTGAGATGATGGCGGCCGTGGTGGTAGGTATGTGGTGATGATGTATATACTTGCGTGCGGTTAGTCGTCAATGAGGTCTTGAGTGGGATTGGAATGGAGGATTTTCACATACAACTTCGAAATCTATCCGTAGAACGAGAATCCAGGCGTAATGTGATACTGAGGAGGAATGATGGACGCTGGATTAGAAAGTCGGAGGGAACTTGGCTGGTGTATTATCATCTTGACGTCATCCATTCTGCCAGGGTGCATCGCGACCACGTGACTTTCGATGTATATCCAAAAGTACCTGCACTCTTCACATGGATTAGACAATGGTCTACAGGGGTTGCAGAAATGCTGAGTGAGACCCGTTACTCAAGCTAAGCGGAGAAAGCAAGACATACAGTACAATGGTTGAGTAACCGAGAAAGTAGTACAAGGAAGTCTGGCCATAACCGACCGCCGCGATGAGAAGGCTCTGGACTCCCTTCCCTAGCCTTGCTATGGAGAGTGCGGCAAGGCAGACTGCATTCTCTACGATCAGACCCAGTCTTCCTAGCCAAAATAGAAACCTTGTGTTCCTCCGTTCGACGTTGAAAAGTACGATGCTGTACTCTTCAGGCCGCCACCGCGAGCGAAAGCAAAAAGAAAAAAGAAGTCAGTTTACAGAATAACTTGCCACGTCAATCATGCTACACGCGGATACCGCCTCGATTGAGTCCAGACTACCGCAGTGCGAGGGCACAGTCTCTGTGCATTCGGTAAAAAGCGCCTGACGCAAGACTCCAGGCCTGCCCTGGCGGTGATCATGCAAAGTCCCAGACTAACGAGAATTGCCTCATGGTTCAGGCTCCAGCGCCGGACGCTGATGGTCTCGCAGACAGGGATGTTTATGGGCCGGGCCACGACTCCGGACAAGAAGGTTGTACCTAAACTGGACGAGAGATTACGCCAGTCGAGACGCATTGATCAGACGTTGTGGTGAGTACGGTGTCAGGAGCAATAACATGTTTGTGCAACATGCAAGGCTGAAGACCGACAACTCGAGGCCCGCAGAGAGATACTTGCAGGTGCCAGGTTGCAGATGCGAGGACCCGCCACAATTCTTCCCTGCTCGAGTCAATAGTCTTGGTGTCTAGGCGTTTTGCGGGCTAGGAATGCAATGACAGGGGTCTTTTTAGCTGCATATCTCACCCGGCCAGTTGAATAATGTCATTGGATAAAGCCCGCTGGCGCCATCGAATATGCTTTCCCAGACCGACCAATCCAAGCCTGTAAGCCGGAAACAGAGGAAAACGCTTTCTCACCTTAAATTTTCGAAAGGTCGTTTGACATATTCCATTTGTTGACTGCAAGAAAAAGAGGTATGCGTAGATGCGCAGAGGGTTTCAGTCACGTTACAGACACGGAACTGAAAATCCCAGTATTCCGGTGCGTGTATGTGGGTCACGAAATTCAATTTCAACGTCGTGAATAGATCGATCGAACTCACAGCAGGAAATGGAAACAAGCCTCTGGGCAGTTGCAGCCCAAAGGCAATTCACCAGTCTTAGGCGTGAATCCAGGACCCTGGCTGGTTGGGTAAAGACAGTTTACCGGCCTTATCGAGACAAATCCTGGTTAGGGAAGTACAGTTGCCACAGGCAAGGCTGGGCCAGAAACATCCGAAGTAAGACAGCTTGCGAGAGGAGCCAGGATGGGTGGCAAATCGCGTTGCAGTACCAGCACGGAGCCCTTCTGGGGTGTCAGAACAGTTGGTTATCGGCGTTGCCTTCTCGTTGCGGCTGTAAGCCAGAACCGATAGTCGCTGAGTTGGCAATCGACATCATTCCATGTTAAAATTCACAGCACACAGAGAACCTAGTCGGGTTGCCCGACGATCCAATGCTGTGATGGGGGACAGACGCACGAAAGAGTTCTATGCAATCAATTCGAAGGATGGCCGGGCAAGCGGAGATTCGGGTACATTGACCCCCTATAGGTCAATGCTGGGAAACTGCAAGGCCGCCTTGCTGAAAGTTCCATGGGTTCTGTACACCATCTTCTGTTCGAGAATTCCCCTCTTCACCACAGGAGACCGAATTTTCGACCACCTCGGCCGCTCGAAGCGTGCCACGTCAGTGAGTCTCCGAACTTTAGTGCAGCTGCATGGGTTCAACAGTAGGTGCACCGTACCACGGTCTGTATCTGCCATGGCTGATGTACAGAAACGAGACCCTATCATATTGACCGAGGGAAGCAGGCAAATGAAGATAAACCCTGCACCTGAGCGGGGGCAAATGCGGGATTATTCGTCTGCAGGTGTGGGAGATCAGCTGAAGAGAATCGGTCCTGAATGAAATATTGAGCTCATCATGCAACTGCATGTCATGTTGACTCCCGAGGTAAATTCCAAGGACGCATTGGACGCCAATGAAGGTCTCCTAGTGACGCGTCTTTCGCCACTAGAGGCAGAAACATTTGGTGCATAGTAGCCAGACGGAAACGTGCGGAGTACACGAGACAGGCATTGGCACGGAGGCCAGATTCCTCCGTGGACGAGCGTTCGGGATACATGGGGAAAGGAACTTGGTAGGGTTGCAACCGTGACGGAACCCTGACCATTTGGGCATGCTAGGTGTCAGCTAAAGGAATGGAATTAAAAAAAAAGAAAAGAAAAGAGCCACTAGGCAGAGGTTTCCCAGATGGATTCTCCTCTCGGCCCAAAGCCCGTATCGGAGCTTATGCCACTAGGCTTGTTCGCGTGTGGACTAATTGGTTGTGAGTGAGTAGCCACAAGGCAATGATGGTAAGGCATCTAACAAACCAGACTAAGTGACCATGGCAATGACCACACTGGCCCTGCAAGACGGAACCGTGCTTTTCCCCCTCCTCTAAGTTGTAACGCTAGGTTTCTCTTGGATGGGGAGAGAGGAAAAAAGGTTTCGACGGTGAGACGGACGGCATGACAGCTGGCACGAAGTGAAAAAAAGCGGTTTTATTTTTTCTCATGCAGGAGCTTTGATTCAGTAAGCGTGATGCCTGTTTCGTTCTCGAAGGACGACTCCATACGCACTGAAGACGCATAGAGGAAGCGGGGATGATCGTTGGAGCAACCACGGCTGCAATGACAATCCTAGCCAGCAGGACAAAACCCGTCGATATCAAATGAGGGATTTTCTGGTGCTCAACTTGGACCAGGAGAAATGATACTGCCACGACAGCAACACGCATGCATCCGTGAAGCATCCACTGACTACAAGTGACCGGAATAGGAAGGTTGTGGATAAGTTGTGTCTCCACTGCTGGGTATTCCAGCATAGCCAACCGGAAAAGCACTGGATGAAAGTGATGTGAAAGCGGTAGTAGTCGATAAGCCATCGTATGTTGAGGGGGGTTGATCGGCAGCTGACAGGCATAGTACGGGAGATTCTTTGGCATGGAAGCTTCTTGCGAAACATAAATAGGACCCCCGCCTTCCAGTCGATAGATTCTGGATCATTATCCGTTTCAGACTCAGCTTCTTCAAGAAGAATCGCAAGAGATAAAGCATCGTTCTTGGACAATAGTGTTTCATTTCAAAACGACCATCAACCTTCCATAGGCATCGTGCAAGCTCAGCCTATCAAACATCTGCAGCGCGGCAGGAGCATTTGGCAGAGCCAATAGAACATAGGTTAGCCAAGTGAAACAAGGAACTGCATTAGCAACAAGTGAGTTTGATCATGACTTGATGAGACATTAGCTGACGGGTATGATAGGGATGTGTTTCTACAACCAGAAGCGATTTGCATGCGGAGACTGGAGCTGGACAAGTTTTGCTCACCGCTGCAATTATGAGTACCGCACTGGAGAGACCTGCGGTATGCGACTCGTCAACGTGACCGAGTTTGAAACGACACAATGCCGCCTCTGCGAAAAGATCGAGACCAAGTATCGGCGGCGAAGCGCCGAGACGGAACGGTTGAACCGTTGGAAACGGGAGGGAGGCACTCTCGTAGCATCCATGGAACGCTCACAAAAACTCATCGGAGAACTCGAAAAAGAAATCCGCCAACTGCTACGAGAGCGTGACGATAGAAGGAAGGCACTGACATGAAGCAAACGTCAAGGACTTTGAAGCCATGCGTTGGGCCACTTGCTGTTATTTTTCGTTTGTGCTTAGGATTCCCTCTTCGGTTCTGTCTTTCGGTTTCAAATCGTGTTCCTGGTTGTAAATTCTATGTCTCACAAAGGGTGTGTCACTTTGCTCCTTTATTTCGGAATTTTCTTTTTTTTTTCTATGTGGTCATCGAATCGGACATGTTTCTTCAGGCTGGACCCGCGCAATGGTTGGAGGATAGCCCTGGATCAAAAAGTCTGCTGTCGAGAAAGTATGAGATCCAATGAAATGGTTTCATTCCCGCAAATCTGGCAACTTCATACGGTGTCCGCGAGAAGGAGTTCCACATCATAAGCGCCTATGTTCCTGACGAGCGGCTCGCCAGAACAAGGATGAGACCAGGCCCCAATGGCAATTGGGGGACATGTAGGAGCCATTGTGAGAAGAGAACTTCGGATCCGAAGGCTATCAGTCCATGGTCCGTACCAATAGCCAAGCTATCTTGGTAGACTGCTTGTACCCTGGTTGGTGATCGCAGATGCTGGTGAGTCGAGAGAATCGTGATAGGGATCTGGACTTGGAGAATGGCAGGTACCCCGCGTTTCGGCGACCCACCGCACGTGACACCCCCTCCACCGCCGACTAGTGTGAGTCCCTCTGCTGGCTTGCGTTTTCTCATCGACAATCTTTTCAAGTCAAGCCAACACTGACGTGCCTTGATTTCATTTGGGTGGTTTATTTCTCATTATGGAGCGACCCGAGGGTAGACATACATTTCCCCCATCCCCACGTTCACAACCTGTTCCTTGACACGGCCGATGAATGCTCGAAAAAAGTCCGGCGAGTTGAGAGCGAAGGGGCATACCATAGCTTGTCGATTCGTGGCAATGTGATAGTGTTGCAAGCAAGGCACTGGGTTGCTTTTTGGGGCTTCCTCTATATATAGGACCTTCACAGTCTCATCAAAGTTCCGAAACATTCAGCATTTGTTCAAGCGCCCAGGGTGCTCGAGGGTGGTTGAAGACTACGTGGACCATTCATGTCCCAAGATCAGGAACGGGGTTGGGCAACTTTGGTCGACAGACGCGAGGGAGAACATGCACTGAATTGTCCGATGCTCAATTCGACATCGCTGCTTGCCACGTCACCCGTGAACAACGTCAGTTATGCTTCAAATGCAGCTGTCGGGGTTTACCCGCTTCGTGAGTATTTCCGGCAGCCTGCCTTAATAGCTTACATATATGAGATGAGGACCGTAGGAAATTTACATCATATAATCTTTGGGCATCAACTTCGCCGAAAACACGTTGGATTATCTGATCAAGTAGCGGAATGGGGTCGTTTTCTCATTTATTTAATCTCGCCAGCCTCGGGCTCGTCATCAACCTTGGCCAATCCATGCTCTTTCAGGAGAGCATTGATCTCGTCGGCATTCCACAGATGGTGGTAGATCTTGCCTTCCGGCGTTCTGCCCACCGTAGCGAATTCAACTGGAGGAGCCAACGCATTAGCGTATGTCACGGGACAGTAGTATAGGTGGTACCTATGCCTGCAGTAACGAGGGAAAAAGTGTTCGGTAGACTTACTCTTCTCACTGCTCAGCTTGGTCGAGTCCATTGTCTTGCTCAGGACCTTGACAGCCATGGCGCAAGCTTCCTTCAGGTCACAGTCCTCCTTGTAATCTTGCTTCAACAGACTCTGAGCGCTTGCGTTGTTTGCTCCCACGCTGGTTGCTTTCCAGCCACCATAGTTACCACTGGGGTTGCTCTGGTACAACTGGAACTCCCGAAGAGGGTCATAGCCTGCGTAGATGAACGACACACCGAATGGACGGAGACCACCATGCTGGGTATATCCTTGCTTCAGATCGCACAGACGGCGGACAAGTTGCTCGCAAGGGATCTCTTCGTTGTAGGTGAGAAGATACCGCTGGGCGGCCTGTCGGGCATAATTGATAAGGATGTTCGCGTCTGCCGTCATACCAGCAACCGCACAAATCATGTTGCTGCCCAAGTATTAGCTATGAGACACACAGGACACTGATGATTTGTTGGGGCTGAGATGCATACTCGTTCAGTGTGTAGAGCTTCTCCGCAGATGTGTCCTGCTCCAGCAGTTTGCTAGTGACCTTCTTCTCTGCCGCGAGGACGATTCCATCCTTGGCCAAGATACCGAGGGCGGTACCGGCGTGCGAGATGGCTTCTAACGCATATTCAACCTGGTAGAGTCGACCTTCGGGGGAAAAGATGGTTGTCTGTCGAAGGACGTCATCGGATCAGCTAGAGCTCCAGGGAACGGGAATTGGGGAATAGGCATACCCTGGAATCGTATCTCCGTGACATCTTGAATGTAACTTGGAAACGGAGTAAAATATGGAGGAACGCTCTGGTTGAGGAAAAGTGACGAGGGAAGGGAAGATTGGAGATGGGGAATGAGTGCCGGGGCAAGCTGTGCAGGAAGGTCGGCTGAGCTCCCGATGAGTGACCAGGCAACTTCGCCCTGGCGCGTCCACCACCCACAACTAAGGCTCCGGGCTGACCGTCAGCCCGCCAAGCTCGGACCACTCCGAACTCTCATTGCGAAGCTCGCTGCCGGCGCAAACCCGCTCCGGAATTCTTCCCCCCAAACGACACCCTGTGAGCTGTAACACGATTGGCGCTTGATCGAAAACCCTGCGCGCAATCTGCCAGTTTCTTTTGAATCACAATGCTCAGGTCCACCTATATCCCACCCCCTCCGTTACCGCCAGGATGGACCGAACATAAAGCTCCTACAGGTTTGTTTTCCAGAATTCCTGTCTTCTTTGGGACTGTCTCTCTAATTAATTCTAGGTCATCTGTATTACTACAACTCTCAGACCAAACAATCCACCTATACCAGACCTCAAGCGGCTCCCGTACAACCTCCCCCATCTGCACCGGCACCGGTACCCACGAACAATGCGCCATTTCTGACGCCGGATACACTCCCTCCTTTCTCCTCGACACCATATGCCCCTCATGGGTTTGGGTATGGCGCTGCATCTCATGGAGCGTCACATGACGGTCAGTCTCGCGGAGGGTTTCGTGGTGGAAGAGGATACCATGACCGCAAGCACCGGGGACCAGAAGATCGACCAAAAACGAAACACGATATCCCAGGATGTGCCCCATGGGTACTCGTGAAGACTAAATTGGGGAGGAGATTTGTCCATAATCCAGAATCAAATGAGAGTTTCTGGAAGATTCCCCCGGAGATCTTGGTGGGAGTAGTCGAGTACGATCGCTTGGAGAGAGAGGCCAAAGAAAGGAAGGCGCGGGGTGAAGAGATGGAAGATGTCGCGAAACAAGAACCTGAACCTGCACCCGTGACTTCCGCTCAACAAAAGCCTGAAGAAGTGGGAACCGAGGCTGCTGTGGAGGCTGGAGAAGAAAGCGACGAGTATGAAGAAGTAGAAGTCACTGATTCCGAGGGCGAAGAAGAACAACCTTTCAAGCGACCGAGGACCGATGGAGGAGATGAGCAACAGCAAGCCATGGAATTTACGGAAGAAGATATGGAATATCAATTGGCAGCGATGGGAGAAGAATACGGTCTCGACCCCGGGGAGTATGGCGAACCCGGAGAAGACGAATGGGAAGAGGGTGCAGAAGGGCTTCCCCTGACGGAGGATGATGCCACGGCTCTGTTCCGGGATCTCCTCGATGACTATCACATCAATCCATTCTCCACGTGGGAGAAGATCATCGAAGAAGGTCGCATCATTGATGATACCCGCTACACTGTGCTCCCGAACATGAAGACACGTCGTGAGGTATGGTCCAACTGGACTCGTGACCGCATCCAAGACATCAGAGAGCGCAAAGCGAAGCAAGAAAAGAAGGATCCGCGCATAAAATACCTGGCCTTCCTCCAGGAACACGCTACCCCCAAGCTATATTGGCCCGAGTTCAAGCGGAAGTACAGAAAGGAGCCGGAAATGAAGGACTCGCAACTCTCGGATAAGGATCGAGAAAAGTACTACCGTGACCTGGTTTCTCGGCTGAAGCAGTCGGAGAGCACACGGAAGTCGGACCTTTCAGCACTACTCAAATCTGTGCCACTACACGAACTGAATCGATCGTCCAACCTGGAAGCACTCCCTTCCGCTATCATTACCGATCTCAGATATATTGCGCTTGCGCCCAGAACGCGTGACCCGCTTATTGAAACCTACATCTCCACCTTGCCTCCTGCGCCGGAAAGCGACATGACCGCCGAAGAAAGAGAAGAACTAGACAAGAGGAAGGTGGAACGCGACAGGCGCGAAAAGGCGCTGGCCGAACGAGAGAAACAGGTTCAAGAGGACAAACGAAAGCAACGGGGTGAGCTTGTCCGTAGTAAACACCTTTTAAAGGAAGGTGAGGCGGAGATTGAGGAAGCTATGCGAGTCAATAAGGGAGGGCTCCGAAGCTATATAGAAGCGGAAGATCAGTCTTCGAAGGGCGAAGGCGAGAACGCCGGTCAACAGCCATGAAAATCCGAGGCAGGCAGCCCGTGCGATCTATAGAAAGCATACTGACGATTGCAAATGACTGTAAAAAATACATGCTTAATCCTTTGTGGTTGATCTGGTTTACATTCTCGCCCGTAGGGACCATCAAGACAAATTTAGGGTACAATATGCCGCTCCCCCATCGTAAACACAACCCGAGACACCGCCCACGCTGTCAAAAGTGTACTGTGGCCCATTAAGAGAATTAATAGCACTGCCTTGTGATTTCACATCCGTATTGCTTATTGGGTATCACTGTAAGTTAGAAAAGTCCGCGACCTCCCTCGTATGTAATGACGCCTTTTTGTTCCCCACGCCCGAACCTTAGCCGCGTAAATTCATTTGGCTCCCCAAGTATTCCAATCATCGTCGTAATCGTCATCGTCGTCGTCGTCATCTTCATCGTCATTAGTTTCCTCAGCGGCGGGATTTTGTTGGTCTTCTGACGGGGTGACGGCCGAAGGAGATTCGTCCATTTTGTGCACATCTGCATCTTCCACGGTCTTTAATTTCCTCAACTCTTCCCGCATGTGCTTCAGACGCCTGACTCGTTCCTCTAATTGCTCCATTTCATCGAGTTCGTCTTCCATAAATCGCGCCGCATCTTCCCGCTCGCCTTCCGCCTCAGCCTCGCGGCTTTTCTTGATCGCTTCGCTTTCTTTGCGCTGTTGCGCGGCCAATTCTTCTGCGGATACGGGTGCTGCTGATATAGTCGCTGCTGCCTCAAGTGCAGCAGGCCTGTGTGGCATGCGTGTGGGGGCCGCGACTTCGCGCTCGAACGCAGCCCATTCATCTTCATCGATGACCTCGGTGGTCGCGGCGGACGGTTCGAAGGCTACAAGGGGAGTGTCTGGTGGTTGTACAGTCGGTTCAGCAGATTGCTGCTCGTGTGCGGTGTCCGATGGAAGCTGCGGTCCGGCGACATCTTGCTCCGATCCCTCTATCTCATCCTCCTCCTCGATAGCTCGTGCACTGGGTGGCTGTACGGTGTGTGCAGTCGGCTGACCAGATGGCGCGCTTGCCGGTTTCATCCTCTTGCGCATCGAATCATCTGCCGGGTCTACCTTTCGCTTTTTGGTCACACGGTTCCCGGCGCTCCCTGCCTGGGATGAGCCCTTGCGGGCGGCGAGCTCACTGCGAAGTAATGATCGAACATCTGCCATGATCTGCACTGAGTAAGGTGTGGATGCAAAAGATTATTGATATTGATTAAAAGCGAATTCTAGACAACACTTCAACTTGGGTAAGGGTAGAGGGATCGTGGAAAAGTAAAACAGTCTATGTGGGGATCTGGAGAAGCTTTCGAGGGCGCCGAAAAATAGACGCGACGAGAAGGAGCCAGACGGCGCCTGCCAAGCCGTTTCCGCGGAGCCGCAGTCACGTGTTCCTCATGACTCAGCATCCCGAATCCAACCGCAACAACCTCTCCTCTCTTCTCACCATCTGTCTTCTTCTTCATCCCCCTGCGCCCCCGTTGCCCGTCGCTGGACGCCTTCCTCATTTCCAGTTCGCCCTCCGAGACCCTTTCGCGAAATCCTCCATCGTTCACGGTCGATTCACTCGCGGCAAGCCGCTCAGGCTCTGCGCAGTCTTCACGCGACCCCGCCCACGCCAAGCATTCACGCTGCGCGCGACAGCATTCAACGAGACTCAACACCACATTGGGTCATACCACTGGCGACTACGCGCTGTCTCTAAATAAAATCGCTGGACCTGCGAGGACAAAGTGATACCTGTGTGGACCGGGCAAACAGGGCCACTTTCCAGTGCCTCCCTCTGTGTATTACTTTAGCCCTTCTGATGCCGTAGAACGAGATTTGGGTGGCGTGCGCAATCCTTTTCCTGGGCCTTTTTTATTCAGACCTTACCCCCGAACATCGCGCCGTAGAAATTTGAATCCCTGCCATCAACTATATACTTCCATCATGGCCGGTAAGCTATCGTATACCAAAGTCTTGCGACCAGTGTCAGGCCACACGTGGTGTGGCGAACTGGAAGCACGATTAACTTCTGTCGGGCAGGAAGCTAACTACCATCTCAGATGAACCAAGACGCTCCGGTCGCTCGACCAAAGGTCAGCACAAAAACCTCGACATGATCACCGAGACGCCCGCGAAAAAGACGAAGGCCAAAGCTCAGCCGAAAGAAAAGCCCCCGAAACCCTCCATCGAACCGACGCCAGCTCCTAGCGAGGAAGAAGAGATCATTCGATGCATCTGCGGTGAATACGAAGAGGAGGAGGATGTTGAAAGAGACATGATCTGCTGTGATCGGTGCTCTGCCTGGCAACACAATGATTGTATGGGCCTGACATACGCGAAGGGTGAGGAGCCCGACGAGTATTTCTGTGAGCAGTGCAAGCCGGAGAATCACCAGGTTCTGCTACAAAAAATCGCGCTTGGTGAAAAGCCTTGGGAAGATGCGGCCGAGAAGAGACGCAAGGAAGCCGAGGAAAAGAAGGCATCCCGTCGCAGAAAGAGCAAGAAAGGTGGCCGAAGAGGCAGACCGAGCGAGCCCAAGTCAAGGGAGCCCAAGGTCAGCGAACCTAAGATCAGTGAACCTAAGGCCAGCGAACCCAGAGCGAGCGAACCCAGGGTCAGTGAAACAAAGGCCAGCGAACACAAGGCTAGTGAGCCTAAGACGAGTGAACCCAAGGCCAGCGAACCCGAGGCTAGCGAACCCAAGGCGAGTGAGCCCAGGGCCAGCGAACCTAGGGCCAGTACACCCAAGGCCAGTGCACACAAGGTCAGTGAAGCCAAGGCCAGCGAACTGAAAGCCAACGAACCCAAGGCCAACGAGCCTCAGGCCATTGAACCCAAGGCCAGCGAGCCCGAGACGATCGAACCCGAGACGAGTGAACCCAAGGCTAGTGAGCGTAAGACCAGCGAGTCTAAGACGGAGACAATCACACCAGCTCGTGCAGCAACCTCATCGACACCTGCCCCAGCATCCACTGTTTCGTCCGTTGTTCCTATCGCACCATCTCCAGCAACGACTGCAACACCAGTCCCTGAGAAAAACGGTCATGTTCCGGAGCCGCAATCGACAAGCGCTCAGAAGCGCAAGTTCGATGAGCACCAAGAGGTGCAAGCCCCTGAACCGGTGAGTTTTTGATGTCCTCGTGTTCTTGATATACTTTTGCTGACATGGGCCGTACAAGGGACCGAAATCAAAGCAGCAGAAGATGTCGCCCCCAGTGGCTACGCCTACTGTCAAACCGACTCAAGTGAAGAACGAGCCTAGTGCTCAACCTCCCCGGAAAGGCTCTGGCGGAGGAACAGCGGTCGCTGATCTTACGCACGCCACACGGAAGAGCGTTGCTAAAGCTCTGATCAACTTATTTGGGGGTCTGAGTTCTGATGCCCAAAAGGAGGGATCTTTCAAACTCCCTGAAGGGTCCCAATGGAAATCGGCGGAGGAATATGCTCGGCAACTCGCTCTCTCGATCGAGAGTGCTATGTATCAGAATATATGCGGAGGAACTGGGGATCCCTCAGAGGCGTATAGGACCCATATGCGGACGATCTTATTTAACGTAAAGAAGAACCCTTCTCTACGGGACCGTCTGCTCGTAGGTAGTTTACTTCCTGATACCCTCTCTAAGATGAGCTCCGAAGACATGGCCAGTGAGGAACTTCAGCAAAAGAATGCTGAGATCAAGCGGGAAGCCGAACGGCAGCATATCATCGTGCAGGACCAAGGGCCTCGCATTAGACGGACCCATAAGGGTGAAGAGTTGGTTGAAGACGATAACCACCTGGTCGCCAGCGAACCCGTCTTCTCGACGGCCGCCACGCGACGAAATTTGGCTGATGCAGATGGCCAGAGCCCGACGAGTGCTGGGCCTGATACCGATGGCCCTCGCAAGCCCTCGACGGCGCAGGACGTTGATACCAAGATGACTGACAGCGTCACCACTCACCATGACCACTTCCCCGCGCGGGCCCATTCCCCTGGAGGCACCAGCCACGAGCAGGTGTTCCCAGAAGTCTCCGCTCATATTCGTGAGCAGCTGCCAACAGCCAGGGCTCAGGCCGATGCCGAGATCGATCAGCTTTTGCGCGATGACGAGCCCGACTCGCCGCCCTACTCGCCCAAGGAATTCCACGATGAAGGGTCCATTTGGCATGGCACGGTCGTCATGAACCCTATTGCGGAGTTTTCTTCCTTTGCAAGGCATGTTGGAGGAGCGGACCTCAGTGGAAGGATCCCCTGGAGCCAGCTTGCTCCGTCGACGCTACTGATTGACGGACGAATCGATATCCAACTAGCCAGCAACTACCTCTGCGGTCTGCGCTTCAGTTCCTCGACTGACGTGACCGTCATCTCTATCAGCCGTCCCGATTCACCCAAAGAACGGGCTGGCTTTGACAAGTTGTTCAGTTACTTCCAGGATCGCAAGAGATACGGCGTGGTAGGCATGCATCCACTGCCCGCTGTCAAGGACACCTACCTTATTCCTATCGAAGCTGGCTCCACCAAGAAGCCCGACTTTATCGAGCTTCTTGAAAACAACGCCCTCGAAGACCCAACACCAGAGCGGGTTCTCCTCGTGGTCTTTGCCGTCAAGACGGGCGATTCGAACCCCCCATCAGTTCAGCCTCCATCACACATTCCGAGCCAGGAGCCCGGTTCCTCTGCTAGTCCGCTGACCGTGGTTGCTGCAACGCCTCAGCAGCCCCATTTTATGACTCCTGGACCGCCGCATGCGTCCCAGTTTACCCCCACCCCGGCGTCGTCATATGACGGGGCTTCTCAGACGCATAATCCTTATGGAGAACAAGCTCAGCCGCAACAACCTCCCCCACCAGCCCCCCAGTTCGCACAATATCAACCTCCCGCGCAGCTCAACCAAACCCCTCTCACCGGACTCGCTGCAGCAGTGCAAGTGCTGGGTCCTCAATCCAACTCTCCTGCTATCCAGCAGCTCCTGCACCAAGCTCCCAATGCAGATGTCTCCCAGTTGAGCGTGATCCGGGATATTCTTCTACGACGGCCAGAAGCCGGCTCGGATTATAAGATGTTGATGGATGAGTTGCTGATAGCAACCACGACCAACGGTCACGGTCCACAGCAGAATGCAAGGTAGAGGTGGGGATTCATCACTGCTGTACAGTACATCTTCTTCTCCGATATCTTCGCTTTCATTTGCTTGCAGGTTATCTTTGGGTTTGGTGTAATTCTCACTGATATTCCCATGTGCTGGGAACGGTTTAAAAGGGTATTGGCGATCACGGGACTTTGCAGCTTTCTTTTCTTTTTTCTTCTTTTTTCGCTTCCAGAAACGCGGGCTTTGTGAACCCAGCGAGCTGTGGTTTCAACATCGGGGATTTGTTGCCTTTTCTTATCTTCTTTTTCTTTTCATCTATTTCCTTTCATCTCCCTTTCTTTTCGCATGCTGTTTACCATGCGTTGAGTTTGTATGTCAAAATGAACGTCATCCAATATATTATTTTTCTACATGAATACCAATGTGTTGAACAATGCGGAATATCTACTCTTGGGAAATTGGCTCAGTAGTATGACTGGCGTGGGAATGAGCAACTGCGTAGACTCGGTATGTATTTATTATCTTTTTGATCCGTGACATCCTAGAGGTGGTAGTAAGAGAAACGCCTGCGCTATGCAAATCCAGACAGAATACAGCATTATAGAATAAACTCCAACAATAGACGCTCGTCACGATTACCAGCGAGGGCCACGCTTCTTATAACCACCACCGCCGCCATACCGAGGACCGCGTCCACCACCAGACCGTCCACCCCAACCACCATCGTCATCATCGTGGTGACGAACCGGCGGAGGCCGTCCCTTGAGTTCCTCGCTAAGCTTCTTAAACGTCTTGCGCATGTCCGAGTACCCCATGTGCATCTTTCCGAAGAAATGGTCCGCCAACCGACGATCATTGTCGAGACGACTCAGGTACGCGCCGCAAACATCACACACTTGTAGCTTCTGGTGACCCGATGGACCGGAGGTATCTTGGAGGTTCTTCAATTCCCGTTCACACGTTTCCTTCTGGTGCTTGGCGGTGCGGATCTTGTGCAGTTCGTTCAGGGCTTGCGCGACAGAGCCGGTTTCACCTAGCACTGAGACCTCCAGGAGACCTGAATTGATCGTTTTCGTCAGATCGGAGATTTGTTTCAGCTATATGCCACACGACTGAGATTAGTCCATGTCTGCGCGTCAATTTGCAAGTGAGGGGATTCTTACCAGGTTGTTTGTCTGTCGGATCTCGTCCGGGGTCTTTTCCAACCGCCGTTGAGCGGAGTCAATACGTCGGTCACAGTCGTCAATATACTTTTGCATATCGCGCATATAGTCGTAGTCGAAACCCCACTTGGCCTTCTCCGCTGCCGAGGCGGTCTCATACTCCGTCTTCAATCCTTCACTGTGCACTTTCGGGCATTGACCCAGGTCCTGCTTGGTATTGGTGAAGAGGTCGTGTGGACAGGTACCGACGAGATACGAGCGACAGACTTTCGGGTCGGTGATTTGGAGCTGCGCATTGCGAGAGGGCGCGCCGGTACCTATGAGCTGGTCCGCTAGAGAAAGAATTGGATTAGCTACTGTCTGGAGCTCTGGAGCTGGTGGGACGGAGCAACTTACCTCCCATGAGCTGCTCGAGCAGCTTTCTCTGTTCGGCCGCCATGATGGGATGATGCCAGGGCAAGAATGGAGGGTGGGGGAGCAAGAATGGTCAGGGCGTAAATGAGGGATTGAGGCCGATTCAATGGAGAGTCGAGATTCTGCGGTGGCGCTAACCGCGGCTGGCGCTTATGTGAGCCCCTGTCGCTTTGGTTTGGCTCCTCTCTTGCGGAGTATTCCGAGGCCTGCACACCTTGCTGAACTGCCATGGCCTCGAGACCTTGACTACCAACCCATCTTATGCAGGATTGACTTACTCGCGAGGCCCGGCCAGCCTGTTCTCAGCTTTGTTCGCCGCCCAACGCAATCGACTGTTCGTTTCCGCCGCTCGGAGGACTGAACCAACACCCCCGTGTATGGCGGTGGTGAGCTACGCATTATAATTTGCTCCACCGTGTCTAGGAATCTCGCATCGGCAAGCATGACGTGATGACGGTCCTTTCTTTCCTTACTTTGCTCTTCGTTGTCGCGCTCTCATCGCTCACTTCGGCGACGTCGGACTACCACGAGAGCCTCAACCTCCAACCACTTCCGCAATCAGCCTTGCTAGCATCGTTCAACTTTCGAAGCAATGAGTCCCAGGAGTCCTTCGACGAACGGCATTTTCGCTATTTTCCTCGCGCGCTAGGCCAGATTCTACAGCACGCCAACACCAAGGAGCTTCATCTCCGCTTCACCACTGGGCGATGGGATGCTGAGAGCTGGGGACCCCGCCCTTGGAATGGAACCAAGGAGGGTGGTACTGGCGTGGAATTATGGGCGTGGATCGATGCTCCTGATGATGAAGCGTATGTGTAACCTGGGAGAGCACAAGTCGCGAGTACGAAGCGGTACTGATGGACACTAGGGCCTTTGCGAAATGGATCACCCTGACCCAGTCTCTATCGGGGCTGTTTTGCGCGTCGCTGAATTTCATAGACTCAACCCGAACCACCCGGCCTGTTGCCTCGTTTGAACTCATGGGAGACCATCCGGCTTCGAGTAACCTACATCTTCTGCACGGGACGCTGCCTGGTGAGGTGGTCTGTACGGAGAATTTGACGCCGTTCTTGAAGCTCCTTCCGTGTAAGGGCAAAGCCGGTGTATCTAGCCTTCTGGACGGACATAAGCTGTTTGATGCGTCTTGGCAGAGCATGTCTGTGGATATCAGCCCTGTCTGTCCTCGACCTGGAGAGTGTTCTGTGTATATTGATCAGACAGTGGACATTGTGCTTGACATTGACCGGTCTAAGCGACCACGAGGTAAGTCTACGATTGGGTGTTTGCCACTTATAGATACTATGCTGATGATTCCAGACAATCCAATTCCTCGACCAGTACCCAATGATCAGCTTGCGTGCGATACATCCAAGCCCTACCATTCCGATGACACCTGCTATCCTCTGGAAAGCACATCCGAAAAGGGCTGGAGTTTAACAGAGATTTTCGGACGCAGTCTCAGTGGCGCTTGTCCCCTTACCGAAAATATCGAACAGGATGAACCGGTCTGTCTACGGGTGCCGCATGAACGCGAGGTTGTTGTCGCTTCAGACGCTGTGGAGACTGAGAAGCCAGATGGCTTTACCCGATGCTTCACCCTCCAGCCTTCTACTCCGTTCGACCTCGCAATTCCTGAACAAGACGTCACCACACACGTACCGCTCGATGAGCCTGTTTTGAGCGCCGAGCGGACGATTGTTGGCCATGGCCAAGAACGAGGTGGTATGCGCATCATCTTCGACAACCCATCTGACACCAACTCTGTCGATTTCATCTACTTCGAGACCCTCCCATGGTTCCTGCGACCCTATGTCCACACATTGCAAGCGTCCATTACGGGGCGTGATGGACTACCTCGGCAAGTCCCCGCTTCGCAGTTCATCCGAGAATCTTTCTATAGACCCGCGGTCGACCGAGAACGCGGCACACAGCTAGAGCTGGCATTGACGATTCCTCCCGCTTCGACCGTGACTCTCACATACGACTTTGAGAAAGCGATTCTGCGGTACACCGAATACCCGCCGGACGCGAACCGGGGCTTCAACGTTGCGCCAGCCGTGATCAAGCTGGGGGCAGCCAACAGTCCGAACCACCCAATCTACATCCGCACCACCAGCCTTCTTCTCCCACTTCCTACCCCCGACTTCAGTATGCCATATAACGTGATCATCCTGACCAGCACCGTGGTTGCGCTGGCATTCGGCAGTATCTTCAACCTCCTCGTCCGTCGCTTCGTCACGGCAGAAGAGGCCGCCGCGCTGACGGCACAAACCTTCAAGGGCCGGCTAAGAGGCAGAATAGTAGCCTTACGAGACCGCATCAAGGGCAAGACAGCCAAGACAGAATAGACACAATTAAACCATGCATCTTGGACATATGCTATACCAATTCAAGACAATACCAAACATTCACATCATAAAATCCTCTTCCCAACCCAAACATTTTACACCTGAAACCCCCAAGCAATAGATACCCCAGATCTACTCCGGATAAAGACTAATCAAGCACCTCTCATCAGCCCATTCCATTCAATCCCATTCCTAAAACCATCCTCAACCCCCTAACCCTCTCAAAAAGATAAGAGTAGGTAGGATAGAGCTTACAATCCCAACTTATCCTTCATAATCCCCCACCCGGGCAACGTATCCGAACCCCCCGGTTTCGACCCCGCGAAACTATGATCCTCCGTCGCACACGTCCCCTCCCTCTCATCGTGACCTTCATCCCATCGACTCATGAATTTCCGTTCCGCGGCTGCTTTCTGCTGCGCGATGGTGCGGAATTCAGGTGGTGTGAGGATATCCGACTGTACCAGAATCATCATCAGTATTAGGGGCTTGGGAGGAAAAGGATGAGGAGAAACTATACTGAGATCTCATCCGATGCGGTAGGAGCACCCCCTCCCTTGGGATGTCCTTCATCGCCCCAGCCACTGCCTCCGCCGGAGTTGTTTGCGGGGGTGGGTTGGGAGCTGGCGCCGCCGCGGGTGGCGGTTGGGAGACGGTTTTGGGACATTTTTTTCTGCTTTATGATGTGTATGTGTGTATGTATTGGAGTGGATTGGTTGTGTTGGTTCTGGTGGTTGGATTGGATGTTAGATAAAATAAGTACTAAATACTGGTGTGGGTATATAGATCGAATTGGAACGGATATTGTATATAATACCGATGGGTATAGTTAACGAGGAAGGGACTGAGCACAACTCACCTTAGAGCTTCAGATTGAAATAGTAGTAGTAATATACTAGGATAAAGTATCTATGTCTATGATCTGAGATTGGCCGTTTTATAACTTAGATCTTGGAGGTTCTGGGCAGGGAGCAGGTGGTGACCTCAGTGATCTCATTATGAACACACAACGTCATAGGTGTGTGGGGGGGGTTTGATTGGCCAGTTGTTGCCACCGGGGTGGCTTAGTCATGGGTCTTGTATCTGTCCATGGAACAAGTTCATATATGTTTGCTATTCGGTAGGGTCTTTGTAGCTTGGTTGGTTTGTAGATTAATAGTCTTTGGTTTTTGGTATTGTTAGTGATTAGGATGTTCTTGGTTGGGTTTGTTGGTTGGTTGTAGTTTTTTAGAGACATGTAGGTAACGATACTGTTCTATGATTAGTCTATAGTCTGCAGGGAATGATACTAGTGTTGATCTTCATTTTATCGATTAAGGAAAGAGAAGGAACAAGGATGAGAGAAGGTTGGGTAATATACTATCACATATCAGAAACAACTAACGTACGTCTCTGCAGAAGTCTCCTCTCCCCCAACACGGACCTCATGTATAAGTCAGACATACACATCTGCCTGCGCCTTCAGTGCTGGATCTACAGCCTTCTATGCCTCGGGAGAGAATCACGTATCCGCCAAGGAGGCAATGAAGCGCTCGACTAGGTATCTGGTTCTTATTAGTCAATTTCACGGAGTAAGTGAGCACCATGAGACTTACGTATGAATCCACCACCGAATTCCCGTCAACACGGGGTATATAGACTGGGTTATATGATCCATGATACGGATTGTTCAACACTTGACATGCAGCCGGACAGTGATATCTCTAGCTTCTGAGATATAATTCTAACAATGAGTTCGGATCGTCTCTTCAGCCGCAAAAGGCTAAAATACTAGATGGTGGAGAGACGGGATAACACGGCAGCAGATCGATACAACTTAGGCAGCCAACCATTCAGGAAAATATTTCCGGTCATTCAAGTTACTATCAATGTACGGTGAGCCCATACCAATATCATGAAGGAAGCTGTGAGATTGAACAGCCACTTAGATTGGGTAAATACTAGCTGAAGTCTATCTTACTCTGCAGTCATCTGAGCTATTTCCTGGCCAACTGATCAATCGGGGGCCATTCCCCCCCATACCACTTGAAGCAATCTCACTGCTGATCCGATTTAGTTCCTTATACTATCGTATTCCACTGTAGCCGAGGATCCACCTTCATCTTCAGCTCGCTCGCTTGCTTGCTATGTGGGGATTGTAGAAAAGTTATTTATCTGCCTCTGCTTCTGGCCCTCCCCCCCTCCTTCCCTTTCTCTTCTCTATCGGCTTTGTTTTGATCACTCTACAAAGAAAGCACTCCTACAAGAAGATGACAGACCACCTCACTATAGTCGTCATCGGCAATGCCGGCAGCGGCAAGTCGACTCTCATTGGTAACTGATCCTCTTCTCCGTCGGTGCCAAACATATCAACTGACAAAAATAAACCCGTGTAGAGGGGCTCGTCCACAAAGCCAGCGGAAGCTACAGCAACGACCAGTTTGTCCCATCACAGATACAGACCCCCAAGTATCAAGTGTTTCTCTACGGTCCGTTCATGTTCCCCACCACCTAAGCCGTCCTCGCATTGACTCTCCCTCTCCACGACCACCAGAAACCCCCGACGTTGAAACCTTCCAAGGTTCCATTCTCAACGGTAGCATTCGCCCGGACTCTGCCATTCTTTGCGTTTCCGCTGGGACCGGCGAAGGCATCAACGAAAACGCGGACCAAACGGCCCAGTATATCAGCGTTGCCAGGGAGCTTGGGATCCCCGAGTTGGCGGTTGTCATCACCAAGATGGATATGGTTCGTTGGTCGGTAGAGCGTGCGAACGAATTAATGGCGGGTGCTCGGAATATAGTGAGACATACCGAGCCGACGCACTATGATCCCCGAAGTGTTGCATGTCTCCCTGTGTCGGGTGAAACGGGGGATAATTTGTTCGAGGAAAGCCCTAATATGTCGTGGTGGGGGGGTTGGTCACGGCGCTGCCCGGACGGCTCTGATATTAGGGGAAAGGCGTTGTTGGATGTTATTGATGCCTTTAGACCTGTTCGGAGGTGATATATACATAGAAGTGGTTTTGTGTTAGCTCTGTATGACCCGACGAAGTCCGAGTTATTGAGTATTTTGAGTCTCGTTTGTGAATGAATACCTTGCCATGTCGGTAGTCTGAATTCCACCCGAGGTTTAATCAGAATACCATCTCATTTATGTCGATAGATCGGAAATCCCATCAGCATCATGTTACATTAGGCTAGGAATCGGAGCATAAGTCGGCCTTGAAGAGATTCTGCTCTGCATTAGCTGTTCTTCAAGCATTGCACCATCATTCCAATCTTAACATCCTATTATTTGTAGTGAGATATTTCTCATAACATGATATTATTAGAACGCTTGATCACTTTAGGTGTTGCTGAGGGGGTGGGTGACCTTCTGTAGGTGAGGGTATCACATAGGGTGTCAAGTGATACCGATGATAATGATGATACAGTTGATGGTGGGCACTGGGATAGATGAGTCGCGTCTATTGCCGTGTGTATATACAAACTCATCATACCTCACCAGGCAAAAATCATCCCGTTTGATATTAAGCAGACGCACGGTAATGCTTCCGTAGGCCATTCGCATGATATCATATCGAAGCAAGCATTAATCAGTGTTTTGGGGAATATTGAATGCGGGGTCTTGAGGAACAAATAGATGGATTCAGATCATGATAATTTGGGAAAGCAAGCGGATTCATCAAGATGTGACTACTGTGACTCGACTTGTTCGGCCCAGCTAGCTCCTGTTACCGGCGACAAAGAGTCCGACTTGAGCAGGTCAGGAGTAAGAGGCGCTTTGTCATCGTTCTTCTTCTCGCTCCCAGGGAGTGCAGGGAATTCGGCCTCATTGGTGATGACCGGAGCAGGTGCCTCAGGCTTGGACCCGCCCGTAGTAGACGGATCGGAGGTGCCGGCAAGTGTTCTTTCACCACGAGATTCACGATGTCCTCCCCGGCCGCGTCCACCTCTGCCACCACGTCCACGACCCCGGTAGTGCTGAGGAGTGTCCTCGTTGAGCGGTTCTTCTCCAGCTTGGGAATCAAAGTCGCGTCGAGTGTATCCAGACACACCGCCATGCATACCACGCCGGAACTGACCCCTACCACCTCCACCACGGGGGTTATATTCATTTTCTTTTTTCTCGGCATCCCACTCCCTTCCATTCAGGGCATTCAATTTGCGAAGTCGGTTACGCTCCCGCTCATTGTCCATGACCCGACGGTGTTGGCGTTCCTGACGTCGCTTCTCCTCAGCAACCTTCTCGCGCTCGAGGAACGACGCTTGGTCGGCTTCAGCTCGAGCATGTGCAGCGGCTTTCTTGGCGGCATTCTCTTTGGCGGCAGCAATGCGACGGGACAGTTCCTCTTCGGTAAGCTTCGGCTAGTAGACAGTTAGCAAGCACCCAGCTAGACACTGGAAATACCCCTACCTTCTTGATACCACCCGTAGCACTTCTGTCTCCGCGAACAGCAGGCACGCGCGGCCCCTCCGCTCCGGCGGCCTTAGGATCCGAAGACGTTATATCCTCCTTCCCAGTCTGATCACCTTCAGCAGGTGTCTCAGGAGTTGATTCCTTCGCACTCTGGTCCTCACGCTCCGTAGCACTCTCGGTGGGCTTGCTCTTCACGGCTCCATCGCCCCGACGTCCTGAATTATGTGAACCCCGTCCACTACGTCCTCTGCCTCGACCACGTCCTCGTCTCTCACCCCCGCGCGACCGTGGCGAGGTTTCGGTCCGAGCTGGTTGTGTGTCGTTCTCGATAACAGGGACAGGGGCGGGTTCCGCGTGCACTTCCGGCTCAGGCTTCTGTTCTGCGATGGGGACAGGAACAATCTCATCGTCGAAAAGATCATCGCCACCCCGAGTCTGCGCGAACTCGTCGATAGCAGGAGCGTCGGAAACCGGATCGGCCATATTTTCGTGTAACGTGGTTGGCGAAGGATGCGTGCTCCGACTGCGGATTTGATGCGATTGTACGCGCCCTCACGGCGCAGGACAATAGGACCAATGAAAACGCCCCGTGCTAGCTCGAGGGGGGAACCAGTGATCAACAATCAACGCTAGTCGCGGGGAGGCAGTCAGCTTATCGCCAGGTAGAAAGGCCCCCATTTCATTTCACCCCCGCGGGTAACAGCTCGCACAACTTCCAGTGTGCGACCCTTGCGCCATTTAACGTTATGACCTAAAATGAATGCGCCAGCTAAGCTTGCTTTAAAGGGTGGCGCTCTGGGGAAGACACGGCGACCCCAGACGGCAACTCCAGCTTCCAAGGCGGTCTGAGTGTTGTGGATCGGAGGCTTTTCCTGCGGGGATTGGGATTGATGTCTCCAGGTAGATGGGTTTGAATGACAGTGAGGGGGAAAGCCACTTACAGGTTGAGATTAAACCGTCTGGTCACAGGCTCGCTCTAGACTATTGAGATCGATTCCGGCGAGGTTGAAAGGGAAACCCCGAAGGTCATGGAAAGGTTGACGTCGATCGGCGGGCGCTTTTCTGCCATGTCACACCGGTGCTTTCTGCCTGGTCTAACCCTAAGGTCTGCGGTCAGTTCAGGAAGGAAAGACCACGCTTGATACCTCCCAGCAGGCTCTTTGCCCAATTATGGCCTAGTATTGTTAAATTTATGCAGACTGCTACTAGGATTAATGCACATGATACCAAACGTACTCAATTTCGGACTGTACATGCTTCTATCAGCTCCATATGTATGTCAGAAGTTCGTACGAGTAGACTATGAACGATACACACCTTCTCTCTGGAGAACAGACGGAGGAAAATATCCATATTCCAACATACGAAACCTGTAGTAGTATCTCTACTGCACTTTGCGGTGGTTCTCTGATCTACCTCGAATTATGCGATTAGTTGACGTATGAAAAGCCATGTAAGATGAGGTACTCTGTTGGAGCTATTAGACAATTTATACTGGGATCAATATTAAGCATCCTCTTTCAATCACTGATGAGTACATGCGTTTGGTGAAAGATAAGTATGTGAATGAAGCAGATGACGTAGAGGTATATGTCGCTGCGAGATCATAGATCATCGGTCTGACCATCATATCATAAACTATATTATTCTCGCTATAGTACAATGATCTGTGACCAGCGAGAATCAGTATCATGCCTGATATAATGGAGAGGTTGTACATACAAATGCCGACTACGAGCATTATTATGGCAAGACGCGGGCTCTGAGAGCCAATCAATCCGACCAGGAGGCTATACACGGTTCCTGTAGGATATGAGCCCAGAAATCCTCTAAATGCAGGTACATCTTTATATCTGGTCGCCGTGTCATCAATCATCGCGTGTAAGTTGGCAGCAGTTGCCGTTGTCTTATCAAGAAGCGCTTGAGAAATCCGCATATTTGTCTGAAGGTGCTCTTGTAATTGAGTCTGCCCTTGAATTGCTGCACTGTGTTGCAGCTGAGACTTATGTAGCTCTTGAGCCATTACCCGAGACTCGGCGAGGGAAGTCTCAAGACTTATTAGACGCTGGAAAGGTTAGCTAGCTCCCAAGTTCCTTTTAGACAAGCGCAAACCTCAGAGATACTCTGCTCTTGCTGTAGTATTTGCACAAACTTTGCAGTGAGCCATTCCTGCAAAATCAGTCTTTGGACGCTTCATGTAAGAAAATGACATACCAAAGAAGAATCAAAGTTGTCTACACTCTGAGACAACTTGTTCATGTCGCCTTGTATAAGCTTTTCCAAGCTTGATTGAAGAGACAAAGCCAGGCCCTTGCTTGCTAGAGCATCCTGCTGTTGAACTGATGCCATTTGCTTGTTCCTGTCTATAGCTTCGTCATGTAAGGCCTTCAGGAGATGCCGTAGATGGTTGGCATCGTGTGTGGCATTGTCGATATTCTACAATGTGTCAATCATGTTCCAAGCAAGTAATGGTCTACTCACCTTATCAAGCAATTCTGCTTTGCCATGTAGGCTTCCTATAGCAGAAGAAACTGAATTTATTACTGACCCAACATAAGCTTCCATGTCGCAAAATAATCTTTCGAAAGTGACTTTGAAGTGCGACTCCGTTTCCTCCAAGTTATAAAACAGCCTGCTTCTCATGTCTTCGACTACTTGCACGAATTCTTTATAACGAGAGGATCCAGCCGCAGCAACTTCCAGTGCTTCCTGAAGACCATGATTAAGCTTGACAGAGCTTTGTACAATGGACCTATGAAGTTCCAGGAGCTCCTCCCTTTCGCTTTCGAATCTAGCCGCCTGGCATATTACCACGGCATTTTGTCTACTGTTGCTATAGGAAGTCCACCACTGCGGTCGTGACTCTAGCAACTTGAGGCAAGTCTCTAGCTGTCCTTTTGATACGGATTCCACAGCGTTAAAGCGGGGCTTGTAGTTGGAGGATATCCCGAAAATGCCTTTCTTCTGGGGTAGCTGGACGGTTATAGGAATACATGGAGGGGGTACAGCCGCCCCCGCTTCGTTGAGTTCACAGATAGCAAGCCTGGCCGCATAGAGTGAGCGAACGTGTTCCAGCGTCACAAACGTGTTTGTAGTCGCTGTTACAGATCTGCCGCCAATAGATTGGCAGGATGCGACCAGCTTTGAAACTGCCATTCGATTGCAGGAGGGGGATGCGTTCATTGACTCGAGAAGACCCAGTGCTTCCGAAAATAGCACGTCGCGTTCCTCGTTTATGGACTTTAACAAAGAAGCCATGTTGAGGTCCTCTATCGGTTGGTGGTCTTGCGCTGAAAGAGCTGGCTGGCTGGTTAGTGTAACTGGACGTGAAAATTTCGCGTTAACTTACCATCCATTGAGCTGACGGCAGTTGCAGCAGGACACACGCTGAAGATTAGTATCAGACAATATACCAGATTGGGGAATGAGATCCCAGGGTTTGAAATCCTCGCCATATTTGTAATAGTGATCATGGGCCAACTTGGAGGATTAAGAGCAATGATAGTACGGGGATGATACAAGATACAGAGAGGGCACTACCCTGTAGCAGTTGCAAAATTTATAACCGGTAAAATGCTGAGAGTATAGATGGAGAGAAATAGGGACAAGAAGCAGCAATCGCGAGAACTGGGACTGTCAAAGCAGAAGTTATAGAAGGAATGAGAACCGACAGTAATACCCTGGCGGACAAATTTAAAAGTCAAACAGAATCAGACTAGGAGCAAAATCCTACTGTTCGAGAACTCATACATGACTCCATGACCGACGACCTGAAATGTGAAAGAAGTCAAGGAAGAGTGAGAGAAGCGTCTCATCTATACGGCATGTCACGTGAGGCTGCACTAACCCCATCGGGCGGGCAAGATCTCCGGACAAAATCAGTCGGCATCGGAGTTCCCAAGCACTCGCCCAGACCTCAATTCGCAAGTCCCATCGCCATGTCATGTTCCTTGACCCAGAGCTGCTTTAGGCAGCTTGCGCGGAGTCCTTTGAGACAAGGACCTCTGCCTGTCTTCCTCGCCCCTGCGTTCTCTCACCCTCTCCGCACCCAACCTTTCTCGACCACCTCCCCGGCACAATCGCGAGTTGGCGGCGCCGCGATCAGCGTACCCCCGGAGGTCTCGCTGAAGTTCATCGACCTCCCTCAGCCCAAAACCAAGGCCAAATCGATCGATTTCCCTAACAGGGCCATTGAGGTCAAGGGACCCCTGGGTAAGCGGCGGCCCGGATAGAGGTGTCGGAAGACGGGACGTGAACTGACATCTGAGTGATAGGTGAAATGTCGCTCAACATCCCTTCCTACGTGAAAGTTGACTACGATGAAGCCGTCCGGAAAGCAACCTTTGCCGTTGAAGATACCGAGATCACTCATCAACGTGCTATGTGGGGTGCGTATTGTTCTGGAAACCGTTCTCGTCGGATTACAGCTGACATGTGTTTTTATTAGGAACCATGCGTGCCCTTCTACAGAACCACATCCTTGGAGTGTCGGAAGGCCACATCTGCGTCCTGAGTTTCGTCGGTGTCGGTTACAGAGCTACCATTGAATCTACGGCGACCACGGTCGAGCCCGAATACCCCGGCCAGCAGTTCGTCTCCTTGAAGGTCGGATACTCGCACCCGATTGAGCTGGGCATCCCCAAGGGCGTCAAGGCCAGCACCCCGCAGCCGACCCGTATCCTGCTGGAGAGCGTTGACAAGCAAGTCGTGACCAAGTTTGCGGCGGAGATCCGCGCCTGGCGCAAGCCGGAGCCTTACAAGGGCAAGGGTATCTTCGTCAACGGAGAGACGATCAGACTCAAGGACAAGAAGATTCGGTGAAATTGGCGTCTATGTCTTGGGGGAACGAAACTGTGTTTATTATTTCTGTACATGTATATCCGAGCACGGTTCTTTTGGTTCGCAATTGGTATCTTTTTTTATGTACTTTTAGACGCATCTAGCGTGCACGGTCTGACAGAATTTGTCGAGAATCTATATTCATGATAGGCGAATCCTCAACCATCAATTCTTCACAGCTTCAGAACAGTCTTAACAGCATCGATGACCTGGTCGTGGATGGCCTTGGGAGCGGCGACAACTCCCTTGTTGGCAGCCAGGGTCCTGCCCTTGCTGAAATCCAGTCTCTGGCCGTAGATATCCGACACCTGACCACCGGCTTCACGGACGATTAGATCTCCTGCGGCGTGGTCCCAGATCTTCTCCTGGTAGTCCTTCTTCACCGGCAGACGCAGGTAAATGTCACCGGCACCTCTGGCAATCGAGCAGTACTTGGCCTGAGAGTCCAGTCGCACACTGGGGGAGGTGATTCCAAGAAGCTGAGCGACGGCAGCGTTGTCGCCCTGAGCGGAGTGAGCAGCCTCCACACCCTCACAGAAAACGGCCTGCGCGATATCGGGGACAGGGCGCATGGAGATGGAGCTGCTCTCAGCAAGAGCTCCGTTCGAGAGGGGCCGACTGATGGAACCAACGCCCTGGATGGCGGAGAAGAGGACACCCTTGCCGGCGCCGCTGGTCTGCTCAGCACCGATGCCAGAGGACAAGGTCTCGGAGTCGTTGACGGGCAGGTTGGGGCAGCCGATGGCGCCCGCCTTGACATCACCATCCTCAATCAGACCGAGACAAACCGCATACTGACCACCCCGCAGGAAACCCTTGGTGCCGTCAATGGGGTCCAAAGCCCAGATACGTCCCTTGGGGCCGCCGGCACTCTTGCCCTGGTCGATGATGTCCAGCATCGCTTCTTCGCTAGGCAGAGGGCCTCCGAGGAGGTTGTCGCTCTCACTGTCCTCTAGCTTAATGTCCTTGACCAATCTCCAGATCTCTGTGCTCAGGGCCTTGTCCTCCCGGAGGGTGCTGGCCTCTTCTTCCGCGACAATCTCGTCGTTGGGGAAGTTCTTGCGGATAGCCTGGATGATCAGGGCCTGGGCGCCGAAGTCGCCAATAGTGACGGGAGACTTGTCATCTTTGGAGACGGTACCCTTGGCCTTCTCGTTGAAGACCTTCTGGGTAAGGAGAGTAGCGCGCTGGACGGCGAGTTCGGCAATGTAGCGTTCCTGCTGGTAAGACATGGTGGCGGGATGGATATAGGGGGGAGGGGTGTGAGAAAGGTGGGGGAGGAAGGGAAGCAGATGGGGACGGGTTTTTAAGATGAAGCTGACACCCAGTAGAAGAGTGGAGCAGAGAACCAGACGGGAGAAGATGGAGATAGTACGCGGCCTGCGACTGGAGCAATGATCTGCCGGATTTGTCGACCGCAGACCCATGAGATTAATGGGATGTTCAGTAGTCAGAACTGAGCACAGCAATTGGCAGCTCTAAGGCAGATCCTGCATCGAACGAGACCTATTGACTGGCCAATATGTGGGCGTGGGATAAGGATTGGGAGCCTCGTGCCATCGAGCAAGCCGGAATCGGCGTGGGCCGTGGGAGGCCCCAGGCGTGAATCCAGCGTTCCCCGCACTTAGCCTGTTCGGGCAAGTCGCGAGGGGCAGTCACGAGATCGGGATGGTATCAACAACCAAACTAACCGACACCACCACCGCATGACGTTGGAGGCGCCATCCCGATCCTTCGTCTCCGTCCATGTTGCTGCAGCCAGATCAGCTCCCGGCGAGTAGTCTGCAAGTCCAACGCTGCTGCCCTTAGTGTGCCCGGCTCCTCCGTCTCCCCCCCGCCAAGGCATCAAACACAACGGCTATCCAGTTGGCCTAACACGTCACCGTTCTGCTCATCTCCCGCGACCCTCCTGATATCAATCTATCCAGGCACCGGCAAACCCCTCTGTTGGGTAAGACCATTGTGGGCGCATACGTTCCGACCGAATTTATATACCTTGGGCGCAAAGAGGGGAAGGGACCCGATTGCGTTTCCTCTCGCTACTCATCCCCCTTAACGGCCTTGACTCCTGATGTATTGGTGACAATTTGATGCGCCTGTGAGAATTGAGAAGATCATACCTCCTCGCCTTATTGAGTACCATTAGTATAAACCTACACATCCGAGATCATCACCATGTTTCACTCATCGGTAAGTCAGTTTGCAACCGCCTCGCGCAGCCCGACCCACTGTCAATTGCATAACGCATACATGATCATCTGCAGTCCCACGGCGACCGACATGATCCTCCAACTCATCTCACGGGCACTAACAGATGCGCTCTTATAGAAGCCGTATTCGGCTGTGACGGTCCAGATCGAGGTCCTCACCAGCGAACAATACGAGGTGGAGGATTCCAGTGGAATCGTGGACCTAATCGAGGCCGTTCGCATCCAGGGCAGTGGTCCCACCGAAGCGAGTCGCGCTCTGCGCAAGAAGCTGTCAGTATGTCCCCTCGTGTCCGATCAATAGCGTTCTGACTTCTCTTCAGCAAGTATGGCAACCTTCACCGCCAATTGAGAGCCCTTACGATTCTGGACTTTTTGATCCAGAATACCGGTGATCGCTTTCTGCGGGAATTTGCAGATGAGCCATTACTCGAACGTCTACGGATTGCCGCCACCGACCCGGTTTCTGATCCGTTGGTGAAAGAGAAGTGCAAACAGCTCTTTGGGCAATGGGCGGCCTCATACAAGAACACCCCCGGTATGGAGCGGGTGACGGCTCTTTACAGACAACTACCGAAGCGCAAGCAACCGGCTGTTCAGGCGAAGGCTAAAGTATTGCGTGATTCAGGTACTTCTGACGAACCTGCCATGGGCCATACTGTGTCCGTGTCGGCCGGAAATGGGCCTGCTACTGTTCTCACGGGCTCGAAACACAAGCACACATCCAGCAAATCGTCTCTCTCGTCCTTCAGGAAGGACAAGAAGGAGAAGAAGACACTGAGTCGGTCTTTCAACCTCGACAAGGAGAAGCCAGAAATCTTGCAGACTCTCGCATCATCCTCCGTCGCCAGCACAAACCTCCTGAACGCGTTGAAGCTAGTCAACCGCGAAACGCATCGTGTGAGCGAAGACGCCGAGGTTCTGAACCGGTTCGAGACTTGCAAGACGTTACGGCGACAGATCCTCCGGTACATCCAACATGTGGAGAGCGAGGAATTTCTGGGCAGTTTGATCCATGCAAACGAAGAGCTTGTCACGGCACTTATGGCATTCGAGGTCTTAGACAAGAGTGTAGACTACGACAGTGATAGTGATCAGGACGTACTAGAGACCGGATGGACCCCTGATCGCGACAATCTCCCCGAGGCATTCGCAGGGCTGGTCGTCAATCCCCCGAAACCACCACGCCCCCCTCGTCCCTTGAGCATATCCGTACCATCCTCATCATCAAGGAGGGCCTACAGCTCCAGCGAATCCGACTCCGAAGAGGACGATGACGAGAACAATCCCTTTGGGGATCGCAACGCCATCCGCACCCCTGGCATCGAACGACACGAACCCACCTGGTACGTACTTTCTCCTCTTCAACATCCCACCAACTAACCCTTCCTAGGAAAGAAGTCTAGATGGCCAAGACCAGCCTGTCACCACCACACTTTCCACCCCTACCATCCATATATTACATATAACCGAACCAACCAATCAACCCCAAACCCCGCTTCACTTCTTCGACAAGTAAGACTTACCATATCCGCAAGGATCGCTGAGGTTTTCACGTCACTCTATATATCCCTGCCCTTTCTCGGATGGGTATCCGCATGGCATGGGCGCACGGGGTAGTTCTTAGAATGAAAATTCCATGTATGATTGATGTATTACCTACCTACCTACCTACCGGTTCCAAACTCCCACATACCCCTCTCTATTCCTACAATAAGCCTACATACAATATGACAGACAAGATAACGCCTATGCATTACCGGCATAACTTTAAGAACCCTTTGAGTAGGATATACATACAAAACATTACGATACGACAACACACATTACATCTTTCCCTCCCACCAAGGAAATAAGATAAATCATAAACACCCTATGCACGTTTATTCCCTACACAGGTACAAGAAAATACCGGACAAGTACAGGACAGGACAGGACAAACATCCCAATCCTAACAAGTACCTAACTAAACCTATACCTATACCTATACCTATAAACAATAATACCCAGCAACCCCCCGCAAACCCATTCCAGACAATGCAAATGCGGTGCGATGCGATATTCATCAGTGCAAGCCCTTCTCAATCGTGAATCTTTTCATTAGAAGAAATAAGCACACGAAAAAGAAAAGAAGTGTGGGTAGTTTGGTAAAGAAGAAGACGCCAGCAGAAAAGGGTATTATGAATAAAGACAAAGCTCCGTGATGTGGTTGTGAATGAACAAGATGAAGGAAAGGGAAAAAGGAAGAATGGCAACAGAGGTATCTTTGTATCCTAATTATAGTACTTTGGTTTTCATCCATTCGCTGGTTCCAACACCCAGGTTGAGACCGTTACGAGCCCACCAGGTTCGGACGCGTTCTTCAGCACCAGACACCGGGTCAGAGTCCTCGAGGGCTTCTTCGATATCGCAGGTTTTGAACTCGACACGGAGACCGCTGCGACGCCACCATTCGAGAACGTTGTCGTGGCCGTTCTTGGTGGGGCCGACGAGGACCTGGCTGTCGAAGATCATTTTGGAGCCTTTCAACCGGTGCCAGAAGTCGAGGACGTGAGCGTGGCCGTGTGTGCTGGCGATGCGGGCGACCGACTCGCCGTGGGTGTAGGGAATGCCAGAGGCGTCCCACCAGGCGAGGGAAGCGGTGCGGCCAGATTGGGCAGCAAGGAGGACGGATTTGCCGACCTTGAGGGGGATGGGTGTCGACGCGGGCGCGTTGGCCGACGCGGCTTTCCACCAGGCGAGCACGGCAACCCGGCCCTCGGCACTTGCAGCTTCGAGCGCGCGCTCGGTATACCGAAGTTCGAGGCCCGAAGTCCGCCACCACTCTAGCACGTTGACGAACCCGGCGCGGGAGGCCCCGTCCATAGCATCGGCGATGTAGTCTTTGTTAGGAAGGGCGGGTGCATCGCGCCACCACGTGAGGATGTTGGGGTTTCCGTAGATTGCGGACGCGCGGTATGGGAGGTTGGTGAGACGAGATGTCGTCCAGAGTAGATCGAGATGGTTTTCGGTTAGGTGGGAGAGTATGTCGGTGCGGGAGAACTTGAAGATCAAGTGGCAGGCGAGGTCGGATAAAGGCTTCCATCGTGGCAGACTGTCGATGCGCTTCTTGATCGCAGCGAATGAGCCGCGGAGAATGGTGTATTCCAGGGAGGCCGGCGTCGACATCTTCAGCAGGTGATTCTGCCATTCCTTCGGCACCGGGAGATTTGTGGGGATGCCAACCGCTTTGGCAATCTCCCAATCGTGAAGTTGGTCTTCAAAGACATTCAGCCATAGCTCCATCGGTAATAATCGAGGGCCATTTTCGGTCTTAGTGACGCGATGCAGAAGATGCCGCGATATCGTCGAAGTTACGTCCCCTGGTGCCTGCTCTGGCAGGCTGCTCTGGTATGTGGAATCTGAAAGCTGGCTGGGATTAGCGGGAATTTGCGAGAAAGAAAGACCTAGGGTCTGTTCAATAGTTTCGTGCAGGTCTTTTAATCCCTCCCAAGGCAATTGGATGAGCTCCTCCGGATCAACTGACTCCCACAGAACAGGCGGAACCACGCTAATCCATGGCCAAAACTCCTCCACTTCTCGGAGTTGCCTTTTACTCAGTGGATGGCGCCATTCAGAAACCGTCATCCCAGGGATTAGCACGACCGGCTTCGACGACATCCAACCACGCAGGAGCGCCAGGGTCAACGTGTTGGTCAGCCCATAGAGCATCGACCCCAGCGCTCCAGCGTCTATGGGCGCAATAAGAAGCATATCAGCCCAGTCACACAGTTCCGCCGCCTTGGCCTTGAGCCATTTCCGAGCGCCCGTCTTTTTCTCGAACGTTTGACTATCCACCGTGTCCATGTAGTGGGGGACCTTGCTTGCGCCCGACAGAAGCGCTGATGGTTCGTCTGTAATCAATCGCAGTTCGATATCGGGGTTCTGGACCAGTGACGGAAGTACATTGTCGACGAATGCACTCTCAGTGGAGAGAAGTATGCGTTTCCGACGACGGGGAGACGAGCCCGTGGCCTCTTTCATTGCTTTATCTAAGTGTATGCCGCCCGTGATAGGAACCGTAGTCAATTTTCCTTCATTCTCTGCATCGACCTCCATTTCTGTAGACAAAACACCTTTCGAAACCACAGTTGCGACACCAGCAGATGTCGAAGCAAAATCCGCACCAAAACCCACAGCCATCGCAGTATGAGAGGAAAAAGAAATATGTCGCAGATAACGATCTAAGGCGCAGATCCCGCCGTTATATAGCCCAGTCACGTCACGATTCGTCGGAAATGAAGCAGGGCTGTTCTGAACCTGCAGGGATTGTGCAGCCAATCCCGGTCCGGTTTTTGAGGGTGTCGTTGAGGATAAAATCGCAACCAGTGCGCAAGAATGGATGAAGGGACGCTCCGAAATGAAAGAAAGTAGGTGAGTCTTGTTAAATATAAGTTGACCAGCCGTGGCTAGCGGTCGATCAATGGCGACCCAATATAATAAGCCTTCACTCCCTCCAGCCAAGACTTAGTGAATCCAAGCCATGTAAAGACCGACAGAGGCAGACCCAGGCCGGACTGCGGATCTCGACGCAGTACGTGTTGACTGACTGGTGGTCTGATCGGGGGAGCTAGGGAGGAAGCGGTGTGCCGTGAGAGCAGCGGGACTTGCAGGGAGAATTAATTAGTTGTTAATGAAATCACCAAACGGAGCTTGGGCGTCAGTCAAGGTGTCCCGTCGCCACGTCTTCCCACTTCAGCGCAATGCTCAACGCCACCAGATTGCACGTCCAGGATCGATCGGGGATAACTCAGGAGGGGTATCAAGGAAGGTGGACAAGAGGACCGGGGAGGGGGTAGGGAGAGGGGGAAGGAGAGGAGGAGCGTCGTGCCACTACTGCCTGGCTGGGGTGCTTGTCAGGTCAGTTAGTTCTCCAGGCCGGCCGGGGCCCAAAAGATTCCAGAGGCTGCGCTTGAAGGATCTCCTGGTTCGCTGCCCGTTCGTCTGCCAAAGACGCCGCTGCTGATTGGCGGGCTGGGGCCGCAGCGCCAAGGGCGTAGTGGACCCTGCGGCCTCGACCCGATGATGTCGCGATTACTCGGGGTTCCAACACCTGACCAGCAAAGCACAACGCCCTGTTACTGCATGCGTGCATGATAATCTAATACTACGCTGGACGCTCTATCTCCTATAGGTTCTTTCACACAGCAGCCCCCCCACTACTCATCCCTCCGTGCCAGGTTCGAGTGCAGTTTGTGTTCGCGCATCCCCATACTGACAATCGCGCCCAGCACGCTCAGCCCTAGCAGCGTAACAAACACGGCGCGCAAGGAGTCCATGTACGCATCCAGCACCCCCGGGATCCAGTCGGTGGGAAGATGGCGAATTTCCTCCAGGCTATCTCGGATCCGTCCAATCAGCTCGCCAGCGTGCTCGCGAGCTCCGAACCGAGACCAAAGACCGGACTTGAGGATATTCTGAAAGACTGCCGAGGCCACCGTGATGCCAATGGTGCTTCCGGTACTGCGAAAGGCGTAGGACGCGGATGTGATGACCGCGTGGTGCTCGTGGTCTACAGCAGAGATAAGGGCCACCAGCGTGATCGTCAACATACTGCCATAGGCAGTGCCCATCAGGAAGAAGTAGATGAATGGCAACCACGATGGCGTCGTGAGGGACAGCGTGCAAATCAAAATGCCGGAGAGAACCATCAGAGACATAGACACATGGCTGAGAATCTTGTACTGTCCGGTCGACCGCATCAGGATCCCCGATCCCAGTGATCCGAGGGAGGTTCCAATGGCCTGGGGGATTAACCGCACCCCTGCAGCCGTGGCCGACAAGCCCTGGACCTGGAAGAACAATGGCAGATAGAACAGGAGCCCAAAGACTGCCATCGTGCTAAACCAGTTCGTTAGGCAAGCGGAGAACACCGTCCGATCCAAAAGCAGACGGACAGGAATGACTGGCTCCGACGCTATGTTGGCTTCGATGTAAATGAAGAGGCCAATGAAGACTGCGGAGAGCGGCAACGAGGTGAGGATAAGAGGGTGCGTCCAGGATACTTGGTTGCCGCCTGTATTAAGTCCGAGCAGAAGCAGGACAAGACTGATGACCAGAGTGAGGGCTCCAAGGAAATCCACTCGTTTTAATTTGGCACTTTCGGTTGTCTTCACCGGCACTCGAACGGTGACAGCTACTAAAATGCCGGACACCACGACCAGGGGGACCTGGAGGAGAAAGGCCCATCTCCATCCCAAAGTGTCATTGATCCATCCGCCAAACACACCACCCAGTCCACTTCCGGCTCCATAGCAGATATTGCCAATGCCCTGCCAAACCCCGCGTTTTCGCAGTGGGACGAGGTCGGAGGTGACGAAAGTTGATATCGCCGTGAGACCGCCGCCTCCGATACCCGCGATGACACGCCCCAGTACAATGGTGCCCTCACTCTTGGCCAGACCGCATATCATATTGCCGGCGGCAAAGAAGATGTTTGAAAAGATCAGCCCGGTTCGTCGTGAGAAAATGTCGGTTAGGCGCCCACTCAGTGGTTGGAAGGCGGCATTGGAGATCAGGTAAGAAGTGGCGAGCCAGGAAAGCAGGGAGAAGGAATGGAAGGAAGACGAGATGGGCGCGGTGAGAGTAGCGACAATCGTAGTATCTACCACCATTAATTTCCACGAAGAACAAAGCTGTAGTAAGTCGAGCCATACCTAAAGCAGCCAAAAAGACTCCTACCCAGATACTTCCCAAGACCAAAATGAGCTCTTTCGAGCTAGGTTCCTCAGCCAAGGGAACATCCGAGTCCCCCGGAGGCACGGGCTCATTCGGTGTCTGATCCCCAAGGAGGGGCGTCCGTTCAGACGCCAGTCTCCCTTGGGATTCATCAGAAGCAGCGGTTCGAGGTTGATCAGAGCGCATGCTTGTGTCACCAGTTCAGCCGTTGTGACAGTTCCAGCATGGAAGCGGATGTTGTTGTTGTTGTTGTCGTTGTCTGAAGCGCCGGGCCAGAGAGGCGGCGGTTAGTCAGGCGGGCGGACTGATAACGAGCTAGCCAGCTATCGCTATCGATCCCTTTATCGCTTATCTACCTGCTTCAAGGGGAAAAAAAGTCCTGGACGGCCTCCATGACTGACAATCTCTTAAGCTTGCGTCGAATGGCCAAGGCTCTGAAGCAGTCGGACACCTGAACATCCATGGTTTCTGATGATATTGACATGTGCTACATTTGAATTCGGTGGATTTCCAACCATGGCCATCCAATTCTGGGCGCGTTGACGACGGATCAGACTTCTAGCTTAGCTCCCCCTGAATCGACGAACAGGTCTCAATAATTACCCGAGCAGGACCTATTTTCGAACTCGACCTATCATTCGGGGTTCTAAACTGGTCGGTCATTAGGAAGGCAACCCAGTCACGACGCGTCTGCACGAACGGTGTATCATTGACGCGACAGGCAGCTGGAGGTTGCACGCGCCATCCCGGCCGGGTTTGACAAGCCTATGGAAATTGGAGTCTGAGCAAACGGCGCGCCGCCAAGAGTCTTTGTTGGCCAACGGGCGCGTTGCCCATGCAGCGATGAAACGGCTACAATCTGCAAATATTTGAAGGAGCCAACGGACCTTCTACGATAGAGTGGTCCAGCCGTTGCAGAAGAAAAGGCCAGGCATGGTTAGATGAGTCCATTGACCTGAAGTAGGGCAATTTCCGTGCCCTATATACAGGTCCCCACCACGGCAACCCAATTCATCTAATAGTCTCAAATAAGCGCAGAATAAGGATTGTTCGCGAAGTAAAAGTGGGGCCGGGAAGGTCTATTAGATCCTCGTACATTTTCTCTGTCGGGGTTTTATTGACAGCGCTTGGTCGTTCACGATAAGGGTTGCCCCTGAATGGAAGGTCGTGGGAGGCCGATTCAGGAGTATGGCGTACAGACACTCCACCCCTAGAGCTTGGGTCGAGTTGCTATCTTGAGAGCAGCCACCACTGCAGGCAGAGAATAGTCATGCCGGGATCAACTGGTCCGTTGGCAATAGAGGCGTGAACCGAGGGTGGCTAACGCGGCGGGGGGACGATGCACTTGCCCATCTTCGTACATTTTTACCTCCTTAGATGAAGCACCAGGGGTAAGTGAATGGGGGCCATGACTAATGGGCAGGCCTTTGGATGACGGTGCCTGTGGATCAGCAGCAGTCATCGGCGGGGACCGCAATCATACTGATGGTGGTGGGAGATGAAGCAGGAAGCCAGAAAAGGGTCCAGGGCGAAAAGAAAGGAGGCATCAAAGGCAGATTAAGGGCCAGGCGATCAACATCAGGACCGTGCCCCCGTCACGTGGAGGACACATAACTACGCCCATACGAAGTCTCCTTGTTCTTCTTGTTTTCTGCCTTTGACTTTTCTTTGTTCTCCAGACTCGACTCTGTACTACTTACGTCCCTCGTCGGCGCGAATCATCGTTGTGGTTTTTGAACCGTCCATTCCTTTATCATCCATCATCCTACTTTGCAGTGTATACCAACGACCTCCCCGCTTCTCTACCCCTCCAAGCTCAAAATGCCTGGTGAGTGAGCCCCGCAAGCTACCTGATGCGCGCTCCAAGACCCTCGCTAACTCAGCACCCCAGCCATCTTCAAGAAGATCAAGAACGGACTCAAGTCCCTCTTCAAGAAGAAGAAGCCTGCCCAGGAGAACCCTGAAGGCGCGGCTGCTGAGGAGACTCCTGGTATGTTCAACAGTGACGATGGTGCCCGCGCCCACTTGCTAACCATGCGATCATACAGCCACTGATAAGCCTGCTGAAGAGGCCCAGCCTGAGGGACACGGTGTTTCCGATGCGCCCCCGACCCTCGAGGTGACGGAGACTCCAGCTGGCGCGGCCAACCCCGCCACGGAAGCCCACGCGGAGTCTGCTGCTCCTGTCACTGCATCTGAGCCTGCGGCCAAGCCTACTGAGACTGCCGGCGACGCGGCTGGTGAGTTGACTTTGGTCTTATGACAGAAGAAGGGTGAATGACTGATCATGCGCAGACAAAGAAACCAAATGATCGACTCTGGGCCCCTGCTGATGCAGCGCCATGCATGCAGCATCCATTCCTTCTCCGTGCATTATTTCCTATCTGGCATCTCATACCCCCGCATAGACTGCTCTGATTTCTTATTGCTCTCTTGTTGATATCCATTCTCATATACCCTGTACTGCTTTCAATAGCCATGCATATCTGCATCGTCTACTAATACAGTCCTCGTCAGGCTAGTGTCTCATATTCCTTGCTTGCACTATTCCGTAAATCTGTAAATGCTGAAAGGCAAATTAACCAAATCCATGATTTGATATCAACCGGGGTATCATAAGCTGAAGCTGAATCAGAAGAACATACATCCAAGACCTCCTCAATCACTGCCCTCATCCGAAGACCCATCCACATCCATTTCAGCTGCCAGCGCATCCTCACCAGCCGCAGCTGCAGCCGCAGCCTTCTGTTCTCTGGCCTTCTGTCTGCGCTTAATCTTCCTCTCACGGTTCTTCCGATTGCGCTTCTCCGCCTCCAGCAGCTTCGCCTCTTCCTCTTTCTTCTTCTTCGCCTCCGCGGCCGTAACCTTCTTCCGTAACTGAATCCGGCGCTTCTTACCAGGCTTTTTCAAAGACGTCGGCGCCCTCTCAACCGAATCCCTCACACACGTCGTAGCCTCCTCCACAACCCCAGACCCCTTCTTCCCCTTCTGCTGCGTCTTCAAAGTAACAACCCTCCACGGCAAATGACAACCGGGCTATCAACAATCACAACTCGTCAGCAAACCCTTCAAACCCACACTCCCTCCCCTAAACAAGCTCAAAAGAAAAACTCACCCACGAAACCCCCGCAAACCCCACCATCTGCGCCCCGGAAACAGCCACACTCTCAAACTCCCTCCTCTTCGCCCTCAACCTCTCCTCTTCCTCCCCCAATTCCCCACCACTAGTCCCAGACATCAACCCCGGCGCCGAGAAATAATAATCCCATCCGCGAAACGGCTTCACGAAGCGTCCATCTTCCGGGCCCGTCGCACCGGGCGTGGGCGACCTCACCCTGATTCGTAGTTTCTGGGCGCTTGCATCATTGGTAGCGCTCTTCGTGTCCTCTTTCTTGGTATTAGTGGGCACTGGGGCGCTGAATAACCGGAACTCGAATTCTTGTTCTTCGTCTTCGGGGTTTTCCGTATTGTCTTGTTGCGAGGATGGGTCGGGGTAGGTGGTGGGCGCGAGGAGGGAATCGATGTTGAGGAGTTCGCTGAGACGTTGCTGGGCGTTGGAGAGGGAGGATTCCGGTGGTGGGGAGGGGGAGGGAGAAGTGGAGGTTCTGGATAGGAGCTCGTCGCGACGGACGCTGGGGGTCGGGTTGAGTTAGTGGAATTGAGGGCATTATGGATTGAGGGTGGGTATTGATGTGGACGTACCGTTTTGCATTGGGGAGGTCGAACATGGCTGTTCTGGTGTGGTTTAGTGTCTGCTTGAGGGGGATGGCGTGGGTGTGGTCATGAAGATGGAGATATCGCAGTCGGAGAATATGAGGTGGTGGTGGTGGAATGAAAAATGTCGGGGCTGCAGGTGGGCTTAGTTCCACGGGCGGGTTGGGTGCGGCCACAGCCCTCCGTCGGAGCATTTGGGGAGTGGGTTGGGGCTTGTATGGACAACGACTGTTTTTATAGTATGGAGAGGAGATGATGTTCTAAGGTGTTTTTATGATTGAAGTTTCAATTGTGATATATGTTTGTTGGTTTAGAGTGGGTTGGCTGCGAACAGATGGTTGGTGCTTTCCACATCCTCAACCTCAGTATACAGGCGCATAGAGACCAATACGACCACCAGTACGCTGATTGGATTGAAGGTGTCACGAATATCAGTCTGAATATGAAGTTTGTGTTGTGAGATGTGGGTGTCAAAGATCACTCGATGATATGGATGTCGTCCGTTCAGCCATGGCACTGTGCAAGTTGACGGTTATCACCGCATTGACCTAATATGTCGTACAACAGTGACACAGTTCTAGACCTGCACAACCAGTACTCAAAACAGCAGATAATGGTAATTGCCTACTCCTTATTTCCATGAAAAAAATATGAGTACCTGTTGTACACTTAATGTAAGCACATTCTCCATGACATCGGCTCGCACGGGCCACTCCCACCCACCGAATTATCCAAACCGGCTTCCTCCGTCCGTCACCCAATATCCCCCCATCACCCAATCAACCACCTCCCCAACTACACTTCTCCCCTTCACAAATCATCTCCGCTTGAGCATCACCGCCCGGCGCGTGCCTCTACATCCATTTCATCATCTCACCACTCATTTTAGTCATTCATTTCTCATCTCTCCACACCATACCAAGCCTCCCTTCAATAATCACCCACCGTCCCTCCCATAATTGAATCTCCCGCGCCTCCACCGCCAACACCGCAATTCTAATCAGCACAAATGGGTATCTGCGCTTCATGTCTCGGACGTAATCGTGGGGAACCTCAAAATGTAAGTCTTCCCTCCCCTCTCCCTCATTCCAACACGGCGCACTCAACCCCCTCCCTATGCGCCCGATCCCAAAACCTCAAATCTCAACTAACAACCACCCCTCCAGCCCACCCACCCCGAATCCGCCCGTCTCCTCGAAGATGACATCTACCAACCCGGCTACGGCTACGGCGCCCTAAACCAATCCGCCCAAGGCAACCACCCCGACCCCGGCTACCTGAAGCGCGAACGAGAAGCCCTCGAAGCAATCTGTCAACGGACATCAGAGTGAGCCCCGGCCCTCTCCCTTTCCCCGCGACCGACAAGAACAAGAACGGTACCTAACTATGATAATCTGACAGCTCCGTCATCGACATCTGGTCTCTGCAACCGCAACCACACCTCCAACCTCGCGCCACTCTTCCCAGCGCCGTCCCCCCATCAACAACCTCCGATCCCGACGCAGCACCCCCGTGAAAGTCACCACCACCGACTCGACCCCCGTCCGGACCAAGCGATCCGTTTCCCCGACAGGCGGCACGGTCCCGAAGCATTGGGGCGAGGTGGTGATTAATACGCGCAAGAACCGGTCGCGGCCTGGGTCGAGTACGGAGGAGAATGCCGATCGGGATGTATTTGGGGTGCTGAAGGTTACATGATCTGTATTATCTGGTATAGTTCCCAGTGATATAGCGCGATGTGGTATGGAGTGTGTGGAAAAAAGACCATGTGTGATGTGATGGTGGATGGAGGAAAGAACGACATGACGGACGGACGTTGATATAACCACCCCCTCTTTTCCTTCTCTTTGCTTTGCTTTTCATGCTTTCTGATTCTACATTTGATTTGATCTGATTTTCATTTGATCGCATTGCTGTTCTTGTTCGCTCTTCCACCCTTGCCTTCTTTTTAATACCCTTTCTTCTTTCTTTGCGCATCCTGATGGTGTCGCTGGCGACAAGCTTTAACCATCGGGGTGATGCTTGCTATTTACTATTCTTTTATACCCTGGTTCTGTGCGCAGGCCGATACACTTCGATTCTACTTTCTATTCTTCTTTTTCTGAGTCGGCTTTTGTGTGTTCTTGCCCTTTTCCTTTGTTAGTGCAGACTTATCTGGATACTACTGCTCCGTTTCTTGCGCTGTTGCTCTAGGCTTCAGTTGTGTTGGGTAGACCGCACGTGAGATAGCTCTGTCGGTGCTTTGTTAGGTACAGTACTGAAAAAGTTGAATATGATTACAAATTACAGTGTATGGACTGCATAAATGTAGACAATATTCTTGCTACCGCGCTATGCTATGTGCTAGTAAGGGTAGTATCATATAATAATACGCTCCATTGGAGATATACAGTCTGAATGCTAGGACATTTGCAAGAAGTGTAGTACAAACCGGGAACAATTCAGACAGCACACGGTTTACCTGCACTTCATGCTAGGCGATCGAGCATTAGCAGTGCCTGTCCTGACTCCATCTTCGCGACCCTAGTGGTCGACTGCCCCGTGAACAACAGAACTCCGCCATAAACGCCCTTCCGCCTGACACCCGAGAAAAGTAGTGAACGTAAGACCCGAACGAAAGATAATGATGATGATGCCGATGCAATATATTGGGGTTGGATGTCCAAACCAGGTCTAAGACAGACGAGCTAAACATCGTCCATTGTGCCGGCTGGCTCTTCGCCGCCGGATTCGTAACTACCTGCCGAGCTCAGTTCGTCTTCTGACTCGGTGTCTTCTCCGGCCTCGTCGACAGCTTCTTTGCTGGCATACTTGGCCACGTATTCTACTCCCAGTAAGCTTCGAACTGGAAACTTGCGTTGTACATGGTACATACCCTTCACCTTTGCCTCGTAGCTTTTCGGCTCCCTCATGAGCATAGCCGCTGCCTCGCCGTTCAGAGGGTCCGAAGGGTTCGGGTAGCGCAGGAGTTGAGGAAGGAAGACTTCGAAGATGTTGATCATATCGTACATCGGTGACCAAGTTTGATTTATGACATCCAAACATACAGAGCCCGACCTGACACAAGAAGTTAGCGATCGGACTATTATTCCACCGATTTCGTCTTACAGCTCATCGATGTTCGGGTGAAAGATCCGGTTGACAAAGCCAATACTAGGGCTCTTGTATGGATACTGGTCGGGTAGTTCAACGTGAATCTTCCAGTGGCCACCGGCGAAGGGTGCTGTCTTGGTCAGCAAGACGGTTCCAAAAGTCCAAGATCGTAAGACTCACTCTCTTCCGGACCCTTAAAGCGCACGTAGAATTCTTGCCTATCGACAGGGGTGATTAATATCCATCTTATAATTAACACCTATATTGGGGAGAAACGTGTGGACATACACTACATTTGTCAGTCAGCGTCTGGGAAGTGTGGCAAACGGCCGGGTGTACTCACTGTTATCGTTGACCAGAGTCACCTCGTAGTCACTCATCAACCTATGAGAACGTATCAACACGAATCCTTTTAGTCCCCCTCAGAGGTATTCTTTATTTCACAACCGCGTGCCCGTTCCACAAGAGTCGAGAAAGTATTGGTGGGCCAAGTGCGGGGAGGGGTGCGTACATCCTGCCAACGGTCAGCCAGCGATCAGGTATGGGCGCATTAGATGTTCGATTCGTACTTCATGACCTTCAATGAAGAAGACCCCAAATGTTAGCCCTTGCGCCACTTCCCTCGCCGCAGAAAATGAGGGGGCGGGAGGGGGTACTCACATCTGTCTCGATTCTCCGCTTAGGGCTACTCATTTTGAAAGCTCTCCGGATAAAGTCGGTATAGGTGGGAAGATAAGTCCTCGAGTCCGTGAACACCGAGATATAAAGATCAGGGGCGAATTGCGCGAGTGAGTTGAACTGCAACTATCCCCAAGACTGAAGCGGGGAAGCAATGAGCGGGGTGATTCTGGGTAGCAATAGGGCAGATCGAAGAAAGCGGTAAAAGTACGGCCGGGCCGTATCGCAGCAAGGGAGGGATGGGAGGAAGAAAGAGGGAAGATTTGGAAAACCTGGTGCAAGAGAGAAGGGAATACTGCACAGAAGGAGGTGGGCGGGAGGAGTCGAAGAAGGGGAGGAGGGAACTTAAAGAACGGGTGGTACGTAGTATGACTGATAGCGGGACGGGGATGAGGTGACGGCCACCGACGAAGCCTGCGAAATCCGGGTCAGGCCCGGTAACTCCCTCGCCGGCGCCCACTCACTCACCTACCGGCGGGTCGATTTTCAATATTTGATTATCAGACTAGAATTCTCTGCGGTTCTGGATACTCCGTACGTATACCATTCGAGTCTCCGTTCTCAATAGTGCTCCTGCGGAGGCCGTGACAGGGCTACACGATGCCCAAAATTCGATCTAGGCGCCGGGAAGGGATGATCGTCACCAATGGGGGCCCCTAGTGGAATGCCGGGGAACAATACTTATCGCCCAATAGCTAGCAGACTATCTAATTAGTGGACGGCGTTGCTTCACTTCTCTGGATTCTCTGGTCCATGTCAATCCTCTTGTCCCCTGGTTCATACATTGTATTACTGTATGGAACGAAAGGATCCGGGATCCGTGCCGCAGCCTGATAAGACACCAGAGGGTTCGAGCATAGATACGGAGTACTAGAAGCGTCGATGATATGCATGCATCATCACTACCTCATGGTCCTACTTTGAGAGGGCCGAAGTAGAAGTGCTGTGGGTCTATTTAGGTTGACACACTCAGCATATGTAACTGTGCCCAAAAAGACTCCGGTCCACTTGACAGGGCAGGTCCCTGAAGACACCGCTGCTAGCTACTCTGTACCTACGGAGAGTACGGAGTACCTGGCTGGTTAGTTTGTTAGGAACGTGCCTGAGAGGAGAAGTACATGGGCATTCAGTCCATGAAGACACAGAACCTGTTATTAAGCCCACTTCTATGAGCAGGTGGCGTCTTTGACTTTGCAGCAAAGTGTCCTATTGAAACTTACCCCATGTCCTCATAATCGGAAACTGATGATGGATGCAGTGGAAGAGGGTGGTGCCGGCCATTACGATTAGTCCACCCCCTGCCTCAGGTGTCCACCTCCGCCTGACAATGCAATCAATGCGAACATCAACAATTGTCCATCCATCAACATCTACATCAACCTCAACCTCGACCCCCTGCTCCACCTCCAACTGATTTCTCCTTGATTGACCATATTAGTTACTCTCCTCTCAAAATCCTCGCTTTACCTTTGTCACTTAAAACCAAGCAACGGTGAAATTATTTCAAGCTTAATGGAACCCTCATCCTCCCAAGGCCCCTCGGCCCAAAACTCTCCCAAACCCGACCAGACCAGCCTTACCCACCGACCAGCCAATCGTAAACAATCATCCGACTCTGCCTCGAATACCCAAAATGCACCTATACCAGACGACAAGCAAGGCGCGGACTTGCCAATGACCATGTCTGCTTCTGTGGTGCTAACCAGTCTACCCCGCGATGCCCATCAAGCATTGGCGGATGCTGAAGCCGTGGATACGGGGAAAGGCAAGTGTAACTCTGGGGTCATCATGTTACCATCGAGTTCATACGTTGCTCTCGAACTTTCTCGGTTTTATCTCGTTCTGGGCCAGGTTGATGGGCGCTCTTCGTGCTCTAGACTGGTCTCTCACCACTAGAGCTCGCGCCTACTAACGTCATGTGACTTATCTCGTCGGGCAAATACTAACGTTGTAGCAGTCACGGTTCGCTTCCAACCTCTTCCTTCAGCGCCCATTCTCAAAAATCGGGTATTCAAGATCAGTGCCTCGCAAAAGTTCGAAACAGTTGTGAAGTTTCTCAGAAAGAAGCTAGACTGTAAAGAATCCGACTCAGTCTTCTGTTATGTTAACAGCGTATTTGCACCAGGGCTGGACGAAGGTGTTGGTGGATTGTGGAGAGTAAGCCGACTTCTCAAGTCAGACTATGCTCTGCTGACAATTTCAAGTGTTTCAAGACTGATGAGCAGCTTATCGTTGCATACTCCATGACGCCTGCTTTCGGGTAATGATAATTAATGATCCTTGTGCGTTGACGCAACAACTGTCTTGACTATTTACAGCTAGCTAATCTTGCTAGATGATATAAACAGAAATTGGGCTAACTGGAAACAAGAATTTGGGAATGCAACTGTGCGCAGAGAACTGGCACGTTTATCACTGTATGAGAATCACGAACATGGACATGAATATCAAGGTATCACTGAAACAACTTATAATGCTTTGAAAGTGTGGATCACTCAGCACTTGCAGCAGGAGAAACTGAAACGCGGAGTGGAGAAAAATGGGCCTTATTTTTCGTGAACATGCTCCACAGCCTTTTCGAACTCAGCCAACTCTTCCTTCGCAATGGGGTAGGTGTACTCTTGGGAGGGATATGCGCGGCTCTTCACTTCATCACGATACTGTTGGATGCCCTTGACGGCCTCTCCCCAGACGTCGGCATACTTCTTGACAAACTTGGGGAGAAATCGGCCCGGAGGAAAGTTTCCGGTCATATCGATCTGGACCAGGACTTGCCCAGAACAGCCGTTGCCAGCGCCAATACCAATAGTGGGGATACGCAATTTTTTGGTGATGAGGGCGGCGATCTCGGCGGGCACTGCCTCGAGCACAATGAGGGATGCTCCAGCTTCCTGTACGGCCAGAGCATCTTTCAACACCTTCAATGCGCTGGCAGTCGTTTTGCCCTGGACCCTGAATCCTCCGAGGGCGTTCTGGCGTTGAGGTGTAAGCCCGATGTGACCGACAACGGGAATGCCAGCCTGAGTGATACGCTTAATCGTCGGTGCCATTTCGGCGCCACCCTCGAGCTTAACAGCCTGGACACGGCCTTCCTTCACAATGCGAATGGCTGACTGAACAGCCTGTTCGGGGGAAACTTCATAGGAGCCCATGGGAAGATCTCCGACCTACGTCCCGAACCGATTGTTAGTTCCGGGTTTCTTGCCGCAACAGGGATATTATACGGACCGTGAATGCGCTCTTGACAGCACGTGCAACACTCCGACAATGCAGCAACATCTCCTCCATGAGAATCTCACTTGTATCCTCCATCCCGAGCGCGACCATGGCCAAGCTATCTCCGACTAGAACCACATCCATTCCCGCTAGCTCAGCAACATGCCCACTTGGGAAGTCATGGGCGGTAAGCATAGTAATCGGTTCGCCCTTCTTGTAAAGGCTCCGTAACGTCTGCATGGTGACCTTCTTGCGGGGATTGGCCGGGTCCACCCCCAGCGGGGAATGAGAGCTATACCGTTTCTGAGGCTCACATCCGGACCGAGTGGCGATGGCAGGTCGGCCAGCCAGAACCGAAAAGACGGATGCGGAAGCAGTCCGACAGCGGACGGACGACCTCGCCAGAGGCATCAGCCATTGAGTCGATGATCTCGAAGCCATGATTATACCGAAAAATCTGAGTATGTACAAGAGACGGACCAAGACTTAAGTCCAGAGGGTGAAACAGACAGCGACGACGTCTGTCGCCCCTAAGGAGGCAAATATAAGAAGGCAAGCACAAAGAACCGAATGCGGCAAGCAAACAGGCACACCAAAGCACCTATCGGCGTGGCTTGTGTCGGGCGAGGTACTCGCAGTAGTAGTCGTGAGCGGCAAACACCCAATGTCGTCACTACCCGGAAGCAAAAAAAAAAAAAAAGATCCCTGACCAAAGTATCAAAGATCAGATCCCCCACACGAGAAAGACCAAGTTGAAACAAAACAAAGAAAGATTATCGAAGCTCCTCGATCAAAATAGCAATTCCTTGTTCGTTCTATCGGCGCCCCGTCCCCACCAAAGCAAGCAGCAGCGCCCGTCTTATATAAAACCAACCTGGTATAGACTATGCCGCGTAGCCCGGATCATCCAGAACCTACCTTAGTTTTCCCCAACATTTCCATTATTCACCCGGTTTTTTTTTTTTTTTTCAACTGGATTTGGCTGTGCGGCTACCTTGCCACGCCCGCTCATTGGTCAGATGAATACGTGCAGGATATGGCGCGCTGGCCTGTCATTGGCTTACTCTTTTTTTTTCTCCGGACCGAGGGAAGGAGGGGCTTGTGCCAGGTGGATGGATGTGGACCGAGGCTGAGTGAGCATGCAAGTCACTCACTCTTTTCATCCACTATCTACCTATTTAGGTAGCACTTACCTACTATGGTAACAGTAGTTAGTACCTACCTAGGTAGTTTGCGGGCTAGCTATCCATGTGGATTATGGCTATCTAGATCAGCTGAGATCTAATATCAAGTCAGAGAGGGGTATGATACGGTTATTAAGGTAATGGTATGATGTACTGTGTAGCTAGTGTTCCATTTCTATGGATGTGGCTATAGTTATAGAGCAAAATACTGCTGGTACTAAGAGACTAGAGAGACGGCAAACAGGCTGAGGAGGGGGCCAGTATACCAATGAATCACTAGCGATAGTCACGGGACAAGAGACAGGAAGGAAACGAAAAGAAGAAAGAATAACCACCAAGCTCGAAAGCAAAATTCAACAGTCAACACCGGTCCAGGCATGTACCGCCATGCCTTTGTATGCAACCCCGTAAAACACATCCGCCCATGAGGTACTCGTGAGAATCGAACAGAACAGATAAAATGCAAAGAAAAGGAAAAGAAAACAGAAATCAAAAGACAAGAGAAGAGAAGAGAAGAACATGTGACCTGGTAAACCACACACACTCAAATGCCAAACAATGCCAATGCAATTCCTGAGACCATCAAGCTGGTCTCCCAATACGCTGTGTGCATGCATGTACTGGATGCTGGTGAGTTCCGTGGCGCCTCATTCCATCCTGATCCCCTTCTTCGCTTTCCCTTCGTCTTTCTTTTCGCTATTGATGGGGGTTTCCAAGATCTTCAAAAATCGTCACTGGCGAGGCCGTTAGATGCTTTTCAATCATCAGGTCAGCACTAAGCAGGGATAAGGCATGCAAAATCCAAGGACGCCGGTTGTGCAGCAATTACAAGAGGAACGAAGTGTAAGTGGAAACGGCGGTAAGGCATAGAGAAATGGAGCAGAAGAAAGGATGGAGAGATAGAATATGAAGGACTAGACGCAAGCCCAGTCGATGGTAATATGCCGCTCCGGAGAGCGAATGAGAGGCGTATTGGTGCCACTGCTATAAAATGATTTTCAAAGATAATTCCCGCTGAGCGTCCAGCAAAAGCCTCCGCAAGTAGCGCTGTCAACATGGACAACTCGTACATATACAGCTCTTTCTCTCTTTCTTTGTTCTTCTCACGTGTGATCAGATTATAATCCCAAGGCTTCATCTTTCACGGGCCTCGCCAACTGAACTAGTAAAGAGTCCAGTTCGGCCCAGTTCGCCCGGTTCGTTGCAAATCGGCGATGCTTCCGGGTCACGATGTGCTGTTGATAATTAGCCTCTTAATTCTCGAATCTTGAATGCTCAGAATTACCTCTTCAAAGTCATCGAACTTGTCCCTGCAGTTCTCACAGTAGCCTGGCTTAGGGTCTCTCCTTCTCTCTTTCTTTTTCGGGATTATGATGGTCTTTTGATCACTTGCACGCCGCTTCAGGCCTCCGTTGCCCTCCCATTTTATCGTTATGTCTTCGGGAACGTTTATAACCTTTTCCGGAGGCCGCATTTTGCCGAGACGGTTTTCCTGGGCCTTCATCCTTAACGAGGCAGCTCCGTCTACAGCGTGTTGTGGTTGAGGTATCGTGCCAGCGGCAAGCCCGCCGTTTCCCTTCTCAAGCACCTTTCTCTTCAATTCATGGACTTCCTTGCTCACACCAGCCTTGGCACCAGGTGCAGCAGCAGTTGAAGAAACCATCTGGGAACGTATGGCGGATGTGATATTGGAAGGCTGTACGCCTGATGCAGCAGGTTCACGGCCATGGAAAAATGGCCCTTTCCGATGGAGTGGGGGGGGCACGAAGCTCTCTGAGCTTTTCCTGGGCGAGAGTTGTTTCGTCGACTGCGAGTCCTGTATTTCAATTGGCTTTTCAAGGGGCACCTCTTCGGGCTGGTCCAATTCAGGAGTCTTGTCCTCGGAATCGTATTTGATGATCCTCCTATCAGGTTCTGGTGCATTAAGCTTAGCATCTGGGACTTCCTGCACAGGAGCAGGCTTGGAAAGAGCCTTTCTTTCCCTTTCTCGTTGACGGGCACGCCGCTGATCAAGTTCCTTTTTAGTAGGTGGCTCCTCAATGAATGGACATTTTCCTAGTCGTGCACTTCGGAACTGCGGCCATATGCCATCCTGCCGTTTTGTGACTCTGGGGTATTCTCGCACCATGACGGGCCGCGTTTTCTCGTCCATGTCGTGGACATATATGAAAGGTCCCTTAAACATCACCAGCTCCTTCAGCACAGAAAGGGGGTTGCGATCAGACGGGCCATTTAAAAGCTCGTTCTGAAGGACTTGTGAAAGATCGTTTTCGCCCCGAGCCCTTGTAAGACCACCGGCGACATTGCTGTTTCGAGTAGTGTGGCTGTCATGACCCCCGACATCACTATCATTTATGGCTGCGATCATCCGCTGTAGCTTTTCTATGGCCCAGATCTTCATGCTCATTTGGCGAGCTCTGTGCAGAACATCCATGCCCTTTTGTTCCCGTCGTGCATCGTTTTTTAAGGACATATGAAGGTGTGTATCGGCGCTCTTTTCGAGCAAGGAAGGATTGACGGTCTGCAGCGTACCGTCCACAGGTGCTTGGTCTGCCGCCTCTCCGTTATATTGCGGTGCGTTCGAGGCATCATTCTCTGGAGGGATGGGACGAGAGGTAACGACGTGGGTCACTAGACGCGAGAAGAATTTTTCTTCACGCTGTGCAGGTTGGGGTCAGCAATGATATTTAGTCACGATAATATCTTTCAGAGTATCGTTGACACTCAGCACGCCGCTCCATGAGGAAAGCATAGTACTCTCCAGATTCCGAAGCAGATGGGAAACTTACCGCTCCCAACGCAAGCACCTGTCTGGAACATTTACTGCGAACATCTTCCGGGATACTATCAAAGTAGAAAACAAACTGCGGAAAGGCTTTGCGGTAATGCCTCTGCCACTGCCTTATGGAATCGAGGGTCTCCGCAGAAGGCCTCTCGTGCCTCGTGCCTTTCATTTGTGCCTGTCGTTCCTTATCTCTCGCAGCTACCAATTTCCTCTCGAATGCACTCGGCTGAGCATTATTTGTCCGCCGCAGGAACAGTTTCGAGTCGGTGTTCTGGTAAACGGACGCCCTGGTCCGGGTTGGGGATCGAGCGTCCGCTTCCTGCCCGTCCACTACCTGCTTCTTCGGAGGGGGCTGGCCGTAAGGGATGTCAATCTGAGTGCTCGTTGGACGTAGACGTTTGGCAGGCACGAGGCCTGATCTGTGAGGGGAATTGGTAGCATTCGGCACGTTGGCGAGTGGTCGGCGAGTCGACATATTAAGTGTAGACCGAGGCGAAGGTGGTACGAATACAGCTGCCATGTGGTAACAATATACAAGGCACTATATGAGACGAGGTTGCGGTGAGTTGGACACCGGCAAACGAGGGGCACTGGAGGCGAGCACGCGATGCGTTACACGTCTCGATGGGCAGTTTACTCGGTTAGAAAAAGGCCATTGTCGACGCGATAGGAGAGCAAATAAGGAGCGGCGGTGAGCGTGCGGAAGTAGACTGGAAAGCCGTGCCCTGTGAGAAGGGGAAGCAGTGCAGCCAAACCCGCGAGAGCCTGGGGAGTGGGAGGGGTGGTAGGTGGGAACGGGAGGTCAAGGGGAGGAGAAGCAGACTGGCTGGTGGTGATGATGGAAAGAAGAGCAAAGCAGACTAAGCGTGTCAGGGAAGGTCGGTGGAGCCCGGGCGGGTTTGTTTTGGCTCCGGGATGTGCGCCGGACAACCACCGCCCGGCGCGAAGCATGAACCCATACCCATACCATTCAGCCATTCATGGTTCATTCTTTCTTTTCTCCCTCAGGCGCGCTTGCGACTGATTAGGACATGTATGGAGTACTCGCTGCAGATATCCCTTCCCGGGATAAGTGAGGGATTGCATTACTATTGAAGCCCTAGGTTGTCTTGCTAGATCCTTACGGAGATACATACAACACAACCCCACTCACGCGTCCATGTGTTTTGGATACGGGTAATACTGGTGACGTCTACACCACACGAACCACCCCAAACCGGATTGTTATCTGTTTACTTCTTACTCAACCGGGCCTTTATTTGTCTGCTCACTAGCTTCCAGTATCTGGTTCACTATTTTACATTCATATGCAAGGGTATCTATCTGTACACGACTCCTGTCCTCAGCCCCTAATCACGGAGAGCCTCGATATCATCGACCTAGGTTACCAGTCAGCATCTAGGCAATTGTTCTTCACTAAAACACGTAATGGCGACACTTTCGTCGACTCTATGCTTCAAGGGGAAAGCCTTACCTCTTTGACGGCCTCCATGGTCAGTACAATGGGACTGTCATCACCGACACAGACGCTGTCCTCAATGCGGATTCCGATACCCCGGAATTTCTCCGGCCAGCGGTCGTTATCTGGGACGTAGATACCACTGTGACCATCGTTAGCACGAACAACATGTCATGGGGGCTTTGAGACATACGGCTCCACGGTGATGCACTGGCCTGCTTTAAGGTTGTAGCCGCGGGAATACCCAGAACAATCATGGACATCAAGGCCCACATAATGACCCAGGTGGTGAGGGAAAAGAACGCCCATGGCCTACGGATGGTTAGTGCCTGAATTCACCTGATGAAAGATCAAGACCTACATCTCCAGAGACATCAAACCCAAGCTGTATCAATTGGTCTCGTAGGCCATTCTCGGCAATGGTATGTAGCCGGTCTAGGGTGAGACCGGCATCTTCCCTGCAGAGAGAGATGCAGTTGCGATGCACGTTCAGTACCGCGTTGTACAGATCACGCTGAGGATCGGAGAATTTGCCGTTAACCGGCCAGGTTCTGGTGATGTCGGAAATGTAAGTGCCCGCCTCCTATGAATCGATTAGCCTTTGGCACTCGCTTGCTGGGCGGGGGATACGCACGCCACCTCCATCGACTAGAACCATGTCCCCACCCCTATAGCCCTGTGTAAGTATGACAATTGCTATGATTTGAGGAGTACATACCTCAAGACGTCATCGTTTCTGGTGTAGTGAATACTCAGAGCGTTCTACATCCATTAACCTCTGTGTTCAGCTCACATTGGAAAGAATGCTTACGGATCCACCCGCGACAACTGGAACGAATGCGCTGCCATCACAGCCATTGCGCTTGAAGTTGTACTCCAAGAAAGCAGCCAGATCTTTTTCTTTGGTGAATGTCTGCCTCATGGACTCGGTGAACGCTCGCCCGGAAGCCTGTCCAACACGACGCAATTGCACAACTTCATCCTCGCTCTTGAAGGCTCTCATCTCGTTGAGTATGGAGCGCAATGACTTAACTTTCCGGTAGTCGACCATTTTCTTGAGCTTGTCGGATGCCCCCGTCGGACCGTACAGGTACCGGTGCAGTGATGACCTTCCAGGATTGAAGGCCGGAATATCCGTATAGATTTCGGTGGCATCCGCAAGGATCTTAGGGAGGAGATCTCCGATGCGTTCAATGTCACCCGACTACGGCCCAAAATGTCAACAGCGTTCAGTGTAAATATTCGAGCAGCGTCTTACTTCGTCCGCATTGAAAACGTCAATTGCCGCACGAGTACCTGACCGAGCTCCATCCCAGAGTTCAGCCTTCGCATCCTTCTCCCGGACGTAGAGGTGAAAAAGGTGGTTATTCCCGGACCCATCGTTCGCTGTTTGAAATGAGTGCCAAATCCAATAGTCCGTTCCGTGTCACAAGCTTACCAATGATGGCTAACGCATTTGGTTCGTTGAAACCTATTCAAACAGAGCTGTTAGTGGCGCCACCTTCCAATAAACCGCAATGACCACTCACCAGTCAGGTAAAAGAAATTTGAGTCCTGTCGGTACTCATTGAATATCCCTGAAGCACGGTATGTAACCTCCGCTGCAGCTAGCACGGCGACAGCATGTTTGGGTAATCTGTTGGCGAGTCGTGACCGGCGCTGGGCATACTCGAGAGCCGTTATCCCAGGTGTGACTTGTGTTACGTTAATACTGTATCCAATATGCTGTATTAAGTGTCCGTGGACCTCGAGTTCATGTACGCACGTTCTCCCGGGTTCAGTATATGGGGATGTGTCTCGTGTAGCGGTTGGCCGAATTTGAGCTCCGCGGCGGAGATGGAAGAAGCGTAAGTACGGCGAAGGGCAGGATGTTGGAGCACCGGCCGGCTAAGATGCAGGATAGAGGTGAATGGCGCCTGGCGACGGAGGTAACGAGGCCATTGGCGAATGGCTGCTTTGCATATCGACATCCTTATTGAAGCACCATTAAAGGTGTTGGCCAAGCTCTGTCGGAAACAGGACTGACTGATTATCGGGGCCGCGTTTGGTTCGGATAGTCGGCGGTGATCGCGAGACCTCCGGAGACCCTTGGTTCAGGCCGCCGCCCTCGGTGCCTCAGGTTCTCAGCTTCGGTCGGCGGGATCGACCAATCAGCGTTGAGGGGTTTGCGATGGCCTCGCATGCACTTGCCGGGTTAGGCCGCGACTTGCGACATTCTCCCACATGCTTCTTATCTCGGTCCTCCAGGGCGTACCAGAGCTATGTGATGCTTGGAGAGAGATCGCGCCATTGGACTATGATCCCATGGCCCTAGTGTCCCCTCTCGATGGACATCCGCGTTGATTCTGGCTCATGAGTCATCCCAGTAATATATAAGAGCAAGCCAGTACTATATACATTGTCTCATCTCTAGTTTAACTGATTTACTACGACTCCTTCCGAACAGTCGACTACCAGCATTTAAATACATAGTCTTGCAATCACTCAGCTTACAGCGCATCAGAGACGATGGGGAGGACTCTAACATACCCGAAGCGGCCGTCAAACACTGTCAACCGCTACAAGCACCGAGGTATTCTTCAGAGTGCTTGATTGTAACGTTTCGGAAGCCTCTACTGATATCTGTCATAGCAACCTATGATCTAGGTGCCATCCATGGCATCATCAACTCCACTCAGGTTCTTCATGTATCATTCAGTCCCGATCCATCGGAGCCATTCCCTGCAATCTTGCCCATGATCGGACAGATGGGCTCATTCGATTACCCTTCAGCTAGCATTGACGAGCCTCTCGACTGCTATCTTCATGGCTATGTCAGCTCTCGAATCATGAATTTGGCTCGGGATGCTGAAGGAAAAGGGTTACCTGTTTGCGTGGCTGCTAGCAAGGTCGACGGTTTGATCTTGTCTTTGACACCGAACTCCCATAGCTATAACTACCGCTCAGCCATTCTCCAGGGATATGCTAAGTTAGTCACGGATGAAGCCGAGAAGCTCTATGCGATGGAGCTTATAACCAATTCGGTGCTTTCGGACCGTTGGGCACATACGCGCGTCCCACCAGACCGTGCAGAGATGTCTTCGACCGTCATCCTCAGGGTCAAAATCATGAGTGGCAGTGGCAAAATTCGAGATGGTGGCGTCTCGGATGAGAAGAAAGACACAGGTGATGAGGAGGTTACCAATCGTGTTTGGACGGGGGTTGTCCCCGTTTGGGAGACGTTTGGCGAGCCTATTCCTAGCCCCGGGAACAAGGTGTCCGAAGTACCAAGCTATGTGAATTCATTTGTTGCCGCAAAGAACGATGGAAATCGCGCTTATGCGGAGAAGGCCGTTGGGATCAAGCTTCCACTAGAGGAACAACATTGAGCCTGATAGGCGAGATTCACGCTGTCACGTTTCTTTTACTTTCATTATTTTTGAGCGTATGAGACTGAGTTTGCTGCTTTGAAGCATGAATTAACGATGCTGTCGTGACTATAACGCGTTAAAAGAATATACGTTACAAGGATAGTAAAAATTACCCGACTCTGCGGGGTATTAGAGCAGCTGCGCGTGGCCTTGCCGCAGTGTCACTGCAGCCTTTAGTCCACATCTGCTAAGAATGATAGATGCGCTTGTATTTCCGAGCTGCTGAATAGCCAAACACATCCCAAATATCCTCACATCCAATCTGAACAGATCTCTGTTTAGACTCTCTAATGACACTATTCGACGTGATTGCTATCATAGATGGTTTGGATGCGACCCCACGTCATCGCTACGATTAGCGTGAAGTCGACTCAGCGGAACGCCCTCTTAGCTACAACTTCTCCAAATGACTGACTCGACACTAGATTTCTCCCTCGCAGGGAAAGATCATCCGTTAACCTACCTATATACACTAGGTTAACGCTGTGATACACAAAAGTGGTTCTTACTCCAGGTGTATGGTCTAGAACATTTCCGTGATTTCCTCAGCGCTCCAACATGGCTCCCTCTGCCATCCCCGCAGCAGACCTAAAGTCGTTTGGTGTCTACTTAAAAGGGTGCAGGCGGATTATTGCCCTATTGGGAGCCGGTATCTCCGCCTCTTCGGGGCTTCCCACCTTTCGAGGAGCTGGAGGTCTATGGCGATCCTACGACGCGACTGAGCTGGCGACGCCCGAGGCGTTCGATGCCAACCCCGATCTGGTATGGCAGTTCTATAGTTATCGGAGACATATGGCTCTTGAGGCCCAACCCAACCGGGCACACTATGCCCTGGCTGAGCTTGCCCGGAGGAACAAAGACTTCATTACGCTGACTCAGAATGTGGATGGTATGTTATTCCTGGGATTTTGCTCGAGGTGATATCGTACTAATCAAACCACCTTACACTACAAAGGCCTTTCGCAACGGGCAAAACATCCACCACAGCAGCTTCATCTTCTCCATGGCTCCCTCTTCACAGTAAAATGCACATCCTTTTATTGCAGTTATTCGCGTGAAGACTTTGCCGACCCAATTGTCCCCGCGCTCGCACTGCCAAAGAATGCACCTAAGCTGAACCCATCCACCCAAGACATATCAGGCGAAGAAGCTTCTCGATCGCTATCCAATGCGTTGGGGGGAGATGAGGATATGGAGGCCGATATATCGGACGAACGCATTCCTCTATCGGCACTAAGCACGGATGTGCTTCCGCATTGCCCAGAATGCAAAGATGGACTTTTACGTCCCGGGGTGGTGTGGTTCGGAGAGAGCTTACCATTACACACAATTGACAGGGTGGACCAATGGATGAACAAAGGTAACGTGGACCTGATATTGGTGATTGGTACGAGTTCGAGGGTATACCCTGCAGCAGGATACGTGGATAAGGCCCGGGAAAGAGGGGCCAGGGTTGCGGTGGTCAATATGGACCGTAACGATGTCGGTTCTTCCGGGTTGATGCCCGGAGATTGGTTCTTCGAGGGCGACGCGAGTGCAGTTGTCCCAAAGATCCTGAAGGAAGTGATAGGAGAGGTGTGAGCTGTAAACTAGTTTGTGCGACTCTACAAACAATGGCATGCAGCTTCAAGGCACCTACTAGTTGGTCTAGGCAACCGTCGACGCCCGTCCTCTTCAAGCTAAGCGCCCTGTGAAGCAGGGAATTGGATTGTCTTCAGCCATGACCCTAGCCTAGCTGGAAATTCAATTTTATTTACGGAGAAATCCGTATCAGTGTTGGTATAGTCCACCGTATGATGTGAACTGATGACCGTAATGCTTGGCTCGCCTTTGGCGATCAGCCGGAGGTTCCTCCTTCTGGCTCCCTTCCCCCCCCTTTGCCGGCATGCATCACCTATCGCTCGGAACAGATCACATATCCTGGAGCATCCATAATTCTGATTATACTAATTTCACGATAGCTTCTCTACAATATGCGACTGGAAAACCTCGGCCTGTTGCGAGGTCGGCTTCTACGTTTTCATGGGGTCGTGACTCGGTCAATACCAATGAGAGGTATGGCGAAATCAACACACCGATCGATGGATTATCCCAGCAATGACCTGTTCATGTATACGTCTGGAAGATGGCTGTACGTACTTCTCCTCTGTCAGGTACTTTTCGAAAGCTGATAGATTCAGTTACAATGAGCAAATTCGCTTGTCGGAACGCTATCTCAAATTCGACGTATCCGCGTTAAAGAATGTTGCTGCCCTTGCTTCTGGCTGTGACCCATCGGAAGTCACCACCTTCTCCAAGTTATCAGAAGGCGGATTCAACCGCATTTTCCAAATCACTTTCCAAAATGGCAGGTGTGTTATCGCAAGATTGCCATATCCTTTAACGGTACCCAAGTACTACGCTGTGGCCAGCGAGGTAGCAACTTTGGACTATCTCCGGCTGCATGGGATTCGTACACCCAGGGTATACGCTTGGTGCTCGACAGAATCGAATCCAGTTGGAGCCGAGTATATAATCATGGAGAAGCTGGATGGGACCCCTCTCGGTGAGATATGGTATTCGATGACACAAAATGAGCGGCGAAGCATCATGAAACAAATTATCGAGTGGGAGACACGACTGACGTCGCTAAAGTTTCCTGCTTATGGAAGTTTATACTACCGCAAAGATCTTCCTTCAGAGGAAAATGTCCCTCTGCCGAAGGTGAATGAGCAAGATGCTGGGTTCTACATGGGACCTATAACGCATTACAAGTGGTGGCTTGGTGAAAGGAGCACCCTGAAAATCGATCGAGGGCCGTGTATGTAGACATGATTTTCATGATATCTCTAAGGAAAGCGATCATCAGCGGCATTGAATAACTATCAACAGGGCTGTCTTCTACGGATATCTTTTGGGCTGTAGGTGAGCGTGGAGTTGTCTTGGACATGATCTCACGCGAAACCTCGTCTGCCCTATGAGCGCCTTTATAGAGAGATCTATAACTATCGCAAAGTTTCCCCAGATACTCATATTGGGAATCTTTCTGATTACGTAAAATTTGCGCCTTTCCTCGGATTTAAGGCTGGAACAACAATGCATCGGCCGGTTATACGGCACCCGGTTTTCCAGCCAAATAACATTCTCGTGTCAAATTCACATGAGATTGTTGGTTTGATTGATTGGCAGCATTGCTCTATTCTCCCTCTCGGTCTTGCAGCTGGCATACCGAAGCACTTCCAGAACTACGGTGACCCTGACTCGGAAGAACTAAAAGAGCCCCAGCTCTCGCCTAACTTTGACTCCCTGCTTCAGTCTGAACAAGCATCTATGCGCGAGATTTATCGAAAAAGAATGATTCATTTTCTCTACGCCACGTTTACCAGGCAACTGAATGAAGAACACTATAATGCAATATTTGATTGCTTGAACATTATACGTCAACGAATTTTGGAGAGTGCAGGCACTTCCTGGGAAGGAGATTCGACCACTCTGCGGATTGATATTATGTGTGTCATACAAAGCTGGCCAGGATTTTTCTCCGATTTTGTAGCCTGCTTACCTCCAGTGCAATACTCAGACAAGGACGTCCGAGATACTCTTGAATTATACACGGAGCAACACGATGCAGATGAAGCAATGGAGCACATGCGACGTGCTTTAAATGCGGATGTGCTAGGTTGGGTTCCGAACAGTGAATATGATGCTGCAAGACAATTGGCGCAAGAGATGAAAGACAAAATTCTTGAAATGGTTGAGACTGATCATGATATCATTGCAGCCCGTGACAACTTCCCATTTGATGACTTCGATGAGGATGCCTGAAATTGACTTGTACAATAGCCGTGATATTTCAACGCATAATACGTGTGACACTTATCAACTGGGCTTGGTAAGCTAGCGCTTTTCTCTGTTCCATACTACTAAAACCGTGATCTTCCGTCTGGGTGTATTTGAGCAACATAGCGCCTAGTAGTAAGGTCAGATAATTGGATACTCATCTAGATCCCAAGACCCACGAAGGAAAAGGCCATGTGAGAAGATAAGGATGTGATATTCCGAATATTGTCTTGGTGAATAATCTCATCATCCCTAGCTAACCCTTGATTTGCACCTACAACAGGCCTGCGTGGCCACCTGCTATATCATGATCCACGAATCATTCGCTCGTCCGATCGACAAAAGAGAAAAAAAGTCACCGATCTCTGATTAAGTGCAAGAAAACATCGCGAGGCTTGAAATGATACCTACCATCAAGAACTTATAATGGGGTGAGATCGGATAAGTTGCCTGACTCAGAGACGGGCAAATTCACTTAAATTGCCAGGTTCCACTTTTATGGTTGCGCGGGTACCTAGAACTGCAGAGGCCCATCTAAGCCTCTACCTAGCCTACCTAGGTATCTCGTGAACAACTTAAATACCGAGCACTATGTTTCTCACCTCCAGATAACCTCCTTTGACGAATCATGTCCCATATATGAGCATCACGTGACATAATATCCAGTAAACCAAACTAGTGATTACTGCCACGTTTTTCATCGTTTTCAATGTCTTTAGACTTCGGGATTTTGAAGGCCACTCTTCTCTTTGGCTATTCAAATGGCCCCGGGCCTGCCCTAGGGCCCCTAGCGCTTACGACGATGGATGCTTCGCAACGCCAGAGGGGTAAAACCTCCTCCGTAGTGCTCCCTTGCAAGTTGCAGATACCTAACCGTTCGCCTCGTCGCAGAAAAGACCGAGAGACCCGTCAGCGGCGCAGGATCTCTCACCCTCCTGAGGCCTGTCGCACGAAGTCGATTCTCTAACAGGGAAATTAGTCGCTTCAGAATATCGCCGGAGTCCGCCTGTCTGCTAAGTGCAGAACTGCAGATCCCCTGAGGCTATTAGTCCTCCTGAGAAGATTATGCGATTGCAGTGGCCTTCAGCAGCCCTTCTACTGCTGTGCTCGGCTTCTTTTTTCCGCAGCCATTGACTGCTATTTACACAACGGTACATTTTCTCCCTTGACCTTTCCTTCCCTCCTGCTCTTCATAACGTTCTGATTTTATGTGCCCCTCAATCAGGCATTGAGGCGAGTTCCTCAGAATACTATAATGCCACTCTAGATGGCGCACTGGTTGGATGCGGGACCGGAGTCACTACATGCTGTCTCGAAAGTGAATACTGCGATGTCGACCTACTATGCCATGATCGAGACACCGGCGCGGTCTCGCGACAATACTACTCCTCGCCGTCGTGGCCGACTGACAAATGCTCTGCGCTTTGCCCTCGTATGTGTTGCCGTCGCGATGGCCCGCTACATCGTGGGTTTCCTTCCGGCTGACAGTGATTCACATCCAGAGTATACGGCGGCCGGTGTGGACTTGACGGCTTGCGACGACAGCGGGACGAAATATTGTTGCGGTCCGTCGGCCGAGGCCTGCTGCAAGGCTGGGAATTATACGACAATCGACAAGGAAACCGGAGAGATCATTGCCATCGGAACGAGTACGATTGCTACGACATCGACAGCGACATCCACCTCGACCAGCTCGTCATCGATTTCGACATCCATCGCAACATCGGCCACCACCACTACTGCTGCAGGTAGCTCTGCGTCCTCAGCTGTTCAAAAGTCATCAGGCATGTCTGAAGGCACTAAACTTGGAATTGGCCTCGGAGTCGGCCTTGGGGTGCCATTATTACTGGTTGGAGCCGCAGCTATCTTTTTCTGGCGACGGTCTCAAAGAAAACCAACCGGTTCCCTTGATGAAAAGGTGTTTGGGCAGGGGGCTTCTGCCACGCAAGCTGTTCTTTTGGAGAACAGTGAACTCCGGGGTAAACTGCCAGAGAATGAAACAAGACACGAGCTGCAGTAGATGAACACGACTATACTACGATGCGTTGGAATGGCGCGAATCCTTGTATGGGGCCATTCGTTTGCAACGTTATACTACTTAATATATGTGATACCTTCCATTAGATATGGGAAAAGAGCCTTAAGACTCTAGTCAACTATGGATGTTGGTAGGTAATGCGCTCACTAGTGAATTAGAACCTGCTGGATGTCTCCCATTAATCCAACAACTGAATAAGCATCACTGGGGCTGAACAGTCTCATCCCTGAAGCATCTCAGGTCTAGAAAAGGCTATGTTTGACACAAAGAATCAGCGAGCATTGTACGAAACTGGCTTAAACAGGTAAATCATCTATCCATACTTAACTTTACACCTCTTGGCAGTCCGACCCCACATATCAATGAAGCCATATTACTCCTGCGATCGCAATCAGGCATTGGATCGGAAACAGTACGGCCCGCTCGATAAATTAACCGCCCGAGGTACCGGATGCTACAGCCACATCGCCCAGGCTACCTACACTGGCATCCGCAACCCCCACACCCCCAACCTACTACTCTGCGACACCCATGAGCCAGAATCCTAATTATCTTCAGAGGGCCTTGGTGTTATAAATATCAGACATTCAGCGATGGCAGCCACGGTCGATCTACCATACTTTGCAACCGATCTACCTTCTCCTCTTCCCACAGAGGCCGATATCGATGCAGCCGCGGATATAACATTAGCATACGGTAGTCGAAGAGTGGTCGCAATCGGATCTCATTATGTGATTAAATATGGAAGGGGCGTGGACCTCATCGAAGGAGAAAACATGTTATATGTTCGAAAGAATACAAGAATTCCAGTTCCTCGAGTTTATGCGCTTTTCTCTCACCCGGAGACTCGCAAAAAATACATCGTCATGGAGCGCATTGCTGGTCAGACACTACTATCACTATGGCCGCAGTTAAGCCTTTCAGAAAATGAGACTGTTGCGGCAACACTGAAAACGTACTTCACTGAATTACGCCAGCTATCATCGCCTGGCTATTATGGGAGCTTGGGTGAAAGATGTTTATACGATGCTATATTCTGGACGCACGGATCTAATCCGGAGATTAATGGACCTTTCACCTCACATGAGACTCTTATCGAGGCGATGGCGCTAAAGTATACTTACGATGGTCGCCCGGCCTACAGAGCAGACTTTTATCGTCAGTGTCTACCTCGTGTCCTTCACAGCGATGGTTCGATATTTACTCATGGCGACTTTCAAAGAAAAAACATCATGGTCCAGAGAAGTGTGGACAGTGCTGGGAAACCGGCAGCACTACAGGTTATTGTCATCGATTGGGAAAAGTCAGGCTGGTATCCACGCTACTGGGATTATTGTTATGCTATTTGCGTACTGCGGTATGACGACGATTGGTGTCTTTGGCTTGAGAATATGTTGGAGCCATTTGCTTGTGAATCTGCTTGGTTTCATGATATCTTTTTGGAACTGTGGTCTTGAATCGGGATACGTTTTTGCAGATGAGGTGATGGGGTTAGTAAGGAGTTAGAATCTCTTGTCTTTTTGCCCTTTATGTCTCCCTTGATGATGGTATATCTAGATCTCATAGACTGTATCTAAATGGCAGTTCGACCTGTCGTGCAGCTTAATATTCTTGGCTGCGAAGTAGAGATGAAAGCCACCGGTGTCACCTGCCCACGTTTGTGGTCCACTAGATCCAGGAGTGAATGAGATAAACCGTGGACACTGCCTCTCAAACCAACATCCATGCCCACATTTTGCGTAACGATGCACCTGTCCCCTCGTTCAGATCAAACACTTGGATACTTCCGTTCCCCAATCCCCCCTTCCTACTTCGCAAATTCATTCACACCCGATCATCCATGACATCCCTTCACCATGTCAACCTCATCGGCTCATTTCCCTCAGAACAAATCCTCGGCATCGGAAGAACCGGCCTGGTAATCCGTCAAGGGAATCTTGCCATCAAACTATGAGATGGAGCAGAAGCAGCGACGAAGAAGTGGAAGCAAACATCGCATCCATCCAGCACGAACAAGCCATTTACCGACGCCTAGGCAGATACAATGGGATTGTTCCTTGTCTTTGTTTCTCCGATACATCCACTGAACTCCGCATAATGGAAAACGGAGACCTACAGTCCTACTTATATCGAAATAAGCCGCCCAAATCCCTTCAACTTTCTTGGTTCCGGACGATGGCTCGTACTCTCGCATATATCCATGCTCAGAAAGTCATCGTGGCTGATATTGCCAGTCGCAACTTCGTTCTTGATTCTGATTTGTCAATCAAGATGTGTGATTTTACGGAGGCTATCGATATGCCGCTTGATACTTGTATGGAAAACGCCGGCTTTGGGGGTTATTCCGTACAGACGGATATTGGGCAGCTTGGGGCGGTGATGTATGAGGTGGTGGTGGGGGAGAAGTGTGAATTTGATATCTTTGAGGGTGTGCCGGTAGAGGCTAGTCGCGGTGTATGGCCACGAAGGGAGGAACTTCCTAGTACTGAGGGTTTGTGGGTTGGTTTGATTATTGAAAGGTGTTGGACGGAGGGTGCATTCTGCACTGCTTATGACTTACGGAGAGCGCTTGAAGCCGTTGAGGTGGATGATGAGCCGGTGTACACGAAGGCATAAGTGCTTTCAGCCTTTTAATCTAAAGCAATTTATGTGTGATGGTGGTTGAAGCGGGTTCAATACTTAAGGATAGTTTGAGGGTCTTCTTCTGATATTCGAGCTCCATCTTGCGAGATTTGGGAGTATTCCTATGCATTGACTCCAGACAGGATATAACCTGGCCATATGTGGTGTAGGTTCCTCACTGATTAATACTGTAGCTAATTAGTTTCTGAGTCCTCCAGTTACAGGTCTTGTTTCCCTGCGGAGAAAAGAAGCTGTGTATGATGTTACACAACATAATAAGGGAATCATCATGATGCAGAATGGAAAACAGATAGCGGAAAGATGGGCGTTCCTGAGTGGCGGAGGCGGTTGCTGGGGCAAACGGCCCAAACAAAGCGGGCGATAGCGCTATCGATAAAATGTGGCATGTCAACCAACGCTAAACATAGCCGATCTCCGTCAACACGCCCAAAGCCCCTCCCACTACTCCGGATTTTGTCCCTCTTAGCCTCCTTTGCAATACAATGTCCTGAAGTGAGTGGTCACTTACCTCCCTGCTATTGTTTTCTCCGGTGATAAGTCCCGATAGTGGGACCCTTGTTGCAACCCCGCGTGACGTGACGTGCTGACAATTTGCTTGGCCTACAAGAACCGAAAACATCCCCTACCCTTGTCTCGCCAACCTCACAATAGACTCGACATTCTTATGCAACCTCAATATTGACCCGAAATTACCCCTCCCTTGCGTGATTACAGACCCCCACTGCTTCGCAGAGCACACGAGCCGATAGACCCCGCCTTATAAAGAAAGACCACCAGGGAAGCCTTGGAATAATACAACATGGCCAAAGAGAGCGACGCCCCTGCGGATCCTTTTACGCCTCGCAAGCCGCATGACCAGCCGCGTCGTCCCATCTCCCACCATCCTGAGTTCGGCAAGCCCTCACCCATTCGCCCAGTGCACCATCAGAGTCACCACCCCAGCAATCCCTTCAATGTGCCCAGACCGAACCAATCACGTCCAGAACATCATAGACCACAACAGCGGCCGCAGAACCCTGCTCATCATGGTGCCTCCCATTACCGTCCACCTACTACGCCAGGTCCTACCGCCATATCGACTCCCAGACGAGATCAATTTGATCCATTCAAGCCTGTTAGACCCTCCGCATACAACAACAACCGCTTCTCCCGTCCAGTCAACGATGAGGTCGTGGAAATTCGGCGTCCTGAGAACTTCACGTTCAACACGCCCCGAGCTCCGAAGACATTCTTCGCATCGAAGCCCTCTGCGATCAAGATGAACAACGCGTCGAAAAACCTACAGAACTTTGTGGATTTGACTGGTGAGGGTGGATTCACACCAAGTGTGCGGTCTCGTAACACAGGGTTTGGCTCCATGGACGTGAATGGCTATGTCGACACGGCCAAGGCAAATGAAAATATCAAGGCTCTCTTAGAGGGAGCTTTCGAGGAAGAGGATGAAAAGGAGACCAAATCGAAGAGTAAAAAGAAGAAGAGCAAGAAGGACAAGAAGAAGAAAAAGGAAAGAAAAAGAAGGAGTCCTCAAAGAAGCAGGCGGACGTTGATATTGACGATCTGGCCGCGCAATTAGGAAGTGTGACCGTGCAGGAGCCCAACGCTGCGGACGAAAGCTCGGATGAGGCAGAACTTGAATCTGACAAGTCCCCTGTGAAGGAGACGGTCAAAGAAATCGTTGAGGAGGTCACAAAGGAGGAAGACGTCAGCGAAGCTGAGTCGGAGAATGAGGAGGAGGACGATGAAGAAGAAGACGAGGATGAAGATGATGGAACAGTGGAAGGCTTGAAGGTCAAACTACTGCCTCATCAACGGGAGGGAGTTAATTGGATGTGCGACAAAGAGACAGGTCGAAAGAGGACCAAGGGAGTGCTTCCGAAGGGCGGAATCTTGGCAGACGACATGGGTCTTGGAAAGACTGTTCAAGCTATTGCTCTGATGCTTTCCAATCGAAAGCCTGCCGATGGACTCCGGCGGCCTTTGTCCGACGACGAAGAGGATGAGGACAGCGGCGAGGAAGAAGAAGAGGACACTCGCAAGCTCCCGCCGGGTCTGAGCAAGTCAACTCTAGTTGTCGCTCCTCTGGCGCTTATCAAGCAGTGGGAGTCAGAAATCATGTCCAAGGTCGAATCTTCCCATAGAATGCGCGTGCTCGTATATCACGGCAATGCACGGGCCAAAGCGACAGACAATCTGGAGGACTACGATGTCGTCATCACCACGTACGGTACCTTGACTTCGGAGCATGGTGCTATGGATAAGAACAAGAAGAAATCGGGCATTTTCTCTGTCTATTGGTATCGAATCATCCTGGACGAAGCGCACACTATCAAGAACCGGAATGCGAAAGCAACGCAGGCTTCATGTGCTTTGAATGCAGAGTACCGCTGGTGTCTCTCGGGAACGCCTATGCAGAACAACCTGGATGAACTGCAGAGCTTGATCAAATTCCTCCGGATCAAGCCATTTAACGACCTGGCAGCCTGGAAGGAGCAGATCATGAAGCCCATAGCAAACGGTCGCGGAGGCCTCGCTATCGAGCGTCTGCAGGTCTACCTGAAGATCTTCATGAAGCGTCGAACCAAGGATGTCTTGAAACAGAACGCCAACCTCAAGCCCGGTGAGGACGGAAAACAGAAGAAATCATCTGGCTTCCAGATTGTCAAACGAGAGGTTATCAAGGTAGAAGCGGACTTTATGCCGGGAGAGATGAACTTCTATCAACGCCTTGAGCAGCGCACAGAGAACAGTCTTGAGAAAATGATGGGTGGTGAAAAGGTCGACTACGCTGGGGCTTTGGTGCTGCTGTTGCGCCTTCGGCAATCCTGCAATCACCCAGACTTGGTCAAGAGCGATCTTGCCAAGGACAAGGACATTCTCTTGCAAGGTGCGCCCTCTAGCAGTCAACAATCATCTGCTAAGAATGATGAACTGGACAGTATGGCCGATCTTTTCGGGGCACTTAGTGTTGTGTCCAAGAAATGCGACATCTGCCAGATGGCGCTTAGCAAGGAGGAGATATCCGACAGCAACAGCAGGTGTAAAGAATGCGAAACTGCTTTGGACACTGACTTGACTAGCACTGGCAGCAAGAAGAACAAAGACGATCAGAAGCAGTACATTGATCTGACGGAGTCTCCCTCAACCCGCCGTACGGAGGCGCAGGTTCGGTCCCGAAGAAATCGAAGAGTAGTCATGGACAGTGACGATGAGGATGAAGAGGACGGCGAATGGCTCGTCCCAGAGAACCAGCGCGGAAAGTCGAGTCTTGGAACGGCTGGAGACACTGATGATGAAGACGCAGAGGGCGGTGGTGAATGGATCAATTCGGGAGATTCTGACACCGAATCCGACGACGAAGGACCTGAGTCGCCCTCCCGCAAGCCAACAAGCATACGGAGCCGAAGCCGCGAAGTGGAGTCTGATGATGATGACATTTACCTGAACCCCGGTGATGGTGAGGATACTGTCTTGCCATCGACGAAGATTCGGCACTTGATGAAGATCCTCAGGCGCGAGTCATCGGACCATAAGTTCATCGTCTTCTCAGTCTTTACTTCAATGCTTGACAAGATCGAACCGTTCTTGAAGCGTGCAGGAATCGGATACGCACGATATGACGGAGGAATGCGCAACGACCTTAGAGAGGCCAGTCTCAACAAGCTTCGGAACAACAGTGGCACGAGGGTTCTTCTTTGTAGTTTACGTGCTGGTGCATTGGGTCTCAACTTGACCGCAGCAAGTCGTGTGGTGATCCTAGAGCCATTCTGGAATCCTGTAAGTTGAACACGGTTCACATCGAAGATAATAATACTAAAGCAGTTTACAGTTCGTCGAAGAACAAGCCATTGACCGAGTGCATCGACTGAATCAGACAGTAGACGTCAAGATCTACAAGATGATCATCAAGGGCACTGTGGAAGAACGTATCCTCGATCTGCAAGATCGCAAGCGAGAGCTAGCCAACGTGACCATCGAGGGCAAGACCGCCGCAGCCAAGCTGACGATGAAGGACATGATGGCCCTCTTCGGCAAGGACGCCGAATCACGCTACACAGGCGATCGCAACCTCGACCTCGCCCAAACGACCAAGTTATTGAGTTCCAGCACCGATAGCCCGGGCTCCCCGTACACCAGCGAGACTCGGGAATCCTCAGCCCCCCGTGACAAAAACCGTCAACAGACGAAACGCTCTTCTCGAGGTGAAGACTCGGTGTATGGAAGACGGTGGTAAGCATGAAGTACCGGAGCGCATGGTGTGATTCGGGGCTGGGGTCGAGTTGAGTGCAATTGGGCGTTATGCTGTGAAAGGACGGGGACAGACCATTGGTTTATTACATCGTTCTAATTTCGGGTTTCTTTTCATCTTTCTTTTTTCTCTCACAATGAGATCATTTCGGGAGTTTTATTTTGTTACGATATTCTACCAGCCTATGAATTGGTTACTGGCGGATTATATGAACTCTTACGCACATGCAATGATTCAAATGGACTTGAATACTATTTTCTTATATTCCAAGGCCTTAAATAGGCACACCTTACCCCACACTCCACCTCACCAGCATCATACGATAGCTATCTAAGCATGTATGCCTAAGGCCACCAACTCAATTCTCCTTGGCGCGTTCATTATTCTGTTTTTTTCTGCTTACAATGTTGTCATATCATAACATAACATTGAGTATTACACAGTATGTATGCATACATTCAGAGATTATTACAGAGGTAGGTGGTTTGGCGGCTGCGGTGGTTATAATGGTTCTCAGTTCATCCATCTAGTCTTCCTAGCTGTCTGTCAATCTCTAATTGGGTCGTTCTTGTGGGTGGAAGATGGGGCGTAGGATGGTTTGTATGTTGAGTGATGAATTAAATGGCCACTAGAAGCAGAAAAATCGCAAGTGGAAGATAGAATGCACCCAGGTTGAGATGGAATGTAGTTGCCCAGCTGATAGCGCTGGAGGCAGAAGCAGAGGCAGAGGCAGAGGCGGAGGCGGAGGCGGAGGCGGAGGCGGAGGCGGAGGTAGATGCGGAGGTGGATGCGGATGCGGGAGAGGTAAAAGCGGAAGAAAAAGCAGAGGTAGACGCCCGGTGAATGGCGCTAGAGCTCGCGCTGTTGGCAAAAGGGAGAGAAGAGTATGAGGACGAGGATGGAGTAGAGGGGGAGATGGAGGTTGTAGAGTTGGAGCTACCGCCCACGATCTCAATACTTTCATAGGAGCCTGACTCGTCCGTATATTTGTAAGATGTGGCTGGGTTGTAGTTCACGATGTCGACCGACTTGACGTACATGGTGAATGGAGCATCTGAGTAGTCGGTTTCGCCACCAGCCCATTCGATTGTACCCTCGGCATTATCAGGGTCGCCGCCGGCCCAGATACCGATGCGAACACGCATCGGGCTCTGGGGGTAGCGGGTGCCGTCGACGGCGTCGGCGTACGTGAGGGTGCGAACGGTGGAACTATCAATGGACCAAATGAGTTCAGACTCGCTCCAGATCCATGTGTAGGTGTGGTATTCGCCCTGGGCGTCCAAGATTGATTCCCAAGTCCAGCGGTCGTAGGATGAGGTGTCGCCTTTGCCGAAGTAGTCGGTTTGGAGTTGGTCGGCTAGATTGCCGAATGTTTCCTATTACATGGGGTAAGCTAGGTTTTGGTAAGGCTGGAATGAGCACGATGGGGAGGGGGAGGGTTACCCAGTCAACTTCATCGAGATCATCGGATTCCAGGACGAGACTGCTTATGATACCGGTGCCCGAGGCGGCTTTCATGGAGATAGAGACCTCGCCGAAAAAGATGTAGAAGTCAGTCTCGATGGTTGGCGCATCTCCCTGCTTGTTGATAGTGAATTCTGCGCCGTCTGTCCCAGTTGTGACGCTGTCCGCGGTTATTGTCCACTGATCTAGACCTGAGCTCTGGGTGAAGTCAAAGTGCAGATGGGATTCTGTTGTTCCCTCATCGGCCGGGCAAGTTTTCTTCAATGGATTGCAGTCGGTGTATGACTGAGCATAAGTCAAAGGAATGATCGCAGCAACAGCGATGGCCGCATAATAATTATTGAATAGCATGATCGATTGGGTCGATTGGGATGTATATATTTGGGCAATTGATGGCTTAGGGCCAATTTCTCATGCGAGTGCTTTGTACAGCAAAGGCGCGTGAGGAGATCTATCTTCGAGGATCGATTCCCCTGAAAATTTATATGTTTGACCATTATTTCGCCATGGAATAAGCACCAGGTCGCCCAGGATAAGTCTGAATCCCATAGGCCTGCTGCCATGGTCAACGGTACCTGAGTAGAATCGGTCTACACCCAAACAGGGAGTGTTCAATCCGCTTAGTCAAGGTGCTCTGATGAATCCACTCACAATGAAAAGGACACTAACTGAATCCAGTAGGATGCAGTCCGATTATATAACCTGTCGGCTGGTGTGCGGCCTTAACTTTGACAAACGTCTTTATCATTGGTCATTAAGATGATTCGCTGTCATTGTGGTCCCATAGCTTGGTCCTGTTCGCGTCCGGCCTTATCGATGGCACATCGCGCAAGCCGTTCTAGCTCACTTATAACTCGTCCAGCAAACTTGATCTTCGCCGTATAGCATGTTGGATCACAGTCTCTGTGATGTTGAGCAATGAGCTGAGAGATCATGCCAATTGTTTGCAGGTCTTCTTGGTTTGCGGTATCCAGGGGCCGAGAAAGTATCTTGCAGAAAAGGTTAATGCTGGCTTGGAGGAAGTACGAGAGAGTGAACCTGCCAGATGGATAAGTAGCCGATGCAAAGACGAGAGTGAAAAGGCGAACTCACAAGAGGTTTTGAGAACCAAGTTCAAGCTGAGAATACAGAAAGCCTCTCAGAAAGGAGCGACTGGCTGCAACTGAGATTGCCAGGCTTGAACTGGTTCCTCGTGTCTCTTGATTCTGTTCCCAAGAAGCACATCGGCTGCTGGCCTGATGAATCATGATCATGCAGTGGTGGTATTGCAGATGAAATACCGAAAATCGCATATCAGAGTCTTGCGGCGCAGTGGTGATAAGAGAGGGCCGATTGTTCACGGGGATGGAGTCTTTCCATTCTTCAATTGAATCGTCCAAGTCTCGAATGGTTCGGAGCAGTTCTGCGTCGGGCTTTCTCAAAGCGCTTGGTGTGTACAGATCACGACAGATTCGCGATTGGATGAAAGCTAGGCGGGCATACATGTCGACATAAGAACCTGGGTATGGGTCCCCGTGCAGATGAAATTGTCCCTCCAGCTGGCCGAGCTCCTCAGGCATAACAGTGAGTGTGAGATCACACTGAGCATCTTCCAGGACTGGAGCGAGGCCTGTCACCAAGCTAAAGCCCTTGTCACATATGTATGCTATCCAGAATAGGTGTCTCGCGTGGTAGTCGAGAGCGGTGGGATGTTCCCAGACTATGCGAGGGGATATGTTCGCCTTGAAGTGATAAATAAATCGCGAGGCTGTGGAAAGTAAATGGTCGATAGTAAGGGAGTCCCCAGTAAGCCCCTGAGAGCACAGACACTGGAGGTGATGTTAGTTATAAAAGAAAACATCAATGACAGAAAAGTCGCATCTTGGCTCACGAGTAATAAGAGTGGCTGTAGACCGTCTAAGCTGACCGGTTCTTTTAACACTTCGGGTAGAAGACGGTACGCTTCACAGGCATATTCGAGGCTAGATTTGAGATGATCCAGTTTCGACCCATGAACCACAGTAGGTGCAAGTGCGAGAAAGGCAAATATGCACGCCTTGGCACTGCTTATGCCGGGCGACGCCGCAGAGCTCTCTTGGTAGTATGCAGCCTTCACGGTGCTCTCTAAAAGGAATGAATCCAGGACCGGAAAAAATAGCCCGAATGTTGATGACTGGTAATGCTTTAGCTCTTCAGACAGGAAGGCGGGCTCTGGTAAATTGAGATTGCTGGGAGAGACGCCTTGGAGGGTTGGATCTGCCGGCGGTGGATGCTGCCACCAAGGGACTTGAGCATTATGGTATCGATCCAGATGGAGCTCCTCTCCTGTACATGCTTTCATCCATTTTTGGCTGCTTCTAGACAGGACATGCGTTCCGTTGAACGTGCAAAAGTTGCCCAGATGACGTCCTGCAGATTGAAGGTTTTGAGCAAATGTAGGGGCCCATGTTTCTGCTGCTCGATCCTGATGGGATCCTCCTCTATTGAATAAAGGGGTTTCCGCTTCGAGTGTAAATTCAGCCGAGATTCCATGTGGTTGTGAAATGAAGCTGGCAGGTCCTCACCTTGATTTGCGGGAAGGGAAGGGGCATTCGAGCAGCTTTGATCTTGCAGCGAGAGATCGGTCGAGCTAGCAAGATAGTTATGTATCCATTGCTCAAAGTGTGTATCGATTGCACTCCAGCATTAAAACATACCTTGGGCTCTTTGGACTCGCGGAACCATGTCTGAGAAAGGTACACGGCAAATTCTGATGGGAGCACCAATTACACTTGGGCTTAGCTGCATCACATTGGATCTATCCCAACTGTTAGCAAGGAGACACAATGGGGGTCCAGTTGCCACAGCACCTTTCTAGCATGGCATATATCGCATGAGTGACCCAAACGTCTCCGCCGACTGGCACGCCGCTGTTTGGGGTTGTTGGCGTTCCATGGGCTCAAAAACATCTATCGGATAATTAATCCACACTGTCCGGGCCTGGGAGGAAGTTGTAGCACCTTGTGCACTATGCAGTCCCGGTGTAACCGAGTAGTGTGTTCGGTACAATCCGGAGAAAGGCGTGTCGTCCGAAGGGCGTCGAGGTCCCCACCTTTCCATCCATCGCATCCAATCCCTTCACGTCATGACTCATACACTCCCTCGTTTAACCATCATCTGGATATACTTAAGAGACCAGATCCCCAGACCTGATCAGACGACATCTTACTTTTCCATCGCGAGAATACTACTATCTCGTAGCCCTCAAAGCAAGAGTCACCATGGTCCAATCACTTCGCTTCGCCACCCTAGATGTCTTCACCACCCAGCCATATTCCGGCAATCCCCTGGGCGTTGTCTTTCTCCCCGACTCTTCCTCCTCCTCCTCCTCTTCCCCCATCACCCAGGAACAGAAACAACTAATCGCCCGAGAGTTCAACCTCTCCGAAACCATCTTCATTCATCCTACCAACCAATCAACCCCATCCTCCCGAGCAATCGACATCTTCACCACGACCGAAGAACTCCCCTTTGCAGGCCATCCCACCATCGGCGCAGCTTCCTGGTTCCTAGAACATTCCTCCAATGAAGCCGACAAGGCCAACGTCCAGACATTAATCACGAAGGCCGGACCATTTGCCATCTCGAGGGTCCCGTCCTCGCAATCTGGTGATGTGGCGGCCAAAATCGCACATAATGTGCACATTCACTCGTCGCGATTCGCGCTCTCGGAGTTGTTGAGGCTACATCCTTCACTGGTTCCGTTCCTTAACCAGAGTACTAGTCAGGATAGCTTCCCTGTTTTCTCCATTGTGAAGGGCATGAGTCAGGTCCTGGTTGAGTTGCCTAGCTTGGAGGCCTTGGCTGCAACAGAAGCTCCGATGGGCGGGGAGGACATCCCCTGTAAGTCAGTCTCGGAGGGAGGGTACCTGGATGCTGGGTGGGAGGGATCAGGTCTCATTATGGTTTACTTTCACGTTCCGGGTGTGCTGGATGAAAGTACGGGGAAGAAGGTCATTCGGTCGCGTATGTTCCTGAGGAACTTTGAAGATCCTGCTACGGGTAGTGCGGCGAGTGGACTTGCGAGCTATTTGGCTTTGATGGGAACTGATGTTGGGGCTACGACTGAGTTTGATATCGTGCAGGGGGTGGAAATGGGCAGGAGATCGGATATCAGTGTTGCTGTTACGGTTGGTGCTGGGGGGCAGGAGAAGAAGATTGAAACTGTTGAGTTGAGGGGGTGTGCTGTGAAGGTTACCTCTGGGGAGTTGGTTATTTGATGATGTTGTTAGTTGTTGACTGGTCATGATTGTATATACTAGTGCTCTGGATATTTGCATGGAGTGGGGGACCTTTTGTCCGCATAATCATTTACCCTTGCTCAGTACTAACAATAGTAGCTGTATATTTTATCATTTGATGTCATACCAAAGACCTCCCAATATTAACTGACTAAAGATATACTTACCAACAATTCATAACCAAGCCAATCAATCACTGCTAGAATGTACCAAAACCAACACCACAACCCAGAACCAACCAAACCCACCACATAGGACTGATACCATGCACCCCTAACCCCTATCTACAGAACCCCTATCCCTGCATGACCCCCACAAAACAACCCCCAACCAGGATGCCGCCGTCAGCCGGGGAAAAGGGAACGAAGAAGCGGTGACCCTTCCCTTCCCTTCCCTTCCCTTCCCTTCCTTATCTACCTAGATACCTACCTATCCAATTCCACTCCTATGCACTAGCCATGCGCTACCTGTGCTGTAAGCATGCATTATGCAGGCGTGGTTCTTCACCAATCGACGATGAGGGCACTTGTCATGGGTCTTCGAGTAATACATTTATTTACGTTGGGTTGGACTTTTTGTACTAGTAGGTGAGATCAGGGAACAGGGCAAGAAGAGAGAACAACTGACCCCCTTCCTCCCCTCACCACTGTCAGGGATGGTTGGTTAGTTGTTGGTAAATGATACAAAAAGGAGAGGAAGGAACAAGTGAAACATGAGTGAAGGACAAAAAGATATGACAAGAGTGGGACTCGAACCCACGCCTCTTTCGAGACTGCAATACATCCAATTTTCTTGGACAAGTGAATGATCAACTTGAGTGCAGCGCCTTAACCGCTCGGCCATCTTGCCTTTGATGACTAATTAGCACGTTCAATGGTATCTCGTGCAGAAGGGAAAGTGGCGGCAAGACTTGTGACCGTGGATCTGTCATATCTTCAGGTTAAAGTTCAGGTATTCGCCAGTCTCCCGAAAGGGATTCGGAGCATTACTGGACACGTTCAACATTTCAGCATTGGTAATACGATAGTCTAGTTCAATTGCTAATTTAAACATACTTTGCTACTTGAGTTTGACCATAAACACGTCAACGCCTCTGGAAATGACAGTCGGAAAGCTGATCCAACATTCCGATAACGACTGCGCTGAAACAGCCAAAAGTACCTTTGCTTAGGCTTGGCTCTCAACTGATCTAGAACTCTGACTAATATCCTGGGCTACGGTCTCGCCCCTCTGTAGTATTCTTGCATAGCCCATTACATCCAAGTCCAGCATGGATAGCATCATCCCCTCTACGTATGCAGACACGGCTCACCTTCCTATTCTATATTCTATCTTGTTATATCTTGAATATTCACCATTCATACAACAACAGGCAAGATGGCCGAGCGGTTAAGGCGCTGCACTCAAGCTGATCATTCAACTTGTCCAAGAAAATTGGATGTATTGCAGTCTCGAAAGAGGCGTGGGTTCGAGTCCCACTCTTGTCATATCTTTTTGTTCCTTCTTTTTTGCTTCCGATCGAGACCCGCTAGTTTGTACCAATGTCAGATGGAGTGATGAAGGGGTCTGACTAGGACATTTCCTATGGGCTGGCTGGACCGCCAGTGACCTGTTACAAGTTACAACATGGCGCTTTAATCATAGCACCTAAAACGGGCCATGGGCGAATCTAGTGGCGGTATGCCACTATGCCGAGACTGAGTACGCAACTAGGCCTAGCCCGTTTTCGTCTAGATCAATAGGATCAGCACCGTTGGCGAGACGAAGCTGGATGGGATGAGCGCCGGATCCACCAAATCTCTGGGCTAAAAGAACTTGGGGGTCGGACCCGCTCCGCTAAGTGGATGATCCTGCGGTGGGATTAATCAATAAGCATCAGCAGGTTAGGATGCCATTATATTGGACATTCTGCGGACGGGAGTCAATGAGGAAGTGAGGCTGGTCGATACGTCAAGTCGTTGTCTCTGGCACTAGGTATACGAGGTCTTGGGGACGATGGCGGCGGTCGGTTCGAGCTGTTGCAGAACCCAAGGATAGGGACGGAGGAGATTGGTCGGCGTATATTGCGTGGCACAAAATGTAGACTGGAGCACACTGGTTCCCTCTATCCTGACCGGGATCATTTTATGCAGGCGCCCAGGCCACCGAAACCTGAAACACCAGACCAGGTCGAACAGGGATAGATATGCAACTAGCGCCAGAGTCAAACCAGCGCCGATGATCTGCGGACTATTCGTGGTAATAGGGGACATCTCAATCTCGTCGCTGAGAGGATAAAAGAGGCTGAGACCTGTCCGGAATAGCTAGAAACTCTCCCGGCGAAACCCGTATCGGCGGTGGATGGGACGATGCATCATGCAGCAAGCGTCGTGATTCTGGCCCCAACAGCCACCCCATCAGCATGAAGGCTGGGCGACAGATTATCATTGGTATAACTGTCCAAGCCATCGTGCGGTCGGTCAAAAACGTGGCGGCCACGAGATGTGGCCACGCACAACCGAGCGGAAAGTTTCAAGGAGGTCCGACAGAGACCAGGCCAGACGTGCTGGACCCCGGTTGGAATGTAGGGGCCATTCGGATTGGATGGACAGGCGCCGGGTTGACTGGAGCGAGTGATGCATGCGGCGAAGGGGGGGAGGGGAGGGACAAGAAGTTGTCGGTATGTACCGTATCGACGGGAAGGAACCTTAGGAATGGAGGCGGAGAAGGGACAAAGAAACCGAGAGGAAGAAGCAAAGAGGCGACAGGGTTTTTTAAAGGGAAAAGCAAACTCTCGGTCGGATTACGGATTAGTGGGCAAAACAAGGTGCTTCGATGGATGTTCCTTGCCTGCGCTGAAGGACGCAGTTGGTATAGTCAGTATAGTCGGTATTGGGGCGGTAAAGTACCGTTCTGGACGGAAAGGATGATTGCAAGGTTGGCTGGCTGGATTTCTTTTTCTTTTTATTTTTCTTTTGCCTTTTAGTGGCAGCCAACTAGTCGATTTTATGTATCAATCCGGCCGTCTGGGTTATCGATGGAGCTAGTAGTACTGGCAGTAGGCGCAGATGCAGAAATTCATTCCAGACGTCTTCCTCGGCATCCCCTCCAGAATCCAGATGTCATTAGTCCCGCTCCAGCAGCCTCAGGTTTCTGGCGGTCTCTCCACCGCCGCCGGCCTAGTTCTAGGCAAGTTCGTTCTTCTCTCTTTTCTCCCACTTGCCGGCGCGTCTTTCCCTCGTGGGCCCAAGCGGCACTTCTCCTGGGTTAGTATCAAGTAGTATCCCCTTTTCTGTAGTCTCCGTCCAGACCCAGCACACCTGAGGGAGCTTCCAGGTCCATCGTTATTATAAAATTATTATTATTCACCCAGTATCTTCACCACCGGTGTCGCTGCTCCTGCTGCTGCTGCTGCTGCTGCTGCTTCTTCTTCTTCACCGCCGCGAGATTCTCAACTCGTTAGTTTGGTAGTGAAGCAAGACTGGTAACTTTAACTGGTAAATACCGTGTCTTACGACAGGAAGGTTTTCCATCCATCGCTGCATCTTGGATTTCTCCAGACTTTCTCTTCGCTTACCCAGGCCGACCTAAGAAACCCCAGCAATCCCCCATAGCTTAATCCAGTCACCTGGGCCAACTCGCCTCGTTTCATTTTTTACCATTATTATTCCTGTGATTTATCTTTCCTGCTCGTTTATTCTCTCCGTCCTGAGCCTGGTGCTATCTCTCATTTGTCTCGCCTCACATCGGAATCGGGGGACTTCTTCTGGCTGGGTTCCAGAACCAAAGCTAAAAGGCGAAGAAGCAAAACAAAAAGCAACGAAAGGTGAGCGACTAGAAAAAGTAAAAATCAAACCCAAAACCACCAGATGGGATGATTCCCTTTCCCATCCATCCCTCCCTCAACGCAGCTGGAGTTACAGACCAGACAGACTTACAGGCCACACTTACTTCGGCCCGCCTGCTGGTCAGAAACAACTAACTAACCATCAACTACTCCGTCTTAGGGGCTGCCCCGTTCCTCTCACGCCTGGCTCGGAATTCCATCCCATAATCGCCTGCTCTTTTCCGCCCCCCCTTCTCTCCCCCCGACCAGGCCTCCGTTTGGTTGTCCTCGTCGGGATTTCTCTGTCACTTTTCAACCCTTTTTTGACTTTGGCTGTCATCGCTCTTCATCGGGGTAGGTTTCACCTGAAGAAGGCTATCCCCCCTGCCATTCGGGAAAATGAGCCCCTCCGCCCACGTTCTCCCGTTCCAATAGACCACCGCCGTCTTCCGCAATTCTTTTGCTGCTGGCTAACACCTGTCTCGTTGTGTCTAGACCTGGATGTCCACGTCTCAGCATTTCCTATAAAGTTCCTCTTCTTTACCCTCCGACGTTCCTCAATTCGCCCCCCTCCCCTGTCCTCCTCGACAGCTTCCTCCGATCCCTGCAGATTATTCACCCCTCGCATCAATTCTTCGACGTCGAAATCTAGCCGTGGCTCGAGTGGGATGTTGCCGGAGGTGACTCAGAAAAAAGATTTCCAGCGTCTGTGGTTACACAACTTTCTAAATGGGAAACTCGCAAGGGAAGCAGGTGGCTCCCACCGATGAGTGTGCGTATTGGTCTTGTTCTGGTCAAGCGTGTGGTCAGGCGCGCTTGGCTGAGGATAGTTGGTCGTGGAAGTGCTAACAATGGAGCGCAGTGAATTTGAACCAGTTTCGTCTGTTGCGGGTGGTTGGCAAAGGTGCTTTCGGCAAGGTCCGCATCGTGGAGAAGAAAGACACCGGGTTGACGTTTGCGCTGAAGTACATTCGGAAAGAAGAAGGTATGCTGCTACCACGGAAATGCATCAACTCCCACTGACGATGGCTTTGACATGTAGTGGTTCGGTCGGAAAGCGTACGGAATATCATCCGTGAACGGCGGATGCTCGAGCACTTGAACCACGCGTTCCTTTGCAACTTGAGATACAGCTTCCAAGACATTGAATATATGTGCGTCCTGCAGCAGCTCTCCCAACTCGACCCTCCCCACGTCCTTAGTCGCTGATAGTTGAGAAGATACATTGTGGTGGATTTGATGAATGGTGGTGATCTGCGGTTCCACATCTCGCGGAAATGTTTCACAGAGGAGGCAGTGCGCTTCTGGATAGCTGAGCTGGGCTGTGCTCTGAGATATATTCACTCGCAGGGAATCATTCATCGTGACGTCAAGCCGGACAATATCTTGTTGGATTCCGAGGGGCATGTCCACTTGGCAGATTTTGTAAGTCTTGCCGTTCGGATGCAGTCCAGTATTTTTGAAACTGACCATTCTCAGAACGTTGCTTCCGATTTCCGACCCGGCAAGCCTCTGACGAGCAAATCTGGAACGTTAGCGTATCTCGCCCCGGAAGTATACGAAGGCGGCGGATACTACTGCGAAGTCGACTGGTGGTCGCTTGGAGTTACGTTCTACGAGTGTATCTATAACAAGGTAGGTCGCCTCGGATTAATGGACAAATGCCGGTCCTGACTCTCATCAGCGCCCATTTGAAGGTCGGAGCCAGGATGTCCTCAGCGAGAATATCAAAAAGGCGCAACCGAAGTACTTCGTCACAAACCCCGCGGTTTCTGTTCCCTGCTTGCGAGCAATGTCGGCATTTATGGAGAGGGATCGGTCGAGGCGCATCGGTGCGATTAGCTTTGAGAGTTTCACTTCGCACATGTTCTTCGCCGATCTCGACTTTGTCGCGCTTGAGCAGAAGGAAGTCCCGCCCGTGTTCCGACCCTCCAGCGACAAAACCAACTTTGATGCTACGTATGATCTGGAGGAGTTGCTTTTGGAGGAGGCGCCGCTCGAAGCCAGAGCCCGTCGGCAAAAACCCAGAGCGGAGTTGCGAGAGGATGCGACGGCCAAGGAGATCCGGGAGGATGAGTTACATCGTCTCATTGAGACGATGTTTGAACCCTTCGATTATACCAGGGTGAACTATGTAGGGTACGTGGGGGGTCAGACCAAGGAAATGTCTGAGCGCGAGCTAACCGACATCAGAAATGCCGCGGATGCGATTGCCGCATCAACGTAAGTCCCCTCTGCTTGTATAGCGTCCATATGACCCTCGCTTACCTTGATTCAGAAACCCGGAAGAGTGTCTCCCGATACAGTCAACGCATTCACGACAGGTCTCCCAGCCCGACCTTTCGAGAAACTCGCCTCCCCTACGGAACGATGGCTCTGCCAGTCACTTAACTCAGCCGGACACCCCGTCTCCTCTCAGCGAGACACCGACTTCGCAAGCGTCTTTGCCTCTCCCACCACCCCCGCCTGCTCCGCCTTTCCATCGTCCTCTGCCACCTTCTGCCGCGCAACAGCGAGGCGCAACACGCAAGCAGAGCAAGGGTGGAGGTGTCCAGATGGTACTGGAGGAGGCCGGTAGCTGGAGCGAGCTTGCTGATCACAGCTCCACCCTTCCCGCGGAAGGCTACGATACTGGGTCCGCCAAGGGGAAAGGCTCGAACAGCGGCATGCTTGCTTTCCTCAGCAGAAAGAAGGGGCGCGACAGGAGCCCGAAGCCCCAGGAGCCAGGTGTGCTGGGTAAAGAAGGCGCCAGGCAGATTATCAGCTGAAGGGCTCGCTCGCATTTGATACCCGGAGGAGGAACGCTTTGCTATGACTTGACCACTGTTGGACAGTTCGATAGAGATTTTTTGCCTGTTGAGAAGCTCGCGCTTTCCGATACGCGATAGCCTGTCGCCTATCTCGCCGCCTTTCGTTCTGGGGGCGTTGCCATGAGAATCGCACACGACTGGGCCGCCGAGATTGTCGGACCGACATGCAGCAACCGACTGAAAGCTTGCTTTTGGGGAGGTTCCATAATGATCCGGCCGACCCACCCATGCCCGGGTGGATCATTCATTCGTTTTTGTTTGCCGACGCCGGCCTCGACCGTCCGAAGCCGAGTTGCGGACCGAAGCCGACATCAAGAGCATATCTTCATTCCCAGTCGTTTTTATAACCGTCACGGATTCGCCGTTGTCCGAGCGACTGGTTTGTCCTTGGATCCCCTTGATCCAGCGCAGACCAGCTTCTTTCTTTGCACTTCTATTTCCTTGAATGGTGTTGGCTCCGGAGTTGTACAGATGGGAGTGGCATATGACGATTTCTAATTTATCTATCCTTGTGACATACCAACGATGGTCGAGATGTACCGTTTTTCTTCTCTAATTCCCATTCTGTTGTCCGTGTTTGAGGTCTTTGTGAGGCGTTTGCATACCCGGTGGATAGTCGAGGCCCCGCCGTGGATTGTACCAGGCATCATGGCAGAGCGGGGCTGTGGACTATCATTGTAACTAATGACGTTTCTCCTTTCATTATACCTATAGACCTTGAATGGAGCATTGTATTGCCGTGTGAATGGACTGATTACCTTCTATGTGATGTACTGTATGTACGTATCCATTAGTAGACTACTCATCATGACAAATAACCAACCTTGAACATTACATCTATCATGCACACCCATATACTATACATACACATATCTATATACAAATTCACCTCCCCTCACTCCCCCCCAACCTCATTCTTCCACGACCCCGCATAATGATGCGAGACCAAATACGGTCCCTGATCCGAGGGATAACCCCCCTGCCGCGCCGCAAACGCCGCCTGCGGCAACACCAACACATCACCCAGCAACCTAGGCTCACGCACCCCCGTGATATTCATCCTACCCACCCTCTCCCCCAACCCGCGACTCAAACTCCCCAACACCGCCAGCGTCAACGCCTGCGGTCCACTCGCATCCACCACATCCGGAATCATCTCCATCGTCACCCCTTCCACCGTGACATTATTCCTCTCCGCGATCCCCTCCACCTGCCCCGCCACGTACTCAATCGCAGCCTTCATATGCACGGACCCGGCCCGCGATAGTACCGTCCAGCTGGCGAATTGCCATCCGTCGAACTCGAGCCCGACGATCATGTCTAATCCTTCTGTATCCTGCTCCGAGGGTGTTAGGGCGCTCCAGGATGATAGGGGAATCTCGCATCCAACGTCGAGATCGCTCCATATTCCACCGTCTGCGTATAGGATTAATAGGCGGAGGAGATCGGCTTTCACAATGGGGACTTGGATAGCGTGGTAGAGAGAGGCGATGGAGGGCCAGGTTTCTTTGTATGCTGTGTCGACGTATACGGAGCTGCTGGCATCGGAAAGGATTTCGTGTCGCAGGGAAGGGTTTAGGGTTCTCCAGGTGGCGATGTAGGATTCGCTGAGGGGGGTGAGGCCCTTAGGACCGGTTTTTTGCCATAGTTTGAGAGGGATTGGTTTTTTGGTTTCGGTGGGTGTGGGGAGGGGGTCTGACGGTGGTGTGGTTGTTGGTATTGTTGGTGCAGAAGAGGAGGAGGGCGAAGGCGTAGGTGTGGTGATGGCGGTTGGTGGTAGATCGAGGACGGGTTGGCGGAGGAGTCGGTGGAAGAGGTAGAAGTTTAGGAGGACGAGGAAGAAGAGGAGGGTTAGGGTGGGACGGTTGGGGAGGAAGGTCGACATTTTGCTTGCTTCCTTGTGGTGGTTGGTGTGGTGTGTGGTTATTGATGCATCGCAATTAGGTCTTTCTGGATCGTAGGTCTTGGTGTGCTGGTGGTGGTAATGAGGGAGCGTAGAATAGAAAAATCCGTCCAGTAAAGTAAACTAATATTAAAAGAAACCCGATTCAAATAAACCAAATGCGATATCCTCCGTAGATACGGAGTATGCACGAAATGAATAAAAGATAGTATAAGTAAGTATAGCACGTATGTACTTATGTAGGGTCCACGCCCGTCTTAAGTCAATCTCCCTGCAGAATCGAACCCAAAGAATAAAAAAGAAGAAAGACAAGGCAACCCACTCACCCACCCACGCACCTTTAGGTTTTACTTATACGAGTCCATCCGTAGTATTACTTAGGGATGGATAGTAAGTAGATAGTAATCGACAAGTCTGGCCAGCCAGCCAGCGCTTAGACATGGTTTTTGAATGGACGGGTAATTCCAGCCGATTGGGGGTCAATTCTCAGGGTCTGGGTGGAGTGGAAGTGGAGTAGGATATGGTTGGGATCGTCGGCGTCGGTGTTTGGAACAGTAGGTATTACTTGCTTTTCTTTTTGCTGTATGGAGGAGGTAGGTAGATAGGTATGCGCTTACGCAGGGTAATGCTGGGCATTCAGGGCGTGAGTACTAGTGAATGCTATTTTTTACTTTTTCCCCTGCAGTCAGGGTGGGAGGGTTGGTGGAAGTAAGCGCGTAGGGATAGGGAAAATGATAACGATGGCGTAAAAAGACAAATGTGATTTGCTTGCCACTACTATCTACCAGGGAATAACCTGATATGTCAGTTAGGTCACCTCCCCCCCGCCAATGCTTAGTTTTACCCAGGGTGGTACCGTGCCAACAACCCGCATGTAACACAACAGCCCACGCTCACGTTTCTGGGCTGGATTTGTTGTATCACAGTACTATATCTTAACTATCAGACGATTAGTATTCTCAAATGTGTAGGTAAATAGAGTAGGTAGCAATGGCCTGGGTCCAGAACCACCTGGAAGAATAAGCTCAATCTTGTGTCAGTTGATGCTGATGCCAATGCCATACTGAAGCTTACCACCACCCTTTGGTTCTATTTATAGCTAGTAGGTTCGGGATTGGGTTCGGTCGTCTGTCACCCGAGCGTCAAGACTACTGAATGGGTGCATTTTTCCCTTGCGGCGGTTATTTGTGTATTTTCTACCTACTCTGAATGCTAGATAAGATGTGGTTTGAAGTTGGAAGGTTTTTTTTTTGTACTTGCTTAGGTTTTGTTTCGTATGTAGTGTGGTGTGATAAATACAAAACCCCTGAGTAGAATCCATCACATCACATCATATCCTGCACGTAATCTGAATGAAACTAATCACATCTAAGACAGTCTGACATTGGCTTTTTTTCATTGGTTGAGAAAAGTGATGAGCATAATTTCATCTGAACCACACGGGATGATGTTTCCACTGCGGTACTGTCGTGGACTGGAGGTTGGTTGGGGTGGGGGGATACGAAAAGATACTTTCATTTGCCTGAGTGGATGGCCGGTTGCGGCGAGGGACTGGCAGTTGTTGAGTGAGGATGTTGGTGTGGGCTTGGTAGTGCTTGGTAGCCAGTGTCAGCTATGCTAAGCTTCTGTTCAGTGCACAAGCATAATTGGTGATGTGCGGTGTGCTCCCCTGGTTATGCCATTTCACAGTTTCATTGCATGAAAGATTTCACTGCTTTCATTTCATGGATTTTTTCATGGATTTCATCTTATACAGTGTCTATCTTTTTATTGTTTCGTCATCTCTCGATTTCTATTTCTCTGTTGATGAAATAAAGTCCATCTTGAATTCTCAAGAACCTGTTCTGTCCAAATTTATATGCTATTTCATTGCATGAAATCTTTCATTGATTTCATTTCATGAATTTCATGAAATTCATTCCTCCCGAGACCGCCGTGGCTCTCTCCGCCTGTCGGAGTGGGAGTAGCATGCATGGTGACTGGCAAATCGATACCGCCTAGATTCAATTGCTGCCTGAGGCAATACACGTGTCTATGCTTAAGTAGAACATAAGTGCGAGTCAGCCATGTCACTTATGGACCACGAGGAGGGAATTGAAACTGAGAGACCTCAGACAGGAAGGAGACGGTAAGCGCAAACCTCATAACAGAGAGCTAGTCTGCAACCAATCGGAAAGTGCCATGTCATCTACTAGATATCACGGGTATCACCACACTGTACTGGCTGTAGAAGACCATAAAAGATTTCCTTCCTCATGAACTGCCCACTATTCTTATACATTATGAAATGATCGCGACATCAAATATGCATGTCTTGTTTGGTGGATCCTGTAGCAGACCAAGTATTGGTCTGCTACTTAACGACCCGAAACCCCCTGACTTCAATTGATTCATGCACTAAGAACAGAGACAATGATGATATACGTGAGCCTGGGTGTAGTATTTATGTGGAAGCATTTTTATTGGACTGAACCTAGGCCGCTGTGTTTCTTCAGCCCACATCACCGGTCGTGCAGATATAAATTTCTGGCATGCATCCATCGATGAAAGTAGTCAATCACTCTACATCACCTAACGAGATCTAAATTCATACTCAAACCAACTAGAACCATGTTGCTTCAGGTCAAGGACGACAAACAGTCAATGAGACCACCTATCCGTACACCTTCAAGCACAAAGTCAGTGTCCCTCTGCAGAACGACAGCTTGATCCGATGCAACCTTTATCAACCAAAGTCCACCGATGAAGGGGAGAAATCCACCACGTTAACGACCTACGGACCATATGGGAAGGACATTCCCTACAGCGAGTGTGTTCTAATCCCCCCTTCTATTAATTAATCGCTAAGCCGAATAGATTTCATCCCGGGAGAATCAAAAATGTCACCTCCGAGCACCAAACAGAGTTACTGGACAAAACATGGCTATATCGTGGTGAGAGCTGATGGAGCCAGAACCGGTCAGTCGCCCGAAAAGCTCGATGCCAGCCTGAGAATGGTCAGAGTACCATCCCACGCATCTAAGTGGCTCCCTCAGTCAAATTACAACTCGACAGATGTGCAGCCAGGGATCCCTGGGGAGGTTCATGCCCTCAATATCGAGCTCTAGCCGACCAATACAGTAGTCCAACCAGGTGGTAAGCCGTTGTTGGAGGCGAGCTCGGGTGGCACGGATCAAGCGGGTGTATGGGGGCATAACAATCCTATAAATCGGTAAGAACTGGGCTTATGGTGTCTGGACTGCCTGCTAATCCACCCTTATTTATATAGGAGCAGAAACTCCTTTGAGGGGATAGATAGCATCTATTCAGACGGAGCTATACCGAGTACATGACTTTACCGATTATTCCTCCCCACTAGGGAGTGCCATTCAAGTATGTGCCAGCAGCTTGCTTCCACACTGCATAGACGGGTCAATCAAAGTGATTGCCATTCGCTTACATGGATAAAGACTCACCCGACAGCGATGCCAAGATTCCTTCATGCCTGAGGCACAAACATGGCTGGCATCTCAAACCGGTTAGCGGACCCCCACTGATGCAATCACGCAAACAGCTTGAGCAAGAGAACTGAACCCCGGAGCTTCGTTTCCTCTTCACCCATCTCAATTGCCCCAAGACAATCACAATGGCTTCAATTCTCCCCCGTGCTGGCTTCCGTGCCCTGACTGCTCTCCCCAGAGCTACCCCCCTCCCCCGGGTGTCTTTCTCCCAGCTTCCTCGCGCTCAGCCCCGCCTGCAGCCCCTCTCTCGCCGGTTCCTCGCAACCATTCCCCAGGAACAGCCTCGTCTGCGTCTCGGATCGACCGGTATGTCTACCTACATATCCCCGGTCCAGTTCAATTGTGCTGACAGGTGTAGCCCCTAACTTCAAGGCCACCACCACCCATGGCGAGATCGACTTCCACGAGTTCATTGGCAACAGCTGGGCCATCCTCTTCTCCCACCCTGCCGACTTCACCCCCGTCTGCACGACTGAGCTGGGCGCCTTCGCCAAGTTAAAGGACGAGTTCGAGAAGAGGGGCGTCAAGATGATTGGTCTTGTAAGTAGGCTTGCGCTGCATTATGGTCCCCCGCTAACAACAGATGGCTTTAGAGTGCGAACGACCTCGGCTCCCACGACAAGTGGATCGATGACATCAACGAAGTTGCCAACACCAACGTCCAATTCCCAATCATCGCCGATGCCGACCGCAAGGTTGCCTTCCTTTACGACATGATCGACCAGCGTGACTTGGACAACATCGCCGAGAAGGGCATCCCGTTCACCATCCGCTCCGTCTTCATCATCGACCCCGAGAAGAAGATCCGTCTCACCATGCTGTACCCTGCCTCGACGGGCCGCAACTCCGCAGAGGTCCTGCGTGTCATTGACTCTCTCCAGACTGCGGACCGCAAGGGCGTTGCCACTCCCATCAACTGGAACGTCGGTGAGGATGTGATTGTGCCTCCCTCGGTGTCGACGGAGGATGCCAAGAAGAAGTTTGGCGAGGTGTGCGAGCTGAAGCCGTACCTGCGTTACACCAAGTACTAGGGTGTTGCCGGGGATATAATGTGATAACACTCAAGGTGTAACGATAGAAAATTGGTCTGATATAGTAATAAAATGAGTGTCATACTATGTTGAAGAAGCAGGGTCCAGTCCCTGATGGCCCGGACTAAGCCCGATCCAATCAGGCCCGCCTACTGTCTGCACTAAGCCGTAAACAGTAAATCGCATACACGACTACGACTGGCGGCGTGTGTTTCGAATCGGCCGTATTTTGTTTATCGCCAGACGCGCCGGCCTCGAGCTGACCTCCAGTCAACCCCTTCCCCGGTTCCTGGCGATCCCGCCGTGGTGCTCCCAACACTTTCTGGCTACTCCTATTGACTCCTCCATCTGACCTCCTCCCCCTCATTCCAATTGGTACCACCCGTCCCATCTGCCATCTCCCAACCATCGGGGTCTCAGTCAGCGTGGGACGGAGCAGTCTAGACTGATCGGCGGGGCAACATTCCAGACCTCGCGCCGGCACATCCGAGCCTATCGATCCGATTAATCTACTCCTTTCCTCACCCACATTCTTTATCACCTCCTTCCCATTCGTTCCTTTGACCTTCCGGTTGCATGCCGAGCCACTCCCGCAGTCGGGACCGCCTGGGTCACGACCACGAGCGGGATCCCGATCCCGTCTACTCTCCCTCGATCTACCAGAGAGATGACTTTGACAACGCCTCGGTTGACGACGACCACGCCCAGCCACGAACTTATGATTACGAGCCCCACGAACATCACGATGTCCACGATTACGATAATTTTGAAGAGCCCTGGGTTCCGTTACGCGCACAGGTCGAGGGCGATCAATGGAGGGACGGGTTCGAGACCGCCATTCCCAAAGAAGAGGATGTCACACAGGCTAAGGAGTACCAAATGAGCGGGGCTTTTGGCGATGATGCTCTGCTACGTGACGCTATAGGTACGGGGGGTCGGAAGCCGAAAGATCGACCGGATCGTGAGACGCGCAGACAACGGAGGAAGGAGAGACTGGCGGCGTTCTTTAGACATAAAAGTGGGAATGGTGGGTCGGAGCTGGTTAGTGGAGATGCTCTGGCTAAATTGCTTGGATCGCAGGATGGGGATGATGATTGTTTGAGTCATTTGGGTGCGGATAATGCGGCTCCGGTGGAGGAAAGTAGGCAGCGGAAGCTCCCTGTCTTGAGTGAGGAGCCGTTTATGCTCCGCCCGTTTCCTGCGGTGGCGCCTAGGGGGCAGGGGCAGGGGCAGGTTCGGGTTGTCTCGGGTGCGCAGTTGGAAGAGGGGGGTCCGGATATGGAGATGCGACACCGTGGTGGTGGGGGACTGGCGACGGAGGCTATGCTTCCGAAAGAGGGCTTGGATGGCAGTGTGAAGAGCTCCGCTGGACGACCGTCGTTTTGGAAGCGGTGGGAGAAGACTTTCATCTTCTTCGGCGTTTTATTGCTGCTGGCGGCTATTGCTATTCCTGTTGGGATTATTGAGTCGCGGAGGCTTCATGACAAGGGGAAGGGTGGAGGTTCTGGAAGCTCTGATCTAGGAATCAGTCGTGACAGCATTCCGGTATGATTGGACCCATGCGCGCGTCTCGGTGGAGCTGACAACGATAGGCCTACGCCAGGGGTACATATCTTGATCCGTTTACGTGGTACGACACTACCGGTTTTAACCTGACGTTTACGAACGCGACAGTCGGCGGTCTATATATCATGGGCCTGAACTCAACGTGGAACGACTCGGCCCAAGCGAACGAGAACGTGCCGCCCCTGGATAAAAAGTTTCCGTACGGTTCTCAGCCTATTCGCGGTGTCAATCTTGGAGGCTGGCTGTCCATTGAGCCCTGGATTACTCCCTCGCTCTTCAATCCTTATTCTTTGGACGAAGGAATCATCGATGAATGGACGTTATCCGAGAAACTCGGTGATACAGCTGCGTCAGTGATCGAAAAGCACTATGCCACCTTTATCACCGAGCAAGATTTTGCTGATATAAGAGACGCGGGCCTCGATCACGTCCGGATCCAATTCTCGTACTGGGCTCTTGGGACATACGACGGGGATCCGTACGTTCCCAAAATCGCCTGGCGATACCTTCTGCGAGCCATTGAGTACTGCCGAAAATATGGACTCCGCGTCAATCTTGACCCGCACGGCATTCCCGGTAGCCAGAACGGCTGGAACCACAGTGGTCGACAGGGCTTGATTCGCTGGCTGAATGGAACCGAAGGGGAGATGAACCGGCAACGATCTCTGGACATGCACAACCAGCTCTCGCAATTCTTCGCGCAAGACCGATACAAGAATGTCGTCACGATCTACGGCCTGGTGAACGAACCCCTCATGCTTTCCCTTTCCGTGGAAGCCGTCCTCAACTGGACGATCCAAGCGACCGAACTGGTCCAGAAGAACGGTGTCAAGGCCTGGGTCACCGTGCACGACGGCTTCCTCAACCTGAGCAAATGGGACAAGATGCTCAAAACTCGCCCGGATAACATGATGCTCGACACCCACCAGTATACTGTTTTCAATACGGGCGAAATAGTCCTTAACCATACGAGAAAGGTTGAGCTGATTTGTGAGAGCTGGTACCCCATGATCCAGGCAATCAACGTTACCAGTACGGGGTACGTACCTCTGTCCCCTCTGCCCCCTCTATACAATTAACTAACCCTCCAATTAGTTGGGGCCCAACCATTTGCGGCGAATGGTCCCAAGCCGATACCGACTGCGGCCAATACCTCAATGACGTGGGCCGCGGCACTCGCTGGGAGGGTACCTTTTCCCTGACCGATTCAACCGAATACTGTCCTACCGCAAGCGCCGGCACCTGCAGCTGCACGCAAGCGAACGCCGTTCCGGGCGTCTACTCGAAGGGATACAAAACGTTCCTGCAAACCTACGCCGAAGCTCAAATGTCCGCATTTGAGTCCGCCATGGGCTGGTTCTACTGGACGTGGGCGACGGAATCAGCAGCGCAGTGGAGCTACCGGACGGCATGGAACAATGGGTACATGCCGAAGAAGGCGTATAGCCCGGAGTTCAAGTGCGGGGACGCGATTCCGAGTTTCGAAAATTTACCGGAGTATTATTGAGCGTTTTATCCGCAGGATCATATGGTTGTTTTGGCGTCCGGCAAGCATTTAAGGGTCATAGCGAGCGTATCGCGCCATGCTTTGGAGCATCACATGAGTGCCTCATAGAGCGATTGTTGGATTAAAGTACTAGAATTCTAAACCAAATACGATTAGAATTTCACTTGGCAATGCCTGTCTCCAACCTTGAAAGCCAAATAATCCTACCCCTTAATGCTAGTGGGCCCAAAAATCAACCCGCACGCGTGACCCAGCGGCAAATTCCCCCATCCAGCAAATGCGGGGATCCATGCGGGGGGATAGCCCAAACCGGGACTAGCCGCGGCCCCCGATCCAATCTACACGGCAAGTCTTTCCGTCCTTCCCTCCGGACCATCTTCCCTCCAACATGTCCCCATCACACAGACCAAGAAATCGTCTGATCGCAGGCTGGTACTTGCCCAACCCGCCCCCCATTCCATTGCCATTTGCCACACTGACCAATTCCAATCGATTCCTTTCCATCCCTACAGCCAAAGATGTCGAAGTAAGTCCAATCACCCCCACCCATCCATCCCATAGCCGCAAAACTAATCTCTATCCCAGCCCGTCATTTAAAATGTACGTTCACACTCATATACCATTACCTGAAACCAGCATTCTAACGAAGCAAAGCGAAAAGGCGACACGAACACACCAGCATGCAATCCTTGTCAAAGGGCAGGGGCCGTTTGCGAAAGAGGGGTTAATATTCGATTTCGGAAGGGATTGGAGTTGTCGGAGGATGCTGAGGTGGCGTTTCCGGGGTGGGAGATGTGGGTGCGTTTGATGGGGCCGGGTTAGTGCTTTTTCGACCCCTCTTGTTGGTTATGGTGGATTTGGTGTTGGGGTGGTGCTGACTGGTTGTTGTTGTGGTGAAGTCAGGTTTGTGGATGAGACGGTGTTGGTTAGGAAGTTTTATGAGGTTGGTGTGGGAGATGAGGAGGGGATTGATGGTGGTCTGGAGCAATTTACTTTGCCATTGACGGATGAAGGGCTGGGGGATACGTCTTCGATACAACGGTTGCGGGATGATGGCTCGTCGCGTGAGTTTGGGGGTTTGGCTGGGGAAAGTTTCCAGCATGCTTTGGAGGAGTCTAGTGGGGGGTTGAAATTGGTTGTTTTGAAGCAGGAACAGAGGCTATCGCTTAATGGGCGAGAGGCTACGCTGATGCGGAATTATGTGGAGAATATGGCGCTGTGGGTGAGTATAATGATTATCTGTTGCTGTGACTGTGGTTGGTTTGTTGGGGATGCTGATTATATTCAAGGCAGATATCACGGACCCTCATCGACATTTCGAGGTAGAGGTCCCGGTCAGAGCGGTGCAGGAGCCGGTCCTGCGTTATGCGATATTTGCTTTCTCCTCTCGACATGTTGAAAGACAGAGCAAGGGAAATGAGGCAGAAGCGCTGCAGTATCATAACCACTGTCTGCAATTGCTGATTCCAGCGCTTTCTGGCTCAGGAGGTGACTTGACTGATGTCGTGCTTGCCACTGTTGCGATTCTTCGCCAGCATGAGGAGATGGAGTGTATGTGTGTGATTATAGACGGAGAACCACAAGCTGACTTGTTTAGGTGATGACAATCAGTTCCACCTGACAGGAGCAGCGCATATATTGAACACTGTATCATCCTTTGGATCATCAGGAGGCCTAGGCGAGGCGGCTGCCTGGCTGTGTCTCCGTGACGATATCCACGTATCGCTAATCTCGCAAAAGCCTCTGCGAACGAACCTGGAAAGCTTCCATCATTCGGATATATTTGTCAGAAATGATGACTTCGCCTGGGCCGCTCGGATGGTCTTTCTGCTAGCCAAAGTGTTGAGATGCGCATTCAACCAAGTGTCCTCGCCAGAATATACCGCGCTACAGAATATTGCTCAAGAGGTCGAAGATTGGAACACCCGAAAGCCGCCTTCTTTTCATCCCCTTCGAATTCTCCCTCGTGACAAGGATGTTTCCCGCCGATTCCCGGAGGTGTGGATGTTGCTACCCGTGCATGGTGAGTTCTCGACCGCTCTTGAATGAGTTTACTGACTCTAGCAGTGGTCGGGGTTCAATACTACCACATCGCCAAGATTGTCCTAGCCTTTTCTTGTAGCCCAAGCCCATCATTGGCCTACGAGAGTTTCAAAAACTCGCGCAATATAGAGGTTAGTCCATAGAAGTATGCTGTTGTGATCGTCTGACCATTCCAGAAAACGATTCGACACCACCTCTTCATGGTGCTGGGATTGGCCAAGTCAAATCCCAAAGCGGAGAACACGCTTTTTACTGCGCGGCACAGTTTGGTGGCCTGTAAGTCCCAGGTCAGCGTGTCATGTGGCCTGACTGCGTTGCCTTGGCTTGAAACTGACACCTGATAGGGGGCTGGGTCATCCGGCATCGACCGGACCAGGAGGCTGCCGAGATTCTTCTGAGAGAAATGTGGACGAGGACCGGCTGGGATGTGGCCGCCTCGATACAGTCTTTACGAGAGCAATGGGCCGACGAGGACACGGACAGCTGAGCTGACCGGTTGCCGAATCCGCCCTTAACGAGCGACAGGTGCTATCTCCGTGAGCCATAGCACCCTCCTAGTTGGATAGATCAACTTCACAGCCTCATCGCTGTTGTTGCCACTTGATGGCCCAACGCTGCTGCCCTAACGATCGGGATCGGGTACTCGGATGCAGCGCCTCTTCGCTGGCATTGGTTTCATTCGTCCGGGCATATGCGATATGATCGAGTGGCTGAAAGCTTAAAAGGACGATACGATCACCGGGGCATTGTGACCCGCCGATTGGCAGATAATGACCGTAGATCTCACTGGTGCTCCGATGCTGCGTGTGGCCATCACATTGGGCATGATTCTGCACCAGCAGCAATGCCAATGCGACCCTGACTCGAAGTGGTGCAGTGTTCACAACCGTTGAATTCTAAACTTCAATTTGGAACCCATTGGTCCTCGGGGTCGCCTCATTGTAGCGGTGTAGCAACAATGGCGACGGGGTGTTGCGATGCAAGCTACTAGAACGGACCGCACGGAGCACCCTGCAGGCTAAGAGCCTATCACAATGGCCGGCTGGTATGCAGCGAGCCGACTGTCGAGCAACATGATCGTCGTTCCGATAGGGTCCAAGTGGACGCCGGCTGGACAAGGGGGGGCTCAGGACTATTCACCATTCCACATTCCAGGCGAGGGGTCGGCAACCCGAAAGCGTCCAGAACAAACCCAAGGTGAAAGAGCTGATCCACGTGTAGCCCCCCCGTGTAACCCTACTTTCCTAGCCTGGTGTTCCGTTTCCGTCTGCCGGTTCGGAATTGTCCTGGTTTATTCCCTCGTAAGTGCTTAACCGGAAAGCGCCTTCTGACCTGGACTAGTCGTCGACTATGAGCGCCAGGAACTAGCTCCAGGGATCAGCTGGCCGATCCCTCAATCCAATAGTGCACGTGAAGCCTCCACAAATTGCGAACATCCTTGCTCGCCTCGGTTCCGCATCACGGCTCCGCATTTGCTACCCCTGAACGTCATTGGAACCCCGACTTTAAGAGCCGGTCCGGCCCAATGCTTGCTGTCAATTCCCCGCATGTGCAGCTTCCTTCCTTCCAATCCTTCTGCCCTTCCAATCCTGCCCCGTCAGCCTGCCTGTCTGCCTGTCTGCCTGTCTGCCTTCATCATCATGCCACTCCATCATCCCTCGCTAAATGCCCACCACTTTTCCTGGCGGTCGATTTTCAACAGTAAAAAGGACCGTCGCTTCAGTTCCGCCTCGACTACTCTCTATGAAAAGGTCCCCAACACTTATCCTCCCTCAGAGCAAAGATCCACACCTCAGGCATCCATTCCGGAACCGTCACCATCCCCAACACCTTCACCAACACAAACCACTTTCATCTGGCAGGACATCAACCCCCCAACTGAAGCAGACGACCTCCTCTCAGACAACGACGACGACGATACCCTCCCATCTTACATCACCACAACCTCAACCACAACCTCCACCACACCCACAGAGAAAGACAAAGACCTCTCACCAGAACTCAAAACCATGATCGACACCACCAAACAAGCCCTCCACTCCCAACTCACCAACCCCTCTACCCCTCCTACCTCCCTCCCCGGCTACAACGATGTCTCCGGTGCCGTTGTCGTCGACTGGGACGGACTTCCGCATTTTCTCTCCCCCCAGGAAGAAGAAGATAGGAAGATGAAGCTCCAGCGCGCTGTCCAAGAGAGAATGCTTGGGTTGCCTAGACGGACCGAGTTTCAGTGGCAGGGGGACGGGAGGAGTGCCTCGTTGCCGAAGTATCCGTCTACTGATGCTGGTGCTATTGCTGAGGCGAAGGCGAGGAGGTCTTCGGTGAGGTGATCATACTATCTCACTTACTGCAAGATTATTTTATTTCTGGGGGTTTGTGAGTGTATTGGGTGTCGACCGGCCTATTTGCGTCTGCGTCAGCTTTACTCTTTGTGGGGGTTGATTGCATCGCCATGCTTTGGTTTGCTCTACCTGCTAAGAGTTGATGTGGAGGGAGCAAGCAGCACAGGGCACATAGCACACCCGACTGAAGCGCAAATTGCATCTTCACGATTAATGAGTTACGACGCCAATATGACAGGTACAAGGGAAGAGGATACGCGATCCTGTGTGAGAGAGAAAAAAACCAAACCAAACTGCGACTTTTGTTGTTGTTGTTCTTGTTGTTGTATCAATCACCACATATATACACACATGCACACACGCACCTTTTATCCCTCTCTTCCTCCTTCATTCCTTCCAGTAGGTAGCAGCATTGTACTATACATCCACATCCAACCACCTAGCTTCTAAAAAGCCTCAATCCACCCTCCTCTCTATCCTCCTCACTCTCCTCCCCACCACTCATCTCCTCATCATCCCCATCCTCCCGTAGCAACCCACTCGCCGTCTTCCCCAACAACGACGCAAAGAACTCCTCCCGCGCATGCTTCGTCCACGACCCACGCTCCTCCGGCGCCATAAAATTCTGCAACTTCTCATGCACATCGAACCGCATCTTCCGCCCCTTGGACGCCCGCGTATCCACATCCCGCTTCACCTTGTCCTTCCGCATCCCCGTAACAGGGTGCACCGCCGCCCCGCCCCGCGTCGGTAACTGTATATGCAACGTATCCAAACCATTTGTGATCGCGTCCGAAGACGACATGCGCTGCTCGACCAGATCCCGGAGCAGAGATTGGTAGAAGACTGTGTCGTCGTAGATAGGACCCTCGGGGGTAGTATCCTGACGTGCGCGCTTAGCCGCACGATCACCCGTCTCGGTAGCGACCTGGGCATCCAGGACAGCGGCGATGGATTGCTGGTTTGCCGAGGATGACGAGTTGAGGAGTTTGCCCCGGGTGTTGGCTGTGGTGGCGGCGTTCGCGCCGCGGACCTTAGCGGACCATTTGTCCAGGATGTTTCGGCGGTGCGGGTGCGCGGTGGATTCGAGATCCGTCATGCGAGTCCAGAGAGTTGCGGTTGAGGTTGAGGTGGTGGGGGTTGGACGCTTGCGTTTCTTGGTTTCCTCACTGCTGCTGTTGTGTTGGGCGTCGGCGAGCGCGACGCGGAGGTCTTCGAGGGTGGACCAGAGCGCGAGGGCGGCGGATTCGGCGGACGTGATGGCTTCCGAGTCTAGGTCTTCGGTCGAGTTGCCGCCGGCGAGGGTGGAGAGCTGGTTGATTGCCGTGAGGCCCTTTTGGAGCTTGATCCGGGTGTTGAGGAGGGCGTCGAAGGTCGCGCGTTGTTGTTTCACGGCTTTGCCTTTGATGGCGTCGGCTTTGGCGGCTTGGGAGATGGTTGCTGCGATGGTTTTTTGGTCCGTGGCCATGAGGCGGCGGAGTTCGTCGCGGTCGTTGGTGGTGCTGGGTTTGCGGGGGGTTTCTGAGGAGGATTCGGACTCGGACTCGGACTCGTCATCGTCGTCTTCTTCTTCGTCGGAGGGAATCTCGTCGTCATCGTCGAATGACCCCTCGCTGTCGTCCAGCTCGTCCGACTCGTCCGTATCCATGTCGTCTTCCTCGACCTGCTTCTTGGCTTTCTTTGCTGCCTTGGAGGGTCGGAGCTCCTCTTCTTCCTCACTCTCTGAGCCCTCCTCGTCTTCCTCGTCGCTGCCAAGCTCCAGATCCTCGTCTTCATCTTCATCCTCATCCTCATCATCCTCGTCATCGTCCTCGTCGCTCGACCGCGCCGCAAACGGATCATCATCGCTGTCGGCCTCCAACGCATCACGACTCACTTTCGACCCGGCATACTGTTTTCCGAGGGCAATCGGATCCTGTTTGCGCAATTTTGCCTTGCTGTAAATCAACCGTCAGCAACCACGACAAACACCCAACCATAACCCCCAACCCAGATACCACCAAGTCAAACAAAGAAAGAAAGAAGAAAGAACTAACCCAACATCCTGATAATGTTCCCTTCCCGCACTCGCATCCTTCTCAGCCACCTCCTCATCACTATCCTGATTCCCGCGATCCAAATCCTCAGGATCGTAGTCTAAGCAACCCCCATCAATTAGCCAAACTATTCACTCCTCAATACCCCAAAAAGATGAGTAAATACCTCTCGGAGTCAAATCCTCCAACTCGGCAATCTGTTCCGCCAGAGATTTCTTCGCCATGGCTGCGCTGTTCTTTTCAAATAAAAACTGAACCAGACAAGGTAGCTAACAATTAGCGCGATAGCAACTTTTATTTTTTTTGTTTTTCTGCCCGAGATTTCGGGATGCGGTGGCGGGATTACTATCTCTTTACGGGAAGGTGGGTGCTGGATTGGGCGGGTTACCCCGGCGGTGAGGTTTAACGGGCAGTATCTATGCGCGCGGGTTGTGATGCAACAAACCATCATCGACAGTTCATTGATTTGTTCATCATGTTGGGGAAGAGGTTGTTTTCCACGGTGAGGGTGCTGCAGCATGAGAATCCTTTGGTATGTCTCCCCCCTCCATATATTTGAGGTCTTGGATGTAGGGAAATACTGATAGAATAGGGACTTCCTCGCTCCGGCACTCCGCCCTCTTTCCGCAGTCGTCGCTCACTCCCCGAGAAGCGCAAGATCCGGGATGTGAAGAAGGTCATTGCGGTATCGTCTGCGAAGGGTGGCGTGGGAAAGTCGACGATTGCCGGTATACCAATCCCATACCTCCCTATGTATGATAGACACTGAGAAAAAAAAAACAACACAGTCAACCTCGCCCTCGCCTTCGCCCGTCGCGGCATCCGCACCGGCATCCTCGACACGGATATCTTCGGGCCTTCCATCCCAACTTTACTGAATCTATCAGGCGAACCTAGACTAGACGACAGTACGTCCATACTCCTACCCCTCATACCCAAACCCCACCACCTCTAACCACCACCAACAACCACAAACAGAAAACTGCCTCCTCCCACTAACCAACTACGGCCTAAAATCCATGTCAATGGGCTACCTCCTCCCCTCTTCTCAATCCCCATCCACAACAGATAGCAGACAACCAATGGACCCAACGCCCATCTCCTGGCGCGGCCTAATGATCACCAAAGCAATGCACCAACTCCTCCACAGCGTATCCTGGGGTCCGCTCGACGTTCTCTTCCTCGACCTTCCCCCCGGGACCGGCGACGTCCAACTAACCATCAACCAAGAAGTGATTGTCGATGGAGCGGTTATCGTAACCACACCTCAGGATATCGCGCTACGGGACGCGGTGCGCGGAATCGGCATGTTTCAGCGCATGGAGGTCCCGGTGTTGGGGATGGTCAGGAATATGGCGTTTTTTGCATGCCCGGGGTGTGGTTTGCAGACGAGGATTTTTTCGAATGGGGGGCATGGGGGAGGGTGTGAGGGGGGTGGGGGGTGGAGGCGGAATGTAGGAGGCTCGGGGTGGAGTTTTTGGGTGATGTGCCTCTGGATGCGAGGGTTTGTGAGGATGCGGATAGGGGGGTGCCGACTGTTGTTGCGGAGGAGGGGGAGGGGGAGGGGATGGGGGTGAGGAGGAAGGCGTTTTTGGATATTGCGGAGCAGGTTGCTAAGAAGGTGGGGGTTCAGTGGTAGATTTTTTTGGCTGGTTGGTTGTATGTGTGTGTATAGGTGTAGGATGTATAGTATGTGTATGTTATACCCAATTGATGCGTCATGTATTATTTTGAGTCTGGTGTATGTACATGGTCTGGGTGTATGAAGTATAAGGTATGGTATCTGGTAAGGGGTATTCAAACAAAACAGAAGAGAGCACCCGAGAACATGAGTCTTGTACTTGCCATGTTCAGCCAAAGAATGTAAAGATCAGTAAGCATCAAGACATCACCATAGTCCAAGAGAATATAAAGAGATAACTCAAGATGGTAGTCTAAATGATTATCAAAGATGGTATCCAAGATGATATCAAGGTGAAGATCGAAGGATATCCAGAAATGGTCCAACACAAGGAAAGCAACGAATGTATATCATCCAGAATTGTCTGTAAATGATGATCAATATGCAACAAACTCTTCAGCCGTCTTGAAAAACTCCCGATTCGGCATCGTCGGGCGCGAATGTTTGTCAGTCTCGACTGCACCGTTCAGGCTAGCTGCACCGGCATCAGCACTGCCACTGACAGAGGGCTCAATGTCTCCCCCGTCCGTCGCATCAAAGGACCGATACATCGAATCATCGTCGCTCAGCGGGCTCACTACTCCCCCAGCATGGAACACAGCTCGTGTGCTCGCCGCGTCCACTCCAGTCGTAGTCACCGCCAGCGACTTCTCATCGCCGATTGTGCTGCTGTCTTCTGGGAGCTCAGAGGTGAATTCGCTCCGGATAGTGCCGGAGCCGGCATGGGACAACGGGCGTTGACGGAGACGCGCCCACACGGCATCGGACCCAGTCGGAATGGCCCCGGCTTCGCGGAAGAGTGTCCGTGTGCTGGCATTTTCGTCGAGAAGCTGCTTTCCCTCGTATTCGGGCAACAGTATCAGTCGGCTGGTGGATTTGGTAAGCGACGGGGCGAGTGCGTCAGTTGAGCTCTTGGGAGAGGCTACGCTCGCTCGCTCGGACGTGTTTGGGGCGTCGTTGACATCAGTCGGTTCCTGGATCGTAATTCCTGGTCGAGTGGATGGGTCGATGGTGGGCAAAGTGCCCGCTTTATGTTCGCCTGCCTCGTCCATCGACGCTCCAGCGCGTCCGGCGTCGACACTGGTCCGCTTGGCACGGCCTTTCTGCTGGTCCCGCGCGATGATTCTCTCATCTTGCTTGCTGGCCACCCGGCTCCACATGGTCATGGGGTAGCTCTTGCGTCCGGTCTTGGACGGCAATACGCCAGGGGCAGTTCGTCTAGCCGCTAGCGAACTAGGCGGAGGCAGCTCGCCCTTGAAGGCTTGCAGCCCGTACGCCAGTTCCTTGATCCGCTGCCGTTGAACGCGGAGCTTCTCCTTCGCAAACTTGTCGTCCCACTCCCGTTTCGCCACGAGCCACCCGCGGACCAGATCCGGGTTGAAGGCACCGACGTCGGAGTTGGGGATTTGAAGAACGGGGCAGGACGATGGAGGATCGAGCGGGTAAACATTGCCTCGTTTGTCGACTCGCTGACGAATCATGCGATCTTTGAAAGCCGGTAATGGATCGCCGGCCTTTCCAACCGATGAGACGGAGTCCTCGGTGGTACCGTTGGTGGCATCACCAATACTGTCAGACTCGCTAGATGTCCCAGATCGCGGATCGGCGATTTCCATCTCCGCCTTCTGGGCACAAGCCAGGGCCCAGGCTCCGAATTGTGCGATGGCCCGAAACATGTACTTTGCGGGGCGTGTGAAACTGAGGGTGGGAGCAACATGGCAGAGGTCATCCCAGACCTGGAGCTGCACATGGGTTCCTGGGTGCTTGTGGAGGATCTCTCGTGTCGGATCGTGCTCAGCCATGAACCTATCACTAGGCGGGTATGCCGCGGGGTTGGCAGCCTTGTGAGCAACGTAGAAATGCTCATCTCGTAGCATTTCGCCACCACCACTTTGGATCAGCAACGGCGGCAGACCTCCCAGAGACGGCTGCAGGATCGGAGAAACAAGAGGGTGGGTCAAGAGTTCGTTGGTCGTATACATGTGGATCTGATCCTTGACCTCCACGGTCTCACCGTCAAGTGTCACCGTGATACTCTCCTCGTCAACGTCGGGCGAGCCATTCATATGGGCCGAATACCCCTTTGCAGCCGTGTCTGCAGCCTGGCTATTGTCATTTGGGATGGCCTTGAGGGCGTCACTCTGGCTGACCGGAGTCTTGGCGAGGCCTTTCTTGAGTTCGCGAAGCTCATCTGCATTTGGCGGGGGCCATGCCGCGGAGGGCTTATGTCTAAAGCCATACTGAGGAATATAATCGCCTGGATTGTCCGCGACAATGCTTGGGAATGAATGCGTGAGGTCTACCCAAGGGGAGATCAGGATTGCGCCCGCAGGCAAGGGAATCCCTTGATCGCGAAGAATGACGAGCATCCTTTCACCGTCAGCCATGTCCTCTACTCCGCGCAACTCACTTACGAAAGCACCATTCCTCCTCCCGCCGAATCTCCGGCAAATATAATCTCCTTGGGGTCATGGGCTGCCAAAAGATACAAATAAGCGGCCAGCGAGTCTTGTAGACTGCAAGGGAATGGATATTGCGGAGCCAGACGATATTTAGCTGTGAAAAGGAATTAGCTTTCTCTTCCCATGGTTCGTGTGCTGTATCCAAACTCACTACTCCAAATTAGTAATTAATATCAAATCAGGTGGATGAAACCTACCGTGCAAACACTCGTCCCTTGAGCTTCCTCGCGTGCCGCTGCATCTGGTACCGATGCGTATCCACGCTGGCGAAGTAATAAGCCCCGCCATGAATATACAGCATGATCCGCTTCTGGCTGGGGTGATCGCGACTCGTCTGCTCCCGTTCGTTATAATCATCCTTCATCTCAATCCACTCTCCCTTCAAATCCTCGGCCGGTCCGCGCCATTGCCACCACTCACTCCCGCCAACCCGTTCGATTCCCTTCGGACCCAGCTGCTTGTTGATGGCGTCCGCTGCTGACGAGAGATAATCCTCCGACACAGTCACAGTTTGGAGTTTCACCCAATGGGGCACGGGCACTTTCTGACAGGAGAAGGCCTGAAGGTCCTCGACAGGGTGCTTGGCCGCGTACGCGAGGAATTCGCGCATGATCCGGATCGCCTCATCGTAGGTAAGGTGGACATTGGGCTTATGACGAAGGGATTTGCGATGTAAATACTAAAGAAGATTGGGTCAGGATGAGAATCAGGGTCAATACTAATAAAGGCGGGAGAACCGGCTGGGGTGACAGCGGCAGAGCGACCCACATGAGAGATCAGGGTCTGAAGGACCGCCGGGGTGAGGGCCACGCCCAGGGCGAAGGTGTTCAGTGGCATGGTGATAATTTTAGAGAAGAAAGGAACGACCAAGACGCATGGCTTTTGTAGCTCGAAAAAAAGAAGCCAAGGAAGGTGAGTGGTGAGGATAACGATGGCCGGTGGAGCGGGTCGCAGGAATGAAGGGGGGAAAGGGGGAGGTTGAAACGAGCGCATGCAGAGACGAGATCAACGAGGGAGGAGATCGAGCCGAGGACAGGAACGCTTTGCAGCTGGAGTCCATTGCCACCTGTCATTGGGCACTGAGGGCACTGAGGGCACAAACACCATGGCTTATCGTCATGGCATGGCGGGAGCGTTGCATGCTCACTGGTGAAGAAAGAGAGAAAGCCGACCGAGGGTGATGTCATGGGGGCCCATCATCCCCTTGCGGCGGCGGTGCTGGCCGCTTGTTCCCCAATCACCGCCCACGCCTCGATGACTTGTCTCTCGCCAGCACTCAGCAATAATTGAGCAAACACTGAGATTAAGATGGCCGGTCCGAGCTTTCCTGCAGCAGTCCAGTCCACACTGATCCTCGCTTATCCTTCATGCGGATGCCAAGACTCCGAGATGGAGGCTTGTTCCTCTAGTCTGTCAGTCTACACACAAAGGCTTCCACTCCACTTTCTTTGTCAATAGTCACAGCCACGGGCGTTCTACACCGGTTATCTCGGATGCAATTTTCCACACTCACAAACATATTCATTGGTAGGGAATCAAAAGTCGGTACACTAATAAACAAGCCGGCTGTACACAGCCTTCGAAGAAATCAATAATGTACAGTCCATCACAAGCCACACTTCAGATCATCAAATCTCTTATGACACACAAGTACATTTACTATCCCATGTTAGCCGGGACTCCTCTCATAGACCGGGTCCACTTACCCCTTCTTGCATTTCTTCTTCTTGCACGAGGACGATGACGAGTCAGTGGTCTTCGAGGACTTCTTGGTGGTCGTGGTGGTCTTTTCCTTCTTGGTCGTGGTGGCCTTGTCCGTCTCCTTGGTTGAGGTTGTGGTGGTAGTCTCCTGCTCGGTCGTGGTGGAGTGTGTGGATGTCGTACTCGTGGTCTTCTTAGCCTTCGTGCTGGTAGATTTTGTGGTGGTCGTCGTCTCCTTGGATTCCGGGCTAGTGGTCTTTGTGCTGGTGTTCGTCGTCGAGCCCTTGGCCTCCGTCGTAGAGCTGTGTGCCGCTTTGCTGGTCTCCGTGTCTACGGCCTTCGCGCTACTGCTAGTCTTCGACGTGTGCTTGACCTCGGCAGATCCTGAGCTGTGCTTGGTCTTGGTCTCCGTCTCAGTGGTGGGCGACGTGTGCGTTGCCTTGTGCGAACTCGTCACGGTGACCTTGGCCGAATGCGAAGCTAGTCCATGTTAGCATTCTGTAACGACTATCCTCGGAGCAACTCACCCGTCTCAGTTGCCGTGCTTTCTGTATGCGCCGGCGTAGCTTTGCTGGAGGCAGAGTGGGTCGCCTTTGCGGAGGAAGATGCCGTCGAAGTGGGCGTACAGGCGGCCACCGAGGAGCCTCGCTTGGCAAAGGAAGTGCCATCCTTCGCACTCCAGTCCAGCAGCTGGCTGTTCTCCCATTTCCATGATGCCGCCGGATATTTCTCGTTGAACGCGTCCAGCGCTTTGCCGTAGATGTTCTTCACCCCCGCAGCCTCCGTGCTGGTCACGAGCCCCGAAACGGATGAGATACGGGTCGAGACGGCGTTCGCTTGGGTTTGCACAAAGTCCTCCATCCAGCTGGAATAGGCGCTGGCCCAGCCGCCATTCGGCTGAGGGAGGTCCAGCTTGTCATTGCACTGTTTCTGGGATGCCATGAGGTCGTCGATGCCAAGGAACCCTTTATAGATACGGGTATTGGCGTTCTTGAAGTACTTCGCGATGCTGTTATCGCGGAGCATGGCGACCACAACCGCCATGGTGTTCATAATGCTCAAGGCGCCGGTATGAAGCTCATCGCCGGAGCCACTTGGCTTGGGCAAGCCGGTTAATTCGTCGCTCCCAAACATCTGATGCGTTGAGTTAGCCATGGTCGATCAGATCATTGTCAAATCTTAGGAGAAAAAGGGGCTTGACTCACAGGCGCTTTGTAGCTATTTAGACGACTATCTTCGGCCACTAGATCCGGGTATACTTGGCCAGGCAACTGTGGGCACATCAGTACCTCCCGTAGCGTAGGTCATCGAACAAAGGGATACATACATAACTGTAGAGCTTCTGGAGTCGAGACTTATATTCGCCTCTCTGGTTTTTGAAAGTATTATCGATTTCCATGAACCATGTGTTAAAATTGGTGCAGAAATTGTATTTGTCGATCATAGCCGTCAGGAATGCATCAAGAATTTGGAGTTCATCTGAAGTGGTCAGCCCAGGCAGAGCAACGTAGAATCCTGAGCCTACTCACAAACATGATCTATGTTAATGTGAGGCTCTTTGGCATTTGCATTTTTAATTTGTGTTCCCAGAGGGAGGTAGGTTTTCTGAGAATTGGACTCGACGGTGTCCCAATAGGCTGCGGTAGCCTTCGGAACATCCGCTGACTGGGCAAGTGTGGTGTAAGTGGCGGCTGCATCGCATGTATCCAGCTTCGGGATAAAGTACCCGAGGAAGCTATAGCCGTCTGCCTTGTTCTGGCCATTTTGTATATTCTTCGATGTGAAATATTTGGGTTTGTAGATGGTGTCTGTCAATTTGCATTTTCCCAGCTCATCGATATCGCCGTGACCTCGGCGGGCGAAGTAATTTATGTGCGTGATCTCACCGTGACTTCGCCGTCTTGTCGATGAGGTAGATTCTTCATTTTGTTCGGTGTCGTCTTCGGTGAGATTGGCAGGAAGAACGTACTTCCAGCAGGTCGATGCTGAGGTCGAGCTCGCAGCAGCAGCCACGGCCGAAGATGATGCTTCGCCTCGAGCTACAGGCCAAAAAGAGGCGGAGGCCAGATGGGCCAGCACGAACAAGAGAGCTGCAGCTTTAGGACCAGCCATGATGGGACGATCGAGGAGTTGTGTGATTTCGAACTGGTCAGAAGAGCAAGGCCGGGATATTTATTCCTTCTCCCATGAGTGCCCATGCTGCTTCAATTGCCAGTATACTTCAGGATTAGGAAGCGTCTATACTGTCGAGGCTCTGCAACGCGTATGCATTTGGGGCCGGGATGTTTCATTATTGGGGCCGAACTGCGGAGGCGCACAGGTACCGGAGCGGAAAGTTAGGGTTGGCAAGGCTAGGATCAGCCACCGCCCCCAGCCTAAGCTCTTTATAATTCCCGTTCCTCCGCTTTCGTTGGAACATCAACTTTCTTAGGATCCCTGAATGTCCCCCCAACGCCTTTGACTCCACATGAATCTCTTCGCATTGCCCCCGGAGCTGCTCGAGGCGATCCTGGCACGGGTCGCCTCCCGTGCTTCTCTCGCCAGCCTTGCGCGGGTCTGTCAGCAGCTTCGGCCGGTTGTCGAGCGCATCCTGTACCAGTCTGTGTACTTGCGCAACCACGATGGGAAAAAGTTCGCATACGCTCTTGACTGTCTGTCAGCTCGTGCTGAGTATGTCCAGGAGCTCCTAGTCCACTACCACTATGTCGAGGTCCCAGATGAGGAGGACTATTACCCGTGTTATGCGGAAAGCCTCGCCCCCACAATCAGCCGCCTCGTAAAATTGAGATCACTGGTCGTCAAGGGCCTCGAATACGATGCTGAGCGAGAGGATGACGATGAATACCTGGGTGGATATGAGAGAGTCATCGAAGAGACCAAGAAGTGGAATGATCTTTTTGCCCAGTCCGCTATGCCAGGTTCACAGATCCTTCAGTCACTTACAAAATGTCTGCCAATATTTCCGGTTCAGAAGTGGTTATCATGCTAATCCTCTTAGGTCAGCTAAATATGGATGATGTTGACCGCTCGGAACCGCTTTGGGATTTTCGCCTGCGAGGGACCGTGATGATCCATCCGTACATGAAAGATTTGACCATTTTGGGGGCCAATGTTTCGGGTCTGGAGGACTCTCTCATGGCGTCAACTCGATCAACGTCACTCGAAAGATTAAGCCTGTTCTGTTGTGATGCGGCACCTAGAGGGATCCAGGACCTATTGTCCCTGCCGCGTGCTTTGAAACATTTCACTTATAAAGGGGCTCCTTGGACGCACAGGCCATACAATCTTATGGAGGACAGGCAGAAATGCATTGACACCGTGAAAGTGCAGGCTGACTCACTTAATACTCTAGACATGGACTTTTATCCGGGTAACTGGGATAATCCAGCGCTAGACTTTCGCGATTTTTCCTGCCTGGAACAGCTTACCGTTGACCCACGCGCCCTGAGAGGAGACGGAAAGTTTGACCCAAAAGACAACAACGAAGTCTGCCTCTGGAAAAGCCCTGAGCTAAAATGCCAGCTTCCTCTGGGCCTCAAACGTCTGGTATTCTTTGAATATCACGAACAAAGCACACCAGACCTGTATACTTTACTCCTAGTCTACAACTGGGTCTCGCGAGGGAGCTTGCCAAATCTGGAAACCATCACTGTCCAGTCAGCCAAATCATCCAAGAACGCGATACTAAACAGCCCGTTCGGAGATAACAGCGGACGGTCGGTGTTTCAAGCGTTGCAGGAAGTCGGAGTGCAATTGCGGGTTGAGCGTGTGCTTGACAGTACCGAGGCTGGTTATCAACTATTTGACTGTGATCGTTGTGGGGTGTGTTGGCGAATTCGTGGAATCCATTTTCTTTGAGTATCCTTTAACTCGTTCGGAAGAGTTCAACGGACATACAAATTGAATAAACTTTTCGAGCACCGGGTTTGGGGCGCTGTTAATGCATGTCAGAGCGCGTAAATTGAGGGATCATGAAGCATATAATGAAATCATGCAGAAGTCCAACTGACCCATTCTGTCAATGGTATTGATTTCATTACTTATACCTCTGCTATAGTACTATAGCCCGTGTTCATCTCGCTTGACGGTATAATGCGCAAGCAGAAGGCGATTCTTGCAAACCAAGTCGGAAGGAATCGATGGCGTGGGGGCGAAAGATAGCAAAGCCACCATCATCAGACTAGCTCCAGATAAGCATAAATGAGGTTAAACAGTAAGCTTACGATTCGCACGAGGCTGAAAGCACTACTTTTGACGCGCGGCTTGAGTATTAGAATGGTCTGGGTGATGGGGGCCGACTGATTGACAGGCTGACTATTCGTTAGTCGATCAACTTGACGCGTCGCCTTCATCAACCCCTAAGAATCCTTGGGTTGGCTAGATAATTCTCAGCGGCGCTCGTACTCTCTGGAGTCATAACATATGAGGTGAGTTGGGTGCTTTCTGTGAAGAGGATAGCCAATATCTGATTGTACTTAAAGAAGTGTTCGTTATGATCGAATACATAATGAACACGGAGGCTTGGTAGAAGAGGCTCTCGCGGGTGAAATTGACCCGGAATATTTCTTTCCCATCAGGTGACCTGTTCATTGTGTCTGCGCCCCTCCATCTACTGCAACTCTAGATACCTCCTGCAAGTCAGAATCCGTAACTTCATGAAATGGCTTTTAGTCAACCACTAAGCAACTGCACGTCTTGCTCCACTTGCCTCTCCTTTAATTATAACCAACAACAAATAATAACCTGGGGGAAGTACCCTCTCTCTAAACACACGGGAGTCCTGTATCAAGTTCTAGTTTAAACGCCGCAGGTCACGATGACTTCTTATTGCAGAAATGGGGGCCCCCTTTTCACTTGTCTTCTTCCTTTGCCTCATTCTCTCTGTCCTTGGTTGCTTATCCTTATTTCTATCGACCTGAAGGTCCCCATTATCTGCTCTCCCTTAAGTACTCCTGCTGACATTTATACTTGTTCTTAGGGTAGTGCTCTCCTTCTAAGCCCTCTGACTCTAAGACGACTACAATTCCTCCCACTCATGTTAGAATTCTAAAGAGGGCCTATATGCGTCTCCTAGATAGCGTAGTACCGGGTGGTATAGTGCTCTCTTAATCGATGATCGTCAAGATAGCAAAAAGCTCGTATCAATTCTCATCCACTCATATATATTTCCTACCTGCACATTGAAGCAGAACTCTGGCTGAGTTGCTGAAAAGCGCGATTTGCATGTCTTTCGCTGGCTGGTCTGCTAACCCGCATTGTGATATAATGGAAAGATGTTCTTTGGCGATTTTTATACACCGGATAAGAGATCATCCTGGGTGAAAACATATTATATTTGAAAGGATTGCGGAGGTCGGATAAGCCTCGGCAGTAAGCACCAATGCTGGCATGGTAAGCACTAGTACAGGAGAATACGCACTCCTCAATTATGTAAATATTATTGAAATTTGACTATATTTTTTGTAAGTTCGTCCAGTTTTATGTATCCTCCAGCAATAGTAGTAGCCACTCATTGTCTGTTGGGTCGCCTGTACATTCGCAAGATGAGCTTCTAGAATAACAACAATTTGGTAAAACTTATGGGAATTCTGCACAACGCAGCCATTAAACTACTACATACGGTGTACTGACTCTCTAATTAGTATAATCGGCACCAATACCAGAGAAATTCCCAGGAAAGCCAACAAACAAAGAAACACAACAATGACGTCGCCCAGCACTCTTATCTTATCGCCTTCCAAACACCGCACCATTCCCAATCCGGCCCGCCCGGCAACCTTTCCGACAGCTCTCCATCACACCATTTCCTCCACCTCCACCTCCACCATCAACAACACAACATCCCACTCACTAACTCACTCACCCATCCAACATCCAATATGTCACACCCAACAACAATGAAAGCCTGGCTCTACAGCCACACCACCCCAACCCTCGAACAAAACCTCACCCTAACCCCGACCGCCACACCCCCTCCACCACCGAAACCGACCCAACTCCTCATCCGCGTCCTCACCTGCGCCCTAAACCCAGCCGATTACAAAGTCCCCTCGATGCCAATCATATCTCGCCTCCTGATCCGCAAACCCGCCAGCCCCTGTCTCGACTTCGCAGGCGAAATCATCACCCCAGGATCTAGCGTCACGGAATTCACCGCCGGCCAAATCGTCTACGGAACCTTGCCCCTACCTACCCAGTTCGGGCCATTTGGGGAATACATCCTTGCAGAGACAGAGCACGTACAATTAGTACCGGAGGGCGTTGGGATCGATCACGCAGCGACGGTGGGTGTCGCGGGGCAGACGGCATGGCAGGCTATTTCGCCGTATGTGACGCCTGATAAAGGGGATAAGGTGCTTATTGTGGGTGCATCTGGTGGGTGTGGGATCTATGCGGTGCAGATTGCCAAGGCGTTGGGGTGTGAGGTTACGGCTGTGTGCTCTACTAAGAAGGTGGAGTTTGTGAAGGGGTTGGGTGCGGATGAGGTGATAGATTATGCGAAAGAGGATGTGGTGGAGGTGTTGAAGGGGAAGGGGAAGGTTTTCAAGTTGGTTGTGGATCATGTGGGAGAGCCGACGGGGTTGTATGCGGAGAGTGAGGGGTTCTTGGTGCCTGGGGGAGTGTTTACGCAGGTTGGGGCACATTGGATGCCGACGTTTATGGTGAGGATGTTGAGGCCGAGATTTTTGGGCGGTGGGAAGGCGAAGTATGTGCCCATTTTCTGGAAGAGTAATCGGAGGGATTTGACTAAGGTGGGGGAGTTGATTGCAGAGGGGAAGGTGAAGGTTGTGCTGGATAGTGTTTTTGAGTTTGAGGAGGCGCCGAAAGCGTTTGAGAAGTTGAGAGAGGGGAGGGCGAGGGGGAAGATTGTGGTTCATGTTGGGGAGAGGAAGTGAGGACTCTGCTAGGCTTGGGTGGGGGTAATGTGTTATTTTATTCTATTCGTAGGGTGGGTTCTAATGATTATGGGGATGTCCGTATGGCGGGTTCATTTCTGCTTCAGGAAAGTCAACGCCCCGAGAGATATCGCATCCACGGCTGTTTGCAGCGTGGGCTCGATCACTGGCGCAAAGTATGGCGAGTGGTTACTGGGGAGGTCCTTCACTGTGCCATTCTTGACTGCGTCGTCCCAATTCTGGGGATCAACGCCGCCATATGTCCACATCACGTACGGCGCGTTCACGGCTCGAGCCAGTAAAGAAAAGTCCTCGCTTGCATTCCCAGGATCTGTCTCAACGAGACGGTCTTCGAAGTAAGCGCCGAAGGTTCTCCTCAGAGCTTGCACGGTAGCATCGTCGTTTATGGTGGCTGGTGTAGAGGAGACATGGTCGATTCGCGGTTCCTTCTCACAGCCAGCCGACTCGCACTCGGCGCGGATGATCTGTTTGACTGAACTCACCACACGCTCACGAATCGAGTCTTCGCACGTCCTCACGTCCAGCTTAAGATCCAGAGTGTCCGGAATGACATTCCCTGCGTGGCCAGCTTGGATATAGCCACATGTCACCACAGCCAGCTTGCCCGGAGGCACCTGGCGGCCCACAATGGTCTGCAGCTTCATGATGATCGAGGCACCCGTAACAACAGGGTCAATACAGACTTCAGGTGACGACCCATGGCCACCCTTTCCGAAGATACGCACATTGAACGAATCTGCAGCCGTCAATAGCCGGCCAGAGACGATACCGACCGTGCCTGCTTTCATGGGCATAACATGCTGTGTCAGCACCACGTCCGGGTGTGGAATCTTGTCGTAGAGACCATCGTCCAGCATGGCTCGCGCTCCCGATACCAATTCCTCTGCTGGTTGGAAGATGCAGATCAGGGTACCGGACCAATGCTCTCGGGCCTTGAGAAGGAGAGAAGCACTGGCCATCAAGCTGACAACATGAGTGTCGTGGCCGCAGGCGTGCATGACAGGCATTTCAACTCCGTCCTTGCTCTTTGCGGTCTTGGTGCTTGCGTAGGGGAGGCCTGTCTTCTCCTCTACTGGGAGTGCATCCATGTCTGCTCGAAGCAGAACTGTGGGCCCATCCCCATTTCGAAGAACGCCTGCAACGCCATAGCCACCGATGTGTGTATGCACTTCGAATCCTAGTTCCCCCAGATGCTCTGCAGCAATGGTCGAGGTTTCTTCTTCGCAGAAGGATAACTCGGGGTTGCTATGTATGTGGCGATAGAGGGACTCGAATGGCGTCAAATTGGGACGGGATTCCTCGAGTATGGCCCCCAGATTATCTGAAGCTGTTAGCATCACTGGCTGGCATGAAAGGCACCATTGATGGTCAACGTTCTAGAAAGGCTTACTTGTAAGTTTCATGTGCATGTTGGAGATCTGAGCTTAATGGGATGAGATAGAATGAGGACCTGAGGGCGGGAGCTTTGGACGCTTTATATGAAAGATTGGTGGGCTTCTCGAGCATCTTAGAGGAAACGAAGTGCGAGGCTCGTCATCTCCCATGAGGGGAAACTGGAGCCCCATCTGGCTATTCCACATTTCCACTGGTACGGTTGCCGACCTATGTAAGGGAGTTAATGTCTCAGGAAGGTGGATGATGGGGCAAGCGGGAGACGCCGATAAAGTAGGGCGATCCTTGGCCCGGCGGGGCTCGGTCGGCTAACTGGCCAGTCTGGCTGCTATGCTTATCTCCCCCTCGGGCTCGGCTATCGGAGCCTCGACCGATGCAGGCAGCACGCCGGCCTTTCGTCCATTCCCCAACCTACCTGCCAACTATCTCCAAATTGCGGCGATCATGATTCCTTCACTAAGCCACAATGGGTCTGTTTGTACTTACTGACTCCAATTCCATAAGCACGGGCCGCCTGGTAACGTCATATGAAAAAGGATGGTGGTAAAGCTAATGATATCGCAGCACTGTTGCTTTTGTTCACGTTCCTGTTTAAGGAGCCATTCAGGTGACATTATCTGTGGAACCTTATGGTACAATACTCAATTACGTAGATGACTCTCTGGGTTTGAGTTTCATGGTAGAACATGCAACCAACATTCATCTGCAACCATGAATTGCAGTCTGCCAAGAAGCTTTGAAGTCGCAGATAATTAATCACTTGACTCTGATTTGAGAGAATGGGCACGCCAGTTTCATTCTGACTGCAGCTATCCATACATGTGTCACAAAAGAAACGTGAAGCAAGGGCTTCCTATGTTGGCATCCTTGGCTGTAATGGATCTTTACGAGTTTGAAGTCTCTAAATCAAGGCTTGGTCAACATCTGCGAGAATGGATAAATCGGATGCGAATATTCAGTCATTCAAGAAAGAAAGATTCAAGTACATACACACAACAGCGGTGACTGAGCCTCCTATAAGAGACAAAGATTCAATGTCAGGTTAAATACAACACAGTGTGGCCAGGCTGGTAGTCAACATGGCCTACCACGAGGGATGACAGCTTTATGCTAGGATCCTTTGTATGTCAGTTATTAACCCGCCTGTTATGTTGCACGGCACTGTAGGGGCTGCTTGGCCTTTGTCTGGTCAAGTGCCGATCATTCAATTGATAAAGCACTCGGGTGCCTCGGAAGCAAAGACCCGTTGTTCTGTTTGCAATGAAACCCATTCTGTAGATCTACTCCCTACCTGGATCTACCTTGTGTTAACAAAGGGTATTCTGAATGCTCTTGAAAGGTACTGCAACCTGCATCAATAACACAAAGATGACTTGCCTGGTTTCTAGGCTAACAAGCATCGTGTCAGCCTTGAGTCACAGAATATCTTAGATTGCAGGGGCACACCATTCATATCAAACAACTAAAGTTCAAGCCCATTGTTGGGGTTATCGCCTTGCTTGCTCATTCATCAATACTTGTTCCTCTGTGTAACACTTGTGTCGGAGCCAACCGGATCAAATTCACCCAACCATCTATGTCTATGCTACCTCTTTCACCTATACATTCACCATGGTCTTCCCAGAATTTTGCTTAAAAACCCCTATCCCCTCCTCCACAGATCAATCCGACCCCACTTCTTCAAAACCAATCTTCTCACCATGCAGCTTTTCAAATTCCTCGCTTTCTCTCTCCTCGCCACCCTGGCCAACGCGGCAGCGGTCAACCTTGAGGACACCACTCCTATCCCCAAGGACACTCTCGATAAAAGAGGTGACATGTGTGGACAGTTCTGTGTTGGACCTCACAGCTGCCACGGAAAATGCTCCCGTTGCATTAACCTTGTCTGCAGGAAATAGTGCGTTGAAGATCCACCCGACTCATGACTCCAACTAACCATCCCGACTTCAGATCTACTCATCTTTTGCTCTTGTGGTCTATTGTCTCCAGCAAATGCCTTGGTTTATTATGGTAAGTGGCAGCTCTACGGTTACAGTTAGTACAATAGCTAACTACCTGTAGACGGCCATTCAAGCCACACTCACGTTTGTCATCATGGTTCTCTTGCGGGTATTGGAGTGGTACGTCCTGTACTTTGGGGATCGGGTAGTTGAACAAGAAGATACAGGATTTATGGAGGATGAGGTCTTATTTGATGATGATAATTATGCTCGTTGATCTTTCTGAGTGGCACGCCGCAGGCGGTGTTGGGGACGAAGATCACTTTGAGTACTGATGTTTCTTATCTTTGATATTTCATGACAAATTGAACCGTTTGGCTTTCCTCACTTGCAATATGACGAGTAGATTAGCTATGACTGCCCCTCCTCTTCTGCAAGACACTACAACACTGATCAGCTCCTAACTCGTACAGAAGCTCATAAATTCTCCCTGACCGTGCTAGTTACCAACCTACTTTAAGAACATTAATATTTTATATCTCAAGGACTCTTACTTTCATCTACGTGGTTGCTTTACACGAACCCTGACTATGAATTACCATGTTCGTTGCTCAGAACGATACTATGATCATTGGGAAATGGAGTAGGCAGATAACTGAAGCAGCATCTATAACAAGGCTTTGGAGGAGGGGGGTGAAAGCTCATTCGTTTCCGTCCGAAGCCTTTCTATGCGGATTACTGTGTAGCTTGCTTTTGTACACATGAGATGGAATACGCACTCATCAAGAAGAATCAGCCACTAGGCACTGCACAAATACCTAAACAGCACCGAGACAAATCGCAGAATGGTGCACCACTATCCACACACAAAAGTCTTTCAACCATACTCTTAGACCATATAAAACACGGGCCAAACTCTCTGCCGCCTTACAATCCTATATGTTGCCTGTAGCATTTTAAAGCTGGGTATTCCCCTTATAGTCACCAGTCCTTCCAGAACGTGACATCAAAATCAATACAGCCAAGCCCCCAACATCCGTTCAACCTAGGTAGTCCCTTAATGCGCGAACACAAAAATTAGCATGGTGATAAGCTGGCCCGTTGACCACTGACTAAGTCTCTTGATTTTGATTGGTGGAGTAATTTGGATCGGGAAGAAAAGCTGCCCGTACCTGCGGCAAGATGCAAGCATAAACAAAACAAAACAAAAAGAAAAAGATACGTCCCTCGACCCGGAATCGAACCAGGGATTTTCCGGTTACAATTAAACTATTACAGCCGGACGCCATAACCAACTAGACCATCAAGGGCGTGTGATGTTCGCCACCCAGAAATTATCAACCATAACTAAAACAACTTTTCCAACACTTCGATTTCTGTCAGAACATGTTTATGACATCGATGAAATTTTACTACCTAGCTAAGTTATTATATATTGTACTTAGCAGTATATTACCGAATGATCGGAGTAAATGTAGCAATGCGACCGGATCTGAGTCACAAGGCATCAACATTGCTTATCAACTGCCAGTGACTATGAATGTGATTACTCCGTAGGTGCTCCGTACGGAGTAGGTACTGATAACGGATCTGGATGACTGCAAGTATCTAGCCGGGTTAGGGAGTGGCTGGCCAGTCCGGCATTCTTGGCGTAAGATGAAGGATGCTAGATACGATCCCCCAATTGCTCACCTAGCACCCCCTCTGCTCAGTCTATTGCGAGAATGCCACCGTCTCACTACTCTCTTTTGTATGTGGGTAGATTATATGAAACATGGCGCCTATCTGAAGCATCGGTTTTCTTAATCCATTGAGGTTTTATGGATATTATCTAGACCCGAATAGATAAACTAAGCTTGTCGGATTAGCTGGTAATGGCTCGCAGAATTCTTATAGAAATTGAAATATAGGATCTCACTTACAAAACAGGACGTGAAAGCTTCTATTTGTTAAGGCGAAGTGTTAGCCGAGTAATTAGACGGATTCGGACCTGAATTCGGAACCACACATTATCAGGCAGCGATTATACGGACTTCGGAGTCGACTGACAGGCATCCGGATCCTGGCGTGCCCCGTCACGTCATCCCATCAACCAGTAATATTAATAATAGGATGACTAGGAACCCCTTTTGCAGAGGGGCTCTAGAATTCATCTGAGATCATGGGCTTTTCATATAGCCTTGCCTTTCAGCATCAACTTCTTTGACTCGACGCTTCGAAACCTGCATAGAAGACATAGACTTGTCAACTTGCCGGAGTGGGAAGGTGGAAGGATCGGATCGACTTGCCTTCCACGGGCTGAGGAGTCCAACATGTCATTCACTTCCGGAGAAAAAAACTTGCTGCAACTGAACCAAAAGAGCTTCGACTTCAACATCCAATTCGAGCAGTTGTTCTTCTCCATTATCCCGTCTGCTCTGTTCATTGTCACCTCATTATGGCGAACTGTTTCCCAGGCGCGGAAGCCCACTGTGGTGAATGCGCCGGTGTTCCAACTCGTCAAATTAGTATGATCTTCTTCCGAGTAACAGACATCTGGCCTCGTTTGCTGATAAACCCATGCAGGGTGCCATCACAACCTACGTTGGGCTTGAACTCTCGCTTCTCATCTTGGTTGCGGCTGGATCATTCCAAGTAACCAGCATATCTATAGCTTCTTCGGTTCTCAAACTTGTATCGGCTCTGTTCATGATAGCGCTGAGTGTCCTCGATCACAGCCGGAGCCCAAGGCCGTCGGTGCTGTTGAACAGCTACTTGTTCCTCACCCTTCTTCTGGACGCAGCTCAAACAAGAACATTTTTTCTATCATCAAATGATAAGCCTGAGCTCGCCTACAGCAGTATTTTCAGTGCGACTCTAGCTCTAAAGATTGGAATACTGCTCCTGGAGGCGAAGCAAAAGACCAGATGGGTTAGCTGGGATGAAAAGAAGCATAGTCCAGAGGAGACGAGCGGTATCTTCTCTCTTGGCGTCTTCTTCTGGCTGAACAAAATGTTCCTGATGGGGTACAGTAAAGTGTTGACGATCGATGATCTTTATCCCCTGGATAGCGCATTCGACTCTAAAGCGATCCATGATGAGTTCGCTAGGAATATCGACTACTCCAAACTAAAAGGCGACAAATACGGCCTTGTGAAGGTGCTTGCGCGCACACTAAAAGTACCTCTCCTGCTTCCCATCCTGCCACGCTTGGCCCGCCTTGCTTTCACATTTAGTCAACCGCTCTTCCTTGAAAAGCTGCTGGATTATCTATCCCAGCCCAGACTGGACCCAAATGTCGGATACGGTTTTATAGGAGCTAGCATGTTGATTTATTCAGGGCTTGCTATCTCCTGGGCCTTCACCTGGTATAGTAGGCCATAGGCAACAACAACCGCCAAGATGAGATACTCACACCACTTATAGGTACTTCCAACACCGGATGCGCACGATGGTAAGCTCGATACTGGTTACCGAGATCTACAACAAAGCCACGAAAGCTCGTATTGGGAACGGCGACGACACTGCCGTGCTGACTCTGATGAGCACGGATATCGAGCGAATCAGGATGGGACTTAGGTCGCTGCATGAGATGTGGGCAAGCGTAATACAGGCTGCCCTGGCTGGGTGGATGCTGTACGACCGACTTGGAGTAGCCTTCGTGGCACCAATGGCAGTTGTTATAGCTTGCTTCGCTGGCCTGGGGATTCTTGTAAACTTCACCGGGGACTCGCAGAGGGCCTGGATGGCAGGAGTTCAGAAGCGCGTAGGTCTCACGTCCACGGTCATTGCCAGCATGAAAAACCTTAAGATCTCTGGCCTTGCTGCTGCCATTGGCGACTTTGTGCAGAATCTTCGAGTCGAAGAGCTAGCTTCTGGCGCTCGGTTTCGCACAATATTCATCGTTGCCGCCATCTTTGCCTTTATTCCTCAGCTGATCAGTCCAGCGTTAACCTTCGCATTCACTTCAAGTAAACTGGATGCCTCGAAGATGTTCACGAGTCTTTCTTTCCTCACACTTTTGACCTACCCACTATCGCAGGTCTTTCAATCTATTCCCGATCTTGTCTCTGGGCTGGCCTGTTTAGGCCGAATCCAGGCCTTCCTGGAGTGTGAGAACCACCATGACTTTCGCCAAGTGCTTACTGAAATGGAGCAAAGTGCGGAGAAATCCCAAGTGGATACTAAATCATCCTCTGATTTGGGTCCCGATGTGGCTCATCCTATTGTCATTCAGAATGGGCAGTTTGGTTGGGAAGCGGACAAGTTCGTCTTGCGGGATATAAATGCTCGAGTGTCCAAGTCTTCGCTCAATATTGTCATTGGACCTGTTGGCTCGGGGAAGTCTACGCTTTGCAAGACATTACTTGGAGAAATCCCTTTCAGCCAAGGAAGTGTGGTTATGAGCACTAGGTTTGCCCACGTCGGATTTTGCGACCAAACGGCATTCCTCTCCAATGGGTCCATCAGAGACAACATCGTAGGATTCTCTCCATTCCACCAGGAGAGGTATGACGAAGTCATTGAAGTCACAGCTCTGGGTGTCGACCTTGCTACACTTCCACAGGGAGACCGGACGAATATCGGATCTGACGGGATCGCCCTATCTGGTGGCCAGAAACAACGAGTTTCGTTGGCGCGGGCTCTATATCTTTACTCCGATTTACTTGTACTCGATGATATCTTCAGTGGCTTAGATGTCGACACTGAGGAGCAGGTTTTCCGTCAAGTGTTTGGGCCTGATGGTCTACTCCGACGACGAGGCTCTACAGTCGTGCTGTGTACCCACAGCGTCAGACACCTACCCGCAGCAGATCATATCATAGCACTTGAAGACGGCGCTATTGCTGAGCAAGGTAGCTTTGACAGACTGATGACCACTCAGGGATACGTTCAGCGGTTGGAATTAAAGGCCTCTTCCAACAGCGATGCTTCGTCCGACAAAACACCTTCCAAGCAGAGTGTGCGTGAATCGAAGCCGCAGCTGCTCCAGACAACGACGATCCCATCATCTCCTGGGTCGGATACGGACGCATCGCGGCAGGTTGGAGACAAAACGATATACAAGCATTATTTTAAAAGCATGGGGTGGCTTGTGGGAGGATGTAGCTTATTTTTTGCTGCTCTTTGGGGCTTCTTCACAAACTTTGCAACCGTCTGTGAGTTGGTCCTGTCTTTGGCAAAATCATCTCTTATTATCCATATGAGATACTGACCTCATTTGATTAGGGCTCACATACTGGACTGATGACAACTCGGAACATCCGGCGCACTCTCACTCTTACTATGCCGGGATATATGCATTGTTCCAAGTCAGCGCTTTGATATCGCTGGTTATTCTCGGAGTCGCACTTCTCATCTTCTCGGTCAAACGAGCCGGTGCCAGTCTCCACCAAGAAGCCCTGCGCACGCTCATCCATGCCCCGCTGCGCTTCTTCACCAACACGGATACCGGCGTCGTGACAAACTTATTTTCTCAAGACTTGAACCTTATCGATACAGAGTTGCCGGAGTCAACATTGAACACCCTGTTCTGTGTAAGTCCGCGTGACTGCCACGCTTCAGAAACCGTGCACACTGACAAAGACCTCGCAGGCCTTTCAAGCAATTGGACAAGCAGCTGTTATGCTTACGTCGTCTGTGTACTTGGCCGTCAGCTACCCGCTTCTCGGTGGCCTCCTGTATCTGCTGCAAAAGTTCTACCTGCGGACTTCCAGACAGCTGCGGTTGCTGGACCTCGAGGCCAAAAGTCCCTTGTAGTAAGTCTCCACCATCTTCGAGTGTACGGTCCAATCTAACCAGCAATACAGCACGCATTTTCTTGACACTCTGAAGGGTGTTACAACCCTGCGAGCATTCGGTGAGTGCTCTGCCAAACCCCTCCAAATGCCGAAAATAGCTCCAATAAGCCAGTAAATCATCTCATCATGACGCTAACACAGGGCACATAGGTTTCGTCCCTGAGCATATTCAGAAGAACGCGCGCCTGATCAACTCCAGCCAGCGACCTGCGTATCTCCTTCTCATGATCCAAGAGTGGCTGAACCTCGTTCTCGACGTCGTGGTCATGGTGATGTCGGTGATCCTGACGACTCTTGCTGTTCGACTCCATTCCAACTCTGCCTTCGCCGGTGCTTCTTTGTTCTCCCTTATGAGCTTCGGGGAAAGCATATCAGGCATTGTCATGTATTACACCAAGCTCGAAACCTCCATCGGCGCAATCGCCCGACTCAAGATATTCAACGAAACCGTCAAACCGGAGGACACAGAGGAAGAGGACACCATTCCCCTCGAGCAGTGGCCCCAGACCGGAGTGGTTGAGTTGAATGGTGTATCCGCGAGCTACGCGTAAGGACCCCTTCGCCCCTTCTCTCTGTTTTCTCTCACACATCACCCAACTAACCCCCCAAAAGCACCAGCGAAGAAGACCAATCCAACCTCGCCCTCCACAACATCCACCTCTCCATCAACCCCGGCGAAAAAGTCGCCATCTGCGGCCGCACCGGCAGCGGCAAATCCAGCTTCATCGCCCTCCTGCTGAAACTGCTCGACCCCGTCCCCTCCAGCGCCAACAGCATCACCATCGACAACATCCCCCTGCACCGCATCCACCGCCCCACCCTCCGCCAACGCCTCATCGCCGTCCCCCAAGAAGCCGTCTTCCTCCCCGACGGATCCACCATCCAAGCCAACCTCGACCCCTCCTCCATCTCCACCCCCTCCGAATGCACCTCCATCCTCACCGCCATCGGCCTCTGGAACTTCGTCCAGGACCGGGGCGGACTCAACGCCCCCATGAGCGCCGGAACATTCAGCGCCGGCCAGCGCCAACTCTTATCCCTTGGACGCGCATTACTCCGACGTCGCCTCCGAGCCCGAAATAACGCCGACAGCGGAATCCTCTTACTCGATGAGGTGAGCTCGAGTGTCGACCACGAGACGGAACGAGCGATGCAGGATATTATCCGTACCGAGTTCAAAAACTACACGGTCATTGCGGTGAGCCATCGACTCGATATGATTATGGATTTTGACCGCGTGGTGGTCATGGATACGGGGAAGATCGTGGAGGTCGGCAATCCGGCCCTCTTGGCGGAACGGACAGAGAGCCGGTTTGGGGATTTGGTGAGAACCGGAGCGAAGTAGTAAGAGGATTAGTGGAAGTCTTGGCTTCCTTGGTATTCTTGGGCTTGGATTAATGGTGGTGTGGTGTTGGTGGTGGTTGATACTGCAGATAAGACTGAGGGGGGAGGTGCGATAACGACCATCGGGCGTGGATTGGATGGTCCCACTTCTCTCTCCCTTCCGTTCCTTTCCTCATGTTTCCCTCCCTCCCTCTCTCACTCACTTTTCTTTTTCCTATCCCCCCACCATTCTTTTCCTCTATTTTGTTTTCTTTATCCATTGTATTTAACTATTTAACGCCCACTGGGAAGCAGAACCTACATCCATTTTATATATAGCATAATAACGCTATTAAAATCTATTCCATACACTATACACAAAGGAATCTGTATCTTAAAAGCTAATATGTATTAACTGTATATTATCAAAAGAGCGTATCGGAACAGAGAATAGGAGATATAGAATCACAAAGGAAGGTATCCCTTGAATACAAGCAAGGCCTAAATTAGACACATGCTTGATATCCCTTCCCCCCCAAAACAAATTCCTTATTTGTTCAGCCACACCCAACTACATCACAACTACTATTACTAGTAGTAGAAGTGGTAGCCCACTACGAAGTCGGGCACCAATCATAGTTTCCATTGGCGTTGTTTCCCCACCAATTCGGCATATTATGCGCTGATCCCGCAGCGCCGAACACAGCAAACGACAGGATGAAAATGACCGTCAGACTAGCACCATCAAAGGCACCAGTGATGAGGTAAGAGTAATCCTTGAAGATGCGGGGGTGCCAATTACGGAGGTAGTATTGGACGTAGAAACCGGCGATGATCCAGCTGAAGAGGATGCAGGTTTGGGACTGGTTGTAGGGGATGTAGCCGGCGTACTGAATGAATTGGGGCATGTTGATTTCGGAGATATCGAAACGGCCGATCTTGGGAATGAACTGTGAAGATGGTTAGTATCGGGGAGAGAGAAGGGGGAAGGGGATGGGGGCTGGGGGGCACTGACCTGGTAGAAAAGGCGATGAACGATGACGGCACCGGCACCGATTGCTAGACCGACGGGTACCATGGCATACGGGGTGCCGGCTTTGTATAGGTAGGAAGCGAGGGCCCATGAGGCGGCGTTGGTGTTGTAGGATTGCATGGTCGCACCACTCCAGGATGAGTCTCCGTTGCCGTTGGCCAGCAGGGCCTTGTTACCCGACACGATTGAAATCATGATGGCGTAGTTGATGAAGCCACCGAGGATGGTACCGTATATCTGAGTTAAGAACATAACGCGAGGGGGGATTTTGACTGCGTGCATGGGTTAATGTCTATCTGGCGGGTTGGCCAAAGTGAGAGCTTACGGTATTCGCCCATCTTCAGGTCATTGGACAGGTTGACTGCGTTGGAGATGACGTTGTGCGACCATGCAGCAAAGTACATGTTGCCGACGGGCCGACCGGGAAGCATGAGACCTGCCAACATCTTCGACAGGTTGTTGGTGGCAATACCGTTGCCGTAGCGAGCGAAGAGAATGGTACTCTGTAGAAGCGATTATTGTTAGAGCCATTCGAGGAAGATGGTTCTTCCAAGCACTTACGAAGGGTGCGATAATAATCCCGATAACCAGGGAGACAATGTACGCCCAGGCTGGAAGGCTGATGTTCTCCTTGAGGACCACAACGAGACCAAAGATGAAGCTGATGACAAGCACTGCAATATACCACCACCAAGGTGCTTCCTTGTAGTGCTTGGCCATGTGCTGGTGATGCCGGTCATCGTATCGGCCTTGTTTCGCGCTCCTATAGGCCTCCATAATGTCATTACCCCAAAAGAGGATGCAGTGCATGATCAAGGCACCAATCTGGGAGAGTCTTAGCCAATGAGTGCAAAAGAAAGTTATGAAATACTTACGGCCGCATTTGCCATGAGCATGGCATACGCAAACGTGCCCGTCAATCTGGGGACACCGTACTCGGCCAACGCAGATTTATCGAGAACACCGTTGGGAAAGACGGACGTAAGCGGGTACGAGGTACCGTTTGCCATGAGAAGCTCTGTCGACATGAATGGAAGGGACTTCGCATTCCAGCCGTTGCCCCAATAGATTCCCGACATCACGATGAAGCAGACACCGATGCCGATGGCTTGATGAAGCTGCAGCTTGAGAGGAAGGGAGGTTTGGAAGGAGGTAATCTGCACCGGTCAGCCTCCAGGCCCGGTCAAAACGGAAGTCATGTTATCTTATCGTACATATTGCCAGTCGAAGCTGAGAGAGAATAAACCCATGCCCTCGTTGGTAGTGGCTCCACCGAAGATATAGGTGAGGGTTTGGCCCGTAAGACCCGTGGCCTTCTGGGCAGCCAGACACTGTTGAGTGGCAGGTTAGTTGATTGTGTATAGCACAGATCTCAGTAGGGCTGGGAGGTGACGTACCGGGATCGAGACAGAGTTTAGCCATGGGAAAACATAGGCCGGAATGATCTCATATAGCGACATGCCAGTGAAGGCATACCAGAAGTATCGGAGAGGCTTCGAGTTCTTGACTTCCTGCCAATGAAGACCCTGGAGAGTCTTGACAGTAGGCAAAGTGTACCAGTAGACGGACTCCACGTGCCAGACCGCGATGGGACGCATAATACCGCAGAGACCGTAGCCAAACAGACCGATGGAGATGGTGCTGAGGATGACCGTGACTGCGCTAAAGGGCATATTGTAGAACAGATTCTGCGCCGCAAATACTTGCGAAGAGGCTGAAGCATTCGAGGCCGATGTGGCCGTGATAGCGCAAATCGAGTGCTCCTTCAGAGACCATGGTCCAGGGTTGAGGAGCTTGATGAGTGTGATTGACCAAGGGAGTTTGCCCTCGCCGCCTTTGGCCCTCCACCGAGCCTCGAATTTATCGCCGCGAGGGAGGAATTTAGCCCAGGCATTGCCACAAAAATAGGCGATGAGGACGATGAAGGTTCCCTGAATGTTGACAGCAGTTGGTTTAAACTAAAAAGCAATCTGTCAGCGGGTCTGTGAGACCTGGACGATGACGCATGTGGTGTTACCATGTAAATCTGGTTCATGACCGCCTGGAAACACGCCAAACCGGAAGCCAGGAGGATACTCCGAAAGGTTAAGGCATTGTCAAAGTCATCCCTCAGTGGCAGCAGGTGAAGGGCCGCATCCGCACCATTGACGATAATGACATCCTCACTGTTGCGGTCGTCTTCGCCGCTGAGCTCGTCCCCGCTGACCTTGGTCTCGTCTTTGTTAGCCAGCACCGTGACGGCGGACTTTTCGTCGACGGCATTCTGGTTCGAGACCAAGATGCCGTCGCCCTCAATGGGCGAGTCGGTCAAACTTGGGGACATGATGAATGGCTCTCACTGTCCAGGGGAGGGGAAATGGCTGGTCAGGCTGATCGGACTGGTCAGCCAGGAGCGTCGCCAGGGCGGGTGTGCCACTTATAAAGGGTGCTACAGTGATAAGCGACAGTGATCATGATTGATTAATGATACCACAGGGCCGGCAAATTAGCCATGGTGTTGGTGGATGGATGCAACAGGGCCAAGGGGGGGTTAGTGAGAGGGTGGAATCACCCAGGTGGTATACACTAGTAGGGTAGTAGTCCGGCGCCAAACGCTCCGGCCGCAGCTCCGGTCCATTCACTGGCCTTATCGGACCCCCTCTTCCTCCTCCAATCGCCTGGCCGTCTGCCACCTGCCAATGGCTCGAGATATGATATCTTTCCATCTTCCAGACCAGAAGGCGCTGATAGCCGGCTGCTTCACCACCGGAGAGTCGTCACAAGGCATTGAAGTGAATTGAACACCATTTACTTCCTTGGACACTTCACTCGGATGGCAAATTACCCCCCGAGAGGATTAGGGTGCAGATGAGACATGAATTGGAGCAGGAATTGAAATGTCATCGGGCTGGCGGCTGACGCCATTCCGAAGCGTTCAGGGCCCCAATATCCGCGGCCTTTTTTGCCTCCGAGCAACCGCCATCAATCCCAGCTGCTTAGATTGCCCTCCACTGGCCAGTCATTGCCGGTCGACCCTCGTGCTAAATTAGCAACTGATAAGAGCCAGACACTAGATACGCCTTATGGGGGGAGGTGCAGGCACGAGGGACGCCTGAGCGACCTTTGGGGGATTCGAACGGAGGCGCGATAAGGACAGCAGGGAAGAAAGGGAGGCGGCCGGAACTCCTACGGAGCTCCTGCAGCACACCTAAGCTCGCCATCCATCCTAGTCAAGGGCTCACGCTCCCCGCACTAGTGGCCTTACCGCTGTTACACCAATGAAATTTGTGCTATGGCCAAGGGGGGTTCCTGTCGACCTGCGGGCGTATCCAGGACACCTGCTTGACAGGATCGGATGGAGAGATTGGAGGGAAGAACATGGATTGCCCCCCCGCCACTGGCGCGAGGGGCCGGCAAACCCCGCCCGGACATGGCTTTGGCCCTGCTGCGACCAGGTCATGCGTGCTGCATCCCGGAGGGATTGCTACTTCATCACACCACATCGTTACCATGTATCCATTTGAATGGACTCTGACGCCATCTAACAATCCTAATCGTACCTTTCGCCATTGTAAGAGCCCATCCAGTCAGGAAAGCGCCATTCGGCATCACGCAGGGTGGCTTCCGACTAAGAACTGCTCCAACTGCAGGACATAGTTGTTGGGAACCACGTGGTTGCGACTTATTGCGGCCCTCGCCCGGCCTCCACCCTGGCTGCTATCACCCTAGTGGCTTTGGACTATTTGCCTCAGGGCCCTATTTCCCAGTCAGCATTTGAAATATACAAGCCAGCCAGGGCACCCATGCTTCACACCATGGAAGTCAGGCCTTCTATTGGTAGTTCTATCGGGTGCTATACTCCCGCTGGATACTGTTGGGGCGTTCGAGGTCCCCACTATACCTACCCATCACTCATTCAACACAACTGATATCAATTATAGCTTCAATCACACGCGTAAGCTTCCGGGCTTAATTCCAGGTCATGATACCACGGGTCTGGAGTAGATGCGATCGATGAACCCGGACTAATTCCAGTCAACCACAGCGCGACCGACCGAGTTGTGTCAATCAGGGGTACATGACAACACCAGTCAGGCTACTCCGTACAGGGCTGACAATACGTTACCTTCAGGGCCCTTCCAAGGCCTGATATAATTGCCGGAATTCGCTATCCCGACCGAGTAAGGCCCGGGGCGTATCGCATTCCACTAGCTCTCCATTCTTGAGAAATGCCACGCGATCAAATCGATCAATGTAGGAGAGGCGGTGAACAACCGCCACCACGGTCTGTTGGGCAAAGTCTTGCTCGATAATATCTTGCATGGCCGCTTCGGTGTCCCGGTCGACACTACTCGTGGCCTCGTCAAGGATGAGAACAGGTCGTGGGACGGCAAGGGCCCGGGCCAAGGCGAGCAACTGCCTCTCGCCCACCGACCAGGTCGATACATTAACCAGGTCCATATCCAGCCCCCCATTTGGCTCGATGCGTTCCCAGAGACCCACCTTTTGGAGCACAGACCCAATGTGTTCATCGGATGCCCTCTGGAAGGGATCCAAATTGAATCGAACGGTGCCTGGCATCAAAAATGGCTCTTGTGGGATCACCCCGATGAGGGAATAAATGTCTTGTCGTTCAAGCGTGAAGATATCGTAGCCTCCGATCGAGATGGTGCCCGAGTAGAGTTCACTCATGCGGAGAAGAGACATGATCAAGGAGCTTTTCCCACTCCCAGACGCGCCACAGATGGCGACTTTTTCGCCAGGACATATTGTGAGGGAGAGGTTTTTTAAAATGGCTGGAGTGGATTCACTAAGATCGAGGTGCGTTAGCTCGACCTCAAACGCCTTCGCTCGTACAGCACGCGTTTTCGATCCACACTAGCCTCATCCGACGGAGAAAGGAGACAGGTGGACTTACCCGTATCCCGCTGTAATGGCCTCGAACCTGATGGTGCAGTCCGATGGATCCAAGCTTGGAGAAGCCACGGAGTCGAGCAGGCCATTGTTTGTCTCGCGCGGGGTGTCTCGAACAAACTGTTGTACACGTGACACCGCCCCGATACTCGTTTCCAGACTAGTCCACATTCGGAGCGTGCTGGAAAGAGTGGTGTTAAAGGTCAGGATCAACGTCAAAGCCACTCCGACAGACGCTGCATTGTACCGGTCGGCCAATGAGGTAGTCATCGCCACAATAATCACCGCCAAAGCCGTCACAATCAAGCTCATCACTAGCGTGAGCCATTGTTGGATGCAGAATAGCATATAAAATGGTCTTTGCGAGTGGTTGAGCAGCCGATGCATCTTTTCATGGAACCATGCCTCCGCCCCAAAAGCGCGGATGCTGGTGGCTCCTTGGACCGCTTCCGTGAAGTGGGTGTAGAGGGGAGCTTTGGCTTCGAGGTCCAGCAGCCGGACCTGTCGGGAAGTACGCAGATAGTATCTCTGCAGGACGACTAGACTGATCAGAAGTGCTGGGATGACTGCTGCCAGGTATTTGCTGACAACGCAAAGAATGACCAGCTTGACTATGCCGGCTGCAAGCCCTGTGGAATACAACCGTCAGCGGCTTATCGATCGGGAGACTTACGACAGGCTTGGCATTCTAGGCAGCTTGTTTTAAGAGAAGAAGCAAGAAGAGGTCTTAACAGGAGTAGTGTATTACCTGCCAAGAACATTGATGCAACTAAAGGGAGTGTCATGTCAATCAACTCCATATCTTGACTGAACCTATTTGTCAAGGTCCCGATTTCGGTGGCTTGGAAATAACTGAATGGTGCACTGTTCTACCTGTTGGCATGGACATGGAAAGGGCCCAAGGAAAGGTTTGACGTACCTCAAAGTAGCAGATAGAAGGTCTGTATGGAGGTTCATTGCCGTATTGTTGATGACGGTTATGATGAAAAGCCTGGGTTGGCGCGTGAAGCAGTTAATCACTAACAGAGTCACGATAACACCCGCCCATGTCGATGGGCAATACATACCACAGGCCACCAGCGGTCCCCAAGAATTGTATAACGAAAAGCAAAGCGTAAATGCCAATATACATGCCAACATCTTGGTTGGGCCTCTTTTCGTTTGCCTCTACCCACCACTGAATCCACAGGGCTGGGAAGGAAGTGAGTCGGTTAGTTCAAAATTGGGCTGAAGGGAAAGACGACGGACTCAAACATACTTGTAAAGTTACCGCTGACTGCTTCCACAATCATGAAAGCTATGCAGACTGTGAATGCTATAAATCCAGCGGACTGGTAATAGTGTTTGTATACGGACCAAGTACCATCTCGCCGCAGTGGGTTCGTCAAGTCCGGGTCAGAAGACTTGGTGTCGGCCTTGTCTGGGCCATTGGAATCTTGAACCTCGGAAGTCGATTCCTCAGCGATCTCCTCGGTGCTCACCAGAGACCTAGTGGCCACCTCGGGTTTGCGGAGTGATATCACTTGATCATATGTTCCCTTAACCACAACTTTGCCACCCTCGAGGACAACAATCTGATCCGCATACTGAAGGAGATGTTCTATCATGAAATGGAATATAAGCTTCTGCATTCAAAGAGGACGTGTTGAACTTACGTGTATGAGTAGCTAGAAGGACTGTCGATCCGGATGTACGAAAGTATCCATTCGGGCCGAATAGACGGGTAGCAATAGTACTGATGTTGGTCGAGTCAAGTCCACTGAATACGTCGTCCAGTATTACGAGCTTTTGCCGCGAATAAATGGCGCGACATAATGCAATTCGCTGCTTTTGGCCCCCACTGAGAGAAAGACCGTCGGTGCCCGCACGGTACAGATCCCCACCAGGCATGGTGGCTAAGTCTTCTTTCAGACCACATGCCCATATAGCAAATTCATACCATTTCGAATCGAATACAGACCCGACAATGATATTCTGACGAACAGTTTCATTGAATATCCAGGGAACTTGTGGACAGTAGGCCAATCGAGAGTTTACCACCCGTATGTGACCAGATTTCGTCACCGTTTCTCTGAGCACACTAGAGAGCAAGGTGGATTTCCCAGAGCCCACAGGGCCAACAAGCACGGTAATACCGGATTTGACTGCAATGTTGATATCATGAAGTTGGCTTTCGCCATCCTTAGACCATGCAATGGTGGCTTTTTCGAAGGAGATAGGAGAACTGCCAGATGCTGGTCTCGGTGGAAAGGCTTTCAGCTCCATTACTCTATCCTCAGGTGCAGTTGAATGTATGGGCGAGACGGAGTCCCTGGAAGAGGAGACAGGAGCTTTCAGACAATATTCTTCGATGCGCTGGTAGCATGACATCGCCTGTTGTACGGATGGCACAGCCTGGATGAAAGTGAGGAGTGGATTGGTCACAAGGGATATGAGCGAGAGTGATGTGAAAGCTTGGCTTGAAAGTAGTGTCTTATTGTGCTTGGTGACCGCGATTATTGTATAAATGGCGAAGGTTGCAAAGGGGGTGAAATCGGTGGGCACATTCGCTATGAAAGGTTAACGCCGCCGATGCTATTGAAGCCTTTTCCCTTACAAATTACAATTTCCCAGATGAGTAGTTTTCGGAAGCGCTCGGAACTTTTCAGTTCGATCCTTCGCATCTCAGAAACTGTCTTGAACAAAATACGGGACAGACCGAGTATCTTGACTGATTTGATGTCGCGTAGCATGTTAGATGACGCAGTTACTCTGGTTTGAACGCGCTGAATCCATTCCTTTTGAGCCTGGCCGGATCGATTGGAAATTGGTCCTATCGCTATCACCGAACCTGTAGAAATTCAGTTCAAGATTGAACTCTGTATATCACTTGAATTGGTTATGGATACCTATTGCAATGACGGCAGGGACCACACAGGCAACTAGAAGCTGTCTCTCTAGTAGCCAGATTGCGACCCCAACTTCCAGAATCGATGCCCATGTTTCGTGGATGGTCTTCTGGCTTTGGACAACTCTTTCTACATCTGTACCCATGAGGGTGATGGCTGCGGAATCGTTGATGTCACTGGCCTTGAGACGGGAGGTCTGAGCATATATCATGGAAATCAAACCGGAGCGGACCTGTGTATTAAACCGGTTTGTTTGGCGCCAATACACTGCAGTGGAGATCTTCAAGAAACACGTGAGTTTGAAGTGTCAGCGAGGATCTAGACGGAGTACCTACAGCCCATCCCAGATAAACTAGCACATACGCACCCACGATCGCTTGGCCGCGCCTTTTGCTATCTGACTTCTTAGTACCTTCGATATAGTCAACTGTTGCGGTGATAAGAAACGGCTGACAAAAGCTAAGAGCACCAAGGCAGAGGCGTGGTACGATTCCCGAGAAAAAGGTCCACCGGTAGGCATAGAATGTAGACCGAAGCATTCGATACCTTCCCGATCTGGTCTCCCAAGCCGTCTCTACTTCTGCCTCTGTGAATTGTGCCTGTTGATCAGCATCCAACTCCGGAATGTCTCTGATATCCAGCGCCTTCGAGTAACCGGTCTGAAGAACCGGTAGCACCCAAATAAAGAAGCTCTGGCCCCAAAATCCGAAGACTCCTTCCCCAGTAGATTTCCGATAGAGTGGCCGCAGAAATCGAAACTTGTGCACTGATTCTGCGATGAGTACTCCGAGGGTGAAGATAAATATTGCAATCCACAATGCCCGACAAGCCTGGCTGGCTGTAGGAATCTCCCACAGCGTACGAAGTTGCGGCAGTACCAGAAGCGTTTCTGCAGAGTAGTAGATTACCAGAAGATCAGATGGCTTTACTGAGCGCTGGTCCTCTAGGAAGGATAACACCATTGCTGCACCTGTAGCGATGATATTAACGATCCCGGAGGCCAGTCCTACGCTGGTACGAAGGTCGGAGTCTTCCACCCGCAGAGCTGTGTATAGCACTTGCAAAACCAATAACACAGCCAATAGAGCCTGTTGGTTTGGTCTTAGTCAACGACATATGTCCGTGACAGTTATTAGATGGTTTTGTCTCGGATGGACGCACCAATTTCACGATTGCCAGTCGGAATGAGCCCAGTTTGACCTGGGCAGCGCGAAGAAAATGCAGTCGCTGGGGAACCAGGACCAAGAAGAGGGCTGCAGGAAGCAAGCCAAAGAAGCCATCCTCAAACAGGAGAGTAAAATCGAATGGACGACAATCAGGGCTGATGCGGGGACCGAACACGTTATCACTATCTGGCGGACATGCCATGGCGAGTGATGATTTTGTGAGTGAGAAGAGGGGATGGTAGCTGAGATGCACGACCAGTACTACTTACTAAGTACTGGTAAGGTCCGCGGTCCCGCCACATGCTATAAATACCCGATGGGGTAAGGACCAGGCATCACTCAATGGTCCAATAGAGTGAGCCAACCTTATCGGCACATTTGGCTTGCCTGGTACCCCTGCCTACCAACTACTACTACTATCTAGAACTACTGCTAGTAGTTTAGAGTCTTATTAGTGTTATCACTCAGCTTCATTACCTATCAGGGTTGCGCTTAGTTGATTAGGTGGCACAACACATAGCCGAACATCCCACGTCCGTATTGACTAGTATTGACAGCCTGTAGGAAATACCACCCATATGGGACGGACAGGCGCTAATCACCCACAAGCCTTGCCAAGATTGAGCTACTACGGAGTATGATTCCTCCACTTAATGGCCCAGGATATCTTATCTGGTTCCCGAGCCGAAGATAATGATATGGCAGGTACATCATAAAAAAAAAGCACTGCAGTCAATCAGCCTAGGCCAATAAATAGACTTCTTCCCGTTACCCTCCTTTTCTTGTGCCCAAGTCCAACCCCGTCTCAATCAATCTAATTACATCCAGGATAATGTATGTGTCTCGCTGGCTCGGGAGCTCAATCTCTAGAGTATTCCAACAACAGCGAATGGAAGAGCCCCAATACATGCACATCACAGACGACGATCCGACACATGCCAGAAGCGAGCGGGAATATTCGACACCCGCGACAAAGTCTCCGAAAACGTTGATTGGATACATTCTCACTGTATCTCTGCTGCTGAATCTTGTTATGCTCATCTTTTTCTATCAAATGATGATCAGCCGAGGCGAACGAGAGGGGCCCTTTCCCCCCAGTAAGAAATGTCCAAACCTCTCCTGTGGGTTGTGATTCCCTTGTTGTCGAGTTAACCAAGCTCCAAGGACAATTTGAACAAATCAATTTTCTCGATATCACAACGGCACAGCATTTTTCGAACAATCTGCTGCCTCAAGGGGCGGGGTGGACAATTATTGATGAGCCGGAGCACTACAAACTTCCCCCGGGAATCCTGCTCGACGGTCGCCACAATAAGTATGGAGTTAGCTGGGCTCATCAGTACCACTGTCTAGTAAGAACTGACCTTCTCTATCTCCCTTATTACTGCCTTTTTACTCATAGATTGTCTTGCAACAATAGAGAATGCTCCGGGACGAATTTTGGGCCCATGTCGAAAATCGCAGCACGCTTATCGGTCTCACATTGGACGATGACCACACCGTTCCTGACGTCGTCAAGCTAACACATCTTGATCACTGTCACGGATATCTTCTCCAAGCAATTCTCTGCAATATGGATATGACCATTGAGTACCCTACCGGCCTTGGCGTTAGTCATGGTACTATTGACGGAGCTGGAATCGCCCATACTTGTACTAAAAGGGTGAGCTTATCCTCTACTGCTTGACATAGATAGTACTGACAAGTAGCAGTCAGTTTTTGATGAGTATATGGCGGCTCATTGGCCGGCTGAAGGCGAAATGGAGGACACGTCAAACGCCCACCCTGATACACATTTCCATGACCATGGCCATAAGCAATAATGAAAAGGAAACGCACATGGAGCGGCGTAGAAAAAGCACCATTATGCCCCTTTGTCTTCCATCCATAAAGAAAGCATATTGCAAGAAATGGCAATAACACTGGTAAGGACCGAGCGACCTACTTGGCTACGATGACGCACTGGTCTGAAGACCGCTGCGTATTCGGATGAAAGGAAGGAAGTAGTGATGTCATGGTTGGCCTTATAAAACCGTGTCTAAGGTAGGAGTTTAGCCCTATCTCTATATCTCCCCTATACGAAAACAGCGTAATTGCTTTTAGTTCACCGATACAGAGGCAGGATCAAGCCTAACCGCAGAACCCGAGACTGCCCGTATTGAGTATTGAAATTTGTTGTACGGCACAACTCTCAGGACATCTATATCCAATCTACCGCTAAGTACCTCCACTGAATCTCAGCCTTTATTCCGGGGCGTGGTTTAGACCTTCGCGGCCTCTGCAAGGACCTTGGTCCATTCCTCATCGCTCGGGGAGCGCTTCTCCTCAGCCAGAACTTTGGTCCATTCCTCATCAGAACGCTTCACTTCAGCAAGAATCTTGGTCCACTCCTCATCACTAGGGGAGCGTTTCTCTTCCGCAAGGACCTTTGTCCATTCCTCGTCAGAACGCTTTGCTTCCTCGAGAACCTTGGTCCATTCTTCGTCACTGGGGGCGCGCTTCTCCTCGGCCAAAACCTTGGTCCACTCCTCGTCACCACGACGAGCGACCTTTGCAGAAGCTGCTACCTGAGTGAGTACTAGATCACAAAGATTCTCGGGCGACAGTGACATACGGCTAGTTGGGAGAGCATTGACCCCCAAGGCCAGAAAGGCTACGGCAACGACGATGCTCTGGACACGCATCTTGGCAGCAGAATAAAATGAGGATAGAGTGGGATGGTTGATGAACTTAGAAGTAGCCTGCGGAAGGAACTCCGGTATGTGATAATGATGGATTGAGTGAAGGACGGAATGCCATTCAACATTGTGGCCGAGCATCTATATTTATACTCAACTTGGTCACCATTATCTGGGCATATGCTGATTCGTGATCTAGACTCTCTCGTCGCAATTTAGAGAATTGATGATAGACAGTCCTACCAGATGGGTGCTAAAATTTCTCCGTTTGTACTACATATACAACTTCCATCTCTTATCTTTCACTCGTATACGATGTAACAGTTGTCCTTATCCCGGTCCACTAGCATGCAGGCCATTTGGAGTTGTCATTTGGGAGTAATGCCGAGGTTTCATGTCTATATAGTCCTGGTGATTGAAAGTTGTCCCACCTTGATGAGACCTTCGGTGAAAGCAACCGCATTCTAATTACAGCTACAGAATATAGTATCAGCTTGACGCAGGATAACGAGATCTATGAAGTACAAGTCATCCTCGCGTCTCCTGGCCCTCACAGGCGATTACGGCATGTCGCGGATAAGTACGATAACGGATCTATGGTACAAATTGTGCATATGCATTTGATATCACGGGGAACAGATAAGAAGCGGAAGTGGGTCTCGCGTATAATAGGTGGTTTACGAGGTCCAATTTCCTGCTCGTCTTCCTGTAGCCAGTCCGAATCATAGCGGCATGGGCAGCCATATCCTGGCCTCTGGTTCTTCCATTTCTCCGGTGGTATATCTTACCTTTACGCGATGACTCTCAGGTGCACAATGCCGTGGGGCATCTCCCTCTCACTAGACGGAAAGTTTGCCGGGTCACCGACATCCTACTTCTAATCAAACAAGGGCGGCAAATGTTCGGCCCCACGCCTTAGAATAAGACGCATAGGCTCGTTGAGTTATAGCACCAAGATAGCCAGAGCCTAATACTGGCTTACTCATAGCAGTCACTTAAGCAAAGGCAAGATACGTCTCCATCAAGCGGGAAAGTTCACCTGAGCGGCTCGGGTGGGAAACATTCACTCAAAATAGCAAGGCGAATGACTCTATCACATTCTCTACTCGCCTAAGAGCATGAACACAAGAAACTAATGATGAAGTGACAGGTAATCTATCCATCCAGGTTTTGTATGCCTCCCCACTCCCAGGTTTATGGCGTTGCCAAGCCTCCGACGGAGCCCCGGGACGGCTACGTAGATCCCTGAACGCTAGATCTCTGGCATGGCCCCGTTATCAGTACTTGAAAGTGGATGGTATCGGAGAAGCTTGACACGCGCCCGGTCCTAAAACAGCGCTTGGAATTGGTAGGCTCCAGTTCTGGTCACCAAGTGGACCGACGACGTGGCCCACCTCAACCCCGCACACTCACTTCTGGCCTCCGACGGATCTCCGTGGTACAAAACGTGTGGCGGAGAGGCTTCTTGCGGATCAAAGCTGAAGTCGCCGTGTCGTACTTTATTCCTTGCCTGCTGGAGATATGCCTTGTTTATCGGCATGATCGGAAAGGCGTTCCGGCCCGTAATATTCGTTTATGGAGACACTCTGATTCATAGCATAGACCTTTCGCCTCTGCACTGTGGCCTTGGTTTCATCTTTAAACTAGGTCATCTAGGTCTGATAGCTGATATATCATCACAATGTCGGCGTACACTCATGTTGAGCAACCTCTCGATGACGATGAGAAGGGGCATTACCCAGATGAGACAGCCGAAGAGGAAGGGTTTCTGAGTACCCCTCAATCGCGCAGAGGATCACCCCGGAAACCCCCTTGGGTTAGAGACCACTGGCGCTCAATTAACATTCACCTCTTCATACTATCTTTGAATCTACTCCTGATCCTCACTTACCATATCCCATGGTTCAGGCCAAAACACATCCTCTACCCTGATATCACCAGCAGTCAGTCTACCCCTCCACACTCCCTTATGTTTTGGTAATCTCACCATTCCTTTAGGCCCTTTGCGAGACGCCATAGAATATAGACCCCAGGTCTTTGAAACTCTAGCCATCTACCGCCACGATGGCACATTGAACCCACACAAAACAAATGCATACAACGGGCCACCGAGGCCAGAGCTCGAGGAAGCCTGGGACAAACTTATGAATAGTATGAACCTCGAGATAATCCATCTTTCTTCCCATGTTAAATGCACTTCTCACTAATGCATTCAGATACCAACATCCGAGTCACCCAAGATCAACTGGGAGAAGAGTTCGCTGCTCAGGATAGCATCGTCGAACTAAATGACGGGAGCGGCTACTATGTGACCGTATCCGCTTACCACGGGCTGCACTGTGTCCAACGGCTTCACCACTACATCTACGCAGAGCACTATTATCCTGGACTTGATGAATTTGAAACATTCATGTTGCGAAGGCACGCAGGTAAGTGTGCTGAACTTGCCTCCGTCAGCAAAACCTACTTGAGTGCTGATGGTGTTGCAGAGCATTGTTTGGATTGGCTGAGACAGTATGTTCAATGCCATCCTGACCTGTCTCTTATTCCAAGTCACTGGATGACCGAGTGAGTTACCTATTTCTGACATCGGAATCTGGTTCGCCGAACGCTGATATAAAACTGGCAGTGGCCCTGGCCCGGTGGCACCAGATGATGGACACCGCCAATGTGTGGTCTGGGAGAAAATCGAGCAATGGATGGCGGAGCACTCGTTTGATCCGCATGAGCCGGGCTTACTTGTGCATCCGATATTTGGTAAGTTAGATGCTGACTGAAGTGTTCATGGATACTAAAATTAGGAAATGACAGGAAACCCGTATTCGGAAAACGGCACAAGTCACAATCTTGGGGCGGTTGAGCTGGGCAGTGGGGGGTTTCTGCATAAGGGTGGTCAACATGACAGGTAGGATTGATAGCTGGCTCGAGATGGCAGGCAAACCAAGCATCGTAGAAAAGTACGTTATGCCTGCATACAAGGTCGTAATGAATGTTGTCGAAAACATATGCGGCCATATCACGGACCATGTCTTATCTCCCATAGTTGCAGTTTAGGAGCCAATCGCTAGAAAGCATTCTGGGCATGGTACTTTTGACCCTTCTAGCATCGGAGTCCGGCTCAATGGAATTAATTCGGTTTGAACCGATGCATGTCCCTTTAGCGGCTATTGCGTTATTTGGATAAGACAACAATATCTGGCTATCTGTAACCAAATACTCCCAGATCGCTATCTCGGCTGTCTCTTGTTTCTTGTTTCGCCGTCTCCACAGAAAAGTTCAATACCATTAGTTTGCTGCATGTCGGAAGGAGACCGCATTTTAATACACGTTGTGACAGACATGATTCTCTCGAGCTGAGGTGGTTTGTCTACCCTCCTCAAAGTAGCTAATTGCGATCAATTCCACCACCACCCAGTGGCCCTCCATTTCCCCCTCCCTTCCGCACGTAACATTTCTCTTCCCATTGCTGCTTTTTTGAGGTGATACTGACTATCACCAGCACTTCACATCTCTGCTCTCCTTGCCTCTATCCGTGCTACTCCACGTAACATGGAATCATCTAGTACACCCTTCCTCTCCCCGGGGGAACCCCGTTTGTCTTCATCATCAGAGGATGGTTATACCTACGACAAACATCCATCCAAAGCAAAGCCATTGTGGCAGCGGCAGCCGTTCCTCGCTGTATTTCACACCATTGTATACCCCCTTGCCGCCTGGGGCTTCATATCACTGTTCTCCTACATCTTACCTTTCACATCGACCCTGGAACCTACTTCACACCCTTCAGTGACCCCCGATGTCTACCGCCCCGAGACCCTATCCCCGGGTCTAAGCATCTGCGACTGCGGCACCACCATTAAAGAAGCCCTCCTTCTAAACTGCGTCTACGACTCCCTAGCCACAGCCTGGTTACCTCCCCACTGCCGGGACGCCGAATTGACCGCCCTCTTTGACCAGGCTGGTCCCGGACCCAACGGGGAATGGAGTTACTATCTCGACGAGAACGGGACCGTCCCCCTCACCAACGATGAAATCGCTTTATTAGGCGAAAGTGGAGGCTCGTTCTGGTCGACCCGAGAGTGGCACATCGCCCATTGCGTCTTCTACTGGCAAAAGTACTATCGGATGCGCGACACGGGGACAGTCATGGAGGCAAGGTTTGGGAACCTAAGTCATGTGGAGCATTGTTCGCGACTTATCATGAGCCCAGTGCCCAATCACTTCTTTTTGCTCTCGGTACCGGTCATGATGAATTCGAGTGCGGAGCATGAGAAGCCGTCGAGGCTTTCTCGGCCTAGTGAGGGTCATACATAGGTGTGAGGTTAATGTAGATGAAAAGAGTCAGTGTTTGTACCTGCTGCATAGAAAGAAGCAATGTTGATGTAGAAGTGGTCAACCGCGGATGAGAGGATCCGCTGTTGGACAACCGACGGGTCGGTGCACGGGCCGTCTCCCGCTCCGGATGTTTTCCCATTGGGTCCCCGCTTATCGCCAGCCACCAGGGACACCTCCACTCTTCAGCCTGGCAGCTCTAATTCGAGCGCCAGACCTCGTTTGCAGTGGGTTATCTGGCCTCGTGTTTTTGCAGCATAAGCGATGGGGCATGGTGTCAGCCAATGTGCATCTTACTTTGATACTTTGAATGATATCAGTTGGTTGACATGCTGCCAACAACGTCTGACAGGTGCACGCGTGGTCGGAGATGGATTGTCCGTCGGATAATTAGATTCAGGCAGATCAGGTGACCGAGTCCCGCCTTTGCTCCTGCGGTCCCTTTCTCCACTCTTCCAGCATCTCGCCTATCTCCGCAATGCCAAAATCCGTCCTTTTCCCTGGTCTTGAGGTATGTCGAGTTAGGATTGGTCCATTCCCTCCCCAATATGTCGGGGCCCTTTTTTCCTCAACATCAGCCGGCGGTTGCTGCACCGTTGCTACACCGTCCTGCGGACCCTGATCGGCAACAACTGTACGCTTGAGGCAGGGAAGCATCCACACGGTTCGTGCCCTGCGCTAAGTCAGTTGATCTTAATCTAACTAAATACCCTAACGCCCCAGAATCGCAATGGGGCAATGAGTTTCAAAACACGGGCTGAATAAGCGATGTGAGCCTAACGAAAGGTTCTGCGCATTGAGGCAGTCAGCCTGCTCCATTTCTCCCTTCGACTGTCGTGAGACTTGCTGCCTGGGATTGCGCCCCTTGACGAACGAGTTTCTAAATACCTACATCTTACATTGTCTATCATGACGAGCGACATTGAAGGTTACGCCATTCGGCGTAACAGCTCCTGTCTCAGCGACGAAGTGGGTTGCGGCAAGACTTGGGATAACTGGCACGCCTGCTGCCCCCACGGGTCTTACTGTCCCGGCTCGAGGTATTCGGTCGCAAACAACGTCTGTTGCCCGAGTTGGACCGACTGTACGGCCGACATTGATCCCCCGGCATGTGCAAACAGCACGTGGAATATGTATAACTACACTGGATATTTCTGCTGTTCGAGTGATCAAAGCGGCTTTATGCTGAAGGGAACTGATTGGGTGGGCTGTTTGGACCCTGACTCGCCGGGAAATGCCAGTTACAGCGCACTCAAATTGATAAGTTACGGTAGAGTTTCATTCAACCGTGGATTGACGAACAGTGCTGACGTTTGCTTATGCTAGCTACCTCGACTGCGAGTACAACATCGACACCGACGGCGACATCTACCTCAAACTCTACAGCAACTACAACCTCGGCTACCTCGGCTACCTCGGCTCCAACTTCAGACAGTTCATCACATACCAACACTGGCGCTATAGCAGGTGGTGTCGTGGGTGGTGTTGTTGGGGTAGCTGTCATTGCCGGGATTCTCTTCTTTTTCATGAGACGTTCAAGGAAACCAGAGCCGCAGCCACAGCAGCAGGGTCTTGTTCAACAATACTCGCAGTATAGCTATGGTGCAGAACCATTATCAACTCCGAGCGAGCTAGATGGTCACCCGGTACCAGCAGAGCTGATGTCGTCGGTTGGGCCCAAGCATGAGTTGTCTGGGAGCCACTGATTCCCTCGATATAGTACAGCTCGAAAGATACCCCACATGTGCAGCTATTAACCAGTTATATACCTATTTGGGAGAGGTAGTTCGCCGCAGGATCGGCTATTGAATTAGAGTGAGCGTCTGATTCGGAAGACACGCAGCAGCCTGTTTACGGTGGAACAAGTTTCCATAAATTTGCAGTTGACTCAAAAGGCAGGACTCTTCAGCGTGGACGGTCTGCAATATTACTAGTGGTGAGGCTTGGTCTTACATAACGGTGAATTGAGATGGGGCTCGTCCCTGATCATGGATCGTCGGCGTCCAATCCTACCGCTGCAACGTGGTGTCAAATCTTTGCCTTTTTTTGTCCATGACTTTTTCCTCGTGTGTGTGTGTGTGTGTGTGTGTGTGTGTGTGTGTGTGTTTTATCATGGGATTCGCTCCCCAGACCTGCGCGACACGAATGGTCATTCTTTGAAGATCTCTCTCCTACCAGGTAGGGAGACTTCCGACCAGGCCAGGGATGGTTCCGTAGGCTGATGGTCACTAGCCTCGCCTCAGGGCCTATATCTGTCTGCGAGTATGTAGGGCCCCGTCATTACCTCTTGTACTCGTTATCGTTCTAGTGAATTGGACAACCTGGTCCACATTCAATACGCACTTCACTTACCACCCTACCCATCGCACTTGTCAAAATAGTGTTGCTTGTCCCTGGTATTCCAAGAATCTCCACTTCTTCAATCACCCTCGTTTCTATCCCCCCGCTCAACAAAACAACAAACAAACCTTCCACCATGGCCGACACAGACGCTCCCGCAACGTGCACTGTCTGCTTCAAGTCCGGCTCAGACGCCATGCCTCTCAAACGCTGTGCCAAATGCCAGACGCAACGGTACTGTTCCCGGGAATGCCAAAAGGCCGACTGGACGAAGCACAAAAAGACCTGCGGCGAGAGCGCTGATGAGAAGCTCCCCAACCCTTTCGTCACACAAAAAGCTTTCCCCCGTCCCCAAACCCTCGAAGTGCATATCCAGAAACCCTTCCACGAGCTGCACAACAAGACTTGGCTACACAACCGCCATGAAAACGACGTCTACCAGCTGCTCATCGACGTGTACCGGATGCGGATGGAGGATCGATATGTCTTTTTTGGGGATGCGGATCTGGATTGTATCTATGGCGGTGCACCGCATAGTGGCAAGGAGTTTCGGCGATTTTTGCGTCTGACGGAGGGCCACCCCGGCTTGTTGCCTGAATGGTGGTCCTCTGAGAACGCGATGGAGTGTATGGCGTTCGGACTGAGACCGCCAAACGGCTGGAGCTCGCTTGCTCACCCGGTGGAAAAGGCGGACGTTATAGACCATCATAAGGATCCGTCGTTCCCGATGCAATTGCGAATGTTCGGGGAACAGGTGTGGGGGATGGGACCGGCTGGACTGCCTGGGGCTGTTATGATGCAACAGATGATGCAAGTGGAGAGAGGGGAGGGAGTTATGATCTTGGAGAATCATGCAAGTGCCATGAGATTTGCTTAGGGGCTTGCTGATGATGATACTATGTTGACGGGTGGATACACAAAGATACGAAAAGGCTATCTACTGTTCATTGGGGACCTTTGTTAGATATCCAAGCTTATCACAAATGCCATGTAGCCGAAAACGTCGAACTTGCTTGACACGCTCTATCTAGTCATCAGAATATGATAACCTCCATAAGCTAAGGCCCTGTCGCCCGCACTCTTCATTCCAACGTCTCGTCACGCAAATACCCATACATACCGCGCCATGGGCCTGTGGTGCTATGCTCGCTATATACTCAACTGCCGAGATGCCTACTGCTTTTGGGACGAAGGCTATCTCCGAGTTGCAAAAATCTGCACATTCGGCCACACAACTGAAACCACCTGACCCCCACCCCCCAACGCCGCCTCCAACTCTCTCCATCGCTCTTGATCCTCCTTCACATTTCGACCAGGCATAAAGCTCAAAAAAACACCCCTGGAACCAGGCCAGATCGCATCCACCCACCTCCCAATCTCCATCATTCTCTACAAATCGTCGTTCATCAAATTCCCAATCCGATCCTTCTCCTGGCCGAACTTGCTCGTATACCGTATGGCGCTCCTATCTCCCCCGGTATTAGTATAGACCCGGTTCGTGCCAGGTCGCCACACATCCTCAGGGAATCCAACATTATCCAGACCCGTGGCCACGTTTCGCATAGCCCGGGAAAACACCACGCGATGGCCCGGATCCCCGTTCTCCAATCCATTCACCACATCCTCGAACAGTGCCTCCCAGACGGCCTGAGCGTTCAGGTTGCCCTGAATGCGCGGCGCAGCTTAATAAATAATGCAAAGGGTTCCTCCGCTCTTCAGCTGACGCGCGAACTCGGCCACCGACGCCGAGATTTCAGTCCAATGGATCGCTTCGCAGATGGTAATCACGTCCACGGTCCCCGATTCCACGCTCGACTGTTCCGCTCTTTCGGCATAGTAGGTGAAAATGTCGGCGGGAAAACGCTCATCGTGGGAGAGCCGGTGCCGAGCCACGTTTAGGAAATCGGGGTTGGGCTCGGACACGATCACTCGCTGGAATCTCTCGGCCAGGGCCTCGGATAGGATACCTGCGCCGGCTCCTACGTCGTGCGCTGTGTGGTAGGCGGGGTTGGGGCTGGGGCTGGGGTTGTGAAGGGCGTGATGCTCATAGAGCCTCTGAGTGAGAGATTTGGGGTACATGGGTCGGTGTTTTATGTAGGAATTCCAGTTGAAGTCTGAGGCATGAAACCCTAGGGTTTCATTCTCGGTTGGTCCTTGTTCGCCCATGTTGATGACTGATGGTAGATGGAGGCAGTGAGATTGGGTGGGTTCTTTTGCTCGGTTGTCGATCTGGCTTCGGTGATGGGTAGAGAGGTCAAATAGGTGATTTTGAGGAAGCTGGGTGACCCTCGGCCAGCCTTATCTACGGAGGGCATCAAAATTGTTTGCCAGGAGCTAGTGCTGTAGGACATAACCGCTAGTCATTTATTGGGCAACTTGTTATCTAGTACTTTTGAACTCGAATTCTATAATTGGAGTTTCTATTTTTTGAACATATTCACGGATTAAAATTTATCTACTGACCTACTATTTCACCAATGTAGCCGCGATGTTCAATTTCTTGGATATGGTATTATTAGACTGTAGATTTATATCCTAAGTATCCAGCCCCATAGCATCTTTAATTTTGGGTTTCAGTAGGTTTGATTAATTTTATTAATTATTTTTTAATTCAAGACTGTTCTGTTGCATACTAGTTGAACTATCACAGGTTAATTGACACGTTTGGTGCACTCCTCCGTACTCCGTATCTAAATAGTACTCCCAGTTAGGTACTTTACTCACCCCTTACAGAGACATCAATTGCTGCTTCTGGATCTTGACTACCTCGCCTCATCTGGCGGCCTGCTTCCCCCTACTTGCTGGGAATGTTCATTTGATCCCTTAGCGAGATTTTTCCTTCCCCCCATGTGTCCATATGCCAGGGATCTTGCCTTGGTCAATCCAGCAAGGTAAAATCACTTTCCCTTTGGTCTCTAATCCAATAGCCCACTGAGCCCACTCCCTACCCCGGATTATCTTGATGAATCTGAGAACGTTAATATCTCATTCGTTCGCTATGTGGGGCCCCGGTCAATTATTCTTGCACTTGCATACCACAGTATCCTGATCGGATTTGCGGGATCCAAAGGGGCTATAGCAAATCTCAACGCTTATCACAATGAGTGGTGATTATATTTCCTTGCAAACTGCATCGGTATAATTTGGAGCATGATTATATCTAGAGATGTGCGCTATAGTACCGCTTCAATCTGTGATATGTGGCGCTACTTGCCCTAGAAAAAAAGGGATATCCGCGGTGTTTCGAGATTGCTTTTCCGATCATCGAGTGCCATTATCATGGGGTTATACTTTACTTCTATAGAATTCGAGTGTAGTGGAGGTGAATGTTCTCAAGGATATCTTCATCACACTACTGTCGGAACCCAAACGACCCGTGATCCGATAACTTGCCGGCTGATTCCGTCCGGGGTGCGTTGACTCCGGGTCCGATCTGGTCTGATAGGTTGGATAACAGATAAGCACTGAACGGATCCACTGTCTGGCCATGCATTGACAGCGTCTATCATCCAATTGTTTATCCGCTATCGTTGAATCCGCAATCAAACGATGGATGATATAACTAAGCCCGAAGTAAATGGCCCGCGCTGCTTATATAGAATTCAAACCCCCTCTACTCAGCAACATCCATAGCAATTACAGAATGATTTTCCTTAACGCGCGTCGCTTACGTGACAAGTTCTGGCCGGAGCCTTTGCCCCCGCCGGGGTCTTTCGAGGGACAAACGGTCCTCGTTACAGGGGCCACCGCGGGTCTGGGTCTGGCTGCCGCAGTTCATTTCGCGACCCTAGGAGCACGAGTGATCATGACGACGCGGAGTTTGGCCCGGGGCGAATCTGCTAGGGAGTACGTCGAACAACGCGCTGGCATCATGGGACAAGGAAAGGTTCATCTCATGGAATTGGATATGAATCTATACTCATCCTGCGTGTCGTTCGTCAACCAATTAAAGCAGAGCGAGATGGGTCTTGACGTCGCTATCTTAAACGCCGGGATTATCAACGTCGACTTTACCCAGAGTCCAGAGGGATGGTACATCCCCTTACCCTTCGCCTTCCCAGATACCCACTCATGTATCATCCAGGGAACAAACAATCCAAATAAACACACTCAGCACTACCCTCCTCGGTCTTCTCCTACTGGAATGGATGAAGCACTCGCGCAGAGACACCACAAACACCCCACATCTGGTCTTCGTTACCTCACGAGACCATCTCGATCCGGACATCACCACATGGACTGAATGGTCAGAACAACCCGGCATTCTGCGACATTTCAGCGACGAGGACAACTGGCCTGTTGGGCAGCTTGATCCTAACTATGCCATTAGCAAGTTGTTGTTGACGTATGCGGTGGAGGAGATATGTAAACTGGCTGTGCGGAGGGATGGATCGTAGGCTACTCAGTCTGCTAATTCAATGACTACCACTAATACATGCTGCAATTAGGGTGGATATCATAGTCAACACAGTCTGTCCTGGACTCGTCGCTACAGACCTTGCGCGAGATGTGGCTAGAAGCTCCACTTTGATGCAGTTCTTGGTGCCGGTGTATCAAGGTTTACTGGGTAAATCGGCGGATTATGGTGCGAGGTTTTATGTTAAGGCTGCGTGTATGGGGGAGGATGGACATGTGGGTTCTCTTATTCAGAGTTGTCTCTGGGGGGGATTGTGGTTACTGACTGGCTGTTGAAACAAAGGGGAAATATGTTCAGTCGACTTTTACGGATGAGGAATATCAAAGGTATGCATCATACTTCCTACTATTCCAAGGAAAAGACTAATAGTATCGAGTTTGTCGATCCCAAATTTGAAGAGTGATACCGCTAGGAGGGTCAAAGCAATATTTTGGAAGGAGATGATTACGGAATTGAGAGAGAAGGTTCCAGCGTTGGAAGAGTTGGTGTCTGATCAACTGATTGCTGCGTCTTAGATATAGAAATTCCATCTGGGCACTGATACCGTTGTGTATTAGTCTCTCATCCCCGGGGAGGGGGTGTTCGTGATATGCATTAATAACAATATAGGATAACTATGACCAGCCAACACTAATCATAAAAGAAACATGACTAATGTCGGGACATGACTTTCGTTCTTTCAGTTCTCCAGATGCCAGCGGTATATCGTTTTGGTTTACTGGTGAACCTGGACAACTAATTATCAATTTCCTCAGGTGCACATTTATGCTATTAATATATTCATAGTAGAGGCTAGATACACGTCCAAGAAGATCTCACCTGCACATCCCTTCGACACACCCCCATAATAACCACAGACACATTCCCCTCCCCCAAAGAAACCTCCCCTCCTATTCCCAGCCACCATCGACACCCTCCTCCATCCCATCGAAACCACCCCGATCCCAAAGCCTATATAACCCCCCTCACCCACCACCTACCATCCCTCCCATCCTCCCTCGACAGACACAAGCCCACCCACCTAGCTCTCCACCATATCCCTAACATGATACATCTATCTATAACATACCACACCATCCTCAACCAAACCCAACCAACCTTCATCCTCCACGCAGAAGATGGCAGGACAGTATGGCGTTACTCAGTCATGTTTCCTAAGTATTTATTATATCATACTATACCGTACACCAGACACCACATACATACTTCCCGCACATGTTGTGAATTGTTCTGAGGGGTAGGGGTATCATCTATATGAAACAAAATATGGATGTGTGGATTCCTTCCTGGATAGGTCAGAGTGAAAGCAACAGATCAACAAATAACTCATTTCAAGTGATCTTATCCGCTAGGATGAGGTTTTATTTTCTCTATATCGATATATACATTACGATATACCAAGTATCATATGAAATGAGGGTGGAAGGGGATATATTGAAGCTTCAGCAGGGTATCTTTCCACGCGCGAAGCCAAAGGTGGGAATGGGGATGGGGTGGGGTGGGGCGGAAGACACTCTCCTGTCCTAATACCCTGTTGGGTCATTTCTATGCTATGGGTCTAGGGATTAATTTGCGGGAAGACAGTGTTGAGCTTTGTGACGTTGATGTTGATGTTGATGTCATGAGGCTGTGTATGCTTCCTTGGATCTGAGTATGTGGGTGTTGGATGTGGGTATGCATATCCGATGCAGCCTTGTGGGGGAGCGAGCGAAGGAAGGATTGAAGGAAGGGAAGGGTCTGCTGCGCCACGCGGTCGCGACATCAATTTCTTCCATCCATGCTTGTGATCTTCACTTTCGAGGGAAAAAATATTAATGACGCAATTAGCGATGATGGTTTGTGCAGTGGCTGGATGGGTAGTCTGTCTGGTCTACAACTTCTTGTGCTATTGTGGGCCGGTGGATACCTACCGACCGCACCAAATCCATCTCACCACCACAAAACAACAAAATGCAAAAATGAAAGCCCAACGCGGGGCTCGAACCCGCAGCCTTGAGATTAAGAGTCTCACGCTCTACCGATTGAGCTAGCCGGGCTGCTCGTTGAAGAAGCCATCTTGGATATGATATACATTCGCTGCCCACTCTGTCGTACACCAGATTCTCTGGGACGAGTCTCAGCCTTATGTCGCTGGCGCCTAGGAAGTAGAACGAGGTCCGAGAACACTGGCGCCTGGGGGGCAAACACAAGGCAGACACAGGTACTGTACTGGTGACCATCGAGTGCACGTCCATGTGAAACAAATCGGGCGGGATATCCAACACTTGTTATATATATCCGACGTCGGGATTGGTTCAGTCTACCCAGGACATTTCACCACCAGTCGATAGGTGCGATACTCTAGTCTCCACAGCAATCAACAGAAAATCCGCATGTCTGGTTTCTCCGTAGTGGTACTGACGGGCCGGCACGACAGAGTGCGCAGCAACGACAGCCAGTAGCACATAGGCTGAACATACGACATCACGATAGGACACGATAAGACGAATTATGGCGCGCGTCAAGCGAAACAGAGATCAGAAGCATGAAATCATCATCGTAGTGCATAATCGCGCAGGAACTCGTGGGATCGGATCGACTGTGGCTGTAGCAAGGAGCGCCCGCAGCCAGTCGTTGTGTGGCTGAGGCGCAGCAGGGTCTCATCACTGGTGGTCGATGATTCATGGGCTGTTAGCGTAAGGGGTAGCTGATATTCCCTAATCACGGAGCGAACCATGCGAGCTCGTGTTGACAGGGAAGATGCGAAACACTATTCTTGGATCGCGATCGAGCAAAAATAGAACGGGTCGATAAAGAGATGTCGTAGGTTACCAACAGACTGGAACCGAGTTCTCTAACGTCTCAGATGGGCGGGCGAGGAGCGACAGCGGCTGCATGGCTAATGAGCGTGGATAGCGGAGGGAAGAGTAATCGCGTGAAACGGACGCGGCGATCAGACCGACCAACAATGGCGGAGATGAGACTAGGATGGATGGTTCCTGAATGGGATGGATGGATGAGAGTTGGGTTGGGAAGATGATGAAAGGTGGCCGCTGGCAGTGCGGCTTGAACACGAGGTCAAGCCACAGTCCTCTTCATCTAGTAGTGTACTACTTCCTCCGCCTACCATAGTATTATTATTCACACTATACTCCGTATTTACGCTGAACTCTAAGATGACTCGACCGTCCCCGACCCTCGATGAGGAAAAGTGTCACTCCGGTCGGTCACGGCTAACTGATTTGGGTTTAGGGGGGCACCCGCCATGACCATCTGACAGGACATCCACCAATCAGCAGGCGCATGGCTCGGGTTGCAACCAACCAGGTTGAAGTGGTTGAGACCTGCACTGCCGCCTGCACCAGCCACACATCCTTTCCGACTGAGGCAGGCTGCCTTGTGCCTTAGCAGGCAGGCTAGCAGGTAGCGCCTAGGCTACCTACAAGGAATAAAAAAAGACGACCGAAAAAGGTGGATCCTTTGCTAACCCTCCAAGGTGGCCGCTTGTGACCATTCGTCATGGCAGGTCTAGCGCCAGACTTTGGCTGCAGCTCGAGTGCCAATCGTGGATGCCTTCTCCGGCCGCATCTATATAATGGCCCTCCCCCAGGGTCCATCACTCTCTTTATTCCTCATCCACTTCTCTCATCTGCTCACATCTTCCAAGTCAAGATCAAGGACCACCTTATCCAACACCGTCACATCTACAGTCTACCTGTCTAGTCCTCGTGACCACACCTCAGTCACGCTGTCGCCGTCCAAGTCATCCCGTTTCTGGCCCCCATTCTATTACTCCGTCCGGGAGTCACTTCGACTCGAAAGACCTCCTCCTCGCACCCGACCTCCCCTTCGTCGCTCTACAACCATGCCTCACCCCGTTGAGCAGCCCGCCGAGCCTGTCGTGCTCGTGCGCGACCTCGAGGCCGATGAGCAACTCGTCATCAGCCAATTTGAGCGTCACGCCAGTCACTGCTCCCAGTGCGCAGATCCGATGACCGTGCTCGAGGAAAAGCTGCTGCTCTGCAAGCGCGGCAACCAGTATGCCCGCGACGTCGTCGACTACCTCCGCAGCAAGAACGGCAAGATTTACTCGGTCGTCGACCTCGAACACAACCGGACCACTCTAGTCAAGGTGCCTCTGAAGAACGCAGCTGCCCGGCAACTCCTCCTGGCCATTGAACAAGGCTTGTGCGTCCTGCCAAAGACCTCGTCAGTCACGCCTCCACCGGTGATCAGCTACGACCCAGCTCCTCCCCGCAGGGCTTCTACCCAGGAAAACATGGCCTGCACCACAATTATCGAGCGAGAGCCTCGGTCCCTGAAGCGTCGCCGGGTCATCGTCTACACTTCACCGCGGAGCTCTCCTAGTCGGGGATCACTCTACGAGGCGGATGCAGCTGATCGAATTGAACGGGTCAATCGGACCTCACGCATCTACCGGCCGAGCGAATACTACCGCTGAGGAACCACTTCATCATGCTTTCAGTCTTCCACCGATCATGGATACTTCTGCGTTGCAGCCAAGTCACCGTTATCCCCCACCCACGTCGCAGGCCGGCTAGACCGCCGCGACCGGCACGAGCCCTCCATAGCGTGCAGCTATGGTCTCGGATATTTTTATTCCGTCTGAGATTGGCCAGGAACTGGTTCCTTCCTCTGTTCTGTTGTCCCACTCTTCATGTTGGCTTGCATAGTGTTGACGAGGAACGAACAAACCCACAAAAACAGGATGTGCAGAGCTAGCTCTGACTCATTTGCCCGTGGTCTGCAGCTCACCTGCATGCAGCCCGACCGTCGATCCACCGGATCCTCATTCCCCTCATTTGCTGACTCGGGGCTCGAACGAGCTACCCATTTCTTTTGTCTTTGTGATTGGTGATTACGCGTCCAATAGATGTTGTTGTATTTAATACTACAATGATTTGACAATTCTATACCTCGGCTGCAACGTAGCAGTAACAGTAATCCGACTGCCGTATCCTGCACTAAACACGAACCTATCGGATCATACACCATAGATACCCTTAGCTACATACATACTTAGTAATCCTCCCTCGGCAAACACAACTGCGGCTCTAGCCTACTACTAAGCACCAGAACCTGTAATATCCGACCCTCCAAAGTTTATTCCCTCCTACCTACACTACATAGTACATCTTACATAGTAGCCCAGACCTCCGCACATATGACTCACCACCTGTGCATAGCCAAGTCCAAGTACTTCCACGGGATGATCATAATCCCTACCCAGCCTGCAGCATGCATATGCATACTGCACCTCCCGCCTTATTTTCCCAACTACCTACCTACCTACCTACCTACCTATGTAGTATGTAGTACCACCCGCAGTCTGAATCAAGATTTTCCACTCAAACATCACCAACCATTTACCTCTCCCAGGGTGTAAAAATAGTTAGAGACATGTACACGACACCTCTTACACTACAGCATAGATGTACCAAGTAGGGATTAGGTGGTTGGGTGAGTGACTACGTGGCCTGGGGCGTTAGACGGTGTGGATACTGGATGAATACTGGATACTAATGGATTTGTTTGGGGGGCCCACTGTGGGACGGGACCGGGTTCGGGTTCGGGTCGAGATTCCCCGTCCGTTTATTTCCATATCCATACACTATCTACTATCTACTATCTAGTCTAGGCTAGTAGTCTGTTACTGTGGAAAACAGAAAGTGGAGGACCAGGACGGGTGAGGTCCGTGTGTAATGAGTGGGTCTTGTCTTGTCTTGTCTACCGTCTACCGTCTACCGTCTACCGTCTAGATAGGTAGTGGATACATAGAAAAAAGTACGTTTGGTCTGTGTTGTACCTGTGGAGACTGGAGAACAGGAAAGACTAATTGCCGGTGCTGGTGCTGGTGCTGCTGGTGGTGTTGCTGGTTGGGCAGACAGGTAATTAGCTATATATAGCTTGGATTGTGAAGTGGGTTTCGCGGTGGATGGAAGAATCCGGTTGGTCAATTGGAGAAAAGGGAATGGGTGGATCTTGACGATGGAAATTCTCCGAGTCTGAGATATGAGGCGATGGTTGGGCTCTGATGGTGAGGCGGATTGCTGGCTGCTGTGGAGTGTGTATTGTGGGGAATGGGGTCTAGACTTGGATAGTAGTGGGGAGAAAAAGGAGAATGGATCAATTGAGTTTGGACTAGGTGGTGGGTACGGAGTACTCTGGATAGGTACGTGGATGGTATACTATGGTAGTAGTGAATGTTGGGTCTGTTTAGTATCTGATGATCAGTGAGTTTGTGTCTGGGCAAGCCACACACACAAGCCAGTGTATCATACAATGGCTAACACGCGTAGCACACTATTTATGGAAGCTATACTAGGGGTTATATTGGTGAATTGGATGACCCAAAATCTAACAATGGAAATGTTGTAGACCGCTATTCTCTCTCCGGGGAGAATCATCGTACTCGTTCCCGACGTACGCAATATCTATGCTTGAGGCTGGGTAGAAGCCCACAGTGGCTAATGAATTCTCTCGAGACGAGACATTTCACTGAAGACTGTACTCATTGTGTAATCTCGATTCTATACTCGAAATTTGGAATTGGCTCATATGTGCTTTATCTTCCCCTCGCGATATCATAATCCAAGGAAGTATTCAGGATACATACATGACGGGGCGCAGTTCCAAGGACAGGAGGTGTGTATCCACTAATTTTTGTAGATTGGTAATTGTGTAGCTGCGTGAGTAATTTCTATAGCTCAACAGTCTGTAGCCCTGCTATAAGGTTGTTTTGTACGAAAGCTGTAGGCGATGGATACTAATATAGGTTGATAGGAAATAGGGTTGCTTTCTTAGTTGACATCAGTAAGATATGGCGCGAGTAAGGATGCAAGACAAAGCATGCTAAAGGATATTTTTGATACTTAGAACTCAACAAAACAATACTATAAAACCAAATCGATCGTTGAGCTGCATTCGGAATAATGTCTGCCTCGCCTGTCGAACAACATCAGCGTCCCCGCCATCCAAAGACCATCACATCGGATAAAGCATATGTAATTATTGGAGCATCGCCGTGTTCAGACATCATGTCGATAGCAAGTAGGTAACAAACTGGATAAATGGGGTGGAAAAGAGGCAAGAATCGATTTGTGTTAGGATTGTTCAAGATGCACAAAGAGAATGCGCCACTTTATATGCGGAAACTAGCGCATGTGACTTACCGGGTTGAAGCGCCGAGAGCAATAAAACCTCCGACAAACCTCTATTGTCGCAGAATCTGAACTTGTCCAGAATCTTCGTACAACCTCCCCAAATATCTGTCTTCTGCGAGGCGGAAGAAAGGATATGCAAGGAGGCTCACGAACTCAGAGTATTTCTCTGGGGTGAATGGGAGAAGGTGAATCCCTTGCCCGGCAACAATCTGCAGTTGGACAAAGGGGCTGGCTAAGGGTGCCCAGGGGCTCGTGTGACCCTTTGGATGTCAAGTTCCGATTTCTCTCCGTCTAGTCTCTATCAAGGAAGGAACCTTGCCAGGGGTGGCTCGCAATCCGCAATAAACAAGAAAGGTAGTACCGGGAGTTGTTGGTCTCATTGGTGAAGAGTTGCATTTTCAATGTGTGGTTGTCCATGTAGGAGTAAAACTTGGACAAAGCCTATGTCTGGCATCGCAAAGCCATGAGTAGGTGTATGTCGGCGGATTAGACGATTCTTTCCGGCGGAAGATTGATCAATCCTTTGTTCCGGAATCGTCCCCTCCAACAACGCTATCTGCCGTATCATCCTCCAAACTCAAGGGAATGGACGAGTGAATGAGCCGGGGGTTGCCTATGGAGGACTTGTGTACCTTACCACGTGAGGTCACTGATCACCCCCTGGCCATCATGCCTTTTGTCTTCCTCCCTTATATCAACCCCAGTCTCGCCATTCTTCCTTCCCCTTCATAGCATCCGCTCCATAGCAGTCACGTCATGGATTCGACTCCTGAACAAGGACCTCTGTCCGGCAGGGACATAAACTTCGACTTTGGGACCTGGGAAATTGGCAAAATTATCTCCAGGAAATACCGAGAACAGGAGGACCCACAAGGCGGCTCCACGTTGGAATGCCACGAAGTTTATGAAGCGAGCGCTAAAGATCACCCCTCAAAGCAGGCCATCATAAAAACCAAAAAGCAGTAAGTCTCAGACATCGGGGTGGGGAGGGAGGCAGCTTGGACTAACATCGACAGAATCGCCGATTGGGATGACTCTGATTATGACGAGCCTAGTGAGGAGATCCATCGTGAGATCAATAACCTATCCGACTTGGAAGACTGTAGGGCCACACCTAAGCTTCTGGGATCTGTGATCTACACGCAACGCCCCGACGAAGAGTTGCCAGCCGGATACGTTGCATATATCGTGATGGAGAAAGTTCCCGGCGAGGATCTGGAAAACTTCGACACATTCACCAGGGAGGAGCAGGATCGTATTTGAATGGCCTTTATAGATGCTCTATGGTACGTGGATACCCCCCAACCCCCCTTGTAGGTCAATCCTGCTAATGACTTTAGGGAATTTGGTTCCTACCATTACACTCACTGGGACCCACGAAGAGAAAACATTGTATGGGGACCCTCGAGTGGACAATGGTACGTGGCCTTTCTGGAGTTCTCTCCCTGTTCCTGCTGACCTATCACAGCTTTATTGTGGACCTCGAAGACGCCGAGAAATTTCCAAGCCTAACCAAGCGTGATACATGCCTTGATTCATTCGCAGCATTAGAGTCCTGGGGCTTAATCAAGGGTTTGCATGACGGTAAACTCTTCTTTGAGAAGGATAGACTACTCGAAGATCTCAAAGCTAGACTCGACAGTCAGGAACCGCCCAAGATGGCCGGTGAACTTCAATATACGATATTTCGGAAGGGAGAAGGCAAGTAGATGCCGTATAGATGTCAAGCCTGTATGGCGCTGTACTGAGCCCAATTCCAAGGTGGGAATATCGCGTGACGATCTTCAGAAATTGATCTACAACTCTGGGGTACCTCAGGGGATGCAGCAGGAGGGTATGCTCGTCGGATGCTAGCTAGTTTTAATAAAATTGCGCATTTTGCTATACCTACTGAAACGACAAGACCTATAGAGGCTAAAGTGTGTAACGCAATTATTCTGAAACCATGTTTTCATGCTTTAATTACCTGATTAGATAAAACACTAGATTAATTACTGAATACTCTACACGGGAACTTATATAATGTCAAGTTAATTTCAAAACACACTAGCGCTGAGAGACACTGACAAAGGAAGTTTACAGCCCCAAGTCTAATTATTTGTTAGATGAATTATGTAGATTGTGACCTGGCATTAATCATGTTTTGCTATTTTTTATATAACTTGATTCGTATTCTTACTACTCACTGTTTCACTCTTTTAAAGAACAGAGAGGTCTCGAAGAGAAGAGAAACTAAGATCTTTGAGATATACGTCCAGATTATAAGTCGAAACGAGATCTTTACGGATTCCGATAGTAGCGGACAGTAGGGATGAATCAAGTGTGATGTTTTAGATATTCATTACAGTTCTCTGAAAGTAATTAACAGAGGTCCTCAAGAGCGTCTGATAGAGTCCTTTAAGAGTACTTGATAAAGCTTTCTAAATGTGCTTGACAGGGCCTTTTGAAGATACGTAATAGATCTTTCTGAAGGCACTTGACGGAGCCGTTCAGTAGAATTTAACAGAGCACTTGGGGGGTGCCGTTTTAAAAATACTTAGTAGAGCTCTTTGAGGGCATTTGACGGAGCCCTTCAGAAGCACTTGAGGAGCTCTTCGAAGGCACTTGACTTAGTCCTTCAGAAGCACTCAACCTCTCAAGCTACATGGAGCTTACAATGCGATTCGAAGCGCCTTTAGCTGGAGACTTCCCGCAGGCCAGGACATAGTATCTACTAGTTCCCAGTTATGGTCAGTAATGAAGTGGAAACTGCCGGCATGGCTAAAGGATGAAGTAGAATTTGACCTGCAAAGCCATAATATATAAGGAGGAGTCCAGCACCAGACACACAGTACTTCTTCTTACAGATCCCCAAGGTCAATCCCCCTTGAACCAACTTCTCAACCCGCTGCGCTATATTATCGAGATCGAACAAGAAGATCCACCCACCAGATACAAAAACCCTTCAGTCCATCACTTGCCCAAGATGAGTAATACCAATACCTCCGAACAAGTGGAGTTCCTTTCCGCCCAAGACCTAATCAAAGAAAACTTCCCTGATATCATTGACACATCCAAATACTCGTCCGGCACTGGACTCCACCGAATCAATTTCAAAGGCAAACTCGAATACTGGGAGGGTTTCCAACGGGACGTTCGGAAGGTATTTCGAGAGATTCCGTGGGAGAAACATGGGGAGGCGCTGACCGTGCGACTCAAGACCCGTGAAGACCTCCAATGGACGGAACATTTTCTGTGTGGGGCTGAAATCTCGACCAGTGGGCGATATATAGCCCATGTTTTGAATCCCATTGGCGGCATTGCCGAGCGACTAGGCTATAAATTGGCCTTTAGTGACTAAGACTGGACTGCCGCTCAAGAACGGCTTGCATATCCGAAGAAGAAGCCGGACGGGAAAAACGAGAGTGATGAGAAACACTCCATTCCCGATTACGCGTTGATCTGTAGGATCCCCCGAGAAACAAGGGCCTTGGGGGAGGCCAAGCATCCATGGGGGACACATCCGGACGTGGATGTACAAGATGCCCGGCGGGGAATCCAGTTGCATGAAAACAGACTGCGTCGACTTTTGGGTGAGTTCTGTGCTGAGTTAAGCCTGTGATGATGCTGATTGTGATGAGCAGGACAAATCTCCCGGGATATGTGGGCAGCTAAGCTAAAGTTTGCCTTTATGACTAATTATAGGTGGACGGTCTTCCTACGTCGAGAGATGGTGAACGGGAAATGGACTCTCTACTACTCGGATGCGATTCCTCATGACGCAGTGTCAGATCTGGACGGTAAAACCCGTGGGTGTGTCTCAGTACGAGAGTGCATGTTATATCTCGTTCACACTGTCTCGGGCGCCCAGCATATCTGGTCTTCTAAAAACCAGCCCCATGAACCGCTCCCGGAATGGGCTGAGGGTATACCCAAGAGCAAGCCAAAATCTGGATCCACGGCTCAGCTACCCGCTCGATCACGGCCTCTAAGTCCCACTGATCTCCTCACATGAGGCACGGCTCCGAACCGAAGACGCTAACAGGATGTTGGTCAGCTCACTACAAGTAAGGCTAGGGATAGATTGGTATGTTTATGAGGTCCTGGCTGTGGGAAGGCCCCCAGCCCAAGGTTATGCATTATGTAACGAATGTTAAAACATATGTCGTCAAAGGCATGTTGGATAGATAAAGATTTTAGGCACTTCTTAGATGGCTCAACCAAGTACTCCAAAGGGCTCTCATAGAACTCTATCAAGCATCTAAGAATGTAGTACTTGATTCAAACTTATAGTCTGAATACACATGTAAGTGAATACCGACTTAACACTCAACCAATATCATACAACAAGGACTGATCACATTTCTTCCAACATGTACAGAATCGTCTCTCCTAATGTATCATTTCCCCACCTCAGCACCGCTGACAGAAGCCGCGCAAATTCAAACGAGCTATCTTTCAAAGTCGTCCTCCAAGACCCGATGCTGCAAACCATGTAGAAACCCCCCTCCCCGGGTCTTTGATAATGAACCCACAATTCGTGAGTCGGGCCGTCAGTGGTGATCGAAAGAGCCAAATAGAACGAAGCTTGGGATTCCGTATCTAAGGCTTGGGCATGCAGATCTGAAAACCTTTGAAGGATCCGGAGTGCTGATGAACCACTGACCGCCGCTTGGTTCTGTGCCTGGTAGAGGTTCCCACCCGTTGCACCGGACTTTGCCTCCACCATGAGAAACGGGAATCGAAGGCTCGATGGAGTGACATGCGGGTCACTAATTAGAGTGAAGGTATCCTGCAGGTCTAGCAGGAAGTTTCGAGCGGCGCTGCGACCCTTTGTAGGTTCGAGGGCATTAGTTAAACTCTCTTCCGATAGACCGACGCAGATTGCTGGGCGGGGATCTTCTAGCTTGTAGATAGGAACGGTCGGTCCTGCTATATTAACACCTTCCTGTACGAGCTGATGTGACTGGTCTTGTTTTTGGGAAATAGTTGGTCGAGGGTTATGCACCGGAGGCTTCAAATCTCCGCGCCAGTCTTGAAAGGTCAGCACCGAAAGGATACCAGGAAGAGTTCAATTGTTTGCCTCGATTGAGCACAATCTCGAGCCCCGGAGGCATCAATTCATCAATCGCCGTACGTAAGGCCGCGGTCCATTCGGCTTCCCCTGATGACCTCCTAGCAAGTTCTTTGCATTTGAGCCAGAGCTCGTCCGCGACTCGTTGGAGGGTCTTAAAGTCTTTATCTGGCACAAGGTAGAAAGTATCGGACACATAATCACTGACGTCCGGAGGGGTATCTTCATCAACAAAGATATTTGCGCGTCGGAGATGACCAGCGCGGTATTGTGCATCACTCACTTTACACGGGCTGTTAGACCGTGACTGTGACCGCTGCGAGGAGTGATTAGACGGAGGAGGGTTAGGAATTCCGGGGACATCAATCCTCTCCGTCGTCATATCGAGCAACGCGGAGGTTGTGAGTGGCGGGGCAACTCGATCGTGCTCCCTGAGATTCTCATACGTGAGATCACCGCGTTTGGGGGCCCGTTTGCGTTTTTTCGGGGATAAAATCCCTGGGGAGGAAGGGCGGGCTCGCTTCATCTGTGTTTATTAATTTAAGCGATGATAATTGGGCGGTAATGCACGTAAACAAGGCCAGAATTAACGTGTTGAGGATATGTCGCGAGGTGGTCCGGGATTGGAGGTGAACAAGTGGTATTGATTTGTAGGGTTATGTACCAAGCAATCAAAGGCCTTTTCAACAAGCTAGCCCGGCTAGCTCAATCGGTAGAGCGTGAGACTCTTAATCTCAAGGCTGCGGGTTCGAGCCCCGCGTTGGGCTTTCTTTTTTGCTTTCTTTCAGTCTTTTGCCAAGACTGCGTGCCTCTGCGGAGTTAAGTTATATCTGTCTGTCTTGTCTGTTCAACACAAGATGAAATCTCATATAAGATCCTTTTTCAAGACTTTATTACACAGCACTTAATCAGGACGTCACACAGGACTTCACACAAAGCATCAAATACAGCCTCAGGCAAGACCCCAAGTAAAGCCTTGCACAGACTGTAGAAAGCCTTCAAGCAAGAATGAATTTCCCACTAAGTGAACAAAGTAAACATTTTCTCACATAATAAACGGTGGCAACGGAAGGTGTAGTTGCAACAAATACCAGTATGCCTGACCTGGGCAGTGTGGTTGTCGCTCCATTAAAAAATGCTTGACAGAGACCTTTACAGGGCGTTTCACAAGGCTTTTCAGTCAACTAAAATGTAATTAACTAGAAAACATCTAGTGCTTAGCAAGTCGCCTCACAGCACCTTGGGCTGGGGGCATCCCGCAGTCCAGGACATAGTACTACTGTATCTTGGAAGGGCTGCATTGTGTGCCTGAGGTGTTGATCGCCCACTTCCCAAAAAGGAAATCAATATTTGATTGGCCAGGGGTGATATAGTGGGGCGGATCCTATACTATCCGTTCCTGGGGCTGTAGCATGCCCCCAAGACAGTACTGGCAAGATATAAAGGGACGATGTGGGTAGCTTTTGAAGAATTATAACTATTCCTCCTACTCTTTGAATCGTGCTTTCAGAAGTATTTTGTTCTTCCTTTTTTGTGACATCCTTTTTAATTAAGATCACATACTCATACCATACCTCCACACTACGCTGCCAACATGGTGATGCTCCGATTAACCGTCGAACAGTACCGAAAGCTGCCAGTTCTAGTAGACGAGAAGACTTGCATCGGAAAGACCTTTATCATCACAGGCGGAAACTCCGGCCTGGGCCTTGAGACGGCGCGACACCTTGTTGCGGCATCAGCCGAGTGTGTCGTGCTGGCCGTGCGGAATCTCCAGGCGGGCGAAGCTGCTAAGAATGATATTGAGAAGACGACTGGTCGGAGGGGAGTTGTACAGGTATGTCTCTTGAGGTATTGAGGAACTCCAGAGGCTGACCATATCAGGTACGACATATAGACATGTCGACGTACGCGTCTGTCCAAAGCTTCGTAAAGAGGATAACAGATGAGCTCGACAGAATTGATGGGTTTATCTGCAACGCGGGACTCATGATCGATGCGTGGTCGCAGTGCGAGGGCATGGAGACAAGCATGTTCGTCAATGTTATCAATACTGTTTTCCTCGGTGCTCTCATGATGCCTAAACTGAAAGAGTGTGCGGAGAGGTTCAACATCAAGCCTACTCTTGTTTTCATTGTTAGTGTCCTGGGGTACACTGCCAAAAGCGAGTTGGAGAAGAGTCGCAACAATGTCATATTTGACGGGCTCAATGATCAGAAGCGGGCTAATATGGACTCGAGGTAAGCAAGCACTGCACCCATTTTGCTTCTCAGCTAATATGGTTTAGGTACGCCCTCACCAAGCTTGTGGCAGAGTGTGCTGCCCGCCAGCTCGCGGCTCAATGTCCTGTCGAGCGCACGGGTGTTGTCATCACCATGGTCGCGCCTGGGCTTTGCACCACTGGCCTAGGTCGTGATGCCCGGACCTTCACCAAGGTCATGCATGAGGCGGTCCGGGCTATGATGGCACGAACTGCTGAGGAGGGCAGCCGAACAATCTTACACGGTCTGGTGGTGGGTGAGCAGGGCCATGGCAAGTTGCTGTCCGGCTGCAAAATCAAGGAATATTGGGTGCCCACGTGGCTCACCAATGAGGAGGGTCAGACGTTGCAGAGGCGCATCTGGGACGAGCTTGTCTCCAGGCTGGAGTTGGTACAGCCCGGATGCATCTCACAGCTTACGTAGGCTGGGGAACCCCGATGCGGAAAATATATATTTCGCATAATGAGAACGTATCGAGTTCATTTTCTCTATCTTATCCTCATTCGCTGTAGTGCAGAATTCGCCTTGGGTTGAAACGATTGGCGTCAGCTAATCGGGTGACATTGCTCTGCCGTGTTGGAGTGTCCCAAAAAATTCTCCGATACTTTCCCATAAAGAGCAGCAGGAGTGTTCATTCAGTAACGTCTGGTGGAGCCGTTGGCACCTGCAGAGCCGGGTAAAAACAAAAAAATGTCCCGAGGGAGGTTCGAACTCCCGGCCTTGGGATCGCATTGAAGTTGTTCTTCAACGTCATACTTTAGTATGAGACCCACGTGATAACCAACTACACCATCGAGACGACTTGTTGAGCTTCATTATCCCTGTAGAGGCATATAATCGCGTCCCATAAGTGGCGGCCGGGAGTGTCATGCAACGCGAATATCCAAGGGAATTGGCTCAGGTGCTGCTGGATGACAGCCCAACTGTCTAGCTCCAGGGTTGCGCAGGTGTCCGCAATTAATGGCAATAGCCAGGGATAGTCCTTGAGCTTCAACACTGATATGCCACTTATAAAAAGAATCCATAAGAGGAACGGTGGATCGGAGTCTGAAAATCCCGATGCCGTGATGTAAAGGTCTTGTATGGCGCTCCCTAGTCGATCAGAAAGGATGGGGCAGCTCGATCCATCACGGGTATACTCGGGTAGCAGCGTTGTCATAAATGCCAGCATCGCAAGGTATGTCACGTCGCTATAAAGGCCCGGGTTGGTAAAGGCTTGCCTTAGAGGTGACACCTCTGTGAGGTGATAAAGGAGCGATACAATTGTCTCAGTATAATCCAACGGGTCAAGTCTCAACCTTTGTCTCTTATTAACCTCGTTTAGTAAACTTGAGAAGCTGAATAGCTCTAACAAGATGAGTGGCATCCAAGGGGCAGCTCTGGGGGATCGCCTGCTATCAGGGTCGCATAGAACCGGATGAACGGGTGCTTCATCGCCATGAAACAGAGTAGGTGTGCCGTTCTGCATTGCCAATTCCACATCAAGTCTGATAATAGTTAGTGCATGAGTTGTCGACAGGAAGAATGTACGTACCTCAACGGCTTTAGTGCCAGCGCGCGATTCTCTTGCATCAGCCTGGCGATCCCACCCCGCAGTTGAATCATGCGATAGAGGCCATGAAGATGTACCAGTCCCGTTGCAGGTTGATGATGTACTTGCTGGTAGATAGCAAGGCTGACTACAGCAGCTATAGCCCTGTCGGAAACGGAGAACGGACCCGACAGTTTAAGGTTGACCAAAGCATACGCTTGGGAGATGTGGTGAAGCGTTTTGGATGATATTGCTGGTTTCCGCTGGAAAAAGTCAACATAAGACGCAGATATAGCCAAAGTGCTATGAAAATCTGTATCATGTCAACATGCTGCATGACTCGACTGGTGATGTCGTCACTTACATGCTTCATCTGCTAGGATAAAGTTGACCCAGATTGACTTGATAATGTCAAACTTGGTGCAGAACTGCGGCGGAAACAGCGCATCACTAATGTCAAAGAACCCTGTCGAAAAGAGTCAGCCACAAGCGGAGTGGATGACCGACTGAAGACATACACCGATGCATGAGCGCCGTAGACTCAGAATCGAGCTCCTGTGGGAACGAAGTAAGACACAGGTCGCCCCACAGCACCTGTCGCGGCATCACATATGCACATTTTGGATCATACAGGATGCGTCTAACCTCTGTATCAAGCTTCTTCTTGGTGGATCGCCGCGGCCTGCCGGCATTCTTGCCTTGCATGACATGCGAGCGGATGATGCGCCTGTCAGAGCTGCCTATCCCGTTGGGATTCTGGAAAATGAACTGCAGCGCCATGGCGATGGCGATGCCTTCATGCTATTGCTATCACAATCGGGCCATACAACGGATCCTTTCTCCCATGTCCCGGCTTTGGCAATGCAAGGAGTGTTGATGATGACACTTACGGTGTGCGCTGCTGACATGGGGAGGTGGCACGTGCTGAGTGAATACTTAGTCAGCAGGGCATAACAGTGCATGTACCAAAGCTTGACAAGATCACGCCAGCAATCATCCAGGAACAATGACAGCAGTGGCGATATTGACAGGCGGGTACCTGATTTCCCCTGTAGTATGGACTATTTGGTCAGTGCCCATATGCAACACAACCTGAATGCTGCCTCGGCCAAGACATCAACATGCGAGCATCATACGATATAGGCTTTATCTAAATCATAAGTGAAAGTCTATACTATTAGCATCTGGTCATACTGCTATAATAATCGCCTCAATTTAATGCCTCAAGTCTTGTACAGTTACATTGAGTGGATCTATCCAAATTTCAAAGCACGGCACAGAACTCAATCCAATGGTATGACAGAACTAGGCGTGGCAGAAACAAGCCGGTGTGGCGATAGCCATCCGGTCAAGGACTGCCCTGCCCAAGACCAACGGATTGATGATTTGGCCAGGTACATGATTGTTGTCACATTATTTGCATTTACAATAATATCTAATATTTTATCCAACATTATTTCTCAATTTCATATTGTTTAAAGTTGAATATCCGCTTCTTTACAGGATTAATCGACCCCCAAGATATCCACGTACCCCTTACAAGCCCTCAATTCCCCCAAACTGACATCACAGGGCGTGGAAATAGGGGGTTTCCGCTCACCCGCCTCATCACATGTCCGCCAAGGCTATGTGTAACCCTGGCCATCATAATGTGGGGATAGACACGCGCCCTAGGCTTCTATCATTATTGGTAATAGCCATACTGTGGTGCTTAAAATGGCGAGGAAGGACATCGAGTGCTCCCAGGATACCAAAGTCTTTCCAATTGCACCAGGAAATACTTTAGCAAAGCCTTCCTCAGCAAAGCCTTGATTCCATATCCCCATCGCCCAAATACACCCAGTCTTCCATTCGATCCATCGCAATGTGGTTCCTACTCTCCGACTTCTCCACCCGCAAAGGAGGTGATATCAAACTAGGAATAGTGATCGAGCATCCCTACCGACCGACTAGCAACCTAGCCTCCGAGGGAAATGGTCTGCCGGCTGATCTTGCCCTACCACCGATGGGATGCTTCATCGAACGCCATCACGAACACCCCAAGCATGGAGATATCCCCGTCATGACCAGAGTATGGAATGCTTTCCTCGAACGTGTGGTAAAGAAGGCGCAGGAGAAGAAGCCTCCGACTGAAGAAGTCAGATTCGACAGAGTGGACCAAGAAGTATGGACATTCGACCACGAGCTTGACGAGAAATGCATGAAAGACATTGTGGCTGTGCCCAAAGTACGAAAGTACATGAAATCTGGCCGCAGATCTGTCTATGTCATCACCGCTGTCTGGATCACCCATACGCCGTTGAGGAAGGCTGTGAGACCTCTTCCCAATGTGTCGGGCGAGGCTTCGAGCGGACAGACTGGAAGCACGGCGGGAGCGGAAGGAGGTGGACAGTCCACAAATGCAGGGAATGATTTGTATAGAAGGTATAAGCATCAGTCGGGAATTGTGCTTGGGTATCGTACACATATGATCTATATGGATGGTTCTGATGTCAAGTGTGTGGAACCTGGGGGTTCGTCGGCAGAACGCGAACAAGCCATTGGATGCCCGGATTCACTGTGTTTGGGTAGATGATGGGGGGTTTCTGTATTGCTTGTCTGGTGAAGTGATTCGCTTGAGATGCTCTAAAGCGTTGGTCTACCGTCTTTATCTCATTCACGATCGCGCAGAGCCTTTGGTAGTTAGTTCGCTGATTGGTAGAATCTGACGGAGTTGAAAAGTATCCGATTTCCCACTAAGATACCTAATTTGATTGGATGCCTAAGACGCTGCCTGAAGGTGTCAAATCCGGTCTCCACCTGCATACACCGGATAAATAACCCCCGACATCCCGGATTGTCTCTATTTCCCCCCTTGACATTATTACTAACAGCAACACTTCCTAAACACTGCCAGAATGTCAGCAGCCATACACACACGAATCGTGAGCACCGATGAATTCTTCCCCAATGTAATACAACCAAAAGAAAAGGGTAAGCATACGCATACTTCATTGCAAGCTGCCCACTCAAACTGATAACACCAAAGAGGCCCTAACCCCATGGATCTTCGAACATGCCGACTTTGCTGATCTCGACTGCATTGAAAGATGGCCTAGTGACTCAATGAAGTTCAAGGAGTTTTTCCATCTCTTTAACACTCATGTCACGGAGAATAATCTATTTGACACTTCCCTGGCGGAACCTGATATCTTCGAAGCCTATTATCCCAAAAGTGAAGACCAGTGCCTAGAAGGTATTGAACCTGACTTGTTGGAAGAAGTTGCCGGAGGGGTCGAAGTAGTGGGACTTCCTGCTAAGAGCTGGAAGTACGGTGCACGAGAGAACTCTGCAGATTTGATGCAGTTACAGGGGTTGATGTTGAGGACTTTGATGGAGACGATTTATCTTAAGCTGAAGATGGGAGGCATCACGCCTCGACTTTAGTAAGTCAAGTTATATGTCTTTCATTGATGGCTTTACTGATACTTCTACAGTTTTCCTGTGACAAGGTACAAGCAAGTGTACTTCATAGGCGGTCGAAAGTATGTCGCTAGACCCGACTGTGCTGCTATGGTTAGGGTACATGATGAATATGTCCCAGTTCTCTCATTCACTGGTGTATGTTACACTCTCCACTATTTATACTTACTATGTCCTTTACCATGTTGTCTGACTATGATCAGTGGTTCCTAGAACAGACCTGGAGCGAGTTTCTTGGCGAGATCATGAGTGTAATGTTAGGGCAACTTGCTCATAATCTTAAACTGGGATTACAGGACCAAGAGATGTTTGTTCTTGGATGCTTCAAGCGCCAGATTTTTATAGCGCGTGGGTTGTTCACAAAAGATCAGATATCCCGAGTACATTCGAAGGGATTTGCAGAAGATGAAAGCTTTCGATTAGAGCTGACACAAGGATATGATCTTTCTACGAAAGAAAGCTGGTTCGAAGGCATACAGCATTTGGTGGGATTGTTACGATACTTTGTTAGTGGGAACGCAAACGTAGGGGGCTTGCAGGCTCATATTAATAGGGAATGACAATTATTTGACAATTGGGTTCGACACACAGACCCGGGAGTCCCCCATGTCAAGGACGTATGCCCTACAGTGCAGAGCATTCCCTTCACTCTCATTCATTTGTAGCAAGGTCTTATGATTTCTTCAGAGAGTGTCTCATGGGATTAGAATATTAATTATTATGAGATACAGTGCATATGAACACAATGTAATCTATGATTTCGAGCCGGAGGTACATGTCGTTACCTCCCCGAATCAACTGTAGACCAGCACCGAGTAGAACACTAGTCCCATTAATGTTGTTTATTATACATTATATCCCTAGACATTTAGAGTGGAGAACTGATGACTCGAGCGTCACTCAACTCAAACCGACTTCAACCAAGGATCCGACAATAACTCCTTCGCGGATGCTCGATTCTTCGGTCTCCACTGAAGCATCTTGCGCAAAAAGCAGAGGAATTGCTCTTGGTGTGTGCCTCGTAGATTCTCTCTAGCTTCTCCAAAGATACAGAGGGTATCTCAGTGGCATGTTTCCAACTACCTATTTCCTAGTCAGACGCGTCCACCCAAGAAAATACAGACATCATTGGAAAGCCATACCTTCGGTATCGAAAAACTCCCTCGCATACTCACTACGCCGAAGCATGTCGTTCGGCGGCGGTCCAAGGATTGCGACCATTTCAGCGAGATGATGACTGTCTGAGCTTTTTTTGTCCAAATCGCGAGCGTAGAAAAGGTGTCCTTGTTCGAATAGATCCCAGGCCTTTACAAACCACCAGTAAGAAGACATAGTCTTAAGGCAGGCGCTGTACTTACCAAAACCCCCAAATTCCAAATATCAATCTTCTCATCCCACGGCATGCGTAATACTGCCTCAGGAGCCCGGTAAATCAACGGCTGCACATCCTCCCACCGTGAACCTAGATCGGAAATGCAACGAGCCTCCCCAAAGTCAGATAAAATAGGACGCCCATGGATTTTAGGAATTCCAAGCCTTCGAGAAGAATAGATGACTCGATCTCCGATGACTTTTCGTGGACTGGGGTTGGATTTCTCTGCTTCTTCGAAATCGACTAGAATTGATTCATCCTCTACGCCGAGTATGATGTTTTTTTCTTGTATGTCTTTGACCAGTCAATATGCAGGTCTAGAAAGTCGAGTATATTAGGAGTGCGAGGATTATCATACCGGTATGAACAATGCGAGCATCTGTATGCAGAAAGTCCAACGCGAGAAGAATATGAATCAAAGTTGGCTTGAATACATTCTCAGGAAGGACCTTGGCTGGAATGCGATTGCGAAGCTCGAACAGACTCATAGCTAAAGGAGGATGCACAAGGCACTGATAAGAAGAGTCGCCAGAGCTGATTTGGAAGTCATCTAGTGCATGTCGGACAAGAATAGAGCCAGTGAGAGTTGACTTGACAGTTTTCAAATGATTGTACACTTGTGTTTCTCTTTCTCCATGGGCAGAGTCACGTTCATACATCTTCAATGTGACATAGGCATGCTGTCTGCTACTATTCAGTCGCTACGCGCGATATCCATCAGTAGCAGGGCTTACTGAAAATCCCTGCAAAGCCACACCGTGGAATATCCCTCGTAGCCTAATTTCCCGATGACTTGATATCTAGAGTGAAAGATCTCCCCGATTTTCACCGGGTAGAAATGATCGGGTGAGTACCATCGCAGGGTTTCCTCTTCTAGCTTGTCATTTGAGTCAAGAAGAGGACCTGATTGAGAGAACTGCCGAGCTGGAGAAGGCGACTTCCGGAAGAGAGATCTCGTGAATTGACGCGTTAGGCGTAGCATTGTCACTGGAGTAGGCCTAAGCAACGTAACGAGCAGCGTCGTAAACAAAAGGGAAGAGCCGGGAATTATGTTACTTTAGTTATGTCTGCTTAGTCACTGTACAGTCTTGGCTGGGCTGAAGTGGGGCAGCGGATACGGATATCCATTTTATGCGGATTACTACCCACTCAGCTATTAGTCTCTCTTGGAACTCTCCGATTGATGATCCACTCTCATAGTAAAACGACTGAACCTATTGACCAAGCATGATAAACATTCCACAGCATGAATACCAGACCTCATTCCATCACTAGCGAGTAGATAGATGCCTATCCTGCTTGGCTTGTGTGTCTTGCTTGGCCAGCTCAGTACGTTTGATTTGTTTGCCGATTTCCCGCCAATTCTATTTCTGTTGCCCCGATATACGATCATGATCGATTATATAATCGAGACAAGACCTCCTTGATGAGACCTTCATGAATCCAACCGCTCCTCTCCCCCAACTTCAGTCTGCTTCTAGTCGACCACGGTGCCATGAAAACCTACAACCCATCTGGCATCACGCTAGATTTCGAGCCGTCTCACGTTCATTTCATAGAACCCCTAAAAAGCTCAGAGACTTCGGAGATCTTTCACATATCCTACGATGGGCAGTCTTACTTCTTGAAAGTGGTCCGCCAACCTCAACCCCAAACCCCCGATGATCCACCGAAACTAATCTTAGAACCAGTTCCACATGGACGATGACCCCGGTTTCTCACCCGATGGACGAGATCTGTCCCGCTACCGTTGCGAGTCGCAAGCCTACCTCGCTCTAAGTCGTCACGGCACTTGCGACATGGGCATCGTACCTCAATTCTATGGCGTGCTTGAGAACCTAGACCCTAGTGTCTTCGAGCCAAACCTGGAAGCTTTCAACGAGGACAAAGTGCACCCGTGCGCCATTATTCTAGAATATTTACACGACGCGTCGGTCTTCACTTCCGAACCCCGTTCTGTGGAGCTTCGCCAGTATGCAAAAGATGCTTTGAATCAGATCCATCAAGCAGGAGTCATTCATAATGACCCTCATCCCACTAGGAATCTCGTGGTTGCCTCGGGAGGCCGTGTTGTCTGGGTCGATTTTGATACTTCAATCGTGTTTTCTGGGGCGAGGCGGGGCGAGTTGGATTTTAATGAGGAAGCATGTGATGAGTTGAAGTACTTTGAGAGTTGTGCTCGTAGATTTGTGAGTATCCCTCCGAAAATAAAAAAAAAAAAATCTTCTACTATACTGATATGCCCTGTGAAGCCTGTCAAGGGTACACCCTTGCAGGGAAACAAGATGCCCATGCCCCAATCGCATTTATCATCCTCGACTGTGGCCTTGATAGGGGAGTAGTAATGACAAGCAAATTTTAATCAGTGTCATTTGTATTGTTATGTCAAGTTCATTGTATTGTACGTCAGGGTTTGTATTACTGAATAAAATAATAGGGAGGCGTTACGGCCACACTGGCCAGGCTGCAACCACGCTTTCTTCTTTAGCTACGGCCTACCTTTTATAGTGAGTAGAACCTTCGCCACTTGTATCGATATACCTGAGACACTCTGTTTATATCTAAAGCACTAAGAAAACTCTAGGCTACTAAATACATTATTTCAGTAATAATAATCTGGTCTACCTTCTAAACTGAACAGCCACTAGATATCCGAGAAACATGACCATAACGCGTATAACTTTCAAAATTTCTCGATTGATGACAATCGATTGATTTCCGTAGTAATGAGTAAGTGTTCTGGGATTAATTGAGAAAGCGTAGATTAGAAGTCTGTTATAGCTTTCATATAAACATCAACTGACAGGCATTGGTAGTGCTAGGTGGCCTGTAGGGCTCCTGGATATGGAATAATCATTGTCACATTGGTCACTATATAATCGCTATAAGAACGAAATGGCACCCCTTCCGCTTAATAGTCCTTTCAAACTCTAATTTAGGGGCTACATCTTGTCTATGAATTTGTAGATATAGTCCATGTTTTGTCAATAACCACAAGATATCACTCTTGACGAAAGCCCGAATAATCTACACATTTCCCCACAGAGCAGGTAGGAATGAGAGACTCTATACAGGAGACCCCATGAACTTGTCTTCTATAGTTTCAGTAGTCGTCGAGCCATTCCGCGTACGCGGCCTGATTTGACTGCCGATATATGACCACCCGGAGTGTCGCGAATTAGGCTTATCGGCGGAGGTAAGGCTATAATCGATAGCAGCAGAGCTATGATCATCGGCAGGAGAAGGGCTTTTCGAGTTTTTCCAATTGTAGTAGGGTGTGACTATAAAGTCATTGACGTTGAAAGCGACGATGATCAAAGGAATAGAAACGGCCGCAGATGGTCCAACTGATTTAAGTTAGTACAGGCACAGTCTCCTATGTGAGAAACAAAAGATACAACATACAGATGAGAGGGAAGATCCACCACCCATGATACTGTGGATGCCCTGATGCTCCCTGGGGAAAGTCGGTGACATTGAGAGCAAAAATAGAAGACAGGAATGTAAGTGGAAGCTGAAAGCCATTATTAGATTCAAACAATGTATAGGAGATTGGAACTCACAAACACAATTGTCACAATGGTAAAGACCATAGTGGTATAGGCCTGCTGTCGTCCAAAGTCCGCATCCTGACTTGCGGTGTACTTCTCCTTGAGATCTAAAAACATGTTGATCTGCAGCTCACATCAGCACTTGTCGCTGACTAAGTAAAAGAGAAACGAACTGAATTTTGAGCGGATTGTGCCTCCCGTATCATATCGTCCAGATCAGATTGAACTGCGCTCGGTTCGCTGGGATGGGGATATGTCCACTGAGGAGTAGGTCTCTTGTTTTTGATTCGAAATGCTTTGTTCCAAACGCTCTGTTGAGACGCTGAGAGAGCTCTAAGAATACAAAGCTCATCACGGATCCCTTTGATGTTATAGAGAAGGTCGAACTCCAGGCCAAAATCGCGTTCAGGGAGTCTTTGACGGCGAGTTTGCTTGACAGCTTCTATAAAAGCGTTCGAGATTTCGGTCTCGTTATCAATCTGAAATAGGCAAAGCCTGTCAGTACTAATTCTCTTATATGAAGGCCAGCAGGTGTACTGACCACATGACGAATGGACTCTCGAAAAACTTGAAGAGCGTCTTTCTGTCCCGCAACAGAATGGCTATCAGGTTTTGTGGAAACCTTTTGCAAAGAAGGATCGGCTGCAATGCCAACGATCAATTCCATCATTTCTGTTGCTGATTTGGGACGTTGGATCGCGTTCCCACTTCTATCAGCTAACAATTGATCCAGGATGGCGTCGACAAGCTTGTCGGAGCTATTCGTGGTGGCAGTGACAATTGTGTCTATGGCAGAATTAGCCCATATTTCAACAGAAGTTCTTTGGCACTTGCCATCATCAATAATCCATAGCCAAAGCTGATCGACTGTGTAGATAAAGGGATTATAATTACTGGTTGAAAGCGATGAATCCTGCGACCTTGTGTTCTCATATTTTGTATTCTCGAGCGTTTCGATGAGACCTTTGCGGATTTCCTCTATCTTGGATTCTGGCAGCTTGTTTTCCTTGATGAATTCCCGCGCGAGGTAGTTTAAGAGTACCTGTTTGTTGTCTCTCTTCCTACTGTTCTCGATTGTTGCGTAATAATATTGGTGGAGTGTCATCGTCTCATGTAGAAGGTATGCGTTATGAGTCTGGGGATTTGCGAGCGAACGTTCGGGCTTTATCGATCGTCCAGATACCGTAAGAAACGGCATCTAAGCAATATGTCAGCACAGGTCATTCCAGGGGTTACATCCTCTAACATATAGTGAGACCAATCTATTCTTGGTGGTAGCGGGCCCCTCTGAGCCTGATTTGATTTGCTGTACTGTCTCATCGCCTTTCTCAAAACATGGCTTGATGTCCCTTTCATTGACTTTTTCGGCAGTGTTGTTATCACTCCTACTTGACCGTGATCTATCGGGATCTTCCTACGTTCTCCCACCATCGAATTAGGGTTCGAATCATGGCGATGTACCGTGGGTCATACCTGATATTGCGGTTGAAGAAAGCGCTTTCCGCCGCCGGCGGGTACCTCAGTCCAACTCCGCTTGAGATATTCGAGTAGGCTGTCCAAATCCTCCTGTGACTTCTTCGAATCGATTGCGATTCGCGTCACGAGATGCTAATTTTGACATATGCGTGAGCATCAATTCATTCACAAGGAGACCTGGAGAGCGTCCTGGATGACAAACCTCAATCACCTTTCTCTGAAAGCAACGTGCATGTTAGCAATCACTCACATTCACTCTCCAGCTGTAGAGTGTCATCTTACACAAGTTGCGGGTACATGGATCCACCTGAAATCTCGCTGTTTATTCTTTGCGTTGGATTGCTTTGACTGGGTTTGAGCAACCCTTCCCGGGTCCTTTGTAGCTTGCTTTATGACCGATGGCGGCATCATGACCGAACCTGAAGCGTTCACAGGGAGGCCAGGGTTTGGAGCAGCGGTTTTTGTAGCATCTGGTTGTCCCGCAGGCCCGGCAGGCTTCTCAGAGCATCTATCAAATTGTTTTGTGAACTCGCTGACATCGTTAAAGTTGTTATTGGGATTTGAGGCCATGATAGCATCCGGGCCTTCGTCGCTTTGATAGATAATACTCTTCGTAGGTCGTCGTTTCAGCTGAAAGGCTACAATGCCCTTATCCTGGCAATAAAAATCCATGATGGTGCTCTGTTTCTCAAAAGCGTCTAGACTTTCGCCAGTCCACTCCGGTACTTGTGGTGGATGGTAGGTATCTTGGAGTAGTCGAGGAGTTTCAATGATTGGAGGGTTTTCAAGTAGCGTTTTAATCAACTTGCCAGCGGGATATGCTTCTGTAGTCAAATCGAGAGCGAGCCTGATCTCACTGCTCTTCAAGTGAGCCCCATTTGACAATAGCCACCAAGCAGGTACCCCACGAGACTTAAAGACAGCCCAATGGAGCGTGGTCCAGTGTGTTGTATCCCTTCCAGTCTTTTCCTCACGCCTCTGCTCGAGAAGAAGCTTCGCAATCTCCTCCTTACCCAGGTATCCGTACTGAGCTGCTAGCTTGACATCATTGGCAAACCCTTTTGGAAGACCCCCAGACTTGGAAATCCGGTCGAGTTCATCCCATAAGATGTCAGATATATCTCGGTGGTTGCCCCGTCTAGCCAAGGTCATGGCGGTGTCACCATTGATGTTTCCTCTTAGGATTAAGTTGCTCACTTCGAAGTCATGGACCGTTGTCTTTTTTTCCGCGGCTTGATTCTCCGAATTTCCGAGTTTGACAGAGCTCAAGAGCTTCTGTACCGTGATACTGTGACCCCATTCCGCTGCCAAATGCAACGGCGTCATATCTTGAGAGGCCGTGGCGTTGTAATTAACACCCCAGCTCACAAGATCTTCTATGACGGCTTGACGGCCATACTTGCATGCCACATGCAACGCTGTCATTCCTTCAGGGGTAGTGGCGTTGGCATTAACCCCCCTGGTCAAAAGGTCTTTGATGAGGGCTTGATGCCCATACTTGCATGCCAAATGCAACGCTGTCATCCCTTGTGAGGTGGTGGCATTGACGTCAATATCCATATCCACAAGATCCTTTATGAGGGCCTGCTGTCCGTATTTGGATGCCAGATGCAACCAGGTTACCTTGCCATTCTTTATTCCCTTTGTGGGTTCCATGATTTTGGCGCACTCCCTCATCAGCTCCATGCTTCCATTAACAACGGCCCAATTCATGACACTCTCGACCCATTCAGCCTCCTGTGACCCGATCTGAAGCCATGTACGAAGGGCGTGTTCTATTTGATGAAGTTCGTAGGCTGTTGCAGTACAAATCTTCCCTTCGATTACGTCATCGGGAAAGTATGTTTCCGACTTCAAAATAATTCTTGTGACGTCGAGTTGCTCGCGATTTGCCGCAAAAGCCAATGCTGTATCACCATCGTCGGTCCTCACGGAAAGGTCGATTTCACCGTCCTTCAACAAAAGTTTGGCAGAACCGTCATTTCCCCAGTCAATGGCTACCATGAGCGGTGTACGGCCACTTCTGCTCTGCTGATTGCGATCAACTGTACTTATTCTTTCCGACTTGGAGTCAAGGAGAAACCGAACCATAGTATCATCGTGATACAGACAGGCAAAGTGGAAAACATTCAAATTCTCACTATCAGTAGAGCAAAAAGTGGCATTGTTATCGATCAGCAGTTTAGCCACTTCCGGATGGCCTTTCCAGCAGGCATAATGTAACGGCGTGAATCCGTCCACGGTAGCGGCGTCAACAAGGGCATGGTTATCCAAGAGTTTCTGGACGATTATTTCATAACCCCCCCAAGCTGCCA